AGTTCAGGTGTTGTGATGTTGTGTTCTATCTCTTCTGGCAATTTCTACGTTGGATGGTCTCTTGTAGAGGGGTCTGTGTTGGGAATGATCAAACGGTGAAGGTTGTGTTGCTTCGAAGTCGAGGTCGTATCAACGAGTCCACCGCAGGGCTGTCATTCTTCACGGGATTCCCGTGTATCTCCGCGGTATAGCGGATACTTGTTCTTTTTTTGTTTTTTTTTGTCTTGTTTTTCCGTCTTCTTTTCCAGATTTCTTTTTTGGATCTCTAGTAATTTACCCTATTAGGCAGTAGTCATCATTTGATGCATCTAGATTTCCATTCTATTTTTTTTTTTTTTCTCTATTTTTTTTATGATTATTTTATCTTTTCTTTGGCGAGAGAAAAATCTAGAAATGCGGGTACTTAGTATTAAGCGGATTGTGGTTTGGCTTGACGGTTCCACTGTTAAATGTTCTGTTCCCTCGCGTCTTGTACCTTAGATGGGCACTAGCTCGGTGATCTCCGTCTTCGGCCGTGAGGGAAACTGGATCCATCCTTTGAATATCTCCATCTCGTAAGGACAATATACCAACATTTGAACGTGCAAGTGTACTCTTGTACCTGCCCCTGACCATATGATCTTCACGGGGTTTGATACGAGCGTCAACTTTGACTTTGACTCGCAAATAGTTTACATCATTTGTGGACTCGGTAAGTTCGGACGACAGCCTCGATTCTGCAGAACAAAGGATCCTTTGAGACCGTTGAGGCCCGATTCGACAGGTAAGAGCGAGCACAACCTTATAAACTTCGTGAATAAAATCCTAAAGTTTATAAATTTTATCAGAATTTATCATTTAGAAATTTCTCAAACCTTGGACAGCGGTGGAGTTCAGTATGTAATCAACTAATCAATTGAATGATTTCAAGGTATTTGTAATCATCACGTTTTGGCGACTTCAACTGTATTATTGGTATTATACATCAACCCTTGTACATAGTGCCCGCTACATAACATAAAAGTGAAAAACAATTTCTCCAAAAAAAAAAAAAAAAAAACTGGAGCAGTATGCACGAAGCTGTGAACTTGAAACTAGATTCCTTGTTTGTGACAGCTAATGTCGTATCGTAACCACTTTTAGACCGGCAGAGCCTCACAGTCGACATTCGATATGCACTGGCGTAACTCCCCCCTCTTCCCCCTCCCCCCCACTAATCATTGAACATTATCCTAGGTAGGAGCGAAAGCCGACACTTCATGTTGATTATTGAAAAACTATTCACGGGACAACATCCTGTCCCACTCAAGCATCCCGAGGTCCGAGTGCGCCCGGGAAAACACCAGTATCTAGTTACGGAGACGGGATTTTCTTCAACGGAGTCAGCCGCTTAGCTTGTCGGGATCAGCCCGAAAACAGTATAACATTCGTGTTGTATAGGGCTTGCTGACCTCGGGTGTAGAAAGTATACATGTACTCCGTGTCTACTAAGAATGCGACAAAACAAAGCTTCGGAGTTAAAACCATATTCTTGTAACGGTATCAGTAATACCATCTAAACGCCCTCGGATTTAATAGCAGGTACATAGTACCGGTGATCTTATGCAACATCACATCATATCATTCAAGGGATATACATGTACAGTATAGGTATAGAAACATCGACTACATGTAAATCGAGAGCAAGAAAAAAAAAAAAAAAGAGATCAATTGCCGCCAGATCGCGGGCTCGGTTCGCGTCACGGGATCGGCTGCAGGACGCATGATGCATGCAGAGCAAACTGTTTCAGTGCATGCAGGTTGCCTGATTCGTCATTTTCGTCGAGGCACTCATGCGGGCTGAGAAGAGACTCCTTCCAAATTAGATCGTGCGAGCGTTTATCATGCATATCTTGAGCTATGTTTACCTTTGTTTTTCTGGTGGTTTTTTTGTCTCTCATTTTCCACTTCCAGTCTATGTGAGACCCACGTCCATTCGAATACAGGATATGCTGTGCATTTTCTGTTTTCTGTTTTCTGCTTCCGTTTGCTGTTTCTGTTGGTTTCTGTACAGCTTTTGATTAGTTCTCGGACTACTCAGGTCGTGCAATGGTCATCTCCCGACCTTCCCGCCATTAATCCGAAGTCCGTCCTTGATGGATATTACCCTCTCATAGGCTTATACTATCTTCACGTCTGAAAACTTTGAATTCTTCCAGTAATATCTCATCTACCAGATTCAAAGCTCTTTGATCACCGATAATACCCGATTTAAACACCAACATTGAACAAACCCCGCATCCCCTCACCTCCACGTGGCTGTGGCTGTCCAGGTTTGAAATCGGCATATCCCCGACTCACCAGGCTTTCTAAATACATTCTATCTAGCAATGGCATCATTGCCCGGGGTCCTCGGAGTCACCAGCTTACCAGAGTGACACATTTATTACATCAAAACAAAACATAGACAAAAAAAAAAGTAGGGCGGGGGAGCCTTGGAAGAAAGGGCATGTCCACGATTTACCTGCCAACATTGAACATTGAAAGCTCACTGGATACCGAAACATGGACTAGCGTTACCAAGAAACCATTAAGCAGCGCCAAAATGAAACAACCCTGTGATGAACCCTCTCCTCTAATATTCATTCCAAATTCTCGCTGCAGTCACTGGAGCCACTTGGGCATGCCGCATCGCATCACTCAAAAATTCACAATAATCTGCAACAGCAACCCGTGATGGCCGGCAGCCACGGCGCGAACCTGTTTTCTGCACCAATGGATTCAGGCCCGCCACCAACAACAACCCAACCTGCTGTGAGGATTACGCTTGGTTTGGCGATCAATTAGCTGGCGTCACTGTGTACATGGTCGTGCTGTCACGTTCGCCACATGGGTGGTGGTGGAGTTGCGGGACAGGCGCTGATGGGCTGGCTGGCTGACTGGGTTGTGAGGAATGGCGTAGTGCATTGCAGGGTATCAATCAGAAATTAGATCACCATCGGGGATTTATTCCTACGCCCGACTTTCCACTTGGGGTAAGGCGTTGATAAGGGTGTGGTAGCATGACATGACAAGACATGACAAGAGAGGGTGTGTGTGTTGTTCGGCCGGAGAATTTTGAGTATGACAGGAACTCTGTGGCCATTCATAATGCTCCGTCTTCTTCATCCCTCATTGCCGGATATGATCATGATTTTCAAGTTCGCCTGTTGCTTGTGCTTGGCGGGGGCAGCGGGGGCGAGAGGGGGTCTTTGTTCTTGGGCCTTTGATTTGCTTCTGCGCATTGATGGCATTGATTTCAAATCTAGGTGATGGGCCGGCATTAGTGCGTGAAGTCATCTATGTCTTGGGGGAAAAATCAGTTGGTCGGATCTTCCGGTCTGGTTTAGATGTTCGCTTCAGTACAGAACTTGGATGGTACGGAGTATGGTATTTCGGAATTGACTGTCACTCAAGGGCTGTAGTTTTATTGTTGGGGGCTGGGGACTGAGGACTGACAACATTTGAATTTGTCCATCAGCCAAGGATGGAGCCTTCTTGGCCATTTCACTTTGACATCAATCTTGATTCTTGCTTTATTTCTTGCCAGACGTCCGCCTCGGCAAGCATCAGCATCGGAAATTCCTGCCTCGTCAGATGCTGGCCATTTGTCCAGATTAAGACCGATGGCTGAATCTACTATGATCAGTAGCCGTTGACTGTATCGAGACATATTGCAAGACTACAGATCCATGGGTATCATCGACAATTATCGACTGATTTGCTCAGAAATTACCTAATCTGTAGGCGCTCGAAGTATACCAATGTGACATCTTCCTCCGACCATACCTAATTTCTTAACTTTTCGTTTCCACCGATGTCTTGTAAAATCTACCTCAATGATCCATATTAAAGTGAAGTTGTCGGGGAATCTTATGCTGGAGTTTGTTTTTTCGCTTGCTTGCCTGTTTGCAGCAATCTCCTGCCTGTTCTGCGCTATAAAAGAGCGCTCAGACTGCCACTTTTCTTTTTCTCTCTCAAGGGGAGCTCAACCTAGTCAATCAAGCCTTCGTTTGCTTGCCTTAATACATTTCGTAGCCCTCTATCAAAAGTCGAAGCAAGCTTCGCCAATTGGGCAGACCGAGGTAAAGTAAAACCCTCCCTAGAGGATAATATATACCCCCTGCAGTTACATTTCGTGTATAGTCCTACTATTTTCTATCCTATTTCTAACTTATTGAAGAATAAGTAGCATCGGCGCGATACGGGTACTGCAGCGGTTATCCAGTATTATGATATCCTTAAAGGAGGCCCATTAAGGGGCCGGCCTAAACAGAAAGCTCATAAATCTAATTCACCAACTAGACCAATAGTTCAGCCGAAAGACTTACAGCATACCCGAAGTGATATAGACTCTGACAAGGTACCGACCCCTATATATGGCAAGCTATTACGTGCCACCAGGAAATACCTTAAAGCTGCTAAGCAGCCAAATGCATGCTTTGAATGCTTCGCAAGTGAAGGGCTTCCGGACAAAGTTCGCTTTCAGATGTTTCATACTTGGTTCAACCAGTACTAGGTTACACAGGAAGGTCTATCAAGATCCTTCAAATGTCAACTTTTTGATATCAACTACCGTATGACGCACGACTGGACTGACAACTTTATTCCGCCTGAGTTGCGTGGAAACATTATTTCAATGTTATCTTGACAAGCCTGGTTCGGTTGAAAGAGGGGGTTACATACTGAGCTTATACACTGGCAACTAGTTGACGAAAATTATTTTCAAGCTGTTCAAGGTAGCAGCTTTGCAGAGGTCAGCTATGGACCGGCCGATTGACATCTGAGGCAGTGCTCATCAATTGATGCAGCCTGGTATCACGGACTAGTGGCATACAGAACAAGAAGTAAGTAACATAAATGATTGGAAATTCAATAAATCTGAAATATGAACTACTAGACATTGAAACACAACATTCGAAAATTGATCCTGACAAATTGTCCAATCAACTGACCGAGAAATCACCCCTTACTCTCAGGTAGCATCGCACCTAGCGTGCCATTTACCGTGGACGGTAGGCATGCTTTCGTGCATATTCCGCCAACTTCGCAGCATCGAGCCCGGCGGAACGTTTCCCGAGGCGACTGATGGCTGTCACCGATGGACCGACGGTTTTCTGCCAGGAAAGATAGTCTCGTTCATAACCAGCTGCCTTATCCAATAAGCCTGCGAGGTCGCCCGAAGACATGACAAGCTTCAGCAATGCTAGTTCTCTTTCCAGGTTCTCGGCAAGATCTGGTAAACCTGGATCGGTACGAACTGTCATAAACTGCTTGATCCGCTCATCGCTGTTTAGAGCCTTCGATATATCTTTCTCCAAAGAATACTTGAAATTATCCGGATACTGCTTCTTGACTTCGCCGATGATTGCCGGCAAATCGGTCGTTTTTGGAGGAATACCGTCCACAGTTCCGTGCGCGAGCGCCAACACGACAGCTTCAGTAATATGACTATATGGATTTACATCAAAGCGCCATGCGAGCGCGACAGGTAGACACGGTTCGATGGTTTGCACAAACTCAGTGAGTATCTCAGATACGGCATCTTTGAAGGCAACCTAGGAAGTGTTGACTCAATTAAAAATATGCCAAACCAGCGATAGGAAGACACTTACTTTGTCGGCTGCTTTCTGCAACATCCTTGCCACTTCGTAGTTCATCATCCCGATACCCATTTTCCCAAGATGCTTCTGAGCACGTGTCACGAGCACATTGTCGCTAAGGTCCTCAAAAGCGGAACGCGCGTAGAAGTTGTAGGCACTGCAGTATCTTGTAATCATCTTTGAGACGTTGAGACTCTCAGGCGATGAAACATTAGGCTGGTTTTTCACACAAAGCGATTTGCAGTCCGCAAGGACTTTCTCGTCAACCTCTTTGAAAGTTGTCTTTAACTTGGTTTTCGCGTCTTTTAGGCGCATGCACCATTCATAATACTGAGTTGGATCCCAGTCATCTTCTGGTACCCAGGCGTCTGAATCCTTTAGCCACCTGTCGTAGATTTTCTGATCGACCATGGTCAATGGATTCAATGGATAGATGGAATGGTATTGTAAGAAGGAAATAAGGCAAGCAAGAAATGTCAAGCGCGGCTTGACTTTCAAATGTTATCAACCACACCAGACGTTCAGCACATCTTATATACTTTGAGTAGCCGATTTTTTTCAGTTTTCTCTATGTACGCGTGATTGATTGATCTGTTCCAAACTTACCGAAACTCACCTTATGAACTTACTGAAACTCACCTTATTACTTCAATTTTCTTGGTAGTGATAGGCAAAAGCCCCCCATCACAAATAATGGACGTTTAAATTACAGGGAATGCCTCAAAAATTGGGTATAGCTGACAAATTCCACTGTTTTCGGCCCGAAAAGACGTGATATAAAGTAGTAAGGCTGCATATGTATCGATGCAGGTACATGCACTATATAAGTCTGTATACGGCGAGGCAGGATTCATAGGATGAGCACCTTCTCTCTACAGGATAGTTCCGGTTGATTCTTGTGGGGACCGGACTACGATTGGTCAACCTGGATGGGGGTTGATTTTGGCATTTATTATGACATCTGGAAGCTGCATGTGAGTTGCTTATATTCAATTGTGTAACCATCGCTTACTTTTTCTGCCTTGGGCATTAACATTCAAAGAATGCAACGTAAATCCCCACGTGCTTGTGTATAGATAATTGCCGTGAAGCTCAGCTGAACAATAATCATGCTGATGGTACGTAATTGTGCGACACAGCTGCAGCACTCAAGTGCTGTTAAAGTTGACGAGTATCCCTAATATATGTCTAGATCGTGTGTAGATGCCTGCAAGAGTGCGTGATTTATTAATCACTCATACATATGAATCCAAAGGCAAATTAATTGGCTTCAACATTTGAAACGTTGGAATCATAATGCTGCTGAAAAATGGCTCGACAAGCGGTGGAAAAGGGACTCGATATTCGAAATTGACGTAACCGAAACTCCCATTGATGATCGCTTAAGGAAGTTGTATTTATAAAGACAGCGAGATTGCATACACTCTAACATCTCATCATATTCTCTATACTCTTCTAGCTCAGTTGCGACCACCCATATTGCCTTGACTTTTTTTAAGAGTCGAACGATACACCAAATATTCAATATGTCATACTATGAGCGCTATGGCGAGTTGAGCAAGAGCACCTTGAACTTCGTCACCGGCAAAACTGCAAGCGAGCAAATACAGTCAAGAACCGACCTGAGAACCGATGAAATCCGCAGGGCAGGCAGAAAGATAACGGTTATGAGTGACGAGGAGTGGAACAGAAGGGAGGAGGCGATGAACAAAAGGGCGGCCGAATACAAAGCAAAGCTAGACAAAGAACAAGCAGAGCATCGCTTGTCAAGAGAAAAGGCTCTCCAGCCAATCAGAGACAGAATTGAACGAGAGAAAAAATACCCGTCGTTGATCCACGAAAAGCTGTCGTTATTCCACGAACCGGCTGACGAGTCTCCCGCCGCTCTTGATGCATGGGACATCGTTTACAAGGAGACGTCCCCCTTTCTAGCAAAGGTGGTTATCGCCTATCGCTATGGGCTTGACAAGGGAAGTGGGAGACTTGATAACACTGCGATTGGATATTATGGGGGCGATGACCTAGTGTCGTGTCTTCGAGCCAGAGATATTGGAGTCAGCGGAAACGAGACAGCCTTTGACAGGCTGGTATCGATGAAGGTAAGAGTTCAAGGTCCAAGAAAAGATACAATAACGTTTCGTTCATATACTCACATCATTATACGTTGATCAGCTCCCGTTTCCCAAGTTTCTGGCAGCTGCTCTGGTCGATAATATAGAGACCATCTCAAAGGACGAATCGCAAGCCGCCAGAAAAGAGCTGCTCGAGTTCATCATCGGAGATGAAGTCACAGAAATCGAGATCACCGAGTTGGTTATCGAGACTTAGGTCAGAGAGAATTGTCCCAGATTGGTATTGCCTCTCTGCTGCATCTTGGTGAAGAAGTTTCGGCGTTGGTGAAAGGGTCTAGGGAACATTGACTATTTGTGCTCGATGCGTGATTGGTGCTTTCGAAGTAGTATTTTTATGGTATCATGTCTATTTTATGGATATCGAGAGGTGTTTCCATCAAATTGGAGGCTTGGATATGTCCTCAACGATGTATCAGCGTCAAACAGACATGCAAAACAATCAGAAACCTGAACCAAATTGATGATGAAGAAACGTCATGAACCAGTGAACTGAAGTCATGAAGAACAGCATGGTTTTATGAGTAGGGCCTTTTAACTACCATGGGATTTAATCCTCTTGGTTTTGAAGTAAGCGTATTGAACGAAGCTTTGATGCTTTGATTCGGAGATTCCGGAAAGTCAGTTTCCCCTCAGCGGGGAAGATGTCAATCTCCGAGCTTGCTGACGTAGCCAGATTATGTGCTACCCAGAGCATTCCGGTATCAATTGATTGCTTTGAAGATCCCAAAAGACCCTGCAGAGCATCTTCTGGCCTAAGTGGGCAACATTTATCAAGATTTTCCAGGTTCGTTGAATCCCGTTCAACATCAGGTTGTCTCGTGTTCAAGCGGTCCCCGAGTGGCAATCCATGATCAAAATATTAGTGCTTACAGTCATCCAGTCACACTTTTGCCTCCTTCACTTTCCCAGCTTTCTATATCCCACTTACACGACCTAAATCCAGCCCTGGAAGCTCCATATACTTATAACCATGTCGAAATTCCACATCGTCAATTCGAACGATCCGGTTCCCGGCGGCGAGGCCCCACCCCCAGAATTCAGCTTGACAGCCCACCCCGCCACAGATATTTGGTCCAAACCCCCCTCTACGAACACCTTCAACGCTCCACTACTTTACCAGCCCGTTTCCCTTGGTTCATTCAAACGAGCTCGAGTTGCAGTCGCTGCGCAGTGGACACAAAAATACGACCAGGGCGGTCTTGTCATAGTCCTGAATATCGCCGATGGATCCCAAAAGTGGGTCAAGACCGGCATCGAACTTACCCATGGCAGTCCGCATATCAGCGTGGTTGCAAAAGACCGCTGGGCCGACTGGAGCTTGCTTCCCCTGTCCTCTGGAGGGAAGTCTGCAACTCTGGAGCTGGTTCGGGAGGCAGATAACAGCTTGTGGATTTATCTCGTGAAGGGAGTGCAGAAGGATCCTATCCGAGAGGTCACTTGGATCTTTGAGGAGGCAAACGTGCAGGAGACTTGGGTTGGGGTTTATGCGGCGCGGCCTTCAACGGAAGGTGGGGAGTTGACGGTCAACTTTGGACATCTTGTTATCGAGTCCATTGGGGACAAGGAATAAGTATTCATGGGATGGTTGGAAACTTGGAGTGTATGCATTCGTTCCAAATCCGATTTTGGCAATATGGAGATGAACAGGGGGCATGGGAAAATTTGGGGTCGGCTGAACTGTCTCAATAAGTATGTTCCAGAGTTTTCGCATGTGGCGCTTGTTCCACAGATCTGTACGAGAAATTCATGGATCTTGTTGTTGCGCTGTTTCCTGATCATGTGTATTAAGGCCGATCGCGTCATGGTAATTAGGTCCTAGACTGAAGCCTGGGCAGGGGCAGTTGGGACGGCACGGGCCCCCGTGCCATGCCAGGGCCAAATGGTGGCATCCGTGGACGATCATGGTCGGGGCGTACGGGATGAATCCCCCACAGCGGGTGATCAACTGACGTGCACCAAATTTTTGAATTTTTGAGGGCGATCGGGGTTTTATGTACAGCAACTGGAGGGTAGAGAGTCAGAGACGTAGACAAACACAAATTGGCCGAATTTCAAACTGAATGCAAACATTGGCCACGTGCGATGGTCACACGGTTGAAACCTCTTGATATCATCTGCAATAGTTATCTGATCATGTTCACAATTGCAATAAAAACATGGATGAAAATGCTAGTGATTATGTCGCTCTCATATTTCCTGGTCTTATTGACCTGGGACTTTTGCTTATAATCCACGCATTAAGGCCCCACAGCTGCAGACCAGGGATGCAACTACGCCAAAGCGGTTCCTGCCGGACGAACCAGCAGTCTCGAGTACATCTTATCGATCAGTCATATCTCAGGACATATCATAAGAGGCTCCTATTCTTATGTCTCTTTCATCTTGACACAAGGCCCCCCAGCTGATGCTGATGAAACGGAGATGATTTATTTCCCCCGCTTGGACTCCTAGTGCCTGACGTGCCATGATCCACTTTCGTTTTTTTTCTCTTATCCGGCCAGGTTTCCACTTGCAGTTCCCCCTCCATCGTCATCGGCACGGTGTGATATCTTTTTTTTTAATTCGCTCCGGTTGCCTAATCGGATTATCACCTTGGCTCAAATTGTCCAGGTGCATAGACTGCCGGAATGCTGGGGCGCGCTGAACTTGGCCTGCGCCTCTCATCATCTTCACCTGTACACTAACACCCCGTCGACGTGCATAAGTGCGACCGCCGATCGTGACTCGGTCTCATCCCGCCATCCGACTGACGAGAGAAGAGCATCGGTCTTCCCTGCTGACTTCCTGCCCCTTACAGGCTGGCCCCTCTTTCTTCAGACAAACCAGAAAAGAAGAAGAGGAAGAAGAAGAGTCGTTGGCAGATCTAATCTAACCATTTCCGCTGCCTAATCCTGATTGACTCCCGAGTGGATTTTCGGGCTTGCTAGCCTTCTATGGGAATATAATCGATCTTACCGCGCTTGCCTGCTTCTTTGCGCCGGAGTCATTGTGCCCCATATTTGATTTGATTTTGATTTTTTTTTTTCGAATCTTGGTGCGACACTGTTGGATCCATCTCGCCTTTCCTGATTAAATCCCCTGATCGGCCTGATTTGTTCGTGTCGTCGTATTTGCTTTTTATTTTCCATTTCAGCTGTGGATCTGACTGGCTCAGGTCGGCCCCAAATCCGCCGGTGCCCAAGCGGTGTTTAGTCAAAGCAGGATTACCATCCCCTTTTATGTGATACGCCCGCTGTCGCTTCCCATGTTGCATGAACTCTCGTTTAAATGATCGTGTCTGCAGTTACTTATTGTTTGACTCTTATCGAGATCGCCGCCTTCCCCGTATATGGTTTCCATGAAGCCTCGAAGCTTTGATCACTGATCTGTATATGGACCAAGACACTATATAACATTCAGAGCTCTTTTTTTGGTGGTCATGCCACTCCTTGATGCGCGCGACGGTCCCTCCTACGGTGCTATACCGCGGGGAGAGGACGAGACGATTATGGATCATGAACGGGATCAGTTGCTGCAGGATGGCTACGAAACCGACGGTGATCCAAGTGATGTTTCAACGATGGGCGAAGCACAAGAAGGAGTGAGGAAAATTGAGGCGATAAATATGACTTGGACAACTCGTTCATTAATGATCGCCTACGTCAGGTTCGTTTGTGGCTTGCAGCCAAATCCTGTGACCCTGCTGACTTGGCGTAAAGTATATTCCTCATGGCATTCTGCACATCCCTGGAGGGCCAGACTGTAATGTCATTGTCGGCATATGCCACCAGTGCATTTAGCAAGCATTCGTTGATTTCCACCGTTCTTGTGGTTCAGAATGTAGTCAATGGTGTGTCGATTTTTTTTTTTTGGCTCAATGTCCAATTCATAGTTGTGAACGCATCGCTGACTGTTTACAGCGGTAATCAAACCACCCATGGCAAAGGTTGCCGATGTATTTGGTCGCTTTGAGGCATTCTGTCTAAGCATTACCATATATATCCTGGGCTATATTCAGATGGCTGCATCGACCAATGTGCAAACTTATGCCTCGGCGCAGATATTTTACTCCGCTGGTTCAACGGGTCTGCAAATTCTCCAGCAGGTGTTCATCGCTGATAGCAGTGACCTTCTCAACCGTGCCTTTCTGGCTTTACTCCCAGAGTTCCCATTTTTGATCACTGTCTGGCTCGGGCCGACCATCGCTGGAGCCGTGCTTCAGTCATCATCATGGCGTTGGGGCTATGGCATGTGGGCAATCATCCTCCCCGCTGCCTTTTTGCCACTCGCTCTTTCGCTGCTTCTGAATCAGCGTAAAGCTGAACGATTGAATCTGATCAAACCATCCAAGGCGAGACGCCGGCGGAGCCTTTTCAGCGTCATTCGAAGAACATGGTACGACCTGGACGTTGGTGGTTTGACCTTGTTATCAGCAGCTGTGACTCTGCTTTTGGTACCCCTGACGCTGGCGGCCAGTGCCAAAAATGGATGGAAAAGCCCAAGCATCATTATAATGATGGTCATTGGTGTCCTCTGCTTGATTGCTACTCCGTTGTATGAATCATCTAAGAGGCTAGCGCCCAAGCCTCTGCTTTCTCTGCATCTACTTAAGCAACGAACCGCTCTTGCTGGTTGTGCTTTGGCATTTTGGTACTTCAGTAAGTCCGATACTTTGCATCTGCAATCACCTAACCAATCGGGATCTATGGCTAAATGAACTTAGTGGCATTCTATTTTTCCGTTCAACCCTACCTCTACTCTTACCTTCAGGTCGTCCAGAACTATGATGTGGCCACCGCTGGTCGTGTCACCCAAACCTTTGCATTTACATCGACTATTGCTGCATTCACCGTGTCACTCCTAATCAAGTACACGCGCCGATACCGCATATTCGTGACCATTGGCTGCGTCATCTACATGACTGGTCTAGCATTGATGCTTACGTGCCGTCAAGAGGGCGCCTCTCACCTACAAGTCCTGGGTACCCAAGTCCTCGTGGGCTGTGGCGGCGGCTTGCTCAACGTACCCGTTCAACTCGGCGTCCAAGCATCTGCAAGCCACCAAGAAGTCGCAGCAGCCACCGCAATGTTTCTCACGTCCATGGAAATGGGTGGTGCCGTTGGTGCCGCCATCTCCGGAGCCATCTGGACCCATTTGATTCCCCAAAAACTTATGCAGTACTTGCCCGAAGAGAGCAAGTCTCAAGCCGGCGAGATTTTTGGCAAACTGACAACGGCCCTCGAATACCCTATGGGATCCCCGACTCGCATCGCCATCAACCGCGCATACCAAGAAACTATGAACCGCCTGCTAACACTCGCCATTATCGTGACTTTACCGTTGATTCCGCTTAGTCTTGTTATGGTGGACTACAAGCTGGACAAGGTGAGCACTCCAGCCAATAGCGATGATTTATCTAGAGACAAGAGTGACTGACTTGTCTGAAGATGAGCCCTGGTAGCCACAATGACGGAGATGAGACCCCACCACCTGTGGAGGCAGAAGCCGATACTGATGACCAACAACATAAATGATTGACTTAGGGCCACCCCCCTTTTGTGCACATGTGTATGGGCCATGACCATGTTCACAGAAGATTTTACGACCGTACGACCTTCGGATTTTCCTGTTTTGTCCTTTTTGTTATGTTCTTGTCCTTTCTCTTTTTGTTTGTTGTTTACTATATATTGTTTCTATGGACCTCGTTCCACTGCATTAAGCATACTCAGCAACATCACTGGCGTTTTTGGTTACCGATTGCGAATCAAGTGGCACCCGAGGCAGCAGACCTCGGGAACAGTCTAGATTTAGAATACCCTGGAGGAAGTTTTCGGAATTATAGATCACGTGTTACCTAGGTATGCATATGAATGTGATTCAATGTTTGTTCAAAGGTTGCATTGATACACGACGTATTTGGTGAGGCACGGTTTGTCTGCCTACTATGCATGAATCACTCTTCCCGAGGTATACATTTATCTACGATGATGTAACGAAGAAGGCATTTGAAAAAACACTAGGATTGTTTATATGCCTGGTTGGTTCTCATCTACGGCGACTAGACCAGAAAGAAAAAAAGAAACAAAAAGTAAAAGAAATGCATTGACGGGGAATCGAACCCCGCTCTGCCGCTTAACAGGTTAATGGAAGGCGGCAATCATAACCACTAGACCACCAATGCTGATGATTAGTAATTTATAATAATTGAGCCACATATAGTCAAAGTTTGGTGATTGCTTTGACTGAGCGTCTCAATCTAGCTTAAGTCTGGTTTGAATGGGATAAGTAGAATGTTCTTCCAAATCCTGTTTTCCATTCAATCATATTTTATTAAAGATTGACAGTTCCTCAATTAAATGACAGGGGCCGATCCGTGCCAAGACCAAGCCTGGAGCTTGATCTCGATTACGATTCCGATTTCAGGGTTTGGTTGTTGGGGAAGAAGCCACTCCTGCAGCATTATTGTCCCCTCATGCATATGTATGTATGCTGATCCCTACGTAGTGGTCGTCTGCCCTTTCAATGTTCCACACCCACGGCCTCGGTCTGCTCTTATCTCATCCCATCTCCGCCTTCTCATGAAAAAGTTTTTGAACATGGCACTTGGACTGTCGGTGTGTCTTTGGATGATTCGGTGATTTTATTTCGCTAGCGCTTGCCGAGAAACCGAACGAGTCCCCATCCATCAGCTAAATCACAGGGGGCGGTGTGGGCGACAGAATTGAGATTAGCGTGTCTGGGGATCCCCTTACGGGGGTATGCCGTTTCGGAACGGTACTGCAATCAAATATTTGGCCGGTGTGGCTTTTTTAGAGCCTGGGGCTGCTCGGGGCGGGCTTTGTGGTTCTGTATTTATGGGGAAATGACACGGATACATATGGGTAAGTTTGGGTAAAAGGGGGTAAAAAGGGGGGTTTTTTCAGGGATGCGAATTGTCGTCATTTTGGGGGAAGAATTTAAGAGACTTTATATTCTGTATAGAATTTTAGATTTGGAGTACTCCGGGTAGATTTTCACTAAGCAATGCATAACTAGCTGCGGGTGTTTGCAATGGAGCTATAGCTGGGTACCAAGTACTAAAGTAACATTGGAATTAATACCAACGTGTCTGTAAATCTTGTAAATTTGGGTATAAATTTCTGTTTCACATTTTCACAGCTAAACTGTATATCTTACAAAGAAATCCATTGGAATATGATAAAGATACTAAGTACATATGTAGTGTCAAAAGCTCATTTAAGAACTCAAGTTGTCATGGTTCCATGTGGACCAGCAGCGCTTAACCGACAGCGGGTGGCCGTCACATCGAGGACTCTTTCTTTGATACCGGGTCTTGGCAACCCTCGACCCGTTAGTTTTCCTGTATTGATGTATTCACGCGTATCAACTACGAGGAACAACGTAACGTCTACCTCGTCACGATAAGCATAAGAACACCAGAAATTGAGAGCTTCTATGTGTAAAATTGTAATAAAAAGACCCTGTTAATCATAACAAAGAAATTTCTAGATAAATCTATATAATCAAATATCAAACTTATCACATATATGACCAAAGCTTTCATCATGAAAGAGATGGTACAGGCCGCGTATCTCACGAGACTAGCACTTGTCTAGACTCCATCTGCTCTGCGGGTTGCCCCATTCAATCCAGACCACAGCTCTTCTCTCCCTTTTTGTCTCCCACAAGCCTTTTCCTTCCCCCCTCATTCTCCCATCCCCCCATCTCCATCTTCCTTGATTTCTAACGCCTCGGTTCGCCTGCGGTGCTCACAAATATGGTTGTCGCTACCATCAAGTGCGAAACTTCCCCCCTCCTTGCCGAGAGGCGCCCCCTCTTTCTGGGACTAACCCCGATCTTCTAGGTGTGTCGTGGTGGGGGACGGTGCTGTCGGAAAGACATGTCTCCTGATCTCCTACACAACCAACAAGTTCCCCTCGGAATATGTTCCTACCGTCTTTGACAACTACGCCGTGACTGTGATGTAAGTTTTGATAGATCCTCACAGCCCCCATAATGACCGATATACCAAACCCGCGGGAACAAGCCGCCCCAGCCAAAAAAAAAAAAAAAATTCAAGAAAAATTTAAATGCTTCAAATACTGACCTTTGAATGTTTATAAAACAGGATCGGTGATGAGCCCTATACTCTTGGTCTTTTCGATACCGCCGGTCAGGAAGATTATGATCGTCTGCGCCCGTTGTCCTATCCCCAGACCGACGTTTTCCTCGTTTGTTTCTCCGTAACTTCGCCCGCCTCGTTTGAGAACGTCCGTGAAAAGTGGTTCCCTGAAGTTCATCATCATTGTCCCGGTGTCCCTTGCCTTATTGTCGGTACTCAGACTGATTTGCGCGACGATGCGAACGTGCGCGAGAAGCTTGCCCGGCAGAAGATGCAACCCATCCGTAAGGAGGATGGTGACCGGATGGCTAAGGACCTTGGTGCTGTGAAATATGTTGAGTGCTCTGCCCTGACGCAGTACAAGCTCAAGGATGTCTTCGATGAGGTAAGATATCACCTGCGACTTTCTTTGTTTTGTTTTTGGGAGACATGAGCGAGACGGGGAGGGAAATATGACTCTCTCCGCTCTCTCATCCTTGCCTTATATCGATCTCTGCTGACAATATTTTGAACGTACTAGGCTATCGTTGCTGCTCTCGAGCCGGCCCCCAAGAAGAAGTCCAGGGGTTGCCGCCTGCTGTGAACAATGACTATGGACAGTTTTCACAGGGTGGTTTCTGCGTAATATCGGGTTGCCAGCTCGTTGACCTCGCGACAGAAACCACAGATACGATGGAATGAACCTGTTTTTGTTTTGTTTTATGTTTTACTTTTCCCTTTCATTCTGGGAGGGCTATTTGACTGGGACTTTCACTGGGATATCCAACTGCAGATTCGGATCTATGTATGGGCTAGCGTCGCTATTTGAAGCGTTATTTTTCAAATCACCCTTCACAGTTTCCTGCCTCGTGGCTGCGATTTGCCCGACGATATCCTTGTCACTCTCTGGTCGCGTCGTCCTCTCTTTATTCCTTTTTCAATTCTTCTTATGCCCTTGCGGCTTCTGGCGATCATCCGTTAAATATGCGGATATCGATTCCACCATTTCTTTAGCTTCGCCCCCTCCATGTTCAAATTCCTCTCCTTCCACGACCTACAGCGACCACGAGATTCGACCCTTCCTTCCCCCTTCTCGTGTACTCTCTCGACTTTTCCCGGCCTCACCAATCCCTCCCACCCTTGCAATTTTATTTCATCGTCTATCGGCGTTGGACGTCAGGGCGTCGTGTTTTTCTGCTGGTTGATGAATTTTCCGTCCATGTTACTCCCTCTATTCGATTCACCCTCGACCTTGCGCTTCGGAATTATGAATTTGAGCTCTGCTGCACCTTTCTCCCACAACTCCGAATTCGCATGTGTGTTCTTTCTATCTACGTTTCTCTCTTTACACGGCTTTGATTTTTTTTTTACCACATATGACTATCTGTTGCCATTTACCTGATCTTATGCTTCGCGCTTATGCTTTTGAAATGCGCGAAATCATCCCGAGCCTTAGAACGTCGCAAACAGGACAATCCCCCAATGACAAGTTCTTTGATGGTTTTCTGTGTGAAGGGTTGATCGTAGATGGGCTTATAGAGCGTTAATACTGATCAATTCCAAACACTTTGAAATGTGATAATTACGAACATAGTACTACAACTGCAAAAATAAAAGAAAAAGATACTAAGTGCGAACAGTCGGCATGACATGGGCATTCATTCATCGTCTATATACATACGGATCATGTTTCTCATATCTACTAAATACCGCGGGCCAATTTACAGCTCGTCCTTGCCAACCACGGACTCAGCCTCGACATCCTCGACATCCTCGGCACCCTCAACAATCGGGCGTCCATACCAACCACCCATTTCTTCCTTGACACCAGACTTGACCATGCTGGTAATAATCTCAAATGCAACCTGGGCCGCAGCCAGAGCCGTAGTTTCACCCTTGTTATCATAAGCAGGCGACACCTCAACAATATCCGCACCAACCAGGTTCAGCTTCTCCAAGCCACGCAGGATCCGGATGAACTCGCGGGTAGTCCAACCACCAGGCTCGGGGGTACCAGTGCCAGGGGCAGTCGCGGGATCCAGAACATCGATATCAACAGACAGATAGACGGGCTGCTCAGGATCCAGACCGGTACGCTGAATGATAGCATCCACAACACCCATAGGACCAAGCTCATCAATATCATCCGCATGAATGCGAATGAATCCCTGCTCAGGACCCGGGTTGGTATAATCCCCATCATCAACACCAGTCAAGCGGGTCCGCAAACCAGCATGCGCAGAAGTAGAGTTACAGATCAACCCCTCCCGGCTCGCCTTGTGGAAGAAGCTTCCATGGTTAAACTGCGTCTGCTCAGACTGCCAGTACGCACTGTAGCGCACGGGATTCCAGGTATCAAGATGCGCATCAAAGTGCAGCACCGTGATGGGCTTCTGGTAGATCTTGTGCAGCGCACGCAAAGCCGGCAATGCAACACTGTGGTCGCCACCCAACGTCACCAGCTTCGGGTGTCCGGACCCAATGCTATCGCCGCCCTTCGGCGCCTGGTTCACCACCTTCCGCGATCCGAGCTCCAGGAACGCCTCGTACATCTGGCGCTCGGCGAGCCCGTTGTCAAAAGGCGTGATCGGGATGTCACCGCAATCCGTGATCTTCGCCCACGACTGGTACGGGTTGATGCCTGCGCGCGTATTGTAGCTTGTGCCGGACATTTGGCGTGCGCTGGCGGCGCGGATGGCGCGGGGCCCGAACCGGGCGCCGGGTCGGTAGCTTACGGCTGTGTCGAAGGGCGCACCGATGACTGCAATGTCGTAGCGCTCTGAGGGCTCGACTAGGCACTTGACTGGGGGGAGATGGGCGAAGCTGGCGATGCCAGAGAAGGACCACTGTAAATTTATTCATGTTAGTTATATGCAATTGGAGTTGGTGGTGATATTGTGTGCATTGATTGAGTTTTGAACATACCTCTTGATCCCACTTCTTGAGCAATTCTGCGCGCTCGTGCTCGGGGACTACCTCACTATCTCCATGGTGGGCACACGATACCGCGGTACCGGCTAGCGCCAGGACGCTCAACAAGGACTTCAAGGCAGGCATTGCTGTTAAAGATGATTGTAAAGCTCAATGTTAGAAGAAAAGAAAAGGAAGGGAGTAACACCGGGGAAAAGCGAATATATAGAATCACGTTATTAAATTTCCTTTTAAAATCCGAGAATCTTCTCCGCGGAACTTCCTAAACCAGAGAGCTTTATCTAAGAAGGAAAGACGAGCAGATAGCGGGGTCTCTCCGCCCGCCAATAATCGGCAGTGGAACCGCGGAGTCGTGCAGACCTTCCCTTCTTGGCCTTTACTTCTACAACTTCTTCGTGCTTTTTTATCCTAAGCTACACGGAATGCCATGCGTCGCGTGGTAGTTACAGGTCTAGGTGCTGTGACACCTCTAGGTGTTGGTAAGTTCCAAATGTATCTTGTCAATTTTGTCTGTTCTTTTTTCTTTTTCTCTTTTCTTTGTTTTTGCCCTTGTTGTACGCAAAGCAGTCCATGACAATGCAAACCAAAATTGCATTGCCAGTGGATGGAGCCAGTATTTCGTTTCTCCCGATTCCCTTCGGAGTGTCTGAAGAGATCCCCTAGCCCTGCCCCGGACTGGCGCGCGAGAGACAAAAATTTGGCGGGAGCGTCTCCACTACACGCCGGAAGGGGAAGGTCTTGACAGCCAATGACGGAACCTCAACTACTGGGCTCGGCGGACTTGAGACCGCATATTTGGCATGGATGCTACTGTAAACAGATGATTTGATCTATTCAGATGGATACTTGCAATTGCCTGGGATTGTGGTTGTCGTCTTTCTGATTGTTACAGGCGGAGGAGCTATGAGCTAACCTGTCTATGCTGTAGGTGTTCGGCAGACGTGGAAACGCTTGCTGGATGGCCATTGTGGTATCGTGAATGTGAATCATCGCGATGAGCGCTTTGCGGAGCAGCCTTGTCAGATTGCTGCTGTTGTGCCCCAGGGAAGCCGGGAAAATGGCGGATGGACTGCTTCGGAGTGGTTGAGTCGGGGTGTGAGTGTCAAAATACAAGAAATACTTGGCTTCTGATCCCGTATGCTGATTTGTATGCGGTTGCCTTTTTTTAGGAAGAGCGAAAAATGGCCATGTTTGCACAGTACGCCATGGCGGCGACAGAAGAGGCCCTTGAAGATGCGGGCTGGAAGCCGACTGAGTTTGAGCAGAGGGAAGCTACAGTAAGAACCTCCTAGAGAGCAAGTAGGGACTGGAATGGTGTTGACCTGGGCCTAGGGAGTTTGTCTTGGATCTGGAATTGGCAACTTCGATGAAATGTACAACACGGTCGTCGCATATGAAAAGGGTGTAGGTTTGCCACTGCTGCAAAAGGACTCTGGGGCTTTCCACTGACTGCTAATATCAGGGATATAAAAAAGTGAACCCGCTTTTCGTGCCAAAGTTGTTGATCAACCTTGGCGCTGGGCACATTTCAATGAGATATGGATTTATGGTATGCTCTGAGTCAACAACCAACCGCAGCTCAAGTCTTGCTAACGAGCCAAGGGACCAAATCACGCCGCGACAACCGCTTGCACGACGGGTGCCCACTCAATCGGCGATGCTGCGAGGTTCATTGCCTGCGGTGATGCCGACTTGATGGTTGCCGGTGGAGCCGAATCGTGCATCCATCCTCTTGCCATCGGTGGTTTTGCTCGTGCTCGGAGCCTAGCCACCGATTTTAACGATAATCCGGAGGAGGCATCCCGGCCATTCGATGCTGATCGCAAAGGATTTGTTGTCGGCGAAGGGGCCGGTGTGCTCATTCTAGAGGTACGTTTTCGGTGTATCCATAGCCATATATTCGACTTGCTAAATAGAAATCCCGCTAGGAGCTGGAACACGCTCGTGCACGAGGTGCACGGATCTATGCTGAGCTTAGAGGATATGGCTGCTCGAGCGATGCACACCATATGACCGCGCCAAAAGAAAATGGCGAGGGTGCATTCATGGCAATGAAGAAGGCTCTCAAGCAAGCCCAGTTGCCTCCCTCTGCAGTTGATTATGTCAATGCACATGCAACATCGACCATTGTCGGAGATGCAGCTGAGAATGCAGCCATCAAGGCCCTTCTTTTAGGCCCAGATGGCAAGCAAAAGGCAGAAGACGTGAACATCAGCAGTACCAAGGGCGCTGTTGGTCATCTTCTCGGCGGCGCTGGCGCCATCGAAGCGGTATTCAGCACTCTTGCTATTCGAGATGTGAGTAATGCCTGGACTAGTGAAACTTTGCTGGATTCTAAACTGACTGAATCAGAACGTCATGCCGCCTACTATAAACCTCAATCGACTTGCTGATGGATTTGACTGCAACTATGCTCCGAAACATGCCCAGCCAAGGCAAATCAATGTGGCTTTGACGAACAGCTTTGGGTTTGGAGGGACCAATAGCAGTCTGTGCTTTGCAAGACACAAAGAATGATTCAGAGGGGACCCCGGAGCTTTAAATGTACGATATTGTAATCTAGAAGAAGTATGGTGGATGTTGTAATTCTCAAACGAGTGATCATTCAATGATTTCCCTTTGTGTTTCAAGTTTGATCTCAATTGGCTAACTCGAGATCCAAATATAGAATACAGCTTTCAAATGTTGGAACAATAGGCGATGTCATCCAAGGATACTGACTAGCTCATATTATAAACTACTATGTAGTGGTATAGTGGACCCCTATTAGTGTTTCGTAAGAGGCGTGCAGTCACTTCGCGCCTTGGTCCCTCCGATATTGAATGATGTGACACGTGACTTTATCCAAATGCGGAGAGCCCGTCCCTTCCATCTTAAGATTCACATAAGATCAAAAAGCCCCCTAACAATATCCACCCCGACAATCCAAAATCTACCGGAAATAACATCGTGCGAAATACTGTGTCTGGAACATTGTGAATTTGTGCACATCATGGCGACGAACGGCGACTCCGGTCGAGGTAAGCGCATCCGCTTTGTGGTCGTGACAAAGGAACACCTCGTGCCTTGAACTTCAGACCAGACGGTCGCAGATACATTCAAGGACCATGGACTAATATATGGTCTTTGAAATATAGCATCCGGAAGCTTGGTGGATGCGTCGGGCTACAAATTTACCGAGAAGGATACGAAGCCCGGCAAGATGAAGGTCAAAAAGACCTCCAAGGCCTCGACCAAGAAGAAAGCAGACGGTACAATCTGATCGGAGACAAATGCTCCTGGTGATTTGAACTGACAGAATGCCGCTTCAGATACCAAGGACGGAGTCGCTGACTCTTCACCCACCTCGCCTCTGCCCAAGTTAGATAACAAGCTCGCAACTACTTTCCCGACTGGCAAACCGCGCGACGAAGACGTTCTTGAGACTGTCATTTGCAAGCATTGCAAGCGCCCTATCCTAAAATCAACCGCCCCAGACCATATCCGTGGCTGTCTAAGAGCTAAACAAGAGAAAGCGCGCAAGAAGAAGGAAGCTCGTGACGCCGCGAACAGGGCCAAGGTTTCAGACGGGAAGGACGACGACGATGTCCGTGATAAGCCAGATATTGGCGACGACTCTATGAAGGGACAAAAGAGTGCGAAGAAGAGTGCGATCAAGGGTACCGACGACGGAAATAAGAAGGGCAAGAAGCGAAAGGCCGACGAGGACGATAACAAGGAGCCCAAGAAGAAGAAAAAGAAGGACGAACCTAAGGCCAAGACCGCGAAGCCTAAGGGTCCTGTCGACGTTGAGAAGCAGTGTGGTGTGAGTTTGCCTAATGGGGCGCAGTGCGCTCGCTCTCTCACCTGCAAGAGTCATTCGATGGGTGCCAAACGTTCCGTCCCTGGTCGGTCTCTTCCGTACGACATGCTGCTTCAGCAGTATCAGAAAAAGAATCAGGCTCGTCAACAAAGTATGTCCCCTCAATCTCGTTCAAAGAAAACCCCCAAGAAACCCCCCAGGAAGCCTCAAAGGAAGCCTATAAAAATGCCTCCAAAGAAGATCTCCTAGGGGCTCCTCCCCCTCCGACCTTGAAATTTTGACTCGGATGATTGGCTATTTACTCACATTTTTTTTTGTACAGAGGCTGCGATCGATGCGAATGCTCCGCTGCAAGACGAAGTTGATACAAATGGTCCGGTTGATTCAGACGAAGAGAGAGATACTGTCATGGCCGCTATTGCCCGCTCCAACCCTCGACCTCTCGCCGAACACACCCTCATCACATCCAGCACAAAATACCGATATGTTCGCATCAAAGAACAAATGCTACACGCGATGGGTGGACGAGGTGGTGGTCTTTTCTCTACCGACGACAGCCAGCCCTTGTTTGGCGGAAGCCTCTTCCAGCCATTTGACCCCGAGATGGATGATTCATCCCCTATGATCCCAAATGCTGACTCCGGCGATGGCACTGTCTCTATTGACGGTTCGAGAAAGACCTCAGTGCAAGGTATGCGAAAAACACCCATCGCTGCTGCATCTTGAACAGCAAGCACCAAATGATGATTTGACGACTTTCCCCGCCCTCTTCCAACGTTTTCATTCTATATCATACCACGCGATTCCCCGATGCAGTGCTGGCGTTCCAGGGAGCAAGGATCTGTGCATACCATATTTTTTATTCGTTATTTGTTACCTTCAGTTCCCACGACCACAAACCTTGTATGAACAATGGTTGGACCTTTCTTTTTATTCGGTTATAACATGATACCCCGGTTGCTGGCGTGATAAATTCGCAAATAGTAACCTCAATGAACAATTTATATTCAATTTGAGCTTACTTGAGAACTTTTGGAAGTAGAATGTAGTCCGCATAGTACGACTTGATATGGCGTGGGGATATGATTATGTGATATTTAGGCCTGAGGTGTCGACAGGCATCTATTCCAGCTCCGTTGCGTCAATTCTTTGAGACACGATACTCGCAATCCGCAATACAAGCCTGCTTTTAATGCTCATTTGAGCTCTACTATACCTCGACACCTTTTGCAAATCATATAATCGTCGTGACTGTGTGTTGCGCGTGCCGGTCACTTACCTTCCTAACTCTGGTTGAGCTTCCTCGTGCTCCCATCTCTGACTCCAACTTCCGTCGTCGCGGTCCTGGGATTGCCGTAAACCGAGTTGCAGCCAGGCGATCTACTACACCTCATATCTGCTTAATATTTCTCAGCTCGCCATGAGTCACTCCGTTCCCGACCTCGACGCGATAGGCATCAAAGCCGAACACGACCTCGCGGACCAATTCCGTCGCGAAGTCGCTCAACTCCTCGGACGCACCAACCTCAATTTCCCCGGCGCACAACCTGTCAGCTTCTCTGCAAAACACTTAATGGAGCTTCAAAAAGAAGATTACTATGTTTGTGAGAAGACAGACGGCATCCGGTGCCTGATGTATTTTGCGCGCGGCGATCCAGAGTCCGAGTCACCGGAGATTCACTACTTGATTGATCGCAAGAACGACTACCGATTCGTGCCAGGCCTACATTTCCCTCTTCCAAACGACGAAACCTTCCAATCCTACCACGTCGATACATTGGTGGACGGCGAGCTGGTTAACGACATATACGAGGACGGATCCCAACAGCTCAAATACCTAGTCTTCGACTGCCTCGTGCTAGACGGACAGAGTCTGATGCACCGAACACTCGATAAAAGACTCGCCTATTTCAAAGAAAAGGTGCTGAAACCATACAATGCGATGTACCGCAAGTTCCCCGACGAAAAAAAGCACCGCGCTTTCGCCGTCGAAGACAAATCCACACAAGTCAGCTACGGCATTGAGATGATGTTCCGCGAGATTATCCCGGCCGTCAAACAAATTCACGGAAACGATGGCCTGATCTTCACTTGTCGAAGCACACCCTATCGCATTGGCACAGACGAGCACATTCTCAAGTGGAAGCCCCCCGCCGAAAATACCATCGATTTCCGCGTGCGCCTCGAGTTCCCCATCCTTGAGCCTGATACAGATGACGAAGCAGAAGGTATCTCAGAACCTTACGTCGATTACGACGCTATCCCAATATTCCATCTCTTCGCCATGCTGAACGCGGGCGAATACCGCCATTTCGCCGAGATGTATGTTACGCCCGCGGAATGGGAGGATCTGAAAGCCATGCGTGTCCCGTTAGATGATGCCATTGTCGAATGTTACAAGGATGAGAATGCACGTTGGCGCTTCCATCGCCTACGTGACGATAAGCTTGACGCCAATCATATCTCGACTGTTGAGAAGGTTTTGGAGAGTATCGAGGACCGGGTCACTGAGGATGACCTTATTCGTTTGGCGCCTGTTATCAAGACTGCTTGGAAGAAGCGGCAGGCGGGTGGTTCAGAAGGTGGTCGGGGCATGCCATCAATGAATGGCGGCGGTATGAAGCGGAAATTTGAAGAATAATGAATTAAAAACAAGAAAGACTTACACCTCATGCTTTCCTCCACCTCGTTCACTTTTGATCATTTGCAAGGAGTCTGGCGTTGGACTTGTTCTAAAATATTTTTATCTGTTCTCGGTGGAATTCATCTAATACATAGGCTGCCAAGGCGGTTGAATTCAAAAGATAAGTATCATATTAGTCTGTTCCAGACATTTCATTATTTGAACCCATACAAAGTCCCTGCTATTTTATCTCGTTGATTCATCTCACCGGCAGCACTTGAGTATCACTCGACTACCTACTAGGTATCTAGCTAAGGTTCGGGTGCTTGTTTAGGCCATATTGTATTCCATATCAAATTCTACCAGCAGAAAGGACCATTTTATCCCAGATTTAAGCAAAATACAGAAACCCAGACCCACTATCTCGTCAATGTAAATGGATTCAGCACCAAAATTAAATGACCTTGACAAAAGCATGGGTATTATGGGAAATGCGCGATTTTAAACGTACTATTATTCTGCCTGTTCACTCTATGTCATTCAGACTCACCAATTATTATCTTAGATCGACAAGAATAAGCCTGGATAGTATGGAAAGAACTGGCAGAATAATCATGCATTTATAGTCGCGCGTTTCCTATGATAATAATGGCTTTGTCAATGGTAGTTATTTCTGGTACTGACTTACTTTATATCAGCTTTGTATTCATATCTTTCATAGACAAGAACAAGTCTAAATGACATAGAGTAGAGTGGTAGAATAATGATACACTTAAAATCGCGCGGTTTCTAGAATAATGATAGCTTCATGAATGGTATCTGTTTTCATTAAAATTTCTTAGTGCATGTTTCAATGTTTATGGGTCATAATATGCATGCACAATTGATGTGTAGTACTAACATTTGAACCAGCTGGATTACATAGAAAACACAATACATGTATGCATACATGCGTATCTCATCAATGATTGATTGCTTCTTTCCCTTAGTATCGGGCTGGCTTAGGAAGTAGACATCACGAACTTCCTCTCAGATTTAAATACACTGATGATTCTTGCCTATAGCATCAACATTGAAGCTGGCTCAGCACTCAAGATACATTATATATATCAATACATATATGTACATATATAGACAGCACGAACTTCCTCCAGATGCACGGTCTCGGACTTGGTAGGTAATATGTCTTCGATCAATCCTACTGCTTTTTGCCAAGGTAAATATATCGCTTCTTGCCCTTAGCATTCAAATGTTACACTGGCTTGCATAGGAAGTGGACATCATAAACTTTCTCTCAGATTTATCGTCTCTGCTGGATTGATGGCACTGCCATTTGCCAAGGTAAATATGTCGACTGGTTATTATTGATGCTTCTTGCCCTTCAAACACATCAAGCTGGCTCACGAAGTGATCTGGATATCACGAATCTCCTCTCAAGTGCTCACATGTGCAGATTTGCTCTGGATACATTACATATGCCACCAGTTGACTACTATTTACCAAGGCAAATATATCACATCGCTTCTCGGCCTTAAGCATCGGGCTGGCCCAGGAAGGAGACGTCACCAACTTCCTCAACGCTCTCGAATTCGCTACTGTCGACGGCACTGCGATTTGCCAGGGCAAATATATAATTGATATCACTTCTTGCCCTTAGCATCGAGCTGGCTCAGGAAGTGGACATCAGAAACTTCCTCTCACATGGATTTGCTGATATGTCTTTGATGCATCATGCTACTGCCATTTTCTAAGGCAAATTATCAAGAAGCGGCGGAAAAGGATATCCATTAGTCAATAGTGAAATTGGACCGGTCGAAAATACGATCGTTTGGTGTTCATCATATGAGTGCCGAATAGCGAGCTCATTTCTTTGAACGCGGATGTAAGTACGCTGCCCAGTTGGAGTGCTGTTTCATAAACCTACTCACGGCCGCACTCATTGGCATTGTTCTACTGTCTGAGATATGCTGATAACCTTGTTACAATAAACAGAATGTCGGCGTTTACGATCGATTTGATACGACAGGAGTCGACGGCGTTCCTTTCAGAGAAGGTGCCGATCACAACAACTGGGATGAGGTCGCACCTGTTCTTCGACTTGATCAAATGCCAAGTCTCGCTACAGTGAAGATGACCCTGGATCCAGTCAAGAATGTGCTGCGCAAAGCAGAGAATTACGATACGTGGAAGAGGGTTTAAAGCCGAAACCAACCTCAAGCTCTGCGGGCTCGACGGTCTTATCCATTACGATCTACCAAGACCAAATCGGAGCAGCCCACACTCACAAAAATGGTTCAATGCATCAAATGTCATCGGCGAGTGGTTGATTGCGAACATCCGCACTGAGATACACGACAGAATCCAAACAAGATGCACTCTTTCGTTTACAGACGTTATTTAGAAGGCGATCTATCAAGAGCTACACGGATTGCAATTAGCAAGTATATCGGGGGAGACTATCACCGGTGAACTCAAGACCCGTGTCCCCGCACAGGCTGCTAAGCGAGAGGCTCGGGAAAGATAAAAGAAGGTAGACATCCATCAGATTATTTTGGATTCAAGCGTTTGATAAATCGTCAATTGCACCTCCGACACCACCACCAAAACCACCAAAGAACGTCAATTTAAGATACGATTCAATGATCAAAGCGTACAATGAACGTCAATCTACACCGTCAAGAACAACTGAAACAAGCGTTCCTCCTGCACCAAAGCCTTCAAGACATCTATTGTGTATTTTTGAGTGGGCTTTGGTAAGAAGAGATATTGGGGATTGGAAAGGAAGCAGGCCAGAAACAGATGGTAACCTTCCCGAGTCATCGACCGACGGAGTCCGAGGTCCACGCAATTAGCTGCAGCACGATCCTTGCTGACACAAGGTACGGCGTGTACGGAGATCTACTAGGAGCGAGCTGCCATACCTATTTTCATAATCAAATTCCAATGGCAAAATTGTTTATTACATCATACATGGATTACATAACCATTTGATCCTGTCTCTTCGAATATTCAATGTTATCTCAACTTTTCAAGTGCTTGGTAAAATACTTAGTGCTGGCCAACGTGTTTCCGCTTAACCCGAGTTGAGCAAATATCTTCACCAAGCTGGCTTAGGAAGTAGGTTTAACGAACTACTAGATGTCCTCTCCTTCCTAAGCATCAGGCTGGCCCAGGAAGTGAACGTCACAAACTTCTTCTCGGATTCTCTGATACGTCTTTGATGCCACTGACATTTGCCAAGGCAAATCTATCACCTCACAGATCGTGATCTGGATAACCTCCAGCCACAACCTCCAGCCACAACCTCCAGCCACAACCTCTGCTGGGCATGCTGGGCATGGCTATAGTCTTATAAAAGTCTGACATGCATAAGTAAGTCTGAATGGCATGGCGTGGATGAGTTGAGTCAAAATAATAATACATTCAGAATCGCGCGTTTCCTATAATAACCATAGCTTTATTAGTAGTATTTACTTTTGTTGTTGATCTTTTTTACATCATCTTTTTAATCTTGAATGAATAAGAATATTTCTAGATAGAATGGCGTAGATGAGTAGAGTCAGAATAATAACACATATAGAATCGCACGTTTCCTATAATAACAACGGTTTTTAATGGCATTTATTTTCGGTATTAATCTTCTATAAATCGCCATCATCTTCATATACAGCTTAGACGGATAGGAATGAGTCTGAATGACTCAGAGTGAACCGGCAGAATAATAATACATTTAAAATCGCGCGTTTCCCATACTACGGATGCTTTTGTCAAGGCCATTCAATTTTGGTGCTGAATCCATTTACATTCGTTCATTCGTACCGTCGATTTAAATTTCCATATATTCCAAGGTTTCCTAGAGCTGGGAAAACACAAAAGTTATGTCAGGCTCAAATATTAACTACATAGTAACTAGTTAAATACCTAGGTTCATTTCAAAATGTTCATCTCTCCGTATAGACAGGTATGTAAATGTGTTACTTTTGATAGAGAACTTTGAAAGAAGATAGAAAGCTATAATAAACAAAGTACTAAAAGTCATAGTCAAAGAAGACGTCTCAGTTATGTGTGCATATCGTACAGAGGCTATGTATTAAATCGCTACCCGTGGACCCTTGGTATAGATTCTTCAAACCCTTATGCCCCTTCACATCTTGGAAATTTTGGGTGGATGTCAATAAGAAAATTTTACAGTGTCAACTGGAGGAAGATCTGGCTGGCAAGCAGTGGAAGTACTCGAATCACAAGTAAGGTTCTGCATAGAAGCACATAGCCTTTCTCCCCAAAAGTGTCATTCCTAGAGCCTCCGGTTGATCTCCTTGAAAGAGTGAGGTATCACTGAGTCGCCTATGCCCCCCCCCTTTTTTTTTTCCGGCGTAATTTGAGGCTGAGGTTTTTTTTTACCTCCATCGACGCCTCAAATCTTGAACTGGGTGTGACTCGTGACTCGTGAGGTACCAGTTCTGGTGTGGGGCACTCGCAAGCTTGGCTTGGTTCGGCAGGTATTCCCTGAAAAAAACACATGGTGTAAGTGGGGTAGCTGGGTCGTATCCACTATGCTGTAGTTGGTTAGTGCCCGCTTGCCATGTCAAATGTGTGACAAGTGCTTACGCTCACGAACAGATTACTCAGATGAGTAAACAGATAACGTGCTGAATTCAAGCTTCATGTTCCCTGGGAGTTCTTTCCAAAAATCAAAATCGACAGTTTCATTTCATAAAATGATTCGGATGTCCGGATACTCCGGTCTACCGGCATCCGGATATAGATCGGGGATTTATGTCATTTTGTTCTGGGTAAATATGCCGATGCCCCACGGACCCATCGGTCATGCCGGAGCTGCCGAAAAGATCAGGAACATGAAACTTTTTCCGAGGTCATTTACAAGCAGTATGGAGTATTTGCTTCGTATTATACCATATTTGAACTTGTCAGGCTTACGGTGTTTTCGATAGATCATTCAAAATAAACAAACAATACGCTGACATGGCCGCCTGAAAAGGCACAGCCCAACTGATAAACTGTGATCATCATTACTGGACAAGGATATTTAGCCGATGCAGTGTGACTTGGCCAACAGAGCCGACTGATTCAGGTCTATTCAAGGCTTTTTTTTGTCTCGGTACGAGGCTTCCATGGTATTTCTCTGCTTCCCGTACACGAAATTGGTCTTTTTCAAGGGTAAAATTTCCACTATATTTTACTTTCGTCGGTTAGAAATAAGCAAAAGCATAATAGAAAGCAACGTACATCTATAAATATAGGTACTTAGCCTGCGCATTTCCCCGCGTTTCTTGTTCAAGCCTTTTTTTTTCGGTGCCTGTCGAGCTCACTCACACCATGATCTCCCCGGTCCGTCTACTCCCTCTCATTGGGAGTCTGCTCTCAGTCGTCTCCGGAAAACCGACGTCCAAGACATCGTCCGAGGTTCTTCTTCCTAGCGAAGATCCTTTCTACAGCGCCCCCAATGGCTATGAAAACAAAGTCCCCGGAAGCGTTCTACGCATACGTTCCGCTCCCGGCAATCTAACAACCTTGGTCAATGCCTCCGCAGCATACAACATTGTCTACCGCACCACAGACAGCAGATACAACCCCTCATGGGCCGTTACCACCGTCTTTGTGCCTCTCAATCCTCGTCGCGAAAAGACCTCGTCGTTGCTCTCATATCAAATCGCCTATGATTCCCACGACCTCGACGCTAGCCCCAGCTATGCCATGTATTCTTCGCCTCCCACGGATGTCATCCTCGCTCTGGAAGAGGGCTGGTACGTCAACGTCCCCGACTACGAAGGTCCTCTTGCCTCCTTCACTGCCGGCGTGCAGTCCGGCCACGCCACTCTCGACTCCATCCGCAGCATCCTGTACGCCGAAGACGCCCGCTTGGACTTGGAGACTGAGTCTTCTCTCATCGCTCTCTGGGGATACTCCGGCGGTGCTCTTGCCAGTGAGTGGGCCACCGAGCTGCAGGTCCAATACGCCCCCGAGCTCACTATTGCCGGTGCCGCCCTGGGCGGTCTCACGCCTAACATCACCAGTGTCATGGACACCGTCAGCGGCGGGTACAGTGCTGGTCTTATCCCCGAGGCTATTCTCGGCATTGCCAGCCAATACCCGGCTACCTACAAGTACCTGGTTGGTCAGTTGAACGCTGAGGGCAAGTACAACCGCACTACCTTCCTCGCCGCGGCTAAAATGACTCTGACCGAGGCGTCCGAGTTCTTTGTTCTGGAGGATGTCTTTGACTACTTTGTTGATGGCGAGGCTACCTTCAAGGCGGCTGTTGTCCAGCACGCGCTGAACCGCGATGGATACATGGGATACCACGGTGTGCCTCAGACTCCGATCTATGCGTACAAGGCCATCAATGATGAGGTTAGCCCTATCGCGGATACCGATGCGCTGGTGGAGAGATACTGTGGTGTTGGAGTCAACATCCTGTATGAGCGCAACACTATTGGTGGACACTCTGCTGAGGCTCTCAACGGTCATGCGAGTGCCTTGGCCTTCGTCGCTGCCGTTCTCGGTGGCACTTACAGCAAGACATATGAGACCACTGGATGCACGATCAAGAACGTTACTATTGATCTTAGCAGCTCCCCACTATGAGTTGTTGTTTGATTCATCAACGATGAATGGGATTCGGCTTTGTACATTGAGCCATCGCTGGACGAGAAATGTCAGATGGATATCGAGTGTATATACTTTGTATAATTAATTGAGATGGAATATACAGCTAATTATTCATTAATCTCTACGGGATACCTTTATTTCCTTTCTCCTTCTTGATATATTATACATGTAGATAAGAACAAGCAAAACCAACATGGAAGTTACAGAAACATCCATATGTCTTTGTTGCATCCAGGACTCGACCTAGGCTGAGTCCTTCAGGACCCTTCAAGCCTACATGCATTCATAACCTTAGAATGATTATCTGTCTAGCTTAGGATGATTAATGGGACAGATTTTTGAAGCCACCACATGAGCGTGTCTCCAAATTATGTGATACTAGTTGATAAAATAGTCTCATTCTTCGCATGAAACGAAAGAATTACAAGCTGTAACAATACAACGAGCTAGTAGAACAGAGGCTGGTGGTACAAGCTCTTAGATTGCATACATGGTGGTTTTTGTATACAACGATCTTACTCCACCAATACCGTTTATTTTTATCTAAAAAGACAGAAACAGGCAATTTCAAGCTCAATAATTAATCTATCAGAGTTGAAAAAAATCAATTATATTTCTGGGGTGGTGATGAAGTAATTTGTGTCATATGGCAAAAGTTAGGATGAAAGCAAAAGTACCGCGCGTTGCCTTAGAATCCTAGTTAGGATAACAAGAGTTGGGATGAAAGCAAAAGTACCGCGCGCTGCCTTAGAATTCTAGTTAGGATAACAAGAGTTGGGATGAAAGCAAAAATACCGCGCGTTGCCTTAAAATTCTAGTTAGGATAACAAGAGTTGGGATGAAAGCAAAAGTACCGCGCGCTGCCTTAGAATCCTAGTTAGGATAACAAGAGTTGGGATGAAAGCAAAAGTACCGCGCGCTGCCTTAGAATTCTAGTTAGGATAACAAGAGTTGGGATGAAAGCAAAAATACCGCGCGTTGCCTTAAAATTCTAGTTAGGATAACAAGAGTTAGGATGAAAGCAAAAATACCGTGTGTTGCCTTAGAATTCTTTATAGAGTGGTAAAAGTTAGGATAAAACCAAACATTGAAAATACACGCTATAATATATGGATAGGAGTTTATATGACATGCGAATGGATATATAATCGAAGTAGGACAAAGGTACTATAAGTGTAGATGTTCATAGCTATTGATGTCTATGTCACTCAACTATGTTTCTATATTTTCAAATGTTGTTGGTTAAACATTGAACAACATTGAATTGATTGATAGCTTGCACATATGGCATTTTGGACTTTATATACGCAGACAACTTCAATGTTATGTACGACTTCTAATAATAAAAAAATTCCTAAGTATATACCAGTAAACATTCGTTGAATGTTTAAAAGACCTTGAACATTGAATAGTGGTAAGTACATTGATGTATTTCATTGATTAAGCTGGACTAGCATTGAAATCATTTGTGGTAGATGCAAGTCTAACAAGGCCCTGTTCCAAGATATAGTATGCATGTGAGGACAGAGTACTCGAAAGACTGCGTGATAATAATCAGCTTTTTGTATCATAATAACATTCTATGAAAGTCACCGTAGATTCAATGTTCATACCACGGAGGAAAATATTTCCTGTGGTATGACTCCACTTGTCGCATGATATCCTATCACATAGTAGTGTATAATTTGAAACCACCAGGAAGCGCCACCTGGAATAGACCCTGCGGATCATATTTCTTGCTCACAGCCTGGAGATGCTTTTTGCTCTCATATCCATACCCATCAATCACGGGTTGCCCGGCACCGGCATAATTGTAATATTGATAAGCTCGATAGACACCAGCTTCCTTAGTGGCGGCCTCGATATTGGCAATGAGTTTCCTTGCTGCAAGATCGACTTGCTGGCTGTCTGAAGTGTCGGTATAGTAAGCAGTTATGAGAGCGATGCCCAGTCTTTCATCTACCGGGTCCAGGCCCAGGCTGTTCACACGGTTCAGGGCTGGAGTTGGTTGAAGAGTTAGATACCAGTTCATTGCGGGGATACTGGAGACTCCTGCAACTGATTCATTGTAGATTTTGTAGATCGTCGAGTAGATATTCGGGGTGTGTGCAAATGTCGTGGTATACCAGGCTTGTCTGCGATCGGAACATTTAGCTTTTTCTTCCTTTTATGCTTATAGATAAAGCCGTGTTCTTATACTGGCACGGGATTCTCTTACCTTCTGTTAGATGACTGGAAGCTATCTGTTTCAGCTGCAAATGACTCCATCGTGTCGATGCGCAGAGCATTCGAAATAGAAGTAGCATTGTTTGCCAGTCCATCAAAAGCAGCAGGATAAGGCACTGGCTTGGTATATGCCAGCCCATTGCTAATCGATCCGCCAATTCCAGATGACCAGCCGTAACTCTGTATCATAGCTGCATGCGGATCATACGGCCTAGCACCCATGAACTTCGAGAACGCCGTTGTCTGTGCAGCCCATTGATCGGTCGCATACGCGATGAAGCCTCCCCAGAACTTCCCAAGTGGATAGGTGCTCATTGTATACTTGGTGACAATTCCAAAATTATTCCCGCCGCCCTTCAGCGCCAGGTATAGATCAGGATATGAAGTCTCATTCACATTGACAATCTGGCCACTGGCCAGGACAATCTCATATTCGATAATATTGTCACATCCCCAGCCCAGAATCGGGCCTAGGTAACTGAGTCCGCCTCCAAGGAGGTATCCCCCGACTCCAACATCTGAGTCTCTTCCTCCGGTGACAGTCACATTGTAAGGATCGAGTATCTCCCAAACTTTCCGCCACTTCCCTCCCGGACCAAGATCGACTGTTTTGTGATCCGTACTGAGCTTGACTTCGTTCATGAGACTCAGGTCTAGAGTCACGCCTTTCTCAATGTTGGCTGCGCCGGCGTATGGCGTGTGTCCTCCTCCACGCACGGCAAACTGAACCCCGGTATCGAAAAATGAGTGGAGAATTTTGATAGCCGTTGACACTTCAAGAGAGTTGGTAGGCTTGATAACACATGATGGCTCAAGCTCTTGCTCTTGTTTGCTGAAATATGATGCCAAAGAGTCGGTGTAGTTTGTTGACCCGGGAAAGTAAACTGCAGTGGGCAACTTTGTGCAGAGTGTATCACAAGCTGTCCAGGTCGCGTTTGTATATGATTGCGCTGTGTTTGCGAGGACTAAGCAAAGTATGGGGGACCTCCAGGGGACCATGGTGAACAAACAAAGAAAACTGAAGGGTAAACATGAACCACGCAGTGGAACACGGGGAAGTTCCTTATATGAATATCTTCCAGAATAGGAACTTAATTACTCAATATTTTGCATCCTTAAACTGGTCTTAGTCTCAGCCACTAAAAGGTTATTTAAAAGAAATTTCCAGGGTTTAGCGACGATCTTTTGTCCCCCACGTGGGTTAAACGAAGGATTGTAAGCACAGATGTACCAGGTACTTGTTATACCCGAGACATCCCCCCTTGAATGCATATTCAGACAAGTATCTAGTACATTCCTTCAAGATAAAGTTCTCTACGTACGTGGCAAAGAAGGAAGGATTCGTTTCAAGTCCACGCGAACGCTTAGACGCATCCGAGGTTAGATCCAATTTAAATTGGCAGCCATTGGTTCGCAAAGGCTACCAGGCACAAACTAAGTAAGAACCACTATCAAAGAATACTACCATGCGGAAAATATTTTCAATTTCGGCAATAATATTAGAAGAAACTTGCTTATGGCAGGGTTTCGACCCAAAAAAAAAAAATCAAACAGTTGCATAAATTACTGTCTCACATTTCGAGGACTAAGCACCATCCTGATATCCTCACCTTCCGCGGGCGATACAACACCGGGTATAGGCTTGGAATAATCGGCTCGAGGAAATGATGCCTTCGTAGGGCCTTTGCCGCTATCCGTGGCCCCCAATCCCAAATCTTGATCCCGGTTCTCTACACCAATATCGTAACGGCTAAGCAACAATGCTACGACGGGGTAGATGGCCCCTCGGGCGTAAAATCGTCCGGGACAAAGTGTGCTTCCACCACCGAAGGGGCGGAAACTGAGACTGGATTTCAGTTGCTTGTTTTGTGAAAAACGGTCTGCTTGGATTTCCTCGGGATTGGGGCCCCAGGATTCAGGATTGAGATGTAATTGGCGATAAGAGGCCTGGAAATACATATATTTGTTAGTGAATTCCATCGTGTGCGCATCCATTGTTCAAACTTTTTTGTTTTCACTCACCAGCATCTTGTCTCCCTTTCGAAGAGTAGTCCCGCCGATGCAGATGTCCTCCATCACGTCTCGCAAGATTGGGGAGCTTGTCGTGGTACGGAGCACTTCGGACAATAGAGAGTCGAGAAGAGGGCAATTCTTTATAAGATAGTTGTGATCGATCTCGTCGCCTTGGATGGCTGGTAGGATTTCCGCGCGTATAATCTCTAGATCGGTCGGGTTGTATACTAGGTGGGCGATTAACCAGAATGCGGACTTGTACATGTTTCCCACAATTCTTTCGGCGGTTTATTAGCATAAGCATAAACAAGGATGGTTGATTGGCCACTTACGCCCAAGTATGGAGCGTCAATACTCGAGCAAGCTCGTCAGTGGTCAGATTCGACTCTCGCATGTTATCCTCCAAGGCAATGGTCCAAGGTGCTGCGCCCGGTCGCTCACAACGAGGCAATGAAAAATACTTTTCAAACATATCCGTCATCTCGCCCTTTGCTTTGAGCATATCGCGGCTCAAAACCCCCGGCAGCTGAAACAGAAACTTCCAGTTGACTCTTTCCCAGAGCATAAACCAGTGCACAAAATCTGGCTTGATCTTCCAAATGGCAGGGCCATAGAAAACTTCAAGAACATTGGTGATGAGCGCATCGATACACAGCTCCTCGAGAGAGACAATCTTTGCGCCATCTTTCTCACCCAGAAGAGCCGGATGGAGAATATCACGCTCAAAATCAAACGCGCGACAGACTAGAGGTAGAGTGTTTTGGCTCAGGAATCCATCAAGCATAACCCCAGGTGCTAGATGATAACGAAGGGAATCTATCATCATCCCGATCGGAGCTAAAGGTCGAGGCTGCTGCTGATTATAAGATGCGGATTTGTTGACTGCGAAAAGCTTGTCGAGCCCTTTGGGGCTTATCCCCACCCCGGCATGGATATCTCGAACAATGATTTCATTTGAGAGAGCTGTTTCGTTTCTGTAGGTTTCGGCGATGTGTTTAGGATCGATGAGAATGTAGATTTTGACTCCACCCGCAATGATGGCGAACGGTCGCTTTGAACCTCCAAATCTTTCACTTTGTGATTGGTTAGTTTTTTTTTGGAGCTACAGGGGTTTCAGGGGGGAAAATTGAAAGTATCTAACATTATGCGGGCGAGCGACCCGTTGAAGTCAAGTGCGAGCGGGATTGCATGGCCTGAGGTGCATTAGACTGATGTCGCGATACGATGTTGCAGCAGGGGGGAAGCTTGTAGGCAACAGTGAGTCTAACCTAGAACTATTGGTGCATCACAAATGGTCAGTAACTGGCTATTTTCAAAATTTCAACGAGACTGGGAAAATTTACATGGAATCCAGTATGGGGCTTCTCTGGGTTCATTTGGGTGAAGTATAGGGAGAATAGAGAATCTCCATAATCTCCAACTCAGTAGTAGAGCAGTCCCGCTTAATAGTATCGTCAAAGTTGTGCTGTTTCGGATGCTGTCAAGGATTGGCACAAACAAAAGCAGTGGAGTCATTTTGACAGGCGTAAGAGATTGATCTTGGAACTGATTGTTTCAATCAAACATTTTCCTCTAAAATTTCCTGAATTTCATCCTTCATCATATACTTAAGCCTAAACCTATACTATGCTTGATCTACCATAAGCACTCCAGGGCTGAAGCTGTGATGCAATGCAAAATCCTTAGTTTTCCCCTCAATAACATTTGGACCTGAAATAGAAAGCCAAGAGTACGCCAAGGGGCCAAATTGTGTGGTCATGCAGGATTGAGGATCTGCAGTGAGCGATCCACACTATTGGTGGGGTTGCATGTACAGAAACGCCCATCCACAAAGGTTACTTCAGGATGGAAGGGATGGGATTCCTGCATAAAGCGCGTGGCCACCAGGATCATCACAACTGTCCACTCAGCGGTCCTGGCCCCCATCCTTCGCCCTCTTCCCGCCTACCCAACCAGCCCCGAGTTGATGGTGGGGAAATCCGAAAGGGCATATATGTAGAAGCCATGACTTATCTACACAACGCGTGGTGATCGGCCCACCCTTCTTCAGACCTCTCTCCAAAGCCCTTTCTCTTGACTTTGTCTGTAGACCATCATGTCTGCAACCAAAGGCCATTTGGCAAATATGCCAGCGGCAACGCCACCCCCAGGCGTGACTGCGAATTTTGACAACCCGCCATCAAATGCTTATATTCTCATTATTGTTTCAACGATTTGCATGGTGCTCTTGTATGTGACCATGACCATCAGCCTATATGCCAAGATCAATATTCGGAAGAATATGGCGTTGGATGATTGTGAGATTTCCAGCTTGTTTGTGTTTCCAATGGCGAGCCTTGGCTAATGCTTTCACCAGGGAGCCGATTAATTGCGACATTTGGTACGACAATATACTATATCGCCAGTGTTATCGGTACAGCTTCCTTCACTTTCTTGGATGTTGCAAAACTCATGGCAATTATGGACTAACACGAAGTACTCGATAGCTGTGACAAAAGGGAAATTCGGCATCCACATGTATGATCTCACAGCAGAAGATGCCATGTGCACCTCTTTCATTGTCTCCGGCTTTTTCACAAATTGGTTGACCGCACTGGTATGGCCGTTCGCCAAGTCTTCCTTCTTCCTTCTTTACCTCGAGATGTTCCGCACAATACGATGGCAGCGATATGCCAACTACGTTGGATTATTTGTCAACTGGGGCTTCTATACCGCCGCCTTGACCGCAACACTATACTATACAAGTCCAGCGCCTGGAGAGACATGGCAGGAGTCGATAACCTCGGAGCGCTACGCCAAGATGGAGGCTTGGATTATGCCGATCGCTTCAATCAACCTCGTCATTGACGTGTATATCCTTATTATCCCAATTATCCCAATCTTGGGATTGAAAATGAACAACAAGAAGAAACTGGGTGTCCTTTCGGTCTTCGCGACCGGTGTTCTGTACGTGGAGCTGTTTTTCCTTGAAATTTGCTTCCGATGCTAATTATTTCGATTTACAGCGCGTGCGTCGCCTCTTCACTGAGTATCTATTTCAAGATGTCTCTGAATTGGCATTATACCGATTACAGTTACTACACCACACCCGTGTTGATCATGTGTCTAGTGGAAATGTGCGTCGGTGTTACGGCCAGCGCGATGCCATCAATGGCGCTTTTCTTCCGACACAAGGGCAGCAAGATAACGAAAGCTGTTTCTCGATTTTCCCGCTCATCTCAACCTCGGTCATCTCACAGTGGCAATGTGAAGTGTGTGCAGTCTATCGATGATTCGGTTGATTCGGATCGTTGGCCCCTCAAAGACATTAAAGCATCCTCTAAGGGCCAGTATGATGGCACAGATGATACCGCTCATCTTAACTCGGTTCAGACATTCATTCAGGCTGCGACTCCCACTAGTCAGGTGGATGCCGATGGAGCGATTTGTTTACAATATGCATTCAATCAGGGCTACGAGGATCGTGGGACGCCCGACCCTGCAAATAAGGTCTAATGGGGCCTCGGAGTGACCGAAGATGACGACCTTAATAATCTAAAATAAGATACAAGAATGTATATAATGAAAATGACATGACTAAATATAGATTTTTACTTCTTCAAAATGACCTCAGTTACATTCCAAGGTCATAATAGTGGGCTCTTCCACATGTGCAGCCGGTCACGTCGGTAATCTAGACACGTTGGCGAATGTTTTTGAGTGATGAATAGTAAAGTTTGAACAATAGGAGCTAATTATTCCCCCAAAGACTGCACTAGCGTCTATCTCGCATGGACCCTGTATCTTGAAAGGTGTAACCCAACTCGAGTTAGCACCTAAACAAAGTTCAGCCACAAGCCAACCCTTGCAGATCATCTCGATTCTCATCCTTCCATTTCGGCAACATTGAACTTTCGGCTTTAACAGGCGTGACATCATCTCATACCCAATACAACCGAAAGCTGAAACATTGTATCCCAGCCAATCACACTATCACGCCCTTGTTTCTACTGTAATGAGCAGTGTAGATCAGTGCCTTTAGGAGATAAAGATAGAAACGTGGTGGGCCTTCATCATACATGTAGAGTAACTTCATATACTCTAAACTGTGACATTTCAGTTTTAATGTTGCAGAAACCTGAATGGCAAGATTGGGGGCCGAATAAACCCTAAGCGCACCAGTGCCTAAGCTTACATTCTACATAGGCTTGGCGCGTGCGTTTTCTTCACCTTCTGAATCAAGAAAAACTCTCGTTTTCTTGGCGGTTTACTTCAAGCTACCAACTCGAATGGAATAAAACATAATCCTAACGATCAAGTTTGTGGTACCAGTCAGGACCTCGGGACCAACTGGAAACTGGGCACTTGAGCCACAATATTCGGGTTATGCTCTACTCCGTACAATCACATCGATTACCAGCAGATAACCTAAAAGCAAATACAGCTACTAATCTCGAGATGTCTTACACTCGAAAAGGCAATGATCACTGGCATCAGACTGGTGGGTGTGATCGCCCGTGGCGCCACGCTACTAATTTCTCACTGCAGAACACAACTTGCCCTCAAAGATTGGGGGCAGTTTGTTGCAACACGACGTCAAGGAAACCTTTTGTTCTGATTTGGATAGATAACTTGTTTGCTCTTTTCTTTCCTTTCTTTTCCCCATTACCAATTGGGTAAATTAAGGGGCTGTTTAAACATTTGTGGAGGCACTGTGAGTATCCCATGCGTGGTAGCGCTTCAAAATCCCCACATGACTCGCACCAAGCCATCCATATAATCTGAGACTATTCCCTTTTGTCTCATGCAGTTTGCCATTTTTCTTGTTACAGGATAGTAATAGGGTCTAGCTCTTATCTTTTTGTGATATTATTTTAGCTCTGCATACAGCAAAAACAAGGCGGATAGTCATTTAGCCAACCTAAATTGGAAGGTGCCCTTTTTTGGCACCGAGTATTCAAATCGGTCCAATAACAACGCAGAATGCATATAGTTCTCTGCCAACCTGTCTTGATAAGTTACATACAGGTAGACGAGCCATCTGTAAGCACAGATTCTGCATTTAGGCGGGATATCTTCGGGTAAGGCCCCTCATTCTTCAGGCGTTGGTGTACCGTGGCTTCCCACCAGACTGCATGTGGAGTCTCAGCTTATTCTAAAGCTTTCAGAGATCCGATAGGTCAATCAAATATCTTCCAAGGTTGATACAACTATTTTGGGGCCAAATTCAGCCCTCGCGTCGATCAAGGCCGGAGAGACCTACCAAGCCGCTGTGTGAACGGGAGTTGAACGTGCCACTAGTATCGGGATTTCATGAAGAACCAGTCAGATACATTCTATAAATGTTGGTTGAGTCACAGGAGATCATAAAACGTCATTCTGTCAATTGATGGGAATGTTCCTTGCCACGTCAAAGCGTTGTACATACAAGTGTTGTAATATTTCAGCCGGCAGCTCTGCTCTTCCAGTTTCAATCCTTCCAAGGTTCAAGCATTTGGAACAAGAAATTTTGAACAAATATGAATTTCGATTATTTAGCTCCTTGGATTTTTGGCGTGGGCTTGACAGTGCTTGTCTTAGCTGAACTTATCTTTGTCGTCGAGGTTCGTACACCCCTCCCCCTTGGATATTGAAGTTCATCCTGCAAGGGATTTGAGTGCTGACCCTCAAGCCTCCAGGATGTGACAGCCGTCAAAGAAAATTCCAAATTACGATGGATCTACAGTATCAAGCAAATATTTGCAGATTTTGTCAGTTATCAATCTTATCTTGCGTTTGAGACCTCAGGAGTAGTTTGAAGCTCATTGATATTTCTCAGTCCAATGGCAAATTTTATAATCCGTGGGCAACCCAGCCTATTATCATTGAGCCAACAAGGAAGAAGATGACCGAGCTTAGTGAGAACACTGCTTTATCTCAACGTGCAGTCTACGCGGATGTACGCAATGAGTATCACTGTCATGATTATCCCCTCAATTCGCTGGATGGATACTGACAATCTCAGATGTTCGGCTTCAAAAACACTTTGAGCAATTTCAATCACAATGAGATTGCGGCCCATCGGTCGAGGCTATTCTCGCTTATTCTTAGTGTGAGAGGCAAAGGTCACCTTCGTCAAGTTTCTCCATATCTATACAAGCGAATGGAGACATTTATTGAAAACGAACTCGGCTCAGCACCAGTCACCGCCAGTGGTAGGTTTATCTCTCACTTCTCCTGTCTCTTTCCCCCGTTATTTCTACATGCTCTGACGCTGGCTAGTCATAGATTCCATCAAAATCGGATTGGCAGATACGTGCAAAGTGGTAAATTCCCGTTTAATGGCAGTAGCTTTCTTTGGCGAAAAGCTAGGTGAGTAGCCAAGTCCAGCCATTTGAAGCTGGGTATTTCAACTAATTTTTGTTCATCATTAGCATCCGAGCCAGTCTTTGCAGAGGCTGTTTACCAGCACCCCTTACAAACTGTGACCTGCATGAGTTTGTTTCAACTTGCGCCAAAATTCATGTACCCGTGCGTCTGACAGCCTCCGACCAATGCAATCAATTTACAAAGCTAACAAGCGTTTTCAAGGCTCATTACGGCTGTTGTGACCCGGAAAGGGCAAGCAATGAAACAAGTCGAAGAGCGTGTGTGTCCCATTATCGAAAAGGGCGTGGAGAGTTGGGATGATCTGTCAAAAGTGGAACACGTAAGGCTAAACCCCCCTTACAGCCGTCAGAATGCAGCTCATATCTTCCAGACCATTCTATACAACATGATGGAAGAAACAAAGGATAATCGCAGCTACTGGACACCCGCTGCCGTCTGCCAGGCAATCATGGGACTTTGGCTTGCAGCTTCACACCAGCCATGGGTGAACCTATACATATTCATCTACCAGCTCTGTGCCCAGCCCAAATGGCAAGATATAATCCGGGACGAATTCCGCGCAAACGGCAGCGGCCTGGATTTCGACAGTCTAGAGAACCTCCCTCTACTGGACAGTTTCATGCGGGAAAGTTCACGATTCCACTGCTTGGATAAATGTATGTGCGAGATCTTCCCCAAGCTCATCAATCAATCGTCTTCAACATTTGAATTCAAACTTACTTGTCCGTCCCATTATTTAGTGAATATCCGCCGAAAAGCCATGCGGGACTACACCTTCTCTGATGGCTCGACGTTTGCTCCGAAGGGGTCCACCGTCTGCGTCTCAAACTATGAGGTGTCGCACGACCCTGAAAATTACCCGAATCCTGACATCTTTGACGGCTTCCGCTTTGTGCGTGGTCGCTCTAATGATAGGACGACTGGGTATGCGGATGTCTCTGAGAAGAATCTTATGTGGGGCTATGGCTCGCTGGCTTGCCCTGGGAGGGTGCATGCGTCCTTTGTTATCAAGTTTGTGCTGTGTTCACTGCTCTCGAGGTATGATATGCGGCTTGAGCGGGAGAGTATGCGTAGTCATTGGATGTATGAATCGTTTAGTATGCCTTATGGGTCGACTAATGTTATTTTACAACCAAGGACGGAGGCGAGCAGTCAATTATAGGAATGGGGGGATTTTTTGGGCAGAATTGGAAGATTATGATAAGCGTTCTTTTTCGGGGTTTTCACTGTTGGATAGTGATATGACATGTATAGTACTGGCGATTTCAAAGAATGAACCTTCGAATGCTCCTGTTGAACTTCGTTTTGTTATCTTTTAGCATATAGCTAAATCTAGACAGAGAGACGAGGATTATAATTCAAACTGGATAAAGTTTTAACACAGGCAAGATGGCCGAGTGGTCTAAGGCGTTACGTTTAGGTTCTATGTTCCCCAGGAACATGTCCTGACCCGTAATCCTCCGGGGCGTGGGTTCGAATCCCACTCTTGTCATTTTTTTTCTTGTTCTTATTAATGTAATAAGCAAATGCAAACTAACCTAATTCTTAACTGCTATCATTGTATGTGGATTGTTGAGCTTCATCTAAGGTCGTTCTCTCTTGAATTTGGGAAGGGTTGGTTGCCTCATCTGAAGGGCTCGTGGACTCGTTAGCAAAATCAATCAGATTCTACCCCAGATATCACTTTTCTCTACGAAATGCCGCAACGATGGATCCATAGGATGTGAAATTTGGGGGCTGGGTTTAATTAGAAACCTCAATATTACGAAGATATGAACAGTGCTAGAAAGAACTCAATTGTATTCGGAGCTTCAGTCCTTGGACTCAAATATAAAGACTGAGACGAGGTTCAATAAAAAAGACAATATGAAACACGAATCCTCCAAAGATGGGTATCTACCGCTTCTTGATGCTGGTATCGATGTTACCAAGGAACCAAATGGCAACAAAGAAGCTAAGCAAACCACCGAAAATGGTGAGAGGCTTGCGGAGAGCATCCAGAAGGGTGTGGTCATAGGTCACCTAAATAAAGCTTGTCAGTATACCACCAAAAGAAAACGTTAACAGAGTGAAGAGAGACTTACCACCAGCTGCGCATCGCGCGCCTCATCAGTCAGACTATCAACCTCCAGGGTCAATGTAGTCCGTCCAAGAGTGTCCATGTATGTCTTGTAAGAGGAAATGCTGGCATTGATCTGGCTTGCACCAGGAAGACCGTTGCTGTTAGCGCCCTCGACAGTCTCGTAGCGGACGTTGTGCGCGCCCTCGGGGAGGACCACACGGAGAACAACGTGCTCATACTGAACACCTTCGGCCATCTTGGGGCCCTGCAGGAAGGGAACCTTGAGGACATAGGAGTCCACGCCGGTAGCCCTGCGCAGGAATCGAGAAAGATCGTTGTTCCAACCCACCTTGAAGCTGTAGTTCCAGCCACCAAAGATCGGGTAGCGAGGCTTCAGCTCCAAGTTGGCAGCGGTCTTACCGTTGCCGGGGCGGTAGCGACTAGTCGAGACGTTACCAATGTCATCGATGAAGTAAGGGTCCACGGAGCCGGGCTGGAGAGGGTAGACGATTTCACGGAGGGCAGAGGATGGCGTCTTCTGGTAGCTGGCGAAAGTCCACTCGACACGCGAGAACTGGTTGGTCAGCTGCGAGGCGTTGTTGCGCAGCCAGTATCGCTCCTCGGTAGCCAGGTTGCCACCCCAGTGGGAAACCTCCACATCGCGCTCCAGGAGACTGGCAGTGATCACGGGGTTGGTGAACTGGTAGCGCACAGTGATAAGCTCCTCGGTGCCGGGGGCCACCTTGGAGGTCTCATAGGGTCCATAGGTATAGGTGGCACCCTTGCGCTCCGGGTCAGCACCAGACTTGAGTCCAGAGGTCTCAGTGTAGTCAGGCACATCAGTGCTTGGGAACTTAAGCTTGGTCTTCTGGGTGACGGTCTCGTAGGCAGATGGCACGTAGGCGGAGAACGAGTAGGTAAGGTACTGCTTGTCGCTTTGTGCAATGGTCGCGGGGCGTGGGCTCAGCGATGAAAGGATGGAGTAGGAGATTCCAAGAGTAATTTGAGCCTTAGGAGCGAGGGGTTCGGCGAGATGAACGACAAAGTACTGGATACCACTGTTGGATTGAGATCTTGATTAGCATTGAGCTGGGTATGGTTGTTTCGTCAAATCAACAGCCATTGGCATCTCCAATTGCTACGTACCTGGACAGAACAGGTTCAGTAACCTCCACATCGAAGCGACCATTCTCAGTTGCCTTCTTGTCTCTGACTTCAAACCCTCCAACGCGACCAAACACATCCGAAGGGAAGGGAATGTAGTAATCGCTCTGCGACTGCTTATCGACATTCTCTACCACAACATTGATAGTCTCCCGGACATATCCCTTTTCCAAATTGGTGTTCCGAACCAAGTTCGCGTTCTTGAACACTTGCGGGGGCTTAAAGTCGGCCGGGACAGCGAGTTGAGCTGGGGTAGTGAAGCTAGATGCGGCAGCCAGGCTGGGCACAAGCAGCCCGAGCACTGTGGCAGTGAAAAACCTCATTTTGAGTATTTCACGGAGCACACAATGTCTCCGAATTGAAATGGGGTATCAAAATTGACGAGGTTGATGTGGAGAGGTGGTTGGACGAAGCTGATGAGGTGTCCCGATCTGTATACGCAATACGGCGGGCGTAGCGGCCAGGGAGTGCACTCCGCTTTCTTATCTACTGATAACAGCTTCTCCTCTTTTTACTTCCGACGATTTGGCGTCCTACATCTCTCTATACTCGCAACAATGTTTGCCTCACGAGCTTCTGTTCTATCAAGGTGCTGTAGAGGAGCCAGGGTATCTCGGGGACGCTATTTTCATGACCTGCCTAGCTCTTCCCAGAGCAAATTCTTGAAGGTATCAGAAGAGGTTCGCGATGCGGTTGCAACTGGCAAGCCCGTTGTCGCATTAGAGACAACTATCTACACTCATGGTAGGCGCTAGATATCATTCTTGAGGCTCTGTAGTCTATTTGGTGGTTATTCAGCTAAATCAAACTTAACAGGCTTTCCATATCCCGACAACATTGCTTTGGCTTCATTGTTAGAGTCTGTCGTTCGAGCCAACGGTGGAGTTCCAGCCACCATTGGTGTGCTCGGGGGTATTGCTCGTGTTGGTATGAGCGCGGAAGAGATCATGGAACTTGCCTCCACGGCCGAGAAGAAGACCGCATTGAAGGTTTCTAGGAGGGACTTGGGCTACATCTGTGGCATGGTTTGTGATCATATTTACCCCGCAAGTCGTTTCCAAGCAAGTGCTAAATTTTCCCTAGGGTCTTGCTGGAAAGCCCATTCATGGTGGTACTACCATCTCTGGTACCATGATTCTTTCGCAGCTTGCCGGTATCAAGATTTTCGGAACCGGTGGACTCGGTAAGTCTTTAGGCAATACAATTTGAATATTTAACTTGACAATTTTCTAGGTGGTGTCCACCGTGGTGGTGAATACTCTATGGATATTTCTGGTAGGTCACATATTCCCCGCAGGTGCGTTGGACCGTGCAGTCACTAACTGATCTCTTAAAATAGCCGATCTGACTGAGCTGGGACGGACCCCAGTGACTGTTATCAGTTCCGGATGCAAGAGCTTTTTGGATATTCCCCGCACGCTCGAGTATCTCGAGACTGAAGGAGTTTGTGTAGGCACTTTTGCCGATGGACGTGAAGGCTCCGTCGATTTCCCAGCTTTCTTCACTCGGGATAGCGGATTCCGCAGTCCGCGGGTTATTCAAAACGAAGCCGAAGCTGCTGCGATAGTCTGTAAGTTTATCTTGTTGCTGGAAACTTTTTGCTTTGCTAACTACGTCTATAGATGCGCAATCTAAGCTTCCCGTTAATTCTGGAATTCACTTTGCCAACCCCGTGCCATTGGAGGTATCTGTCCCCAAGGCCGAGATGGATGCAGTAATTGAAGAGGCGGTTCGTCTTGCAGATGTAGAGGGCTACCATGGAAGTGATAACACTCCATTCGTTCTCGCTAAAATCAAGGAGCTCAGCGGCGGAAAGAGCGTGATTGCCAACCGTGCTCTTATTGAGTCCAATGTCAAACGTGCAACTCGCGTTGCTGTGGAACTAGCTAAACTCGAAGATCTTGACCGAGGAGGTGCGGCTCGGTGAGTGAGTTGCTTTCTAGATACATATACAACAAATGCTAAGTTTGGAGATTCATTTCTATATAGACACATGCCTGCAATCCCGAGTATTACTCAGTCAATTCAAAATATCCCAGAACAATCTAAGCCCGAACCCACCCCGAAGGTCTCCCAAGAAGTCATTTCTGAGACAGGAAAGGCAGATATCGTGGTTGCCGGTTCTCTTGCGATTGATCTATCCTGCGATTACACTCCATTCGATGACGAGCGCGCTCAGGTAACGCCTGTGCCACACACATCTAACCCTGCCGCCATCGGACAGAGCCTTGGGGGTGTCGGCCACAATGTTGCCCTCGCAGCCAGCTACGTCGGAAGCGATGTGCTCTTCTGCAGCGTTGTAGCAGACGACTTGAGTGGCCGAGCAGCACTCGCATCACTCGAAACAGAAGGACTCCGCACCACAGGCATTCAAGTCCTTCCGCCCACATCCGGCACTCGCACAGCACAGTACATTGCCATCAATGATGCTAAGAAAGATCTCGTCGTCGCTATGGCTGACATGGGCATCGTCGAGCTCCCAAAGAAACAGCTTGACTTCGACGGCTTCTGGGAGCCCTTACTCGAACAAACGAAACCAAAATGGGTCGTTGTCGACGCTAACTGGCGACCTGAGGTCCTAGCAAAATGGTCCACCCTTGCCAAAAAGCATGGCGCCCGCGTCGCTTTCGAACCCGTCTCTACTGCTAAATCCCGCCGCCTGTTTTCTCCCGATGGCGGTAGTCCGGTTATCGGACCTGCGGAAACCGTCCCCAATCACGCTATTAGCCTTGCCTGTCCTAATCGTCTCGAGCTGGCCGCTATGTACGCTGCTGCTCGCGAAGCCGGAGTTTTCGATTCCCCCGGGTGGTGGGGCGTAATCGATGCCATGGGTATGTCGCAGAGTGGCTCTCGACAACAGCTCGTTTACCTTACCTCTGCTGCTCTGGTCGACGAAGGTATCCCCCAGCAATCTATCCAGCTTCTCCCATTCATCCCCTGTATCGTCACGAAGCTGGGTGAGGCTGGTGCGCTTTTGACTCAGCTTTTGCCGCCTGGTGATTCCCGTCTCACGGACCCCGCTTATGCTCCGTATATCCTTGCTCGCGCATCCGGGTCCCCGGATGTCTTGTTCGGTGGAGTATATATGCGTTTGTTCCCGCCGGCTGCTAAATTATCTCCTGAGGATATTGTTAGCGTCAACGGAGCTGGAGATACACTGTTAGGTGTTGTGGTGGCTGGTTTGGCAAAGGATGACTCCCCAATGCGTATTGAGGATGTCCTGGCTGTTGCGCAGGAGGCGAGTCGGAGAACTCTTGCCAATCCAGGGGGTGTGAGTAAAGAACTTGTGGGCTTGCGAAGCGCACTTGGCCTATAATAGCCTTGAATATTTCATTGCATTCATCCATGGATCCGTCATTTGCATATGTACATAGCGCTCGTCAATGTTTGGTCAATTGATAAGTTTATCTAATCTGTGCATCCAATCTACATTCATTTTGAAAAATCCGTGGTTAATCACCATATGCGGCATTCTTCAAAATACATGCATGAATTGGGATCTCCTTTCCGCATCAAATTATTCACTCAAAGAGTTCATCTTTGGCAAAAGTCCTGCATCCAGAGCCCCAGCCTGTACAAGTACATTTGCCTGATCCCAATACAGAACCTGTCGCACGATGCGATCCGCACGGAAACAAGCCACAACAACAATATCCACCGAGATGTCACGGCCTGTCGGCTCAACGCCAGGTAACAACCAAGGCACCTCCGCAGAATGACAGAAAGAAAACCGTATCTCGTCCACGATTTGATCGGTGCCTACTGTTCTCGACCGAAGACGAATATGCTGACTTGCCGGTCCAGCAGGAATAAATGCATGCTTGAAAAAGGATCGAAGAGTCTGGGGATCAGAACCTAGAACCATTTTAGCAAAAGGACGAATAACCAAAGTCTTCCAAAAAGAGAAAATTCTGCTCACCCCCTGCCTTCGAGGGAATACACTCCACAGATAGCCCTTCTTCATCTTGACTCTCGCCCCGTCCACTCATAATCTCAATCGCAGATCTCGACGAATCCACTCCACCACGCACGCCAGACCCATCCACCTCGGCAAGTAAATGCTGCCAATACTCGTCCCATATCGTCTCAATAGCAACAACAGGCCAATTACTCCCAGCTCCAAACGCGCGTCTCAAACAGCCCATTGTCCGGCTCCAGGACAGATTCAAGCTCACGTCCTTGTCACTGGCCTCAAGTGCATGTTCATTCTCTTTCCCTGGCCGGTGATGCCGCTCTGCAAACCCGACTCGGGAATCCGGGTACGTGAATACGTGGCAGCGATGTCGCTTTTTGTACGTCACGTCTCCTTCGGCGGATACGGTGATCCACGGCCAAAATGTGCACGCACTTGTGCTTTCCACGTCACCTGGGATGTGGATCTGGATTGGCAGGAAGGTCGCTGATGGGGCGGGCTGGAAGATGGACTCTGTGTCCGAGCAAGCTGGAATCCCGCATTGACTTTGCGTGTGGGCGTTTTTGGGGGTGCTGGGTGCATGTATGGCTGTTGATGAGAGTGGGTAGTATGCTATTAGGGCACATAGGCGTGGAAATGGGTTTGTGTTGCTTGTGGTGAGGTGGTGGGATATTAGAAAATAATATGCGGGCCGGTTGTATGCTGTCGTTGGAAGTTAGTTTAGGGCCTTTGAATTGTTCGGAACTGAACTTGATAAGTTCAAGGTCTCTTTTTTCCCTTCTTTTCTTTCCTTCTATACAACTTTCAACGTTGGCGGCGTGCAACTTACCAATTATAGCATATCGCTCTCCATTCTCCAAGTCATCTTCTTTCAGATGCACTTTATTCTCCAAACCCTTTCGATCCCTCTCGGTGTCGCCGGTACATACAAAAGGCAAATATTCTACCTCAAATGATTCTGCTCGAAAACGACGGATGATCTCCGGGTCGAATTCCGGTGTATCGGATATCAGAATCAGACGGCGCGGCACCGGGTCATCGGTTGTATGATCATGTCGACGAGCACGCTTTACTGAAGCAATGCTGGTTGTTCTGTGTAAATCGTGTGAATGAGAGGGCATATCTGGATCGGGACCTGGAGCGCTTGTTCCGCTTTCGGGCGTGTTGGAGCTTGTTCCTCGTCTGGTGAGGCGTTGGAAGATGTTTACCATGGTGGCGAATGTTAAACTGCAAGGTGACTATTATAGCACTACTAAGGAGATATTCCAAGGTTCACAACTTTTTGAATGACAATTTCGGAAGGAACAAGGCGCAGATTTATACGGTGTTGCTGATGCCGATGCTCAGGGTCGTGTGACGTCGACGAGTATGGCCCGATAAGATCCCGCCGGATGGAGTCGACCGAAGGTATGAAACAACAAATTCCAACCAATACTTCTCACCAATTCACTGCATCTATTTCATAATTTCTATACGTAGATCAAGTATTTAAATGCTGCCTTTCAGGTGGAAGCTGCACAGCCACTTCCGATCTTCGGCCACCTTTTCCGGGGCCTTCCCGTCATCCTCGAGGTATCGCTTGTACGCCTCGCGCAAAAGACTCTGTCGCGCAACTTCGCAATCTATGCGAATATCCTCGATCAAAGCATCCTTCGAGACGTAATCGAATTCCGGGCGAATATATCCCAAAATGAGAAGATTGAGGCGTGTATCGTAGAAATCGGGGAGGCGGTTGAATTTGGGCTGGGGAACGGCTGTTGGTGAGGGCTCCGTGAGAGAAGGCATGATATGGATTTCCTAAAAGACATAAATTTGTGAGCAGCTCGCTCATATTGAAAATAATCCAATGGGCACGAAGGTGGTTGGGTCTACATACCACCGATCGAACGGTGTTCTTATAGTATGGGTTATACCCGATGCTCAGAACCGCCGGTTGGAGGATCACCTCGGTGGACTTCTCCACATCCCCCGTCAATCCATGCTCGTGTGCGAATTCCTTCGGGTCGAGTGCTACCACTCCATAGTAGACGCCTGTTGTCAGGTCTGGATATTTCTCAGACAAGTCGTCGGCGGGTATGTTGGCTGTAGGGATTCCTAGCTGCAGGCCACAGTTTAGTCAATATTCTTTCTACATATGCGAATGCAGGACAGTCCACGCATTGCAGGCTTTGTTGTGCTTACATCTTTGCTGCCTCGGCCAAAGCCTTTGATTACCGGTCCGGACAATCGAATTGGGAATGGGGCGTCAGGGCCAGTATCGGGGCCGGCGACGGGACTGCGGGGTTGATCCGGGCGCATCGTGTGCACTTTTGTGGGGATAAATCAAGATTTTGCGATGCTGCAGGCGATGAAAGACGATCGAGAGAGAGGTATTGCAGAACGGCTTATGTGGAGTCGGCGCGGGGGTTTGTATAAATCCAGATGACAGCTAAGTCGGATAGTGTACTAGTAGTTGGTATGAATGCTGGTCAGGGGTTGCGACCAGCCAATTGGAGTGGGTAGGCAAGGCAGTATATGGCAAGATAATGGTGCGAAGCTCAGTGGGATGCGACAATGACGATGGAAGGTCAGATAGAAGCTATTGGAAGCGGATGATGAGCGGATTCATGGTGGGGTTATCGATAAGCAAATTCCACACCTGAGGCATCTCTACCGAGCGCATACATAGTACTATGATGCAACTTAAAAATCCACTTCCTATAATAGATAAAACCTGTTTCTATATTATCGGGGATCGTCTATACTCTATCCATAAATTATCCAATCAGAGTCCTTGTGTTGATCAAAAGTGGTTCTTCCATCATTTAGACTACAAGACAACGGCGCAGACGCATACACAGTCAATGAATAAATGGCATTAATCTCGTAAAAAACACTGTCCCAGCCCAATACATATATCATTTTTAGCCTTTTGAGCGCCAGAAACACAAAAAAAATGAAAGGATCCAGTCGTCCATGCTGGGCCATGAGCCTCTTGGTCCTGAAAACACCAGGTGTATGTACGAGTAAGAACAGACAGAGAATGGAGGGAGTCATATCGTCCCCTAGAAATCCAAAATATGTACCGGAATCCCAGATCGAAGCGGCAAAAGACTAGGGATGACCTAGTCAAGGGTATGAAGAGAATAACAAGAACAGTCAAAAAAGAATAAGTGCAGTAAAAGCAGAAGAAAAAGACAGAACATGTAATCTTTGAAAAGGAACAAAAGAAGTCCAAATTCGAAGATGGAAGAAAATCAAATACATGGCAAGAACTTGTTTTAAATGGTCAGTTCGAGTTTCCAAATCAGGTGAAGCTGGGGGGTACTCACATTCATCACGATAAGCATTGGAATGTCGAACACGTCTCGCTTAACTGTCCAGCAGTACGCGCACTCGACCTTGCCATCCTTGAATCCCAGCTGGTTCATTCCAGCCTCGCCAGCAATACCACCCTTGCGGAGGTGGTTGTTCCACTTTCCGTTATCATCCTGTCCCACCTCCATGTCTTCCTTGGTTTTGTACTTGAGAAGCTTGCAGCGTGTCATTACACTACCTCGAGAATCACCAAATGCCAAGCGCGCAAAGTCTTCATAAAACTCCACAACGCTATCATCGTCAAGAAGTTCTGCCAAAAAGACCGGTTGCGGCCGACCGTTGGTATTTTCCAATGTCGAGCCGCGAGGAGTGAAGCTGCCACGCGAGCTTGTGCCAGATGCCGGTTGTGATGTACCACCCGTATTAACATTGAGGTTGGCCTCCTTGCCCAACAAGACGTCTTTCTTCCATCCTGTCAAAATGCTAAACTCCTTTCCAACAGCGGCAATCTCTCCCGTACGTCGACAGACAATTGTCGGTGTGCCGCAAGCGTTGATGAAATCTTCGTATTCCCAAAGGGTCCGTTGGAAGCATTTTTCCATGAAAATCAAGTCATCCCGATTGAGGGTCTTGGTGGTCGCAATGAAAGAGGGTCGGATAGATGCTAAAGACTTAGCTATACGCACGGTCTTCTGTGGTGAGAAGCGGCGCTGAATAAATGCAGTGAGGTTGTGGAAACCACTTGTATAAGCGTATGGTTCCTTGACACTTTCGTATATCGAGGATGGATTCCGATGACGTTTTTTAGGTCCAACATGTAATTGTTGATGTTTTAAGCTAGGCGTGGTGATCATCGGTCGCTGTCCATTGGGTGCGAGATTACTGGACTTGGCGCTCGTATTGTAAGATCCATCCTCGAAAGCAGATGTAGCCACATGTGGACTACTCGCCGATGCGGGGCTGGTGAAATTGGCAGGAGCGCTTTCAATAGCAAAAGCATGTGGTCCATCTGCCTTCATGTGTCCCGGGAGCATGCCATTCTGGCCGTATACGCCACTGACATTCACATGCTGTTGGCCCGAGGCCTGTCCAGTTGGCCACTCATTCAGTAAGGGATCACCAAACATGAATGGTTGCGGTTGATTCCCCGGACTTTCGCCAAACCCAGGGGCTGGCGTAGAGAACTGCGCCGACCCACTACGGCCCATCGACCCTCGCTGTGTGCCCGAATCGGTGGGTGAATCACCGGCACCGGTCGCCATATGTCCTAGCATTCCAAACTCAAGAGCACCGTAGCGATTTTCGAAATTCATGCTGGATAAATCGAAGTTGAAAAGTGCGGGGTCGCTTGGGTCGAAAAATGGCCCCGCAAATGGATTTTGTGGTTGGGAGGTGTCTCCGGAGAGGGCGGTACTAGGCGTGGGCTGTTGGTTCACAGTGGACGATAAGCTTGGATTGCGACCATTCTGACTGGTCTTCAGATTGTATGTAGGTGAAACAGGCGATTGCGTGGTAAAAGGACTCTGACCCAAGGCCGATTCTTGGTACATGTTATAAGAACCCTGCGGCTGGTTTTGTGGCTGAGGCGTGGGGTAGAAATTGCTGTTCCCTTGCTGCGGTGGGGGTTGTTGGGGCTGCTGCTGCTGCTGTGGCTGCTGTTGCTGCGGAGTACTTGAGTTGGTGCCATTTCTAGACAGTGACAAGCTGGTTCGTAAGGGCGTGTTGTTAGGGAAGAAGTTTCCAGGTACCCCGGGCATCAGTGCTCCGTCCGGGGCATCGTGCAGATACTTGGCCTTTTTACGGACACCGTCATGGCAAGCATCTTGTAAGCCTCGCTTTATGCAGCGCTGGCATGGTCGCTCGTCGCCTGAGAATCGGGTATGTTAGCCAAGAAAATCATTTCGTGCAAGTAATTGCCGATCATCATGCTTACCGCATGTCAAGTGAGCTCGCTGACAGGCGAAACAAGCTCGGCGAGCCTTTTTCCGTCGCGGCCGGGAAGGATCTTTAGCGTTTGCAGCTTTACGGTTCTCGGATTTCACATCGCCATTAATTCTTTCTCTTCCAGAGTCCAGTGGCTCCGAATGTTCAGTTATATCGGCGGAATCGCGATCGCCGTCCATGGGGACCGGGGTGCCGTTCTTGGCTTCCACGTTCATTTCGTCATGTATCCTGGGCACAGGAAACTAAAAAAGTAACACAGACGCGTTCCTAGATGTTTCGAAAATGTCCGGTCCACTATCCGAAGAGCTATAAAAGCACTTTTCGTTCTTCGAACGCACGATCTCGATGCTGTGGCGACGGGAGCATCCGCGCACTTGGATCGTCTCGGCAGATGGGGAGAAAATGAAGATCGGAAGATCTACGTGTTTGCGCAATTACTAGGGTCGAAGCAGATATAACCGGTCGCAAATAGGCCGGGCTAGGTATTCGAGCTTGTAGTGTCCACCCACGTCGTGACTTGGGGGGGGGGCTGAGGCGATTCTCGGCTTCTATTGTCGCGAGCGCGCGATCAATTCTGGCGGGGGAACGGAAGGTAGGTATCGGGTTGAGTCACGGGTGTAACGAGGCACAATCGACTCGGAGTAAGACGTGACTGCAAAGATCTGACACATTGAAGGGCCGTGGAATTGCGAGCTTGTTCAGGAGTTCACGCGACAGGTGAGGAGAGAAAAATGCCGCAACGGTTTCGGGCGCAGCTGAATTCGGGAGTGGAGAGAGAGGGCGGCAGGCTCGTCGGCTGCGGGGAAGCGGCAATAGTATTCGGTCCGCACGAGGCAAAAGAGGTCTTTTGAAGTAAGACAACTTTGAAAAAGCTGTTCGGAAAAATTCAAGAGATTAATGGGGAGTCAGCTTTGCGCGGGGAAAAAAGACGAGGAAGGTTGGAGGGAACTGGTAACTAACTTCGGAATGTTCCCGTGACTCTTGAGGTCCAAGCATCAACAAGTAGGACTGGCAACTGGACCGATTGATACAAGAACCAAGGCGACTTTGGAGTGTATGGTAAATATAGTTGAAGTATTATTTTGTCTTTATGTTATTCTAGTCTTTTCTTTCTGTCGCTTTCATTCTACCGAGGGCTCTGTTATTTTTCCACTTAATTTTTTTTTTCTTTTTTTCTTTTTACAACCTATTTTATGGGACTTTTAGACATCAGTTAACGCCTAAGGCTGCCCAGGTGGATATAGTTCGAGGTTTCGTAAGAACGCCTGTTTTTTGCCTTTTTTTACCTAATTAAAAGCGTATTTTAAAGTAAGATTTGGTAAGAAATATAAGCGAAATCACATTCTGTACCTAGGCATTCTATTTTCTTGTTGCTAAGATCTTCTAGATCATATGCGATTTTTCTGCAGTAAAAAAAAAAAAGTTCACATGCTGACGTTTCAGACGTTAACGACTGGGCGCGGCATTTGCAAAAGTGGTACACTGCAACTAGTGAATCCTTACCCGGATTGGCTACAACCGGCAGATCGTACATCCCCACGACTGGGGCAGTTGCGCACGTGTGGAAAAACTATCTTGCTCAACCTTGGAAGGTATATCAAAAGACATTATGATTTACGTTTCTGGTACTTGAAAAACGGGGTTCAAAGAATAGAAACGAAAGGCTCAAATCTCTTCATGTCCCCGCTCATAACCTTGTATTGTTCAGGGTTCCGAATTCCCCCTCCGGACTCCCGTTTTGTCCCGAGGCTATGTGATGGGGAGTGCCTCGGTTAGAGGGATTTACTTAGCTCCTAATTTGGTTCTTAGGTTCAGATGTTCCAAGTATTTTGTTCCCACTGTCGTCAAGGGGGATAGGTAGCAGTGCATAGCACTTCGAATCCAAGACTACAGGATGCTTGTGATCCTTTGCAACTGGCCCAAAGCGGGAAGGGATGTCGGAGAATTGGATTCTGGCCCAAACCCACCCCAGAACAAAGTAATTGTGGGCCGTCTTCTTGGCTTTGATCTAATCGCGACAAAGCCTAAACGGTAGGACTAATACCGGGAAAGAGCCGGGGCCGAGAGTTTATACTTCTGCATTTGGAATTTGAAAAACACTCCATGAGGAAACGTTAACGATTTCGAGATTGTTGCCTACATTGTAAATCCGGCTGTGAGTAGGACAGCAGCTAGACTGTTGAGCTTTTGAGTATATGAGGACCGGCCGAACGCAGTCCCTATACCTAGCGCTGGAGGTAATTGTAGCTTCGGCCTTCAAATATTCAGGGGATCAATGCATGGTCCAAACCCCGTTGTTACAGGGTCTATAGAGGGACGTTGGGGAAAACGTTGAATTGCAACACTACCTGAGAATAGATGCAGTTGTCCTTACTGAACTGTGCAGTTGAAAGCAAAACCGTGTAGCAATACATAACTGGTTTCCGCCATAAGATAAACCTCACGTCTGGTGGGTAGCAAACTTGCTCTTCTTCCTAAGACGACTCCCATATTGAAAAAATACGTATCTGGATAAGCGTTAGCAATAAACAATCAATAGCACGCGATGTGAAAGCTGAGTTGGTCAACATCTGCCGTTGCATGCAGATGAGATATCAAACCACCCTTGGTCACCATTTCAAGGTCCTCTTTCCAATGCAAAAGAAGGGGTATTCAAGACCATAGCGCAATAAATCAAGTCTCAGGGGGTCGCATAGTATGTCAAAACTTACGGGAAAGGAAGCATGAGCAAGGTTAAAAAGGCGAGCAGCGAAGTTGCCCAATGGTATCCAAGTTTGTTATACACTGTACAGCCGTTAGAATCTTTTCAAGGTATGATTTTGGTTTTGACGGGGCACAAGATGAATAATGAGCCCGGATATCATATCTCGCAATAACGCCAAGGACTCTGGGCACACGATGCATGTCCTGCATTGCTGCATTGCAGTATGTGCAGAATTCGAAGCACAGACCCTCCATTGTGGGCATGAAATCAAGAATACGACTGAGACAGACTTACTCTGGATACCAAATAGAGGAAAGATCCCTCCAAAGCTTGAGCGCATAAAGCTGTTCGCTGCTAGAGCGCTGGCAGCAAATGTTGGATAGGCATCCACCAGAAACGTAAAGATACCCGTAAACACCAATATGACTCTAGTAACACAATCCGTTAGCACCGAATAAAATCGACAATCCCCGGGTTCCCAGTCTTAGGACTGTCTCAAGCCATGACATGCAAACGTACCCTGCTCCAAAAACTGCACTGCCGATTATAGGGGCGATCCAGTGCACGTGAGAATAGACGGTCCAGGCAAACATGAAGAGTCCGATAGTGACCAAAGGTCCACCAAGGATTGCTAACCTTTTGTGTTAGAACTTGTTGCGTCTTCCAATTTCCGTGGCTCTTACCTGATGGTAGTCGCCATTCTGGCTGAAACTCTTCAGGTTGGATTATGTTTTCCGTCTGTATCTTTTCTTCGTACTTGCGCTCCAGTCGCATGTAGTTACGACGCCAGAGCGGATCCGAAGAAATTGCAATAATCATGCCGACAAAGATACCCATGAAGCACAGGCCCCTTTCCCACAATGAAAATCCATAAACGTGTTCGAAGATCAACTGAAAAGCACCGAAGAAAAGGTAAAGAATTCCCAGCAAGATTGCAGAGAAGACGCAAAGGCATAAGCACATGGGCTCTAGTGCCAACAGAAGAATGGGGCGATACATAGATACCAGGACTGTATGAGCCACAGATCGGTGCATTCTCTCAATTGGGGCGATGTATCGGTCATCTCCGGTTTCTTTTCGGAGCTTCTGGGCCTTGTGTCTCAAAAGTCTGATCAAAAGATTAGCGCTTGCATCCGTTGGGCTGGAAGAGCACTTACACAGGATGATAAGTCTCCGGTACCAAGAAAATCATTGAAACAAGCAGCACAGCCGTCCAAATCAACAAGACATAAAAAGTCCAACGCCTATAGATACCATTAGCACTTGAGATCAGTTGCTTTATTGATACTCAGTCTGGAAGCATACCAGTTCGCAAATTCGTTAATAAAGCCACCGACTCTGTCATGTTTTTTCCATCAGAATTGAAGTCAGTAGGAAAGCTGAGATGAAACTTACAACGGCCCGACTTCAGGCCCGATGAATGGACTGGCAGTATAAACCATCATGGGGAACCCCCGTTCATGTCGATCGAACATGTCGCCCACGGTGCCACCAGCAACGCTGAGAAAAGCGCTTCCGGCTAGGCCATTGATGAACCGACAAACCAACATAGTTTCAATGTTTTTCGCCACTGCACATGGAATGAGCCAGATCAAAAACAGGGTAAAGGATACGATGTATATTCTCCGTCGGCCAAAGAACTAGACACTGTCAGTTTTGCTGTATGACAAAGAAAAGACCAAGCTTACCTCAGACAGTGGACTGAGAAAAAGAGGACCGATTCCTAGGTTATGACCATCAGCAATTACTCCAGGTGCGGTTCTATGAATGAACAAAACAAACCAAGGCCCCAGATGAAAAATGACAATCCCAGCGTTGCCACTTCTTGCGAACATTTGAACTCCTTCATCAACTGATCATACGTCGTTGTATACATGGAGGACGTGCACGTTCTAAGACGGGTCAGCAACCGCCACAAAACCCTAAACATTTTGAACAATCCGGAGTATATGAGCACTCACACGCAAAGCGAACCACACGAGACAATGAGAACAATCATCCAGCGCCTCGCCATACTCATTTTCTGCGGATGCATGGGGTCATTTTCCTCCCAGCGTACCGTAAACCCCTGATCATCATCTGCATCTTGCCCCGCTTCGTCGGCCTCGTCTTGTAGCTCATTCCCGCCGATACTCACACCATCATTCAACGACCAACTCCGTTCAAGAGATTGAGATCGTGACCGCGAGCGTCTCGATAGCCGTTTTTCCATCGCTGCGTCATGGTGTTCCTCACTGGACTTTGAGTCGGTGATCGGGGAGAATCCCGTTTCTTGAGGTTCGGACTTGATATGATCGATCTCGTCGCCGCTTTTCCTGCCTACCTCACAGGCTGGAATGTGTTCCTCATCCATCGCCATTTTGGATCTCTGCTTCGGCGAGATATCCGGATGGCAAATATGACGGAAACCGGGTTGGGGGTGGGTCGAGGACGGGTAATTGGCAACCACGGGTGAGTGTCAACAGTGAATTGAGAGATTGGTCGACGAGGGGAAGTAAGTGAAACTTCAGCTTGGGACGATCTGAATCTTTCTTGTCTTCTGAAAATTAGCTCGGCTTGAATGCTCGGAGCTTTGGAGCTTAGGCCGAGCTGATTAATGGGCTAAAGGTCAGGCCCGCGCGGGCCGCAGATTTACTTTCTCTTTGGGCAACTACTCAATACGGGTCATTCGTCAACAAAAGCTAAATTGGGTGACTCAACATTGAAGTTGGTTGCATCAGGCACAGGTCCATTTGTCCTACACTAGTATATACTAGCATCTGATCTATCAAGGTCATCTGGAGGTTTGGCCTTTTTCTTCTTACCCGTGAAATTCACAAAGCAAACATTGAATGCATTTTCAAATCCGATTTCGTTTTTAATTCTCCGGCTTGCCTCCGATTCGCTCTGCAAAACGGGCAAAACGGATAACGGTTCCCGTGCATGTACGGAGTATCAACAGAAGAAGCCGATGATCTATAAAACCCGAGTTTCGAATGAATAATGTTAAAAGGTCAACTTATGATCTCGGTGCCAATGAATTTGAAAAAAAAATCATTGCGGATTAAAATAGATCATGACAGTGCCTGTATCGGTCCGGGAAACTCACTTGTAGGTATCACGGCCAGGATATCTTGTGGCTCGCGAACTTGAATATCTTCACAAGACAACCTTAAAAGAAAACTTACATGCAGGTACTGCAGGTACTAGGATTATATGCCTACAAAAGCACCAAAATCTGGGCAAATTGCACCTAGAGGGTATGTTCAATTAACTAAACTGCTGACACTATGATAGACCCGTTCAACTAAACGCCAGCTGCAGGCAAAACAGACGTCGACATAAGTAAGAACAAAAAAAGAAAAAGAAAAGAATTCCATCAAACAAGCCATCAACGCAAAGCACCGTTCACCATCCCAATCCCAAACTCCAGATAAGCATCTAAAAAACGATACGATCTTCAGACAATTATCGGATCTTCCAGCAACCCATAGACCGTAACCCAGCTGTACATGAATGTAAAAACAAATTGCGCCAGGGTATCCCAAACTTTTCTTAGGTTTCAGTATGGAATATTTACCCCTTTACAGAACCTGGCTCAGCTGGCTGGCAGCACCAGCAGCATTCTCCTCGGCCCAGGAGCCCCAGAGTGCCTGCTTGCCACGGATCTTGAGAGGACCGCCAATTGACTTGGAGGCCTGGTCGACCTTGACGGCATCCTTGGTAGCCAATACCAAGATCTCAAAGAACATCTTGGTAGCATCGGCCTTGCTGGAGCGCTGCTCGGGAATGAGATCCTGGAAGACCACACTCTTCTTCTGAGAAGAAACAGGGTCACCCAGCTGCTCGCGGAGAATGTGAACGGCGTGCTTGGTGCCAATGGACACAGGCTCGTTGTCCATAGGACGAATGGTGTCGTCCATTTCATCCAAAGGTGCATCCATGCCATCATCTTCACTGAGGTTCAGATCGTGAGTTTCATCGCCGGGGAAATCGATTTCAGACCGCTGGTTGAGAGAAGTGTCAAGACCAATACCCTCATCGAGGGCAACAATAGCTTCGTCATCGCCGAGTTCCAATTGAGGGAAACCAGCAGCTTCCACATCCATGTCAGAGATACCACTGTCACGCTTTCTCTTCAGCTCGCCAGCCTTCTTCACAGAGTCTAGAGACAACAGCGAGCGCAGCTCAGGAGCCCATCCGCGGCCGCGATCCTCGCCAAAGATGCTGGAAACAAAGTCACCATTCTGTTGGCGGGTCATCAGGGTGAGAAGAACGGGGTCACGAGGCAGGAAAGTTGCGGGCTTGATAATAGCAGAGCGATCAGCTTGCTGTTGCTTGACCTGACTGTTAGAGAATTTCGCTTCTTTGTCTGCGGGGATGCGCTCCTCGAGCTTCGCGCGCTTGGCACGCTGAGCGTGCTGGGCAGCAGCAGCTTTGGGTGTGGCAGAGATATCCCGGTTGTATTCCTCTTCAAGTTGATGCATTTGAACGGATCCGGCATCGGAAAGAGGGCTTTCGGTATCACGGTTGAATCGGTCGTCATTTGCGCGCGGGGTTTGACCCCCGAAATCGTCTTCGCCTCCAAAGTCCATTGGAGCGTCATCAATTAGATCATTCATGTGGTGGTCATCGTCAATATCCATGTTATCCAACGGAGCACCATCGTCGCCGATATCGAGAGCCAAGTCATCATTATCAATGAGCTTTCCGGAGTCACTGTGCAAATCTTCTTCCATAGGTCGAGGAGCAGGAGCATCTCGACCAATTTCCATAGTAGTATCATCTCCAAAAGGTTCACCAATATCGAGATCAACCAACGAAGGGTCTTCCAGACGGAGGGGTTCCTGAGACATAGATCGACGGAAACTGCTATCTCCTAGGAGCTGGCTACCGAAATCCATTCCACCAGGCTGTTTTCCTGCGGGCTCCAGTTCCAAGTTTTGGGGGAATAGCAGAGATGTATCCAAGTTTGTAAACAGGTCGGATTCGGTCAGCACATCGGGCAGAGTGATACCACCAGGCGCCACCACTGTAGATGTCAAGTCGTTGTTATTTGTGAGGCGGAAGGCCTGATCGGAATAATGTTAGCACATGAAAAATATTGGGCGGAAAGTATCGTAAACATACCATTTTGATCTTCATTAAGGCTTCATTGCAATCATCCAAAAGATAGCGAGCTTTACGGCTGTAGATACGCACAACACCAAGCAACAGCTGTCCACTCAGTCGCAAAGCCATGGGCGCTTGGCCCTGATCGACAATTGCATTGACACTGCTTTCAATGTCAGATTGGAGGATGTGCGACTTGGACAGTTTGCGCTCGATGTTGGCCGACAGCCACACGCGGGCCAGCGGGCCCGTCTTAGATAGAAGGGTCTCCGAATAGAACATGGCGGCGATATGTGGTCAAGTGGCACTGTGTACAAGGACAGGTGGGAGTCCCAACAATATGGAAATGTGAAACCCGCCCGGCGCGGGGTGAGGCGTGGCAGGAGGTGACGCGCGTGAAGCCGGGGAAAACAAACTGCTCTTGAGCGCGGGCTTTATCCCTGGTCGCGTTTCCACAGGAAAAATAGGATTCTGTGCAAGGGCGGCGGGTAGAGATACAGATTGAAGGACACGTCGCGTTGCAGTCACGGCGTTTAGATGGGGCGCGAGAGACTAGTTGGCTGAGAAACCAAGAAGAACGAGGGATGCGCGTGTGGGAATTCAGGCAAGAGAGTTATGCTGATGTAATCAGGCAGAAATCGAGGGGGCTGGTGTCTGGCCTGATTGGCTGGGGCGGCTGTCCGGAGAATACTAGGGAAAAAGGTCTCCATGACCTCTCATTTGAGAACCTATACTCCGTACTTCCTGTACACTTGTTTACAATCTCATCGAAAATAAAGTATTCGAGGCATATCCATAGCTGAGATCATATAAAGTAGGGCCTAATTATAGAGTCTCAACGCAAGTATTTGAAAATCTTGACTGTAGTTTGCTTGGAATCGGATTGGCCAAGATAGCATTGGAAATTAAGATTATTATGTCCATTCCAATAATGTTAACAACATTAAGGTAGTTCAAAGAGCCAAGGTCTACCTACTATGTATAATAGGATGACACTTCCACTAAGTTGTTCTAACTAGTACCCCGTACTACATCTTTGTTTAAGTTATCACTGTTGTTCCACCGAATGCGGTTATCCCCGGAATAAGTGTTTATCCGAGCCACCGCCGGTCTAATCCAGAATAGGTAAAGCATCATCATGGGACTTGGCTGTTTCCAACCACTTTTGTCGCATTGTCAAAGTCTCCAATGCGAATTTTGGAGACCTGATTTGGTGTTTCTCTTTTATTCTCATTCTACTGTTTTTAGCTTCTTTTTTATTCCCTGGCTGTTTCACGGGGTTGACTGGCCCTCTCATACTGTCGATCTTAACGCGGTGCCCCAGTTCCCACCGGGATCCATCGCCAGTCTGGAACACAACCCCCGTTTGAAGCTGCTGCCAGATCGCATCTCCTCCCAACCGTGATCGCGCCCACCCCTCAACAATTACAATCTAGACGGGATGAACAGTCGCTCTCAAAACATATAACGGTTATTCTTTTTATTTACTTCCGGATCCCTTTCCCAATCTCTCCGGTAAAAAGCATGAGAAATGTCAAGATCTCCGGCACCCGCGTTACCGCTGCATAATGCACAAATCTCCGATTCACCGCGACCCTCATCCACCAACCCATTAGGTGGAAGACCCGATGCCCCCTCATCGGTAAGTCAAGAAGAGAATATCTATTCAATTCCAACGGCAATCACTATCCTTGGCCGTTGCGCGGGGCGCCACACCGCTAACTTTCAACTTTCTTATCATAGGCCTCAACCTCCACATACTCATGGCTCGAAATCCATGAAACGGCCGAACGATTACAAACCTCACTATTACATGGCCTGACACCTGCTGAGGCGGAAATTCGTCTTGCACGCGATGGGCCCAACGAGCTTCCTCATGAAGAACCGGAGCCCCTGTGGCTGCGGTTTCTCAAACAATTCAAAGAAACCCTCATTCTCCTTCTCCTAGCCTCTGCAGTGGTCTCATTCATCATGGGCAACTATGATGATGCTGTCAGCATTACCTTGGCAGTTACAATTGTGGTCACTGTTGGCTTTATACAGGAGTATCGATCGGAAAAGTCTTTGGAGGCGTTGAGTCGTCTAGTCCCCCATTTCGCCCATCTTATCCGTGATCTTCCATCTGCCATTCATACTGCCAACAATGCCACCCAGGGATCTCCTCATCCTCGGGAGGAAGCTGAAGAACTCAGAACCAAAAGCCCGGGCGCCGCAATGAAAGCGTCTTCTACTGTCCCCGCGAGCGAATTGGTACCCGGAGACCTAGTGCTCTTCTCAACTGGCGACCGCATCCCTGCTGATATTCGGATTACTGCTGCGACAGATCTTACTATTGACGAATCGAACTTGACTGGAGAGAATGAGCCTGTGGTGAAGTATACTGCGGCCCTACGTGTTGGGCACGGTGGCGCTGTACGGGCTCTCAAGGCCGTCGATCCTCCTCGTTCGCCGTTCTACGACGCTCCCGCCAGTGGCGCTGTCGGTGCTGATGTCCGCTTGAATGAACAGCATAATATCGCGTTCATGGGTACTCTGGTTCGCTCCGGACACGGTCAGGGAATTGTGATCTCAACCGGTGCAAAGACGGAGTTTGGAAGTATTTCAGCTTCTCTTCAGGAGATTGAGAGTCCCAGAACTCCGTTGCAGTTGTCGATGGATCGCCTCGGTCAGGAATTGAGTTACATGTCGTTTGGAGTGATTGGTCTGATCGTCGTCATTGGTATATTTCAAGGCCGTAAACTCTTGGAAATGTTCACTATTGGTGTTTCACTTGCTGTTGCTGCCATCCCCGAAGGTTTACCAATTATTGTTACCGTTACACTTGCTCTGGGTGTGCTCCGCATGGCCAAGAGAGGTGCTATCATGCGGAGGCTTCCCAGTGTGGAAACTCTTGGCTCTGTCAATGTTGTCTGCAGTGACAAGACTGGAACTCTCACCATGAACCACATGACAGTCACCAAAATGTGGCACTTTGACTGTGATGAAGCATTCGAAGTTCAGCGAGATATTGCCTCAACACTTTCCCCGGGACCGGCAGCACGCACTATTCTTAGAGTTGGAAACATTGCGAACAATGCTCGACTCTCACGCACGCACGCAAACTCTCCAGCCAGCGCCTCCTCGGCCGCAGTCCTTTCCTCGACTGTTGATAGGGACTCTGGTGCCGTGAAAAGTAGATGGGTTGGTCAACCTACGGATGTTGCTATTCTGGACCTGTTGGATACTTTGGGAGAGGATGATGTCCGTGAACGGATCAGTGCTCGTGTTTCTGAAACCCCTTTCAGCTCTGAACGAAAGTGGATGGGTGTCATCATTGGTAGCGGCGGTGCTGGGGAATCCCATGGAGGATCTAATGTGGCCTACATCAAGGGTGCTCTTGAGCAAGTCCTGGCCCGTTCGGATACGTACCTGACCAAGGATGGCCGAGAGGTTATTCTGGACGAGCCACGGCGCAAGATCATTCGAGATGCGGCAGAGCATATGGCATCAGAGGGTCTTCGAGTTCTTGCCTTCGCCAGCGGTACTGCGCGGGATGAATCTCGAGGCATGAAGGGATTCGGTAGCCGCTCTAGCACCCCTGTCTCCAAGTCTAGTAGCCCAAAGGATGACGACGATCGGTACAATGGATTAGTCTTTGCCGGACTGGTTGGTATGAATGATCCTCCTCGCAAGGATGTGCACAAGTCTATCCGTCGTCTCATGGCCGGTGGAGTACGTGTCATTATGATTACAGGTGACGCTGAGACAACCGCCGTGGCTATTGCAAAGAAATTGGGAATGCCAATCAATGAATCTGCTGGATCACGGTCAGTCATCCGCGGTGATGAACTCGACCATATGACAACTGCGCAGCTCGCCCAAGCGATTGCCACCACATCTATCTTTGCACGCACTAGCCCCGACCACAAGATGAAGATTGTTCGTGCACTGCAGTCCCGTGGAGATGTCGTGGCCATGACTGGCGACGGTGTCAACGATGCTCCTGCTCTGAAGAAGGCCGATATTGGAATTTCGATGGGCCTACTCGGCACGGACGTTGCCAAAGAGGCTGCGGACATGATTTTGACAGATGATGACTTTTCTACGATCCTTCGCGCTATTGAGCAAGGCAAGGGAATTTTCTATAATATTCAAAACTTCATTACCTTCCAGCTCAGCACCAGTGTGGCTGCGCTGAGTCTTGTGTTGCTCAGCACGATCCTCGGTTTCAAGAATCCATTGAATGCTATGCAAATCTTGTGGATCAGTAAGTACCATATTTTCCCCTTGATTTTAAAATTCGCCATCTAACTGTGACTCCAGATATTCTCATGGATGGACCGCCTGCTCAGTCTCTTGGTGTCGAGCCTGTCGACCCTATGATCATGAACCGACCCCCACGACCAAAGACCGCGCGTGTGTTGACCCGGCCCCTCATCCAGCGCGTCCTTACTTCCGCCATGGTTATCATGTTGGGCACCCTCGCCATCTACATCCATGAAATGGGTGATGCAACTGACGGGCAGTCTCTGGGCACCCGTACAAACGTAGTCACCGCCCACGACACCACCATGACATTCACCTGCTTCGTTCTGTTCGACATGTTCAACGCCCTGACCTGCCGCAGTGAAGGCAAGTCTGTGCTCCGAGGCGAAATTGAGCTCTTTGGAAACAAGATGTTCAACTACGCTGTCCTCGGTTCGCTGGCCGGCCAGGCCTGTGTCATCTATCTCCCCTTCCTGCAACGCATCTTCCAAACCGAACCGCTGAGTTTCGGTTCCCTTTTCAAGCTTGTTTGTCTCACGAGCTCTGTATTCTGGGTTGATGAAGGCCGTAAGTACTATCATGCGCTCCGTCGTCGACGAGGCCTTGGCGCCGGGTACAGTCTCAATGTCTGAAATGATTTTTCTTTTCGTTTTCTGGGTGATTTGTTGCACCGTGTTCGATTTTTTAAATCCCAAGACGGGGTGTGTAACCTACTTGATGGGATGATGTCCCCTATACATAATAGAGCTGGGGAGGAATGCATGTTGATGGCTGATGTACTTCGGTAGATGGGCCTGTAAATCTAATGAAATTCATGTTTATTCGGATCGATTCCAAATTTTTTTTTCGGGTTTCCGTAGATTTTTTTAGTTGGATCTACTAGTAGGTATGCTCTGGAGTATCAATCAATTGATTCCAAAGTTCCCACATTGCAGGTGGTATTGATTAACTGGTACTAGTCACCTGGGCACTGTCCACGAGTACAGCCCTGGAATATAGTAGCGAGTGGGCCTATCGTGTGGTATTCTTCAAGCATGTTGCCTGTAATTGACCAGATGGATTTTGGGTGCTTTTAGCCTTGAAATTATTATTTCCTTTGACTTGGCTAGGTACGGGGTAACACTTATGCACAAGTAGGTACAGTAGTCTTCGAAAACAGATTATCCCACAGACACTGACGTTGTTTCTCGGCCCGTACCCGAAAACACGCTAATCCATACAATGTTAGGTCGATTTGAACACAACCCCTATTTAACCGTATCGTGGTATGGTATGTATTGGGTTTCAAATATCTAGTGAGTTATTGTAAATTACCGTATGCCTCCATGTAAGTCTATGGAACTTTTTCACTGCGCGCGAATCAATTCAGTGTTCGGTTCATCTCACGCGCGGCATTTTTCCTAATCGTGTGCTATTGCTCTGGCATCCCAGTTAGCCAGTCTTTCTAGCCCAGTGGGTTTGTCTCTCGAAAATGACTCTTTCTTCCCCTGTCATGTGCCGAAGACCCCGTTTCCTGAGTTCCGAGAAGAATTGTAAGGCAGCATCGTATGTTTCAAGATTCGTCCAACCGTCCCTTTTAACAAAACCTTCGATACTGTCAAAAAAGTCCTGGACCTCATTCCAGCCCTCGGCCTCAACGGAGTGACTTTGTAGTTCATCCTGCGTGAAGTGATAGGGACATTCGCCTCGGATGCCAAGTTCTTGCCAATACGTAAAGCAAATCTATTAGTCCCGACCGATCAGAATATCGTGGAAATAACGCCAAACCTACCTCTCAACGTTGATGAGCGCCTCACGAAAGGAAACGATGTCATCGTCCCACGTATTTCCGGCCAGTTCAACCAGGAGACGCCGGGTCTTACCATGATCTAAATGGAATGCTCTGGCAAGCAGGGGATTGCGTTTTTCGGTTTCCAGTAAATAAAGTTGGAATAGTATTGATTTGAATATTTTTTGTTTGATCTGAGCTTGTTGCTTAGGATCAAGATCGGCAAAGTTGTCTGGATGTTAGAGTAGAATACTACCTTGGTAGTCTATGAGCGGAGATGGTTGCGCTTGAAGAAAGAGTAGACCTGTCTACAAGCCTTGCTAATCAATGACAGCTATTATTTTACTACTATCCACAAAGAAATTAGAGGAATGAAAGTTATTATGCTATAATATAGGGCGAGTGAGGACAGGCTTAATATCTATAATTAAAGGGGCCACTTTGATATACTTTCTGAGCAGCTACAGATGCACTTGTGGGTTGTTTTGAGCTGGTGAGGTCAAGGGAGCTTTATTTGGCTGTTTCGGAACAGCATATTTTTTAATCCATTCTGTTTCGCGCCAGCCAACACCTAATATGTAATCTTTAGCAGTTAACCCTAGTAATAGTTAGCTAAAGAAATATTATATAGCTATATGGTAATGCCTATAGGGACCCTGAGAGATATCTGTAGAAGAGCGCTCTTTACTCTAAAAATCCCTATTAACTGTAGGCCTAATACTAAATATGTTATATATTTACTCTTTTACTTATGGGTTGGCCTTACTAATAAGATTTACTAGGACTATGTCTTCTACTGTATTACTAGCGAAATATATACTGCCGTAGCTAGTAAGGAAAATATCAGACTTCGCATGTAAGGGTGAGTGTGAGAATAAAAACACTATAAAAATAACACAGATAGCATCTTTGATTCGATAGATACTATATCTCTCATAATAGAAAGTTTGGAATCCGGATTAAGCTCATCCCAAATCAATCTAAGTTGTGTGCTAGTCGCCTCTTCCATTAAAATATATTCCGAGCCTATAGGGTTCTCATCTATAGCACTCCAACCTAATACTTGGGGTACTAGAATCTGGAGGAAATGCTGAGCCTTAGAGAAGAATGTATAAGATTAAATATTTCCTATGTATAAATGGGGTAAGGTTAACATATAAACTCTATAGTAGCGACTTCGGAAGCAGTCGTATGAAATAGGGGTCCGGAATTTAGATTAGGGATACGGGTAAGCACTGTTCTCCCATCATTCATAATCAAACGGAAGACCTTGTTGTATCCTCCCTCTGCCAACTTGATTATTGAGACGCAGCTGTCTGCTCCGATAGTTTTGGCCGCTAAGCCTTGTAACCCGGCGACATCGAAGGGCTTATACCTGTCCCGAAATTGTTGATCTTCATCCCAGAGCCATCTTCCGCTTGTATAGCGGAAGAATTGCTCGTAATTAAGATCGGGTGGTGTCGTTTTCTCGGAGGGGGTCTTGAGCGTGCGATAGGCGAGGTTGTCGCGAACCATAGGAAGGGAGGTAGGCGTTGAAAACGGTTGTGGTGATGCTGAACGGAGGGCAGGCGTTCTTGAGCGAAGACCCTCAAATTTTTGGGACCTTAGCTCTCGGAGAGATGATAGGGCGCGTCGTGCGATACGCAATTTCATTGCTGGTCCTTGTTTATGAGAATGGTGTTGAGATCAGCTGCGCTGGGGTGTAGCCGCCCTCAAATTCCTAGTGCGTGGTACATCCTAGTGGATTTGTTGAGTATCCATCCAGACATAATTCCCGTTCCATTGCATCTAGTCAATTGAACGATAAACAATTGACAGCTTTTATTCAAAAAGCCATTACTGTGTCAAGGTCAACAAAAAGATATTTGATGAAAATGAAACAAATACAAAAACACAAAAAGATTGACCGACGCAGGGATCGAACCTGCAATCTCTTGATTCGTAGTCAAGCGCCTTGCCATTGGGCCAGCCGGCCGTCTTGTATGATAAGGGGAGCTAGCTGTGGTTACATAAGGCAAAGCTTATTTTGTTTGAAGTGCCAACACCTTCACACCGCCTCCGAGGCTCGCATCTGTAATCCGCTTCGCCGCCACGCGCAATCGGAGTGGCAATGAGGTGGCAATTGTGGAAATGCCTGGTTGTCGGGTCTTTTACTAGCCTCATTCACTTCCTGTTCATTTTCGATCTGGTTAGTGCGATTAGGTTCGTGGTTTGTGGTGAAGAACTGATGACTGTTGTGGCTTGCGCAAGGTTTATCTTCAAATGTTACGATGTGTACATATATATCTATAGTATTAAAATGTCGCACCCTGTGCAGGTGCCAACAACAGATGTCTGCAGGTGGAACACCGACATAACCAAGTGCTTACAGAGGTCAATCAACTCAGATCTAATTTACGGTGAGGTAGTCAATGTTTCACATGTGCATTAGATGTAAGAAAACATGAAAAATCTATATTGATGTCAAGTATGGAAATAAGCATAAGGTTTGAATGTTATCGATGCACATGTGTACCTGAAGTTACATTTAATGCACATGTAGAATGGACCACCAGACACCCCAGGTATGTACATTTAAAATCAAGCATTTGAGACAAAGACCAATTAGGTAAAATGAATCTACATATAGGTCCCTATACATCCTGATTGGCCCATAATAGGGGTAGATAGAATCCACGTTCAGCCTCATCTCCAATCGAGTAAAGCACATGCAAGGCGCTTGGATTTTAAGACATCTAGACTCCTGCACCCCAGATACACCCTGGCCCCCCTATACCGGGAGTATCCACCTCGAAAGACGGGAAATTGAGAAAAAAGTCTTCAGACTTGCCGTTAGTTCGAGGGATTGAGACTAGAGTGACCCCCCTAGCCACCCCAGCATGCGTCGACCCACGACGGGCTCTATATTAGCAAAGGAGATCAGATGATGCAGCTTGAGATCATAGCGGGGCTAAGGATCCTCTTTGTCTTGGAAGAGGATTGATTGCATGGGTTGCTGGTGTTAGGGTGCAATTTCGAATCTTGAAGAGCATGTTCGCTCTATGCCACGTTGAGTAGTTTAGGGTTGGCGACGATATAAAGTGGGCTCAAGAAGCTTGATTGTGAATCAAAAGTAGGGTGTTTTGAAATTTGAGACGATGCAAGGACCATGTCTGTGATGAATTTCCAGTGCATGTTGGATCAGCGTTGAGTGTCTTGAACTCAAAAATAGGAAAGATGACTAGTTGAATGTAGTCACAGAGATCGGGAAGTATACTAGCGCTGATAAGGCCCAGACCCTTTTTTTCTTTTTTCTTTTTTCTTTTTTCTTTTTTTTTTCTTTGAACATTTAATTTCCCAAAAGAGTCACGGGCCGATCGATGACCATTTGAGTGCTACGAGTGGATGAAGAACACAGTCAGATTTGAGGACTCAGGAATGAATTGGGTAGAGATGTTATGGACTCCCCTTTATTCATTAATGAATTGTCTTTTTTTTCTTTCTTCTTTTCTTTCTTGTATACTCTACAATCTTCACAAGAACTTACTGTCAAAATCCCGAAATTCGGGCAAAAGACAGACTTTCCTGCATATCCCGATCACCGGGTTGTTTCGGGAGCGGCAAACCGTGAGCTTATCAGGAGCCAATGGAGAAGAAGCTCAATATCTCAGAGTTCAAGGGCAGAACCGAAAGCGTCGAGGCTTGGCCTGCAGCGGACTGACCCACTTAGCGTCCGGTGGCAAGTCTTTATCTGCGTCCAATCAGAATCCCGATAACACTCCCTCAGCTGTCCAATTGCTTGCCACGGATAGTGGATTGGGGGAGATGGAGAATGTCAGAGATAAGAAATCCCCCAATTCCACTGTTTAAGCTGGACTCCGGCCTGTTGGAGTTCGCCGAAATTGTAGCAAAATGTATGAGTGATAAGCTTATCTGGGAGAACAAGGGGATGTTATAACCACTTCTGGATCTATACTTTGTCTAGAAATCGTATATAGAGAGCTCAAGAGCCTCCAGGGGGGAATCGAATTACAAGAGTTATCATTTTTTTTTTTTTTCTTACCTCCCCCTCGTTTGACACACCCCCATGGTCAACTTCCCCGGAGATACTCACGAACCGATACGATGGTTCCCACCGGAGATCCATTGGGTAGAAGCGTGGACTTTGTTCCGGAGCCAAGAACTAAAATTCCATTAGGGACCAAGGAAAGAAAAGGCAAAGAGAAAAAGGAAAAAGGAAAAAAAAAAGGCGAAAAAGTTATTCCCGCCACCTCTCTGTTAAGTATGGTCCGGTAGCATGCACCGGGAGGATTTCATGATGATGCCAATGGAAAAGATAGGCATTGAGAGATCTAGGTCTTCTTTTTTTTTATTGTCTTGAATTTGTTACTTTTTAGTGTGTACTATTCCCCCTTCTTTTTTTATTTTATTTTTTTCATATTTACAATTAACAATTGAACTTCCAATTGCCAAAAAAAAAAAGATACAGTAAAAAGAGAGAGCAGTATCATATCAGTTGATTGGGGCGCAGTGGATGATCCCGATTATCCCATTACTGTTGTCATAATCATTTTCCACCTTACTTGACAATTCCTTCAACATTATTCCACTTAACCGCGCCTCCCCCGGGTTTTTTGCGTTAAATTGCTCGGAGCTAATCAATTACCCTGGAATTGGAATTTTTCTTGCTTTTTTTTATTATATTTTTATCCCAGTTTATCTGCTTCCCAATTGCCTCACGCCTTGGTCCGATTTCAGGCCCTGGTGGGCCCGTCGATCCGACTTATCGCTCTGGGACTCCGCAACGGTTCCAGTTTCCAGAAATTCGTTTATATTCCTCGCGACTCTCCCCCGTGGCGACTTTTCCTCTTCTCCACATCCTCGTGCCTGCAGCTCTTTTCGCGATTCATTTAGCTTGCAGCACTTTCCGTTAGAAAAAATTTCTCTCCCTTGCAAAACATCCCACACCCCCGAGGAAAAAAAAAAAACCACTACCGACTACCTTATTTCTCCAGTCGAACGAGCTCTTCGGAGTTCGAATCGTCTATACTCAATCATGTCAACCTTCGAAGGGAAATCCCCGTACTCCCCGGATTATGCATCTTATAACTGGACTGGTGCTCCGTCCGACTATTCTGCACTAACCACCAATGATGCACTGGGTGGTGACTCCCGTATGTAACCAATCCAATCCTTGGACTCGTTGGATTCGCAGTTTCCTCATACCCAGGTTTTTCTTTGATCTAGGCACCGAGAACTTGAACAAATGGTTCCAATCTGGTGATCAGGCCTACATCCTCGTGGCCTCGGCCATGGTCATGGTCATGGTGCCTGGTCTCGGTTTCCTGTACTCGGGCTTGGCCCGCCGAAAGTCCGCTCTTAGTATGATCTGGGCATGTATGGCATCCATGTCCGTCGTCACCTTCCAATGGTACTTCTGGGGTTATTCCCTCGCCTTCTCCCCGACCGCCACCAACGGTTATATCGGTAACCTACGCAATTTCGGCATGATGAAGACCCTGGCCGCGCCGAGTCCGGGTTCTCCACTAATTCCTGATATTCTATATGCTTTCTACCAGGTATGATTCAGCCGGATTTACCATGTCACTCCAAGTCGAACTTCGTTTTTGTTTACATTTCATCTAGATGCAATTCTGTGCCGTGACTGCGGCTATTGTTATGGGAGCTGTGGCCGAGCGCGGTCGGCTTCTCCCCGCCATGGTGTTTACTTTCGTCTGGGCAACCATTGTATACTGCCCCTTGGCCTGCTGGGCCTGGAACGTGAACGGCTGGGCGTATAAATATGGTGTGATGGACTACGCCGGTGGTGGTCCCGTGGAAATCGGATCCGGTTTTACCGCTCTCGCCTACTCCATGGTTCTCGGCCGTCGACAAGAACGCATGATGCTCAACTTCCGTCCCCACAATGTCTCGCTCATTCTACTCGGTACCGTCTTCCTTTGGTTCGGCTGGCTGGGATTCAACGGTGGTTCGGCTTTCGGTGCCAACCTTCGCGCTACCATGGCCTCTTGGAACACCAACCTTACCGCGGCATTTGGAGCTATTACTTGGGTTCTACTCGATTGGCGCTTAGCTCGCAAGTGGTCTATGGTTGGTTGGTGTTCCGGTACCATCTCCGGACTCGTGGCTGCGACCCCGGCATCGGGTTTCATTTCCCCTTGGGCCAGTGTGGTTCTGGGTATCGTGACCGGCATCGTATGCAATTACTCGACCAAGATCAAGTTCTGGATCCGCATTGATGACTCTATGGATGTGTTGGCTGAGCACGGTATCGCCGGTATTGTCGGTCTTGTTTTCAACGCCTTCTTCGCTGACGACGCCATCGTGGGCTTGGACGGTGTCAACACCGGAACCAAGGTCGGTGGCTGGGTCATTCACAACTACAAGCAGCTCTACGTTCAAATCGCCTACATCGTCGCCACTGCCAGCTACGCCTTCGTCATGTCTACCCTGATCGCTCTCGCTATCAACGCCATTCCCGGTCTGAACCTCCGCGCCTCCGAGGAAGCCGAGCTGCTCGGTATGGACGACGACCAACTGGGCGAGTTCGCCTACGATTACGTCGAGGTCCGCCGTGACTACCTTGCCTGGACTCCCCAGCAAAAGGACCAGCTTGAAGATGGCCATGAGATCCCCGCTGCTGAGCGCTACGGTATCTGCGAGCACAGCGATATGATGATTGAAGGCCAGCCGCCCAACGGCGAGATCAGCCAGAGCAGCAGAGGCGGTAGCGAGGTGGAGGCTATCCAGGAGATCAAGGTAGCTCCCGGTCCCCGACAAGTCGCTGAGCACCACCCTCCCGACGCCCAGCCTCCCACTGAACAGCCCGTCATGTTGAGGCCTGTCAACGAGAAGACCGAAGATGGCTAAACACCCCACCTCCCTCTCCCTCTCTCTCTCTCGCCCACGACCTCCGCATCTCTTCCAGCCTTTTCTTTTACGCATTTGTTCGATATCCCCCTGAGCGTGTTTTTCTGCATTTCTCCATAAAAGCCTGGGGCTTTTTTGTTTTCTTTCCAACATAATCATCCTGTTTATCATATCTCACCAATCTCCTCCGATACCTCCACCTACAATTTTTCGACCTCCCGCCTCATCATCTATACATGAATATCCGACGAAAAAAACCCACCTATACAACCTCTTCTAGAGGATCCGCACATTTTGTTTCGGGTCTTCCCGACTCGAAAAAAAAAACCTTCCGATTCTGAAAAGCAATGATTATATATGCTTCTTTCTGAGCTGGCACTTTTTTTTTTCTTGGATACGGTGGTGTTGTTATTACCTACCTTTATTCTTCTATCATGGGATTTGAAAGCATTGTATATATTGTGTTTGGTCTTGTTCTTACTTTTATTTTTTATCTTGGACACCGCTATGGAGCTGGCTATGCGGATGTTTGATGATACCTGTTGCACTATAGACAATTTGATTTCAGACTACAGATTTACAAACTTCCAACGTTAACCGTATGCTATCTTCAAATATTAAGTCTAGATGATTACGCACGTGGAGGATGCCAAGGCCGGCCGCTACCTCAAGCGGCAATCTTCATAGCTCCTGTCAGGACCCGACCCGTGATTTCCAGATTAGCCATTTGAAATGTTGGCGCTTTTCAGAAAGTCTACAAGAGTACTTCCTTCTCTCAATGTATCACTGAGTGGGGTTGTACCTAAATTAAATGGCCCTTTGACGAGAGCCATAACATCAGCAGCCCCTTTCCTGCCCCCACAACAGTTCTCAGCATCGAACTTGGTGAAGATTGACCTCGTCGACAAGATCGAAGAAGAAGATCTACCTTCATAAATTGCAGAGAACTACTACCCTGTCCACATAGGCGAAGTCTTCGCATCGAGGTATCAGGTCGTCTCTAAGCTTGGTTATGGCATGTCTTCTACCGCCTGGCTTTGTCGTGACCTTCGGTATGTAGACTGGTCGTGTTCGATCAAAACACACATGTCTAATTGGCTCCAGCGATCATGGCTACAATACATTAAAAATATGCATCCGTGGTCAACGTCCAAACCAAGAAATTGAAGTCTCTGATCACTTAAAAAAAGCCTGCGATCACTTTGGCAAGCGTTTGGTGCGCCTTGTCCTCGATTCATTCGACATCTCGGGCCCTCACGGGACCCATACTTGTTTGGTCTACCAGCCTCTTGGCATGAGCTTCACTGAGCTCCAGCACTTATGCCCTGATAGCGAGCTGCCTGAGGATCTGCTCCGGAAAACCGTCCAACTTATTTTGATATCTTTAGCTTTTGTACACGAGAATGATGTTATCCATACTGGTTAGTTCGCAAGTGCTGACTACTGATTGGGATATGTATACCAAATTAGCTAACGCACTACGAAACATCTCGACAAACAACATACTTCAAGGAGTCGGAGACACTTCGGTTTGGCGTCAGATCGAAGAGGACGAAATATCAAGACCAGTTGCCAGAAAGATACTAGATGATCGGGAAATATACCTCTCTCGGCCGGTGCCTGTAAGCGAAGGATTGCCCGTTCTCTCTGACTTTGGAGAAGCTAGAATTGTATGTGGCAAAGCAAAACAAAGAGGTGATGTAATGCCTGGTATTTACCGGGCCCCAGAGGTGATTCTGGATATGGAATGGAATAATAAGGTTGACATCTGGTCTATTGGTGTTATGGTTAGTTTGGCTTCAAAGTTCGTCCTCGTTGACCCTTAAGTATGCCAACTGACGACGAACTCAGGCTTGGGATATGGCTACAGGTGGCCATCTTTTTTACTCTAAAAAAGAAGGAGTTCTTAACGACGAACAACATCTAGCGGAAATGGTATCGCTCATGGGGCCTCCACCCGAATTTCTACGAAGAAGCGCCAAATCCCTCCGATATTGGGATGGCAAAGGTTGTGCATTTCCCCCCATTTCCTCCCGTTCGTGTCTGTTGCTAATAGGAACACAGGAAATTGGAAAGGTTCTGTGCCCATACCGGATCAATCATTGGAAATGCGGGCTCAGCAATGTCACGTTGAGGATAGGGAGCTTTTTCTGGCTTTCCTTCGCAGGGTTCTATGCTGGTTACCAGAGATGCGACCTCCTGCGGAAGAACTTGCATACGACGAGTTTCTGATGCAGGCAGTATTGAGGAATCATACTATACATAACGAATAATTATTTCAATAATTAAGAGCATACATAAGACCTTACTAAGCTAAAAGCGGAACAGACTAGTTAATATTAAGCTTAATATAAGCCTGAGGTTTTCCACGAGCTCAACTTGATTGGCGTGACAAATCTTGATTATTATCCTTACGGAAGAAATTGCTACCTAGTATTATCATTGCAACATGCCCTATAACCACCATATTCATATCCATTACCCACATGTGCAACATTATTCAATCAACATTATGCATTCCCAGAAATCCTTCAACGAAGAAAAGAAAAATTTAAGAAAAATTTAAACCACGCAAAGTAATGAAATAGCAAAAACGAACAAGACATGCAAAAAGCCTAGCTGAGGGACATTCCTCCGCGTCGCAGCATTCTGAGCAACGCCAGAAGCAGCCGAGCCTGCAGAGCTAGTCCGGCTCCCACTAGCTGAGCTAGAACCCGTACCCGTGCTGCTAACAGTGCCGATCGTCTTGGTACCAGACTCGACGACCGTCGAACCGGGGACAACGACAGTTGATCCGGAAATGATAGCTGTTGAGCTGGGCAATGTGACCGTCGACCCGGACAGTGAGCCTGTGTTCGTAGAGCCGGGCTCCGTGGTGTACGTAGTACCCGGGACGATGACCGTAGAACCGGAAACAATCAGCGTGGAGCTGGGCACCGTGACTGTTGATTCGGTCTGAGATGCTGTGCCCGTGGAGCCGGACTCGGTGTATGTGGTTCCGGGGACGATCACTGTTGAGCCGGAGATTATCTGTGTGGAACTGGGCTGTGTCACGATTGAGCCGGAAGAGGCTGTGGAGGGAGCGGATGACTCCGTTACGGTTGACGCGGAAACTATCACTGTTGAGCCGGAGACGATCAAGGTCGAGCTGGGGAATGTGACGGTTGAGATCGGCGCGGAGGTTGTGCCCTGGCTAGTGGATTGTGTGGCTGTTGTGCCTGAAATAACCTCCGTGGTTGCGGGGATGGTGCTTGTTGAGCTGCCGACTACCACTGTGGAGGCGGACACGGTGGTTGTGCTTTGTGACGCTGTTTGTGTTGACTGTGTTGAAGCTGTTGACTCTGTCTGGGAGCTGCTGCTCGTTATTGTGCTTGCGGTTGACTGCTGGCTACTACTGGTCGAGGATGTAGAGGTCGGGGCAGCAGTGCTGGTAGCAGTCGACTGTGTGCTGGTAGTAGAAGTTGACTGAGCACTGGAGGTGGTAGTTACGACTGAAGTACTCGAAGTGCTCGAACTTGTCGAAGTCGCCGAAGTCGTCGAAGTCGTCACATCAACACAATAGTTCAAATAGCTTGCAAATGTAGGCAGCAGGTCGTTTGTATATATGGACGAGGCAGAGCTGCCCGCCTCAGCACTGATGCAACTCTCGCAATAACCCAATTCTATCTCAAACCCAGATCCAGAGGCACACAACGAAGCGGTTAACCCACTTTTTTCGGCAACAATGGCAACTTGATTGCATATTCCAAAGCAGGCAGAGGGTATGTCATCGACGTCCACACGCTTGACCATTCCACCGAAGAAGTAGCCCATGAATTTGTCATATTTGCCATGAGGTGGTGGAGGCGGCGGAGGGAATATGCTGCTCTTGCCAGTGGGTACGGGATCCACGGCATAGTCGAAGATATCGTAGCTCAAGCCAAAGTTTGTGGGGTTGAGGTTGTAGTAATTGAGCGAGACATTGTAGCCGGATTCGTCATTCCATTTCGGAACTGGAGACACGATACACTCGTCGGGGGAACAGATGTAAGTATCGGCAGGAAGACCGGCTTCAACATTGCAATCGGCTCGATCACCCGTATGAGGGGGGCTGCAGAGGTATCCGGGTGCACATCCCCAGATATAATCGTCAGGTAGCTGGGTGGTGGGTGTGTAGGTTGGGTTGGTGACTAGGCTAGAGCATACAGAAACAGTAGTGATGTGTGTCTGTGTCTCCGTTTGAGTAGTGCCTTGTCCAGTAACACTATAAGTCACCGTTCTGGTGCTGTCGTAGCTCTTCGTGAGCGTGGTACCGGGCTGAGTGACAGTATTTGTAACTGTACTGCCCACTGAGACGGTGGTCTCTGATCCTAAGGACCAAGTCAGTATCTTAAGATTATAGTCTGATCTGGATTATTTACCCGAGGCTGTGATTGTGTCAATGATAGTCAATGTACTTGCTGGGACTGTGGTTGTCAAAGTCCGCGTTGATGCCGGTAAAGTGCTGACGGTCCCTGAGATGGTGAGCGTGCTGGGAGGTTCAGTAGTGACTGTTGTGACTGTCGATGCTGGAATAGTGGTTGTGATATAGCTCGAAACAGTATCAGTTTCCACAATAGTGGTTCCTAAGCCCAATAAATCGTTAGTTCGTCTTATAGTAGCTGTCCATATCTAAAATATTGAGCGTTTACCTGGGGCAGTGGTTGTTAAAGTACTGGCTGGAAGGGTTGTAGTAACAGTCAGAGTTGACGCTGGAAGAGTAGTGACAGTTCCTGAGATTGTCACTGTACTAGGAGGCTCGGTAGTAACTGTTGTGATTGTTGACGCTGGAATCGTAGTTGTGAAATAACTTGAAACGGTATCAGTCTCCACAATAGTAGTTCCTAAGCCTAGTATATAGTTAGTCTTTCAGCAGCTGTATAGGTTTAGAACGTCAACTGCTTACCCGAGGCTGTGGTTGTAATTGTCCTGGCAGGAAGAGTTGTAGTTACAGTCAGAGTTGACGCTGGAAGAGTGGTAGCGGTCCCTGATATAGTGATCGTACGAGGCGGCTTTGTAGTAACGGTCGTGATTGTTGACGCTGGAATCGTGGTTGTGAAATATTTTGAAACAGTATCAGTATCCACGATAGTAGTTTCTTTACCTAGTAGATTATTAGTCTTTTCTTAGCTTCAAGTATGATAAAGATATGGTGGAATATTTACCTGGAGCTGTAGTTCTGCTTATCAAGGTAAAGGTACTGGCTGGAAGGGTTGTTGTGACAGTGAGAGTTGAGGCCGGAAGAGTGCTGATAGTCCCTGATATAGTAATTGTGCTAGGAGGTTGAGTTGTGGTGGTCACTATTGTCGACGCTGGAATAGTAGTTGTGATATAGTTTGAGATGATATCGGTGGTGACCACAGTATCTGTCTCCACCACTGTAATTGCTGGGCCTAATACAATGTTAGAAATTTTAGGAAAAAGGAATAGACTAAACAAACGCTTTTACTTACCTGTAGCCGTGATTGTGTCACTAGTAGTAACAGTTACTGTACTAGCTGGAAGTGTCGTTACCACAGTATGAGTTGATGCTGGTAAAGTAGTGACAGAACCAGAGATAGTAATCGTCCTAGGAGGCGCAGTGGTGGTAGTTCTGATAGTTGATGCAGGGATAGTTCTAATAGACCCAGTGAGAGTATCGGTCTTAAAAATCGTATCCGTCTCCACCACGGTAGTTCCTGGTAGGTTTGAGCCTGTCACAGTGACCGTTGTTTTTGACCCCGACAAGGTCACAGTAGATCCTCCGACAGTTTCGATGTCTGTGGAAATTACGGTGGTTCCTGGCAGGTTTGAGCCCGTCACAGTGACAGTTGATCCTCCGATTGATTCGACATCCGTAGAAACCACAGTGACTGTGCTAGCAGGTGCGCCACTACCCGAGACAGTGATAGTTTCAGTTGCCGTTTGAGTGACAGTATTTACCACCGTGACCGTTGCAGCTGAGCCGGTCTCTGTAACAGTGCAAGTAGATGTTTCTGTGATGGTGTGTGAATTGGATCGCGCAATCGATGTGGTGATGATATCGGTTGTAGTGCAGGTTGTAGTACTAATATCGGTAACTGTATCCGTGACTGTGCACGTGGCCACCTCGCCGTCGCCAACCCAAATTGTAACTCCAATTGTGATGGTTATGTCCACATCAACATCAATCTCTGCTGCCTGTCTGGCCCCCATTACTTGGGTAATAGCTGCCAAAGTGGGGGCGGTTGAAGCAACATCGTTACTTTTCGTTATGGTTGACACACTCAAGGCAGTTGTCGCGAAAAGCGACAACCAAGCGACCGACAACTTCATCGTGAGGTCTCAAGACGCAGCAAGCTTGAAAACGGGCCTCGAAAATGCTCAAAGAGGAAGAATGCAGCACGATGGGGGAAAAGGGAAAAAAAAAGAGCTCCAAGGCACATATGCACGGTCCTCGGGGTGTTTTTCCTCAGTACCTGAGCGAATTCATGTAGCGGAGGCTCAAAAAGGGCCAAGTCATTGGGGCCTCACGGCCCCTCGGAGCCTTGGTCACCGTTTTTCTGTGTTTACATGGTCAGTTTTTTTCCCCCGCAGACAAAGAGAAATCGACCTAAGCCAAGCTCGGGCACAAAGACGGGACGAGAATCCTGCCCGCGAACACGCAGGACAAGGCGTGCAGATGTGGATGCAACTTGGCCAATTCAGCCGCGTGAACAGGGATTAGTTCATGCAAAATATGCAACCCCCTCAACAGATCAGCAGCCTCGTTTAATCTCGACTCGTATCGTGCCTTCTCGCTACTACGCTACTGGATTAGCGGTCGGTCGAGTGCATTCGAAATGCCGAGCTAGTGAGAGGAAACCACCCCAACCAACAAAAAACCCCCTCAAAACAACCCAATTGCGATTTATGGAAAAGATCGGATCCGGCTTACCTTCGATGCAACGATGAGACCGTGCATAACTGGGCTTCTTTGTTAATGGTTGCCCTCGGTGACCTTCCCGGCCCTGGTCATGGTGCGCACGGGTCTTGGACTCTTTGGTCATGGCGGGGAGATTTTATTGATTTTTATGATTTGTAAAAATTTCTATTTTATTTTTACATCAAAGAAAGTGGGAAAAACAAAGCCGCATCGATAACTGCGCCTCCCACTGGTTGTTAGCGGTCATCCTGCTGGTAGACCCGCGATGAGCTTGGCGAGGTGACAATTCTTACCTTGCCCCATCACAAGTCCCATTTGAAGATTTCACATCCGAGTGTGGAGACTTGAGAGTGGCCGTTGAAGGGAAAACAAAAGATGTTTCTGCTAGGGACGTTTTTGACGCTGCTGGCGGTCATAGATCGCACGCAGGGAACATGCGGGCAGTATTATACAGAGATCAGCTCTTCCATGTGTAACTGGGGGTCACTACGTGGTAAGAGATTCTATCTGTGTGATCGCTATGTAGTTTCAAAGTATTGACATTCTTAGCCAACATCATTCGCGATACGATTTACATAGACGGAGGCTATCTCTGGTACGAGGAGTAAGAGAGCCCACCAAAAAGGAAGAGAAGAGTGCGTTGATGCTGACAATTGCCCATTTCAGAATATTCTCAAATAATTGCACCCTTCCGTCATCCGATGGTAAGGATTTTTCGAAGCCCGAGCTTGCTAAGGTATCGAAGCTAACGGAATAAACAGGAAGTTTGTCAGGCTCCGTCTACACTTTCAGCCTTTCGGACTCATTCAATACCACTTCAAATTTCTCCGATATACTCCACTTGAAGGCTATCGCTGGCGGAGCCGGGAGCAACATAGATCCAACATTTATTGACGGTGTAATGTTTGCCAACGACGGCGAATTCTACCTCTATGGGTTGGTACCATCTTACAATGCGCATAAGGTGCTTCGATACTGACGCGATGCACTATAGAGGCGCCGCGATGCTTTCCTCTGATAGCACCGAGGCTTCTTCGGAAGATACTGTACTTGGATATGAGGCTTACCAGTATGATGGGGTCACAATTCAAGACTGGGACCCTATGTGGTGGACAGACACCCTACCGGACAATATGACAACCTACATTACCAACGGCGCTGGAGAGTCCGCTCCTAGCGAGAACCTAGGATTTTACTTCAGTGGAATGCATGCCTCGAGCTGGGGATCCATTTTTTACCCGGCTGAAGCAGCCAACATTACTGCGAACACATTAATCACGGTGAACATGACAGTGATGCGCTCCGAAACATGGGAGAACGATACCATCCCGAGCTATGTCCAAGGCCGCGCGAATGCGGAGCTTGTTTGGGTACCAGTCTCCGAGTCAGGAGTCCTGGTAGCCATCGGGGGTGCGTACGATCCCGCAGACTTATTGGTGACTCTGAGCTCAAACCAGACTGCGCTCAATGAAAAGCTCAGCCCGACATTCATGGAAACGGTCCCTGTTTACGATGTCAGTACCAAAACTTGGTATCTCCAGAACACAACCGGCGATACGCCGCCACAATTGACGGAGTTTTGCTCTGTGCTTGCTAGCGCAGCGGATGGCTCATCACACAATATCTATATCTATGGAGGAGAAACTGGAACCGAGTACTCTGAAGCTGCCTCGGACGATGTGTATGTTTTGTCGCTACCCTCTTTCACCTGGGTCAAGGTCTACAATGGGACAAACACACACGGTCGGAGTCGTCATACGTGCATCAAAGTCTACCCAGACCAAATGCTCGCCATCGGGGGCCTTCACGTCGATTATACGCAGTGTCTTGAGGATGGCATGATCGCCAATTTCAATCTCAACAATCTCACCTTCCAGAACTATGATCCTGCGGAATGGAGTGACTACAAAGTGCCGGACCTCCTGACAGCCAAAATAGGTGGAGAGTAAGTACCGAAAGCTAGCTGAGTACATAGTACTAGTAGTATCCAAGAACTGCCACGGCTAACAGTTTTTACAGTTCCTCAGGAGGCGCCACCGTCACATCCCCATCATCCTGGACCAACTCCTCCCTCGAAGGTATCTTCAGTACAAAATACACCAAAACCATATCAACGTACTGGCCCTATAACACGACTTCCACCGATACCACCACAACGCACCACAAAAAGTTCCCGACTTGGGCAGCGGCTGTGATTGGGGTGCTCTGTGGTCTCCTAGTCATCGGATTGATAATCGTCGCACTTTGGTTCTGGCTCCGACGTCGTCAGCGCCGCCAGGCCGCAAAGGACGACCCTGTGATCCATGAAACTGACGGCCGGCAACGGCTTACCTCCATGTACGGCGGTGGCCCAACTTCACCTATACAAGGCCCAACATCTATTTCAACAGGACAAGAGACGTCCATAGGGATAGGCACAATACAGGAGTCAATCGACACATCTGCCTCCCCCGGCACGGTGGAATCTGGAGGAGGAGCAGTCCACGAGATGCAAGGTACTTCCATCCCCCACCCATACTATACTGACAAGAGTTCCAGATGCGATGCAGAATTTGCCAGCTAACCTTTTTCTCCCCGTAGACTCCTCACCCATCGAACTGCCCACGGCGTTCAACGTCTCCTCTTCCGCACATACCAATCTCACCAGAGGTTCATCCCTAGCCAGTATCGCGCGGGGCTCCTCCCCCTCGCCAATTTTGCCACAGACACCTGCCTCCGAGACTGGTCAATCGTTCATAATACCGAGCCACCAGCGCAGCATGTCAACACGGTCTATTGATAATGTGTTCACGGGTCGGATGTCTCATTTCCACGAGACATTTGAAACCGGGAAGCTCTTTGATAACAACGGAACTGGGTACCACGAGCGCCATGGGTCTGAGGTTTCAGAAGCGAGCTCGACTGCGAATGTTGAGAAAGCTCCCGTTGGTGAGGTTGAAACGATTCATGAGAACGAGTAATGTATGCTTTTTTTATGGTGCAAGTTGTGTAAGGCTTCTGGCGTTTTTGTTATTCAATGTTTGATGATCCGTACATTAATTTCCCTGTGCATACTACGTCTTGGTGTTAACTTGGAACCTTGGAAACGGTTTAATTTATTTGTCCCACCTGCCCAGGTGGGGAGCCCTCACTGGATTGGATTGAATTTAATTACATATTGCTTTCAATGTTGACTATGGTATGTAAGCATCGTAATAAGAAAATTGAAGGGAAATGGGGTAAAAAACAAAGGCTATACTCTAAGAGTTCCATGGAACTACTAATATAATGCGAATGGTAAAAACATAGTACTTCTGGTGCATCTCTCATCTGCGTCGGACCATTGCACGAACGCGTACTCTTTCCTCACGGGTAAGCTTATCTACCACCTCTGCGGCCTCACCGCCCTTCAAAACTTCATCCCACTCATCTTCATCCATACTCATTACCAGCGTCATCTGTACGCACCGGGAAAGTGCTTCGCGGTGGCGGTAGCGACCTGGTGTACCAGATCCGTAACCGACGTCCACTGCGGCACTGACAAGTCCAGCAATATCGCGCTCGAGACGGCCTGCGCCGAGCGGGTTCACCCGGCCCTGGTAAGACCACAACCGTTTCTCTAACAGACGAGCGAAATAAGCGATAGTCACGGTGAGGAGACGGTCAAACGCCTGCTGTGTGAGGATACGGGCTATGGGGACAAGGAGTTCCGACCAGCCAGCTGCAAAGCGAGGACGAACGAGTTCCTTGCTGCTGCCGTCGTGCTCGTGGAAGTCATCCTGGGTATCGATAGCTTGGTCGGCATCGCTTGAAGGGTGGTATTCAATGTCACGGAATGCATCGGCAAGGATAGGCCGGAGTCGGTTCTTGATAACGTTGTTAAAGACGACTTGAATACCGTCGGTGAGAAGGTCATTGACCTTGCTTTCAAAGGAGCTCGCTAGGGCGTAGAGGGTTGTCGCAACCTTAAGTGCGGATGCAGGAGCTGGGAAGAGCGAGAGGAGATGTTCGGTGACCTGCGGCGGTTGATCTTGGTTGCCATCCTTGTAGGTGGGAAGAGGCTGTTTTAAACCCGTGGTGTTTTGAACAATGCGCCGAATATAATCGATGCCGACATCAAGATTGTTGATCTGCACCAGGAATGCGATAATTATTTGCTCTGGGGGCTGGCCTCCCTGAACAGCAGCGCGCGGGTAGCATTCATCACGCATCTTGCGCTGGGTCATGCCGATAAAGTCGGATCCGAGAACGCGAGATAATGTAGGAACGACATTGGTTACCACAGTTTCCTGAGAAGTGGCCAAAGACTGCTGTAAGACCTTGTTGACAATATACATTATGTCATCCACAGCAGAAGTAATGTGAGGAGGGTCTGCTTGGAGTGGTCGTTGCAAATTCAAGTTCAAGCCGGATGGTGATTCATCCAGTTGGAATGCTTTCTCTACAGACCGGCGGAAGAAGAAAGTAGTCATGGCATTAAACGGAGCCACTAGCCGGTCATTGATTTTGCGTGCCAAAGAAGACTCTTGCAAGAACGCAGGAAGCTCATATCTCGTATCGTTATCCTCTTCACCTTCGACGGGAGGCTGTGAACAAAAAAAGTTAGTGGTTGAGCTCTAAAAAATGAAAATATCGATTCGAGTCACTCACGTTACATGTATCTGCCAAGAAGCGACAGTAAAGAGACCAGCGACCGAGCATGATACCCATCTCATTGAGAATTTCATCAATTTCTTTCATGTCAACCCCTTCATCTTCGGTAGCCGTGGCACCTCCTGGAGCCGGCGAGTGTGTACGGGGTTGACCTGGGCGTTGCGCAGGGAGGAAACTCTGCACCAGGAATGTGAATGCATATGACTTGATTTCCATCAACTTTCGATCCACGTGTCGCTCATCGCCCCAAGTGTCAAGGATGATGCCACCTTGTACATCGGCTTCGACCTGAAGTCGCTCAATGACACGACCCATCTTCCGAGGGCCGTAGTGACGTTCGACTAGCCCGCCATGACCATCAATGATCTGTGCGATATGTTCAAATAACTTAGTCAAGGCATTGGCGTAAAAGAAACCGTCCTTAGCCTGCGCCCCTGTGCTGGCATTGAGATTACCGCGCGCTCTTGCCGCCACACCCTGACAGACGTAGCGACCGTAAACATCCTGTCCAACCTCGGATCGACCGATAAGTGGGAACAGCTTGAAGAACCGGGTGATCTTCGCACCGTCATTCTCCTTGACTGCTTTGTCGAATTCCCGCAAGAATAGCCCGCATAATGATTCTGCGGCTGTATCCAAAGTCACACTTGGTGAGTCGGGCACCTCGGCCGTCGGCACCATCTCAGCGGCAAAGGCTCCATTAATCACCGCCGGCGGGATCTGTGAAGCACGGTGAAGGTAGCTGGCCGCTGTCTCCCAATCCTGGGAGGCGCCCATCGACCCTGCAACGCCCAGGGCGCATGCCTTAAGTTCCGCAACCTGCTCCACCACCCCCAATGTAGCTTTCACTCGAGCCTGTTCCAAGTCTAGTCGGCGCACAGCACGCGATATCCGATCAGCTGTGCCCGCTGCTTCGGAAAGCATTCCATGGCTGATGGTTCGGGTCGTGGTTGATTGAGTACCAATGTGGGCTCGCATGAGATCCAACCGACCTAGTTCCCGAGACAAGTCTTTCTGTGAGTTCACCAATGCATCCAAACGGGCAGTCACTGAGGCTTCTTGGGTGTGGAGGCGGGATAGAGCTGCCTTGATCTCGGCCACGGAGTTGGCATTGAAGATATCGGTTCGTGGGGAGGTATCTTCGGTGATCGCAATTGGTTGTTCCAGAGGGGACAGGGAGTCATCATGGCCATTCGTGGCCGGTTGAGATAAGGCCATGGTCAAGACCATTCAGCTTTGGTTTCTTTGATTGAGAGGTACAACTTGCGGGGAATCCAATGTTGACACGCGGTTAAGGTGGCTCCGCGGGCGGTGAGCGGGACTTTTTCTTTCACAAGAAACTTGAAGCTTGAATGTTTGAGCCTCAAAAGAAGCCAATCATTTCATAAGAAATATCTCAAATTCAAAGAGTTTCAGTTCCAGCCGGGGCCTTTATCTACAATCTCCTAACTATTTAGCCTGGGACTAAAAGTATTTCTTTTTGTGCGCCCAACGTCATTTCTCCCCACCACTACTTCACATATTCTTCTCAGAGTCACCCCCAACATTTAAAGTCAGCGCATTTTTCTTTTACTCTTTTGATTCTCTTCCTCTTCACATACTTAGACGGAGACTTCGAGTACAAGTGATCAGATCAAGCGTCAACAACCCCGCTATCAAATCCCGCGGTTCTGCATCATGGGTAACGAAGAGTCAACTATTGTGGATGAGTCCACTCGTCCCTCAGTGTTGGATGCACGCAATATCGAAGCAGTAGCGAAATATGTGAGGGATCATAATGTCCGGAAGATCGTTTTAATGGTTTGTCTTCTATGCCCCCACATACCTTGCAGTCATAGTTAACCAGACAATATAGGTGGGTGCTGGGATCAGTACCTCAGCGGGAATTCCTGATTTCAGATCGCCAGATACGGGACTTTATGCCAATCTGGCTTTTCTCGATCTGGAGGAGCCAGAGGATGTGTTCGACATTGAATTTTTCAGAGAGAATCCCAAGCCTTTCTATGCACTTGCCCATGAATTGTATCCAGGACGCTATCGCCCAACGGTCGCTCATTCCTTCGTCAAGTTGCTTTACAATAAGGGCATGTTGTTAAAACACTTTACACAAAATATCGACTGCCTCGAGCGCCAAGCAGGACTTCCAAATGAGATGCTTGTTGAGGCTCATGGTAGCTTCGCCACTCAGCGTTGTATTGATTGCAAATTGCCTTATCCCGATGACAAGATGCGTGAGATTGTCCAGAAAGCCGAGGTACCATACTGTCTGCACTGCAAAGGCCTCGTCAAACCTGATATTGTGTTTTTTGGAGAAGCCCTGCCCGCTGTATTCCACGAGAACAGTTCGCTACCAAGGCAGGCAGACCTGTGTATTGTCATGGGATCTAGTTTGCAGGTACAGCCTTTTGCCAGCTTGCCATCCATGTGCAGTGAAGGTACACCGCGGGTGCTTATCAACATGGAACGTGTGGGTGGATTAGGATCGCGACCGGACGATGTTTTGGTGCTTGGGGATATCGATGCCGGCGTACGGAAGTTCGCCAAGGCCCTGGGTTGGGAGGAGGAGCTAGAGGAGGTTTGGCAGGAGACTAACCCTGACTCCAAATCTAGGGAGGAAGAAAATGCTCCCCCGAAAACCCGGGACGAGCGACTCCGTGAAGAGATTGACAAACTCACTGAGGATATCGATCGCACCTTGGGCAGAACGGATGCATACCAACAGCGAGTTCGTGAACGGTTGGGCGACTTTAGTAATTCAAGCCGCTCGAACAGCTCATCCTCATCCGAGAATGGGTTGGCGCATGTTTTCCCGCACTTGGCGCGTAAATCTGACTAGATTCGCACCTAGACCGCTTGCAGCGTTGAGAATCTCACCTGGTCCGGTTCAAGATTGTTTCGGAGATCAGTTACTCTACACAGCTTTAGAAATCAAAGATACCAAAGTTCATAATAAAACCAGTTGAAAATCCCGTAACGAAAAGAAGTGGGTTAAAGTGTGTACTGAGGACTCTCTGATTCGTTCGTCCAAGCTCCCTAGGAAAGATTTCCATAATTGACTTTCCAGTGTTTCTTACCGCAGCCAAATCAAGCAAGGCGATCTTTGCCCCACGTCTTTTTCCATATCGTCATTCTCCCCTCCCTTGTTTTCCTTTTCTCTTTTTACCCCTCCCAATTTAAACCGTTTTATTAAAACAAAAAATCTCTATACATTCATCATGGTCGGACTTGGTCCTAAGCACCCACCGTCCCGCAAGGGTGAGCTACTGGTTCTTTGTTTCCTTATCGTGAGCTTGATCGTGTGAGGCTAATCATTCCCCTTCCCAGGCTCGATGAACGATGTGCCCCAAAATCTCCTACAGCAGATCAAGGAGTTTGAAGATGTCTTCACCGTGGACCAGGCCAAGCTAAAGCAGATTGTGGCCCACTTTGTGAAGGAGCTTGAGAAGGGTAAGTCTGGCCCCGCAGATCGCCCCGGTTGCCGACGCGATTGAAGCTTACCATCCATGATAACAATAGGTCTGACCGTCGAGGGCGGCAACATCGTGAGATCCACCACAAACCCACCCATGAAGCAAACTATGAAAAAACTGACAGCATACCATAGCCCATGAACGTTACTTGGGTCATGGGCTTTCCCGATGGTGAAGAACAGGGCACCTATCTCGCCCTCGACATGGGTGGCACCAACTTGCGTGTTTGCGAAATCACATTGACCGAAGCCAAGGGATCTTTTGATATCACCCAATCTAAATACAAAATGCCGGAGGAGCTCAGGACCGGTACTGCTGAGGAACTGTGGGAGTACATTGCCGATTGCTTGGAGCAGTTTATTGAGACTCACCACGGCAATGAGAACCTCACCAAGCTTCCGTTGGGTTTCACCTTCTCTTACCCAGCTACCCAGGAGTACATTGATCACGGTGTCCTGCAACGCTGGACTAAGGGATTCGATATCGATGGCGTTGAGGGCGAGGACGTTGTTCCTCCCCTGGAGGCCATCCTCAAGAAGCGTGTACGTCTGAAGCCCAATCCTTTTCCTTTTTGACCAGCCAACTGATTTCTCTTTTTGATTTAGGGTTTGCCCATCAAAGTTGCTGCCCTAATTAATGACACTACTGGTACTCTTATTGCCTCTTCCTACACCGATTCCGCGATGAAGATTGGCTGCATCTTCGGCACTGGCGTAAACGCCGCGTACATGGAGAACGTTGGATCCGTACCCAAGATTGCACACATGGGTCTCCCTGCTGATATGCCCATTGCTATCAACTGTGAATACGGAGCTTTTGATAACGAGCGCGTGGTGCTTCCCCTGACCAAGTACGATGAAATTATCGACCGTGACTCCCCTCGTCCCGGTCAGCAGGCCTTCGAGAAGATGACCGCTGGTCTCTACTTGGGTGAGATCTTCCGCTTGGCGCTTGTGGACATTCTCGAGTCTCATCACGGCCTGATTTTCAACGGCCAGGACACCTCCAAGCTGCGCAAGCCATACATTTTGGACGCTTCGTTCCTTGCCGCCATTGAAGAAGATCCCTATGAGAACTTGTCGGAGACCGTGGAAGTCTTTGAGCGTGAGCTCAACATCCGCCCCACACAATGCGAGCTGGAAATGGTTCGTCGTCTCGCAGAATTGATTGGTACCCGTGCCGCTCGTTTGTCGGCCTGCGGTGTTGCTGCCATTTGTACAAAGAAGAAGATTGATTCCTGTCACGTCGGTGCTGATGGCTCCGTTTTCACCAAATACCCCCACTTCCAGGCCCGCGGTGCTCAGGCTCTACGTGAGGTCCTGGACTGGGCTCCTAATGAGAAGGACAAGGTTACTATCATGGCTGCCGAGGATGGATCCGGTGTGGGTGCTGCCTTGATTGCTGCTCTCACTCTGAAGCGCGTCAAGGCCGGTAACCTGGCTGGTATCCGTAACATGGAGGACATGAAGACCCTGCTTTAGAATAAACTTTGAACAAAACAACAATAATAATGAACACCTCCAGATGTTCTTGGGCTTGGAGGCATGGGAATCTTGGTTTGCAGAACTGTCTTGAGTTATTGGATTGATGGATTCATATTGCACAGATTTAGACCCTTGGGAAGACCGGAAAACCCCCGGCTCGGCGTGCAGACTATCTTTGCATAACTTCAGGGTGAAATTCAACATGAATTGCATATCTCACTGGTATAATTTAGCCCAACCCACGTGCAAAACACGGTGCTCCACTACACATGTATTACGTAGAAACAACAACAGTTAAAATACCTAAGTGTGGTTGATTTACTGACGTATGGAGGTGCCTCAGGCCAAGTCTTGAGCCACATAAGGTTATCGTGACTGGGGTACCCGAGATCTAAGAAAGGAGATTAAGCTTAATTGTTGGAACTTCCATGGAGAACCACATTTTGCAACATACATAGCCCTTGACCAAGATATTTTAATTCTTTGGTGAAACCTCGGGAATTGCCCGATTTCAAGCGTTCAGACCTATGTTTTTCTCAACAATTGGCTTCTTAACACGCAATCGGCGGGTGAGGCGACGTGATACGCTCCTGATTTCTCTGGGTCTAGCGGGCCCTATGTCGTGATTACCTCCACCGATCGCGCGCAACCAACTCATGCCAAAACCTGCATGGAACAAACAAGAAGGTGTCAATTCCCTTCAAAACAGAATAGCTCGCTAACCATAATAGGTCCGATGTGTCCACGTTTTTCCATATATGGTATTCATCACCGTTGGCCCTGCGCCACTCCACCTCGTTGAGAACTTTAGTCGAATCATAGCACTCCTGTATGCATTTCCCGGGCACCATGTCATTGTCCCCTCTTTTCTCTACCGGAACTTTACTTTATGTGCATACAGTAGCATTCTCTTGTGGATATATGGCGTGCAGAGGCCCTGTCTCCACATGGACCGTACCTCGCAGCAAAATGTTCTTTTGTTTCCCTATAAAGCCCAGATGATATTCCCCAGAGCAGCTCTTGTCGAGTCCCACCGGATACATACTGTACATATCTCGTTTCTTCTGTACTCTGGTCTGTGAACATGTCGGATTCCGACACCAAGGTTGAGGCCACTACTGCCTCGGCAGTTTCCCCTATAGCGTCTTCCGATGTGGACGAAAACTATGAATTCTTCATTCAGCACAGGGGTTTGGAATACACCCCGGAAGAAGAAAAGAAAGTTTTACGAAAAATTGACTTGCACTTGATTCCGATGTTATTCTTCATCTATCTATTACAGGTTAGTACTCTATTTGAAGTTGCCTTGAGTGCTCGATTTTATCTCAATGGAGGCCTGGCACTGACCCTCGCTACAATAGTATCTGGACAAAAATAGCATCAACTTTGCTTCAGTGTACGGTCTCAAGACAGGAACTAAACTTACAGGCTCGGATTATTCATGGCTCAGTTAGTTCGAACACTCCAATCTCTTTGCATGGTTTGCATTGGAGAAAGAAGAATCATTCTAACAATATAACAGGCTCAATATTCTACTTCGGCTACCTGATCGCGCAATACCCAGCCGGACTGGCGATGCAAAAGCTACCGGTCGGAAAATTCTTAGCAAGCACAACAGTCGGTAGGGAAAAAAAACCTTCAAATCATCCAACGCGTCCTTACCTACAGTCTCTAACAACGGAACAAATTAGTATGGGGAGGTCTCCTTATGACAACGCCAGCATGCCACAACTTCGCTGGGATCGCGTCCAACAGATTCCTCCTCGGCATGGTAGAAGCAGTCGTCAATCCGGGCTTTGTGCTCTTGATGAGTATGTGGTATAAGTCGCGAGAGCAGCCTCTTCGCTTGGAAGCGTACTACTGTACCAATGGAATTGCAACCATGTTCGGCGGGTAAGGGATCCCGTTGCTTTATGCTTCCTTTTATGCATCTGGATCAATTGATAACTATGAGGCTAACATGTTTGAAATTTCTCTCTTTTAGACTTCTCGGTTACGCCATTGGACATATCACCACCGGGCTACCGAAGTGGATGTATGTTTTCCTAATCTTCGGTGCCATTTCCCTCGTTATCGGCATCCTTGCATTTTGGCTCCTTCCCGATCTCCCCTCAACAGCCAGATTCCTGAATGAGCGCGAGCGGGCCATCGCCCTCGATCGCATCGCGGGAAATAGGCAGGGTGTGAAGAACCACCAGTTCAAGTGGGATCAGGTGTGGCAGGCGGCGCGTGATCCCAAGACTTGGCTTCTGTTCATTATGGCCATTGGTGCACAGGTGCCCAATTCGGCATTGACCAGTGTATGTATACACCCATTTCTGTCTCGTTAACTGTTTTCGTTCACCATCTGGTCTCCTTGAATATGCATTAACCAGCCCACGATAAACAGTTCACATCCATCATCGTTGAGTCCTTCGGCTTCGACACACTCGGAACCCAGTACCTCCAAATTCCCGGCGGTGCGGTTAACTTCCTCACGCTTATTATCGGTGGCTGGATTGCGACAAAATACCATGGAAAGTTCCATTCCCGCAGTATGTGCATGATTGTTGCGAATCTTACATGCATTCTTGGATCCGGACTCCTGGTCGGTCTACCGAGCTCCAATAAATGGGGCAGATTGGTTGCTTTGTGGCTGTGCTATTTCCAGGGACTGGGATTCAGCATGGGCTTGACTATTATCAGTTCGAATATTGCGGGATACACCAAGAAACAAGTTACCGGTGCTTTGCTGTTCACTGGTTACTGTGTTGGAAATATTATTGGGCCTCAGACTTTCATTGCGAGCGAGGCTCCGGGATATCACAGTGCTTATATTGCGTATGTGAAATCATTCTCTTGTGTCATGGATTCGAACTACGGACTGACAGGTTACAGGATGCTTGCTGGATATTCGGTCAAGTTGGTTTCCATTGTTGCGCTGTACTTGTACATGTACTTGGAGAATAAGCGACGGGATCGCTTAGCAGCTGAGAATGGGGGCTCAGAAGATGATGGCATCGAGGCAGGAATGATGGTATGTTCTTGATTGGATATTGAACCCGAAAATAAGGAGAAGCTAACGGGAATACGCAGGACCGAACGGAAATCGACAACAAAAACTTTCGCTATGTGCTATAATCCAAGTTCAGCAGTGAATTACAAATAAGCTTATAAGCTTGAACAAATGAAATACAAAGGAGTTAAACACAGCCCAATAATTTATCCCGTCTTCCAGTATTTACTGTAGGCTCAATCAATCAATACCCTGTGGCCAGGCATGGACGATCCATAGAGATGAATCGAAGATATCTCGCCACAGATGTTAGACACCCCCGTCCTCTTGTACAATATCTCTCGAGGTATCATACTGATCCCACGACGCACAATTTTGTTCAATGGGCTTATAATCGAAGAGAGCGCGCATCTCATCCTGATTCTCAATAAACTGCAAGGCAAGTCCCATGTTAACATGCCAACCGATATGGCAGTGCATCAACCAAGCACCGGGATTATCGGTTTTGAACGCAATCATCAGCCAGCCACTAGGCGGCAAGATGGCAGTATCACGGCGCGGAGGGTTTGTTGTGAGCAGTGAGACATTAAAGACACCGGAACCTTGAGCCAAGATGTAGAAATCATGACCGTGGAGATGGATCGGATGTGTGACGGGGATCGTGGTGTTGATCATGAAATACACCCATTGGTTTTTCCCTGGAAGCTCGATTACACCACTGGTGTTTGTGAAATCCAAATCCTTGTTGTAAATGTCTAGCAGAGTTGGTTTTTCCCAGCTGATGTTCAAGGATGTGGTGTTGAATTCCCAGCGGAAAAGATTATCTGCGGTTTTGTACAGGTTGACATCGGTACTGTCATCGTATAAGGGGGCATCGACGTCCTTCTTCACCCAGGGGACAAGGTCGGAGAGTGGCATATCCAGGCAGTCGTCTGTGGCGACGAAGCCTGATGTTGTTGGGATCTTGGCACTGTTGCCATAGTAAACTATGCCACGGATGTTGGCACTCTGGTTGTTGGCTGAGCAAAGACTTGCGGGTATTGCCCTCATCCAGAATGAGTCAGCTACGTGTTGCTGGTTTGCTGTGACGATGACGTCGTAACGTTGGCCTATATTGGAGTTGTTAGTCGAGTCATGTTGATTATTGAAAGGCGGGACTAGTACTAACCCATTGCAAGACTAATTACGTTCGTTTTGAATGGAACAATTGGCACAAAGTCCATTCCGATTACCTCCAAAGTATGGTCATCAATGCTAAATTTCCAATGTGTATCCACGGACGGATTCACCAAGCGCAGCCGGTAAGAAGTACCCTGATTCACTTTCATGGTGAACCGACGACCTGATGCAATATGAGGGCTGTCATAGTCGGGCTGATAAACATTGGTACCATTGATAAGACCATTGGTCAGATTGGTGGGACCATTGATCTCATCTTCCAGATAAAGTTCATCAACAGTTCGATGCGTCCAATCACTCAGGAACAGAGGGCCCTTGTCCACATCATAGTTTGCAGTTGCTGGTCCGTTGATAACGAGACCCCCGTATACTCCCTCCCAGGCTTGCAAGCCAATGTGTGAGTGATACCACGACGAACCATATTGAACAGCTCGCCACTTGTAGGTCATGGTATTCCCAGGTGCAATGGGACACTGTGTAATGGAAGGAACACCGTCATTGGGATTGGTATAATTTTGACGAATGCCATGCCAATGAATAGTAGATCCATTCCTCTGTGCACCCAGGTTGTTGGTGACATGGATGATGACCCAGTCACCCCAGTTTGCAAATAGGGTTGGGCCAGGAAGGGTGCCATTCACAGTCCAAACTGGACGTGGGAAGCCATCTGGGGCAAGAATGACTTGCTTGACATCGAACCAATATTCCCTAGTTACACCGGTATTCGGTACAACACTTTCATAGTCTGTGTTGACACTATAATCGCACCAAACAGTTCTGTCCTTGGGGGTATTGCCTGGGCAAGCACTGGTAGAAGTCTTTTTACCAGAGCCCTGAGACCCAGAATTGGTATTGATGGACACTGCCCGTATCTCGGTTGACTTGATAAGGCTCTCAGAACCCCGGGCACCCACTTCAATGGTGTCGATGGACGTTGTGACAGACTCGAAAGACTGGATAATGCTTCCCGGGTATGCAGTGCCAACACTGATTATGTGGGCCACAAGGGCGATCAAGTGTAGCTTCATGACGCGTCGAGTGCAACTTATGGAAAACACAAATCCAAGCTGGAGGGCTGCGGCTCGGCAGGTAAGACCCGAATAGTAATATTTTTTCCTGTTTTAAGAGGTAAACTAAAAGGCCTCGTTATCTGGCAGGGAAGTATATATAGACTATTTTGGTAGCAAGCAGCTGAATGACTGCTCGTTAAGGATTCCCCTACTTGCTTTGAAGCTTCTCGAGCTTCAAGTGGAGAGTGTCTCATGTTGTGTGGGGAAAACGACGGCCCCAAGCCAGTCAAAATGAAGTAATTAATAGTAAGATCATGCATGACAAGCTGGATGAGAGCACTGACCCTCGAACACGACGTTTGCAAGGAAGTTGCTGTTGTTTTTCCCGGAATGATTCAAATTTCCACTCGATGTGACTCGCTGACTTGGTGCCCGACCCTCGGAATAACACGCCCTTTGAAAAAAAAAAGAAGAATAATGAACCGGTCACACGATCTGTATATGGGGGGAATATTGAAGCTTGGAGAGACCATCAACGTGTGGGGACCCAGTGGGTACAAGGTTATCTCCCCGAGTACCACTGCATTCTGCTGGCCATGCATGCTCGCATGCGATTTCCGTAATTACAGGCACGGCATGCAGGGTCGGTCATCCCGTACTCGGGCTTCGGAATTAGCAAATCGATATAAGAGGAATCATTACGTGCTGTAAGATAATCAGTAATTTCGCCAAGGAGATAAACTAAAGAGACTGGTAAGAGAACCATTAGGGCTGTACTAGGAACCATGGAAAACTCTGGAACTAGTCTTCCAACGTATCCAATATTTGATCGCAAGCGATTGAGTTCTACTTGAAAAAGTTATCACAGAGTTTACCGCGTGGCTTAACACGAGCCTGCAGGGATATGAACGAGCTATGGACAACACGGCATGTGAGGACTGGAGAACTGGAGAACTGGAGAACATACTTTTGTGTGAGCCCCGTTGATGCAGAAACCATGGAAGTCAGCTTGAACTTCGGAAGTAGGACCTCGGGAATAAGTTGAAAAAAAGTCACGAGCTCATGCAACACAGCCTTGTCGGGGAAAAAGAAAGATGCGTTGGAGGTTGCAAAAGTTGCCCAAGGTTGTCAGAAATGCAAGGATACATCCCGGTTTACCAAGGCCGCCACAAGATTGCTCAGCTTCCCCCCGGTCAATGGGTCCTGTAATTCAAAATGTTCCAAAAAAAGAAATTAATCCCCCGTCAGCAGAAAGATATATTGACCATGAGACTCCGTAAGCCATTCTGTCTTGCATTTCTGGACCATCGTCAATTCAGGTGAAAAGACTTCCAAAGTTGAGAGACAAGAGAGCATTTGAGGCCTCCAATCAATATCTCACCCATTCATTCGTTCTTTTTTTTTTTAAAAAATCAAAATGTTCAATCTTTTTCTTTCCTTGATTCTTGCTCTCTACTATGTACCCATCTGTTCAGCACATCCACTGGAGGCTCGAGAGGTTGGCACCACACCGTTCAACCTGTATGCTTACGGTACCAACATCAATGGACTTCGCGTTTTCTATGCAGACGGTATCTCTTAACTTGCTGGCATACTTGGCAGCCGCATGCTAACATCCGAATAGGAGAAGCGCAACTCGGGGATATGTCGTTGTCAAGCGCCACCAACAAGATCGCGATTTCTGGTAGGTCCGGTCTTACCCTCCAGTTTTGTGCATTCAAGCCTAACTTATGATCAGTCACATATGGGACTAAGAAGAACACATGGATCGCTCGACCACAAACCTCCACAGGAAACGCCCTCTTCAAGAGCGGTGACGGATCCTCGAATTCTACCTTACTGGGCCTGAGCTCAGGCACTGCGATAGCAAATCCCGTTACTTTCCCACTGTATGATGAGGCGTCCGGGTCAGAAATTAGCCCAGCCGGTGACCTCACTGCCGTGTGGTCCCTATATGGCACTTACGTTATACTTACCGAGACTGGTGCCAACTTTTACGCCAAGCCAACCGGAAAAGATGGTTGGTATATTCTGCTGTGGAGTAGGTCTGTCTCAGCCTCTGTTGACTATATTCCGATCACCTTGACAATCAACGCACCATCGGCTGGAAATACCTAGTGCTTGGACCTCCCCTGCGGCATGACGGTATTGTGGATCGATCTGGGACACGCATGGCTTGACGTAAATTGTGGAGGTCTGTGAATGGGAGGCCCAACGTGGGGTGAGAAGGAGCTTAGCCGATCATTACTGCTTTGTGTGGTTCATTTTGGATTCGGCACTTGTATTCTGAACCAACTCTGTTTGCCGCTGTCAGATTTCAAGTACGTGGCGCGTTAAAATCCCCGCAAGCCACCGATTGGGGCAACCCGCATGCTTGGCATGGTACAAATCAAGATCTTCTTGCTTTTCGTAAAATTTTACCGTATCTGGACTGTGGATTCTTACACTCTCGTATCGTAGGTGGGATTCGGTTGGGTTCATGCTCAAGGTGGATATAGCCTTTTGAGATCTACAAGGCTCCAGGGCTGACTCTAGACCGTATCGATCAGCCAGCCAAGTAGCACTAAGCTAGCGTGTGCCACAAGTGCTTTGTGAGCTTGAACAAATAATCCTTGTGAAAAGTATATTCTCTAAAAATAAGGATGTTGTGGTAAGATCAGGTGCCAAGTTCCAACCCTCGGAGTACCCGAGTACACATTAGAGGGGACAACAAGCATTTGCATCTAGAGAACCTTGGCATTGTGTGCAGTCTGTTATAGCCTATGTCATCGCTCACAAGGGCTGAATAGTGTTCATTTCAAGAGATCCAATACACTCGATGCCCTTTAGTACATCGATCAATAACTCAATTTTATTGGCTTTCATTTTTCCTGCCAGTTGCCCGTAAATAGTTCCAAAATACTTACAATTCCCCATGAAAATATTTCGATCTTTGAAGCTTTGCTCCGTCAATACGAGAGACGGGAGATATGCGTCCTTGGCATTCTATTTATGATCTCCTCATCATCGCCGATCGGAAGACTTCCGATCGCGTTATCTACTACTAACTAGTGAATCCACTACCAAACTAGACAGTGGTGCCGAGATCGGATAGAAGCTCTCGCGATCGATATCCCCCTCTTTCTCCTCCCCAACCTTGGAAAGCTTCACATCTGGATAATTGCCTTTGTGCACAGAGTATATTTTAAACAACTTTAGAGTTATACTTCCGAGATAACGTATCTCACTATCCACACAATGGGCAACACACTCTCGGCATACGAACAGACCCCTCACGAGATTGATCTGGGCCCCAAAGGAACTATTCAAGGCCTCCAATTCGACAAAAAGTCTCGGCTATATGCAGGTATTCCTTACGCGTTACCCCCAGTTGGTCCACACCGCTGGCGGAAACCTCGCCCACTCCCAGCCGATTTTAGCTATACCCAGTCCAATGGGCAACCATTCGATGGATCCACCTTTCGCCCAGTCTGCCCCCAAGAAGCTTTCGCCGGTGGGGCGGAGAAGGATATAGGACCAGACACCTACAGCGAAGACTGTCTACTACTGAATATCTGGACTCCCGTCGAGGAACCTGGGAACCCTGACAAGAAATGGCCGGTTGTCCTTTGGCTCCACGGCGGCTGGTTCCAGTTGGGGGAACCCCTCCAAGAGGCGGGTATGGACCCCACCGAAATGATCTCCACCGGAAGACTGAACGCCATTGTCATCGGAATCGGGTATCGCCTCAACATTTTTGGCTTCTTGGCAGGCGAAGCGCTATTGGAGGAAAGTAATGGAGAGAGTGCCGGAAACTTTGGTCTTTGGGACCAGCGCCTGGCCATGGAATGGGTCTACGAAAACATTGCCGCTTTTAACGGTGACGTGAACAACATCACGCTGGGAGGACGCAGCGCTGGTGCTTATGGAGTGCATGCGCAAGTGCTGCATGAATTCCGGCAAGAATCGCTGCCTCAGCTCTTCCACAGATTCTACATGTACTCCAATGCTATCCCTGCACAGCCGAAGGCACTTGCTGATGTGAAGCCACAATTTGAGGAGCTCTGTGATTACTTTGGTGTCTCGGTTGGTCTATCGGGCCCGCAGAAGATAGACAAGCTTCGCGAGGTTGATCACATGGACCTCGTTGGAGCTATCAAACACCTCAAAAACCATACCTTTCGCCCTGTCACTGATGAGCTGTTTATTTTCTCTGGCTTTACAGAGTACCACCGAAGCGGTGCTTTTGCTCGGCAATTCCAGAAAAGACGCCTGCGCGTCCTGATTGGAGAAGTGCTTAATGAGGAAACTCTATACGCGACGTATAATAGCCCCGAGCCTAATATTGATTCTCTGCGTCTGCAGCTGTCAAACTACTATGCCCCCGCAGCCACGGATCGGATCTTGAAATCCTACACGCTACCTTCAACTACCGATGCAGAGGAATGGAAGAAAGTCTACGGGAATATCATCGCGGATGGCCAAGTCCGCGCACCATCTCGCTGGCTAGTCAATTCATTGTCCAGTCATGGAGTGCCCTTGCGTGATATCTGGCGATACCGGATTGCATACAGGCTATCTTTTATCACCGACAAGGTCGCTCCACGGGCTTTTGGTGTTTCCCATGCGATGGATAAACCATTTTGGAAGTAAGTTTTTAGCTTTTGTTTTCTATCAATGATATGGCACGTACTAATGCGAGTTTTTAGCTTTGCCATTCTTCATGGCCCAACACCTGAAGAGAGAGATCTAATGGAGAATTGGATTCAGTCGTTCGTAGCATTTGTGAATGATGATGCAGAATACGAATTTGGGACGCATCAAAGAGATGAGATGAAAGTCGCTACCCCCGAGGGCAAAATTGCAGTCCAAAAAGATCAGCGATGGGATGAACTGGTGAAGTTGGGAGAGATTTTCGCTAGCGATGTTTAACGCTGTCAGTATACTTAGTAGGTACACATAGGTAAATCATAATGGATACATTTAGTATTGTTGTTTTTCTGCCTGCCGCTACTGCGATAAAGATACATTTGTTCACGAGTCAGATTGGGGGTTCGGGGTCGCAATCGGGAAAGGCTTTCCAATGGAAGATGAAAATCTAAACAATTGAAAGATAAAAGTCAGACACCCAGTCCAGGAAATTTTGCATCCGTTCAAACAGCTTTTCCTTGTCAGCGGCTACATATTGTGCCACTGCTCAAGGGAAAATGGAGAGAGAAGCAACTATATTTGCTTTGGATAATTTCTCTCGGGGGGATGGAGAGAAGAGGAAGGGAGAGGGGAGGAAGCAAGCACTGGATATTGAAGAGGGGAACGGTCTGCGAGCCCGCTAGCCACTACGAACCAATCCCCACGCATCATGAACTCCGGAAATACTACGCTCAGATGATTAGGGGAATCATAATCGCGATTCGCAGCCCCGTCCACCTGACCATTATCACGTGATCTCCTCACACTCTCTTCAATCTTGTACCTCTTTCCCATCATCGATCATTGTCGCGTTCGTGAGGTGACTGAATGAATCGGGATGGATGGCGGGAAACGAGGATGCGGACCGGATTGGAATAAACGAGGATGCGGACTGGGAGTAGTGGAAGATAAGGAAGGTTGACCTAGTCACTTAGGGGTGGCTTGTGGAAGGAAAGATGGTCTGCATTGTCTATTCCTGCACATGTGCGCCGACGCGCTTATATAACTACTAGTACTAGTACTAATGTAACCGGTAACGTAACCGGTGAGCAAGTCGGCAATATACGTGGCTGCTATTAGGCTGCTCGATGGGATAGGAGAAGACCACTCACGGCATCTACATGACATATAATTTGCACGACCCATGGGAGTACACCAGTTCCTGGATGGATGATTGGTCGCGGCGGGAGTGCCTGCCTCCGATCTCAAGTTACTAGCTACAGAGGTTCCTCACACACCGCCACTTCCATGTCATGTTCCGTCTTTCTTCTTTCATCTACTGAATGCTTGAACCCCTTCTGGAGAACACACCCAGATATCTTCCCCCGGTCACTTGTACTGTCTAGTAATAATCTCTTTCACGCACAGCACATCTCCCATTATGTCACCTCCTACGCATGGCAGTCCTGCTGAGGATGGCACGGAACCGAACTCAAGCCCAGAGGACTTGGTTCAGTCAATCCAGGAAATTTTCGCCCGCAGTTCCTCGGATATCCTCTTCTCAGTTGGAGGAAAGATTGACCTGACGAGTGCCACTACTCAGACCACTCACGAAAAAAGAGGTCCAGTAACAATTCGCTGGGACTCTGGGCCTGAGGGAAGCCACCTTAGAAAGATATCCTTCCCTCATGACGAAAAAAAGGCCGCCATGTCCGATTCCTTGGAGCATCTTTTGAAGGACTGTGAGCCTGCGACTTTTGGCCGTGGCAGTCAAGAGGTGCTTGACGAGGACTACCGCCAAGCTTCAAAGATGGATATCGACAAATTCTGCTCTGACTACTCACCCCACGATAGCCGGGTCATGGAAAGAATTGGCCAGGCCCTAGCATTCAGCTCCGATACCAAAAGCAGCACCCGTGGTCTCCGAGCCGAGCTATACAAGTTGAATGCAAGTCTACCATGCTAGCAGGTATCAAACTTCGCAAATGAACATACTCACAACAGAAGTAGGTCTACTCTGCGCCCTCGGGGAAATTCAAAGCCCATGTGGATACTCCCCGCGGAGAGGATCAAATGGGGTCACTTGTGGTTTGTCTGCCAACTCCACATGAAGGTATATGTTCTCTTGTCTCGAAACACTTGAACAGAGCTGACCACGAAAACAAGGTGGAGAGCTTACCATTCGACGCAAAGGTCTGCAAAAAGTCTATAGCTGGGGCCCATTGAGCACTTCACATATTCAATGGGCAGCATTTTACTCCGATGACGAACATGAAGTCAGCGAGGTCACCAAGGGGCATCGTATCACCCTTACATACAATCTCTATTGGACCTCATACAACCAGACGAGCATGGAGAGCTTCGTTATCGAAGACCTCCAATCGCCACCGTGGCTTGCGAAGCTGGAAGAGCTTTCCAAGTGCAAAGACTACCTGAAGGACGGTAATTTTTCAAATTTACTTCCCTTACACACAGACCATACGTGTGATCTTCCTCTTTCTTGCGTACTTTTCGCTGAATCTTCTCTTCAGTAGGTGCACTCGGCTTTTGTGCCACCCAGAAATATCCTCACTCCGCTTCGACTGCAGCCAGAGGCAACATAGAAGAGCGGCTAAAGGGCCTTGATATGGTGGTCTTCCAAGCATTAAACCACCTAGGGGGTTCTACACGGGTGACTACTGTAGTCAATGACACGGATTATCAAACGCAACTCCGGGAATTTAGAGAAGAGATGATGTTAGAAGATGAGAATCAAGGGCCAGAAGATGAGAAACAAGGGCCCGAAGAAGAGGAAAATGGGGCCAATAAAAAACAATGCAAGTACTATGTGGGCGACGGTTTCCACTCACCTCTCCTAAGAGACGAACTTGCCGACGAAGAAGAATACCCATCCCCAGGCCAGTTTGGAGGATATAGTCACATGGAAGTTACATGGCTCAACGAAAAACACCAGGGTAACCATGAGCTTGCGATGGCAAGTATTGTGGTATGCAGATACCCCGTCAGGATATGAGGCTTTATAGGTCCGGGAAAAGATTTTATGCTGACCATATACATGCAGACAGGGAATCAGCCTACAATGGAGGCCTATTACTCGACAGTCGCAATTATTGCCGAGTTTAAATGATCCCAACCTCTTCCAGATCGATGGATCAAGAGGACGAAGTGACCAAAAAACAAAAAGAGCTATACCTTGCATCTTGAAGATTACTTTTTCTGGTAGGCGCATATTCCATCAAGGAATGGAGATTTCTGGGCGCGGACGAGAATTTGATGCTAATATAACACGCGCAGGCAGAGAATCAAGTTATGGCTGAGGTCTATCGCTCAATAGATGCAATTTTTAAGAACTTTGAATCCTGAAATTATTTTGTCTTTGCTGGGTGAAGAGGGCACAAAGCTGATTCCCAAAAAGAATATTCCAATCAAAAAAATACATAGCTTTCACTTCAAGCAAAATAATACAATGCATGTATCCTTGAGGGTTTCAGTAATTTGCAAAGAAGGGCTACGACCTGCCCATTTACTGATCATTCAAATGGTTGAAATAACATGGTACACTGCCACCACACCTTGCCCACATGTGCAGGTGGTTTGAAGGCAACAGTTTGATGCTGCATAGTCCAACCTTGGAATATATTAGGTAAAATTCATCTAAAGCTTTGAAGACGTCTTCTTGATCAAATGAGCATTCACTGGGGTCACAGCCTTTCCACTTTGTTGGAAAGAGACAATATTCTCCATTCCCAAACGCTCAAATCCAATATGCGCGTCCACGGATGCACCAGCATTGTGCGACAAAATCTCGACGTTTCTCATAGCAGCAAGCTCAGGGTTGACATGAGGCTCGTTGAAGTGTACATCTAAGCCGGCAGAGGTGATATGGCCAGACTTCAAGGCATCAACCAGAGCTGCTTCATCCAGAAGCTTTCCCGGGCGATGTTGACAAGCCGGGATCCACGCTTCATCTTTGCCAGCAGAGATGCATTCAGTAGGGTCTCTCCGCTGAAGGGAGTAGCCACAACCACACAGTCCGACTCGGCAAGCAGAGTGTCCATAGACTTGTGGAACGTTGCGTTCGACACCTGCTCCAGCTGCTTTGGCATCTGCACAATATCGTGATAAAGGATTTTCATATCGAGCGCCTTGTATGCCTTCTCTGCAGTCCGGCGACCGATCTGGCCAAAGCCAATGATTCCAAGTGTGTTTCCTTTGGGGTTATGCGAGACCATTGCAAGATTGCGGTTGGCATCTACGAACTGATCTGCATCCACGGCCCGGGCTGCCATTGCCGACCATGAGAAAAGTCGGAAGGCGGAAATAATGAGCCAGATAGCGGCGTCGGCCACAGACTCTGTGCATGCAGCCGCGGCGTTGCAGTAGACGACACCTATGGCAGCAAAACAACACAATCGTTAGTTAATTATCGTGGACGTGCGTGGGCTTGCGGTCCTTCAATTCATTAGGCACATACCTTTCTTAGCCAAAGCAGCCGTGTTCACCCAGTCAAAGCCAGCGCCGGCGCTGGCAAAAATCTTGCAGGAATCAGGAAGTAGAGAGATCAATTCCTCATCCCAGTTTCCCATCTCGCCGCCAGTGTTCCAGAAGGGTCGGTACATTGCGACGAAATCGCCGAATTGTCGCTCCTTGAGCGCTCGAATGAATTCTGGCCGTGACATGCTGTACGATCGCTTGATCTCGAATTGATCTTTGAATTTGGCATATTGGTCATGATTCCAGCGGATATCGTCGCCCAAGTGGAGCACAATTGGTTTGCCCATATTGAAGATGTAGTATGTATGGATGTGTATGATGCGGCTGAATATCAATATGAGAATAAATGACCTTAAAACACGTTGGAAAGAATTTGCGGGGAGGAAAATGAGGAGAGAGCTCTTTCCCCAGAAAATATTTCAATAAATATTTCAAGTCTTTCTTCTCCACTTGTTGTTGTCTATAACGGCTATTGTACATCTTGAATCGTGATGCTCCGAGTCGGGGTTTGTCGGCTATTGATGTAGCTCGGTTATTGAAATCCGAGCCAACCCCGACTTTCTGAGAGAGCACGTGATTTTCTCATCGTCCTCATCCTTGCTGAGTGGCCATCGCCTCCAACAATCATACCACCGTAAAATACATAGTGCTGGCCCAAGGCTGCTATCAGGGGAATTTCTCACTTGGTACCACATGGGGTCACGTGACTTGGGTTTGCTTGTATGATCTGTATTTTTTTGGATATTAAGTATGGGTCACGTGCACGAATTCCTTAGAATCTAAATTCTAGATAGCCTCAGGCTAACTTCGTTCAGCTACCACTGACCAGCATACAATGATACGTTGCTTGAATACACTTGCTAACCCTGCCCATTTCCCCTTGTTACCGCATGATCCTGGTATCCTGTTCCATTTTATCAATCCCCTCCACGCCATCCAAAAGGACAAAAGGTCAACCTGAGCCCTTTTCAACGTCTGGGCTCCACAATGGCCGAAAACCATCGCATCGAGTATGACTGGGTTAAGGGTGTGGAGTCACTTGAAAAATACCAGCCTGGAGGTTATCACCCCATCATGGTCGGAGACGTCCTACAAGACCGATATCAAATCGTAGACAAGCTTGGTCATGGAGGCTATTCGACGGTTTGGCTTGCCCAGGACACTCATATTCAGTGATATGTTGCTGTGAAGATCAATATAGCAAACGCTTTTCGGCGCGAGGCAAAGATTCTCGAGGCTCTAGTTATCTGCTCCGTCTTCGCCCGTGAACCTGGGCGCGATTTCATATCTGTTTTCCTAGACGAATTCAAAGTGCGAGGGCCCAATGGAGAGCATACATGTTACACAATAGCCCCTGCGCAATGAAATTTGGGAGAGATATCCTTCAGTCGCCTTTTACCCCTCGAAGTTGCTCGAGCACTATCATATGGACTTGCGCAGGCCGTCGCTTACACACACTCACAGGGCTATGTTCATGGAGGTATGTTAATGAGTCATGACGACTGTTCTCAATTTTGCACAATTAACTAATAAGAAATATCTAATTCCATCTAGATATTCATCTGGGCAACGTTTTGATCAAGCTTCCGTCAAGTTTCGACGACCTTTCTATCAAACAACTTTATCAACAAGGGTCATATGACGCGCTAAGCATAATCTGGACGCATTGATGTATTAATCTGCCTGAATCTGCCTCAAATCCCTTCTCAAGTCTATTTTCAAGTCTATTCTTCTAAGAAGGTTCTTGTGTACATCCAGATCAATCGACGAATTTAAGCGGGGTCTGCCAAGAGAAGCAATGATGCCGTTAAGGCTGGACTCTGGAGCTATTCTTGTCTTGTGGGAATAACATCTGGATTAAATTATCGGCAGACTTGAATCATTGATTTCCACTTTTCATGATCATCTTCACTGTATACCTATAGCCTGGTAGATGAACAAACATAGCCGAGTCAAATGAAAAGCCAGTCTATTCGAAACCAGTCAAATAATTCGTCGCAAAAAAGCGTGAGATTCAGAAATTTGAAGACAGCGCTAAAGCTGATATAAGCGAGGATTCAAAGACGCGATAGGGCGATAGTGCGGGGAAGCGATCATCAAATGGGGTCCATCTCCCACGAAACAGGCCATCATGGCTTCTGATTCCGCGGCCACTACTCGTCGCGTATGGTCTGGGCTGGAGGATGAAAAGCTCCTTTCTCTTGTGCAAAATATAAGTGATGAACGAGGCGGAAACTGGAGTGACATTTCGAGGAACCTTCCGGGACGATCGAGTAAGGTCAGTTCAGTCCGGCCGTAAGCACAGAACGAATGAAACTAAGTTGTAAGTAGGACTGTCGAAAGCGCTGGTTTCACTCGCTAGATCCTGCCTTGCGAAAGGGTCGCTGGTCGAAAGAGGAGGATGAGATGTTGCTTGCGGCTCATAGGCGGCTAGGGCCCGCCTGGAAGGATATCGGTAAGCCGGTGGATTTGGTCTGTGAAGCCGAGATGGTGCTGATTTTGACGTGTATTTAGCGCTTCTCATCGATGGCCGAAAGGACGATCAGTGTGCGAAGAGATACAATGACATTCTCAACCCAGCCGCGAGAAATAGGCTTAAAAATTGGTCGGCGGAGGAAGACCAGTACTTGGCTGCGAAGGTCCAGGAAATTGGACACAAATGGGCTGCTATTTCCGCTGGACTTCCAGGGCGCCCTCCCTTGACATGTCGGAACCGGTGGAGGAGACTTTCCAAAGAGTTGTCCAGGATATCTGACTCAACTTCTACTCCTACTCCTAACGAGCCTCATCGTTCGACCGCACCGGCAACAATTCCAGCAGCGGCCTCAAGATCCAACTCAATCAGCTTTCCAATTTATACGTCTTATACAATGGCGTCGGATCTGTCAAGAAACACCCAGAGCTTTGGGTTGCCTTCTGCCGATCTATCTTTGGACCTACCAGAAACCACTATTCAAATGCCCATATACGGCATAGACGACTTGAGTGTCCACAGCACATCCGCGTATGGAATGGACAGCATGAGCATTCATAGCACTCAAACCTCCAACGGACCAAGTCTAGATATACCAGATTACTCCTTTTCACGCGGTCGCCAGGATCAATTCTGGGAATCTGCCATAGAGGGCCCTTCTTTTGCACTAGCCGATCGCAATTACGAGTCTGAGCCAAACATGTTGACGGATAACTACAACCCCAGGTCCATGTTTCAGCGAAACCTCATGCATAATCGCCGTCAGTATCCTTGGATTCCGCCTTCGGGAAATAACTTGGATAATATTGCTTCTCTCGATCTAGCGAATACTCAAACTCAGTATCCCCCGTTTGAGATACCGGGGTTCGTTATTCCAGAGCTTGATGAAGAAACACAACCCGCCATGGAACAAGCTGCTGTTCATCAGGTGTTATCTTCTCCTTCGGAGTCTGTTGGTCCTGGTGGTTCTTTGGCTGGGGCTGGCGGCTCGGGAGATGTTCAGCATCATCACCATTTTCATCACCATCATTATCATCATCACTATCACCATTAACTTTGCATTTGGGGGACTCCGAGCCGTGATAAAATACAAAGTAGGTGAGATGGATTGTATTGTATGAGACTTCCCGTTCTCTTGTTTGTCTGGGACATACTTTGACTGCTCTCCGTAACATTATCTCCAATCTACGTCTCCACTGCCAGCGCATCCTAGTAGCCTTGCGGGTATAGATAAATGAGAATGCTTGCGCTTTTTGTCACCTATTTAGGTACTAGGGAACCCGGGATAAAACTCGATATTCAACCATGAAGGTTTAGTTAGCTGCTAGCACAGACACGTATTGATCTTAACAAGTATACTAGTACTCAAAGTGATCGTCACAAGAGCCGTCGGCAATTCATCTCATTTGCCGATGTAATTGCGGGCCGGGAGCAGGGGAAGCCCCAACTCCGACAACTACCAGTTGACAGCAAGCATTTGAATTATTGCACTTACTTATTATCGTATATAAGAAAATGCCTGGAGGGCAGGTGATTCACAGTCCTCGTTTACTAATGAAAAAACCCGCCCAAGGGATAAAGGAAAAGAAGATCAGAAGCCTATCAGCAAATAGTTGCAATCCTGTTGACACAATCGACAAGAATGAGATAAGTAAAACCAAAACACTAAAGGAACGTCCAGATGTTTGGATCATAAGTGAACAAAGGAAAAAGGAAATCACTTGAATAAGCAAAGAGACCCAAGACCAAATTGAGAAACCCCATGCACACAAAAGACTCAAGATACAGAACTCCAAGGTCACCCTATCTCTGAGGGGAAACGATAACCAAACATAAGAACAAAAAAGACTACAACGCCAATTGAAGGATGGGGGCAAGAAAAAAATCAAAGAGAAAAAAAAAAACATGAACGCCGAATTTCCACGCCTGACACTTGAAGGATATCCCGAATAATTCCTTGCTCTGGGCAAAGAAGAACCTAAAAAGAAATAACAGATATGATAACTCTCCGCATGCAGTCATGAGGCCCCTATATTTGTACGGGCGAGCCCACAATGGGGCTCTAGCCTCGTCGTCTTCGCAGCCCAAATTCTTCTTCCTGGAGCTCTCGAATGAGCCGCAGGCTCTCGGCATCTGTACCAGCCTCGTCAATAATGAGGTGCTTTGTATGCTTTAACTGGTGGGGAGATAAAGAATTGGGCGCGTGACGATCGAAATGTCTCTCCACCATCGGGGAGCTTTTCTTTGCATGTGAGGATGATGGACGTGACGAGGGTTTCTTGGGGGAATAGGTAAAACCCGACACGGTCATTCCACGCATATGCGGGTATGAAATATTGGCAGACTTAGATGCACGGTTGGTAGACGCCTCTGGCGCAAAGCGTTCGGCATGCCGAGGCTGATGTCCGTGCCGAGCTTGGTCACCGTGTCGGGATTGGTCACCATGTCGAGGTTGGCGAGAAGAATGGCGGGAGCTGGAATTCGGCGTGTGAAGCGCAGTGGGTGCTTCACCCTCAACGGACGCTAGTGCCTCTCCGTCCTGCACCACATCCATTTCGTCGGCCAGCGACGTAGGCGGGGAAACTAGGGAGGCGGTAGGTTTCGATGAAACTGACATAGAAGTGACATCCTTCCCTTCAACCAAATCGGCGTGGAAAGCGGGCGGCGATGCATATGAAACGTGGCCAATGTGCGTCTCATCCTCTTTAAAAGGCTGGTCCTGAAGCTGATCTAGAGAACCATAGCCAATATGATCGTCGTCATAATTTGGGACTGGCATTGCGTGAGCCATCATGCCACCATCTGTATGTTGACTGTATAATGCCGGTTGTGCAATTGGAGATGTGCTCTCTTGCTTGGTCTTCTTGGCTGTAGCAGAAATGGCCTCGTCTTCATTAGGACGGGGTCGTTTTGCAGATGTAGTGCCACGAGGTTTCGACCGTTCTTGGGCTTTGATCGGGTCAATATTTCCACGGTCATCGTGGATGCAACGACGCTATGTGTTGGTTAGCTTTGAATTGAATGATTGAAAATTGGTATGGAGCTTAGTACAAACCTTGCTTTTCCGACAGTCGTCACATGCCTTACTGCGCCCCTTCTTACTGCCATTGGCACCGTCGGGGCTGCCTTCATTGAGTCTGTTGGCAGCTGCGGTCGAGGCACCCATGATTGTCGATTGAAAAGCCGAGTCAAAATGTTCCAAACCAGGCACACTGTTTCCCTGGAATCCAGCTTGAGAGGCGATTGCAGCCAAGGAGTTCAAGGCAGAGACTGCATCCTGGGCGAGGGAAGATGGGGTGCTGAGACCCGATCCAGGTGCGAATCCATTGATTGCCATTTGCCGACCCTGTATCCACTCATTCGGCTCATCCTTATGGCGACACCTGATACGTCGTCTGCGACAAGCATCACAGGCGACGCGTTTCGGACCAAGACCCGAGCCCCGTGGCGTAGAGCGTGGTTTAGGCGTCGTTGGTTCTTGAGGAGTAATCTCTGCAATAGGACCAACCGGGGCAGGTGTTGCACTATCGGATAACGCGAGAGTCCCGCTGCTTGCGGGAGGCACAGGAGTAGCATCCTCTTCCGTGGGTCGTTGAACAGCCTGTCTTTCGGCGTAGGTGCGCTGGCTGTCCACATTACGTTCGGAGCGACGGCTAGGCCGACCAGCTGGTCGTTTATCTGTGAGAGACACCTTGGGGTTGCTTTCGATTACACCTGGACGAGTCCACTGAGGCGCTTTCTCGTTACCGCGTTTCCAGACAGCCCAAATACCAAATTTGCGAATTAGGTCCACGGGATCTCCGACTCCCTTCGGAATAGAACGTCTGACAGCATTGCGCACATCCACTGTCACCCCATCGACGTTATAAGAGCTTGCAATGAGAGCAGTCCGAAGAAGATACTTAGTCAACTCCGGCAAGCCCTCCAGCTCTGCTTGAGAGTAAAATCGGGCGTTGTAATAAGGAGAGCCGGGAGGCTCTTGGTTGGCACGTTCTCCAAACTCATAATAGATAGGGTAATGTCTGTGGACTCGGAAATTCTCGTCCTGGGCGAAGGCCTCCAGCACATTTTCCGGAACGGGGTCATCTTCTAGGTACTTCAATGCCGTGTACCATTGAATCTTCTGGAAGAAGGGGTACCTGAACTTCTTAGGAACCTTCGTCTCCTTCTCGATATTGAGAATCTTGATCTGCATTCCGTAGTTCAGTCTAGTAAGGAAATTGCCACCTATGACTAGACTGTTCTCTGGGGTCCAAACGGCATGGATCCAGCCGGATGGGATAAGCATGGTGTCCCCCTCGGACAAATCAACACGATAGCACTCCTTTGTTTGGTTGCCAAGGAATATTGAATCCTGTGCGGGAGAATTGCACCACTCCTCGTACTTCCTGAGATGTTTGTCTTTCGGAGGAATGAAAAAGAATGTCTTTTTGCCTTTGAGAATGTGGTAATAAACCGAGGATCCACCGAAATCGATGTGGAAGTCGGTATAACAGTCGGCGACAGACATAAGGCAATAAAACTGAACCTTTGGGTAGTCGCCAATAGCCTTCAATTCTTCAGGCCATACAGCGTCTTGGAGATCCAGGTCGCGTACAACCTTAGGTCGCTTGATGAGACGGCCTAGCTTGCTTTGCGATACCTCCAAGCTGATAACGTTTCGAACGGGCTTGTTGGGTTCAGAGCTCTCATAGTAATCGGCCCATTTCTGCATGTTCCACCTCTTATCTTCGCCTTGTTGAGACTTGACATCAATAACCTCGACCCTCTCCTCGGGGCCGTAGAGCTCCGCCACTGCCCGAACAGTGAGGCCTTGAGGAATCACCATGTCAAGTTGATCTTGACCACATTCAGGGTGATTCTCAACATCAATTGCCTGTTCAGAAAGATGGTCGAGCAGGTCATCAAACATTTCCTGTGTTGCAGCTTCGTGCACCAAAGTCTCTAAGTCTGCGTCGACTTCGGGAACGGGGTCACGGCGGTTCCAGCAAGCCGGAATAACAACAGGTTCATTCCATCCGTTGCCTCGTTCGAAGTATTCTGCTGTGACCAACTCCGGCTTCATACGAGGAAAGCTCTCCGGTTGAAACTTGATCTTACCTTGACGAATAGGCTCAAGATAGTGGTGCTCTGCGGAATCAGTGGCCGCTTTGACAACCCCCTGATTCAGACCAGCATAATCAATTGCTGTACGAGCACGCGAAGATTTGCGGACAAAGGTTGTTTGCCCATGGGTGGACCGGCATGCACGACAGATGAATTTATCAACGGTGCGAACCTCTCTGTCGTTCTTGAACCCAGCACAGACAATATGGAACCAGCGCTTACAACCGTCGCAGCCGATCCAAGTATCTTCATCTTGCTCCTCGGTCTCTACCGGAATTCGCACCAGGTGACACGCAGTACAGCTTGCTTGATTCGTCTCACTTGATTCTTCTTCAAGTTTGGGGACGGGTTCAGGTGTTTTGCGAGGAATGGATTCTCGGTCCTCAGCAGATTGATGTTCCCCATATCCAGCATACCGAGATACTTCCACCCCGGGAGTGCTATCCTCATTTTCATCTTCCCAAACGACCGGAGGTAATGTCCCTGAGCTAGTGGCTGGACGTACGCCACGGATGACAGGGCGCGAGAGAAATGCAGACCCATCTGAACGAGACCTCATGCGTGATGGCGGAATACCATCCTCGTTGTGCAGGGATTTCCCATCTTCCGGGCCAGCAGAATCTCCAGCGAACCCAACTCGATTGTGTCGTATTGAGTTAGCGCCGTGATTGTGGTAGGACTCGTCAATGCTAACCCGTTTTCTGACGGTTTCGGGGTGAAAGTGGGTGGGCCGGGCAAAGTTAAGCAAAAGCTCCGCGTCGGTTTTCATGCTGTCTATGAAGGCAGAGTGGGGATTGCTCGGTGGAATTCTCTGAGACTGATGCGGTGACGGATCTCGTTGTGACCTGGGACGCTTGGCCGGTCTTTCGGAATGGTTATCGGGAGGAAACAAGGGTGCAGTCGGTTGAGAATTGGGGGAAGGTGGACGGCGTGAGAGGGGTGCGAAAGTTGGGCTGGTTGCGAGGGCTATGGTCGCAAGTGTGTCGATTGTAGAATTTGATCGGCCATGGCCCGACCGTTGATGGGAACTTGCATCGGTAGCAACACTCCGGCTGTGGTTTGAGGATCGCTGGTCGCGGTCAAGACTGGTGGCCCGAGTGATATTACGCTCGGCCCAAGAGGCGAGAAATTCGGTGGTGGATGGAGTTATGGGTTCGACAGCGCGTCGCGGCGGAGGGGACGGAGTGCGGTATTGTGGAGGGCGCTCGCCCGCCGGGGATAAAAAAGATGCAGCGCTCATCATTTTCGCTCACTCGGCAGGGTATAAAAGAGAGTGAAGTGGAGGAGCCTAGGTTGGGGGTGCGAAATGATGCGCTTGCGGTGGGTGGATGCAAAGCGGGGATGTTTGACCACACGGACTAGCGAGAGGCCGTCGCAGGAAGAAGGAAAGTCATTCCTGGCAGGAGGGCATTCGCACGAAGGACCGCGAGATGGACTGAGATGGTCGATGAAATGATTGCGGGCGGTAGGAGGGCGGATGAGGGAGGTAAGTTGTGGATGCGCTCGAGTTGAGGGGGTTGAGTCGAGCGGCGGGAGGACAAAGGCGCCGAGAGTTCGCGCCGCAAGTCCGCGGGCAGAGAGGAAAGGCGAATCGAGCGCAATCCAGTCGGCAGGAGTGAGCTCCTGCGAACTGGATAACAAGCTGAGAATATGGGGATGGATGGAACGTTTCCGGGGGAGGCGTGGGTGGTGGTCGGAGGGTGGAAGATGTCAGGGCGTGAAGGAGGGAGAGTGGTAGGCCGAGTAAGTTCGCAAGGTATGTACGCGGGACAATCTGCGGACTAGACAATGGATAATGGCGGCTTTGGTCCTCCCCATACCAAGAAATCGAATAATGTATAATTCTTTGGGAAAAGCAGGTTATGCGATTCAATTGTGTCGAAGGAAAAAGAAGTAGAAAAGCCTCTGTTGAAATCCCCGACTCAATTCGACTTGCGACGAGAGCGTCGTTGGCCGAGCTGTGTCAAGATTACCATACATGACGAGACGTGGGGAGCGGATTTGGTTCAAAAGCCAGCACTTGAGGGTAGACAGCCCAGTAATATTGTCAGGTATGGTAAACTGCTTACCTCACTCCGTTCAACCGTCGTCGTCGCTAAACCAAATTCGGCGATGCCAAGAACTTCTCTCGTGCATTCTGCGTGTTCTTGTTCCTCTTTGCGATCTCCTCTTCCTACCACCACTACGGCCCTCGATACCCTGGGTATCTCACTCCTAACTTAATCTTCAAATCCATCACCTTTCTTACATCTCTCTGAGGATGAGCCGGAAGCTCGCTCCCGAAGCAAATCGGTAAGTGATTTCTCTTGCCCCTCCCGGTTTCCGATGCCCATCCGCCACAGTGCAGACCAGGAGTCAGGCCTCATCGGGGATTGCGTCCGTCAAACAGGGAATGCTAACATAGACTATTTTCGCAGGATTCTCTTCGTCAAGAACCTCAAGTATGTCACTTTGCCATCCGCCACTGCCCGCCGATCCCCCAGATTCGTCACGTCTCGACATAACATCATCTTGCAAGTGAGAGTGGACTGCTGACTTCATCTCCTTAGCTACAACGTAACGGCAGATCAACTATTTGACCTTTTCGGCAAATTTGGGCCCATTCGGTAAGTCGCCGAAGCTCTAAGTCATGAATGGACTTTTTTGGTTAACTTATTTTTCTCCCGGTAGTCAAATCCGCCAAGGTATTGCGAACAACTCCAAGGGTACTGCATTTGTGGTCTACGAGGACGTGCACGACGCCAAACAGGCATGCGATAAGCTCAATGGCTTCAACTTCCAAAACAGATACTTGGTCGGTACGTTTGCAAACAACCACTCGGGCTTGGATGGGTCAACAAGTGACGGTGACTGACAAGCGTCTTTTAGTATTGTATCATCAACCGGAAAAAATGCTCCGTTCCAAAGAAGATCTTGCAGAAAGACAGGAAAACCTTGAACGACTTAAACAGCAGCACGGGATAGAATGATGTGATGATATTAGGCTCTAATGATGCCCTCTGCAAGCATTTGGCTGCGCATGGTGTTACAACGACTCCAATTCTATCGAATTCGGCTTGGTTGAGGGGTTACCGGCGTTTGTTTTTATTCCCTGGGATTTCTTCTTTTTTTCGACCTTCGACTCTGGGCGGGCGACGGAGGTTTGATCGGTATTATTTCTTAGTCCTCGTGGATGATCGGGGAGCTTTCAGAAGAACCCGTCCGAACGAGAGATTGATTTCTTTTCTTTGTGCATTCTATTATCATATCCTTATTTTTGTGATCTCAATATGAATCCCCCCCCATTTTGCTCAGCAACCACATCTCAAATCTCATCTTCGCACGTCTGAAGTGATCAACGAGAGCGCAGAGCGCCCTTCAGATTCATATTGATCCAGTTGGCTCTTTGGCATAGAAATCAGGGTCTTGCCCAGGCGGGCGGTAAAGCCAAGCATTCACTGGGCGATCCACCTTTATGCAGACTCTCGACAATAAGACATGAGACCCTGTTGCTCCCAAGGTTATCAAAGGCCTCTTCATCAATGAACTACTGGTATATAGGTAATTAAAGGTCAAATAAATAGTCAAATCTATTTGAATGTCAAGGTTACATACCTAATAGACCTGCTCCGGTCGCTAGCCATCTCCGTACTTACTAACTTGAAAAAGAATTCCAGGAAATATCATCTCCGTCATAGGGGCAAAGCAGCCTGATCTAGCCGTGTCGATCCCGCTGCGGGGGCCGACACCGCCTCCAAGGCAACTCGCTGCAACGTTGTACCTCTTCCACACACCCTCTGCTTTACCTTTCTACCTCTGCACTCTAATCCTAGGCTGCCCTTTACATCATTCGATATCGCGACCGATGCTTTCGTGTATGACTTGCTGCCTCGGTGCCCGATAAGCCCCTGTGGCTCTTCAAGTCAACGCTACACAACAAGGCGGTAATCTCATACAGGTCATATTTCGTCACCTTTGATCGATCATAATACATCCAAGACCACCCCCAATCCTTGCATGAAAGGTCATGGATGCGGATCTCGCGTTATCGATCGCCATCAAGGCCTCTACCACCCTCATCGCTGCAACCTCTCCCCCACAAGCCTCGCAAACCTCACCACAACACATGTTATACTACCATGGTGCCACCGTGACAGGGATGGGAGACGACCCAAAAGGAGATGGTGGTGAATGCAAACTGCTTGGACCTTTCTCTCTGATTGTTCAGGCCGCCCTGGGGGGTTGGCACTCTTATCTTTGGTCTTCAAACGATGGAAAGAACGGCCCCAGAGGCCAATAAAAGTCTGGGCGTTTGACGTCTCGAAACAAGTGTTCGGCTCGTTCATGCTGCATCTGGCAAACCTTCTAATGTCCATGTTTTCAGCTGGTCAGCTGGAAATACGAATGGACTATAAACCCAATCCCTGTTCCTTCTACCTGCTAAATCTCGGAATCGATGTGAGTGGGACTTTGGCTTCCTTCAAATATATCAAGCTAACAAGCAGTCCAGACTACTCTTGGTATTCCTATATTGATTGTTGCGCTTCGGATTTTGAATCTGATTGCTTCCTACACCATTCTCGCCAACCCTCCAGAATCGATTGAGTCCGGGAACTACAGTAACCCCCCTCGCGCATCATGGTGGTTTAAACAATCCATTATCTACTTTTTGGGTCTGTTGATCATGAAAATATGCGTATTTTTCTTGATTCAGCTGTTTCCCTTCATTATCAAGGTTGGCGACTGGGCTTTACGGTGGACAGAAGGAAACACGGCCCTTCAAATCACCTTTGTGATGCTTCTCTTCCCTGTCACCATGAACGCTATCCAATACTACATTATCGACACATTCATCAAGAAACCCATGTCTCGCGACTTCTTTGCCGATGATGATTCTCGTAGTGATGCTGTCGCAGATGAAGACCTTCACCGAGAAGGTCTGCTGGATGGTATTGATGAGGCCTATTCGTCCGATTCTGATAATGACAGCTCCCCAGGGAAGAAATCACCAGTTCCAGTCTTACACCCCAAGGCATCGATTCAGGAATCAGAAGTGCTCATGAGTGAGGACCATTCGCCAGTTCCTCCTTATCATGCTCATAGTTCCAGCTCTGGCAGCAGTCATCGCAATCATGACGGACAATCCAAACCTGTGGTATAACTGGGTTATTAATTCAACGATGTTTAAATTTTGGTTTTTTGGTGATGTTGGTGTTATGTATTTTTTCTTATGAGCGTTAAATTTCTATCAATGTGTACACGAATACTATATGAATCAATTGATGAATTAAATTGATTGCTTGATTTTCAACATTCAAATGTATGTTTAAACCAGTTGACCAGTCATTGATCAATGGATTCAGGCATACCTCAAGTATATACATGTATTGATAGTACCCAGGTCAAATTGCAGTTGGTGCATTATGCATGTGTACATTCTATGTAGATACATATATGTACACATGCAGACATATCGCGATTCCGATCCGAAACATTTGAAATCCAAGTTAAAAAACGCATAGGGCAATACTAGATCAACTGGACAAGAACCTTTGAAGCAATGTTTCTTTTCTTAAAATCTAGAGCCCATGAGAGCATCATTGTGACCTACTAGTTGTAACCGCGGTACGATAAATTATGATTAACTAGTAGTAGTCAACTAGTCAATGATAATATTTGCCTTAATAAGGCACCAAATAAATGTACTGACCGTCTACCACACCGCCTATGTTCTGCCGGCGGTGCAAAAATCAAAGCGAAAAATATTCCTATCCCGCTCCGGAAGCTTCAAATCGCCGATCACAGTGGTAAATTGTGACGGAACACGATACCTCAGTCTTCATTCGACAGCAGAATACTGAGATATCACAATGCCCGAAACAAAACTCAAGACAAAGACCAAGCGGGCGGCCGCTCCGTCTGAGAACTCCCCGATGAACCAGCAACCGGTCGACGACATTGACATGGACGATGAGACTAGCTCCGATGAGGAGGATTTCCCCGAGAAGGACGAGGCTGAGCTGAAGCTGGAGCGCATGCTCTTTGGTGATGATGAAGGTTTCATGGGCGCATTGAAGAACCAGCAGGAGCGGGCAGATGCTATGCAGCTTACTCTGCACAGTGATGAAGAGAGCGATGCTGAGGCTGAGGAAGGCGAAGAAGATATTGAAAATATGGCGGATGCAGATGTATGCAGCCCACTCGGAAAGGCTTGATACCGGCCTGATAAACAATGCTAATACTTATTTTTGATAGCTCTTTTTCCTCGATTCAGGTGTTGCAAACACAGATCTCATTCCTTCGCCGGAGACTCCGTCAGACGACGAAGACGAGGAGGCTGCTCCCGCAGCCTGGTACGACAGTGACGATGAGCGCCTTGCCGTCTCCCTCACAAGCCAGGCCAAGCTGCGAAAACTGCGCGTGGCCGAGTCCGAAGATATCATCAGTGGAAAGGAATACACTCGCCGATTGCGCAGACAATTTCAGCGCATGCACCCCACTCCCGATTGGGCGAACCCCGAGCTGGCCGCTATGCACAACGAAAACTCAGACTCCGATGCCAGCGGGGAGGAAATGGATTCCGACGATGAGAGTGCGCAGTTATCAATGCAGCCACTGGCTAAGCTGCTGCAAAACGCCACCGATCTTACCCGTATCGACGACAATACCCGCTCTGGCGCCAAGCGCAAGTTGCGACAGGAAGTCCTGGATATCACACGCCTGAAGGATGTTGGCAAAACGCAGCCGGTAAGAGTCTTCTCTGATGCGGTTCAACAAGTATTGGCCTTGCTAACGAATACTTCTGTATTAGTCCTCCATTGACTCGCTCAACTTCCACCCTCATTACCCACTCCTGCTTTCCTCGGGCCCTGCATCAACTCTCTTCATGCATCACATTTCTCCCTCAGCGCCATCTCCTAACCCCCTCTTGACCTCCCTGCACATCAAGCGCACTCCAATTCACACATCCGCCTTTGCCCCGCCCACGGGTAACAAGATTTTCGCATCCGGTCGACGACGATACTTCCACATCTGGGACATGGACACCGGCAAGGTGGACAAGGTCAACGGAACCGCAGACCGAAGAGAAGAACAAAAGTCCATGGAGCGCTTCAAGATCTCCCCATGCGGCCGCTACGTGGGCCTGGTCGGTACCTCTCGCAAGGGTGGTGGTCTGATCAACGTCCTCGACGCCAACACCGCCCAATGGATCGCGCAAGTGCGCGTCGACGGCCGCGGCGGTGTTGCTGATTTCGCCTGGTGGTCCGACGGCGAGGGAATGACCGTTGCAAGCAAGAACGGTGAGGTGTCCGAGTGGGATGGCCGACTAAACCGTGTCGTGGCTCGCTGGCTCGATGCCGGTGCTGTCGGTACTACCGTCCTCACTCTGGGTGGCCTCTCGGGCCGCAACACACTTGGTGGAGACCGTTGGGTTGCTATTGGAAGTTCTAGTGGTATCACCAACATTTACGACCGCCGTGAATGGGCTGCTGCGTATGCAAACGCTTCGAAGGAAGAGAAGGATAGCGCTTCGCAGGGTGGTGTTCCTCGCAACCCTCAGCCGACGCGTGTGTTGGATCAGCTTACCACCCCTGTCAGTCATTTGGTCTTTGCTCCTGATGGCCAGATGCTGGTTATGGCTAGTCGCTGGAAGCGTGATGCGCTGAGACTTGGTATGAATAATCTCCTCCCTTCTTTGATCAGTCGGATTTTTTTTTTACTAACCCTGTTCCCTTTAGTTCACCTCCCATCTTGTACCGTGTACCGCAACTGGCCCACTTCCAACACTCCATTGGGTCGTATATCCTCGGTGGCCATCTCACCGAACTCCGAGCAACTGGCTGTCGGAAACGAGCAGGGCCGAATCCGCCTGTGGGAGATTAGAGGATAGATATAAAAGCTAGAGATCTGCTCTCATACTGCATTCCATGTTGATGACTTCTGACCTTTGGTCATCTTTTACTGTATATCCTGGCGTCAATGATCAACATACTCATATCAATTTCCTGAGTTTTACATCAAGATTGAGTCAAGTTTTAACATTAGGTATGGATCCATGAATTGCTGTAGAGACTCATATGATTTGGTCGTCTATTGCAACGTATGTATAAGCAAAATTTCCCCATTCCAACATTTGAGATTCTAGAGAAAGTTGAGATCAAAGACACAAGTACACCAAACACTCAATCCAAATGCAAAATAAATCAGAAGCTAAAGAATGACATGCTCCAGGGGTAGGCTACGTCAGTCATGGTATCATGCTGTTCAAGCCTAAGCCTTTGGCGAAAACAGGGTAATGTAAAGGAGCGTATTGAAAGGCGTCAAAACAGAATCTATGCTATCCGTTCAAGGCTGACATCATGTAAAGCAACAGAAGACAAAAAAGGGGGGTATATAGTCAGCGCAGAGATAAATCGTGAATAAATGAGAAACGTAATATGCGTGCAAAGATTTCGTGTAAGCGAGGTAGGGTAGCAGTGATAGCTGAGGAGGAGGAGGCGGAGGAAGAGGAGGGTAAGGAGAGGAAGTATGGTCACTCTCCGGGCCCAGTGGAACCCCATCGTGGGATTCGTCCTGGCTCACCAATCCAATCTTTGATGACACAGGCTGCCCTATCAGGGCCCTGGCATACCTTGATCCGATGGAGGTGTTTGAACCGGGGTCCAAGAGGCCCGTTCACGTAGTGGTATTGTCCGGCAAAACGGTACTGGCGAGAGTCACCTAGCGGGTAGAATTTGTCGCCCCAGTGGCCTCTGAAGTCGAACCATTCTGTGGGGGATGTGGGGGTAGCGGTGGAGGCGCGGAGTGTGTCGTTGGCATGGTCATATGTATATGCATGCGAGTTGAGTAAGGGGTCCCAGAGTGGACCTCGATCCGTGACGTCGTGGAGTAGACCCCATGGGAGAATGTAAGGGTGTACGTCTGGGGTAGCGTACATTGCATGACTTCCCTCAGCGGAATAAATAACAGGCTGCAAAAGAATTCGAGTCAGTACGTTCTCACTTTTCATTCTTTAAACCCTGTCACTTGGGAGCTTGGATTTACCCGTTGCCCGATCTTCTCCACTGCTTCGTATCTATAGGCCTCGCCCGCTGTGTGGGCGCTGAAGAACAAGGCTTTGGGTTGACCATTGTGGAATCGAACGAGGCAGTGTTCCCAATCGCCGACATGGTTACCGAATCGGACATTTGCAACTGTGTTGCCCAAGTTGAAGCTGTAGAAGAAGAACCAAAAGGCGTCCACGACTCCGTGTCCTTTGTCCATTACCAGTAGGATTGCGGGGGCATCGCTGCGGCCTCCAACTTCGTTCGGGAGAGGCTCCTCGATTTTTTTGCCGGCGTATCGTTTTCGTAGTTCGTCGTGAAGGTACTTTTGCGCTTTGGATGATTCTTGTTGCATCGAATCTTGGGTATCCTCATCATCGTCGCGGTCAATTTGACTCAGATCAAACCACTTGGCCCGATCTTCTGTTGTGTCACCGGGAATTTGTCCATCTACTCGGCCATCCCAATCCGCCCATGACTGTTTCGTTCCACCTTTAACCGGTTGAGGAATATTCTTGTCGCCTTCCAGCCATGATGGACGGGTCTGGACATTATCATTGCTGGTCAAGTAGACATTACGAGGAACCCACTGGTTGAGTTGATCCAAATTTTCTAGAGTCGGATGATCCCATTGGGCCTGGATAGGAGTGTAATTGAGCATGGGGGTGGTATGGTGTAAATGTTCCGCGATATCACCGGGCCAAAACTGTTCCCCGGAATAGAGGTGGACAAGTGGGGCGTAATCAAACACATAGTCGGGGATCTCCCGCTTAGCCCGCTCCTCAGCATCCCACTCTGACTGATTAGCCCCGCCAAGCCAAAATGAGCGCCAGGGCTCAGCCTCGCTAAGCTCTCCCTCTGATCGCTCTACCGATTCCCGTTGACCGAAGGGGACGTGGGCGGTTTGGAAGTGTGCATGTGCGGCACCGCAAACGCCAAGCCAGCGACAGCTCTTGCGATCGAACCAGGAGCGCGAGCTTGCGATCCAGCTCGCTTCCTCCCGGTCTTCGGCGTACCAGACAAAGGAAGCTGGCTTGAGGACGCGGGCTAAGCTATTGAGGGAAACATAGATGATCAGGGTCGACAAGGCCGCAATGGTTACCTGGACCTTGCGAGTCATCTGCTCAAGGCAATCGGAGTAGATTGCCTGTACGGAATTGTCTGAATGATCATGGAGGGACAAAGACCTTGAGGAAGAATCCCGGTCAACACGGGATGGGTCAATGCAGGAAACCGATGATAAGGCTGAGGGGCATGCCGGAGTATAGGAGAGAAGCAAAAAAGGCACAGGATGGGAAGAGGTCTAGGTATAAACTTTTTAATCCATGTCAGTTTGACCGGACTATCCGATTCTAGCGAATGTTCCCCTCTTTTTTCTTTTTCTCTTACTTCAATGAGGGAAAGGATTTTGGGGGGGGGAAATAAGAAAATAGAAAAAAAGAAGAAAAAAAAAAAACAGCAAAAATAAGCAAAGAGTCTCGAACAAGTCAGCATCTGCACCCGGGAACGTGCGGAAAGGCCTACCTGGCCAAGTCGGAATGCGATCGCCATAGGTTCCCTCCCGAAGGCCTGCATGTGCAGCTAACGGAAGACTCGGATACTTACGAACACATGATGTTCTGGTAATTGCAAGAAGTATCTGGGAATTTAAACAAAAGACATTTTGATCTTGATTGAGTATATATCTACTAGTAAATCTTCCGAAATTGCTGTCTTTTCACAACATGGCTACGAGGTTTTCCATACAGTACATGTAAGTGAGGGGTTAAAGTATAAGGCTGAAACCCTCGATTACTCAGTAACGTTGGTTTCCAAGGGTTCAACTGAGGGGCTAATGTAGATCATCGATCTTGCGCAATTTATCTTGACATTTTGATTTGTCACATTACTCAAGTGCTACAGGATTCAATGTTTAGTACACATTTTGCCCTTTGATTCTTTTGAATCATTCAAACATTGAATGGACAATATGAGGCTTTATTTTGATTTCGGTAAAAATTGCCAGTCAAGTGAGCCCTCTTCTCGCGTACATCGCGTACATGACTTTGCCACCGCTAAAATCAATTCGAAAAGTGGAACTGAATTGAAAATAGAAAAGAAGACTAAGTCAAATCGGGTCTAGAGACGGTGAAGTTACCGGTGGGGCTGCTCCGTGTACATACATTGTGATATCCAGAGTACGGAGTATACGGAGTACAGATGATACCTTCTCACCGCTTTTCCTGTTGATTGCTGACTCAGACTCGGAGCTGCTTTTATCTTATCGCATAATCATTATCGGCGCAAACCCAGAAAATAATCCCTTTGATCGCGACCAATGATGGATCCCTCAATGGAGATCGACTCGGATGAATACGAGTATGAATATGATGAAAGAGAGACAGAGGTAAGGAAACATAAAACCATGCAGTTTTCATTTCCCTGAGTTGCGCTCTTCCCGTGGTAAATTCTCACCTGACACTTCTCTCCAAGAGCTTCTATGTCAACCTAGACCTCACCTCTTGCAATGGTCCAATCCGCCCTCCTCGAATGCGAGATGAGGATTCACGCGATATCTCTGCCATAGAGAACGAACCTTATGGGGGCCCTGATGACCTGCCCGAAGACACTACATTTACACCTCTCGAAAGCACCGAGACAGCCACGTTGCCCGGCGAGCGAATCCAGCTTCTTGGCCTTCACACGTGCAACCCAGTTGTCTCCTACCACAACCAAATCTTCAGTTGCGCTTGGGCCGATCAGATCGGTACTGAGTTACTCTTCACCCACCCAGATGCAGCTCCAGATGCAGACTACCCACCCCTGCGCCAGGGTCCTGGCTTTGAACTACTCGCCGCCAATAGTGTTAAGATCCTAGGCCGCAAAGCGAACATCACCTCCAGTTCTGGGCCCGGATTGGTCCCTGGAGATATCAATATCCCCAACCCTATTCCAACCAACACGGGCACTCCTGATTCATTCCCTGCAGACCCTGCCAGCATGACCATCCACCCGGCCCTCCAACATCCCACTACGACGCATCAGGCCAACTTCATCCAACGGTTGCAGAGTATGAAAAATGCAAAGGGTCAGTCGGATACCGTGCGCAGAGTCATGGGCACCAAGAAGGCCGTGAACTTTGACGATCGCTTGAATGCCTGGGCTCGCACCGAAGCTCAAGTAGCAGAGATCACCAGTCTGAACCAGCGGGCTGCAAATGGTGACGAGGAGGCGCTGGAAATTTTGGAGATGATGATCCGCGACCTCGACGAAGCCAATGATTCTGAAGAGGAATTTTGAGAACTTTTCCCGTTCGGCAGATTCACGGGATTAAGTTGACGACTGATATTCTTATCGCTGATCGGGAAGATCAGAGAAACCCTTTGGCCGAGCCGCGGGTATTCGGTCCAGAACCCGATGATTTCTGATTTTACCGTTGATGTTCCTGCATTATTCATTTCTCCACTTCTTACTTGTTAGTGCGCCCGAGAAACATTAATTTATCTCACACTCGGTTGCTCGTGGACTCTTGCAAAAGTCCGCCCATTGCATCCAGTGTGATCGCCCTGGGGGCCAACATCAGGACCTTTTATCCATGGGGCAACGGGCTGATCCCCCTGATCCGACCACAACGAGCCGCCCCACTCGGAGGAGCTTTCATTCAAAGCTGATCTTCAAGACAGCAATCGCAATGAAGCAATGTGATCAGCTCATTTTGGTCTGAGACAGGCCACGTCATTCTATTATTCCACCTCCTCAATTATGTGATGAAATGGGAGGAAAAAATACTTAAAGAATCAAAATTCAGACAGCTTGCCCCCGACCCGATCAGAACTTGTTTCGTCGGAGTCATCCTCGGGCGAATCTTACTCATCCCAACAAAGACGGAAACCCCAACCCAAGCGACACAACACGGTCAAGACATGCGATTAGCTTCTCCTGGTGTCATTTGTGACGTCGTGATCGGCAGCGCCGGTTCACATGTGCCAACTCCCCGGGTCTGACCGATCTCCACTCAGTGAATTGAAAATTCAAGATCGCAAGTTCGTTGTGTCGGTGTGCAAACGATCGGACTCCTTTTACGGAGTCGTACATACAGAATTGGTTGTACACGGTACTTTCCCATCCCGTGGTTGAAATGTACCTCGCTAGACCGGGAAATGATCCTTTCAGAGCATCGGGGACTCCGGTGGATCTACGTACTTTTGTCAAAGAAGGTCCCCATAAACTATGCACCGAAGTAAACTAGCATGCTACTAGAACTTTGCTCTAAGCGAGATTACCCCATTCACAACGAAGCTTTCCACATCTTTAATTGCCACGTTTTGAGAGTTCTGAGATCATAAGGATGTAATCTAGACGAAGTGGAGCCTTCTACTCTACCCCCTACCAAGCACAGCACTAGCACGTATGTTCAAGCTCCCTAGTAGAAACGATGTTACAATGAAAGAAGAATACTTATTTTTCAAGAAATATTTGTGATTTCAAAGCTTAGCCGAGGGAATTCCCATACCGAATCCCCCAAACTTTTCTGTGCCCGGACCCTAAAAACGAAAGAATCAAAAAACCTCAGACAAAGGCCCCCATTCGAGCCTAAAGGCCTAGAACGCAAGTAACTATTCCACGCCAAGCCCACGCTGATGCAAACAAAGGGTGATAAGAGATGGTAAACAAAAAAAAGACATCGCAATGTATCCCGGGACGAAGGAACGGAAAATTAATAGAAAGCAAGGATACAAGGCACGATATGAGATTCTCCGACGGAGCCAGCCCCTTGTCCCTTTGTCGTGCAATAAAACGAGCCAAGGACAACCGGAGAACCTGAATCGAGACCGTGCCCGTATCCGGATGTAGTTGCGAATGCTCAGGACCTGCTGAGCAGAGAGAGATAAGAGGTGTTGGATGTTGGTGGTGAGGGGAGGCAATTCAGGGTGGTCGTACGGCACACGCCTGGATGAGAGTCATTTTTTTGTATTTTGTGTTTTGTATTTTGGTTTCTGGCTTTTGTTCGGTCTTTTGTACAAGGCCTTTACTCGAGGCTGAGACTTGGGATTTTCTCATGCTTGCTGCTGGATGCCTTGCCGTTGCTGTTGACGGCGAAGAAGACGGGGGAGGGGGGAGGCGCGGGAGGCATGCCGTCCTCCAGCTTCTTGGATGGCTTTTGGCCGGCCATGATGGACTTGCTGATATCCTGGGAGAAGGATAGAAGGGCATCCCCGGCGGTGGGGGGAGCGAAGGAGAGAGGAATCGACTGGGAAGTAGCGACGGACGTCATTTTGAAGAGGGTAGTTGGTTGATTGGAAGATGGAAGTTGAAAGTGAGGTATGTATGGGTTGGATTTGTGTAGATGTAGAAGTGTAGAAGTAGAAAGTGGAGCTCGGGGAGATGGGAGCTTGAATCTCTTTTGTAGGTACGGCGTGATACCTCGGTAACGAAAAAGCTGAGGCGAATTGGCACAGGGGCTCGTTGAGATTCGGAAAGGTCAAGATCTGGGGATCTGCGGACTAAATAAATTATCTTTGTTAGCAGTTGTGGATGGATATATGGAGTGCGTGTTGTGGTTCTTCCGAAACTGCCCGAGGGACATTTGTTCCCCCGGTGGATCGGGACTGGGGGCGAAGTATATAGGATATGATGTAACGAGCGTCTCTGCTGGAGAAAAATATCCAATATCCAACTTACCTGGGAATCTTGAAGCTTGCTGTAGATCACTGGGGAAGTGAAAGGGAGAAAAAGGATAAGTGGAGGCGAGGATAGAGGAAATAATTTAACGGCTGAAAAAAAGTCTGGGGGATGATAAGAGATAATAAGCGGGCTAGAATCCGAATGAATGGGCGATGTACACGTATTGGCTTGAAGTCTGATAAGCCAAGGTCTGAGAGCAGGAAGTGAAAAAGAGAAGAGTCTGGATTGTGTCTGTGGCCTTTGGACTGTGCCGGTAGTTATACTCTCAACCATCTCCCTTTCTATTTTTTATTTTTATTTTTTTTACTTACTCAAAATTCAATCAAACTGAACAAATCACCCTGTGGAGTAAACATAAAATCAGAAAGTACCCGGTACCAATCCAAAGTACCAAATGCAAAGATCGTCCCAGCCAAGCCCGATCGCCTCATTCTCTCGTCCATATAAGGGATGGGAACCATTCCCGGAAGGGCGGAATAACCTCTCTCAACTCCATCCCTCTGGGGAAGTGAGTGACGCGTTGCAAGTGTGGGGGAAAAGGACCCATCCAGGACCCATTTAGGACCCAGAAGGGGCAAAAAAAAAAGAAGTTGATGGATCAGCTCTTCTCCGGGGTTATAGGCTGTAGACCACTAGTTTAGCCTTCTTAAGGGGCTCCGGGGAACCGGGGCCAAAATCCCGGGCCTTTCACCGTGGGGGATTTGGTTGGGATAAGTAACATTAGGGATGTGCATCCAATTTTTGTGAATTGAATACAAAAAGAAAAAAAAACAAATAGAAATAACTAAAATAATTAAAATAATCTAAATAATCCAAATAATTAGGCTTCAGAGCTCATGGAAAATTGATCTTCCTTCTACTCCGTACTCCGCAAGTCTTCTAGTAACCTTCCCATTTCATCCTCAGCCGGGGAAAAGCCGGATCACCTCGGCTCGAATATGATCTTCCCGTTGACCAAACTATCGGGGCAGGACAGAACAGGACAGAAGAATCTAAATTAGTTCCATGATCCATTCAAATTAAATGTGTACTAGTAAGATGTGAGGATAGGAGTTTTGGTTTCAGTGTTGTTTTGTTTCACTTCGGACAAGGGTTCTACGCAGTACACGGAGTAATGCATAAAGAATATCCCGTGTGGAGAGAGCAGAGAAGACAAGGGGGTTATAAAGCTGGTGGATATCCGGAAGAGCGGTGGAAGCCCGATTCATAGCAGATCCATAGCAAATCCCCATCTGAATCGGGACTTTTTTTCATTTCTCTCGAGTAGCTTAGGCCTAGGCCCGTTGAATGGTTGAATTTGAATCAAAATTGAATATTGAATATCGAGGTAGTATTAATTAATCCAAAATTCTTGCTTTCCCCGGATTCAAGGGGCGTTGCATAGTACAAGCTACTATTTAAATCCCCTGCAATGCTCCCTCTCCACATCAAATGCTATTCAAGGGGAATGGGGGGATTTTCTTTATAGGAATTCTGGGGAGAGGAAAGCTCTAAGCTCCATACCTGCTCCAGCCCCAGCCCCAGCCAGCCCCAAACCCAGCTTCGGATTTCCTGGATCCCGGGACTCCGTCGCACTGGGAGCATTCTTCGGGGATATGGGGATATAGTGATAAGGGGATATGGGCATCGGGATAATCTGTTATCTGTAATCTGTAATCGGGGGGTCGGGGATTTGAGATTCCAAATGCTCAGACGGATTCTCTATTATCCTATTACCCATTATCCTACTGCATCCCTGTTCCCCGACTCCCCTGTCCCAACCTTGGAAGCTTGTTGCTTTGACTCTCCTGACTTTTAAATGTTTAGCCAGTTGTATATCACATTCTCAAATGACGAGTTCTAACTGGCACGTATCAGTCGGTCTGGAACTCCCCTAGTAAACTCTTCACCGCATCGACGCCATGACCATCCACGAACGGTGTGTTGTTCGTTCAGGGACAACGGTACAACTCATCAAAATGCATGCACGTCAGCCCGTGTACTGGGTACTTGCTGCTTTGTGACCCCCCTGAAATGTATAACATTGAGAGTTGTGTAATTTTTCAAACAAAATTCCAGGGTGCTCAGGGATTTTGATGATTTGGATCTGCAAAGAAATCCGTAAATGTCGATGCCTTGGGCAGAAATCCTTATCGGACCTTGAACATTGGAGATGTCAAGCATCTCCAGGATTAAAACTTGCGTTCCCAACAACATTCCTTGGGCACTGAGAGCCTAAAAAGATGAGTGTGTAAAAAGGAGACGGAGACGAAACTTTTCATTTTCAGGGGCAATCCGTCCCGCAACCAGTCGCCTTTAGCTCAAATGTTTCTTCCCAAGGTTTCTTTCAAGTACCTTGAAGACATCACCCGACCAATTTCCCTATCAGCACAGAAGGTAAAAAAAAAAAGAGAAAAAGCCTTCTCCTTGTTGTCGCCCCCTTACCAGCTGGGATGTCTCGGGGGCGCTTGTGCCGCTTGGGCATTTGCAGGTTGGTTTTACAAGGCAAAATCAGTTCTCATGACCCAAAGTGAGACTGTAAATGTATTCTGTCGTGCTTTCTTTGAATGTCGAATTCTGGCGAGGGCTCAGGCTCAGTATAATACATACTGAATGGGTTTCATACTTTCCCAAACCCTTCACCGTCGGGGCCCGGAATATCCTTTCCCCTAGAAGATAAAGCCATTACCTCATCTCTCGCCGGTCGGGAGTGTCTTCCAATCGCGATCACGCCGAGCAGTATCGCCATCACGTAAGGCCCCGCTGGGCCTTGGGGCTTGAAGATTCTGCAAGGTTCCGTTGGAGAGTTCAGTGGCCGCCCGCCGCAATGATTCGCTCTGGGGAAGAAACGTGCCAACGCCCTTGGATCGAAAGTGGGCTTTTTACCCCGCATAGGACGATCCAGGTACCGGTTGGAGAAGAATGTGTAATGTAGCCGGGCCGGGTACAACTTGGGAACTTGACTATGCTGGATTGGGCAATTTTGAAGGTGAAAAGAGGAATCACTGACTAAATCTATGCTGCGAAAGTTGGTTTTTCTTGTTACTTGATCAAGATCAACCCCATGTTTGAAACGAAAATCCCCCGGACTCTCTAGACTTTTTCGCTTTTGGAATTCCCCTTACTTGATTTAAACTTGGTAGGGCTGGGGGGAAATGGTGACATGATGAACTTAATGAGCAATTGCGGCATTTTTCATGAGGATTTGGTTCCTTGTGGTATATTTTCATGACACATCGCATTCCACGATGTTCGACGTAAATCACCTCATTATGCATAGAAAACATCATTATACTCATTACTGGCAAGTACTATGGAGACTACGGAGGCCACGGAGTACACACGTGTACAGAAAGAAATTCTAAGCTTGGGGCTTGGGAAAGTAATGTGATCAACTCAGGTGATCCGGTTCAAATCAGTAGTTCGTAATTGACTTCCCCTTTCGATCTCTATCTTTTTTTTTGTCTCCGCCACATTCTTATCTATGTGCTTTTTTTAGCCCATGTCTTTGTTTTTCAAGGCGGGAGGTTTCATAAAATTGGGGTGGAATTGGGTGCTGATGATGCTGTCATTCAGGTACTATCCGTCCTGTAGTATTTTTTTTCTGCACCGAGCGGAAATAGATCGATCTAGGGGGAAAATTGAGTGATTAGTTCTCTGGATATGATTGAGGCAATTCTTTTCTATTTTTTCCTCTTTTTCCTCTTTTTTTCTGTCTTTCTCTATTTTCGGCCCGCATGACGCAGCGGGATTTTTCCCAGTCGGCTTTACACCTCGGAAGGAGGGGCGTTTACCGCCAATCATCGGTGGCGCCTATCGCCGGGACTTAGTCATGAGGGGCATTGACCAGTGGAGCTCAAGTCTAAACTGCGGATCGAAGGCTTCGAGACCGTTCAGAACTGACGCCTAGCATCGGCTTGCATTGGGAGGCATTTGGGAATATTCTTTTTTGGAATTTTTATTAATTAGATTTTCATTTATTTTCTTGATTTATTTTCGAGGTTTTTTTCTTTTTTTTCTTTTAGGGTGTTTGCTACCAAGGATTCGGTTGGTTATTTAAAGCAGTCATTCCCCGGATTTCTTAGCTTCCCATATCTCTTAAGAAACAAGCTACTTTAGATCCCAATCTCAGATCTACTTGTACTATACACACGTTCATGGCCACAGTAAGTCACCCCTTGCCTGTTATCTTTACGTGAAACTTTGGTTATCTCCATTTTCCACCGGTCCGGTTTCCCGTCCACACACCTTCCCTTCCACTTGGAATGGAAAACGTTCCAGTCGCAACTTATGCAGCTGCAACCCGATAAGCTCACATTCTTCAAATGTTTCCCTTATCTCCCCACGTGCCTCATAGACTTTTGACCTCGTCTAACTCTTTTACTTCTACCCAGCGTTCTGCTCGTTCTTCCATCTAGAGTCCTCAGAACCCCCCGCACATCATGTCTTCACCAATCCCCTCCACCCCACCATCGGAGGTCTCCAATGGCACCTCCCTGCCTTCCCGACCAGTTCCTAAGCTCTTCGGGAGTCAAGACGGGAGCTCTGGCACTGGCACCCCCATCGGTTTCCAACGATTCCCTCACAACAAGCACCTTGACCATGCCGTCGGGGCTGCTTTGCGGCAACCGTCTCCGCAGCCCACTCACTTGGGTGTCCCCGGTACCCCTCACCGTGTACTATCAGAGGAGGACCCGGGTTACATTGCGGCCACTTTTGAAGGCAAACAGAAACAGATGGAGCAAGGTAAGCATACAATTCAACTGAATTTCTGTCCATCCTATATCCGATGCACCATAGGTCTAATCTCCATATAGTCATGGATCAATTAGAGGAGAAGGGTTTCTTCCCCGCCGATTTCGTCACTTCCGAAACTACTTGGTTCTACAACTCGCTGGGTATCGATGATACCTACTTCCAGACCGAGACCGTCGATGCCATTGTGACCCAGATCCTCTCTCTCTATGCCGCCAAGGTCGCCGCCTACGCTCGTGATGACAAGCAGCTAGAGATCCGCTTGGACAAGGAGGCCGAAGATCACGCCGTTTACATTGATACCAGCAAACCCGGTGTCTCCTCCGTCGACGGTCCCCACTACGAGCAGCGCATTGACGAGAAATACATCAACATCTCCAAGGGTGCCGAAAGCTACCGTGTGGAGACCTTCCGCTCACCCAGTGCTCTCCCCGGTAACAATGGACAGCAACTGCGTTGTTACTTTGTTTACAAGTGCCAATTCGCCAACCCTAACCCCTCACCGAACGAAACCGATATTGAGATTATTGGTGAGAAGCGTTTCCTCCAAAAGGCCACTCCCAACACCAAGGCCATCTATCAAGAAATCATCACCGCCGCTGTCGGCCGCACTGGTCCAGTGATTGAGATGTTTGAGATTGAAGGAAGCCGGGAGAAGCGTCTTGTCATTGCTTACCGTCAGGGTTCCGCAATGGGTCTTTTCAGCGCTCTCTCCGACCTGTACCACTACTACCGCCTTACTAGCTCCCGCAAGTACCTTGAGCACTTCTCCAACGGTATTACAATCGTTTCTCTATACCTGCGTCCCTCAGAGGGTGCTGAGATTACTGCCAAGTACCCCCCAATTGAGGCTGCTATTCACCAGATCATGAAGGAGGTCTCTCTTCTGTACTGTATCCCCCAGAACAGATTCCAAGCACACTTTGCCACTGGCCGCCTCAGTTTGCAGGAGACTATCTATGCTCACTGCGCGTGGGTGTTTGTCCAGCAGTTCTTGAACCGTCTCGGTTCGGAATACACTTCTCTATCCGCCCTTCTGGATCCCAACAACAGTGTTCACGCAGAATTGCTCTCCAAGATTAAGAAGCGTCTGCGTGCTGAAACATTTACTGCGGAATACATCTTTGAGATCATCAACAACTACCCCGAGTTGATCCACAAGTGCTACTTGGACTTTGCCAACACCCACTATGTGCAGACCCAGGGCCCCACTGGAGACGACTTCCTTCCCACCCTCAGCTACCTGCGTCTCCAGGTTGATGAGGTTCTGGACGGTCCCAAGCTCCGACAGCTGATCCGCAGCACTACCATGAACGAGCATGACGAGATGGTTATGCGATCTTTCACCGTGTTCAACGCATCCATCCTCAAGACCAACTTCTTCACTCCTACCAAGGTTGCCTTGAGTTTCCGTTTGAAGCCGGACTTCTTGCCAGAGCACGAGTACCCCCAGCCCCTCTATGGTATGTTCTTGGTCATTAGCTCTGAGTTCCGTGGTTTCCACCTGCGCTTCCGAGACATTGCCCGTGGAGGTATCCGTATCGTGAAGAGTCGCAACAAGGAAGCATATGGCATCAACGCTCGCTCGCTTTTCGACGAGAACTACAACCTGGCCAACACCCAGCAACGCAAGAACAAGGATATTCCAGAGGGTGGCGCCAAGGGTGTCATTCTCTTGGACGTGGCTCATCAAGACAAGGCGCGGGTCGCTTTTGAGAAGTACATTGACAGTGTCTTGGATCTGTTGTTGCCCCCGGTCAGCCCCGGTATCAAGGACCCCATCGTGGATCTGCATGGAAAGGATGAGATTCTCTTCATGGGCCCTGACGAGAACACCGCCGAGCTTGTTGACTGGGCCACCGAGCACGCTCGTGCCCGTGGCGCTCCTTGGTGGAAGTCTTTCTTCACTGGCAAGAGCCCCAAGCTTGGTGGTATTCCCCACGACGCCTACGGAATGACTACCCTCTCAGTTCGCCAGTACATTCTTGGAATCTACCGCAAGCTCAACATCGATCCTTCCACCATGCTCAAGCTGCAGACTGGTGGTCCCGATGGTGATCTTGGATCCAACGAGATCTTGCTCTCTAACGAGAAGTACGGTGCGATCGTTGATGGATCCGGTGTCATTGTCGACACAGAGGGTCTTAACCACCAGGAGCTGATCCGTCTCGCCAAGAAGCGTGCGATGATCTCCGAGTTTGATGTTTCCCTTCTTTCTCCCGTGGGATACCGAGTTCTAATTGATGACAAGAATGTCAAGCTCCCAAGTGGCGAGATTGTTCACAACGGTACCAACTTCCGAAACACATTCCATTTGCGTTCGGAGGAGAAGTTTGACGTCTTCGTTCCTTGCGGTGGTCGTCCCGAGTCTATCGACCTGTCTACCGTCGGCAAGCTGATCAAGGATAGCAAGTGTGTCGTTCCTTACATTGTCGAGGGTGCCAACCTGTTCATCACCCAGGACAGCAAGCTGCGCCTTGAGAAGGCCAGCTGCATTCTGTTCAAGGATGCCTCCGCCAACAAGGGTGGTGTGACTTCCTCATCCCTGGAGGTTCTTGCCTCCTTGTCCTTCGATGACCCAGAGTTCGTCGCCAACATGTGCGTTGGTGAGGATGGTACCGTTCCCGAGTTCTACCAGGCATATGTCAAGCAGGTGCAGGAGATCATCAAGGAGAACGCCACTCTCGAGTTCGAGGCTATTTGGCGCGAACACGAGCAGACTGGTGTGCTGCGCAGTGTTTTGAGTGATCGTTTGAGTTTGGCTATTACCAAGCTTGACGAGGAACTCCAACATACCGAGCTTTGGGACAACATTGCCCTCCGTGAATCGGTTCTCGGCGATGCCTTGCCTCAGTTGCTGCTGAACAAGATTGGCCTCAAGACCATCTTGGAACGGGTTCCCGAAAACTACCTGCGTGCCATCTTTGGTAGCCACCTGGCCAGCCGATTTGTGTACCAGTATGGTAACCACCCAAGCCAGTTCTCGTTCTTCGATTAGTATGTTTACTTTCCCCCTTTCCACCTCTCCTAACATGTACTAACAAATCATCACAGCATGACCAAGCGCTTGCAAAAGATCCAACAGATCCAGTCCTAAAGATTTGCAGATCACGGATGTTTTTGGCTTCTTAATGTTTTATTTGTTTCACTTGTTTCCCCTCCCCAGCTTTGATTCCCGATACCTTCCTTATGTAGTTACTACGGTTTTGGTCAAACAAAAGAATTACTATAACTTAATACGAAGACAGTCAATAGACTCTGTCTCTATGATGAACATATGGTTTGCAAGATTTTTCTTTTGAGTCCAGATAGTTAAAATTGAGCACCTGATTGACCTGTTGTCCTTAATAGAAGTGAAAGAATGGATGCGCCTGGCATGCTCATCAAACATTTGCCTGAAATTCGCTGAAACTCGTAATCGCAATGCAAGAATGCACTGGCGTTGTCATAAAACATAACCATGTCGTCAATATATCATCCATATATGTCCCTTCAACTGCTCCATTCTCCCCCGAGCACTCCTTCGATACATATTCCTGTTCCACAGATAAAGTTCATTATCGGTGTATCATCAAACGTATGTATGTATATCGAGCAATTCGCTCACTTTGACCTCATCCGAGGTTCACTCTTTGCAGACTCCGCCAGAATAAGAACAAGACTTGTTGCCTAGAACATAGACAAAGCATAGATTAGTATCATGACAACAACAACAACAACAACAACAACAACAACAACAACAACAACAACAACAACAACAACAACAACAACAACAACAACAAAAGAACCCCACGGTCCTATTCCCTGTTCTCAAACTCACCAGTAGTAAATCCACACCCTCCGCCACCTCCACCTCCCACCTCGGCATCGACCCAGACATATTAGCATCCATGACCTTCTCCCGCCGCACATTAACAATCCGCTTCTCCCCCATCATAACAGCCGCATAGCTACTGCTCTGCTGAACAAGCTTCAGCTCCACCTTCGTACTAACGATCGCGCCCTCCGAGCGCGGTCTCGGCGACGACAACGAAGAAGTCGACGCCGGCGCCGGTTCCCCAGGCGGCTCAATCGCATCCAACAGATCCTGCAGCGAATGATTCGACAGCGACAGCGCCCGCATCCGCCGCACAGAATCATAAGAAGGAAGCGGACAATCCGGCAACCCAGCCTTATCATCATCGTCCGACGATTCGTCCTCGCTCTCGCTCGCACTCCCTCCACTACCTCCCCCGGCCCCACTCCCATTCCCGCTCGCCCCACTACTACTCTGCTGCGCGGCATCCTCCGCCACAACGCTCGCATACGGCGGCGGCGAGTGGTGATCCGGGTGCTCGTAGTGCGGCAGATTAGCGTGCGCATTCGCATTCGCGCCCACACTCCTCCCACTCCCCGCAATCGGGTCCTGCCCCGGCCGCCGCGCACTACTAGCCCTCGCCGTCCGATGCTCGCCGCGCCGACTGTACGGACTACCCAGCGACATGCTGCGATGGTGGGCTGGCCGGCCGTGCCGGGCTTGGTTGAGGTTGCGATTCATCTCCGCGATCTCCTCGCGGTCCCACACCCCGCGCAGCAGCGCGTTCTCAAACTTCACCCCCATCCGCATCCCAATGCCCCACCGCACCTCGGAATGAAGCAGGTCCTCGCCTGCCCCGCCCGCCCGCCGAATCACCCACCGACCCTTCCACCAGATCCGGCGTAGCTCGAGCAGGGCGCGTCCGTTTGGATTGCGGATCTCGCGCAGCTGCGTGTTGCTCCAGAAGCGGGCGACGACGTTGAAGAGGAGGACGTGGCGTCGCGGGCTGGAGGGGTCTTCGTGTGTGCGGAGTTGCACTACGCTGAATTCGCGGCCTGTGCTCGGGTGCTCGCGGAGGATGCGCAGTGTTGTTGGCGTGTTGGTTAGTCTGTCTGGGGCTGGGGCGAGGAGGTGTGAGCGCCGGAGCGCGATGGGGTGGTCGGGGGCTTGGAGTGGGTTTGGCATTGTCGCATTGCCTTTTTGGTTTTTGGGGGGCTTTGCTGGCTAGTTTCCCGAGGTCCAGGAGGACCGTTTGGTTTGCGTGGGTTGTGGGATGCCCGGGACCCAGGGTACCCAGGTATGTATATGCTTGTGGTGAGAAGGGGAGGGTGGGGGAGGAATGTAGGAAAGAATGAAATAAGAGGAGGGGGGGGCTTGGGACTATTTTCTTCTCGGTGCGTTCTCTCTCTCCTTTTTTTGGGCTAATTTTCTTTTGGCGCACATGTGCTGCGTTTACGATGGGCTAAGTAGCTATGGCGTGGTGCGGAGAGGTTCGAGCATCCACGCCGGCGCGGGGTGGAAGAGGGGCTTGTAACCTGCCAAGAGTCGACTATCGGGCTTGTTACTGGAGGAGATTAATGGCGCGTGCCTAGGCAGCCACAATCTGAGGCGGTGCTACTTGCTATCTTTTTGAACTGGATCTTGGCAGGTCCGTACGAATGATATCACGGATGCCACGCTGGTGACAGGTTTATACACTTGTCGGATATACTTGGAAGTGTCCCACTTATTCAAAGTCCAACCTTGGAAAGTGGAATCGTAACGGCTCGGTAATGCCGTACTTCCGCCTATAGTAGAGTGGACACTGTGAACACGCGCTAATCTAATAATACACTCTGTACCTTACATGTAACGAAACGGGGGGATTTCTGACTGTTGTAAATTTCCTTTTTCGGATTACTGCTCCGCCTCTTACCGCTTTTGCTCGCTGAGTACATCTGAGCACGGACTTCAGCTCTACAGTAGGATTCGAAAACAGTTTACCCTTTCGGACCGACGGCCTCTCATTGGGAAACTTGGTCCATGTCTAAACGTTCCAGCCAGCTACTATACCAGGGGACTTTCCCTAGCCGAACTCGGTTTGGTGCGCTGGGAAAGAAAGCCTGTATGTCTATGTAAGGGGTAATATGTTTTCGAATACTACCGTATGGTTACTCAGAGTCCGTATGTCTTGAACTGCGCACTGTGCGGTGCCCTTTGGTTGTATAAAAGCCTGTGAAGATCTCACGTATCAAGGTTAAGATGAGGAGTATGCCTTTCAAATGGATTATCAATATCAAGGAAAGGTATAGTCGACTGTGACGAGTTTGGGACCGTCAATGGCTGAGAATGTGGTTCTCATGACTGGTTTATGGGGTAGATGTGATTGGCATAGGCAGGGTATTTGTTTTTTGTATTCTTGAGTGCTTAAATAAGGGCAACTGCTGGTTCACCCATCTTCACCCTAGTGCTAGCGTCAGATAACAACTTGACCACACGCTCATGGCCCTTTGCTGCTGCCCGAAAGAGTGGAGTAACTCCATTTGAGTCCTTTGAATCGATATCTACCTGCCCAGTCTGAAGAAGCAAATTGACAACAGGATGATAACCACGTTTTGCTGCCCAGGAGAGTGGAGTTCGTTGTTTTGAGTCTTTTGAATCGATATCCACCTGCCCAGTCTGAAGAAGCAGCTTCACCACGGCCTCATGACCATGTTGTGCTGCCCGGGAGAGTGGAGTTCGTTGATCCAAGTCTTTTGAATCAATATCCACCTGCCCGGTCTGAAGAAGTAACTTGACCACAGCCTCATGACCCCTTTCTGCTGCCCAGGATAGTGGAGTTCGTTCATATAAGTCCTTAGAATCAATATCTACCTGCCCAGTCTGAAGAAGCAACTTGACCACAGACCCAGAACCCGTTCTGGCTGCCCAGGAGAGTGGAGTCTGTTGATGTGAGTCCTTAGAATCAATATCCACCTGCCCAGTCTGAAGAAGTAACTTAACCACAGCCTCAGAACCTGCGCTTGCTGCCCAGGAGAGTGGAGTCTGTTGATCTGAGTCCTTAGAATTAACATCCACCTGCCTGGTCTGAAGAAGTAATTTGACCACAGCCTCATGACCATATCCTGCTGCCCAGGAGAGTGGAGTTTGTTGATTCTCATTCTTTGAATCAATATCCACCTGCCCGGTCTGAAGAAGTAACTTGACTATAGCCTCATAACCATGCCTTGCTGCCCAGGAGAGTGGAGTTCGTTGATATGAGTCCTTAGAATCAACATCCACCTGCCCGGTTTGAAAAAGCAACTTGACCACAGTCTCATGACCATGTCTTGCTGCCCAGGAGAGTGGAGTCTGTTGATAAAAGTCCTTTGAATCAATATCCACCTGCCCTGTTTGAAAAAGCAACTTGACCACAGCCTCATGACCATTTCCTGCTGCCCAGGAGAGTGGAGTTCGTTGATCCTCGTCCTTAGAATCAATATCCACCTGCCCTGTTTGAAAAAGCAACTTGACCACAGCCTCATGACCATTTCCTGCTGCCCAGGAGAGTGGAGTTCGTTGATCCTCGTCCTTAGAATCAATATCCACCTGCCCTGTTTGAAAAAGCAACTTGACCATAGCCTCATGACCATTTCTTGCTGCCCAGGAGAGTGGAGTTCGTTGATCCTCGTCCTTAGAATCAATATCCACCTGCCCAGTCTGAAGAAGCAACTTGACCACACCCTCATGACCCTGTCTTGCTGCCCAGGAGAGTGGAGTTCGTCCATATGCAGAGTCCTTTGAAGAAATATCTGTTTCCTCAGAGCCAAGCAGCAATTCAACAACTCCTTCTAATCCAAGGCAAGATGCGACGATCAACGGTGAAGGATCTTTTGGACAAGAAATCCACACCTGTTCCCAATGCTCATAAACCCTTCTACCTCCTGTAGTCCATGGAGAACAGAGAAGGGCTCCCAACTCTGTGAGTTTATCTCCTTTATAGGAACAAGATTCACGCAAATGAACCATCCAGTATTCCACGGAGTAATCCCAAAAGTCTTTTTGGCTTGTTTCTGAATGCGTAAAGAGGACCCAAATGCATACTTCCGCAAGTACTTTGCTTGATTCCATTGGTTCAAGGGAGTGTTGCCAGGTATGGAATGCCGAGATGCTGCCCGAAGATGGAGTGTGAACTAGAAATTCCTTGACTGTCTGGTGGAGGAGGTACACCTTCCCCTCAATAATGACTAGAAGAAGCCCACAGAGGTCCCTTATTGTATCCTTGAATCGTTCAACGATTTCTATGTCATCTTTGACCTCGTCAGCAGGTTGGTCAACTTTCTGTACGGCTGAGGCGAGTGATAATTCCTCCACGAGAAGTGGACGTTTGGCAGCTAGGATGATGTGAAGAAGCCTTCTCGCCTTGATATGGTTTGGGCTCCGATTCAATATTTTGCTGTAAGCGTCATTCACGCTAGTTGGTATTTCAGCACCCATTGTTCGGCGGACATTTCCTTTGGTAAAGCCAGGGGTCTTCTCTATGTATTCCATAGTAAGAGTCACCCAGAGATAGGTTCGATGTTGTATACTAGTCAGCTGCTCCTGCAGGAATGTATGCTCGCTTGGCTCAAGTGATTTGCGGTCGGCAAGCTCACAAACCCGACTTGCGACCACGAGATCTATCTCCCGTGAGATTTTATCGACTTCCACTTCATTCTCAGCATTCAAATGAATCGCGGGAGTTTCTCTCTCGAGATTCTGGAAGGCGCTGCGTATGTGGCCATATGGTCGACTTGTCATCAAAAATTTGATATTGTGGCCTTGACTGTTGTTCAAGTAGAATCTCGTCACTTCCTCAATGAGTTGAGATCGATCGGCATCTTGGCACTCATCCAAGGCATCAACCACAAAGATGATCTCGCCGGCTTGTGGATTGGAGGAGGCACTTATAAGGATGTTCCATAAATCTCTGAAAGATTCGATCAGTTTATCCCCATCTGTTTCGAACTTGTCCAGTGCAGATTGTGGTAGAAGGCTTGGCTGGGCCATGAGAACTTGGCGTAATAGGCTGCAGAGGGCACTCGTAGAGCTCCTTTGGTCATCGAAATCATCCTTGAAGAAAAAATAGCAAACAGTTCTTCCTCTGGGCTTTGGAAGCACTTCATCAACCAAATATTTAGCCAGAACCGATTTTCCACATCCGGGGTCTGCCGAAACCCATAAGAGACCTGCCTCTGGGCTCTCGTTCCATTTTCGAAAACGAGGGTGGCTGGTAAACCATTCACAAGTCTCAGGCACGCGTGGGCTGTTTCTGTCCTTTCTATCTCGGTACGGACAAGTATAGAGACGCTGGAAAAATCCCTTCAGCGTCTGATTTCGCTTCGATGTCGTTTGCCAGATTTGGTGTCTTTCCAAGGCACTTTGGAGCTCCCCTTCCCGCCTTTCTCTTTCCGACTTCAACTCGTCTGCTTCAATCAGGGAGATAAATTTCCTAGCTTCATTTTCAAGGTCTTGCATGTCTTTGAGTAATGAATCCCAGGGGTCTCTTTTCAGCATACCCCTTGAAAACTGAACGAATGAATTCTTTTGAAGGTAGCACAGCGCCCGGGCCTGAAATTCCAATAGTTTGCAGCACAGAGAAGTCAATGTCTCCTCGAACTTTTCAATGAAATCGTCCGAGGTCTCATTCAAGTGTAAGTAAAGATCATCCATTTTGTGGATACGGAGAATTATTGCAGATGTTTTGTCTAAACCCTGCAGAAGGACCTCTCGTTGTTCGACGGCTTGGATGAAGAGCTAACGAGGGTTGACTTAGTATGTGATCACGGCAGAGTTTGGCAGAACCTTTGCCTTACCAAGAGGCTGACTGTCATGGCCGCACATGCTATTGCAGCCGGAGGACTTGCGGTCGCTGCAGTATTGATCACATCTTTCACCACCAAAATATTCCTCATCACCTTGGTGACTTTGTCTCGAACGGAGACATTTTGATCACCAATCATCCACTCCTTCTCCTTCAGCTCGCTTGTTTGAACCTCAAGAAAGCTGCAAAGCTTCTTGTAGCCATCTCCCCCGCTTAGCTGAATATTCAATCCCCAATCCTTGAGGATCTGGGTGGCTTCCTGGAGGAGCTCTTCTCTCTTTTTGTCTTTCCTTAAATCCTTCTCTGCTCGTTCCCAAAGATTGTCGTGCGTCACGGGTGGAGTAGGCACTGATTTCGGTCTCGATAGCGTTGGCTCCGAGATTGTCGGCTGACCGTCTTCCTGGAGGAGCTCTTCTCCCTTTTTGTCTTTCCTTAAATCCTTCTCTGCTCGTTCCCACAGATTGTCGTGCGTCACGGATGGAGTAGGCACTGAGTTCGGTCTCGATAGCGTTGGCTCCGAGGTTGTCGGCTGACCGTCTTCCTTGCTTGTCGAGGACACTGTCGAAGATAGATTCGGTCGAGCCTTTCTTCTCTTGGCCGAGTTCCTGAAAGGCAGTCGCAAACATAAAGGCATCGTGCGGAGGTGTATCCAGAGTTGAGAAGTCCCGGTTTCAGTCGCATCTCAAGATATGCCGGGGGTGAGGGGACAGCTGAGGCTAAGCGACTGGCTGATTGATTCATGAATGCCTAAGCGCCCCAGCCACATCGGCCCAACATGTGAGCGGGGAATTTCAACCTCCTATCACAGTTGCTGCCGAAGCCTACCCGCCTTACTCGATAATATCAATTGTTTGCTCGCCGGGTGCTTAACAGATGCCAAGCTTGGAAGGACTTGACCAATCAATCCCATCCTACCCCAGCGTGATCGTACTGTTCATATTTAATCCACATGGTACTGTGGGGGCAGTAAACAATAATGGCGTCATGGTTTTTTGGAGGAAAAATTCCATTGCTGCGCCCACAAATCTTCAACTCAATAGTTCATCACCTGACATTGAGCTTGACGGAGTATAGGATTTTTTCTAGAGCTAACATAATCCACAACTTACAAGCGACCGGGCCAAGCGAGCGGCTAAGGTTTCTACTCCGAGCTCCGTACACTCCGAATGCTGAAAGACGCCAAAACAACAATTTATTAATAGAATAAGCTATTTCGGAAAAATTTAGCACGTACACATACGTATTTTTTTTAAAAGTGTTACGTGATCAGTTTTGGTTCTAGAAGCATTGTCCCTGAACTAAGCCCTGAACTAAGCCCTGAATTGGCAATGAAGAATCTTGCTAAGAGATCTGTGGCATAGTGGCTGAAGTTTACTATGTACAAGTTTCAATGGAAACCGGTACATGACATCTGGACACTGTGGAATATTTGAGCTTGCGAGATCGACACGGGAAATGCCCGGTTTCCAATCCAATATTTGGGTTCAAGAGTTGATATATCGGAAAGAGATCAACACTTAGAAGTGACATGATACGGTGCTTGGATTTCCTAGTTTTCAGGCTATATTTAAATTTAATATAGGGAAAGGATGGACTCGTATGTTCCGTAGTATTGCTCTAGGCCCATGGGATGATTGGTGGGGGCAAGTGCCACACAATGAAACACCAAAATTGGCCACGCAAAACAGGTCCGAGTCCCCAAGTTCTTTCGTATTGGCTCAAGGACACTGTCAGGGGAAGCTTGATTCCATTTTTTATGAACATAACTTTTGCATAAGCCGAGGTTCTCTTTGATCTTCACACAACTTGAGAGTATTATACAAAAGTAATATATACCTGTCACATGTGCAACCTCCTTTGTCAGCCATTAAATCATCTCTCTCTCGCCTCTAATTACTTTAGCCACGGTATAACCATGGGTACAAAGCCAGGAACACCCTAAAAAAGACGGTGAAAAAGAGTTAAAAAGGCTGGAAAATTACCGAAAAAGGAAAGATGAAAAAAAAAAAATGAAAAAAGCCAATGAAAATAAGAAAACGCCCAGTCATGCGAAGAAAGCGCCACGGGGTTTGACTGACGCGTTCGCCCATGACTTCAACCTGCATAGTAGGTGGGTCTTAAACAAAATCCGACGGTCCTGCTGGGCTCGCTGGGCTCTGGACTTCAATTAAATAACAGCTTTTCCCCACTTAGCCCCTTTTTTATGAAGTTTGTTTCTTTCTTCCCTCCTCCTCTCCAGGATATGAAGTTGACTCGTTTGTGGGGTTTTGCTCTTTGTGGCTGCATTTCAATCACTCCTCAGTCTGTCTTGATCATTTGATATTCGACACTTACTTCTTATACGTGAGAAAAAGGCCCCTTGCAGCGAACACGTTTTTTTTCTGGTCCTCTATTCGGGTTTACCCCAGACATTCAAATTTTCCCGCGGTTATCCGCAGAACAAACCCAGTCAAACTTAAACCATGTCCGAATTATCCGACTCCCAGGAAAACCCCTCACCTCATCAACCCTCAATAGACTCAACAGAAGACGACAAGGCAAAGACAAATAACCCCGAGCTTCCCCAGGCCGTCGTCCGCGACTCCGTCAGTGAACAACCAAGCGTCTCCTCATTCGGTCAACGTTGGAAATCCATCAGAGAACGCAGCGCCACAATAGCCGAGCGACTGGGCCGGTCCCATGAACGAAACGAAGATGGCCTAGAGGGCGCCGGCTTCTCAACAGAATACTTTGGCGCCACAGACGACCTCCGAAGCTTTGCCGCGCGCCAGGCCAACGACGAGGAGGAACGCTTGCACAACAATGATCATGACGCTCAGGCTCAGCTCTTGGTTCGCCATCTCGGATTGCCCGGCAATCGTCATCGACGAAATGAATCCTCCGAATTCCCCTCGGGCACTACCACGCCCGGCGATTTGAGTGAACACGCCCCGCTGAACGGGAGTGTCCTATCGCAATTGCTGCGCGTCTACGCCAATAATATGGAAAATGCGAGCAGAATGAGCGTTGCCACTACCTCATTTGACACGGACCCGGACACGGAGACTATTCCGTCCAAAACGCCTGGAACGACTACCCCCGGTGGCATCAGCACTCCCGGTGGGACGCCGCCGCTTGGTGGAAAGAAGGAGAAGGTGAAGTGGTACAATAACGGGGAAGCGAGCGAAGCGGGCAGCAAGAATGCAAGCAAATTCAATCTGCCGTTGAAGGTTCCGGCTAAGAAGAAGAGGGAGTCTAATCATGCCTATACCTCTTCGCTTATCTCGGCATCCATGGGAATGGGCCGGATTGGTGTGCCTGGGGCCGAGGGCCCGGCTCCGATGAATCCGAAGGAAAGGAAGAAGCAGAAGCGGAAGAGCCAGAAGAATGTTAAGCTTACCGTGCATATTGCGGCTATCTTGGCGCGACAGCAGTATATTATGCAGCTGTGTCGTGCCCTGATGAAGTACGGCGCGCCGACGCATCGTTTGGAGGAGTATATGATGATGACTTCAAATGTGTTGGAAGTCAATGCTCAATTCATGTACATTCCGGGTTGTATGTTCATGTCCTTTGACGACCCGCTTACTCGCACCGCCGAGGTAAAGATCATTCGCGTCATTCAGGGACTGGATCTCTCTCGCTTGGCCGAGACGCACAATGTCTACAAGAACGTCGTGCACGATATTGTCAGCGTCGAGCAAGCTACACAAGACCTTGACGAGGTCATGCAGCGGAAGCCACGATACGGACGCTGGACGAAAGTCTTGCTTACCGGGCTGGCTAGCGTTGCTGTTGGTCCTTACTCCTTCTCTGCCCGTCCTATCGACCTTCCGATTATTTTCTTTCTGGGTTGTCTGGTCGGCTTTATGCAACACATTCTAGCCCCCTCATCAGCTACCTATTCCAACGTGCTCGAGGTATCAGCCGCCATTCTGACCTCGTTCCTTGCGCGCGCATTCGGAAGTATCCAACACAAAGGCGAGCGTGTCTTCTGTTTCTCGGCCATGGCTGAATCATCCATTGCTATGCTTTTACCCGGTTTCGCTGTGCTGAGTAGTAGTCTGGAACTCCAGTCGCACCAGATGAACGCCGGTTCAATCCGCATGGTCTTCACAATCATTTACTCCCTGTTCCTGGGATACGGTGTTACGGTTGGTACCACTATCTACGGATTAATGGACAGCAATGCCACAGACCAGGAGACTTGTACCGGCGCCGTCGATGACTGGGGCAACGAGTACATCCAACACTTCCCCTTCGTTGCGCTGTTCTGTTTGTTCGCCGCTCTACTCAACCAGGCCAAGCCGAAACAGCTACCTGTTACAGTCTTCTTAGGCGTCTGTGGCTATGTGGCCAATTACTTCAGTACGAAGAAGCTCGGCTCTAACCAGGTGGCTAATACGGTCGGCGCCTTCACGATTGGTCTGCTGGCCAATTTGTACAGTCGTCTGTGGCACGGCCATGCTGCTGCTGCTATCATCCCGGGTATCTTTACTCTGGTGCCCTCTGGTCTAGCATCTTCCGGATCCATCATTTCCGGTTTGCAGTATGCCGAGGAGGTCGCGAATGGAACTGTCTCCTCCACTTCGAGTGCCACTAATGAGAGCTCGCTTACGTCATTGGGCTATGGAATGATCCAAACGGCTATCGGTATTTCCGTTGGTCTTTTCGTCGCTGCACTGATTGTGTATCCGCACGGAAAGAAGCGCAGTGCCATTTTCAGTCTGTAATGGCTGTTTTCTATGAACTTGTCATGAAATCTTCGAAATCTTGTTTTTATTTTGTTTACATATCTGTACAGACTAGACGCCATTTTGTCCTTGCATCTCTTCTCTTCTTATCGACTGTTTGGTTTTTTTCTAGCGAGCATTCATACATTTATTCCAAGGTTGTCAGCTCTGATATCACGTTTCGGCATATACCATATATCCACTTGTTTCAATTTATCTGATCTTACATTCCTGTGTTCCACTGTTTGAAGCTCCGACTTGATATGATTGAGGGCATCGCAATCACTGGCGCCCTGAGCGCAAAGATTGCAGTTAGGGTAATCTTGGATACGCATGGTCTATATACTAGATATCAGTGTTATAGTAGTTCCAGAATAGCGAGGATACTGACTACTAAAGGCTCCATCTTCAAATAAGTAGTCTCAGTCCAAGTTGATATTCACACAATCCACTTGTCCTTCGCGGCATATAATCCTACGAAGGACGTCCTTGTTTTTAAATAATGAACAGCCATCTCTCGAGATGTCTGCAAGACTAATTTGAGAAGATGACGCCGCATCATCGCACGAGCAACCGTTCTCTCAGCCAAAGGTATAATTTTGTCCCTGACGTATCCGGAGGCAATCGAGAAGTTCGGTCTTCTGTTACGCATACTCTTGGCACTGGAGCCGAAGCACACTACGCCACAAGCACCTTGAAAGGCTGGCAGAGTGATGTGTGGTCGAAGGTCTAGATTGATAGGAAGTAGGAGTCTAAACTAACAACTCTTTCGTAACGAGCAGAAGATTACTATATTTATAAACAAGTTAATCCGCCCATACACTATCATGCACAAAATTACGTGAACAACACATATATATTATTAAGTGGTAATCTCGATCTTCTCAACCATAGCGTATAAATCATCCAAACTGGGGCGCTCTTCGGGCTTACTGCGCGTGCAAGCTTCCACAACAGCAGCAAGAGGAGGTGGGACAAACCATTCCACCGCCATCGTTATCGGTACGTTTCCGTATATCATGCCTTTTATAAGATAGCCGAGGTCATAGATGTCCGATTTCTCAGTCCAGCCAGCGTCCAACACCGGCTCGCGAGAAACCTCAGGAGCCAGACGATTTCCCCAACGTCCCTCGAGATCGCAGATAAGCACACGGGATGTATCAGCGGAGAAAACAATGTTGTCGATGCGAAGGTCACGATGAATAATCCCAAGGGAATGAAGTTTCTTCATTCCGGATATTATCTGCAAAAGCCAGTCTTTGTATACAGTAAGGGGATAAATGTACCCTAAGATGTATCTGGACTTGAATTTTTCGAAAACCAGCTTCCCCTCTGGCGACTTTCCCAGTAACTGAATAATGTGGGATGATTTTGGGACTCCCGGACAAGATCCACCTTGGCATTCTAGTAGATTGCTGATTTCACTCTTATATTTACCTTTCTTGATAAAGTATTTGCTGGAATCGACTTCAATAATCGGGAGCGCGGTAAGAATTGTATCAAGTTCTTCGGAATCATCATCAAGCTCCGGAAGCGGTGGTGTATTCATAAGGGGGCGTACTTGGTCACCAATGATTTCATGATCGCCGATGTTGACTGAGTCGGGAAAATTTTGTTGTAGGCGAAGAATATCACCAGAGATAGTGCCGGGAATATCAGCCAGCCGGATGCATTGGTGCTCATACCAATACGTATAGCAGAACACACCGTCAATCAATCCCAAACTGAGGTCGATTAAACGTCGGTCACCAGCAGAACCCAAGTCAGACCACGCTTTTTTCCCTTCGTAATCAGCCCTCAGTCGCTGAATTTCCTGCATAAAAGGATCGTTGGATGATTGATTCATCCTTGGCTGCTGATATGGGGGCGCTGATATAGGGGCTTTGAAGTAATCTCGAGACGAGGGGCTCAAGTCCTTGCTCGCCAGAAATTATTTGCGGCAGTGACAAAAACAAAGAGGAAATGTAAAGGTTGGTGGCATCCAGCTCAAGGTTTTATATACTAAGAGAAATCACTCAAAGTATTAAGGAGAGTGGGCTGGGGCTTTGAGCTTTGCACCTGTACAGCTACCTAATAAATAATGCATGACATGTAATATATCATACCAACCTATCAAGTTGTGTATTTCTTCGGTGATGCATATTCTAGCAAAATTGTTACTGCAGATTGACGGAGAGTGCTCGAGCCCAAACGGAAAAATGCGACTTTTAGCGCCGGGCATCCACCGGCCTTCATCCGAAGTCATGTCACTTGACAGATGTCAGATTATCACTCAACTTTTCCTACGAACTGGAATTGCTATGTCAATCAGGCTTAGAAATTAGGCACAAGTACTAACCGGCCCCTTACATAAATTACCATTTATAACGGACCCCTACGCTCCGAGAAAAGGTTAGCGGGGGGCCCGCTCAATTGTAAGCATGTCACATGTGCAGCGAAACATCCAGGCCTGAGGCGGTGTAGCGGTGAAAGACAGCCTCAGGGTGCCCAAGATTCTATTCCTGAGCAAGTTTTCCGGACCGAAACAGAGGCATTTTGTCCCCTATCCGTTGTGGATGCCATCATTCCAATATCTCTGATTGATACGTTGGATTTATTGTCACTACTCGCTCACCCGACATGAGCTCAGAACCATGTGGAGCGTGTAGCTGGACAGCTGAACGCCAAAGGGATTGTAACTACGATAGCTGCCTCAAACTGTTCTATGAAGCAGGCGATCGAGGTGTCTGGTCGTTGGGCTCAAATTTTATTTTGAAAGATCGAGGTTCTAGGCTTCCGACGTCTGAGGTACCAAATATCCAATTTGTGCAGGAACAGACGTCTATCCCTGTTCCCACTGTTATCGAATCTTGGAAGGAAGGCGATCACACCCTCATATTGATGCGACGAATCCCCGGCGAGCCCCTCAGCAAACCCTGGCCGAAGCTTTCGACGGATCAAAAAGAGAGAATAGCACAGCAGACTGCTGGGTACCTGCAACAACTTCGCAAGCTCCAGTCTGACAAGATCCAATCTCTTAGTGGCGGTCCGGTCTTTTCCAACTTTCTCTTCAAAAACAAAATTTCTCTGCTTCCCCATGGTCCTCTGGCATCTGATGATGAGCTCTGGAATGACATGGAACATGGGTTGAAAGATACGATACCCGAGGCAGCGCGAATACAACTTCGACATTGTATGCCATCGGCTACACCTTACACCTTTACACATGGTGACCTCACTAATGTTAATATCATGGTTGAGAACGGCTCCCTCAGTGGCATAATTGATTGGGAGATGTCTGGCTACCTTCCAGTGTGGTGGGAATATGTGTGCACCTCGGTCCCTGATAGTGAGGAGGACAGGGAGTGGAAGGCTTTGTTGCGAAAATATATGCCTGATCATACCGCTGCGCGTGAGTTCTGGCTGGACTATTATAATCTTTGCAGAGATCCAGACAGTGAACGAGCAATTAAGTTCATGGAGAAAGTAAGGAATGAGAGCTCTTAGGGAGATGTCTGACAGTGCTTGCTTCTTTAAGCTCGGTGGGACTCCTTAAGAGGTTTATACATGAGCAAACGATCACCCAATCAGTGATCAACTGGACTGTTCGGTGCCGAATCAACCGCCTTCCCTTCATCGATCGGACCCTTCGCTTGATTCTCCTCCTCCTTCTTATCTCCTTCCTTCTTTGGAGGACGACGAGTATTCTTATTCTCTAGTAGGAATGCCCCGATAAGAATCAAACAGGTAAAAACCAGACCCACTCGGAACGCCTCACGAATGGCCTCGTTGTATGCTGTGATAACTGCGCTCTTTTGATCTTCTCCTAGTGCCTCAATCAGCGCTGTAGCTCCACCATCGGTCACGAGACCGAGATCAAATCCCGGAAAGCCAGATAGTTTGCTGATAAGTTGACTATCCAACACATTCTGTGCTGCCGGAACGGAGATCGACCCGCCAATAAGCTGCGCGAAGAAACAGAGCGCGAGCGCAATAGGCACATCCTTGTCCGGTAGCACCACCTGTGCTGCAAGATTTGGTGTTTGAACAGTAGCTCCCATGCCAAAACCGAATAGGACTTGATAGCCAATCCACATTCCGCTACTCGAGTCCACCTCAAGCGTGGTGAGCATTCCGGCCCCAACAACCATGAGAATAGCGCCAACAAGACCGGCGTGCACGTAGTATCCAGTCTCTTCAACTGTGGCTCCGTAAAGAATAGATGAGACGAGTAATCCCAGCATCAAAGGAAGTAGTTTGATACCAGAAGTCACGGCAGAATCTTCCTTGACGGTTTGGAACCAAATTGGAAGATAGTAAACTTAAATTGCGGTTAGCTAAAAGTCCATGGCTAAAAGTCCATGGCACGTAAAAGAGACACAGAGAGAAAATGTGTGGGTGTACTTACTGTAGACATACATGCCAGCACCAATGAAAGTCATCTCCCACATTCCCGCCCAGATGCTGCGAATCTTGAAGATACGAGGAGGAATCGTTGCTCTCTTGGGAAAGAATATCTGGCTGAGAACGAAAGCCACAAACAATGCCGACATTATTGTCAATAAGACAATAATCCGACCACTATTCCACTGGACGGGCGTTAGCTTCTAGTTATGTTATAGTCAGGGATGCGAACTTACAGCATATTTCCCGCCTCCCCACTGCAATGCCAGGACCAAGCATACGAGACCAGGCACGAGTAATATACTGCCCAGGGGATCTAGTCCTTTCATCTTCTCCGAGAACGGGATGTTCGCCGTCTCCGGCTTGGGAATCTTCAAGAACAGTGCGACAATGGCCATGCACGCTCCACCAAAAGGAAGGTTGATATAGAAGCACCACCGCCATGTCACATGTGTGGTGAATGCACCACCAATCAAAGGGCCAAGGATAATTGCAAGCCCGAAGAACGCGCCTAGCGCACCTTGAACAAGTGGACGTTTCTTCAGAGGAACGGAGTACACGACAGTCGTAGCCTAGTGAATCGTGGTATTAGTCATGGAGGACCACAATGTCTGGAATCAATTTTGAACGCTTGAACTTACAGATCCAGCAAGAATGCCACCGGCACCGACTCCCGCAAATGCTCTTCCGACAATCAGTGCGGCCGAGCTTGGAGCAGCTCCGCAAATGGCAGACCCAACCTCAAAGGTAAGAATACTGAAAAAAAGAACGGCCTTGGGGGAGAAGAAGGTGTAGAGTTTTCCGTACGTGAGCTGGAAAGCTCCACACGTCATCATATACGCACTTCCGTACCAGCCGACATCGGGAAGAGAGTCAAATTCGTTCGTGATGGAGGGGATAGCCTGTTGATAATACATTAGATATGTTCAAATATCCCCAAAACACAACGCACACAGACGAAAATCCACATTGACATACAGTTGTGACGATGGTTCGGTCTAGAGCAACCAGCATCATACTCAGTAGACACGAGATGATCTTGACTCTTACGAGACGGGTCGCGAAGTGGCGTGTCCGATTGCGACGTACTGGCATCACGCTCATGGACAGTCGAGGTCTGTGATACTGAAGTTTCCATGGCGCTTCTGTCGTGGTCGTAGCTGTTGTGGAGGGTGTAGTTGGGTTGAATACAAGCGAGCTTGCTTTGCTATGAAGCACTGATGTGTAGAATTGCAAACTGGTCCATTATATAAAGTATCATGCATCGGAGTCGGCACTGGTTGACGGAGAAGTTAATGGAGTAAAGCCGTTGAAACAGGGAGGGCGATCACGGGTAGCGGGTTCTTAGACGGTGTTTAGAAAGAGCCGTCGTGGATGTTAAGTTAGGGCTTCTTTGACGGGATTTACTAATCGCCGACAAGACAACAAAGCTAACTAGCCGTCGATCGGGCCCATATGACGGGCATGGTGGATCCTCGTCAGGTACCGGATTGACTTAGGCATTCCTCATAGAAAACCCGATACAAAACCCGTATCTTGCAAGACTCAAAAATGCAGACTTTAACTTATTTGTTTTCATTCACTATCACTATTGGTGGCTTTTATTACACCCGTCGTACATACAAATACGGACTATCTGATAAGCGGCAGGAATGGCGCTAGCCGTGTTCGGAAGTAGTTCAATGTTAGCTAACTTACAAACGGATTACGAGTAAATTACACGCCCAATTACTAGCAAGATTAATGACTCAAGCGATAACATCCAATATGACAGTGGCGTCTTGATTCTGGTTCTTTTCTTAATGACATTGCATAAGTGCTAAGAAGCTAGCTAGCTCTAGGGTTTTACCCGGGATTCAGCGAGGAGGATCCGAGTCATCATAATTGGCTACTAGTAATAGTTGCACTGAGAGCATCTATATGTTGAGATGAGTGTTGTTTTCTTTTCCTGTATAGCTATAAAGAAACCTGTTTGTCCTTAAATCATAGCATCCGTTGCCAGATTCTGATCTCCCTGTCGAAATGCGCACGTTTTACCACGCCCCAAATCCCAGTTCATCGCCGACCAGTCCAGGTGGTCCATATCAATGTCATAGTATGTCGAATAGTCAGAAAATTCCATGTCAACAGCAGGATGCGTTGTTGCAGTGCCATGGGTAGTTGACTCTGGCGTTTGTATCGCCAACGCTTGCCGGATTGATGAAACCAGGGGCGGCGTCTCCAGTATCTGCCCTGACTCTCTGTATGCCATCTCACGGGCTTCCCATGCCCGGAGAATCATATTCGTCAAGAGTTTGAAGAAGCTGTCTGATACAGACAGGACCTCAAGCAGTGCTTGGTAGTTATCATTCATAACATTCCACGCCTGAGCAGCGTGGCTGCTCATTGATCGCCATTTCAAATACTGTATTATCTGAATATACCCTATGAACGGGAAGTAAGAATGCACCATCCAGATAAAGCCCTTAGTAAGGGGCGAAGTCATCAGTTTGGTGTTGCATTCAAGCATGCGAAGTGCATAAGAGAGAGCTGCTTCGCGCTGAGTCTCAGCCTGGTGCAAGGACGAGCCAGAATACTTAAAGTGGTGTTCCACTAAACGGTATTTCGCAATATTTCCTCGCGTGGTCCAGATTGTCATGAATTGAAGCGCATTTTCTGGGTCGGAGAATTTTAGGTACTTGTCTTCAATCATCTTCTCAAAACTGTCCATTTCGGTGCCTTCTGTGTTTTCCTTGGACTCTGTCGCCATAGACCTGAGACCTGGAGCAAAGAACGCGAGGTGGAATTTTGTGTGGCGAACGAAATCCGCAAGCTCACTTCGGCAAGCAACGAATATAACGTCGGTCGACTTCTTTTGGACCTGCGGAGGCTCCTTCATATCTTCTCGTAGATCCGAGTCATTTACTGCGAGTGGTATTCTGCAGTCCCACGTAGGAAGTAGCGATGTGGCGTGCAGGTCAGCCATTTCGCCAATTCGAGAATCGAAAAGCATGAGCGACCACCAAAGTCTACGGCCTGTTTCAGCCTCGAGCGGAGAGTATTTAACCAAGGTAGACTCGCTGTGGATACCCATGCGTTCACCAATACGAGTCACAGCGCCAAGCATAGAAGATAGCGATTGAGGAGCTGTAGTCGGTCTAACTGAAAACTAATACGGTTAGACAGAGACATTGTACATTTCAGAGCCAACTGTACTTACGAGATAGAGATATAATGCTGCCAAGCAGTCTTGATTCGTGGTCCGCATAAAGCGACTGTTGAGCAGGCTTTGCTGACAGCCAAGTTGAAATTTCGCTAAGAGGTCCACCTTAGACGACGTAAACGTAGCTCGGCAATCATTCTCCGTGAGACTTGTAATGGCCATAGAATAGATCCCAAACATGAGCGCCTCTAGTTCGGGCTTGATTGCCAGCACATTCGTTGCGGCCTGTATGATCCGTTTTTGTAGGCTGTGGGTGTGGGTGATTTTCAGGAGCGGGTCGACGTTATCAAGATAGAGCTGCCACAGTTGAAATATTTGAAATGGCTGCGGGTGCAAGGTATACGTGTCGACAGTTGTCTGGTGAAAACCAAACCCGAATAGTAGATGGGTGTCATCCTTGATTGTCTGATCCCAAATTCTCTTGAATACAACCCCACGTACTTCGTCATCCGAGGAATCTCCATCAGTAGGGTCGCGGGACTATGTTGACTGTTAGGCGATGGGCTCTGAAAATTTGTTAATTAAGATAGTGGTAGGATTTACCTCTTGGTTCAAGGTGTGTAACATGCGCCTTGAGCGGGTTTGATTAGCCGAAAATAGCACAAGACAAAAAGAATTTCTGGTAAATCACGCACTTAGCCTGGCGTACTGTCCGTCCTTCTGAACTGGTGGTTGTTAGCGCGGGAGAAGACGAGACAGCGACCGTTCTTGTTCGAGACTGATCCTCATCGTCCTCGGAATCGTAGGGTTCGTCAGCTTGGGATTCAGGAACCTCCTGCTTGCCCACGTCCACATCGGGACGTGGAACGCGGGGATGAAGGGGATCGAAGCTAATTTTGTGCTGGGTGAGAAGATCCTCATATCTACGAATGCGATCTAAGAGTTCTCTCTCTGGGAACCGACGCTTTCGGCGGCGCAGATTCTGGGCTGGGATACACGGTACGCGCGCCTTGACACAAGTTGCACAAGGAGATTTGTGGTCACACTTAACCTTGCGCTGCTGGCATAGCATACAGGCCTGCTGACGCCGCGCTCGTGCAATGGCTTGTTCAGCTTGAGGAGAATATGAGACGGAGCTGGGTGGCCCTCCTGCGGCCGATAGTGTTGCCATTCTGTTACGACGTGTGGTTTCCCAGGATGTGAGGTAATTTACCCCACCATCTGGGTCACATGGTGTCCTGGATATGCGTCTGAGTTCAGCGTGTGACTAGTCCGGATTAGGTTACATAGATCAACACTCTTCTGGACCTGCGGCAAAAACAGGCCAGTATTAAGGAAGCAAAATTTGGACGACAATAAGCGAATAATACAGCAAAGCAAGCAAAGATCGTCATGGTGTTTACACTGGTCACAATTGTCTTCGTATGTCTAAGCACCACTGGATCCCCAATCATATTACTAAATCAACCAATCACAGCTTCTCCTTTCCTTTCTGATCTCAGTATTTGCTCTCAAAGTAAGGGACTTTCAACATTCATCTGGAGCCGTCGAATACCAAGCATGGTGGATATTCCCAATTCTATGCACGTCTTCGGACCTTTGTGAGGAATACTAGAGGTTTAACTTGGAAGCTAATATTGAATCGCAGTTTGTGTTTCTGCTGGTGTCTCCATCCCTTTCATGATTCTTGCCTTCAGCTTCGACAGAGCCATTGAGTTATGGGATTGGATGAAATACATTGTTGGATGAAACCGCAAAGATGGTAGCACTGACACACCGAAACACTCTCAGTCTGATGGCCTGGAAGGGTAAGTAGTAGATACGGCAAGATCATAATCTCTGGATAAAGACTCCAATCTGCCAAAAACTACTTCGAGACTAAGGAAATATGACTTTCGGAGGCATGAGCCGTCCCAAACCCCTTGCTATTTTAAGTAATTTTCAATCGAATGAGGCTGGATCCAAGGCAAAAGGTTCTCATTCTTGAATGCAAACTACCAGACGGTAAGAAAGGAAATGGGCGGAATCTTCGTGAGAACTTGTCGAGGCGATGAATCTTTATAGACAGCTTCATAGATGCAAGGACTGCGAGACACGGCCTGAACCTTGGGGGGAAGTTAGGACTATCAAGGTCAGGAATCCATATATCTTGGGGCCCCTGTGGGTATTTCTAGGAATAATGCTTAGATTTCAATATAGCCTTATCAAAGATCTCTTTCGCGACAGTGATCAAGGCTTCTTTGATGAATCAATTGGATGACCTGGATCTCGTCTCAAAGGTAGTAGTAAGTACTAGTATTTGATGGGCTTTGATTTCCAATGTGTCCCAGTTACTTTACTTTTTTTTGAATTAATACGAATTACACGTCAACCTACGTGCACACCTGTCAGCTCATCGCTCTCTTTCTTTCTAGGCGTGATTTCCTTTCTTTCTATCCCCACCTGAGCACAGATGCTGGAACCGAATAATCTCGAGGCCATCAAAGCTGGCCATTTTGACGAACCTGGTGATATTGAGATGGCCGATGCTGAAGGATATGAAGGAGTTGGAGATGCAGAGGACAACGAAGATCATGCAAATTCCGAAGCCGAAACAATTCACGAGTTCTACGATGACAATGAGCTCGAAGGTGGAAGCGAAGGTGGACTCGGGCATAACACAGAGTTAGTGGATGAATTCCTTGAAGAGTACAACTCTGCAACCTCCAATCCCTGGGATCAATTCCTCGATTTCCTCGCCGATAACCTCCATCGCTTCACTTTAGGCGAATATTCCTCGACCGATACATCTTCATCTCTCTCGACAGAAGAGATTCTCGAAATGCGCGACTTTTTGCTTCAACCTGATAGGCCAATTGAGCCGCCCGAAATACTCATATACGTTAATCAGACACGATTCGAAACGTTACCTGTGGAAATCATGTTCAAGGTTCTAGACAGACTTTTCAACTTCCATCGCGACGACGAAGAAACTCTTGAGATTGGCATGATTCATGCACTGCATGCCCTCGGGTCGCTGAACCAATACATGTTCGATGTGGTGAATCACTGGGTAGAAGGCGCAAGGCCTAAATGGGAAAAGTTTAAGATGTTGGAGTTGCAGTGCTATGGCTCTCGAGACGCCGTCAAAGAGGATATTATGAGTCCATGGAATGTGCTTGTATATCCTACTTCAGGGATTGAAGAATCGAACGTCGCCGTTCAAGCTGCAACGACTTGTGTCGAGTGTTTCCATTTCCTTGTGGAGCAGGAGCTGGTTCCGATGGGAGGTTATGATATGAACGGAGAGAGTTTTCTCAACTGGGCTATCAAACGAGATTGTCAACCCGTCGTGGACTACATGCTTGACTGGATGCCTACCAATGACTTTTTTTATTCCACTGCGCTCCGCTTCGGGTACCAGGAAGATAAGCATCCTCTCGCAACTCTGCTCGAGGACGGCAACCAGAGAGGCTTCGAAAAGCTTCTCGACAAGCTGACACAGAGTAAGGATGTCGAAAATTGGGAGCTAGGCTGGTCGCTGAGTGATCGTCGTCTCAAGCTTAAAATGTGCAGCTTTCTGTCCGCCAAACGTGCCGACTTACTTTTGACAAAGCTCAAAGTCAACATTGGCAACATCGTAATGGACCAAGCAATTGGCAATGAGGAAAGACGTCAGTCAGTAATAGATGCACCTAACTATGGTCGTCTTGGAGCCATATTCCCACTGGGATCAGACACAAGTTCCTGGCACGAAGCAGCACGCTACAATCCCGACGGCGACGCCTTCATGGAATGGCTTTGGAAAAACGCGAACTCCAAGCCAACAAACATCAACAAGCAGGGCTATACACCCCTCATGTACGCAGCCCTCGGCGAGAGCATAACAGCGTTCAAATGGCTAGCGAAACACGGCGACCCAGCCGCGCCTCTGAGCTCGAGACCGAACAGCCGTGAGCCATTCGCACTTCGAGCCGCGGCGTTCAACCAAACTTTCCACAGCGACGAAATGTTTGAGATCCTCCTCGAAGAAATGCCGGATGAGTTCTTCTGTGATTTCTCGCTAGCGAAGGATGCGTTTGGCTGGATCATTGATGGAATTTGGTCGTTCCGCTTCGATCCGCGGGAAATGAATCCTGAGAAGCCGTGGCCGAACGAGCGAGTTTTGATTATCTTCCTGGCAAAGGAGAAATGTCAGCAATTAGTTAATCGATTGCCGGATTCTTGGGAGACTTCGTGGGAGCAATTGCAGATTGTGACTCGTGCGAGACTTTATGACTACCACTTTCTTCCGCCGTCTTTGACTTGGAAGAAGGCAAATAAGCAGCGGAAGCCCAGTAACCAGAGCCTGTTTGGGCTCACCTTGCCTTCGATCTTTGGGAGACAAAGTTAACCCATGATTCGGGCGTGATATGCGATGGGGGTTGGTAACAGCTTTTGGGTAAGCAGTTTGATAGAAAGTAGCGGAGTTGTTTTTGTCGTCGTCGTGGGATGCGGAAGATAGGGAGGGAAGGGTAGTAGGTTTGAGATGCAATCCCATTCAGTGCAAGTCATAACAAAATCCATCAACATGTTACTCTGTCTTTTTGAAAAGTCATGGAAGATTAAATTAATATCAGGACCCTTTTCCTGAGAGGAAAAAAAAATTACAATGGTTTTGCTCATAAATCTCGAACAGATGATATATATCAATGTTTGAGATAAGACAGATTTGGGAGAAAAGTTAAAATGACGCCTGCAGGGATCGAACCATGGGCCTTCAGGTTTCCACCATAACATTTCTATGATGCATGCCACAAGTACCTCGCTATACAAAAGGTACTTGTTGATAATGGGGGGTTCGGCCCCACCCGATGCACAAGCGGTGCACGCACGATGCGGCTCTAATTACTCTCCCGCGCCACACTATCCACTCCGCAACCTTAACCTTAAATATTTTAATAATGAACAACATCTTACCACAAAAAGGAATTATGAAAAAAAATTAAAGGACATGAAAAAGAAATCAATAATTAATAAGAATTAATAGTGATAATTTACAGAATAGAGGGAAAATAAAAAAAGTAAGTAATAGCTATGGTGCTGTATACTAAAATAAAATATGGGGTGGGAATATGGGATGTGAAGAATTACATAGGAAGTGGGATGGGAATAGTTTTATGGGAAGGGAGAATGGGAATATATTCATGGGAAGAGGGAATGGGAATAGAGTCATGGGAAGGGGGGTGGGGATAATTGTATGGGAAGGGGGAATGGGAATAGAGTCATGGAAAGGGGATGGGGAGTTGGGAATAGCTTCATGAAAAAAAAAATAGCAAGTACCAGCTATGGTACTGTGGTCCCAAAGAATGAGTATTAAATATCATCGTACCGACCGACAGTGGACCCTCCGTAAGTGCCACCAAGGCGCCTTCGGCTGCCCCCGTGGAGTCGCAGCTGTGCACCGAGCTATGCACGGGCCAAGAGCTTCGAGGTGAGCCTGACGCACATGAGTGAAGCACCAGTCGCGGACAAAGGTTAACAGCATTGGCTTGTACCCCTATACAATGTAAAGGAACAAGCAAGGGTCGATCCCTGGCAAGGTCGTCCTGGAGTAATTTCTATGTTGAATAGTACTCCAGCCCAGGTTGAACTGGTGACCGTCTTGCCCGCTGCACCACGAGAGTGATTTGTTAATTAGTGCTCCCAATAAGCCTCCTTTCTGTTCAATCTTAGGTCCTGGTATCCCCCCCATACATTTCCTCCTCCAGTCATTCCCCCAGACATGTATTCCTGTACTAGTACCCATACTCCCAGTCCCTTCTACCTTGTTTTTGTCTCTCTTTTACTTTTTGTATCCTACTATTCTTTTTCACCCCTCTCCCCTCAGCCTATGATCTTCCATTTAATATAACACATGGTAATTTATGACCTTGCATATATGGGAATGATCAAAATTGAACAAGACTTGATTCATTATCCTTGACCACTCCCATTTCCATCACACTGAAGATGTACAGTCTTCAATCTGGCATTACGACTTCCCTCCCAGCATCTGCAAGTACTACAACCCCGATGTCTCACGACTTTATTGACAATGGTTATTAGACCACATACCCTGTCACCCTTTACGACCTCTTGCAAAACAACCGTTCAACATCCTCGAGGAAATGAGATCCTACGACAACGAAGACAGCCTTAGTGTTGAATTTGACGTCAGATGTGAAAAGGCACTTCCAGTGATGGCTTGCGGACACCAAGTCAAAATCGGGATCCACTTGATATTCCAGCAGATTTACTGTCAGAATTTGTTAGAGACGCCGCAGACCTTTTCAAAGAGCATGATTTTTATCATTCACTGTCCAAAGCTGGTCTTGATTTTGACTCTGCCTGTTGAGAACTCGAAGCACTGGGACTGATTGGCAAGTCACCAGGTGATTCTTCAGAGCTTGGCGATTGTGACGAAAGCCCCGAACGTTCGAACCAATCTCCGCACGGTCAGGAATGAAAGACAACCAGATAATATAGTGGATGGTAGTAAAGTGGAACCATCTTCTGACCTGGAACTGACTATTGCTCGAATAGTTGACCATACCGAGGGACTAAATCTGGATTTGCCTCCTAGGCTTGCTCAAAATACTCAGGCTAGCGGCTGCCATATTCTTGATGGGGTCGTGTGGGGGAGCATAACATCACTATTGTCTCTCTGCCATCCATCCGTTTTGGTCTTTTGGTGGGCATAGGCGGAGGCATCGCCCGACTGGACGAGGGCCACGATATCTGGCTAGGTCACGTTGGTACTGAGCCAGCCTTGTGAGACCACAAGCGGCGACTGCCAGTGCGACTTGATGAAGGCAAATTCTGGTGACAATATTGTCCGGGGTCAAGCTAGGCACAGGCCGTATAGCTGTAGCTGTAATCACACTAAGCGGCACTACGGCCGAGCTTTGACCTCCGTGTTTCCCACATGTTCGTGGGGACGAACCAATCGAACGTCAGCAAGACCTACTCGAGGCGGCAGTTACCAACCCACTCCGCTCCACTTGGTCGGCCTTTTTTCCTCTTATCCAACCCGCAATTGCATTATCTGATACGGTCGAAACTTTGTCGCTTATGCGATTTGGACTTCATAACGCAATACTTTCTTCATTTTCTTATTCTGCTTAGTCTGCATCATTTCCCCGCCACCTCCGCATGTCAATTGCTCAGATGCCTCAGCAGGAGACGTCCCCGCTCAAGACTTATTTTGACGAGCTAGAAGAGACCAACGGTGATGACGAATGCAGGGCTTGGATAAGTAAAGCTTTTGACTTAAAAGCTGAACTCGCAATTTTTGTCGCTGGGCGCCGGGAAGGAGGAGGAACCGGAAAATTTGTTGGTTATCTTAAAGGTTCCTTTAACTTAAGCTTCCACTTCAGCTTCAGCGATGAGCGGCCGGATGTCATTATTCGATTTCCGAAGCCCGGGCATACGGCTACAGCTTATAGGGACGAAAAAGTTGTGAATGAGGTCCGGATCATGGAATATCTCCGCCAAAACACTGATATCCCAATCCCCCGTGTTCACAGCTGGGGCCTCATTGCTGAGAGTCCACAACAACTTGGCCCATTCATCATCATGGATTATGTCAACGGTACACTTTTATCAACTATCTTGAAAGATCCCGATCAAGGAAGTCTGGTTCTGAACCCAAAAATCGACAACAACATATTAGACAACATCTATTATCAACTCGCCTATTATATGTTCCAGCTTTCTCAACTTACGTTTACTCGGATAGGGGCCATCTCGAAGGACCATGCTTCAAGTGCATGGCACGTTACCGGAAGACCCCTTACATACAACATGAACGAGTTAGCCAGTGTCGCCGCCTACCCTGATGACCAATTCGCAACCGCGCCGTTTGACCGTGCAAGCGATTATCTGGGATCGGTCGCGAACGAGCACTTGGTTCACCTTTGGACCCAGCGCAACCTCGCCGACGATCCGGAAATCGCTCAGAAGCGGTTCATTGCCCGTCATCGGTTCGCCCAGCTGATTCCAAAATACTATCCTGAGAATTGCGGTCCATTTATACCCTTCTGCGACGACATGCGACCCTCAAATATGCTTATAGATCCAGAAACACTCCAGATCACTGCCGTTCTCGATTTCGAGTTCACGAATGCCATGCCAGCTGAGTTTACGTATGACCCGCCCTGGTGGCTGTTGCTTTCTGGACCGGAGATGTGGCTTGAGCGCTGCGCGATGGAAGAGTTTTTGACTCTATATGAGCCCAAGATGGAGCAATTCTTGCGAGCTTTAGAGCGAGTGGAAATTCAAATGGCATCAGAGGTCAAACAGCCCGGTCAACCGTCTCTCTCTTCCCGGATGCGCGATTCTTGGAGGACTAGGCGATTTTGGTTTGACTATGCGGCAAGGAAGAGCTTCGATGTGGACACCGTCTACTGGGCTACATTACATGACGACGGTCTGGGTGTTGAGTTGCTTGACGATAAGACGCGTGCAGAGATGGAGTCATTTACGCAGATTAAGATGGAACAGTTGAAGGCATACAAGGAGGAGTGTACTGTTCGTTTTTCCTCGCACGTAGATGAAGAGGAAATGTAACAATATTGTCAGGTTTTCAATCAATTTTACTTCAAATGTTCAGGCCATCAGACTCCAGCGAACGCTCAAGTACTCCACGTGACCCATTCTCGGGTCCCAAAAAGTAGAAAGCGACTCACACAGAAAACCAGCGTCAGGTGACCCCACGTGGTATCACGTGACCCATAGTCGGTTCAAACTTCAGCCCCCTTGATGGCAGCCTTGCGCCTGCACTATGCATTTTACAGATGGGGTGAGAACCTGGTGCTCGCCGGGTGAAATTCGCCTCTGGTTTACAGCAACCACACAGACCCTCTCAGCTGAGCTCGGGTATAGCTTGATTGGTCCCTCTCAACCTGGCTGAAACAGTAGTAGTCTTTTGGCACGCCGCTCTTAACCGAGAACCCAAATCAAAGCAAGGCAGACCTCAAAGTCGTCCTAGGCCAGTACACAGAGCGATTGTACAAACCTATATATCCTTAGCAATGTCAAGTTTTTGGATTTCAAGTATTGCAGTTTTTATGTTTCGAATGTTAACAAGTTAATCGATTTGCATTCGAAGGTTGAGAAGGATCATTAATGTTTACAATAGTAAGAAAAATAAGAGGCCCATGTGATACATCACATCTGGCGGTGCCGTGAGTGATTGGTTGTTTTGAGTAATTGATACATAGAAGGAAGGCTGCCAATGAGAGGCTGAATCCTCGGGACTGGAGCGGGCCGAGCCCTTTCCAAGGTTGTTATGATTTACCCCATGATGGGGCTTCTTTTGGCCCATTTATTGATATTGATAGGTGATCTTTTCAGAGGTTGTGGTCTTGTGAGGTGGTGGAACAACTCTATTAAGGGTGGCCGCATTTGCTGTTTGCTCACTCTTGAAAGAGGCAACTTGTTGATCCCGTCATCAAAGCCATACTAGTACAGTAGTTTGCAAAAAGAAAAAGAAAATTGTGCCAATCAGTGTTGATCTGGTTGCCCCTCTCTTGAATGACTAGCCCCTTGTGGTATTCCGAGTCCTGGACTTTCCTTTTTCATACATGCCCTATGTATGTTCCACAAACTTTCTGTATTAACCTTTTTGGATAGATCCACTATTTAGCTGAAGACACCGATGTTTGACTTGCTTGGTCTAAAGATTGGAAAAAGCCAGGATACTCTGTGCTAGTGTCCAATCATCTTCTAGCCCAAGCTATATTCCCTAGTGCAATAATGCACTATGTACTTTGGTGAAGGGTTCATCGCGATTAGCGCGATCATATAGCAAGCAAGATCGTCGGTGGAACGCATACCGTAGATCTGGGTATATTTAGGCTAGTCAAATGTCCACCACTTAACATCAATTTTCAAGTAAATAATTATCATCTGGAGCCACTTAAGTAGCTCTAAGCAATATTAAGTGGCTGCAACCTCCATGTCGACGCCTCCTATCTCTTGTGAAGGCCCAGCACCTCCCCTTCCCTCTAATAATGACATATCAGGCATCGGAGTGAGTATGACAGATATCTTTATGTTATCAATCTCTGATATATGAAGGTCATCGTCAATTATGTCGGGACCGCTGGGCTGGCAACACTGCTGGTCATGGTATACTATTTCATGGTCTATGAACCCGCAAATGACCCATTCAGGGTAAACGGCCAAACAGAAGAACTGTTGTCCAGGCCTAACCCTGTGGACATAATCATTCTACGAAGTCTGCGTGCTGCACTGAAACGAATTCCTCTAACCGAGCACATCCCGTTTGGCACAAACAAGAAAACCGAGTTGTTTTTCCTGAAGGTAAACCCCTTGTGTACCTTACTGTTTATGTCACCGTTACTAATTATAATACTCACAAACAGTTAATTGTCATGATGGGTGATCTTCAAGTTTTGAGCGGGTTAACAATCCTAATAAGTGGCTTTGCGCAGCTCCGTTCTGGGCTGGCAACTTACTATTGGATCGTCATCGTTCAGCTCGCCTGGTTTTCTTGCCTGACCCATCTGTGCTGTTTAACTCTTCTGAGAAACCATCTTTACAACAATGCCATCGAACGAGGATGGCGACTTGTTGCAATGGCAACCCTAGCCATTCTTGACCTGGTAGGCCTCGGGTTCACTGGAAATTACCACTGGGCTTTCTGCTCAGATTGCGACTATAGGAATTATAGTCAACTGAAAGAAAGCGGCGACGCTGGTAGCATGACACCGGCTCCGAACGATTATGCAATATGCTTCATGAGTGTAGCTCCATCTGGAAACGGGGCATTCGCATCTATGGTGGTGGCAATGCTGCTGATCATCTTGGGATTTTGTACTAGAGTAGCAAAACTGTACAAGCCTCTTTCTGTTGGGGTTTTCGGTCGGTTTCGAGCTCATCTCAGCATAAAATCCCGGAGGCTACTACGGCGTGTCTACATATACTCTGGTGCTAACAGGAAGAGCAATTTGAGGTGGAACTTGTTGTATCTGCCCCTACTATCGATATTTCTAATGGGACGTTTTCTCTTAGATGAGTGGTCCTCACTGTTTCTCGAGGTAATCTTGTCAAAGATATCTGTTAAGGGAATAGGCTTTATTGACTTTCAGTAGGTCTTTTGGCTTCTCGTTTCCTTCACTTGGGGCATAGCCCATGTGAATCATTTTATGAAACAATCAGAAGTCATTCATTTCCAATTTCCTGACGACAATTTTGATTGGTCGTTTGGCCAAGTTCTATCTGTTCTTCTCCTAATAGCTCCAGTGATCTCCATCCTAGAGAGTTTTTCAGGAAGTAAGAAAATCCCCGAACTTCAGAGGATTATTGGTTCTAATGCTCGATGATAGTTGAAGATACGGAATCGGATGAAGTCCATGTCTCTCATTTAACGCAAAGCCTACAAGAAAACTTGACACCTTCTCCAATCAATCAGGATCCTATGGATCCGGATAATGATTGGGACCGTCATCAGCCGACATTGAAAGCCGCTTTCGCCTATTTCAATCTGGTGTTCGCGATAATATACGTCACTGTTATAACTTCACCGGCGGCCAGTATTCCCCAGACTTTATTCGATGAATGGATTGCCGTAGGGACTTTCGTTGCACCCTTTCTCGGTTTATTCGGTGTTATCTTGCTCTCTTTATCCATAGAGCCGCTTTTTTCCCAAGGAAGAATAGTTTTCCCAGCTCTTTCCATACTGCTTACGATTGTTTGGTTCACAACAAGCATCGCGTGGCCAGCTGTCGAGGGCATGTTTATTTTTCAGTTTACTGCTCCCATGCAAGTGTTCCCCTTCTTTGCGGGCTTTTGTTATCTGATGATCCGACACTTTGTCGATCTCATTGCAGGAAACTGTGACAACAACGCTACCGCTTCGCAAGTATGAATACTTACTTTCCGTTTCTACGGCGCTTTAGCCACACGCCGATCGGTTGGTAGTATTTTGGGTGACCACGTGCGAGTGCTAGCTGTTGTATGTTTTTATTTTTGCATTGTGTTCAATGTTTGTCGTGGTTTGTTGGGAAATTTCATGAAGCAGGCAGAATTACTCGAAGACTCGAGGCGGTTACACCGGTTTCGGGACAAACTATACATTTTATAATAGATTTATCATAATCAAGATTATGGAGCACAGATTCAGCGACTTTGTTTCAAACGAAGTAAGTCTATGGCAAGGAATGGGAGTGGCTTGAAAGACTCGAAGGTCATGAGATCCCGCATGAACAGGTCTAACCGGGTGTATATGTGATAATAGACCTTGTAAAAAAAGAAATAGAACCTGTCAGACAATGGAAATAGAAATTGAGTGGACCGCGCGGTCCCATTATCTTGTATACTGTATATCAATGGATGTATCCATACACATGTGCATCCCGTAACCTTGAAACCCGTCTAGATAATGTACCCAGATCAAACTGAGACCCCTAATGTTCACTCAGACTTCTTTGAAGGAGTCCCTTGACCACTGCCACTAGCTCCCTCTGCATTTGCCACACTGAGACTGTCGATGATATGGCCACTCTCAAGTGCGTTAGCATTAAGACTGATGTGGCTTCTCTCGCCCTCAAAGAACAATGCATATGCCTCTTCACCGTGGATTGCATCATCGCCAACAAGTAGTTGTTGCTCAGTCATACGCAACGGTATACGTAAGACATATTGAATGAAAAGACAAATCAATGTCGTGATAAAGACATTGAGGCCCATAATGAATAGGGCACCCACAATTTGCAGCCATACTTGCTTTCCATTGCCTTCGATCGCACCGCCGGGATTCGTAAGACCAAACGCTGCACAGCCATCAATAGTGGCGAAGATGCCTGTGAGAAACCCACCCAGGACTCCGGCAACCATATGGGTATGGACAATTCCCACTGAAAAGAAAAGGGTCAGCTGGGCTATCAATGCAGGAGGATAAGTCAGCAACAGGCTACTATTACTTACTAACGTCATCAACTTTCTTCATCCATCTCATTCTTCCCAGGATATTCATTGATATCCAAGGAATCGAACCGGAGCAAACTCCAATGATGACAGCGCCCCAGCCTGCAACGAATCCAGCGGCGGGGGTGATTGCCACGAGGCCAGTGATCTCGCCTTGAACAGCGCCAATGACGGATGGCTTCTTGAGAAATATGTAGTCCAGGCAAGTCCAAACGAGCAGACTAACCGCGGTGCAGATATTGGTGTTGAGAACGGCAACACCGGCATCGGGGCTGGCCGCGTATGGATCACCTCCATTGAATCCATTCCAGCATACCCAAAGGATACCCGCACCGACCAGCATGAGGAGAATGTTGTTGGGGTAGAAGGAGTCCTTGTCGCGTTGCAAACGTGGACCTACCCAGAATGCAGCAACAAATCCTAAAAATCGTGTTGTGTTAGAAAATGGAAATTCTTCGACAGACATCGAAGCAATTCTCTCGACTTACCAGCAGTGCCAGAGCTCAAGTGAATGACATATCCGCCTGAATAGTCCAAGACCCCCATTTTATAGAGGAATCCTCCGCCCCAGAGACTATATTTGTCACCGGTCAACATTATTCCATGCGTAATAAACAGGGCAATAGACGACTGACCTGAATGCCCCAACAGTATAACTAAATGTGATCCAGAGGGGTACGAATACCATCCATGCCAAAAGATTCATTCGGCCTAGCAAAGATCCTCCCAGAATGATGACCGTGATGGCCGCGAAGACGAACTGGAAGTATATCATAGTTGACAGGTTGAAATTGACCGACACATCTGCGGCTGGTAAAGTTGCTTGCGCCAGGTTTTGTTTCATAGTTAGGACGGGACCGGGTGTTCCAACCAGAGGGAAACTCCCCCATTGCTCGCCGAATGCCATTTTGTATGCCCAAATCACCCAGACGACAAGTGTGGCGGAGAAAGCGTAGAAGACCTGGGCTTTGTTAGAAACCTTGGAAGGCATTATCAATTGGGGGAAGAAGGAATACTGAATCAATAGCGTACCATGAATGCGGAGTTGATGGCCCATTTCCTTTGTAGATTGGATATGATTAGCTCGGTATATTGCAGCTCTGCGCACAGTGAGAACACTTACTTCTTCACGAATCCGGCATAGAGAATCGCAAGTCCCGGAATCGACTGAAGAGCGACCAGCGTCCCGGCAGTCAACTGCCAGGCCTGATCTCCCTTGTTGAGCCAGCTATAGAGGATTATCAATACAGTCGATTTCCAAGAAAGAAGAGTTACGTATGTCAAGGACTCACTCGGGATCTGGATTGGTTAATGCCGAAGACATGATTGAGGACCAGAAGCGATATCAGTCCAGAAGCCCTGGAGGTGCTATGGAATGACTTTGATAATTATCCCCGTAGCAGGGGTAGAATTTATTGCTCCGGGTCCACGCGAGTGGGCTGCATGTATAAGTACATGAAGAAGAGGTGCGCGGCCGACTCGGAATTTGGAAAATGTCAGCCCTGCCCAACCTTTGACACGGTCTAGATCAGACACAGTCATTTTATCCGACGGTTTGCTTCTTTTCAATCACATCACACTCAAACCGCCCTCCGGCGCCCAGGTGGTTTAACCCCGTATTCCTTCCAGCATTGTCTTTGGAATGGGTCAATTTGAGAGATAAGACGCGCCTATGTCTTCCAGCCCAATAGAAAGGTTCATCTTCGTAAGTAAGATATCAAGCTTCACCTCATGACACACGAAAATCCCCATGAGTCGAACGATGATTCGTCCACAGCTGGTGCTATCTCGCTTCGCATCTATCAAAGCTGTGCTTATTTTGGGTTTCTTATAGCTTCGTATTTTCCCTTATCTCCCGAATAATGAGAATTAAACCCCCTTCAACGAAGCTTGTCACAAAGCTTAACTTCCCCAGATGTGGACCCGAATCTCCCACATCGGTCATAGTCCAGAACGTGGCTGATCGATGACGCTGATAATAGGGCGGATGCAATCCATATCTCTGATCCCTCATTCGCTGCGATTACATTTCACGCCACACCGCCGCCCCCGTCCGCAATAGATCAATCATCTTCCATCGTCTTATCTCCCAAATGCTCTGTATTCTGAGTTCTCCATGCCGTTCCTGCTTCTCTCATACACCAAACAACAAGAAAATTAAATCAGATGATGGCTACGTCAAGTGATGGGTCTTGTGGCTGGGCTTAACCATCCATCAACGGCCCAATTGAAAGCCCTGGAAGAAGGAACCCGTGAAAGAAAGTCGCTCATACATACGCACGCGAAAAGAGGAAAATGAAAAGAGGAGTCGCAAATAGAGTTGTGGGTCGATATTATAATCTGGGGTAATGCCAAGCAACGCTGCGTTCCCAAGAATGCGAATATTCTTGGCCTCTGTCTACATTTGTTGCGCACCACGTTTTTGGCCCATATATCCTTTTATTTTTTTGGCGCTCATGATCACGGTGTGATCTGATACGAGGTATGTGCAACACTCGTTGTCTTGGCAAAATTAAAGATTGTTAGGGTCCACAATGCTTCGATTCTGGAAACGTCAAGGATGGTTTAGGCTCCATGGTACAGACCTTGTTGGAGACTTTGGTGGGGACGATAGAGACAGAATACTTCCCCGTGCTACTGTTATCGTTGAGAAAGAATTGTCTTTTTCTCAAGCCGATGTGGGATTGCGATCACAGGAATGGCTTGCTACCGAGGACCAAGGACGATTCATGAGCTTTGGGATTGGTGGTGCTGGCAATATTAGAAGGTATGTGAGGATTCACTCCATTATCCCCTGTGGTCTCGGGTGTTTAGTATAGGATGTCTTTTTGTTTGTTTATTAGGCTAATGCTTGGCTTCAATTCACTAGGGTTTGCCTTCGAAATGGACACTACTTCCAATGCTGATGAGCCGCCGCCATTGACGTCAGATTGCCAAGTAATACCTACAGCCTTACTCTTTCGGCCACTTGTGTACGATGATACGAATATATGATTTTTGACCCGGCCTGATATGCCTCACTCAGATGCACTCACAGGAGAGAGAATCAAAGAACCTTCAAATTTTGTTTATATTATGTAGGCCTCGTGCCTTAATGTACAGCGGGAGCATCTCCCTGTCAAGCCTAACGTATTTATATTAAACCCACGTCTCGTTCGTGATGCCATCAAACTTTGGCCCTTCCTCATGCTCAGTTCGGGGTGTTTGGATCAAATGTGTCCACTGTTCGGGGTATTTTTCAAGCGCCCACTTCTCAACCTCATCCTTCCAGTATTGGTATGGGATGGCATTATAGAACAATCCAATGCTATGATAAAGTCAGCGACGGGCACCATCTCCTTTCGAGGATCAAAAACAGAAAAGAAAAACCACTTACGTATTACTTGTAGGGGCCACGCCAATCTCAGCTTGCATGTTGTCGATGGCTTCAGTCGCCATATCAAACTCGCATTGTGAAGCAACCGCCTCAATGTATGCAGTGTACAGCCGCCGATCGATCGTAATCTCCAGTTTCTTGACCTTCGCCATCATTTTGATCGCCTCCTGCACGCCATTGTGGTGCTTTTCGCACACCTTAAAGAAAATCGCAATGGTTTTCTGCGAGGGCCCTTCCTCTGATTGCAGAATTTGTCGGAAAATCACCATACTTTTATCGGGCATGTCACACGCCGCATATGCTAGCATCAATCCATTGAAGATTCGTGTATTAAGTTCCACCTCCAAATCAAGCTTGAGCATGTTGTGAACAAGCTCGAGGTTGGCCGCATCAGCCGTTCGGGCCAAGCCCTGGAAGCATCGAGCGTAGGTGTCGGGCTTAGGTCGACGACTTGGGTCCTCCGCCTGGCGCATGTGTCCAAAGACCAAGAAAGCCAAGTCACTGCGTTCCCGTTCGAAGAAAGAGGACATGAGCTCTGTGCGTATGGCGACACCTGTCTCGGAGAAGGCCAGTTTGAGAAGCTGATAAACCTCCCATACATTGGCATCTGTTTGGTCCTTGTCCAGAATATAATCGGTCAAGGCGGTACGAATCAGGCCTTTGCCTTCGCTATCCAGGTTTCCCAGCCTGGGGCGGAGGAGCTCAGACACAGCTTCCCAATCGTGGCGATAAAGCAACATGCGCGTCAATGCAGCAATGGTCTCTGCACTTAATGACACGTTTTCCTGGAACAAGGGGTCGAGGAGAGACGAAATTTGTTGGAACAAATCGTCTTTCTGCTCCGACAGGCAAAGCATTGTGATGAGCTTATTAGCCAGGGGAAGGTTATCACTGGCTAACACACTGGGGTCAATCTTCTCTTCGAGAATTGCGAGAGTCTGCTCCACATTGCTAGCCTGGATGAATGACTCCAGCTGCAGCAGATGTGTCTTGTCATCCGGAGTGAGACCCCAGTGCTCAGCCAGTTTAGCGTAATCGTTAGCCAGTTGAGGGTTAGGCAGAGAGTTTGCGTATTGGATAAGACCATTCACATGGGCAATGTTAATAGCTGATTTGAGCGGAGGGTTGGCTCCAGTCCAAGACTTGACCTTCTCTTGGAGTGACGAAGCACTGCTGCCATGAGCTGCGTCCCAAAGAAGAGTGGTACCGACAGTCTCCGGGCTGGGTTCCCGAGCAATGGATTCGTAAATGGGCTTAGCCCACGGGATCTCAGAATTGAGGATTGCATATTGAATAGCAGCACTCTTCGCAGCAACAGAAGGCTCGAAACCTCCAGCAATCGGACACTCGTAAACTGTCTGAACTGCCGAGGAAATGTCTTGTGCAATCAGCAGCTTGACGAGCTCCTCGTGCGAGGCTTGGTCAAACTTGACACCAAACTTTTCCAATTCTTGGGTGACCTTTCGCAACTGGCGTCGGTCATCTTTCAAGGCGAATCCCTTCAGAACACTAAGCCAAGGCGATGGCTTTGCTCCACGGAATTGACCTCCGAATTTCATTATGACATGACGAGCTTCTTCGGGGTTGCCATTGGAGGCCATTAAGTTAATGTAGACCAAAAGCGCGGGTCGGCTTATGGAGTTGGGACCAAATCCATGGTCAGCACAGAGCTCGAGGTAGGCAAACCGTGCAATCTTAAGAATGGTGTCGCGTGCCTCGGGGAGACACTCTGCCTCGGCGAGCACAAAAAGCACCCTCTCCAGGTTCTCCACCGAGAAGACATCCTGCCATTCTTTTTCCTCGAGCTCATTTTGTTGAGCCTTCAAGTGCTTCCATGTGATGGACAGCAAGCGAGCCTGAAATAGATTGATAACACCGGGGCTTTCAACACGGGATGTGAAGAACAGCTGAAAAGCTTTCACTAATGTGTGATTTGGAGGAGCTCTGCTTTTATCTCCAAGCGACCGTTTCAAATCGGTCATGGGCTTTAGACCCTTCTCCGTAGGCAACGTCGCAGGTTGACCCTCGCCGGTATTTGTTGGGTTGAAGCTGAATGCAAAAAGAGACCGCCGTGAAACAGGGTTAAGTCCGGACACGCAAGGCCGTACTCGTGCGGGGGAGATGGTATGGAGCAGTTGGTTTCGGCGGCATCGCGAAAAGTGTAGCGGCTCGTTGTTGATGATGGCCCGGAAGACCCGTCTCGAAAGATGAGACTGCATGCCTGAGATTAAAAGGCCTTCCTATTCCAGTTGAATTGACCTGATCGGGCTTGAAGGGAGAATGGTCGATAATATTGGCCGGGAATGAAGTTCGGATCAAAAAGTTCGCGACACGCGGAGAAAGCTGGTCTGAGGCGGAAAGGCGGTCTTGGCACTGCTTGCGAAAAAAACGCTCCGCGTTGATATCTCTTCTTCTCCCGACTTGGCCTCACGATCCCAATTCCACCTCTACGGAACTATTTCACAATGTCGCTGAATCTGTTTTCGTCACTACGCAGCAGCGTTGCAAATGCTCTGCCCTCGGCCTGTCGCTGGAGCTCGACCGAGGCCATAAGCCACTTCACTTCCCCTTCCCAGCGATCCCAATCAGCATTCAGTATGCCTCAATCCTCCCCCGGGTTTTATCGAGAACCTGCAATTGGTACAAGTCATTTGCTAACAGTTAGTTTCAGAATCATCCTCCAACCAACGCCGGAACCCCAACCACCGCAAGCGCTTCCTCGAAAACCAAAAATCCCAGAGCGAAAGCAAAGCTATTGAGAAATTCCAGACCCGCGACTGGAAGGCTGGTGATATCTATGCTCCTCACGATCTTAGCCCAGCAGAGATGAAGAAATGGTCCAAGCGCAAGGCTCCTTCGTTTGACGCCTTTGATGCCTTGAATCTGAACCCATTGAACCTGCACAAGGTACGGATGCTTCAATCTTGAAGCCTAGCACCCCTGTGCTTTGCTTTATTTGCCCAGAATCTAACGTGTCTTATCTTGATAGAACTTCGCGATTATGTCCGAGTACGTCTCACCTTTGGGACGTATCAAGCACCGAAACCAGACTGGTCTGCGCCCTGTTAACCAGCGGAAAATTGCCAAGGCCATTCGGAGGGCTATGGGACTTGGTCTTTTGCCCTCTGTTCACCGACACCCTGAAATTCTGGCATCAGAGGCCAGAGCGAAGATGGGTACCTACTACTAGAGTATGTTCATTTTGAGAGACATCAAAGTCTTGGGCATTTTAGCACTGTACAGATCGACGAGGCCTGAGAAAGGGCACAAATTTCCATGTATTATTAGTTCTAGCGCAATTGGAATCAACTTTTTTGGTTACAAGATTTTTTTACTTCAAATTTGAAATTTGCAATACCGGCATTGATTTGATGTACCATGTGTGTCTGGGGTACAGTTGTTGCCTGCAATGCGGCAATGTGGATGTGTTACTGGATAGAGTTAAGTCCCCGCTACGTCAGTCCATAAACAATCTCCCCTCCAATCTTTCCTGAAACACCTCCCCTCCTACTCCCTGATACAATCCAAGTACAGCTTCCGATGTCAATCACAAACGGTAAGCCTTCTTTTGGACCTTGGCTATTAACAATTATGTGATACTGACACTCATAAAGAGTCCATCTGGGCTCCCAGCCCCTCCACCACTCGTGGGCAGCCTACCCAGCTCTCATCAGACCCCAAGGGTGAGCGACTAGCCTATGCTGTACGGTCCTACTTATATGTTTATTTCATTCAATATTCCTCCTGACCGAAAACAAACTGCAGTCCAATAAATCTATCTTCCTGCGTTCTATCGACGACCCCGCAGTCGCTCGCCAATACACCGAACACAAGGCCCAGACCACCGTCGCTCGGTTCTCGCCCTCCGGATTCTATGTCGCAAGTGGTGATGCGTCCGGTACAGTGAGAGTTTGGGATTGTGTCGGAGATGGTATTACCAAGGGCGAGTACAACATCGTCAGTGGTCGAATCAACGATCTGGCTTGGGATGGTGATTCGCAACGGATCTGTGCCGTGGGTGACGGCAAGCAACGATACGGCCACTTTATTACATGGGACAGTGGAAACACCGTTGGTGAAATCTATGGTCACACGCAACAGATCAACTCCGTCTCGATTAGGCAGCAGAGGCCCCTGCGCGCAGCGGCCGCAGGCGATGACAAGAAGCTGGTCTTCTATCATGGAGCGCCCTTCAAATTTAACACGGGAGTTGGAGACAAGCACTCCAACTACATCTATGGTGTCGGCTTCAGTCCTGACGGTTCGCACTTGGCGAGTGTTGGTGGAGACCGCAAGATTTGGTTGTACGATGGCAAGACTGGAGAGACCAAGGGCCAGATTGGCGAGGGCGAGCACAAGGGCAGTATCTTTGGTCTCTCGTGGAGCAAGGACTCGCGGAAATTCGTCACCGCTAGTGCTGATCGGACGGTGAAGATCTGGGACGTTGAAGCCGGTAAAGCCACCCAGAGCTGGACTCTTGGCGAGGAAGGTGCAATGGCTGTTCGCGATCAGCAGGTCGGCGTTGTTTGGCCCCCTGGCCGAAGCGACAACCTGCTTATCAGTTTGTCTCTCAGTGGAGACCTGAACTACTTGGTAGAGGGAACTCCTGAGCCCAGACAAGTAATCTCGGGTCACCAGAAGAGCATCACTTCCTTGAACCAGACCACTCTTGATAACAAGGAAACTTTGTGGACAGGTAGCTTTGACGGACGAGTCTGCAGCTGGGACGTTTCTTCGGGCACGGCAGCGGAGATCGAGGGTGAGAGCCACCCCGGCTACGTTGCTGGTCTCACCCCCACACCAGAGGGATCTGGACGAATTTACAGTGTTGGCTGGGACGACACCATTCGCTCCATTGACATTGGTGCCAAGACATACACTGGCAGTGCTTCCAAGCTGACCGGGCAGCCAAAGGGTGTCGCCGCAGACGATTCCACTGTTCTGGTGGGTACCGCAGAAGCCGTTGAGATTTTCCAAGATGGTAAGAAAACCGGCGAGTATAAGCCCAAGTTTTCCGTCACTACTGTGGCAGCTCATGGCGGTGTTGCTGCTATTGGTGGTGAGGACGGATCTATCCAGATCTGCAAGGTTTCTAGCTCTAGCCTCTCAGGCGAGACTGATATCAAGGCCTCCCGCAACCAGATCTCCACCCTTGCATTCTCTCCAGATGCTTCGCTTCTAGCTGTCGGAGACCTGCGAGGCCGTGTCCTGGTCTACAAGGTTGCAGATGGCAGCCTCGTCACTGACCGCTGGACCGCACACACCGCTCGGATCACATCCTTGTCCTGGAACAAGGCTGGATCGCATTTGGTCAGTGGTTCGCTTGACACTAACATCTTTGTATGGAGCTTGGCCAACCAGGGTGACTGGATTGAGTTGAAGAATGCTCACAAGGAGGGAGTCAACGGTGTGACTTGGGTTGAAGGTAGTACAAAGATTGCCTCGGCCGGTGCTGATGCCGCAGTGAAGGTGTGGAAGGTTGAGGGGTTGAAATAAGTGGGAGAAGGAGGTTGATTATTTGCTGTGTATAGATGAAATGAATGACATTCAAATGTTTTTACAAAGTACTAGTAGATTTTGTAAAACAATTGATACTTCTATGTATCATCTTTCCAAGGTCCCAAGGTTCCAAGGTTGGTAAGCGTGCAGTGAACCTTGGATTTCACATATGCATGATTTTGGACTGACGTGGATTTCGAGTCAGGTGCATGTATCCAGGACCTGGATATTCCAAGCTTCTACTTCACCGCATGTGTGCACACCGCCATCTATTTCCCTCCACACGGGGCCCAAGGGCTGACCACTTTGGTGTGCATATCGTTTAAAACTCAATTTAAGCACTTGAGAGTCCATTTAAAGGCCTCGAGCTACATGCACACGGTTTCTCGCAAAGGAAGCTCCAAATGGATCGATTGGTGGTCTAATTTGATAATTCCAATCAGCGTTATATATAGTGTACAATCAACATTATTCGTCTAACAAAGGCAATCTCTGTACATAATCTCCCATGTTGAAAGTCGTCCGTAGACTGTTTCCACATAAAAGTGCTTTCTTGAAATATCTCTCAAGCACCTGAGAGCTCTAAATATTGGTAGCTTGTACCACGGAGATTTTGTTACAAGGTTGATTTTACAGTTGTTCCCATGTTTGAGGTGCGTCGGCCCAGCAAAAATGACGTGGCCATAACCCGCATTGATTAACCAAACAAAAACGGGCGTCTGCCAACTCAGCTTTTCCCCCACAAAAAACCCTGTACGACTGACTTGAGCTAAAGAAGCGACTGCGACATCTCTTGATTCCATGGAGATTCTCACCGTGAAGTCGCGCCGAGTCCGAGCGTAAGACGAATTTAAGCTATGTCACCATCTGGAGCTCCCAGTAGCTCCCGCCGCTTCTTGCGGCCCAAGGTACCTTGTCCACAACCTGAGCTCCCACAAACCAAATCCCTGGACGAATCCGAGGAGGCTAACAGCTTGTGTAGCTGCGCCAGGCAACCTTTGTCCTCCCGAGAACCGGCCAGCGCCTCAAAGGCCTCGTAAATCTGCGAAATCCCACCGAGAGACCCACACTATCCCACGGCGATAATCACGAGGAGCTGCGCGGCTTACTCTCCGGCGAAATAGAGGCACCCCATGATGGATTCGCTACCAAGATATCCGCGCGGGCGCGAAAATCATGGGTGGAACTTGATGAGTTCGTTCGTTCCGAGCAAGGCATTGGAATCTTGAAGTGCAGTTTGGCATATTTACTCGGCTCCATGGCGACATTTATTCCGATCATTTCCACCTTCCTCGGTCATCAGGATGGGAAACACATGGTGGCTACCGTGACGGTGTATTTCCATCCGGCAAGAACCATAGGGAGCATGTACCGAGCTTCAATTTGCGCGTTGCTCGCGTTTTGTTATTCGGCTTTCATCTCGATCACGAGCATGTTGCTCGAAAATCTCTTTCAGGATACATTGGACCTACCGGTACTTGGCCATGCGTTGGTCTTGATCGTGTTCTGTGGCGGTGGACTCGGGTTTGTCGGATGGACCAAACAACGACTCGGGGATCCGCTAGTGAACGTTGCCTGCTCACTTACAGCACTGTCCACAATAACCGTGTTGACAAAAGAAGGCGCCGTGCAAAGTGGGGATCTCTCCCTGGAGAAGATCTCTCAGGTTTTGAAGATGGTCATCATGGGTGTCATTCTGGCTATGGCAGTATCATTTTTGATAGTCCCCATCTCAGCACGAAAAAAGCTGCGCTCCAACCTGGTTACTACCACGGAGACGTTAGCAACAATGCTAGCTATCATGACGGATGCTTTCTTAAGTGGATCCGAAGAAGAATTGACCATTGCTGAATTCGTCGATGCCGAAACAAGGCATCGTAAGGCCTACTCCCAGCTGGACAAATTGGTCCGAGAGGCCAAACTGGAGCATTTTGCGGTAGGAACCGAGAAGGAATATCGATTAGAAAAGAAGCTTGTTCGTTGGTTGCAAGACATCACGCATAACTTGGGAGGATTGCGCAGTGCCGCAGATCTCCAATTTAGTTTGATTCGAGAAACAATTGCTCGAGAATCTGGCTCTGGTGGACTCCCTACTCCATACGCCGACTACGTTGCATCCCTTGAGCGTTCGTGGTCCTTCCCAGACGGTTCTTTTCTGGAGCCTATCGATGAACGTCCCGAGGCAGAATTGTCGCCAGGTGGAAGCTACAACGCTGCAGCAGGCCTGGAGAATGCGAACTCTTCTCTTCTTCCTGCGGACGTGTTTACCATTTTTATTTCTCATCTTGGCCCCTCTATGGTAAATCTCCCTATAATCTAGGAACCCGATAAGCTTACGATATCTAACCATTGGAGATAGAGGTCATTGACGTTTACTATGAAAGAAATCTTCAACGAGATTCCATTTGGCCCAGCTCCAACCTATAAAGTATCGGTGAACAACCGACTGCATACGAGTCTGGATCGTGCTCTTAGTCTCTATCGGGAGTCACGACAAAAGACACTCAAGGCGCTCTACGAACAGACGGAAGCCATGAAGATGAAAAGTCCCGATGCGGAAGCAGACTTGGAAGAAGTATCAGCTAGCTGTGGTCATTTCAGTTTCTCACTTCTGGAGTTTGGAGAGCAGCTCCATGACCTACTAGCGATTCTTGACGAGCTGCAGCTTGAGACCGAAGAAAGACCTGGTGGGCGATCTTGGTCTTGGATGAAGTTCTGGCACGTTGACGACAAAGCTGTTGATGCAGGTATGTAGTTGTGCTCTGTATTGATCCCCTTCATGAACCTGTATACTGATGCGGTTGGTGCCTTAAGAAAGATACAGTGGTGCAGAGAGCAATCGCCACCTGCAACTCTCACGTAATATCGGATCGCAGGACAGGATAACGGCCGCAGTGAGAGCTCGTCTACGCCCAAACAGCGAAACAAGTGTCAGGGAGAGATTGGGTTATCGACTCTGGAAATCACTTGAATTCTTCCGACGGGACGACACCAAATATGCGATCAAAGTTGGGGCCGGTGCAGCTCTTTACGCTTTGCCTGCTTTTCTTCCTTCCACTAGACCGTTCTACCAGCACTGGAGAGGCGAATGGGGCTTACTGTCATACATGTTGGTCTGTTCCATGACAATCGGTGCTTCTAACACGACAGGGTACGCTCGATTCCTTGGTACTTGTCTCGGGGCCGCATGTGCGATCTCAGCCTGGTATATGACCAGAGGCAATGTTTTCGGCCTTGCATTCTTTGGATGGCTAATGGCTATCTGGACAGCGTGGATCACCATCGTTCGTAACAACGGGCCCATGGGACGATTCATAATGCTCACCTACAATCTCTCTGTGCTCTATGCATACTCGCTCTCGCAGAAAGATGCTGATGGCCGCAACGATGAAGGAGGCCAGAACCCAATCATCACTGAAATCGCCCTTCACCGCGTTGTTGCGGTGTTATCCGGCTGCATTTGGGGCATCTTCATCACCCGTTTCATTTGGCCCATCAGCGCGAGAAAGCGATTGAAGGACGGTCTTAGTATTCTCTGGCTACGGCTGGGTCTTGTCTGGAAGCGTGACCCGCTATCAACTATGGCGAAAAATGGCAGATCCATTGTGTATATGACTGCGCGGGAGAGACTCGAACTTGAACGATATCTCACCCGGCTTGAATCCCTACTTGCTTCTGCACGCTCTGAATTTGAACTGAGGTCCGCATTTGATGATGCCCCGTACGCCAATATCATTCGGCGTACTCGGAGTATGGTGAATGCATTCCATGCTATGAATCTGGAACTGATGAAAAGCGATACCGCCACGGCCGGAGAAATCTGCCTTCTTCAATACACAGCCGTTGAGCGGCAGCAGCTCTCTGCTCGCATCAGTCACCTCCTGACAGGTACGTCTTATTCTGTGACTTTCTGCACTGAAAAGTCATTTTATGTGTCTTGAAACTAACGCTCAAACCACCTATAGTCATGGCATCTTCTATGAAGCTTGAATACCCGTTGAGCGACGTCTTACCCAGCATTGATCATGCACGCGACAGGCTACTGGCTCGTATTTATCGCTATCGCCAAGATCATGAGGCTTCTCAACTCACCACGGATGAAGACTGTGCGTTGCTATATGCTTACAGTAAGTATTTCATCTGCATTCTGTTTTGTGTGGAATAAGTTCCAATGCTGACTAGCTTCTTACAGTCTTGGTAACTGGCCAGTTGTCGAGGGAGATCATGGAGATCATCGCCGACATTGGGCAATTATTTGGAGTTCTGAGTGAAGATGTAGTACAGCTAGTATAAAAATTTCAGTAGTACATTATTAAATAAAGGCAATATGTCTTGAATATCAAATCTTTGCTCACTTATAAAATCATCGCTGGTTTCGGGATTGAAGGTGGTATCCGGTTCTGGCGGCGGGGAGAGACAACCAAGGCGGAAACCCTACCTACACCAACCGTCACGTCAACCCTTCCATCCCCATCATCCATCATTTCCATCTCAACTCATCTCCAACTTCACCCTCCTCTCACTCTCAGCACGCGTCTGATGAATGCGTAGACCCTCTCCCTACCTGCCGCCCTTCGGCCTCGCCTCGTCGCACTCCTGCGAGTCCTCCAGCCATGCAGATTGACCCAGCCGCCCTGAGTCGGTCTGACTCGGCGTCAAATCCGGCAAAGAGTGCGACACCGAACACTTCAGCAACAGTGAAATCATCCAGGGCACTCAACTCCGTGCCGCGCCTCGACTTAGAGCATGCCTACACGGATCTGAAGGCCGCTATCGGGGACCAGTGGGCCGAGTATAAGGAATCGACGGCCCTCTTCTTACTAGGTATGTCAATTCCTGCGCGTGCAATTCTTTAGCTTCAGTTCATATCTACTTTCTGAGATGATAGCTCACTGCCCCCGAATTGAGCTGCCTTGACTGACCTCCTGACCTCTTACCTTCTAGGTCACTACAACCAAAATGAATACGCGTCGCGAGTCGATTATATCATATGCGCCGATCTCAAAATCGAACATCTACATAACAATTTCGTCTGCGCGATTCTCGGAAACCTCACACGAGACCTCCCCGATCATGGCGTCGCGAACTGGGTTTCGGCCAATGATAAGCCTTCGATGGTGTCGAAGCCGATCTCGGGCGATGCTGCGGAACAGAGATTAAAGACGGAGGTGATGCAACTGCCCCCGCGAGATCGACGGCGGATTAAAGGAATTCCAGAGGTATGTTACGGGTCTTTATTTTCCGATTGTTGTTAGGGAGGGCGATACTTCCATACCGAGGATAATGCTAATGAGGGGGGGGGGGAATTTTAGCGCGACCCCAACGAAGTGACACCCAATGAACTGGAGGAATACCAACTGGCCAAGCAAATCAAGCTCCCAAGCCAGGTACCAGCAAGCGCTGGTGGATTGAACAAGACCAGTAAGAAATCATCACCCCCGCAGCTCAATGATTATATACGTGCTATCGCATTGCGCACACTCCTACCACGACCTGGAAATTCTAACCGATTTGTTCTTTTGCAGACTGGGAACTAGAGATTCGGAAACGATATGCGCAACCACTTGCCGCTGAGACTGGCGAGTTCCCCGATGCGGAATCCATCTATGCCCGCATGGTCCCCATTTGCTACGAAGAGTCCCTCCCCGGTGGCGCCGGCCTTCCTTGTGCCGAGTTCGTGGCAATTGCAACAGATACATTCGTGAAGGAAGTCCTTTCTTCAGTCTTCTCACGCACCCGATCAAACGGTCCGTCTGGTACAAGCAACGGCATGATGAAGCGCAAATACCGACAACAACTGGAACGGGAAGAGCTGATGTTCACTCGAGGTGAAATCGCTAAAGATGCTGCTACCGGCTTGCTTCCAGTTGAGGCTAAAGAAGCCGCACTTCGCAGACCCCTCGGAGTCAGAGATCTACGTCTCACCCTTGAGCTCAGCAGTGGAGTTCTTGGTCATATGCCGCTGATCATTGACAAAATCAAGAGTGGGTACTTCGAAGACGAGCTTGAGACCAATAAGCAGGATCGACTGGAGAACGGCGTGGACGAAATACTCGAGGTTAAGACCGCTGACGAGGACGAAATGGACATTGATGATGTCGACGATGCGCTATCGGACTGGGAAGGAGGCACTGCGGCAGATCGAAACCACTTAAATTCTCTGCTGGACGAGTGCTTGTCTATGGCTGCATGAAGATGATACCCCCGACCTCTTTCCCCCTTTACTTCTAGTTGTTCTCCCCTACTTTGATACCACGCTGCCCCTGTATTCTTTCCTTCTTTTCTTGTCGATTCTCGGTCTCGGGTGGTGGGATGATCACGGCGTCTGGGAATTACGGCGAGCCACCTCTTATTTTTTGCATCGGGTTCTGGAGTTCTTTGAGGACATGTCGTCAAGCCAGCCTCGACTACTTGGTCCTCATGCTTTATTTGTTTTCCTTCGTTTTTTATATATATTTTTTTTTTCGTTCTTCACCCCCGTGTGGGCGGTGCTGAACCTGCGATGTACAGTAGCCTTTTCTACGGAGAAGGTGGACGCAATCGGGCGGAAGGGGAATATTCCACTATCAAAATCAAGAATAGCAGAAGCGATGGCCATGATCTCTACTGGTCGGTGGAGAAGTCAAGGTTGTTCTATACCCATTTATGAATCTGATTCACGATTGAAATATGCATTTTTGCTTTGTAGAAGTTATCCCAGAAACGCCGCATGGTGGTACATCATAAACGCAAAGCTCAATTGATTGTATTAGCAACAATCTTCAACAATTCGTCCGTAGGTTTATGGGCATTGACTGGGTCTTTCGAAATCGATTGCCACACCTCGCCGTGTTTGGGTTCGGTTGAGACACACTTGGACACGACATCGGACCGTTTTTCCTGTAAAAGAAGACGTTAGACTCTGATCAACTATAACAAAAAGTAAATGAAGAAAAGTGAAAAAACTAACCTCTGTTCCGTGTTGCATCAGGAACTTGTAATACCAAGCCCAACCATCACCATAGTCACTATCGGAGACAATGGCCTTTTCGAACCAGGTCATCGACTTTTCTAGTCGTCGCTCGCCCCAGAAAATGCGTGCCACTGTGATAAATAGAATCGGGTCGTTATCCACCTTCTTAATAGCCTCCAAACTGCGAGCTTTGCGTTGAGCACGGGGTTCAAGATGCCAGATGCTCTCGCTCCATAGAAGGCCAGAAGCTGGAACCTCTTGCAACGCCTTGGCCATAAGAATCTTCGCTTGGCCAAGATTGTTTGCGCGTCGTTCCACACGAACACTTTCTGTCCAGAGCTCAGCACTCTTGGGCACGGCTAGGCGGGCACGATCCAGCACAGATCGAGCCCGGACAACAGCACCGGCCTTTTCTTCCAGCCGCGAGGCAAGGAGCCACAGCGGGACGGACTTGGAACAGGCACGGGTTCCTGTGCCATATGCCTCCCGGGCTTGTGGAAACTTATTTTGAGCCTCGTAGATCTGGCCCTTGATCATCCAAAGCTTGTCAGCCTTGGGGTAAAGCTGCAATCCTTGGTTGACGAGATCCAGGGCGTCGTCGATGTTACCTAGCTGCCGTTCGAAAGCAACACTCTTAATCCAGACGCGATCGGTACCAGCTTCGCGGCGAGCAGTGGCCAGTAGTTCTCTTGCTTGGTCGGTTTGCTTGGCATCTGCTTCGAGTTTGACGGCTGCCAGCCAAATATCTTCATTGTTAGGGTTCTGGTTGAAAGCACGGCCGAGGACTCGTCGAGCGTCATCGATCTCTCCGGACTGCCACTTTTCTTTGGCAAGTTGCAACCACAGCTCCTCGCTCTGGGGGCACGCCTCAACAGCTTTCTCGAGGACCTGCCAGAGAGCTTCTTTATCATCATGATTGCGCTCCAAATCGGCAGCAGCAATCCAAATTGATCGGCGGTTGATGAAAACTCGTAGTGCGTATGCGTAAATAGCGCGCGCAGTTTCGTATTTTCCACGTGCAATGCTGGACTTGGCGTCCTCCATCCAGATGTCTTTCCGGTCGTCATCTTCGTCTAAGCCCCACCCAAGAGTCTCGAGAACAATGGATCCGCAAGTAAGAACGGCACCTTCTTCTTCGCATCGCTCGGCCTCCGCAATCCACTCTTCTCGCTTTAACATTGCATTTTCGCGAGCTAGAGATTGAATGGCACGTTTCATGACATTGACCTTTTCGAAAGTGCCCATTTGTTCTTGAAGACGGGCTGCAGCAATCCAAATTTCGTGACTTGTGGGAACAGCCTTACGAGCAGCATTCAAAACCTTCTGCGCATTCTCTGGTGTCTCTAGTCGAGCAAGAGCGAGCCATAATTCCACCGACAAGGGGATCATTTCGACGGCCTTAGCTAAAAGAAGACGCGCATCTGCGGGATCCTCCTCCAGGTTGACAGCTTCTTTCCAGATCTGGACTGATTGGGGAATGTGGAGAATAGCTTGTCTCAGTACATTCTTCTTGGCCCGAGTATCTGTTTCAAGTTTCATGGCCTCAGTCCACAACCTGGTGGAGTGATCATTATTCTTAATGGCGTTGGCTGCAATGACCTTGGCGTTATGTCCTTCATTAATTCGGATGTTCTCGAGCCAAGCATCTTCGCTCTTTGGACAAAGCTCACAACCCTTAGCGATGATATTCCTGGCAGCGACAATCCGGCCTGCAAGTTCCTCAAGACGTGCAAGCGCAATCCATCCAGGGGCGTGCTTGGGGTTGGTCTTGGTGACAGATTCCAGTAGTACACGAACTCGTTTGATGTCGCCAACCTCGAGTTCTCCAGCTTTCATTTCTGATTGAGTAAGGCTGGTAAGATAGCCCTTGGGATCGATACTGGTCGAACTTCCAGAAGCGGCGTCGGAAGTTGATCCAAGTGCAGCTTGGTCCAGTCTCACTTTCAAAACCTTATCACGCGCAGCACCGATGTCTGCGAAATTCGTCATAGTTCCATCTGTGCTTTCTTCATCGCCTGGTTGAGCACCATCTTCGGCAATCGAGGTATCAAATTGACCCGCATCTCGAGCGCCTGCGATGACGCTATCGGGAACGGCATAAAATCGCTGGCGTAGGTTCTGCTTGGCTCGTCGGTTCTTGCCCGTCAGATCACCAACCTCGGGTAGGTTGGACCAATCCTCCTCGGAGACCGCAGCGAGGGATCGCTTCAAGTCGGCAAACTGTTGCTGAATTTTCGGGTTCTTTCGTTCGTAATCATCGCGTTCTTGTTGCTCTCGAGCTTCCCTGTAGGTGGCGCGTACAAGTCGGTATTCTATCCAAACAACCGGGGCTTGGCCCGTTGAACAAGAGGTTTCTTGTAGAAAAAGGATATGGGAAGTGAGACTCACCTTCGAATCTTCCGGCGTCTGTCCATCTTCTCATCTACCTCTTGGTAGATGCGATCTGCTTCATCGTCCTCCTGGTCAAATTGCCCGTAGGCAAATAGGCCTGTATCATTTTCAGGATCCTGGAAACGTTCGTCTTCCTCCTCTTCCTTATCATCCTTCCCTCCCTTTTCGCGTGATTGAGCACCATAAGCGGTCGGCGCAGCAGCTCCCAGAAGCTGAGCTCGTTTCGTCAGAGCGGCCTGGATCTGCTCGGGTGTCGGGCCTTCGCGCGCAGGTCCCAAGTCAGAGCGCGTGGTGAAACCGGTCGCACCACGACCCAGACCGGCCACATAGTTCTCCGGTGCCTGTTGGCTAAGAAAATCCTTGCGTCCGGACGCCATAATGGACACAGCGAGCTCGAGGTGTGTTGAAGATCAAAAGAGTAGTAAAGCGGATTTCGTAGAAAAGTAGACCCGATCCCGACAATCTTATCGCAAAAGAAAAAAAGTTGCCCACTTTCGCCTTGTCCCCCCAAAACACCAAGTCTCGCGATTCGGAGCTTCGGTTTAATATAGACGAACCAATTCACAGGCAGCATAGATCTGTCAGTCTCACAAAATGCCCAAGGCCATCAAACAAAAGAAGCGCAATGGGCAAGGCGACGCAGCTGCAAAGTCCTCTGCGGCCCACAGTATCTTCAAGATGAACACAGATATCGGCCAGCACGTTTTGAAAAACCCCGGTATTGCAGAGCAGTAAGTGTTGAAAACTATGCGGAACTCTACATATGGGCGCCAGCTAAAAATCTTCCTCTATAGAATTGTCCTCAAAGCCGAGCTCAAGCAGAGCGATATTGTTCTTGAAATCGGTCCCGGTACTGGAAACTTGACTACAAAGATTCTAGACCACGCCAAGAAGTGTATCGCCGTCGAACTGGATCCTCGCATGGCGGCTGAAGTTACCAAGCGTTTCCAGGGTACTCCGGCGCAGAAGCGTCTCGATGTGATCCTCGGAGACGTGATGAAGACCGAGCTTCCATACTTCGATGTCTGCATTAGCAACACACCATACCAGGTACGTCCATACAACACCCTATTGTGAGCAATAAAACATATGGGAACTTTTGAATCTGACCTCTTATGTGTATAGATTTCTTCCCCTCTTACATTCAAGCTGTTGGCTACATTGCCTGCTCCTCGAGTTTGCATTCTCATGTATGTTTTTCTTGGTTACGATGTGTGCAGCAATGTTTTCACCAACCGAACAATTATTTTTTATTTGTTATATACTAATATGCCCTCTTTTAATTTAGGTTCCAACGTGAATTCGCTCTTCGTCTTTTCGCTAAGCCCGGCGACAAGCTCTACAGTCGACTTTCCGTGAACGCGCAAATGTGGGCCAAGATCGATCACATCATGAAGGTTGGCAAGAACAACTTCAAGCCCCCGCCCCTGGTTGAGTCCAGCGTTATTCGCATGGTCCCCAAGGTTCCGCGGCCGCAGATCAACTATGAGGAATGGGATGGCATGTTGCGTATTGCATTCGTCCGAAAGAACAAGACATTGCGTGCTAGTTTCCTCGGAACCACAAGCATCGTGAACATGCTGGAAGCGAACTACCGGACATGGTGTGCGCAGAATGATATTCCAGTTGAAGATGGCCCCGCGGAGGATGCCGATGGAGATACAATGGATATGGGAGAAGAAGACGGTGGAGAGGTGGAGGAAGTGGCCGAGGTCATGGAAATGGACGACGACGATGACGTCCCAGATTTCTTCAAGGAGGAGACTAACGCCAGTCTCCAACAAGCGCTTAAGAACAAGACCCCACAAAAGAAGCGAGGAAAGGTTTCGATGTTGGTGCGCGAGAAGATTCGCCAGGTCCTGGAGGATGACACTGGTCTGGCTGACAAGCGCGCAAGAATGTGTGATGAGAACGAATTTTTGAAAATGCTGTGGGCCTTCAACCAGAAGGGAATCCACTTCAACTAATCAGGACCAAGTCTCCTCTTGGGACAGTCCCGAATAGAAAATGATGAATTATGATTACTATCAATAAAAGATACCATTCTCAGGAGGCGTGTCGCCGGAAGGCCGAAGATGAGCAGCAGAATCCTGGAAAAGGCTCTGCCAGATGAATGCCTCACTTAATAAAAGCTCGATATCTTTCTCAGTCCAACCTTTCGTGGGCAATGCTTGAAGGAACATCATAACCTCCTATAAATTGGTTAGAATTTTTCTAAATGCCGCTAGTCATAGTATCTCCAAAGCAACATACCTGGAAGTCCATCTTCACCAATTGGTCCGTCCATTTAACTAAGAATGCGGCACAGACGTAGAGGTGGAATCGTGAGAAGCCCTGCTCCTCGGCCTGTGGTTTTTGTCAGAATCATGGAGAGAAAAAGTAATCCCAAGAGACGTACCATATACGTATCCCACATGCGTATCGTGTTTTTGATGCTCATTTCCCGCATGAGCAAGCAGTTCATCCATCGAAAGCTGAACTGCATAAATTCCACACCTTCTTGCTCAAGATGCTTAGCAAGAGCTGAATCAATTCGCTTTGTAAGGTCGCGCAGCGCTCGGACTTGTCTGTGGATGCCTGGCTGGGCATAAATATAGTTATCTTGAATCCCGTCCAGAAGCTTTGTCAGACACCAGAACGTATCGGCCTCCACGGCATCCAGCACACTTCGGGGCAACTGGCCCGGATCCATGCCCTGTTCGACATTGAGATCCGTAATGTATACTCCTAGGAAAACCTGCCAAAATGGTGTCACCAAGTCGTTGATGCCCTGGACATAACCACTTGCCGGGTGCCGAATGGCCCATACATACAGGATCCGTTCCAAGGATCTCTGTGTCGCTTCGTACCCATATAGCGGGATATGAGGACTCGTACGCGGGACGTCAATGCTGATCTGGTGCCAAACTGCCTCATCCAGTCCTCTACCTCGTCCAGTACTCGAGGCGGGGGGGTTTGAAGCGGCGCCACTGCCGCGTTCAAATGCTTGCCGAACGCCATCCAAATACTCCTTGCGCTTTCTCTCCAAGGTCGAGATACGTCGCTCGCTGTTCGGAGGTAAATAACCGAGCACGAGTTGCCACGTCATCGGCCGAACTTCCTCAGGTACCCCAGACCATGCCAGATCTCGGAGTTCAGTAAGGGACACGGTACTAGCCTGGAGGATACGTTTAAACTTATTGATTCGAGTGATACGACTCGAATGAATCTCCCTCTCCTTGGGGGACGCATTGGTGGGAGGCGGGGTGTGACTGATGAGATTCAGAGCATTTGCAGGATCTAGCTCTCACGTCAGTATACTCTGTTCAAAATCGGGGACAAAGGGAAAGTATTCAAACCTTGTAAAATATCTTTGTACTGCGGTCGCAGTATTTTTTCATCGCTCTTGCGCGCCGTTGGATACATGGGTGTGCCGCGTTCTTCGGCGATGTCTGAGCTGTTTGCTCGCTGGCGGTTGTTGGCTGAAAGCCCAAAACCAAGGGAGCCAGGTTTCCCTCCCATGAACCCCCCGGGATCGATTTTCTTTGATTTTAAGGATGTCTTTTTCCGTCTCATACTCGCAAGACTTGGAAGCCCAAATTCATCTTCATCGTCATCATACACAATTTCATCATCGTCTTCTTCGTCTTCTTCAGTTGGGTCTCTGCTCCACTCGTCTACTCCGTCGGTCATAATGGCATATGGAGCGTTTGGAGGGGAGGCGACGTTTCCAGATCGGTGAGCCAGATGCGAGGGCGCATTGGTGGCGGAGGGTTTCGGGGGCGTCCTGGGGCGAGGGTGGGATGATGTGCCTCTGTTCATGGTATGTCAGCATAACTCTAGTGCCGATCCATTGACTTGACGAGCCAGAAACAAAAAGACTGACTGTAAAATATTGGCATGGGAATATGAAGCGCCCACAACGGTGTTTTGACCATAAATCTTTGGGGACGACTGATTCAGGGATGTTGCCCGTCCAGCCCAGAATGGAGAGTCTGCACGTCTTAAATTATTCTCAGTCAAGGTTCTCGGTAGTGTGTGAATATAGGAGGGTTTGAACATACTCGGAGTTGTCTATGGACAATCGGGGAAGCTATGTTAGCTACCGTGGACCCTGGAGGAAGCTGCGGCGGGGGAAATACGCACCAACCTGGACCATTTCCTATGTAGACAATGATTAGTATTCCACTGATTGACATTATCGCATTGTTTCAAGGTCTCAAAGACTCACTTGCTGCCCTTTCTTGTTTGTCATAGCTGCTACTGAAGTGATGAGTAGTGCGCGCGATCTCTAGCGGAGTGTTGAATGCGGGGCGGCCCAGCGATGGCGTTGTTGTCTCCTCCCACGGCGTTAGACCAAGTCAGTAAGGCATTGCGGGTCGTACAATGACCCAGTATGGTTTGATGTTTTTGGAACAGTGAAATCGAATTGCAGCAGGGGAAAAAACCCGAATTTTGGGGCAGGGTAGGTCTTGTTTCGTAGTTTGAAGTGAGACGTTTAGTTTCAAGGTCAAACGGGCGGTTGCTCATGTAAGCCATGTCCTCCGCTTTCCTCCCTTCCCAAGGTTCAACTTTCTTCAGCATTTCTCCATTCTCCACCACTTCGTCACCATTTTTCCGCGAGGAATCTTCTTCTTTCACTTCTCGAGTTTACTTTTTTGCTAGTCTCTCCCCCATTGCCTCCTCTTCAACTGATACCAGACCTCCAACCTCTTTACACCATGGCCGACCAGGAGGGACTGGAAGATGATCTCTTCGCTGATCTGTATGGTCTACCCTTCAAATCTTATTTTCTGAGATGAGATGAGACCGAACTGACGAATGTGTTATCTTTCAGTTACGACGCAGACGAATCGGCACCTCACGCTACTTCCGCAGTAGAGGCACCCAAGCCCACCGAACCCACCCCGGCAATCCCTGCACAGCCTGTCGTGGAGTCAACCCCGCAGAGTTATGATCATTCGCCTGTAGTAGACACATACGCGACACAGTCTCAACCTCAACAGAGCCAGCAGAACTATGGTGGAGATTATCACCAAAATGGCTCTGAGGGTGCTTACGCCGCCCCCGCAGCTCCCGCCCCCGTCGAGCATGAGTCTCACGGTACTGGAATTAAGGAAGATGGGTAAGTGCAAATTGTCCCTTGTTCTCATTTGATTTCGACTCTTTCGGATTCGGAGTATCTGGCTATGCCTTCATGGTGTCTGTGTGGCGCCTGTTACTATTCACGCAAATACGGCTCTGGGGACCTGGAATGTGATTTTATTGGGCTTCCATGTCCGATACAAGAAGCAAGCTCTAAAAGACGAGATTCACGCGTACAAAAAAACCCAATCGTGGAGCAAGGAAACAACCCAATACACAACTTGCGATATTATCAATTTCTCGCCCAATTCTGAGTCTTTTTTGGGTCGTTCTCATCTATACGGCCTTCTCCGCATCATCCTTGGGGAATTGAGGCATCAGAAAGAAGCGAAAATCAGATAAAGAGGAAGAATAATATCTGTGATCCTTTGAACTGAGAAAATCTGGTTGCGTCTGCGAAACTTTGACAAGAAATCGGTCTCCGTCAAGCTGTCTTGCGAGCGACTATATATAGTACAGCGGATACTATATAGCTTCTTGTCGATATACGTTGATAGAGCAGAGCAAGAATTAGCAACTCTGTCCGATGGAAGTTTATCAACCCCGAGTTAGCTTGGGATTGTTAGGCAGACAGACCTTCTCCAAGAGGAGAAAGGAGAGACAGTGACAATTCACTTATTTCGCCTGATTTCTCGCCCTTCGCCTTCTATCTTGCTCTCAAACTCGTGAAGCCAAAACAAAGAAAAAGAAAAGGAAAGGAAAGAGGATACCATTCGATCTTCAGACCCGGGCTCATGTAAACCAGGCGGAAACATGGGTTATGCGTGTCTGTGTGGCCACCGTATACCGACATACTATCAACCAACAGTCAATCACCACCGAGATCATGGACCCAGGCAGATCCCGCATTTAGCTGTATTCGTGAATAGCAGCTGAGCGCCACCAGCTCTTTAGCCAGAGCCCATATCCAATATCCCTGGCCCTGATTTTGGCATTTTGTTCATACGGGGGCTTGATACCACTGGCATATGATTAGGTACTTCAGTTGATACTAATTTATGATACTTGCTAGGAAAATGTTTATTGGTGGTTTGAACTGGGAGACTACAGATCGTATGTATCTTGTTTATGAACAGAAATGCATGGAATATTTCGGGTCTAACTTCCCACAGAATCTCTGCGGGACTATTTCTCGCAATTTGGAGAAGTTCAAGAGTGCACTGTAATGCGGGATAGCGCTACGGGTCGCTCTCGTGGCTTCGGCTTCTTGACTTTCCGTGACCCTAAGACTGTGAACACCGTCATGGTGAAGGAGCATTACCTGGATGGCAAGATTGTAAGATATCTGGACAACGCACATATTCCGGGAATCCCAGTCGCTCATACAAGATTTCTTAGATTGACCCCAAGCGCGCAATTCCACGTGATGAACAAGAAAAGACAAGCAAGATCTTTGTTGGTGGTGTTAGCCAAGATGCGACCGACCAGGACTTTAAGCAGTTCTTCATGCAATTCGGCCGTGTCGTGGATGCGACTCTCATGATCGACAAGGACACCGGTCGTCCCCGTGGCTTCGGCTTTGTGACATTTGACAGCGAGACCGCCGTGGACAACGCCCTTTCCCGACCTCTGGAAATCCTGGGCAAGCCCATCGAAGTGAAGAAAGCCCAGCCCCGCGGAAACCTCCGCGATGAGGACCGAGGAGGTCGCCGAGGCGGCCGTGAGGGAGGAGGATATCGAGACATGAACCACGGAAGTGACAACGCTCCCCAGCAGGGTGGCGGCGGCGGTGGTGGTCAGCAGCAAGGCATGGCCGGTGGCATGACTCCCCAGATGATGGCACAATATTGGCAACGCATGCAGCAATACTTCGCCATGATGCAGCAGCAGATGGCCATGGCAGGCCAGGGTCAGCCCCAGGGAATGCCCGGCATGGCCATGGGCGGCATGAACCCAGCCATGCTCCAGCAAATGCAGCAGATGCAACAGATGCAGCAGATGAAGGGTATGGGCGGTAACCCTCAGCAGCCACAGGGCAGCATGAGCCCCATCCCCAACCCCCAGAGCCCTGGACCCTCCCAGACTCCTATGCCCAACATGATGAACCCCGCCATGATGCAACAGATGCAGAACCAGGGCCAACAAGCTCCCCAGCCTGCTGGTGCCGGTGGCAACGGTGGTGGTAACGGAGGCGCTAACTCCGACCCCAACGCTGCGTACAACCGCCAGCCTGGTGGACCAGGTTACAACGCCCAGGAGCAGATCGCTTTTGAACAGCAAAAGTATGAGCAACAACAGAATGTTCGTCGTCAAATGGATAACCGTGCTTTCTCCCCTTACCAGCAGGGTGGCCCGACTTCTTGGGAGGGCATGTACGACGAAGTACCCCAGCCCAACATGCCCGGTGGACCTCAAGGTATGCATGCACCCACTGAACCCATTTCTATATCTCTCTTCCCTTTTTTATTTACTAACTTCCTCACCAGACGGATCCGGCTCCCAACTCCAAAGCGCCGCCCCCGCCAACGCCCCCACAGGACCACGAAACGCCGGCAAGCCCGGCGCAAACTACCGTGGTGGTGGCCGAGGAGGTCAAGGACACCGCGGCTTCCACCCATACTCCCGCTGATAACATGTTTAATGGTGGCACGGGCTGAATGCGTCTGCTTTTCTCTTTCTTTTTCTGTATCTTCCTCCTTCACACTGTATTGTGGATCAATTGATCTCTGTCGGCTTACTTGCTTGCAAGAGATGGATCTGTTTCCTCGGGGCTCGTGGATAATTCTCATGGGATGTGGATTCATGGGGGCTCGAATTTTTCTTTTTTTTTCTTCTCTCTTACTCTTTTCTATTTTCTTTTCTTGCCTGTGGTTTTCTTTCAAAATGATCAACTTTTCTCATTAGGACATGGCGGTATTCTCAAATCTTGATTTATGTTCGCGGGCTCTCGAATGCCAAATATTAAGCTTTATGGTATCTGATTGATTGATTGGATTAGGCTTTGGAGTTGACATCTAGATCTACATGCATGTGTTACCTGCAGCAATTGTGGAGAGTTGCAACATCATGTGCACATGTACATACAGTTATGTCGTATATGGTTATGTAGTAGGTATGTAGACCTTTCAGACGTAAATCCAGGGCTGTAGCAACGAGGTTCAAATGTTGGGAGGTTTGTATGAATGGTGGTCAGTGTACTTAAGTGCTATTTGAATCTTCTAAGCCCAGGTGGAACCTTCAAACACTCAAGTGCTGAATGTTGGTAGTACCCAGTAATCACTATTCATTACATCAATCCAATTTTCAAATGTTACTGTAATTGCGGATTGACATTCATCCACACAGGTATGCTATTTGTTATGTATCAATATCAATCTATGAAGAGACTGCAACAAGGACCTGGAGATTTAGTGTAGAAAAGAGAAACAAAAGTTGATAGCAAGAATCTATGAAGATGAAGATATACAAGAAATAAAACGCAAATTTTTCACCAGGCTGTAGGGAAGACCAAGAAGATTGGGAAATATAAAGAAAGACACGCTGGATATAAGGAGGGTCAAAGTATAAGAGTCGGATGACAAGAGAAAGACGAGGATATGTAGAGAGGGAGAAGTGTTATGCCACAAACATCCAAAGGCGAGAATGAGAACCTCATCTCCCATTCAAACACGCTAAACGAAAAATGATCAAAATAAACCCCGTCCGGGAAAAAAGAAAAAGTACCCGTCAGACGTTATAAGGTGGGAAAGAGAGTGTATGTGAGAGAGAATGCGTGTGTGTGCGTGTGTGTATGAGAGAAAGAAAAAAGCTTCTGAATCGTGATTTCGGAGCGCAGGTCTACAATGCCATGCCGTAGCCGGCGGTGGTCGGATGATGCCCCTCAGGAGATGGGCTTCGACGATCATGCCTGGATTCTTGGCTGGTGCTGCGGGTGTGTGCGACGCCGTAATCGGCATACATGAGGCGTTCTTTGCTGCCAGCGGAGTCGGATCGTGACAATGGGACGTCGCGGTAGGTCTCGTAGGGACGATTGAAGTTGAACTTGCTGACCTCGGAGAAGTCTCGCTGTTGGGGGTGATCGATCAGAAGCGAATCACGGGCGTCCAGGGGAGTGAGGTCATCGAGGTCGCGGTTTGCCTTCTCGGCTTCTTGTCTGCGCTTTTCGTGGACGTTCTGGCGGAACATGGCAATGACGGCGTTGACGACAATTAGGATGGCAAGAAGGCCGGTCAAGAGTGATTGGATTACGATGAGGACAATGCCAGTCACGGTCTTGGTGGTCTGAGAGAGTCCCAGCTCATCAACAAAGACCAAGACACAAGCAACTGACAAGACTCGCACGATTTGAATTGTGATGTTGATTCCCGTGGTTGATTTGCGGGCGTAGGGGCGGCTCCATAACACGAGACCAAGCAGTAGAACCTCACAAACCAATTGACCGGCACTTTGGAAGAGGCCATGGCCCTGTCCACCAGCGATGATGCAGCCCTTGACCAAAGCGTAAACAATGACGGGCACAAAGAGCCACCAGAAGTCCTTCTTGAGGTTGTCGTAGAAAAGACTGTACTTGCGCCAAGTATCCTTATCGTCGTATAGACCAGCGGTATCTCCCTCTGACTTCTTATATTTGCGGGCCTTCAAGAAAATGCGGACGGCAAAAAAGCCGAGGACGGCTGTGAAAACCACCAAGGTTAAGGCGGCAATTAGCTTGGCTGCCCAAGAGTCACCATTTTTGAGCTGATAGACGCAGTACATCACCCAGACGCTGTACAGGATGAGAATCATGTTGGTGATTGTCCGGGCCATGATTCCCCAATAGTCTCTTCGGAAGTTGATGAGCTTGTTGGGGAAGTTGCCGTAAAGGGCCCATAACTCCAGGATGACTTTGAGGAGTAGAATTCCAACAATGACGACGCCAACCACAATTGCAAAGATCAAGAGCACGGTCATAAAGATGTTAGCCGAAGGAATCATGAGCTCCTCAGCAAGGGCCTTGATTCTGTCTATGCTGTCAGAGCTGGTGCTGTTGGAGTCCGATCGAGCCGCCAATTTCACCGAGCGGCGCATCATATCTAAGCTCCGCTTCGTGGTCGAGGAATTGGTTTCGGAGATGCTGCCCAGGTAGGACAAGCTGTTGTCTGTAAGATTGCCACCTGTGGCTTTCCTGAAGTTGTCGATCGAATCCTGTAGACCATCCCAGGAGACAAGACCGGTACTCCAAGCAAAGTTCTTGGTGAAGCTCGTGTAGACGGTGGGGTACGAGACACTCAACATGCCGTTAGTAGCCATGCAATGGAACCAGCCCATCACGTCTCCAAATCCGGGGCTGGAGCCAGTTGCACCCGGGTGTGCGCCAACCGCACTCACAGCCGAGACACCACTGAAGGCCAGCGCGCCGGCCGCCATACCAGCCGAGGCCCATGAAACGGCCTTGACACTTGTTGACTTTCCATTAGTTAATTGAGATTCAACACATGCGAGGTTTCCACTTCCGGCAGTCGATGTCAAGACGAGTTTGGCCTGGCCGTCGAGATCGGGCATATTGAATGCGAGAGAGGGGATTTCGGATGCATAGCTTGCGGGGACGGTGATGGTGCCACTAGCGGAGAAGGCGCCGGATGGGACTAGTACAGACGCGTCAGGATTTTCATGTTTCATATATATATGATCGGTTCTTCTCCACGTGAAGAGTTTCCTGTGTTATGTTCGACTCACCTGGACAGAGGGCAGCCACGTGGACAGTATCTTTGCAGGGATCAAAAGTATCGCTGTAGATCTGACTGCCATAGGCCGTGACGGTTAATGTGGCGGTGATATTTTGTTCCTGCGAGCTGGTACCAGCCAGGTCGAAGACCATCTCTCTTGTTGAGCCAGTATAGGTGATATCCAAATCGGTGATATCGATGCTGGTATCGGTCATGCACAAGTCAAAGCCATCGGTGCTCAGGGTGTCGCCGGCCAGTACCTGAGGCACGACGCTGAGACCCAACAGGGCCCAAAGGAGGGATCGCATGGTGAATTTCCCAAATGGCGGACAAGATATATCAAGAAAGATCGAGTTAAGACGAAAGCATCAAGGGAAGACAATGGCGAACGGCAGGGCAGATTATGAGATGGTGTATATTTAGAGAATGACGATCAATTCGAGAGGGCGCGACTGTCGTAGGATCAACCTGGACGACAGGGGGCGCGACTCGAAAAGGGACAGGGGTCGAGAGAGCGACGATTAACGATAGACGGGGTTAGTTGCGATTCAAGCAAAGCAAGTTGAAGGATCGGAAGGTCGAGAGAAAGAGAGAGTCTGGAAGCGAATGAACAGAACCCCTCTCTTTTGCAGTTGGGTAAGAAAGGGACTGGGAAGAGTTCCTGAGAAAAAGGTGATCACTTCTCCCCCTGACACCAAGTTTTGATTGGCTCTAGCCCGTTTCAGAGTCTAGACTCCGCTCGGGTTGGTCGCGTCTGATTCGTTCTGGATTTAAACCATTTTGGGTGTTTTTGTTCCAATTGGGAGTTAATTGGGTTAATTGGGTTAATTGAGCTAATCGGGTTGTTTCTCTCGATCGAATCATTTCTTCAGAAATTCTCCTCTATATTTGTTAACAGCTACAATGTAGTTACCATGAAGCCATAATTGTTTATTGACTTTCAATAAACGCTGTGGAGAAAACCCAAAATCCTGACTAACCACGGTTGAACGTGACCAGACTTAGCTAACCATTTGGGCTCGAGCGCCACAAACTCCACGCAAGGTCAACTTTATGAAACACTCCCTATCCACGGTTACGGTCTTTAACACGTCAACATATTTTATCCCTAGATCGAAGAATTTGAGAAATCAAAAAATAAAAACTAAGAAATAAAAATAAAAATCCCACATTGCGGAATTCCTAACAAAATCTCCCTCGCCACACCTGTCGATCCCGCCCTGTAGCCATTCGCTTCTAGACGCTGTGGATCTTCTTAGATCTTGGATTGGGGAGATTTCTAGGTCGAGAATGTTCCTAAACTTCCAGGCTTACGTAGAATCTCCAATGTGAAAAAAAAGAAAAGAAAAAAAAATACATAGAAAAATTTCTTCAACGTTCAATGAGTTCCACCATCCTCGATCTTGTGTGTTCGAGACAAAATTCAATCCTGGCTCGGACATCGAGTATGTATCCCGCGTCATCAATCTGAGACATAAGCCAAGCGCCAGCCTCATCCTTAAACTGATATGGTGGCGCTGCCAATTGTGGATGCTGATAATCACTATAATTATACCAGTAACAAACCAGTACATGTGCAGTTCGAAAACCAGTAACTTTACTCTTTAAAGAAAAATGATTAATGCCCATGAGTCGCACCATTTGACTGTTTCGTCAGAGCATAATTCCGTATACTTAGTAATCATCCATCGAGGTCTCCAGTTCCGTTCACAAATTGATTTACTTTGCTTAGTTTGCATTGTTATACAGTTACACTTAGTAATTTACCCACGGAGTACTTGAGCAGCTTCTTCCCTACTGTACTCCGTCCTGTGCATTAATTCTTGGATCCCAGCCCTAAATTTACTAACCCGTTATTTCACCAGCTCTACGGATGATCAGTCCACCTTTACTCCGTACACACAATATGCATCAAAAAAAAAAAAAAGAAAAAGATGAATCAACTTTCCTATCCCATGCTGGGACTGGTATGTGGCGTGTGAGATCACTGCAGATCTTCCAAGCTTCCAAAAATACTCTCTGCTCTACATAATCCATCCACTCTGCGGCACATGCAGATGTGGATCAGGCAATATATCGGTTTCCAAAATATGAGAGCCCTGGGTCATCTCCAGGGCACCGCCGTAGTATTATTACAAAGTACACTCTGCCGTGTGTCTGATCCTCCGAGAAGAGGTGGGGAGAAAGGCAATCTAAATTGTATGAAATGTCTCAACCCCTGTTGGCCCGCCATTGACATCCATTTCAAATTGTCAAAATATTCGCCCATTATTTCTGTCCGGCCTTGTTCTGCATCTCTCGCATCGCAGCTCTTGCGCTACGACTTCCTCCCAACTTGGGCCCCTTGGGTGCCTCGGTCTTCTCCGTCGTCGTGCGACTTGTCCGAACACGGCGTCGGGATTGAATGGCATCCATGAAGTCTTGACGGAACTTTTCGGCAATTCGCTCATCCGCCGCTTGATCATCCATTGGCCCTTCGTCCTCCGGTTCGTCATAAATTTCCACTGTAAGAAGAGTTAGCGTTGGGAAAGGCAAAAAAGAGAGATTCATAATCTTACGTCTGCTTTCACGCATCACTTCCTCCACAAGGCGATCGCGTTCGATATCAGCGCTGGTACGTCGCTTGCGATTGCGCCAGGATTTATCGGTGCCAGAACGGCCCGTATCGCCGGTATTCTTGGTGTCTTCGCCACCCTGTAGTCGCTTTCGAGCAGCCTCCGTCCGCTCAATATTTCGCATCGTCGCTTCCTCACCCAGGTCGATTTCATGCAATTTGCCCAGTGTCGCCCGTGCGCCCTTGCGTTCGGGTATTGAAGGTTCGCTAGCATTGTGTGTTTCCGATAACTGGGAGGCTTCGGGATTGTTTGATGGGAGTGGGCTGCGTTGTGATCGCTTAGCCATCTCGGAATCTATATAGGCCATCCTTATCTTGTTAGTCGGTTATTGAACGGGAGATAGGAGAGGAGCTTTCGCATAATAAGGCATCATACATGTGCTTGTCCACGTCTTCTGTCTGGCCTGTATATGTCGTGAACCGATCACTCATGGCCTGGAGCTTGTCGGCCTCCAAATCCTCCGCAGATACCAACGCTGTCTCTCGGTTACCATCCTTGGATCGCGAAATGGCGGAGAACCCTATGCCTCCTTTGCGGGATTGTCGCGGCCGCTGTAGACGAACGACATTCGTAGATTGTGTGGTCTGGTCTTCCTCCCCAGTGGACGGCGCTTCGGGGGTTTGATTGTCATTTCTGCTCGGAGTGGCGGCTTCTCCAGCGGCGCTGGAATCTGTTGTATCATTTGTACGCCGTGGGATAAACTTGCGTCGCTTTGTAGCGCGAAAGAGCGACTCCGGTGCGACGTCGACCTCAGTATCCATTCTCTTTTCTTTTTTGTGTATATGGTGAATTAGAGGTGGGGGATCAGTGATGAAAGAAAAGCAAAAAGTTGAAAGCTGACAGGGTGAGGTCATTTAGTGCCAAGCGGACCTAATCAGTTCTCTCTCTCCGCCAAAGCTGTTCCCGCACCGAAAAGACCGCTTCTTCTCCCTACCTCTCCCTTGTCTCCTCCGCGCGTGGTTTCGCAGGCCTTTTAACACCTTGGTCTGAGCAATTTTCTTTTGGCCTGCTTTATCTTCCTGCGCTATCGCCATGAACCCTTCCAATCCACCCCAGGCTGCCGAATATGGTGGAGGTACGTGCCCTTGCGGGATGCGCCCGCTGCTTTCTCCCCTCGCAGCCCCAATTCCGTCTCCAGCAGGGCGTATATCTAGATAGTCCTCAGTCGGCTGCTAATATGAATCGCGTTTAGATGAAGTCTCAGCCATTGTTCTCGACCCCGGCTACTCCACCACCCGCGCTGGCTTCGCTGGTGAAGATGCTCCCAAGTCGTTAATTCCAACATATTACGGCAAGTACGACGCTGATGGCCAGGAGAAGTTCATCTATGGAGATGATGTCTTTGTTACCCCGCGCCCCGGTCTTTCCATCCACAACCCGATCGGCAAGGATGGCATTGTTGAAGATTGGGATATGGCAGAGAAAGTGTGGGAGTATTCGTTCACTTCGCGACTCACCGGTGCGAAACCAGGCAATCCTTTCCAGAATGGATTGAACGATATCTCCGAGGGAGAGCTTCCAACAGAGATGGACGTGGAATCGGAAGAGAAGCCTTTGGAAGATAGCCCATTGTTGATGACCGAACCTGGATGGAACCCGATCAAGGCACGCGAAAAGACCATTGAGATTGCCATGGAGAAATGGGGCACCCCGGCTTTCTACCTTGCACGGAGCGGTGTGCTTGCAGCGTATGTACATCATCAACAGACCTGGTGACCCTTTTGGAGCGGGTCATTGGTTTGATATTCCTCGCGCAGTCTTATTTTTCTTGCTAATCTCCTTTTCCGCAGTTTTGCTTCCGGTAAAGCCTCAGCTCTCGTCGTTGATATTGGCGCTTCGAATATCTCCATCACCCCGGTCCACGATGGCATGATCCTCAAGCGAGGCGTGCAGCACTCCCCGCTCGGCGGCGATTACATTTCATCCCAGATTCGCGCACTGTTCAAGAAGAACTCCCCGCAACCCATCACCATCACGCCGCACTACCTGATCAGCTCTAAGAATCCGGTCGAGGCCGGCCAAGAACCCCAAGTCAAGTTGAAGACCTTCGCCGCCGACAAGGCGCCCGATGCCTCGTACCGCGCCCTCCTGGAAGAGCGCACTCTCTCCGAGTTCAAGGAGTGCGTCGTCCAGGTCTGGCCCGGCCCCAACAAGCTCTCCGCCACCGGCCCCAACGGCGTGTCCAACGAAGATGCCGCGCGCTCATCTCCCGGTCGTCCATTCGAGTTCCCTGACGGATACAACCAGGTCTTTGGCGCTGATCGCTTCCGCGTCGTGGAATCCCTCTTCGACGCCAAGGCCGCCATCCCTGATCCCGAATCTCCCTTCCCTGCCCCGACCTCCGCTCAGACCATCGCCGAGCTGATCAAGGCGTCCCTGAGCAATGTGGACGTTGACATCCGTCCCCACTTGCTGGGTAACGTTGTCGTGACTGGCGCCTCCAGTCTGCTCTACGGCTTCACTGACCGTCTGAGCCAAGAATTGGTCGCTCAGTTCCCTGGTCCGCGTGTGCGTATCTCGGCCCCCGGTAACACTGCTGAGCGCCGCTTCGGCTCTTGGATCGGAGGAAGTATCCTGGCTAGTCTGGGTACTTTCCACCAGATGTGGATCTCTAAGAAGGAATACGAGGAGCACGGTGCGAACATTGTAGAGAAGCGCTGCAAATAATCTATTCTCTCCTATCTTCCTTTATTTTCCTGATCTTTGTGCGTTTCCATGGGCTCACGTGTTATGAACTGTGTCCATGCTGTGGTTTGGTCATTTTGGGCGTTTACTGCTTAGGCGCTTTGCCAGGGCTCGAGTATGCGGATTTAGGCTCGGCCTGCGGGTCTGAAAAAAATGAATGCTATATTATTTTTTTGGTCCCGGAATACTTTCTCTTTCCCACTCGTAATTTCATAATGCGATTTTACTTTGAGATTAAAGGTAGAATGAATTAGAAATGTTTCTGTAAGTTGGTCTCAATAAAAGAAGATAAAAGGCATCAATTGTGCCAAGCCAAGCATTGTGGGTATAAACTTGAACAAAAGATAATAAGGGCAATCAATCGCTGAAGATTGCAGAAATGATATGTATACCGTACTATATGGTAAGAAAAGGATAAACGGATCCAGCCGTAAATCCCACCAGGAAACTGATCTTGATCTTCATCCTGTTGAAACAATCCGAACAAGACAACCAAGTCAAAGCCAACAAGAAGCATGAGCATGCAGTGCAGATCCAGATCCAGATCCAGATCGCAGAAAGCAGATCTCAATCTCAATCTCAACCCTGTGCACACTCAACAGTTCTGGGCCTATACTCCTGCGCCACAGAAGGAATAGTAGGAGGCGTGGGAGGCGGCAACGCCGGGAGAGCAGTAATAATCGACCCAGAATCAGGGATATCAATCTCATCCACAGCCATCCCATGCCCGCCCACCGGACCCCCAACCTCCTCCATCTCCTCATCCAGCATCATCTGCACCGAAAGCACATGGATCCGCGGCGAAATCTCCGGCCTCTGTCTAAACGAGTACGTATTCAGCATCTCCGGCGCATCCTGCACCCAAGACATCTGTCTATCGTAGTCCGGCGATGACGCAGCGCCCAGATCAGTGGCTCCGTTCGAGCGCGCACGCCATGCGTTGGGCGATTTCGCCCGGAAGATGCTGCACGGCCACTCCTTTGCGGTCTTTGATAGCGTGCGTCCGCATGTGCCCGTTTTAGTAGCCATGGTATCCCAGGCTTCGACCACGCGGTCTGTTTTGAGGAACTGGGAGACTTGCTCTTTCAGGGACTCGTAGGTTTCTTTTTCGGGATCGTCCTGTTTGGGGGTTTGTTTGGGGACACGGTGGGATTCGGGGATTGGGGGGACGGGGGGTGGGGGTGGGATTGGGGTTGGGGTTGGGGTTGAGGAATGAGCTTGCGCTTGGGCCTGGGCCTGGGCCTGGGCCATGGACTGCTGTGTTCGGGGACGAGTGGTGCTACTCGCCCATAACGCTTTTAGCTGTTCCATGGACACGCTGCGGGATTTGAGGGTGCGGGCTGGGGCCGAGGCGGGACGGTCTTGATTCTGTTCCGTATCAGCCTTTTCGCCATCACTGAGTGATCTCTTGGGGAGGAAGGGCTTGGATAGTCTTCTGGTCAGTTTGTTTGCTGTTCTTGGACGCGGGACTGGGACCGGGGCTGGTGTAGGGGTGGTCGCGGTGGAACTATCGTCCATGGCCAGGGCACTACACGATTTTGCGCGACTTAGGACCCTGGGGATGTTACTTTCCCGCTTAGAAGCATTGGGGTTGGTAGTACTGCGACCCACATTGCCCTTTCCTGTACTTATTCCCTCCTCGCCCGGCTTGGTTGAGTTCTTTGGTTTCAGTAGGGGGTCGCGGGGAAGTGGTTTCTCTGAGGGTAGTGAGGGGGAGAACAGTTTCTGTCTGACTGATCGGGTGCGGGTGGTTTGAGAGGATTTAACGAATGAGCGCACGTCCTTCCTGCTTGCTACGCCCACTCGGCGTTGCATCTCGGTGACTGCTAGAGCAAGCTGGGCAAGTGCCTTTTGGAGGGATGTACCACGACGACGGAGTTTGGAGAAGGCTTCGAGCCAGCCTTCTAGGTTGTCCATCATTGCTTGGTAGAATGCCTTCAGGCTGTGGGTCTCAAAACAACCTTCCCCGGACTTCTCGAGGAGATAGTGCCACAGGACACTGATTGCCTCTTTGCCTTTTAGAAGATCGCGAATTGAATCTGTAATGGCAAGGGTGAACCTGTCCACGGCATGTTCTATCTGATCGTGGTAGGCTATCAATGAGAGGCGGAAATTGCGATCCTCGAGCATCCGATCGAACAAATGCAAGTTGTCGAGCGGAAGGCTTAAATATTGAATTCGAGTGCGAACGTCCATTTGGATAATTAGAAAATCCTCGGTTGTTCTTTGCAGAAAGCCATCCATTTCATCGACATGACTTTGCAGGATTCTCATAACTTGTGGCTCTGATTTGGCCAATCGGTTCGCCAGTAAATGAACTCCAAACACCATTTGTGCAATCAGCTTCCAAAAAGGATGATATCTGGGATACGCCAGGTCAGCTCCCGAACCTTTACACTAATTTTGTTTTGTTTTTTCCCCTCTGTATATCGACTGCTCACCGTTCAGAGGCCCGTTGGCGCCATTTGCGACCACAGAGCCGCTCGTATTCATCATTCTCCAGTAGATCCCGACGACGGGACTGTGTATCGATATTCACCACCCACTGACTCGCAGATTTGTGGTTGGTTTCACGAATGGACTCTTCAAAGGGGCCTTGAAGCTGTTCAATTGGATGCTCCGGAGACGGGTTGAGATTATCCTCGGCGCCATCTGCTGACTCCTCGGATATGGGAGTGATTGGACTAACAGGACTGCGTCCATCCTGACCCTGGCCAGGAAAGTCGGGCAAAAGCATGATTGGAGAGTTGCGACAATCAACGGCGATGCAATGTTTCCGAGTTCGAGTATATCCTATATACCAGTTTTGGCGTTGGAAAAAATTTCCGACTTTTGAGTAGAATCAACGGTAAATTAGATCCGCACTCATGCGCAATTGTTTAATTAAAGCGCATGCTAGCATCCATGGGGGGACCGTTGGATATAAAATTATGATCGGAGCTGGCTAAGGGGTGTTCATTCTGGATGGAAGCTTGGAGATGGCGGGCTGGGAATGGAAAATGGCTGGAGTATCAAGGCAAGATGCAAGGTCGAGATGTTCTGGCTTATATCAGATATCAGTAGGGGCCCAAGACAAATATGTTGAAACATACAAAAAGCGCCACTGGGACCAGCCTTCTCTGAACCGTGGATGCGTCCAGGTTTCAAGGTTTCGAAAAATGGAGCTGCATGAGATTCAAGATTCAAGGTGAAAAAAAGTACAAAGAGAAGAAAAAAACCGACAAAACAGATAAATTTCTGATTTTGATCCTGTTCGTCATCGGACGAAAAGAAAAAAAAGAACAAAGAACCGGGGAAGACACCCTTTCACAGATTAGATGAGTTTTTTTATTTTTTCAAATTTGCTGCAATTTTACCGATTTTTGCCTGATGAATTTCCACCTAAACCCCCCCTTTCACCTACTCCCGTGTGGATCCCCCTAATGTCACCGATGACTTGTTACCATGGTCGTTCATCTTTTGACAAATGAACGGCACGGGCTCGGAACCAGAGACAAATTTAGAAGCAACAAGTGACGATCACGGTACAGAATCATCAACTCCTTCTCCCAAGGCAAACTCGTGGGAAAACCCACGAGTCGCGAAAGGGGAACACTTGCAACTCCCCACTCATTTACGGCGTTTCAGAATGACGATCGCCGGTTGTTCTCCACATGTCGAGGCTAAACAGGTACAGTGTATCCGTTGTACGGTAGCCCAAGTTCGTATTGCGCATTTCCAGAAACCGGGTTCTGGACCAGTGGGATGGACTGGAGGTCTGGAACTTCCGTAATCTCACAATTAGGTGAGAAGTGGCCCATGCGCAACAAGGCGCAGATACGATGCGTCAGTCAATTTCCGCTGGTCACTGCCAACGTTGTCTTGTCGTTTTTGATTGGTCAGGGCTAAGAGGATTTGATTACATAATGGGTTGATATCTCACATGACCAGTAACATGACTGGTAAGCGGGACTCGACTGACAATTGATATCACGTGGTTGGTGTCACGTGCCATGTCCGACAGGGCCTCTCCTGCACGTGATAAGATATTACCCTAGTCAGTTCACGAACACCCTACTACAAGTAGTACACGAACTTGGTAAATCCCCAAGCAGATTCTTTATACAAATTTACCGAACATATCAAGAAGATCATGGAGAGAATGCTGCCAACCTCTTGATGCCATCATGTTTCAACATGACATAAAACATTTGACTAATGTAGTAGCTACTAGCTAGCCATACAAATAATACCATCAATTGATAGATATGGTCATATGCCCAGTTGTAGGTTTGACTGTTGGAGAGAACGGGCAGGAATTGAGAGGCTCTAAAGTCAGTATCGTATTGTATTGTTGAACAGCTACTGTGTTAGAATTCTGACATTAAAAAAACAACCCCCATACCATGGTCTTGGGAACTATTCAAAGCTCTAGTACAGCATGAAAACAACAAAACTGCCCGGGTTTAGAAAGTTAATCACCATTTATAAACAACATACTCTTTTAGAAACTGTAACAAAACGTATTGCTCTATACTGGCCCTAAAGGCCTTGTCGGCCGGACGACAGAGCCACAAACCGCCATCATCGCAAACCATCATCACGAACCCCCGCCTTGTCGCCAATTGTCATCGCCACTTGAGACACGTCAACATCACAATAATACTACTACGTGGTTTTGCACGTGAACTTGAGCTTGAACGTGAACGTGTACGGCGTGTACGTGATAGCGTGACACTGACCCTGCTTATCGTCTCTATTGTCTCTTCTTGCCAATCGCTACTTGTTCTTCGTCTTTTACACAATCTTCTTTCTGTCTTCTTGGTTCCGTTTTTGCCAATCGCTAATTGCTCTTCGTTGTTTACACAATCTTCTTTCTCTCTTCTTTCTCTCTTCTCGGCTTTCTTTTTACCAATCACTAATTGCTCTTCGTCTTTTACACAACCTTCTTTCTTTCTTCTCGGTTCTCTTTTTGTCAATCGCTACATACTCTTCATCCTCCACAGGATATTCACTCTTTCTTGTCGGTCTTTTCCGCTTCAAGATCCTTCTGCGCGTGTTCAACTTCTTAGCTAACTTGCTTTCTCATCTTTCAGCTGTCTCAAATCTTTCTATCCTCTTCTTTTACTGCTCTGCGACGATGTCAGTGCCATATCAAGACATGGAGCCATTCGCAGCAGAAGCTGTAGAGCTGCCTGGGTCTGAAGAGCAAGTCATTAAGTACGCCGCATTTCCTCGCAATGATCTTATTCCATTAGTCGCCAGGGCAGACTCTGTCGGCTCTGAGAAGATACGCGCCTCATTGCTGCGAACCACCGAGACGACTTCGTCTACTCTTGGAACTCTTGAAGTTCTGCCGCTGGAGATTCTTTTTGATATCATCTCCCTGCTTGATATTCGTTCGGTTTTCGACCTTCGTCATGTCAATCACCGTGCTGAGCAGATCGTCACAAAATCCAGTGGCTATGAAGTGTCCTACAAGCATGCTATTGAGACCCTTCATGTCATGCTCAAAACCAAGGCCGCCTCTTGGATCACGCTCCCTACCTTTGCTAAACTACTCTACACGAAGGACTGTCAACTATGCGGCTACTTTGGCACTTTTCTCTTTCTTCCAACGTTTGATAGATGCTGTTTTCGTTGCATCGATATGGGTCGCCTCCCTCTCCTGATGAAAATCTCAGTGGCTCGCTTGAAGAGGCTCGATCTGAAGTTTCATGCAGAAGCCTCACCACAGTTGAAGTCCATTGTGAAAAACTTGCCGGGACATTACTGGGATGGGCATCATTCCTTTACGCGAGAGATGCGAACCCACATTATGCTGTCCGAGGCAAACGCAAATTTCGGTTTACGCCAGGGGGTACAAACCTCCCGTGTGGCACAGGCACGACTGCGACACATGGTGACAACATCTTTTCCTTGGCTCGATAATCAAACCGGTCACGCTCAAACTGGGATCAGCTGTGAGGGCTGCTACATTTCTAAAGATACTAAGCTCCTGTTAGGTCTTCCGATTTCTCCTCCTACCCCTTGGGGCACAAAATCCCCAGTCTATACCGAGGACCAATTCATCGAACACTTCAAAACATGTCCGTTGGCTCAACACGCTTGGAATAACAAACTTTCGGAAAGAATGCGGGAACAAAAGATCAACCAAGAAAGAATCCGGCGTGAGAAGGAACAGGAAGATGAGAAACGTCGTCAGGAAGAGCAAGAACAACATCTGAATTCTCGAATCCGCCATCTAGTGTCCGAGTTTACGACGTTCGTAAACCTCCAACTTGGGTGGCAAACCCCCAATGAGGGTATTTGAAACAGCTGCCTGTCCGTGAAGTACCATGTGGAGTCGAATGTTGATGGGGTGCTGAGGCCTCTCTACTGGAGGATTTAGCGACAAAACCCAAGAAGCGAGTGCTACTGATATCACCACATCCATATTACCATGTTTCACATCTACTTCAATTTTGTTATGATTTCTGGAGGATTAAACGACAAGACCCATGAAGCGAGTGCTACTGACATTACCATATCCATATTACCACTGCGTGTATCACATCTAATTCGATTTTGCTATGATTTGAAATGAAAGCTAGGTCATGGGTCCTCAAAATGTTTTCTTTCTCTTTGAACCTTCAAATTTTTGTGCTTGAAGCTTTTTCCCCCTAATTTTTGTCTTCAAATTCAACTTTTGTTTAGGTATGAACCGATTGTTTACTTCCAAATAATGACTTGTACCACAACCAGCACTTGAGTAGACAAGTCTCGTATTCGTTCCTAGATCTCAAAAGAATATCTGAGAAACGATAATATATTAATTTATATTAAAAATCGGTAGATTGGGTTGAACAAGCTTTTATAAACGTCAACATTGAAGATGAACAGGTTCTAAATATCTGCGGGAGAGCCACTCAAGATTTCTATCTGAAACGACCAAAAACCCGATCATCGTGGCTTCCAATTCACCTAGTATGCTCATTCCAGACTTTCCCACTGACTCCACCTCACTCTTCAAACTTGAAAATGTTCAATTTCCCCTTCTTTGACCCTCGGCCACATTAATAGCGATCGATGCCAAGATCGAAACTGGCAAACCTGCTTTAAAGGGGCAAATTTTTTTTTCTTTTTCAACTGACAGAAAAACCGTGATAGCCCCACATCCCCCTATCCCCTTCTCCGTCAAACCCGTTGAGATTCGAGTACCGAGTATCATTTGGCTAATTCCACCGAGAACCTGAAGAAATACATCCACACCAAGGCCAAGTGGAGTGAAACACCAGTGTCGCTCCTATCAACCCGTCGGTCCTATCCGTACGAAAACGAATCAAGATTGTTCTAGAGCCCAAACAACAAAACCTCTAGCGGCGAAAATTTTGTCTCCACGCGCAATGTCCGGAGCCAACGGCTGTTCCCTTGGGATCCACATCACTCCACCTGAACGCAACGGCTGGACGTTGATTGGCTTCTATCCTTTCTCTTATTTTGTTCCTAGTCTCGGGAATTAACCCTTTCTGACAAGACGCTAGGTTGGTTAAAGTGGGATCTACGGGTGTCGAATGGGTTCAACGTCCGATGCTGTGGTGGTGCGGTGAGCTTGGGCTTTGGAGAGCAGGTTCTGCAGGTTTGCAATTCTTTTTCTTTTCTTTATAACTGGTTCGGTGGTTTGTTTTTTCTCGCTCGTTTTTTTCTTGCATACATTCTTTTTTATTTCTCTTTTTCTAGGCTGATGATGTTTTGATTCTTGGGTTCTTTTTCCTTACCTCTTTTCAAGCGAATCGATTTCTTGCATATCATGTCGGTCAGTCATGAAAGTCGACAGGGGGAGTTTCGGGCTACAACAATTGCCATGACTGCGCTGGCCGCAGTGTTCGTTGTTTTGCGCTGTTTATCTCGGGTTAAATTGAGAGGGAAGAGTCTTGGTGTAGATGACTATGCTATGATGTTATCTCTGGTAAGCTGCAGTTTTTCTATTCTAAATGTTGTCATTAATTTGAGGTTTTATCTAACTAAATCGGTGCAGTTTCTTCTATTCGTGCTTGCTGGACTTGATTTGACCTTGATCCAGTATGGTATGGGTCTGCATGCCAGTATTTTGCCGACAAAAAATCTGATCATAATTGCTCAGGTATGTTTGGGTTGGATATTCGATGGGTCTAGTTTAAAACCTACCGAATCAAGCTAACACTCCCCATAGTTATCTATGGCCTATGAATGTATCTATTCACTTACCATCGGCGCGATCAAAATGTCCATTCTACTCATGTATACTCGGGTCTTCATTGGCGGAGAATTTCGCGTTGCCGCCATTACCTTGGGTGCGGTAATCATGACTTGGATCGTTGGTGTTATTTCCATGAGTGTTCTTGAATGTGCGCCTATCCAAAGGGCCTGGGATGCATCACTACCCGGCACATGTGACGATGCCAATGCCTTGTTCTTCGCAAACTCGATTCCAAACATCGTCACCGATCTCGTCATCCTAATACTCCCCGTGCGAGCCGTGTGGAAGATGGAGACGACCACCACCCATCGCCTTTCTGTCATTGCGATTCTTCTTCTGGGCTGCTTGTAAGTCGAGATTCCATCCCCAGTATCTTATCAATCATGGAGACAAAAAGCTGACTGAGACTTGATTTAGCGTTATATTTACAAGTGCCTATCGTTTTGCCACTGACTTTGCATTCAAAGCCACGGATATCCCTTGGACGCTTGGTGATTCCTGCACCTGGAGTATCATTGAGTGCTCATGTGGCATCATCTCGGCCTGCATGCCAACACTTTACCCGCTATTAGGGATTATTCAGTCCAGGCTTCCTGGTGGAGGATCTTATGGCAATATGACAGATGTCAAGATCTCGGGCAGAGCTGAATCTACAGTCCCGCCGTTTCGACCTCAAAACGAGTCAGTGGGCAAAGCCAAGGTTCAGCTGGTAGTTACACAGCCGCAAGATGAACTGGGAGATGAGGTGCCCTTGAATACGATTGTGGTACGACGGAGTATGACATGGCATGAAACGAATTGTGGAAGAAATTGTAAGTCGCCACGGCATTGGAGATCATAGGAGTAAGGGCCATTGCTTGATTCACCAGCTCATTGAATTATAACTTTGTACAATACATGCTGCTTCACTCTCTTTTCTCTCATTATTCACTCAAATTTGTATTAATTCACTATAAGCATTTCCTTGAATCCAAGTATTCACTTTGTAGGTATAGATGCTCAGTGCCCTTCCCTCGAAGCGCTTCGAGCAAACTTTCTACTGCATAAATGTGTGCGCAACATACTCCTCCACTCTTCCTCTCTCTTACATTCTACCAATCTCAAACAACAGATTCTCCTCCAAATCAATTGCCCCTCCTCATCGAGCATGACCTCCACCTCGACCCTTGATACCTTCACCATCAACACACATCCTTAACACCCCCATCACCACCACCCTCCATCTCCAAATGTCATCTTCAAAACCCGCCCTCCGCCCCGGGCCCCCACCATTCCCAAACAGCCCATACCCCTCCAACCCCCACGACAACCCCGACCAAGACACAAGTGCCCAGCCCCAACCACCCGCGCGCACCAGACTCCACATCGACTTCCTAAACTACAACAGATGGAACAGGCTCTACTACACCGGCTCCAACCCACGGGCCTTCGTAAGCCAGTGGAAATTCCTCCTCTCCCAAGCCCAAGCCTCCATCGCCTTCCCAATTCCAATCGGAATCGTCCTCCTGCAATTCCTTTCGGCTGCGTCCGCCTGCTCCGCTGTTCGCCCCTGGCTAATGGCTCTCGGGGTTAATGAGCACCTTCACCCCACTGCCATGCTGGAGTCTGTCTTTGGCGACTTTGTCGTCGCGGAGGAATGTCGCATTTTGTACAGTGCTCAGTGGGCTTTTCGGGGTCTTCATGCGGCTAGGACGACGCTGCAGTTTTGCCCTTTTCATGATCGCCAGGTTTATCATTCGCCTTCTGAGTGCTTTATTAATCCTAGGAATCTGAGGTTTAAGAATGGGAGTGCGAGTGCGAGTGGTGGGGCTGGGAGGGGGGAGGCTCGGTCTCTGTCTCTGTCTCTGTCTCAGTCTTAGCTGTTATGCTTGGCATCTGGGTTTCGAAGGATGTGGATACGAGGTGATGGCATTTTTAGGGAAGACTGGAAGGAATTGAGCATGTTTGTGAGATTGAAAAATAAGATGAGCTTCAGCCTTCTTGGTCATGACACTCGTATTCCTGATTGTGAAGAGACGCAAGGATTGTGATCGGCGCGATTGAAGAGCTACTGATATGTACCTTTGAAAATAATCTCTTGGTTTACTTAGTATCTGTATTGTACGATTATTTTCCTAAAACGTGCAACCGTAGTATAGTAGTATGCAAGAACCTTTTCCTTATGATGTTGTATTTGTAACATTCAAGACTCACTGAACCTCTTGTTATTATTAGACGCCGTCATTCTTCTATTTAAGAAAGTCTCTGGCTACCCCCATGTCTGTTCATCTAGATTGAAAATATCTGTCCCTCGAAAGAGACCGTCAAAAAGACCTATGTCGATCCCCTGTAGATCCCAATCATCCACCCAAGAAGGGTCCATTGGCTCATATACTTGATCACGTAGAAAGTCGCCATTTATCTCCGGGGATACATTAGATTTGGGAGATGGTAACTGTTCAAACTGCGGCATCCCTGTCAGTGGTTGGTTGGTGATGTCGAAATTATTTTCACTTTGATCCGCAAATTGACAGCCTGAGCTCGGTAGCGATGGCTCTCCACAGCTTTTCTCGGCTCTATCAGAGGCAGGGATAGCTCGACGTTCAAAGTTGATTCTTCCAAAGTAGGGAATATAGATGTGGAGAGCCTTGCCATCGTCTGTTAATTTGCCGAAGAATTCGAGTTCCCTCTCGCTGCCCTTAGAGGCGCTTGTACTGTATAAGGTCCCACTGGCGCAGTTTTCCTCGATGGCAAGCAGATGGTGGATAATTTGTGCAAGTCTGGACGTGATCCCATCAAGACCACGGCTGGCAGTAGATGTCATGATTTCCGTCGTGCGCTCCATCATGGCGCGGTCGCTAGGCCGACTGTGCGCGAGGAAATTAAAAACGGTATCAGTTTCGCGAGGCTCGGAGGGTTGCGGAAACTGCTTGCGCGAGCGCGAGTTCATATGGGCGACACACAGGACAACTATGGCAATAAAAGCGAGACACTCGTCGCCGCGGCAGTAGAAGTGGACAGGGCATGAATTGCGGAAGGCTAGATATCGGGACAGAATCTCTCGGCTGGCATTGAGTGCTGTGACTCTGCTATGGTCGCATCGGTGGTTGGCTGAAGTGCGCAGCATATAGGGTAAATGTAGTCGGATTAGCAGGTGGTAATGTGAGAACTGATTCATGAGGCGGACGGTGTCGCCGAGTAGCTCGGCGTCATTGTTACTGGGTACAAAAGTAGGTGTGAGCCACCACTGAGCCGGCATATCGGCGGCCGCATCTTGTAAAAGCTTGTCGTCTTGGTGAATCTTTGTGAAATCACCCAGGTCGGCCTCGGTTCGTCGCTGAATATTCTCAGCAACTACACAGTGGATGCGTTCCAGACGCTCCGTGGGATTGCATCCCGCCAAGGCCTCGGGCGTAGCAAAAGTGGCTTCAAGGGATGTTGGTGGTAGACCGAGCATAAGGGAGAGGTACCGATCCATCTGGACTAAGCGAAAGCAGATCTGGCCTTCGTTGAAAGCTGCCCGGGTTGCAGGTTCGATGAACTTCAGAGACGGGGACTCGAGACCACGGTGTATGGCCATCATCTGTGCCACTGCGATAGCCCGGTGCACTGCCATCCACGCCCGATGGAGATTCCCGACGTGGTTGTGGTATAGAGACTCCATCATGATGCAGTCGATTCCCTCGACAGAGCAAGTGAGCTCGTCGTTTGTAGTTACGAGCCTGATGGCCGTGTCGATAACTCGAGACCTTATATCATTGTAAAGTGCTCCGCGACTCCCTAGTTCTTGCATCTTCGATGGGGAAACTCCGTGGAGGAATGTTCCAAGCATGAAAAGCTTACGAGCAATTAGAACCGGATGCGAGCCTGATGGAGGTAGTTGGAGTATTTCTTTGAGCGATTGCAAGCGTCCTGGGGTATTAGAGCATGATTGTAGTATTCCGTCCGTCAGACGCATTGCAGGGCCACCTGGAAGTGTACAGATGAAATCAAGATCATCCTGCTTGGGCCATGCCGCGATTAGTTGCCGAGTCACTTCCTCGTATTTGCCAAAGCATCTTCTTTCCCAAGCCCGAGAAGCACCCGATAAAGGTTCTTGTTGAGTATTATTGCTTTCATCCTGAGGATTCTTTGAGATGTCAGTACTTGATCATATACATAGCTGAGAAATCGACAACAAAAAAAAAAAAAAAGACGCGTACAGGTGTAAGGCTTGTTGGCGGTAGCGATCTTTGCTGGGCCCTTTTCTCATATTCATGTGATGTCAAAGTCTGATGAGATATACTATTTTCGGTCGTGCATCTTTGTGCTAAGTTGGATGCTGAATTATGAGCTAGGATTTCGATAAGCTCCTCCACCCGACCGAGCCGAGAGTCGATCTGATCACCAACACGCGGTCCTGGAGTATCTGGGAGCTCCTGGCTGATACAAGCAGTGCCTCGTCTTCGACAGTTATTGCAGCTAGTGTTTTCGGGCGACGCGATGCATCGGACTTTCCTTCGCTTGCACTCCCAACAGCTTTGGGTGCCTTTACGGACTTTTCTCCGCTTGGCCTCGGGGCAAGCATCTTGGGGCCCTTCGGACATTTTTCAGTTGCCGACAGAGGTCGTCCTTAATAGGCTTGACAGTTGAGACCACACTTGACTTATTGATGTGGAGATGAAGTGATGGGGATTCAAGACAACATTACCGAGCTATCTCGGTCGGAATTGAATTGGTCGGTGGCGTGCTACCTAAGGCGGCCAAGCTACGCCCGAGCTCGGCGGTCGAACAGCTCCCGAATGATGCATATTCTCAATATCCGAGCATGGTAACGCGATCCATCGCTCTCGACTTTGATTTCTAACATGTTCTCTTGCTGATAAATTTTCAAAAGCAAACGTATTTCAAACTTGTTTTTTATCTTTCGACCGAAGACTCGGAGACTTGAGAACCAAATGCATGCATATATAAAGCGTCAATCATGACACGCTCAAAACCCATCATCATTCAGTTCTATTCGGACATTTCATTTCATATTCCACGATCAAACACATCAAACTTTTATATATACCTAATAATCAGGTACCCTTGAGCCCAAGCAAAATGGTCAAGATTGCAGTTGCTGGAGGCTCCAGCAGTAAGTCTCCTCTCCAGTCCCAAATGTACATTTCCAGGGCTAACTCCTACCTACCAGGTGTTGGACAGGAAGTCATCGATGTCCTCCTTTCAACTAACAAGCATGAGCTCTTGCTTCTATCCAGAAAAGTTTGCATTCCAAATCTATCCCTTTCATTTGCAACGCTAAACTGTATACTTGGTTCCAACTAATTCGCCAATATAGGACGCTCCAGCTGATGAAGCCATCCAAGGTGTCACCTGGGTCAAGACAGACTATACCGATGTCAATCTGTTGGCTGAAGCCCTCCAGGGAGTGAATACGGTACTCTCCTTTGTGACGGAGCAAGATATCGCCAGCCCGATACAGAAGAATCTTATCGACGCTGCGATCCAAGCCGGTGTCAAGCGCTTTGCACCCAGTGAATGGGCCTCGGCCAGCACGGCACACATGAGCTGGTATGCGTATAAAGAAACCATCCGCCAGTATCTCAAGGACATCAACAAAGATAAAAAGGTTTGAAACGATATATTCTCTTTCTGCACAACCACAAGCTCACAGAGACTAACTGTATGTCCGTCGATATATTATAGGTTCTCGAGTACACCCTATTCCAACCTGGATACTTCATCAACTATCTGACCAACCCTTACCCGTCGGCCAAACACCTCCAGCTTGTCGAAATTCCCTGGGACTTTCAAAACCGCCGGGTGATTTCTGTGGATGGAGGTGAGAACGCGCGCCTCACGATGACTGCAGTGGAGGATCTTGCCAATGTCGTAGCCCGCGCCATCGAATTTGAAGGCGAATGGCCTGTTGATGGTGGTATCCGAGGAAACGACTTGACGATTGGTGAATTGATTGCTCTCGGAGAGAAAGTCCGCGGTATGCGCTCCGTATCCCAGGTGCCCCAACAAGATAAGATGTGAAGATAATATAAATCCGGATCTAACTATCCTGCATTTAGGTGGCAAACCTTTTACCGTTGACAAGGTCAAGGAAGAAGATTTTGTGAGCGGTGAATGGCAAACTTCGTGGATGCCGGCTCTGAATCACCCCTCTATTCCTCAAGGTAATCTCGAAGCTGTGGGGAGGTTCATCCTTACCGGGATTCTGCTGGGCACAAACGCCAATGCACTGCATGTCTCTGACGCGTGGAATCGGTTGTTACCGGACTACGAGTTTACATCCATTGACGCATTTCTGAGTAAGGCTTGGAAAGGAAAGCCCTGAGTGATGCGGTGCGATGGTGATAGGTTGGAAGGGTTGCATCGAATCCGGCTTGTTCTAGCTTGAACTTTGAGTAAACTTTGAGTAAAGCGTACTGTCATTACATGGTAGGATAGAAGAATGGAATGTTTTGTAAAGGTTCCATACGCACTAGACTCAAAGTTATAAGCATACTACTAGTAGTAGTCCTGAAGTTACCAGGAAGTTTTAGAGTTGCCCATTTTTCAGTTAAAGAAATCACATGTCCCTCGGCGCGTGCCGGTAAAAGCTTAGAATCTGGGTTTTGAGAGGAGTCGAATAGGAAAATCAAATGCAAAATTCAAGAATGGCAAGTCAACGCCGTCCTTGCCACTGATTGTAGCTTGTCTCCACAATTTTCTCGAGATCTTATGGTTACGGTGGTATACGGGGCGATTTCCCTCCAACCCCAGAAATGCCTCATTGATTTCGCGGGGTAGAGCATTGTAACTCTACAACTCCACATGAATCCATACTAGTAGGTATAACCCAATGCCGCGGGATCGGCCTGCCATGTGGAAATCCCTGAATGCCGATGATATAGATTAAATCCTTTACTTTTGACACGTTGCTACGATGTTCCTTTGGACCCCTCTTCCCCGCTCAATGTTTGGTTTTTGGGGGTTCGGCAAGCCTGGGCCGCGGATCAGCGCTTTCGATGGTTCGCGTGACTAGAGTTTGCTTCAACCACGGTGAGCTGAGGTGGAAATGCGGGGAGATCCTTGAAGTTTGGAAGAAGCAGCCCTCGAGTGTTTCCAAGGTTAGTGCTGTCCCTAACCCCTTTTGACTCACTTGGCACTTTACCACACACACCTGGGCACATGCATACGCCAATAGTATGAGATGCCAGTATACATTCAAGTCACTAAGTACTAAACATTTCAATGAAACATTGAACAATGAACAACCTTAGAGTGCATCATGTATACATGTAGACAATGCCGACAATCCAATTGAATCTGCTCGGCATTCATCGCCCGTCGCAAAGCAATTAATATAACAATCCCATTGATCTAATAAACCTCAACCTTGTATCCCCCTTTTCCCAACACCCGTGCCTAACCAAAACCAGCAACTAGACACACTACGGAAATAGACAAGTTGCCACAATATCCCATAAGTTGACGGAACGTGCCAAAAAGGCATACGGTACCAACCTTTGCACCCAGAGGTCCCCACCCCAACAATCGCCGATCAATAGGAGAATTTTCCCTGCATCGCTTATCACATGGTGGCGGAACTAGTGCGCATGCGTAAGGTATGTTCCGGTGACGAGGCCGGGAAATATGCAGGAACGGGCGGTTTAACTTGTTTGGGATGGTCGGCTCGAGTCTGTTTCGAAAGGAACATGGGAAGTGGGGTTTATTACGAGGTTTTGCATGTTCTAGATTGGTGGGGAGGTCTCCATGGTTTGTTTCAGTTCCAGAGTTGAGGTTTTTTGGGGGGGGGGGGGGGGGCACTTACGGAGGAGGAACGGAGTCCAAGGTTTCAATGTTTTGGGTGTTGTGCAATGTTACTGCAGTATTTACCTGTGCTTCCAAGGTTGCTAGATTTTGTCTATCTCTATCTTGATCTGAGGTTGACGAATCTGGAATCCACTTGTGGGACCAGATGCCGTGTTTGAACTTGGATCGAGCAATTGGGGATTTGGTTTGGTATGGGTATTTTTGATTATGTATAAACTGGTACATGATAATACACTTCAAAACAACGGTCATGATCATTAGAACGGTAGAGGCCAGGAAAGAGAAGGGAAAAAAAGAAAAAGAAAGGGGAGCCAATGGAGAGGAAAGGCGAAAACAAATCCATGACCTTTTTTTCTTGAGTTCCAGTAGCGTTGTAACACCAAAGGGGCGGAAAAAGAGAAAGATGAAAAAAACCAGAAAAAAAAAAGCCCTTCGCTTGGCCCTAATTTTTTTTTTTAGCCCCGCGGCCCTTAGAACCCTCTTTCCCCCTTTGAGAACTAACTCCAAACTCTAGTCGCGAAAATTTTGGGCCCCAACGGCTATCATGCATTAATTACTCCTTGCAAATGTTGTTGAAGGATCCCAATCGCGACTAGTGTGCGCCGACCCAGGGGCACGAGGACCCGAGAAACTCGTGGTAGGAGGTACGTACTGCGCCTCCTGGCCGAAATGTACGTTTCGATCAAAGGTCGGGCTGGGGCTAGCCACCGGGCTCCGACTTCGACCGGCCATGCGGGCGGGGCTGGGCGATCGCATATTGTATGTGTAAGGCTCCGGGGTCTTGGCGGTGGTGGTCAGCATCTCGAATCCTTCCTTGCTAGCGTAGCGATCACTAGCGTCCACCGAAATGAACTCGTGACGTCGTGCGAAACCGCGACGGAAGAGGTCCATCCAGCCGGCGAACATGAGTGGTCGCGCAAAGAGGATGAAGTTCCAGAATCCCACTAGCGAGAGGAGGTAGACCATGGCGAGTAAGGTGGCTTTGTTGGGTCCCATGTTTGCGGCGTGGCTTTGGCATTTCTCTCTGCTTTCGCCTGAGGCTAGGCAGAGGAGCCAGGGCGCGGCTTTCTTGATGTTGGATGGCGTGGGGTTGACTTCTCGGTCTAGATCGATGAAGACGACTGCGAAGAAGATGACGTTGCCGAGGATGATGAGCACTAGTGCGACTCCGCGCCATTGGAGCTGGAGGACGCGTTGGAGACGACGCCAGGCCTGGCGGGCGGAGACCGTTCGGATGCTGGAGGAGTAGGTGGGTAGACCCGAGTTGTTCTCTGAGCTTGAGGCGGATTTGTCGAATAATGAGCGCAGGTAGATGTGCATGCAGTAGGCCATGGTCGATACCTGAAGCACTAAGGCGGCGGATGAGAAGGTCATGATCGGAATCCAGTAATCCTTTAGTCCATTGTCGATGTTGATATGGCAGATGTCACCGAATCGGTAAGACACTCCCGTCAACTTTAGCATGATGGCGAGTCCGATGGCAGGTATACCAAATCCACCCGCGAAGGCCCCCCACATGAATTTTGGCCCCAATACAACTTCCCAGCATACTTGCACGTGGAACGCGATCGTCCGAATGAAACCTGTCGGCTGTTAGCGGTAGTTCTGATCAATCTTTTTTCTTCTTCTTTTTTTTTGGTATGCATACTCCATATAACGACCATCCAACCGCCAAATAGTAATAATGAACCAGAAAAGGCACATGCAATATCGGAGTACATATCATTAGGTGTGATATCATTGTAACATTGGTTGGGTTTGGCGCCGAGGGGGACAATGAATGCAATCTGATTGATCCGTTAGCATGATTTTCTTTATCGAATCATATACGATATGCGTATTCAAACTGACCTCCATGCAGCAGATACCCAGAGTAAAGCATATACTCGCGTAATGACGATTGGTCCATTTGGGTGCAAGGACAGCGTATGAGATCAGAATAAAGACACAGAGAGGTAGAATGGCGACACTGATCCAACTAGCAACTTCGACTCGTTGCGCAATGTCTATCAAGTAGTTGTTAGAATAATTGACCTAGATTTACAAAAAGTCTGGGGTATGACTAACTATCGGCATATCGCCAATTGGCGAGAGGGCATGGTAGGCAGCATGATATCGTCTCATTTGCGGTAAGAGCAATGTCTTCACAGTAGCGTCCATCGATGACTAGGGCAAGAGTTTAGATTCAGATCATATTTAAGGTGCGATTGGAGAGGAAAGAGGGTACATACAACCACCAACCGTGGGAAATAGGCTCTCCTGCAAGAAGCTGCCTGGGCAGTATCCGGTCAAGTCCACCATATTGAAGAAAGTCGTTAGGCCCAGTTCGGCATTAGGGCCTTGAGGAAATCAACGCGCCAGCGCGAGAGACCGCGACTTCGCCGCAGTTGAAGGAGTGTTCTGGGGAAGTACACGAATTGAGGAAAGTTCAAAGTGGGCACCACCTCGATATACATACTAAAAAAGAAAAGGAAAACCAAGCCAAATGGAAGTGGGCCCCTCTCTCTCTGTCTCGAGGGGAAAGTCAAGTACAAAGGTGGGTCTGAAATTTCAATGGGGACAATGGGCCATAGGCCCGTTCTTTTCCAAGCACACGAGCCCGGGTGGGCAAAGTGCCGTTATTGGACTGAGGGGGTACACACGGGTCCCTTGAACTCTATGGTGACCCTTGTTGGTGGCTTGAATCCAACAGTAAGAAAAAAAAAATTACAATTAGTGTAAATAGTGTAAATAGTCAAGAATGGGGGAAATAAGGAGGAATACTAGTAAGGGGCAAAATAGAGAAATACAGGAAAATACAACCAAGAAAAAAAGTACAGGAATTCTTGGTGCGACACAGCCGTGACAGGGTATTGGTACGTACTACCAGTTGACCTTTGCGTTTTACTGCAGTTCTACTCCCGTACACAGTAACATTCTGGAAAATCCCCAAGCTCAGAATTTACGCTAGATAAACCCATGGTACAATGGGCTTAGTTCATGTTGATCATGCTCAAGAACCACGTTTTGACCACGTTCGGGTAAATTTGAGTTAACATTTGAGAACTCAGGGGGAAGCTTGACTTGCCTATGTTCTCTTTCTATCTCATTTCATGCAAGTCTTACTCTTATACTCCGTATATTACTTTCTAGTCTTACTATCTCATCTTAAATTTTTAGCCAGATCCCATATTCCGACCCCATTTAGACCCATTTAGACCCATTCAGACCCAGACCCATTGACCTCGCCCTAAATTCGACATAATAGCAATTGTTTAGTTCCAAGCCACTGGGGTCTAGTGTCGTCGCGTCAATTCTAGATCCAGGGGTTGCTTACTGCCAAGTCGAGTTAGTCCGTCACCTGGGTCTTGCATACATCATGATACATGTTTACCCGTAATCATTTCGTATCGGTGTAATATCCACCAAGTTCCACTGCCAATCGGTTTTTCTTGAATCTAAACGGATACGGAGTTATGATTTTCAGATTTAATTAAAAAAACGTATAAAACAGATGTAATAATAGTTCTGGGGAAAAAAAAACACCCATGTCCAAAATGAAGAAGAGAGAAAAAGACCTATATTCTTGAATCTTGATAGGTAACCGTATCCTTAACTTTTCCTCTACTTACCCGTTGCGCTCACCCCCAGTCCCGACCTTCTGATTCGCAAAATCATTTCTCCTCCTTGTACACAATCCCACCCTAGTCCTCTTTCGCTGGCCCCAATCGCGCCAAATCCTCCAATCACCGCACCCAATTCCCTGGCCACCGTGATCGACCCCGACATTCGTTGTACATACAACCAATAATGTCTCACCCGCTCCTTTTACTGCTCAATCCCCGGCTGACTACCCACGCATGACACTCGATCAGTCCAGCCCTGTCTCGTTCTAGGTCCAACAACCTCCATCTATCTCGTCGATCATCTGGAAAACCCCCATCTTGCAATTCCCCGAGGATCACTTCCAGGCCCGTGCCTTCCATTTGCGCTTCTTGACAGCCAGGGGCAAATGTGAAATACGATCCATGGATTGGAGGGGGGAATTCCTTTCACCAAGCCGCTTCGATCATCCCACAGCTTATCCACGAACCGTGGAACCAATTATCGTCCTCGGTCATTCCAAATGAGACTGGTCGCTGGTCACGGGTCACTTTGGAATATCCTTCAAATGCACCATCCCAGTAGCATAGTACTGCCCACGCTGCACTCGAATCCTTTCCAGCCTCTCAGCTGCTTCCATCTCCCCTGCCAAGCTCACCATTCAGGGCAAGATTCATCTGTCATCCATGCACAACCGCCACCCCCACCATTATAACCAGGTTCAGCACGTCCCCGCGACTCGGCGATCCCGATGCTGGTGCTGATGCTGATGCTGATCGTGGGATTGCTTTCATTTCTTTTCTGCGGCGGCTACCTGCACCGCAGCTATAGCCAAACGAATAACAGTCTCGCGATGCGATAATCATGGTTTGCATATACTAACCGTATCTGCCAATCCGGGCAGAGCATCGTGCTCCGCCCCCCGTTCGCGTCTTCATATACGGTCTGCTGCGCCTTGTTTGTTCCTTGTTCCCTGTTTGCGATACGAATTGCGCGACTTTCCGCGTGGGATATTGTCTATTTATCGATTTCGTGATGGATGTGATAAGTGTCTCTGCTTGGGGCTGGATTGGGGTGATCTGGAAATACGACGGGTAGGTCAGTGCTGGGCGGATTCTGGGGTGCAGCTAACGCGGGATTGTATTGGTTCGAGGAACTGTGTAGAGGCACTCTTTTCTTACAGGTTCGTCCACGGCCCTGTTCTCGTTTAAGTTCTGTGATTGTACTCCCTGTAACTCGTAGCATGATTCACTCCAAAAAAGTGATTTTTATTCGGGAAATGAAAGGGAAAAAATGCAAGCTGGAAGTTGGCCATCACAGTCAAGGTAGGTAGCATACTATGTACTTTTTATTCCAAGTGAATACAGTTACAAGGGTGGCTATACATATATATTTTAAGCATAGGTATACATGTGCATACTTTAACATTTCAAGGCATTTAAGGTTGGCCACCTAGTATGTAGTAGTAGGCACTCAAAAGACCAGACCTTGCCAACTGTGACTTTTACCATGTGAAGCTACCAGTCTAGCTAGCGTCATTCAGGTACTTGCTCCTTGCCGAGTCTAATTCAAATCTAGACCACGAATATTAAGATCAAAGATTAAGATCAACCCGAGCACTACCTCTGCGACTTCACAATAACTCGGCTTACCTGTTAATGGCATCCCGGGCTATTTTCGAGCTGTATCTTGGCAGAAGTCAGATTAGTGCAGAATGCGGAGAGAGGCCGTTCGGTAAACCTTCCAGGTGGAGATGTGGATTTTTTTTTTTACTCTGGATCGGTAGGGGGGAAGCTTGAGAGAACAGAATCCGTTTAAATCTGGCAATAAGAAATAAAGGTTAATAGTGGGTTTCTTTTTTGGCGCTTTACTTAACAACTTAGTTACTACCTTGAGAGCTAAGCTCAACAATGACGTATGATTTTCGCTAAGTTGGATCAAACCTGCCGAGAAAGATGCGGAAAATGATGCAACGTTGGTGTACAAGGAAACTTCTCCGAGCACTACTGCAATACTCGAATCTGGGAAGAAAAATTCTCACTTGTTACAATCTTATTCTCTTCTTATTATATGATTATGAGGGCTTCTGAAATGACCTCCGCCTCAGGGGTATGTATATAGGTAAAATTATGGTCATATCGGCCTGTTTGCTCGGCTCTGCGACCCTGTGACCCTGCATGAACGGGGATTTTCTTCAGGTCGGTCACGATCCCTGTAGTCCCCGCGCTACAAACTAACTCCGGTCGGTCCAAAAAGACCGAAACGATGTTGGGTCTGTCGCAGGCAAGGAGTCGAGTTGACGGTGGACATTCCGAGACGGGATTTTTAATGTGGTTGCCATATCGTTCAATGGTCTCGGATGGCTACGCCTTGAATCGCAAATGCGACAGGGGGCAGAGATGGGTATCGGTTAGGTCAATGCAATGCACGCCTTTCAAGTCCCCGCCGGTCGAAGAAAGCTCTCGTCCCAGCTCCATTCTTTGAGTAGCTGCTGGACTCGGTACTCGGTGGCCCAGCCCAAATCAGCTTCGATAGCTCGCAGCAGCCGAATATTGACTCGACGTTCCCGCGGATCAGTCAGACACTGACCGCTGACGAAGAGTGGTTGCAATGAGTTGATGCGAACACCACCATCTGGACGACAGAGGCCGATCCCGACAATCTCCCGGCTGTGATAGCCAATCTCCGCCTCGATAGATCGATAGGACTGAAGTCGCAGAGTGATGGTGCTTCGCCGACTAGTGGATTCATGCGGCTTATTGATCAAGAGCAGGATACGGGCCATGTGGTAATGCTGCATGCTTGAGGCGCACATGGGAATACTATGCCATACTTCTTGCAAAGTGACGAGATCACTGGCTTCCTCAGGTGAGTAGCAATGTGATAGCCGGGAGGGCTGAACTCTCGCCGACGCTCCAAAGGTATCTGGCAGGCCCTTATACCAAGCATCTAACTCAGCCTCGAGTCTATACCACCGCTCGAGCAGAGCCTGCTGTGAAACCCCAAGTGGCCCACTGTCGACAGAGCTGCTGTCGTTCATGCCCAGGTTGTCTCCGGAACTAATGAAATTGACAATCTTTGACAGGATCCAAACAAGGGCATTACAGATGAGATCCTCTTTCATGAACTCTTCTCCATCGGCGTATCCTATGAGTGCCGTATTGCTCGGGCGCACGAATCCCATCTGGTCAAGTCGCACACCAGCTTCAGTCCAAAGCACCAGATCTTCAGTATTCAGTCTTGTGTGGCACTCGTTGATGACTGTGATCGTCAGCGGGGTTCAATGAAGCATTAACCATATTTGACTCACATGCAGCTAGGTAGTCCTGTCGCGCAAAATTCCAAAATGCAGCCTTGCGAGCTTTTGAGAGGGCAGACTTCCTCATTGTCCGATATGGACTGTCTCCATCTGATGATCGCGACTCCAGGGGCATGATCCCAACTTCAGCTACATCAAGCAGCGATTTTACACCACTCAAATGGCGATTCCATGCTGGACCTGTTGCATCTAGGAATTCGTATACTGACAAGATAGCCGTTGCTGCCAGTACCTCATCAGAGTGAACACCACGCGACAACCGGCTATTTGACATCCGCCTGCGGCGTTTACGAGAGCTCTGTGCATCTTCACACAGTTCAGCAGCTTGCCATTGTCCAAAAGCTTCCGGAGTGCTCAACGGTGGGGGGCCTTCTGCATCTGGTTGTAGCTCTTTCATGAGCAGCTGGATGGCCTTTTCATAATATTTGGCTCCATGCCAGGTGAAGTCGTCATCTTTGCCAGCCCACATTTCCATAGCAGCCTGTCGCGAGCAGACGCCACCCATCTTCGCTTTGGCACCCTTGACGCGACCTAATTGTTTTGCAGCATATGCACAAGCGGCGTATTTGAGAAGCGGATTTGATATTGCTCGGACTGGAACATAAGATGCGAAATATGTGCCCAAGTCAAACAGGTCCATCCTAGAGAAGGTTAACGGAATGGACTTTATCCAAGGGATTCGAGGGTAATTCCATACCAAAGTCCGGGTCCTTCTGAATAATGACGCAGGAGGAAAGCCGCCTCAAAGTCGGTTTCGGCATTGTTTTCTAATTGATGATCGATTGGCACTCGGGATATAGCAGGTCTCGATGGGAGCGAAGCGCTTCTGTGATCGGGGTGAAGGGATGTGGAGTCGATCGATGGCGACAAGGAATGGGATGGGTTGAGGAGGAAGTTGATGTTGGTGTTGGTGTTATTACTGCTGGCCGATAAGGAAATGGATGGGGATGTAGGAGGGGGCATGGCACTGCCTCGCGATCGGCTCGGGGAAGGGTAGGAAACGCTGTCTGAGACGGATGGGTGGTCCAAGGGGGAATAGGGAAAGCGATCGTGGCTTGCAACTGCCGACAAGGCCTCCAGACCATGCTGTTCAACATCGCTTGCCCTTGATCCACTGCCCCATCGTTGGTTGCGCGACTGGGCCAAGGCCATGGCACTGGATTCGGCTAGCGAGGTCTCCATGTCATCGGCGTACGGGTCGGAGTTGTCAACGAAAACGACTGAAATCGATCAACAAAATATCCTTCTCTGACTTGATTCTTTTTTTTCTTCCAATCATACCATGCTTTGGAACATCCAACCAGACACTGTCTTTATCGAAAGTGTTTTTGTACGAATAGAAGCCATTAAGGTTGCCACGGCCTTCGGGCGACGCTGCATTTTCATTGTTCATAGACGCGTTTTGTTGATGGCGAAAGACGATACCTTCGCTGGGTCGACATTCTCGACCACCTTTGCGACACTGTGAGCATTTGGGCTTTTGTTCGTCGCCTGCAATTCAGTTAGTCGGGGAAGGGAAAGGTCAGGGCGGCGCGAAGGGATGGGGTACATTTGAGCTTTCGAGTTCGGCATGTCAAACTATGTGGCGTTAGTGAGATGCAGCAGATAGAGTAGGTGAAACCTACCAGCCAGTTCTAGAGCGCATGCCGGGCGTAGCAGGCGCATGTGTGGGGGGAGATTAGGCCATTACCAGAATGATTTCTTAACCCCGGAGGAAAAACGAAACCTGGAGTTCACTTGCGGGGAGACCAGGTGACCGGGGATCACGGCCCCCACAGCTTTTCGAACTTCAAAACTTCCACTTGTTTTGTTTTTACCCTTTTTTGCCCCTTTGGCCCTGTTTTAATATTTCTGTTGGACATTCAACTTCGTCATAGTGCATTCTGTATAAGAGCCCGACTATTACAAATCCCTCCCTATATCGGTGAGCTTTTATATCGTCGAATGTTGCAGTGGTCGGTCTTCTTTGCGACCGCACAGACAAAACACTGCACAGCCCCCTCAACCAAAAGCACCGCGGAGTTATGGAGACATGAGATGATGAGCTTCATTTCTGATGATTTTGTCAGGTTGAAAATGCTAATTTCTCTGTTTTTAAGCCGCAGACCACTTATCATATACCCCAGAATCAACAATAAGAGCATACCTGGCGATCGCGATCTGACCCACCTATCTCTTAACTTCCTGTACCTGATGGTCCAAGTACCCACATAGGTACATGGTTTTAGACCATCGATTTGTTCTCGAAATGATCCCAAGTGGGTCATGAAGAGGATTTGTTATAGAATCAGATCGATCTACTCCCAAGCTTGGAGAGACAATTTTGTACTCAAGTGTTGCATTTGAAGATCCGGCCGATATAGAAGTCAATTCATCATTGCGATGCAGCTTTATACCAACCAACGGAACCTCGAAGAAAAGGGCCAAAAACTTGAGGCTGACTACATGGCTAGGCTTACATGCTCATGCCAGCACCTATTAAATATTGGTTCCAACAGATTTTCCCGGTTCAACCCTCATACAGTAACATGGATATGGACTCTACGTTGTAAGATATCAGCTATATTTTGCCCGTTCGATCGGGCAACAGTGCTCCTGGATTTCCGTCGCGCATGTATGATGAACTTTAAGAATATAGTGTTATCTGGAAGCTTGGAACGATTTGACATTTGGAATGTCGATAAATTGAACCATTCAAGTATACGGAACCTGTGTTTTGAATATCTTCCACCTTGGAAGATGCCATATTACAAGGTTCCTGGGGCCATTCAAGCCACGTTTGGGCGTCGTAGTACCTTGTATAGTACAAGTTCGGATCGATCCTCTAATCTATCAACTCCAAACCGAAACCATTTCCAACATTTGAGTATCCTCAACTTGAAACCCCTTTGAAAGCATTTACCCACTGTTAGGCACTTTACTTCAAAGTACTTGGTGGGGCTAGTCGCCGCTTTACTCCAAGACTAAGTTAATTCTCCCCCAGCGTACAACTCAGTCTGGGAACTAACCTCCAAAGAGCCTTAGCTCTGACTTCTAAAGCTTCTTCCTTCAACGGGCCGTTTGTGGCAACTTACTAGTTCCTCTCGCCTATCCTCCCTGATACTTGAGTTTTTGGCTCTGATCATCTTCGACGGCTTCTCCGCACAGTCTTAGCTCGGTATTAAACAGATCCAGATGACGTTGTGGCTAGGCAGAGCCAAGCGTCAAGGGTCAAGCTTGGTCAAGGGCCAAGTTGGCCAAGATCAAGGGCTTATGTTTATTCTGGTGGTGGCGTTAAGGGATCTGTGTGCTTATTTCCAGGGTCAAATAACTTGATCTTCTTCTTTTCTTCTCGGGAGTAGTCGGGCTTTAAATGCATGGATGCTTAAGATTTACCTACGATAGGACCGACGTCTGCGTTCTTTTCAAAGTTCTTTTACACCTGCTTTGCATAAGCCGCCAAGATTCAAATGTTGGTATTGCGCCTGCATATATGGCTTATGCCTCAAAAGATACACAGATCGTCGGGGCCTAGCCATGGCTGACCGACTTTTCTGTCAAGTATGCAGTAAGATCGGAAGACTAGCTACTTGAGTCACTGACACTGGCTTTGACGATTTGGATTTGGATTTGGATTTGGATTTGCTTCTACAGCATACTACGTACTCAAATCTTGATAGATCGTCAGTAATAAACTTCGGAGGTCAAATTTAAACAACCCAAGGTCCTCCGTAGAATATCCGTACAAGCGGAGTACAGACACACCCCAAGTCCCCGCCCACAATCCCGATGATAATCCACCCACATTCCCCTCTCGGAATGACGGCTGAGTGCCGACAGATGCATTTATCCCGCAGGTTCTCGGAGTTTTTTCCTTCGTCGATCATGTACAGATTTGGGCTCTTGACCACCGCGCATACGTATGCCCAGCCAAGTCGCGTGGCTCGACAAGATCCATCGTGAATGGGGGCATATACCTTATACCCAAAAAAAAAAAAAAAAAAAAAAACCCACATGGCATTTTAGCCTTGGACCTGGAGTAAACGGTTGACTGACGGCAGTGGCTGAAGATAGATATTGTGATCATTGGATGGTTCTGGTTTTGCAGGTTGGTTGTGCCGTTGAGTATCCATGGAACACGTTTGCCCCTGGGGAGAGTCCGGGGCGAGGGGGGGAATGACTGTTTTTCAAGGCTACGGAATCTATCCGATGTCGTGGGGGTTTTTTTACAAACGAAAATGGTGGAGAAGGGAAAATGGGTTAGTAGTGAAACTGGCTGTGGGGCCAGTTTTGCATTTCTCTTAAAAAAAAAAGTAGTGACTATCTAGCAAAAGACAGAACGGTGATATCTAGAAAAAGAAATAAGATATAAAATAAGGGGGAATATCTGACAAAAGTGGCGATTAACCACTTGCACATTGACATAAGACACAAGAAAGAAAGGGAATAAATAATAAGAAATGAGCCATCAATGCACTCTATAAATCATATCAGAGCGGGTCGTGACCTCATGCTTTCCGTCTCCAGGATAGAAATGCAGGAAGCAAAGGGGCCCCGAATGTACATGCCCCATCATCAACAAAATTACTCAGAGTGAGTGTTCTTCTCCTTTTCACTCTCGCTGCTCAGATCGGCCTTCTCGCTGTCACGCTCGACGTGGTGTCCGGGGACGTCCAGACCAAGCTCTCTCTGCATCTCACCAATCTGCTCAACGGTGAGCTTGGGAAGCTCGTTGGCGACTTGGAAAGCCCATTTGCCCTCGATGTGAGCCTTGGCGAAGATAATGTCAACCTCCTCCAGATCACGACCGGCGGTCTCGGGGTAGAAGTAGTAGGCGAAGGGGAAGGCAGTGAAGTTAACCAGAGCGAAGAAGAGGTAGATACCCCAAGGACTGGTGGTGGAGAACACCGGGGTGAACATGACGACGGCGAAGTTGCAAATCCAGTTGGTGCAGGTCGAGGCGGAGGCAGCCATGGTACGGGTGCGGAGAGGGTTGATCTCGGGAGGGTAAATCCAGGGCAGAGGCAGCGTAGTAAACGCGAAGAAGCAGATGAACAAGAAGATACCAACGACGGCACCCTTCACATTGGAGTTGGTGGGATCGATCAGACAGGCCATGGTGATAATGAATGAAAGACCCTGACCGGCGAAACCAATCAAGAAGAGCTTACGACGACCAACACGCTCAATCATGAAGAAGGAGGGGATGGTAGAAAGAGCGTAAACGGTAGCAAAGACACCACCCAGAATCAAGGGGAGTTTTCCGGTCATGTGCAAATCATTCTGGAAGAGCAGAGTGGAGTAGTAGATGGCAGCGTTGCAACCAGTGAATTGCTGGAAGAACTGGCCAGAGCAACCAATCATCATACGCTGGAATTCCTGGGTCTTGCCGCATGTGAAGAGGGTCTTCCAGTTAGCCTTGTTACCCTCCATAGAGACCAGATCGGCCTTCATCAGGGCAATGTCGGTAAGCACATCCTCTCCGTCAGGGGTACTATCGTGGAGAGCAGCCAAAACCTCACAGGCCTCCTGTTCTTTGCCCTGGATGATGAACCAACGAGGAGACTCGGGGAGCAGCACGGCACCAATGATGACCAGTGCGGCAAACAGGATCTGGAAGGCAATGGGGAACCGCCAAGAAACGGAGGAGTCGACGTAGGAGAGACCGAAATCAAGCCAGTAGGCAATGAAGGTACCGACAGCGATAATGGCACCCTCGAAGCAGACGAGGAAACCACGGTTGTGGGCCTTGGAACACTCGGACTGCCAGACGGGGATGGTCGCGGTGTCTGCACCGTTTCCGAGACCGGAAATGACACGACCGATCACGAACTGGCCCAGACCCCATTGAGGACCGAACGAAGCCACGGAGATGACGGTTCCCAGAATCATGAGAGAACCACCGGCAACCAAGATAGGAGTACGTCCGATGCGCTCGCCGTACATGAGAGTGAAGATAGCACCGAAGAAACAACCAAGTTCATAGCAAGAGGTTACAGCACCACGGAGGACCGAGGTGTAAGCACTATCGCCAGCGAGAGGAGGGAACTCTTTATCGAATTCGGTACCGGAAATGATACCGGACATCAAGCCCTGGTCATAACCGAAGAGAGAGAAACCGACGACGGAAGTAAAGGTAATGGCCCAGTGGAGGTGCTTGCCTCGCAAGCCAGTTGTGGAAGTCCACATGTTGAGTTGACCTCTACCTAGAGTGTTGTAACTTTAGGGAGGATATAAAAGAGAAGAGACAACGATACACAAAAAGAAGGAAGCTCGGACACTGGGGATGGGGGGACATTGGGGTCTTTATGTACTCCGTATGTTTCTCATTCGGGATGTCGGGGGAGACCCATTCCCACGCGACTCCACTGCTGGTACATGGGTACACTGGTACCGTAGCGCCAAGGGAGACGAAAAAGAAAAAGAAAAAGAAAAGAAAAAATAGATAATAAAAAAACAAAAAGGTGACGTCGTATGGAGAGTGCGCTCTAGGCAAGTCGCGCGAGTCCGGGAAGGATCAGAGGGCATAAGCGGCTGAGATTGCGGTTCACCAGGTATGCGCAAGTCGTGCGATTCGCCAAGAAGGGCCAAGCGGGCTAGTGTCTTTTGAGTTTTCGGTTTGGGGGCGCCACATACGTGTGATGCCGCATTCGGGGAAGGGAACGTGGCGCCATGGGGGAATTGCTTGCCAAGAGGAAGTGTATGGGACTGTCATCTATGGAGATTTTGATTTGGACCGATGGTTCACCTTAGCGCCACTTGGGAGGCCAAAAAGTTGAATGGTTATTTTTCCCCCTTGGATTTGGATTGTTATTCGCCATGTTGCCATTTGGAGTATTCAGGCACAAGAGACCCTTTCAATTTCTGGGGAAAGGACAAGGCGTTAATTTGACTCGCGGAGAGCGGGTGGAGGATCAACCTTAAAAATTGCCACAAAGAGAAGCTGCTCCGACCACGGATGCGGTCTAGTGGCTTCAGGGTCTGAGTTTTTCAACATCTGCCATCCAATCAGATCGCTTTCCTTTTTCGTTCAAGTGCAACCGAAAAATAAATAAAAAATAAAAATTTAAAATAAACAAAAACTTCAACATCCGTGACACTCGTTTCAGTTGCCTATTCGTCTTTGGCCCCCGAAAATGACCGTGTTTCCGAGCCCCGACGGCCGGGGGAAGTCACTGACTCACGGTCCACCCGACCCGTTCAAGGCATCTTATAGGCCCCGACTTGTCTCTTCCCCAACTCTCCCCGCGGGGGTTTCCGATACGGGATTACGTTGGAGGCGTTGATAGACCTGATCTCAGGGTATGTCTATACCTTCCCCACGAATCAACAAGTACAGAGACTCGTTCTGAGATCTCTTCCCCCTCGGCCCTAATGCAGGAATCTATAACCCCTATTAATAATTCTCATATACATTGATCATCTCCATCCAAAACCCACATCTGCAATGTTACGTGATGCTAACTGGCTATTGGGTAGTGGAGCGGAACCTTGATCCCGATGCTCTCTTCTAATTAGCCGTTCGCTTAATTAACATGTCAAGCCGTGGGTACGTTGAAAATTAAATAAAAATTAAAAAATTAAAACCACTAATAAAAAAAAACTCTCAAACATTCAAGATCCCGAAAATACTATCGGGAAAAGAACCAAGGCCGAAATGTTGCTTAACTGCCCGCTTTGACGGGTGGCGTCCGTAGAGTTTGACAGAGAAACATTCCCGGTTGTGGCAGACTATCATCCACGGTTGCTTTGATACGCCTCTGCCTAACTACGTAGGTTACCTGAGCGCCAAACGGATAGAATGCATTGTTAAGGATTTTTTTTCATCTATTGTCTAACGTACTTCGGTTGGAACCGGGAAGAAGAAGAAAAAATTGTTGTTGAGGTTCAAGAGCGGCCCCATCTAAAGCCCAGCGGTGTGGACCGCAATACAAATTACCGCTCTTTAAGCTCTTGGCAACACAACTGGCAGAAGAGGCATTTTATTACTGTTCTTGGCAGACGCACTGGAAGATCGATTATGAAGGCAACGGCATTCAGCATAGCAAGTACCGAGTCCCGAATCCGAGGCCCAGTAAGGTCCCATATCCCGTTTCCCGGAGTATAGTTAACTTACTATAGTAAAGGATTACAATTCTTTTAATATCGCAGAGCCATACCTTACGGCTTGCTATGTAGCTACCAGTAGGTCACATGCTGACTACCACCAAGCACACTTTACGCCACATCTTATAGTATACAGCAATGCACCTTGCAGTCTACTACTGTACTGTCCGACACAATCCAAGACCATACCAAAATAGTATCAAATTTCCAAAAAGCTTCCAATGACAAGCAAATATCTCCGAAACCCATCAACATCAAGCCTATCAAGACAAAGGAATCCTCATCCGCCAAACTCTAAGAACGTGCGGGGATCCCCATATCAACAAGGATTCAATCTTGAATGGAATCATGTCCCGCGCGAGCGCGTCACCAGATCCGCTATACCTTCATCAATCACAATAACAGTATGTCATAGGGCCATAGCTCCTGATTAACTACACTACTGTACAGCCTAGACTGTATCCTCCATAGCCTCAACAACGACTCCACGCAAGACCCCACGTAAACAAACCACCCCGGACCCCTACCGCTGAACAAATCAAATGCCAGGCCCGATCCAACTCCATGCACAAGCCACATACCCGATCCTTCTAGTGCAGGTCAGTTGATGAATTGGCTTCGTCGCCGCTTCGTTTGTGCATGTTCAGTGCTAGCTTGAGCCTGTGTACGTACTACGGAGTACATACAAATAGCAAGTCTATCGGGGCGTATCGTCACATGGCAAATGCTTGACTACTAGCCTTTGCTTTTGGGCCTTTTTTTTTTTGCTTATTTTTATTTTTAATGTCCGTGTGATGAGGGAGAGGGGAATTGCGTTTCCTACCACTCGGCTTGCATGTGGTCCAGGCTTGTTAGGGCAGGTTATGCGCTCGGCTGCTTGCGGACATTGGACGTGCTCAGTTCTGCTTGCGGCAATGCGAGGTGCTAAAGCGGCGTGGGGTGGGGGCCTAATGCGGAGAATCCTGTTCCGCCAGTCGGAACTTTCATATATGTATGTTTTTTTTTGTCTTAATCTTGGGAATATCATGCATTATTATTTTATACCCTAGAGCCTGCAGGACTGAAAGTGAAACGGAGAAAAAGAAGAGCGAGAAGGACTCGGGGACTAATCTGGGGATTGAATCCGGGGCTAGGTGTGCGAGGCGCACCACATGTGCAGGGGTGGGGGAAGCAATGTGATGTTCAGCTTACACCTTCGAGCCATTAACCCGGTAGCAAACATCAAGCAGGGTGGTACGCAAATTCAAAAGTTGTTGATCCAAAAATTTGTCCTTAGCCTGGCCGATCCAAGCCCAATTTTGAACTTTGACACTGGAATCATGACTGGTTCCAAGGTTCGAGGGATCCCAGGTGCTTCGATTCTTCCAGACTGTGCTACATGAAAGCGTATGTGAAAGATTGGATTTGCGTTGAGCTAAACATGCATGGGTAGATCATTGTATTATCCACGTCCCCAGGACGGAACGCTAAGTTACATACAAATGTGACACATATGCACAAGGGAATACCGAGGGGTTGAGAGATAATGAGGCCACAATCAGCCACCAAAAAAAAAAGCCAGGTAAGATAATCGCGGGAAAAAACCAGCGCGAAATGAGAAAAAGAAGAAGAGGTGTGGCGCTAGCAAATCAAACATTAAGGAAGGATGGGTATAGCAACGTTGCTTCCGAAGAAGTTAGCAATAAAAAAAGAACTCTAATCTCACACAATACGGTGAGTAGATTTTGTGCAAATGAAAAAAGAGAGATTAGATGGCCGGGGCGGTCGGGTTCGCTTGCCCGATGGAATTGAAAAGATACTCGGGCGGTACGCGCTGCATGTCAGATGGTCGGTCGGTACCAAACGATTGCGGGGCTGCAGAGTAGCCTTGGCGACGACGCTGGATCTTGTTCATGATCACACCGGCTGCGACAATAAGGAAGACGCAGCCAAGTGCACAGCAGAATGCCACCAGAACCACAATGCCATTGGAATGATGGCTCGCTTAAGGTTGAGTCAGCAAGAAGGTTCAGATGGGGGGGAAAAAATGGAAAAAATGGGTTTACTCACATGTGGTGTCATAGGGATTCTGGTTCTCAGAAAACAGCTGCGACATGCTTCCAGGTTGGCCATCATATGTAGAGGAAAGGATGAAAGGGGTGACGGTGGTTCCGTTGTACAGAGCAGCAGACGCGTTACCGAAGTTGGGAATGATGAGTTGGCCCATCAGCAATAGCGTCTGGTCGTCATTCAAAAGTTCAACAGATTTGTGATTTTGGTTCAGGGGGAGAACTTCCATGCCGCGAATGACAGTGCCCTCGGAGAACAAGTTACCGGGAGATTGGAACTTGGTGCCATCGTAGTTCAGGAAATAGGCAGAGCCATTGGTCGATGTGCCAGCAATCCAGAATGTCGAAACGTCCTCAGCGGCCGGTGTGAATGCAGTAAGCTCACCGGGGATCTCGGACTGGTTTGCACCTGTCACAGAAGTCCAGGCCTCAGTCTTTACGTTAAAGGTGGCGACGAAGGTGCTGATTCCCGAAACTGTGAGATTGCCCGCAGCATATAAGATGTTAGAGCTAGCCCAGCTAAGGGCAATCGCATTACCACCAATACTAACGCCGGGCCAACTCCAGGAGTTGAGGGAGGAATCCAAAGCGCAAACAGTTTCGCAAGGCAAGGAACCGGCAGTATCAAAGTTGCCGCCAATGTAAACTTCCGATGAGTCCGGTCGAACAGCAATGGCGTTGACAGACACATTAGACCCATGAAGCTCCCAGGGTTGAGATAAGAATTTCTTGCCAGCCAAGTCGTAAGTGAAGAAACCGTTGATCGACGAACCACTGATAGTACCAGTGACATTGCCACCAGCAAAAAGTGTGTTGTTGTAAACTGCCATAGAGCGGACGGTCGAGTTGGTATCAACACCTTGAGGCAGGCCATAGATGGAGTCGGTTCCATTTAGGATAGCAACAGTTGAAATTGTGGAGCCGTCGGTGGCGGTGGCATTGAATTGACCACCGAACAGAGTTTGGTTGCGACTAGACTCCGTATCGTACACACCAGTAACTAATCCAATACCTGATCCAGTTTGGTTAATGTTCATAGTCAAAGGAAGCAGGCTGAGATCGTCGTCAGAGTTTTGCAGCCACACTGAGTCGGAGGCAGTATATCCATCAGTGGCCAAGCTGCCAGCAAGGATGGATGTCTCGTTCACTGATGCAACCGCAGAGAGCTGACCAGCAAACTCCATTTGAGTGACATTGAGGCTCTGGAGCCAGGTTTGGTTTGACGGAAGCCAGATGGCAAAGCCGGGGACACTGATTGCGGAGTCACCGCCAGATGCGCGAATCTCATCGAAATCGCCACTGACGGCAATGGTTGTCTCGTTGACAGAGGAAGACACATTCAGATCAATCGCATAGATACTCGAAACGGGACCGTTCAGGCCAGCTCCTAGGGCAGACCACTTCTTCGTTGAGAAGGAGTAGGCCGCAACATGGTAAAGGCCATCGACACCACCGTCAGAGGTGTCTGTGAAGTTACCACCAACGTACAAAAACTTGTCGAGAGTAGCCATAGTTTGAACTTCGGCGTTTAAACCTCCTCCTGGCATTGCAGTGGCGTTGCCATCGGTGATGGACATGACATAGCTGATGCTGCTGTCGGAAAAGTTACCACCGGCGTAAATAATGCCGTCGTATTCGGCCAAACTAAGGATTGAAGCATCCTTGTTAAGTGATGTTCCAGCAGTGTTGATATCGGATGTTTCGGTATCGGTCGAGGTCGAAGTGGGATCATAATCGTACAGTCCGTTCAAATCTTCAGCTGTCGAGTCCGAGTCCGAGTCCGAGTCCGAGTCAGAGCTTGATTCTGATTCGGAAGCCTTCGTTGTGTTGAAGAGCGGGATAAACTTAACGCGCCACGCCACAACATTGATGTCTCCTTGGTCAACAATCGGTTGGATAGTAACGCTGGGGCGGAACGAATCGCTGGCTTTGTCAACATGTCCAGAGTATAAGATGTCATACTTGTCGTCGTCGTTTGTCTGGTAAATGGTCGTGGGGGACGGGTTGGATGAATCGGTACCACTAGCTACGGTGGCTGTGACGTTCACCATGCCACGGGAAGAGCAACTATCGTTGTCAGAACATCCAGGGGTGTAAAGATTAATTTGGTATTTTCCAGATTCTTTCACATCAGGCTGGAAGACAACGGAAGCGTCAGTGTCGTTGGCATTAGTGACTTGGGTAGACAGATAAGTCGAATCAACGTCCCAGGTGCCGGTCACGATCGACTTGGATGGGTATTCAATACCGGCGCAAGTAGGCTCGTTAAATGTGTCGACAGCGTAAGAGTAGATGGTGTCTTGATAAATCTCAATTCCATTCAATCCAGCACCTTCGCCGTACCAATCCAAAACTTCGATCTGGAGTCCGGTCATGCCCACCGGGTCGACAAGGGTGAAGTCACGATATTTTTCGCTGGTGCTGTTGGACAAGGGACACTCTTGGTCGCAGTAAGCTGCATTACCCGCGGAGTCCGTATAAGTCATATTCATGATTCCATCATCGGGTAAAGCGCGGAACAAAAAGGTCTTGGTACCACGACCATCCAGATGGGTGTTGTAGAGGCGAACTTTGGATGGGTTGGCGGTGAAACCAAGCTCGGCGCGCCAGTATCCAGGTGAGTAGTCGTAAAGCAGCCAAGTTTTACCCTTAGCTGCCACGCCGCTTGTGGAGCAAATAATGTTTTCAGGACTTTCGTATCCAGTCATGGAAGATGTGGCATCGGAGGTGATGGTTGCATTCTGCAAGTTCAAAACCTGTGGACCATATGTAGTATTCGATGAGCTTGATGAGTTGCCTGTTCCATCAAATGTTCCTCCAAAGATGATGTGGCCGTTTTGTGCTTTCAGGATCGATTTCACAGGACCATTCAGGCCTTCAAATGCGAGATCAGTCCAGCCATTGTCGGGACTCCAGGCGATCGCGTTCGAGCTATTCTTGTGATCAAAGGTTCCTCCGACGTAAACTCGATTTGTGCTCTGGTCGCATGCCACGGCTGACACTGAACCATTCAATCCTGGCAAGGCTGTAACAGTGCTGGTGTTCGGGTTGAACAAGGCCGCACCTCGCGATTCCACACCACCTAACGTCGTAAAGTTTCCTCCAACAAAAATTCCAGCAAAAGTTCCGTCTTTCTTCGTAAAGGCACACATGGCCTGGATCTGGGCGTCGGCAGTTGAGAGGTTCGTGAGAATTCCATTGGGGAGGGGTGTCAGGATTGATGAAGAGCCGTTGGTTAGAGTGACCTCGGATTGGCCTTCATATTCGTACAAAGAGACGCCATCAAAGTTACCGCTGATGGAGACCCGCCCTAAAGAGGACAGGTCCAAGTCGGGGAGTGAGATGGTTTCGAATGACAAGGCTTGTGCGGTCGGCAGTAGTGACAATAGGGTCGACAGGCCGGCCGCCGCGGACCCAAACAATGAGGATCTCATTGTTTAGAGGGTGCGACGACGGGGAGGTGGGTTGGTTTCAATAGAGTATTGGCGTGGGAGGGGGGGGGGGGGGAAGGAGAAGCAATGTGAGCAGTCCAAAAAGGTTTTAAGGCAGCAATTCAGGAGCAACGCGTAGAAATGAAAGAAAAGAATGTGGCATGAGATCAAAAAAAAAGACCAATTTAGAAGCAAAAGAATGTGGGATGCATATTGAGACCGAAGTCTCCTGCAGAAAAAGAAGAAATCAACGAATGACTGAGGGTTGTTAGGGAAAGGAAGAACTCGAGCAGGGGAAATGGACTTCAAGGTTCAAACGAGAAATGAATACGGGGATTTACGCAAAATACTGATAATACTCGGGATAACTGATAATATCCAAAATACACTGCCAGTTTGTTTGATACATACCATACGGATACCATTGGTGCTACTCAAGGGGGGAAACAGCTAGTAAGGGAGTGGATCCACTAATCTTAGTCTTGCAGCCAATCAGAGTCTCGGAATCCCAGCCTCCCGTCCCAGCTGCGGGTCTCCGCTGATGTTATCTCGGTCATACACACTCATACTGGATCACCTTTTATACAGAGTAATTTCCAAATATTATACAAGGTAAGCTACAAAGTCGTCTCTGGGTCACATTGCCCCCTATTTATTATTTACAGCAATAAGAGGAAGAGCAATGACCACAGAATAATAAGGATAAAAATTTATAAAAAAAAAAAACAAACCCTCGAATTCCAATTACGTCGGGATGACGGCTGGTTCATGAATAACATGAGGATCGACAGTCAATTCTGCCATCCTGGTTCGCCCCCAGACTGGGATCTGCCCGGCATCCCTACCGTAAACTATTAAACTATATTCGTGAGCATCAAAAACTTAGGTTCAAATGTTGTAAAACCCATTTTCATGAAATATCTTAGTTTGTCGTACGAACTCCGATCACAATATGAGTATCAAGTCTCCATCTGCACAGCCTTCTAGCTCCGATACAGAGTGGGTCGAAAATAAACCGTCGCAGAACAAGATCGAAACACACGCCAATATTCTTTAAATATAGAAAACAGAGGCCCACGAGTGGATCTAACGGTGTACGCAGTGCATACGCAGGCTTCTGAAGAAATTCCGCTTTTACTACCGAGTACATAGTCCACATGCATACGAAGGTCATCATGCACATCAGGTACATACTTCCAGTGCCTCACGCTTCAACCCAGCATTACTTCCTCGGTCCTGCTGTTATGAATCACATGTGCATGCTTGCATGACCTAAACCTTTAAAGCATTCGAAATTTTGCTGGGCTATTCAAATTTGGGGTCCAAGCTTCACGATAAATAGCTGAGCCGGGACTTTTCAATTTTGCATCGAAATGTTTTGTCTTGGTAATCATATATAATCATGAATCCGTGTCGTTATGGAATATCAGAACCTTGGAATCAATGCCGTGTTTATGCTAGTCTAGTATGCATCGTAAATGCTAATACATAGTAAATTCTATATTCAATGCCCGATTCTTCATCTATTCTTTCCGCTTCAAGACTGCAACCAAACCCCATCTCCTCCGATTGTCTATGCTATCACCTTCCCGCTTGGGATCCCACTCCCTCCGGATTTCCCTGCCATCCTCGTGACACTCAACGAGATCCCGCTCAAAGATTTGCTCAATCTCCAACCCGCTCTCAACAGCCAGATCAAGGAATCCAGCAACAACCTCACGGCCCGTATAGAATCCAGTCACCACCGCCCATACTTTGCCTCCGAGTGCCAAAAACCAATTCATGGTGCGCACGAGGTTCTCGTGCTGCCAGGGCATCCAGACACAGTCGGCAGCAATCATTCGTGTGAATCCGCCCTTGTTTTGTTCAGCAAATGGGCCTTCCAGATTACCCCATTCATGTGGTTGAATTGACAGCTCTGTCGATGGGGTCGTTGTGTGTTTCTCAGATTATGGCTCATATTGTACGCGATTGAGCCTGCGAGCGCGGGCGATGACGGGTGATCGGTACTTGTAACTTTGGATGCCTTGGCGAGGGCACATATGAGTGAAGGGAGAGCGGCGCCTAAACGACCATTATCAGTCAGTTCCTCAAGCTTTCCCTGGGTAGAGATGCAGGGCTCTCCATCTTCAAATTTAGAGAGGTCACTTACCGGCGCCGAGTTCTAACACGGTTTCTCCTTTCACAGCCCAAAGGTCAAGGATTTCTCTTTTTGAACATCGGAGACTTCTGTGCCTTTTGTTTGGAGAATGTCTGCATTCTCCACACCTTCTGCGACCACCAACGCCGCGCTCCAAAGGATATGCGCAAATGGTTTGCGACTAGCCTCGACCTGGTTTGTGCTATCTTCCTTTTTATCTTCTTCTTGTCCAGTCACACTCTCCGTGGACTTGTCGCTCTGCTCGGGGTAGGACGGGATGACAATCTGCAGGTCGCCATAGTGCGGGGAGGAGTAGAGAATGTGCTGGCCGGGGTCTCTGTGCCAAGCAGCGGTATCATCGGGGAAGAGGTGTCCGAGAAAGCTTTCAAACAAATCTTCGGGGTCCTCATCTAGCTCGGAGCCCTCGCCCTCATGCTGGAAATCAGGTACAGGACCAGCTGTTGCGGCTCTTGTTGCGGCGGGGTAGTGGCCGCAAACGTGATTTTAACATATTGCCTCTAATATGGATTTTTATTTCGGTATGTTTGTGTTTGTGCTCACTGCTAGGGTCTAGGTTTAGATCGGGTTCTTCCTGGTGGGTGTTTGTCGCACTCTTGCCTTCAATCCATCACTTTAGTGAAGACTCATCTTGGGGATATTACGTATTTTGTGATTTTAAAAAAGACGGGTTTGCATTGTTTCGTACTACTGATCACTGATGGTGGTGGATCTCAGATTCCTCTGGTTGTGTTTTCCTACCGAAATTTCATTGGATCTTACTTAGGCAGGAAAATAAAGTTGGCCAATCATGTCATGGCATGGCACCTGTACATCTCGTATTTATTGATTCTAAAATTCCTGTAAAGTGTTCGTGCGTTCTTTGATGAATATTTTTTATTTAAGAGGAATATATCTCTGGCTCATCAAATAATTTCATATACTATGTACCTATCAGTTATGAATTCCTCGGGCTGGAGCAAAGTGGAATCCACATGTGCATGCTGTGGTCTGTCGCCTATATTGAAACCCACCTGCTGTATTATTCTGTCGGAAAGATAAGACTAAAAAATCCAAATATGGAGATATGGGGGTCCATATTACTCCAAGCACTTGAGTGGCTGAGCCTGCCCAGGTGGTGGGCAGTTTTAGTGGTCTTTGCAGTTTACTAAGCCCTGGCCCTGGGTAACATTGGATGCAGCTATATATAATAGTACTTTAGATACAGCCATGGAGGCGTGCACATGTCCACGGATACATGTGTAAGCTTAACTGGTACATACTAATTATATACAGTATCCACCATATAATCTCTAGCGTTGAACTACATATATGAGAGTAATTTTTAATTGCCGGTTATTCATATTCTTTACAGGTATTATTTTCGTATCAAAAATTCAATGTTATTACTCCTGGAGGTCAGATCAATTGATGTGGGAGAGTTTATTGTTCGGATATTGACCGCCTCAGGCACCAACACTAGTCCTGATTTGGGATGAAGTGGTCCTTTCTGCGCGCGCGACAACGCGAGACTACGAGAAATTCTGAGAGCTATCAAACCTCCTCCCCACACCTCTTATCCCCCCTACCTCCACACCTACCAGGCATCATTTTTTAGATCAATTCTCCCGTTTCAAATTTACGCAGACATCAAAGTCCTTAGGACCTCTCCAATATGTACATCACCCCCCTGTGGTAATTCCCGAGCGTTTCAGCGCTGACCATCTTTCAGGGAGAGCTTTGACAACATTTACCTCGACCTATCCAACAATGCCGGCAAGTGCAAGTTGGCGGAAAGTGGTCTAGGATGGCGCCCTGCTGGCGGAGGCGACACCTTCACCTTGGACAGCAGCAACATCGGTGGCGCCCAGTGGAGTCGCGCGGCGAAAGGGTTTGAGTTGAGAATCCTGTCGCGATCATCCGGCGTGATCCAACTCGATGGATTTGACCAGGAGGTATGGGCGGAGGTACCATCAAATTGGTGATAGAGCTGTACTGACGCATTGTATTATAGGACTTCGAACGATTGTCCAAGGCTTTTAAGATCTGGTACGGCATCAACGTTGAGAACCGCGAACACGCCCTGCGAGGATGGAACTGGGGAAAGGCGGAGTTCACAAAGGCCGAGCTTTCCTTTAGCGTACAGAACCGACCCGCCTTTGAGGTTCCATACTCCGAAATCTCCAACACCAACCTAGCTGGAAAGAACGAGGTGGCAGTGGAGTTTGCACTCTCCGCTACGGATGCGAACGGTACCAATTCCCAGCCTGCTGGAAGCACCAAAAACCGCGGTCGCAAGGCTGCCGCAGGACCGGACGAATTGGTTGAAATGCGATTCTACATTCCTGGTACCGTTTCAAAGAAAGAGAAGACCGAAGATGGCGAGGGCGACGACGAGAACGAAGAGGACGTGGAGGAACAGAACGCCGCAAACCTCTTCTACGAGACTCTTATGGACAAAGCTGAGATTGGCGATGTGGCTGGTGACACATTTGCGACCTTCTTGGACGTCTTGCATCTTACTCCTCGGTCGGTCCTCTCCCTTCTATCTTGTGAATCTTCTGCTAATTATCTTTCAGTGGTCGTTTCGATATTGACATGTACGAATCATCCTTCCGGCTCCGCGGAAAGACATACGATTACAAGATCCAGTACACCGCCATCAAAAAGTTCTTCTTGCTCCCTAAGACTGATGAGACCCACACACTCATTGTGTTGGGTCTTGACCCGCCACTGCGCCAGGGTCAAACCCGCTACCCCTTCCTGGTCATGCAGTTGAAGTTGGACGAGGAAATTAGCCTTGAACTCAACATGACCGAGGATCTGCTAAACACCCAATACAAGGACAAGTTGCAACCGCACTACGAGGAGCCAATTCATCAAGTGGTAACCAAAATCTTCCGAGGTCTGTCAGGAAAGAAAGTTATCATGCCATCCAAGGACTTCGTCAGCCACCATGGACATCATGGAGTTAAGTGTTCCATCAAGGCCAATGAGGGTCTGCTGTACTTCCTGGACAAGAGTTTGATCTTCGTGCCTAAACCGGCGACTTACATTCAAATGGAGAACGTGGCTGTAGTGACCATGTCGCGTGTTGGTGGTGCTGTTTCGGCCAGCCGCACATTTGATATTACGGTGAGCCTAAAGGGCGGTCTGGGCGAGCATCAGTTCAGCAACATCAACCGGTAAGTGGCTCCGTTGTGTTTCTCTTTCTTTGTTTTCCAAACCAACTAATCTTGATAATTTTAGGGAGGAGCAACAACCGCTGGAGGACTTCTTCAAGGCCAAGGGTATTCGCATTAAGAATGAGATGACCGAAGATGCCTCGAGTCTCCTTAAGGCGGCACTTGATCCCAATGAGATGATGGAATCCAGTGAAGATGAAGGAGCTGTGCGAGCTGACCGTGGCTCGGCCGATGAGGATTCGGACACCCCCGACGAGGACTTTGCCGCATCCTCCGACTCAGATGTGGCCGAGGAATTTGACGAAGACCACGATAGCAGTGGTGATGACAGTGATGAGGAGATGGCCGATGCCTCTGGTGGTGAAGGAGCTGGATCAGACGGCGAATCGCGACCCAAGAAGAAGACCAAGACCGGCAAATGAAGTGTGTACTAGGTACTAGTACAGCTTAGTTTTTTATCTGTTCTTTACCCTTTTTTTTACCTCTTTTTTTTTTTTTATCTCCCTCTGTCATCTGGATCTGTGTTTCTCACACAGTATGGCGTTTCCACGAAAATGAATACTTTTTTTATCTTACCTTTACCCTCTCATTATATTTCATGTTTTTAATTTCGCATAAAGTGATCCTGACATCAAAGACCATCTATAGTACCTGATTGGACAGTTGCTGATAGTGTTATGGGGATCCACCATTATATGAGTGGAACCTCACGTGAGAGGTTTCCCCCCGTTTAACCCCTGATCCATTCGTTACTTCCCAAGCAAATCGGTTTTTTGTTTATGTTTGGAGCTTGGTACGACAACCCTTATAGGAAGAGATGGGGAAGGAACATTTGGAAGATTTCATCCCCGGCTGATACGTGTTGGAACTTTGCAATTGACTGCTTGGTTCTAGACCAAGCGATTCAGTATACTCTAGAGTAAAGAGCAAAGACGAGTCCCGCATTCTTCGCCGGAATCGTATAGTAAACAGGACCAAGAGTTGGTGAAAGAACCATGCAGCAATGCAGTCGAAAAGCCGAATCTACTTAATATGCGGTGTATATTGAGTATTATTGATATATAGAAAGAAACTTGATGCATCATCTGCTTTTTCCCTATTTTTCCAACGTGTATTTTGGCGCGGGTCGATCCAAACCCACTCCAGAATAGCTGGCCCGAACACCTCGACACGTCCCCCCCCTTTCTTTCCCAGACTGGCACTTCCCTTCTCTCCGACCAACCTCTCCTTTCCTTTTCTTCAAAAGCCTCTTTCTTGAAGGTTTCTTCTTTTCACTCGCTTTCTTGTTTTTTGGATAATATTCGCTTCTTTGAAAAAGGATCAACCCCCTCTCCTTTTTTTTTCCTTCCAAAAGGTATGACAACCTCCTTAAACATCTCTGATCATCGAACCCGAGATTTTTTTTTCCCATCCTTTCCCCAGTCTCAATGGAACCCCACTAGAATATCAATGCAGTTGCTAATGATTTGATTTTGTCCTTAGGGGTTCTTTTATTGTTGCCATTCTCCCCTATAATCGTTTGCCTAATCATTCACCATGTGTAAGCGGCCCCCCGAAGGCGGAGCCCGCCATCGCTTTCAAAAGAGCTCTCCCAATCCATCGAAGCGAGGACTGATAGATCGTGTTTAGCTTCGCCACCACCTGCGAATGGTTCCCCCATTGCGGCCCTCGACTCTCCCACGCCCAGCAGCGGCAAGGAGTCGCCGTTCGTCGAGCGCAGCAACCCGATGGGTCAGGGTATTGCCCAGACCGTCACCTCCCGCGATCCCAAGGCCGCCGCTCAGGCCGCGACCGATATGAAGAACGTCGTCCGCCGCAAGCTTACCGGTTACGTTGGATTCGCCAACCTGCCCAACCAGTGGCACCGCAAGAGTGTCCGCAAGGGTTTCAACTTCAATGTTATGGTGGTCGGTACGTGAACAAATCCAACTCGAGAATTCGAAGTCGGCAAGAGAATCACTAACATCAATCAAGGTGAATCCGGTCTCGGAAAGTCAACCCTTGTCAACACCCTGTTCAACACTTCTCTGTACCCCCCCAAGGAGCGCACTGGCCCCAATGCCGACATCATCCCCAAGACCGTGTCCATCCAGTCAACCAGCGCCGATATCGAGGAGAACGGTGTTCGTCTCCGCTTGACCGTCGTTGATACCCCCGGATTCGGTGACTTTGTCAACAACGACGACTCGTGGCGCCCAATTGTCGAGAACATCGAGCAGCGCTACGACACATACCTGGAGGCCGAGAACAAGGTCAACCGCAGCAACATTGTCGACAACCGCATTCACGCCTGCGTCTACTTCATTCAACCCACTGGTCACTCCCTGAAGCCTCTCGATATCGAGGTGATGCGCCGCCTGCACACCAAGGTTAACCTGATCCCGGTCATCGCCAAGGCTGATACCCTGACCGACGAGGAGGTCGCCCTGTTCAAGGAGCGCGTACGTTTCTTTCTGGATTAGTTGGAATAGAAGTGTTTGACACATGAATTTCTGACAATTTTATAGATCCTTGCCGATATCACCCACCACTCCATCCAGATCTTCGAGGGCCCCCGCTATGAGCTTGATGACGAAGAGACCATTGCCGAGAACAACGAGATTATGTCCAAGGTGCCGTTCGCCGTTGTTGGTGCCAACTCCGAGGTCAGCGCTGCTGACGGCCGTCGCGTGCGTGGCCGTAGCTACCCCTGGGGTATCATTGAGGTCGACAACGAGGAGCACTGTGACTTTGTCAAGTTGCGCCAGATGTTGATCCGTACCCACATGGAGGAGCTCAAGGAGCACACCAACAACTTCCTATACGAGAACTACCGCTCGGACAAGCTCACCCAGATGGGTGTTGCCCAGGACCCGAGCGTGTTCAAGGAGGTCAACCCTGCGGTCAAGCAGGAGGAGGAGCGCAACCTACACGAGCAGAAGCTATCCAAGATGGAGGCCGAGATGAAGATGGTCTTCCAGCAAAAGGTTTCCGAGAAGGAAAGCAAGCTCAAACAGAGCGAAGACGAACTCTATGCCCGACACCGCGAGATGAAGGACCAGCTCGACCGGCAGCGCCAGGAGCTAGACGAAAAGAAAACCCGCCTCGAGAGCGGCCGACCCATCGAAGAAAAGGGAGGCAAGCGCAAGGGTTTCTCCCTTCGTTAAAACTCTCATGCCTGTCACTGACGCCCGCTGATTCCCCCATCCAACCCCCAACTCTCCCGCTCTCTGAAGTTATCATTTTCCTTATTGTCTCACTGTCACACACATCACACTCCCTCTTTCTCTCCTTGACGCGCTGTTCTATTTTATCTTCCACTGGATGGGCCCACGCATCGCAAAAAAAAAGAAGAATGGTTTTGAATAATACGATCCGCAGGGGTTTGCTTAAGACCTTTTCTTTTTTATTAACTTCTTGTGATGTACTTTTTTGCTACGCCATCTCTTGTTCTTGCCCGCTTTCTGTGTGCCCTATTACCCGCTCATTTTTCTGGTTAATTTCTTTTTTTTTATTCTCCGGGCATTTGGTCCTTTTACCGTCTGTCCGTGTGTTAGTTCAATTGCAGCGCTTCGGCATCTTCTTTATAGTCAATAACCGTGGAACCTGTACGGGTATAAGAGATGGCTCCTATCGCTCCAGGGCTCATAATCAAAGAGTATGCCTCTAATGGCTTGTAAGAGCATATACCTGGTACAAGGTACCATAACACTTTTGTAGTTGGTTTCAATGTTATACCAGTTCAATGTTGTCTTTTGCACATATGCATGTGCCAACCAGCTCAAGTAGAATATTGCCTAAATTGACAACCCGAGGACCGCCTAGAGAGGCTAGCTAAGCTTGAGGATCATTCCTAAATCCCTCTCAACTATACATACATCGAGTATGTTGCGTAAAACGTGTCCGTGCTGTTTATAGCGGCAGTCGGCGGGACTCGGTTTCTTGCTATCACTATAGGCTGCCCAAGTATCCCCCTCATCATAGTACCATATCACGTCATGACACTATGGGTTCTTTTCCATATAGATATTTCCTTATAAATTGTGTATTGTACTTAATAGTTTGAGTCTCAAAAAAAAAAGCACACATCAATTCTCGTGACTTTGTTCCCTTTCGTTTTGACACCATGAGGTTACTCGACTATGCGGCTGTTTTATTAACGTTTTCCCCAAGAAATGTCCAAAGTACGGCGACTTGCGGTAAAAATGGAGAGATCTATAAGGATAACACCTGTACATCCTCTCAACGAGCCGAAGACCTCCTTTCACGAATGTCCTGGACAGAAAAGGTGAAACAACTTGGCGGTGTTCGCCAGATACTTGGCGAGAACATGACCTTCAACAAGACAAAGTTCGACATCTTCAATGCAGCACAAGATGGAAATATAGGTATTTGACTTCTAACATTGTCTCCCCTCAATCAAATCAAATCTCGCTAATCCAATTCATACAAACTTCAGGATACGGTAATCAATTCAATCCTGCGATTCCTGCGCTACAGCTGGTGAACGAGCTTCGTGAAAACCAGACATCTGCAGGTCTTGGTATTCCCTACGTTCTTGTCACGGACTCGATCAATGGGATCTATTTGTTCAACGGGACCTTGTTTCCTGCTACTTTGTCCATGGCATCATCGTTCAATGTGCCGCTGTATGGAGAGGTCATCGCCTCCATCCGGGAAGAGTGCAAAGCAATCGGTATTAATTGGGTTCTATCACCGGAATTGGATGTCGTGACAGATCCCCGTTATGGCCGGGTTGGTGAAACGTGAGTTCCTGATATAAGATTCGGTATCAACTTTTGCCAGTCAGACAGGCATACTGATCCAGTGATTTACTAGCTACGGCGAGGATCCGTATATGAATGGAGAATTTGGGTTGAAATACGTCAAGACCATGCAAGAAAAAGATGAGAATGGATTTATGAAGGTTGCGGCCACAATAAAGCATTTTGTTTACGGCTGGGAGACTGGAGGTGTCAACACGGCGCATCAATATGGGGGAATCAATCACATCTACAACGATATGTTACCCCCTTTCATCAAGATTATCTCCGAGGGAAACCCTGCCTCGCTGATGGCTTCATATGCTAGCCTTGATCGTGTTCCTATGTCTGCGAACAAGTTCATGCTCCAACGTGTCCTTCGAGAGGATCTTAACTTTGACGGGATTATCATGTCTGACGCTGGTGCACTGAATGACCTGTCGCGGGAGTTCAGAATCGCTGAAACTTCTCAAGATGCTGCTATCTTGGCCGTCAAGGCAGGCATGCAGATGGAACTATCACCAGGAGAAGAATCTGCCACACAGACGCTGGTAAATGTGACTAGCGACGCAGAGATCACAGCGCTGGTCTCAAATGCGACTTTCAAAATCCTCGAGCTCAAATTCAACCTTGGTCTCTTCGATTTGCCGCTCCCATCAGTTGGAAACGCGACCAAGATCCTGCGTGCCCCAGCCCACCTCGAAGCGGCCCGCAATATCTCCCGAGAATCCATCGTCCTGCTCCAGAATGACGGCACTCTCCCACTGAAGAGCAACACATCCCGCACTGTCGCCGTAATCGGACCATACGCCTCAATCATTGATCCGGGCTCCTACGCACCCCACAGTACAGACGACACCACTCACGGCAACTCCCTCCTCCAAAGCCTCCAACTCGCCCTGGGCCCCCAAAACATCATCCACGAGCCAGCCGTCGACTTCCTCGACCGGACAAACCGCACCGGGATCCCGCGCGCAGTCAAAGCAGCCAAATCCGCCGATCTGGCCATCCTCTCCGTAGGCTCTTTATCCGTCTACCCAAGCGACCCGCTCGATGGCAAACGCACAGACGGAGAGTTCTATACACACGGGGACCTAGGCTTCCCGGGCCTCCAACAAGAACTTATCGATGAGATCCTGGACACGGGCGTTCCTACGATCCTCGTCCTCAGCGGCGGACAAGCGTTCGTTCTGAATAACTCCACTCTCCGCGCAAACGCAATCTTGCATACCTTCCTGGCAGGCGAATACACCGCAGACTCGGTTGTCGAGATCCTGTCCGGAAAAGTCAACCCCAGCGCCAAACTTCCCATCAGTATCCCCCAGGCGAACGGTGCGTTCCCCATCGCATATAACTGGCTACCGTCAGATAACAACGGAGGAGATGCCGGAAGTGCGATTTACGGGTCGACTGCTTGGCAGTTCCCGGCTGTGACGATTGAGCCCCCGATGGCTTTTGGATTTGGGCTTGGCTATGCGAAGTTCAATATGTCTGGGGTTGAGGTTAAGGACGGTAGAACTGAGGCAGGAGATGTGGCCTTTGAGGTTTCGGTCAAGGTGACGAATACGGGCAGTGTGGCTGGGAAGGAGGTTGTGCAGGTTTACTTTAGGCAGAGCTTGTCGACTATCGAGTTGCCGGTTAAGCGGCTTATTCGATTTTCCAAGGTTGAGATCGAGGCTGGTCAGTCGGAGGTGGTTACCTTTGTGGTTCCGCAGAAGGAATTGGGGTATTATCTGAATATGGAGTGGACGTTGGAAAAGGGGGACTATACCTTTTATGTTGGATCTAGTTCGAAGGATGAGGATTTGCAGGAGTTGAATGTGAAGATTGGGTAAATATGTGGATTAGATAGAAAGATGAAGCTTCGACTCATCTGGACATTTGGATTTGTTTCATACACTTGATTATATATGAATTTCATATAAATTGATACATTGATATTGATGAGTGAAAAGGAAAATAGGAAAGCTCTTTGGCTGTTAAGCATGATCAGTCATGGTGCTGAGTATCTACTATAATTGAAAATGACGCCAGAGACTCAAGACAGTACTAGTCCTGACTCCTAACTAGGAGAAAAGGTTAATAAAAGTGCTAGGGTCAACAGGAACAATTCAGGTGTTCTTTCATCAACCGGCATCCGTGTGGTCGAGTGGCAAAGCCCTCCCACATGTGCACAATTCCCCCCAAGAGGTTAGCCGTCTGGACCTTTGGGGAAGGTGTCGGTTACACAGGGAAACATCCCCCAGAGCAGATCTCCCCCCCGCGGCGTGCACCCGCCAGAGGGGGGGTCCCTCTGGGCTTGATGTTTGCCATTTTTATATAATTGACCACGCTGAATTTGAATTTCCGCTTTATTTGAGCTCAATCCGACAATCCATCGTGGTGTAAAATAAGAAAATGGTGGAGTATTGATTTCTCGACTGATGCATATGACGCTTTCAGAACGTACCTCGGTAGTAACCAATACAACCCGGGTTCGAACCCGCCATTTGCCTTTCTTTTTTTGTTTTTAATTCACCTTCGCCAAACGCGATGATGGCCCTGGTAGGTACAAAATCTCGTTACTGCATGTAGGTTCCCCTGATGCTGGGGATCTTTACTCTGGTTTTGCTGTTCTATCTTGGCTGTTTCTAATAACTAACCATCTGCTTGTCCCTACGGAACATCGGCAATGCATCACCAGAATGTCAAACTTGGAACAAATCACCCATCTATTATCACTATATAAATTTCTCAAACATTTATAGCTTCGCTCTCTGTCCATTCTCTTCAAACTCAATTTTCTTGCCACTGATCAGGGACTCTTGCAATGCACATCCAATAGTCACAGCTCTGACCGCCGAGTCCAAACGCAGCGGTGGCACGGTGTTGTCCAAACAAGAAGCAGTAAACTCATTAGCCTCAGTGATAAACGCCTCTCGGAATCGGCCATAGTAATCAGATGGAATCTCGCGTCGGATACCAGTGGACTCGTATAGGTTCACGAGGTTGAGCTGAGGCTGCGTGTTGATTGCGATCTTCCCGTTTGTGCCGTAGACTTCGGTGCAGTCTTCTTGGCCGGCAGCCATCATGCGTGAGCAATAGAGCTGGGCGATTTTACCTCCCTTTTCTCAATATTAGTAATGGGGTCGCTTTTTTTTTGGCAGGGGCTCGGACGGGAAGCAAGGGTCTTACATAAAATTCAATAATTCCCAACGCATTATCACGATCGTTGTGCTTGCGCAGATCGGGCTGTACAGCTGTGATACCGATGGCAGTCACACTCTTCACTTTGCTCTCCTCGCCAAAGAACCAGAGTGCAAGATCGATATCGTGGATTGAGCAGTCCACAAAAATACCGCCCGAGAACTCGGCGTAGGCAACGAAGAATCCGCTGGGGTCGAGCTTGTCGCATGTCTGTGAGCGGAAGACGGACGGGGTCCCGATGTCGCCGGATGCCATGCGTCGGTGTGCATCACGGTATGAGGCGTCGAAGCGACGAGAGAATCCGCAGATTACTTTTTGGTTGGGGAATTTCTGGATGGAGGATTTGTAGGCGTCGACGACTGATTGGGACTAGATGCGATGATTGATATTAGGAAAAAAAGTTCATGTCATGGGGTCGGAAGTCTGTCTTTTTCAAGGTTGAACTTACAATCTCCGGACTGGTACTGATGGGCTTCTCGCAGAGAACGTGTAATCCCCGCTCAATGGCCTTGATTGCCTGTTCGGCGTGGACGGTAGTGGCGCTGGCAACGACGACAGCTTGTAGAGATTTCTCTTGAGACAGCATCTCCTCGTAGTCGAGGTAGGTTCGCACGCCCTTGAACTCGCTCTTTGCAGCGTCTAGCTCGGCTTGCACGGGTGAGCAGACGGCGATGAGTTCGGCACGGGGGGTCAGAGTTGCAAAGTGACGAGCATGGCGCATCCCTAGAATATAGACATTTAGAACTTGAGCTTGACTTGGAAAAGAGCTGAGCTGAAGTGCTCAATTCTCATCAATTCAAAGATGGATGCGGGGGAAATTCTTACCCATACGGCCGATACCAGCGACGGCGACTTGAAGCTTTTCAGTCATTGTGCAGAGGAGGAATTGGGTGATAGAGAATAATACTGTAGAAAGTAAATAAAAAAGAGAACGATGACATTTCGGAGATAGCTATATATAGCTGTGATGGAGTGATTCTCCCAAGGTGTTTTCGAATCCATGTCAACACCTGGCCAGCTTTCCTCTGGATTGAGTAGTTTGACGGCGATGATTTCCTTAGCAAGTTCGACTCCACGTTAACTTCCACCTCCACTTTCCCCGCACTTTGGGCTCCCCAGACCAGCGTCATTTGCTATTTCGGGAAAGAACCATTGGAATAAATTTGCAAATAAGGAAAGACCCACGAAGCAGCCTACGAGTTGATTTGAAAAGGGAAAGTCCTCCGATTTCCTCAACCAATGACACACATCCACAACATTTGAACAACCCCAGTTTTCAACCCCCGCAACTGCATGTGGAGATGCCCGGCGACTCTTTCCTCTATTTCTAAAATGGAAATCTCCCTGTTAATGTTCTGATACTTTCAACCCCAGCGACTCTATACCCCATACAAAAAATATGCGGAACAAGGCTATTCCCTGGTGAGTGACCCCACCTTCAAAATACAGTGACAATCACTAAGTTGTATAGTCAGGAATGCCGCAGTGAGTGACATGCAATGAAACGAGGGACATGGACTGACTGACTAATATGTGCTAGCCCGTCATGTAAAGTGTGAGTGCTTTCTATTTCCAGGGTCTCTTAAAGTGCCGAGCATTGATTTCAGTTAGGCGATGAACAAAAGCCGAAATGTCAACGATGCGAGCGCACAGGTTCTTCCTGCGTGTGGCAGGCTATTTCTTCGGAGTTTAGGCATGGCTCTAGTGCCAGTGCCCTGTATGACTTTGCAGATGATCAACCCTGGTTACCAGCCGGGCACGGTATGAAGAGTTCCATTGCCTTGCTGCAACTCGTACCAAAGTCTCTCGTGGTATGAGATTGCCGACCGCTGCGTTTACTGACCCGATGACTAGTGGACTACGAGTATGTTGATGAGACTGCTGATATAGCTCAGCATTATTGCTCGGATCTTCCTCCTGCATCTACATCACCCTTGGTATCGGAAAGACGCCGAAGTGTGGCTTCTGAGAATCGGAGTCTTGCCGAGCCTTCTAATTCCGAAACAGCCCAAACATATTCATTCGTCTCACCGCGCGGGCTCGATAGTAATTTGATACCAAGCTACTCGCCATCCGCCTTACAGCTTTCTCTGGAAAGTCATTCAGTGTCGGCGTCTCCTCATCTCTCTCTTAGCAGCTATTCCCCTTTAGGGCCCAGGGAATTTGCCAATCCCTCTAATGGCCAACCGCCGTATCTAGAGGAACATGAAGCATGTCTTTTGCGATATTTTATTGTTGAGCTTGCACCCTGGGTATGTGTACATCGGCAGGTTTCGAGCGATTATGCCACTAATAGTGTATAGTTCGATCTTTGCGATGGGGAGAGACATTTTGCTTGTACCGTGCCTTTACGAGCTCTTACCTGTCCACCTTTACTCAATGCCATATATACTGCGTCTGCCAGACACCTGAGCCGGATCAAAAAATACTGGCGTGGAAATCAAGTTTACTATGGAGGCAAAGCGCTTCCAAATTTGACGTCGGAAACAGCCATACACTACCACAACGAATGTATAGCGCATCTTGTCTCCATTTCAGACCACTCACGGGAAGCCCAAAATGAAAATTTACTTGCTGCCGCTGTAATTCTACGCTTCTATGAAGAGGTGGACTGTAAGTCTATCCTGCTTGAGATATTCGTATCTGCCGCTAATTGATATTGTCAGTCCCGTCCATGGGTGAGGATACTGAGAGTGCACTTCGAGGAATCCGAATATTTCTGAATTCCCAGATAATACCTGCAGTATCTGGATATGGGCTGCGCCATGCAGCTTACTGGATTGCCCTGCGCCAAGAAATCACCACCGCATTTAGCAAACAACGAAGCTTCCGACTTCCACTAGAACCCTGCGAGCCATACCGAACCTTTGAGCCAGCCGACGACTATGTCTGGGCAGATCGACTAGTAATTCACTGCGCCGACGTTCTACAATATTGTTACGGATCAGAGGAAGATCTATCGGGAGACCAACATCAGCCAAGCCGGGACATTCTCCACCAGCCTGGAACAGCAACGGACATGCGCATCGCACGCCACGAGGAACTGGTCGCATTTGAAACTTTGTGGATTGAACTGGGCCCGCCCAGTTTCCATCCCATCTACTCACGGGAACCCGATCGTTCACGTGGCGAGGTATTTCCCAAATTGTGGTACCTGAATAATTGCCACGTTGTAGGCCTCCAATTCCTCGAGCTCGCACGCATTCTGCTCACAGTCTATGATCCCAAGTTGCCCCGTTTGGGTCCAGGGCAGCGTACGGCAATGAAGGCCATGGATGAAAAAGTGCGGTCGATTGTTATCAGGCTGTGTGGGATTGCGCTTTCTAATGAACATAGTCCTCCTGGCTTGGTGACGGCGTCTGCTGCAATCGGGCTGTGTGGGGATCGGTTCACGGATCGATTTGAACAGGAGGCGTTGCTTGGGGTTTTGGTTCAGTTGGAAGATCAGCATGCCTATCCCACCTTGAGTGTACAAGAATCGTTGAAATTGGCGTGGGGATGGGAGGGGAAGTAGCGGATAAACTATGTAAAGCGTTGAATGTGTATAGTAATGCCTCTATGTCTGCACATGTGCCGACAATGAACGAGTATATGCCTGGGCTACCCAAAATAAATTATTCAATGTTGAAATAAAACCACGGCAAGTGCTTGAGACTTTTTTGGAGGGTGATTAGCGGGGTTCACGGGGTTCTATGAAACTTTCTGCAAAAGAACCTTGGAAATTATTAGGATCCACACATGTTGCACCCAATGTGTGACTGCGAGTGTTTCAAGGACCCGGCATATTATTGATCTAACGGGCAACATGATATGAAAATCCAGGTAAGCCATAATGCGAGAATTAGCCAGCTAGTACATAGGTCTTAACAAGGAACGAGTACAGACAGATGTATGTACATAGGCAATTTGTGGCCAAGGATGAATGACTAATCTCCCTAAGTATGCAGGAGCTAGACCTAAACGGGATACATACGTGACTCTTACTATTTCACTCTGACCGACTTACTTCTTTCTCTTCTTCTCCCCATGATCCTGTTCCTCGCGCTCAGAGTGTACAGTTTCTCTTTGGACAGTGATGAATATGCTTAAGTGTTAGAATTTACCACCGTTCCGAGAGGCACGAGGCGGAAAATCATGATCACAACGCATACCCTCGGGTACTTTCTGAGTCCATATCGTACTTCGTCTTGTTTTCCATGATAAAACGCCCTTCTTTGGTTTTCAACATTGCCCCTACAGTGTTTTTCCTACTCCCTACCATCCCCTCCCAGTTTCTATTGTGACGTGATCGCCCTAGCAGTACGGGACATGAGAGCAGAGAGAGGTGGTAATGAGAAATACAAATCCACGAGTGTGAATATCATAGATAGCTGGTGGCTACATGTGAGTACTATAATAATTTTCTGTCCAATTCAACCCTCATCTTCCAATTCGTATCATGTCTGCTTGCCAACCCTCAAGGGGGATACCGGGTAGTAGGCCTTGAAGGTGGCCATTGTTTGATCACATGATCTGTACTCTCACTCCATCTCCCTGTAGATAGCTCTTCTCTTCCTTCTCTTCTTCTTTCTTTCTTCGCACCACTCAATACTACTGCATTGCGTTCTTGCCCTCCTTTCCCTCGTAGACTCGATTCCTCGTGTCTGTTCAGCCATAAGCCAACAGGAACCTCGCCGTATCCCTACCGTAAGCCGATTCCTTCAACACTTCATCAAGGCCCGTCGGGGCATTTTGTGCCTCGTCTCAAACATCGTCTCGGACCTCATCCTACTTTGGACTGCATCGGGAACTCGCGTGCCGTCTCGAGATGCCTTCAGCAGACGGAGTAGATCGCAGTGTCCGCGTGGTGGATACCATAAAGACAGGCGTCCCATCAAAACTGTTTTGTGGACTCCCGAGACAGCAATGATCGCTCCCCATTCACCAGATTCCGGAACACCGCATTCTGCATGTTGGCAGCTGATATTCGCCTGGTCGTCGGTCAGATTGTGCAGTTCGCCGCTTACTGTACAACTTGCGGGGAAAGGTCAGCTATAGTGGTGCCCAGCAACCGAGACAATCCCTTGAACTGACCTCCATTTCCATGTGGTCCATGTGCTGTCTCGACCGAAGGCAGGTTTCCCAGTCCATTCCCCTAATGTCTCAGCGACACAATCTAAAAAAACATCAAGTCAGTCAGTGCTAACTGTTTCTGGGTTCCAAAAAATATGCCACTCTCCCTCAAATGGGGGTCCACAGCAACAAGTTACTGGGCTGGGCGCCCCCCTCAGATTTTGCTCAGAGTGTAAGACAGTTTGATCATCAGGCCACATCATGCAAGCATGAGTGTCCTTGATCCTGTTCTTCGCTTTCTTCATTGGGGGATTTGGGCGACAGGGAAGCACGTACCGCAAGCTCCGACAATGTGAACAAAGCATCCCATGGCCTCAAAACAAGGTCACTCCATAAGTGTCTCAGTGGCACAGTCTAAAAAGCATCAAGTCAGTCAGTGTTGACTGATTCTGGGTTCCAAAAAATATGTCACTCTCCCTCAAATCGGGGTCCACAGCAACAAGTTACTGGGCTGGGCGCCCCCCTCAGATTTTGCTCAGAGTGTAAGACAGTCTGACCATCAGGCCACATCATGCAAGCATGAGTGTCCTTGATCCTGTTCTTCGCTTTCTTCATTGGGGGATTTGGGCGACAGGGGAAAGTACGTACAGCAATCTCCAACGATGCGCAAAAGGGATCCCATGGCCTCAACAACAAGATCACTCCAAAGGCATCGTCATACAGTCCGTTGGAAATTTTTCTTGCGGCTGCAGGATGAATCTGTATGTACTCAAAGAGGGATGGAGAGAGTGTGCGAACCTGGCACGAGTGGACTGAAGTCCTGTATACGCTTCTATCTACTAGAGGAAAGTACGTTGGACCAAGCCAGAATGGAGAAGGTGCGGCGTCTTCAACATCACGTCACTGAGTCGCTCATTTGAAAGCTGTAGCTCATTGGCTTGTATTTAGAACAATGCAAGGAAGGGAAAATTACCCTCAAGCTACTCCATGGCCCTTCAAATATCAGACTTGAATGTTCTCTTCATTAATTTGACTAAGCATATTGACACCTAAGCATGACCTTAAATGTGCATCTTTTGTCACATAAGGAACCTAATGGTCGGATCACTATATTTACGACCCTCAGGGTCGAGACTACAGAGCACCTTAAGTATATAAAACTAATTAGGCTATCAAGAAGGAATTCGTACATATATAAACAATATTTTTGGGCCCGGCGCCTTTTTGGGTATAGACTGAGTGTGGACTGGGTTTACAATAGATGCCACTGATCATTCCCTGAGTAACTAGTGAGCCTTGACTCTAAGCGTATGCCCTCATTAAAGCGGCGGCATTTAGGATAGGAAATCTCTAATCGGCAGAAGAACATCGATATATATAGTCACTAATATACCTAGTACATCTCATCCGAATAATACATCCTTAAACAGTCTTAACACCAGCATTTTCAATCAATTACTTAAGCTCAGCCCGTAGTTCAGGCTTAAGCAAAGTAAACAGCTTCCGCAAACTACTAATAGACTAACTAATAAGCTTAACACCAGTTTTAACAGAAGCAGTATAGTTATATGACTCCAAGAACTTGCAAATAGGCTAAGCCTTAGCCCAAAGCTTATAACCCTACTTCAAGTCACCCTAAATAGAGATAGCCTTATAAAGCTCAACAGCCAACTTAGGAATAAAGTTCACAACACCCCAGACACCACCGGGGATAATAGTAGCACTAGCTTTACCGGTATACTTAGATAGTTTAATAGCTTCGGTAGAGGATATACTACCTATACCTATAATAACAGGGACGTAGCCGGCGGCGAACTTAATATAAAGCTCGGTAAGCTACTTACGCTCAGTGGTTATCATGACTGTGAACTCGCTAGTGCTGCCACCTGGCACGAGACCATGCACACCGGCCTTGATAAGGTACTCGATGTGGGCTTGGAGGCGGGCTTCGTCAATCTTGGTCTTATCATTGGTGAAGGGGGTGATCAGGGCCACCATGATTCCGTGGAGGTTAGCTATTATGATGATGTTGGTGTGTGATGGTTGGAGATCTGAGGTGAAGAGTAGTCTTTGAAATATTAAGTCTGATGGAGTTTAGTATTCTGTCTTTTAAGTACATGGCGTTCAGATGTATACACTTGCTCTATGCGGAAACACTTTCTGTTTGGGTGTGGATCTATCTAATCGGTCGGAGAGGCCTTCCTAATCCTGAGCGGGGTCGTTTCTACAGGAGGGGCAGCCTCGTCATTGGGGCTCACTCGTCAGTATTTCCAAAATTTGAGGGGAATGACATAGAAGGTATTCTTACAGTTTAATTGAGTCATAATTTGCTTTGCGGGAACGTAATGTGGTTGATCGGAATGATTCCCACGCTTGTTACGGAACCGCCACACCGAATACGGCTTCAACCTTAGGATTTTATCTGATCCAACTTCCCCACATCATGCATGTCATTCACTGTTAGAATGGTGACCCCTCGTTTCTAAGCCTGAGAGCCTGAGAGGATTGACAGCGATTTTGCCAGATTTTAGAGAAGTATGCCTCATTATTCAGGCATCATATCGATGATCTTCGAGCGCCATCTCATCAGTCTCTTTGTAAGACATACTTTCAGATTAGTAATGAGAAATTAACACACTATTATCACTGTATTTACTTCTAACGGTCAGGTGCTCGTAACGGCGCTTTAGCTTTTGAGATACGACCCGGGAGCTGTGAGCCTATTGCTGATGAAAATGTACTGGTTGGATCTGTGATGGATTGTCATGTCATTTTTGTTAGGTGTGATCATTCCATGTCATGCAAGAGAGACCATAGCCATGATTCTACCTGGTGATTTATTCGACCTTAGAAAAGCCGGCATTGCATGATTCAAAAAGAGCTGAAATGTATGTTACATGAAATCTGCCACAAGGCCTACACGTGTTAGTCAATAGAATGTTCGTTAACAACCTTCGAGGTCAAATGGAAAAGAAGAAGCTACAGCTTGTGATCGCTGCTTGACATTCTATTGAATATTTGTGCCGCAGTATCACTCCGTTGGTATGGCTCGACGACTATTCAACAGCATGCCCAGGTGGGAGGCTTGTGCACCAGACCTCGGGATCGGTAGAAAATATATTCAGTGACATGAGGGAACTTGGAAATTTGAAATTCTTCCACTTCACGTAGCTAAATCAACTAAAATTCTTCCGCCACTGAGGCCGTGAACATGGATTCTTCGAGATTTAATTTTAGAACATTTGTGCACGTGTTTGGTTCCTGGATGTGACTGTCCCATGAACCATGGTCAGCTGGACGCCCCATCCGTGAGCTGGCGGCGACCCGGATGGGGCTCTATTCACTGAAGCTTGGGCTGCCTTAATCTTTAACACTTAGCACCTGAGTGCATTTGCCTAAGCCGTCGATTGATGTTGAAATATTATTAGTTTCTCGCCCTCTATCCAGGGTAGCTTCCCCGTCCGGTACGTAGGCCGTCTTTATGCAAAAGAGCGGGGCTGATGATCAGATAAAAAAGCCGATCAGTATCTACCGACCAAGTCTGGGATTCAAGAATCTCAGACTATGATCATTACTGTTTTTTGATATTAGTCGAGTGTTGATCATGATCAACGTCAATGACGAAAACAAGTGGCTAGGGGTATATTTTGAAAGTAACACTAGAGCGTCCAGATGTCTTTATTTTATTTTTTTGACATTTTTCTCCATGATATGACAGGGATTGTATTTAAATTGACTACTTTTCATATTCACAGTAGTTTCAAGGGTCATTGATGGCGGTCTCAGGATTCGCACTTGAAGATGGGATTCGAGGATAGTCCGGGTGAACGAACAGCCGGTTGATCTCAATCAGATAATACAGACTTTCTTAGCACTTCTGATGTTCTGAGTAGTCTCTGTAATCAAACTCAGTCCCAGTGATCTTTACCTTTTCGAGATTTATTCTCCGCTTTTAGCCAACCGAAGCCACCCGTATCATGGGCTTTCCAGGTCCGAAACATGGCTGAAGATGGATCCCGGCGGAGTCCAAGGTCCAAGGGGGAAAAATGGACTTTCGGGAAGCCGTTAATGTTGGCAGTGGACCCGATTCACGGCTTCTTAGTGGACCGGATTTGCTTTATAAAGATCATTTGGTTTGCACTATTCTGCATCTGGTATATTTCTAGAAATTTTCTACCAAAATGGCTTGAAGAATCCACTCAGGGATCCATCTATTCCATACTCAGGGCCGCTTGCTCAGCATTTTCAATTTTGCTGTCAGCCGATCTAGACCAGACGAGGAAGGTAGCCACACGACTAGGAGAGATTTATGACACAATTGACACTGACACATTCGGGGGTCGGGCTTAGAAATCTTATCAACAGGCCACTGATCAAGATTTTAAAGATTATAAAGCTAATAATAATAATATTTATTTATTATTTTTTTTCGTAGAAAAGGATCTGCGTCCCCTGAGATCTAAGGGTTTTCAGATTTCCACCAGAATTTGCTACCTACTACTTACTGTAGGTTCATATATTATAGTCTGCAAAAATGCGGTTCTCTCGTGCTGCCCTGTTGGCAGCTGCTGGAACCTTGACATCAGCTACCACATTCAAGAATGGCACATACGACTACATTGTTGTCGGCGGTGGTCCCGCCGGTATCATCACCGCTGAGCGCTTTATCGAAGCCGGCAAGAGCGTCCTCCTCCTCGAGCAAGGCACCGGCCCAACCGTCGCAACTGGCGCCAACGAAACCCTCTCCTGGAACGACAACCTGACCGACATCGATCTCCCCGGTCTGTCCGCCGACGTGGGTGCTCTCCCCGCGTGGGACGAATACCTCTGCACTGATACCGTTGGATATGCTGCCTGTGTGCTCGGTGGTGGTGTGACAATCAACTACATGGTCTTCGTGCACCCGCCAGAGCACGACTTTGACGACAACAACAACTGGCCCGAAGGCTGGAAGTGGAAGGATCTCAAGCCTGCTGCTGAGAGACTGTACAGACGCAACCCCGGTACCATCATGCCCTCTGCTGATGGCAAATACTACGACCAGGGCCTTTACACCATTCTCTCCAACTTCCTGAGCAAGCTTGGCTGGAAGTCCGTCGACATGATCACTCAGCCCAACGAGAAGCACCAGGTCTACAGCCACCCCGCATGGAACATCAAGGACCAGGTCCGTGCTGGCCCCGTTCGCACCTACCTGCCCTTGGCTCAGAGAAGCCGCAAGTTCACCCTGAGCCTGGATACCAAGGTTATTCGTGTCGTGCGTGACGGAAGCCAGGTCACCGGTGTCGAGCTGCAGACTGCATCCGGCAAGACTGAGATCGTCAACATCGCCCCCGGCGGTCGTGTCGTTCTGGCCAGTGGTGCCCTCGGCACTCCCCGTCTCCTGTTCAACTCTGGTATTGGTCCCGCCCGCCAGATCGAGATGGCCAAGAAGGCTGGTATCGCCGTCCCCCCGCAGGAGGATTGGATCAACCTGCCCGTCGGTGTCGGTCTCAAGGACCACCCCATCTTCACCATCCTCGCTAACACCGATGGCGACTTCGGTATTGTCGACTACGCTAGCGTCCTGAACGGCAGTGACAGCAAGGATATCAGCCTCTACGGAAAGCGTGAGGGTGTCTTGACTCAGGGCAAGCACCGTTTGACTTTCTTCTCTTCCAACGAGGTCAACGGTACCACTCGCTACTACCAGGGCTCCTGCGCTCCGGAAGCTGACTCCGTCCTGGATATCACTACCTACATGACTCACGGTCTCACCTCGTCGGGTGTTTTGGGTATTGATGAGAACCAGAAGACTGTCTTTGAGAAGTCTCCTTACATGAACACTGCTGGTGACAAGCTGGCTGCTACTTCCTTCATCCAGTCACTCGTCGATGACTTCAACAAGCCTAACTCGGGTTTCGAGCTGGAGACTTACACTAATGCTTCTTCCATTATTGCTACCTTGTCCCCTGGTATGCACTACACTACCACTGCCAAGCTTGGTAACGATGATGGCCGCAAGAACGGTACCTCCGTTGTTGATATCAACACCAAGGTGTATGGCATGGATAACCTGGTAGGTTTTGACTCTCCCATACACAGCTGTTTAGCTTATAATTTGGAAAATCCCTGGACTGACATATTTCTTGTGATAGTACGTTGTCGATGGCAGTATCCACCCTGACCTCCCCACTGGTAACATCCAGGCCACCATCATGATCATTGCGGAGGCTGCCGCTGCTCGCATTCTTGCTCAGTCTTGCTCAGCATGAGATGATTTAAATATTTAAAATGTTTTGGTTTTATAGAAAAGACAAAAGATTTAGATTTTCTTTCTATTAAGCTACTGTTAAGATGAATGTCTAAAATAAAAGACTTTTTGATAGAATACTTTTCGATGCACGATTTCAATGTTTGTGTGAGATTTTTTTTGCCCCAAGTATTGGTTGACAATCTTGGTTTTCTAACTTTTCTGACATTGAAAAAACCCAGGCCATATCATGCAGTGCACTTCAGGCACATACAGGCACATCGTATCATCAGTCTCAAACATAAAAAAGCAAATCATTAAGAATTACTCGACATTCCGTCGTTCCGTCGTCCCATCATTCCGTCGTTCCGTTGGTTCCGTTGTCCCATCGTTCAATTGGGAGATCCATTCTGTCGTCCAGCCGCATTCGATTGCCCCTCAGCCCCCGAGGGTGTGTCTGCCATCAAGAAAGGAGCACGAGTTCTAAACTCAGCACCGGGGCACAGGAGGGCAAAAGCACCTTCAATAACGCGGCGAGCCCGGAGGAAAACAGTCACGCAGTGATTGCGAGAGACTTCGGCCTCACGCAGCTGGGATGCGATGACGTCCAGGGTGACAGCGGCTTCAAGGAAGAGGCGTTCGGCTTTATCAAAGTCGGCTTTCTTAGCGGCAATATCATTAAGCGATTCTCGAGTCTCAGCGCTCAGTTCCTGAACAATTTTGACGAGGTTCGCGGTGTCGCTAGCAGACTGTGAATTGATTAGTTGATATGGATTCTTTCTTTCAACAAACAAACAAACAAACACATGAATGTTAGGGACTGCATGGAAGTGGATATATGAGTACATACGATGTAGGCATCTTCCATGGCCTGATTAATTGTATCATAGTCGTCATTGTTCGATCCCTCAGCCCACTGGCCCTCGGTCTCGTCCTCACCAATGCCGTTTTGGACTGCCTCAGACCACTGGCCCTCGGACTGGCTCTCTCCGTTGCCGTCCTGGGCTGCCGCAGACCACTTGTCCTCAGACTGGCTCTCGTCGTGGCCGTTCTGGGCTGTCGCAGACCAATTTTCCTCAGACTCGGTTTCGTCGTTAGGGCTCTGGGCTGCGTCAGCCCACTCGTATTCGGACTCACTCATCTCGCTCATGATGGCGGTGCGAGCCCTTCGCTCAAGGACAAAAGTTGCAACTGTCGTAGATTTTGGAGATTGAGATTTAGATTGAAGCTTAAATAACTGAGGAAAGGGATCGATACGGGGAGAAAAAAGGAAGAGAAGAATGACGCAGGAAAGCGGCGTTTATAACTCGGGGCGAGAGGCTATACTACTATCTACTTTGGAAAATGTGCTCGCGTGGGGCGGCGAAAATGTTGCTCGAAACAAAACGCAACGCAAAACGAGCAACGCAAAACGAGCAAGTTACGAAGCCGAAAGGGGATGATACGAAGCTGCGACGGCAAGCCGAAAGAAACCCGCGTCGGCAAGCCGAAAGAAAACCCGCGAACGCGAGCCGAAAGGAAGCCTCGAGCCCCAAAGAAGACGATCCAGGGACGCAGGTGTGGAATACACAAAGAAGAAGCAGGATGTGGGTGGGAAATTTCGTGATTTACGCATTTATCGCCTGTACCCTTTGTCTTTTGTCTCTACTGGTCATTCGTTTTTACGTGGATGTACTGGTGTACAGACATGTTCGATGTTTCAATGGAAGAAGCGCCTACATTGTCACGGCGATGACTAGCTACTACTAGTAGGTAGCAAAATGCATCATACTGGCCCAAGGCTGCTATTAAGGGTGCTGAACAAAGTGAGGTAAATTCAGCGGAGTAAACGATCTTTCCTGGGGGTTCCCCCCAGACCCTATTATCCTAGAGGTCAGGGATTTAACGTAGAATGCAGTTTGAGGATTCAGCATATAATGTAGTGCTATACTGGGGGGGGGCAGTGCAAGTGCAGGGACTCAGTGTAGAATGTAGCTCAGAGGATTAAGCACATGTGCATGAAATGTAGCGTTGTGAAGAAGGAAGTGCAGGGATTTAATATAGAATGCAGCGCTGTATTGTATGTTGGATCCTGGAACTCTATTGTCAACTGGTACTGGGGTCACAGATATATGAAGGGTCAGGTGATTGCATGTTTACATGTCAGGTGAATACATATTTCTGCAATTATGTACCCTTAGTCAGTACTATTTTTTTGTTACCTAGCTGCTGAATCTCGTGCACGAATCCCATAGATAGCTTCACTTCGTTCAGCTATTAGGTTAATAGAATACCATCATCACCTCTGAGAATAGATCTTGGAACTAGGTCTGTTTCTATCATTGTGTGTCCACGTCTCTGTTGTTCTCACTTCTCATCTTATCAGTTTTAGGTTCTTTCATGCATGTGTTGAGATGCATCAGGATGAGTTAATACTATGCGTCGATTGAAATACGTGAAGGGAGTAATAAGCCGTCGTGACCATGTTGGTTTGTGTGCCTACCTGCTATGATACATTTGGACTCCTTCTGCAGGAAGCAAAGAGAAAACTAAGACAAAGGACAAAAAAAAACACATAGAAGTATCATGAATCGCTCCAAAATTACCAAGCATCAACATCAAAGTTCTCCTCTCCAAAGTATGAGACAACAACAGTTCGGTCTGAGAACTTACGGCCAGCCAATGCTTTCAAGGCATTGGTTGCCGATTGCTCAGTATCAAACTTGACGAAAATCTTTCCGACGCCCGAAGAGCTGCGGCTACCACCACTAGGGCGGGGGATTTTAAGGCTCAAAACCTTTCCGTATTTTCCACACTCTTCGGTAACATCTTCCAGGATCTCCTCATAGTCGTCATTGTCGAGAAGTTCATCGACAGTAACCATGTTCAAGAGTTGCAGCACACGGCCAGTCTCCATATCTTGAGAAGTAGTCTTGGCAAACATTGACATGGCATTAACACCCATATCCAGACCAGCCGCCTGTGTAGTACCGATACTAGCACGGACGACCTTGAGGTGGCGGTCACCTAGCTCCATGCCATTGAGACCTTCCACGGCGATGAGAGTCGAGCTAGCTTCAGCGTATTCGCAGAAAGCAATTCCCTAAACGGAGTTAGTTAGGACTAATAGACAAGATGATATCGGAAGAAAGTGACTTACTCGTGATTCTTCAGTCGATCCATCCTTGACCAAGACAAATGACTTCAATTCGCCAAACGACTTGAGCAACATTGTGACGGGGTCTTCTGGAATGTAGGCGGGGATGTTGGAAACGCAAATCTTGTTTGGTGAGTCCGGTACTTCGCTAAGTAGTACGCCTTCCTGATATTCCTGGTCTGCGCTTCCGTTGGGCACAATGTAATCCTTGGGTCGACGGACTTCCAGACCCTTGTCACCACTCTCAGCCATAGTAATTCCATCAAAGGCCAGAGCAACCGTAGCATCAGCTGGAGTTTTGAATTCCAAAAGTGCAAATGTTTGATCCTCGGAGACCTGAGCGGAGACACATGGGTCGACGCTCTGGACCACATTCAGGCCATTCAACTGTAAGTTGAAGAAGGAGATTATGGCATCTCCGGTGGAACCAGGAGGAAGGTTGTACACAAAGAGACGCTTTGACTGGCGGGAGTTGGATGGCTTCAGGGCGGTATTTTCGGTGGCACCAGCAGGCTGGTCCATGAACGCCTGCAGACGGCTGGGGTCCATTGGTTGTTGTCGAGGGGCTCCCGGCAGAGGGAACATACCAGAAAGCTTAGCTTGCTCTGCAGTTACATTCTCATAGCCTGGGGGCTTGATATCCCACTGAGTGAGGCGCCGCTTGCGGTCCAGAATTGAGGGAATATCGGTCAAGTCTGGTGTAGGCTCCTTCCTCTGCGGAGGTGATGCGGATCTCCGGCGTTCTCTTCTGTCACCGCCACGGTCTCCGCGGTCCTGACGGTCTCGATCGCCGCCACCACCAATACCACCACCTCCACCACGGCGAGGGCGATCCTCAAAGAGGTCCCCACGAGGACGAGGTCTTTCTTCGAAGTCGGGTCGGTCAGGGCGGCGGCGGCGATCGCCACGGTCTCCACCACGTTCTCCCCGTTCTCCACGGTCTCCCCTATCTCCACGATCCCATTCCCGGTCGTCTCTTCGGCCGCTTGTGTAGCGATCTTCGCGCTCACGGGCACGGTAGTCGCGGCTGGACGAGTAGGAATTGGCTTCAGGCTCACGGCGAGAGCCTCGTTGGCCGTAGTGAGGTGATCGCGATCGTCGTCGCTCTCCTCTCTCAGGTCTTTCACTCCGGTCACCACCCCGACCACCTCGGTCTCCTTGTTCTCCCCGATCACGCCGCTCGTCGCGCTACGATGGGTTAGTCGCATTCAAGTCACTTATGATGTTAGTACTTACGTAGTAATCGCGGGGACGTCCAGAGTCTGCAATTTGTTAGCTTGATTCTTGATGGTCAATTGTGATAGGCTCACCTCTGGATGAATACGTGTCACCGTTCATGTTGAGCTTGTAAGTTGAGGAAGCTCTTGCTGGCAACTGTGAAGGGGAAAACTGGAAGCTCCTGCACGGGGCGGTAATATGTCCACCGCTTTCTGTTTCGGGGGTTTGCGGGAAATTGTGGCAGAATGGCGTTTCTTATCGTTTGTTCGTTGTCGCGTTTGAGTGTTCAGCGCAGCTTCATGAATCGAGGATTATTGTCTGAAAACAACATGACCTTTTCAGATTGGCATAAGCTGCCGGTCAGCTTATCAGAATTGTGTATCAATACTACTCTCCGATGCGGCCAATCGTTTCGGTTTGTTGCAATTAAATGCCTTATTTCTAAAAATACAATAATTGCTGACCCTTAAACAGATGGTACAATATTGCTGAAAGTGAAGAATGGCGATGCGTCCTTTACGGAAGTCTGATCTCTTTAAAGCAAGATTCAAGCTATCTGTACTACCGCACCTACCAATCGAAATTACCTCTCTCAACCGCCAGCCCAAAATTGAACACCAAAGCCAACGTCAAAGATGATCACACCCTCCGCATCATTAAACATTACCTCAATCTTTCATACAATTTGGATGATCTTTACACACAATGGTCCTCTGACGACCCTAATTTCAAGAAGAAAGCTCCTCAATTTACCGGGATTCGGATATTACGCCAAGATGCGTGGGAGGCCTTGGTGTCGTTCATCTGCAGTAGCAACAACAACATCTCACGGATTTCACAGATGGTCGAAAAGCTTTGTCTTCACTATGGTCCTTTAATTGCTACAGTTGAAGGTCGCGCCTATCACGACTTCCCAACAGCCGAGGCACTAGCTGGGAAGGATGTGGAAAGCAATCTCCGTACCTTAGGATTTGGGTACAGAGCTAAGTATCTTTATCAGACGGCTGTTATGGTGTCTCAGGAGCGAGAAAAGGGATGGCTTGATGGACTTTCTAACCCCGAGTCTCCTGCATTTGGTACTGAGGCAAGGCCAGGTGGCGAGATGAAACCTGAAGGGCGACAGGGATACCGAGATGCCCACGAGAGCTTACTAGAGTTGCAAGGTGTCGGGCCCAAAGTTTCAGACTGTGTCTGCTTGATGGGTCTGGGATGGGGTGAATCTGTACCCGTTGATACTCATGGTAAGTTGGTCATAAATGCGATTACTTCTCCATGTCTCTAATCCCTTCGACAGTATGGCAGATTGCGCAACGGGATTACCGTTTCGGAAAGGGGTCCCATAAGTCATTGACAAAGGCAACGTATGACGCTGTTGCTAACCACTTCCGCAAACTCTGGGGCCAGGAGGCCGGATGGGCGCAAAGTGTGCTTTTCACGGCAAATCTGCGGTCATTTGCAGACAGACTTGCAGCAACAAAAGTGGCAGTGGCCGTCAAAGAAGATGACTCAAAGGTTGAGATCAAAACAGAGGTCACTACAGAGTTGGCTTTAACAGTTCCTAAGCATGAAGATGTTGAAGTGAAAGCTGAAGAAGTGAAAGCCGAAGAGCCTGAGAGCAAGCCCGTTATTAAGAACGCTGGGAAGAAACGCAAGGCAACCTCAGATGAAATCGTCCACGCCTCGCATACGAGCGAAACACGACGGACATCAAAGAGACTTCGTAAATAGGGTGCCTTGAGGTAGTATCAAACTGACGAATGGGCGTTTGAGGCTACATCAGAGATATCGTGTATACTAGAATAGAGCGTCCGTGAATTTAATAGACTACTACTATATATCAACTTGAAGACACAAGATATGGGTTGAATTGAGGTAAAACTGAAATAAATGTTCATTTTGTTTTCTAATATGCTACTAAAATTGTAATGCGTAAAGGATTTCCTGTCTAGAGAGCAGTCAGTAAGAAAGCTTCTCCATGGGTGTGGTAATCATTTCAAGAATATTGAAAGAAATCAGAAGTCCAGTTAGATCATCGAGACGTATCCGTGAAGACACGCCTCTGACATAAGAGGTACCAGAAAAAATAGTAAAATGTGTGTTTCATCATAAAAGGGGGTGGGAGTTGAAGTGGAATAATGGAGGCAAAACTGACCTGTTAGCTGGGAATTGTAGGCGACAAAGGATTGTCTGTAAATGGCGACGATATTGGCGACGGCACTGAGAGCTGCCATCATAAAGACATGCTTCTTCAGCCTGTCTGGAAAACATAAACCAGATACAAAGTTCCTGGGAGGACAGGGCGCTTTAAATAGAAGTTGCGGAAGTGAGGTTCGGAGAAAATTCCTGCGAAATAAGCGAGCCACGTGATCCACACACATCCGTCGTTCAACCTTTCCAAATTATCTCCACTCGATCAACTTCGATTTCCTCATCCACCTCGTCAACCTCCGACCAGCTCTCCTCGCCGGACACTTCAGCAACAATGGGTCGCCTCCACTCCAAGGGAAAGGGCATTTCGTCCTCCGCCATCCCCTACTCCCGCACTGCCCCCGCTTGGCTCAAGACCACCCCCGACCAGATTGTCGACCACATCTGCAAGCTCGCCAAGAAGGGTGCCACCCCTTCGCAGATCGGTGTTGTCCTCCGTGACAGCCACGGTGTTGCCCAGGTCAAGATTGTTACTGGTATGGGATTCTTGATGGTTCCGAACGGGTTTCGCGAAACCCTAGGTGATTTTTGATCGGTCGCTAATGCCTTTTTTTCGTCAATAGGTAACAAGATCCTCCGTATCTTGAAGTCCAGCGGTACGATTCCCAGCGCCAACCCCCTTTGCCCTTCAATTGGATGAAATGGATGTGTGAAATTGCATGAGATTTGGCCTTGAAAGAGCAAAGAACCGAAATTTTCTCTGCCTTGAAAAGTGACAATGACCTGCAATGATCCATTCATTTCTTCTATATAACTCTGGTCGCAGAAATGCACCAGCAGCTAAGCCTCTGATTGGTCAAGAATATGACTGACAGAGAGATTTTTTGGAATACAGGCCTCGCCCCCGAGCTCCCCGAGGACCTTTACTTCCTGATCAAGAAGGTATGTCAAAATCTCAGAAGAAGAGGAACAATTCATTATCCCCTGTGAATTTATCTAATCAATGTAATCTCCCCAGGCCGTCGCTGTCCGCAAGCACCTTGAGCGTAACCGCAAGGACAAGGACTCCAAGTTCCGCCTCATTCTGGTCGAGTCCCGCATCCACCGTCTGTCCCGCTACTACAAGACCGTCGGTGTCCTGCCCCCCACCTGGCGTTACGAGAGCGCCACCGCCTCCACCCTTGTCGCATAAGCGTATTCACGGTGTGTTGGTTTGTGGTTTTGGAGGATCGTGGTCGTGGATGAAAAATTGCTGGGTTGTGCCTAGGGTTTTACTTCCATGGGCTAGATACGCCAGATAAAAAGAAGACTATTACGAGTTATACCCCTTTCATGCCTTATGATATGTTTTTCTTGCCAAAAGGCAAGTCGTAGACTGTAGTCAACGGATCGTATATTCGTGCACATGTGTAGCTCATTTGTAGTAGATATAATATCTTCAAATTTATGCAATTGAAATCGGCACTTGAGCCTTTAGCCTTGAAAGTGGATCCCGTCCCCGATCAAATGTGCATTTACACGCAAATTCAACAGCATATATGCATCGTCGGCGCATCGCTTAGTCCGTCCTCACTTCCTTCGCAACGGCATTGCACAACTCAACTTGAACACCAGCAGAAAGAAGAATGTGGATCCACAATCGCTGCGTATCACTTAATCGATCGTTCTCTGACTTAACCTCCGCAAACATGACTGTCTTCGTCTCCGGATTCCAAAGAAAAAGATCAGGAATACCACCGCCGCGTTGTTGGTATTCTTGTGCCATAACTTTACAGATGGTAGCCAGTGCTTCACCCCGAAAACACCGCCCGATCTCAAGCAAATCTTCTAGTTCGAATGACCAGTCAATTCCGATAGCACAAGGCTGCCTGGCTGCTTCGCGAGTATGAAGTTCACGGATTATGTTCTCTGCGTCGCCGTTTGTAATCTCGACTAGTCGGTGATTGATCTCCGATGCCCGAGATGGATAGAAGACATCTGTGTGTAGATCGAGTGGACATGTTTGAAATGGTGTTTGGAAGACGTTGGGGACGTAGGTGAAGAGAATATCGTAGAAGAGAATTCCAAACTGTTCAGCAAGACTGTCAGCATTTGCATCTTGTCTTTATATGTGCTATGATGCATGAGTTCTTGCTGGAGAGGTCAGATCAGCTTACCAGAGTTCGAACAATCCCTCCTTCAGAATGATATCCTTTCCAGCCATGATCACGGTACCAGCTCAAACACATGCTTTCCACTCTACACTCGCCACCTTCTCTCCCATCAATCCATATCGTAGGCTTCCCCTTCTTCACAGGTTCATCGCGATCGATCCGGATTCCCTCGATCGTCCGTTCAATCGGCTTGCTCAGCATCACATGGCCAAAATCGTGCTGTTCTCGCTTGACGACCTTGAGAGCCCTTTCAAGCTTGGTTATTCGTTTTTGCAGGTCATAGTGAAATATCATGTGGCAGAGTGGATCTTCCAATCCTTCCTCACACGTTCGCAGCGCAGCTCGTTTCCAGAACTTGCGCTGCTTCTCTTCATTTCGGTCTTCGGACGGCATGAGCGCCCACATGTAATGCTCTTCTAACAACGCTTTGCGCTGGTACCAGGCACCGCGCCGAGCAGCGTGGAACAGACGTTGACCTAAGAGCTCTGTGATGACTTCATGCTCACGTTTGTGTTCCTTAAAGCGGCCCAGTGGTTGGAGGCTTTTGTGTATAATGCGTGTATAGACCCATGCGGGAGAGAAGCGGCGCAGATAAGCACCCTCGCCACTGTCATATATGGAGTCTTCCTTCTGCTGTTCTTCTTTGGCTAGTTCTTGCCATCTAGGATGGAACTTGTTGGCGAGATCTATAATCTTTTGTAATGACTCCGTGGTCGTAGGGCCATTGAATTCCAGGATATTGTCAATATCAAATTGGGTCCTCAGGGCAGCTTCGAATTCCAGAAGAGCCCCCCGGGATTGGAAAATGGAATTTGACCGGCATACAATGTATTCGGGGAAGTTCCTTCGAGAAATCTTGGCTAGAATTATTGTGGTTAGTGATTTCTCGGACCATTCGGTTGATCTATAGAAGACCAAATGCACCCGCTCGAACAGAGTACGAGGTCCAGTAGAGAGACGTATGCATTCGCCGGTGTAATCCAGGATTTTCTGTAGGAAATGACTTTCTCGGTTGGTAAATTCATTGGATTGTGCTTCATTCTTGAATTCCAGGCCAGTCTGTGTCTGACTGGCCTCACACAAAGCTGCCAGCAGCTCTTTCTTGTTCTTGCCCTGGACTTTGGCTTCCTTGGCGAACATTTTCAATTCATCAAGTAATAAAAGAGAGGAAGCCTCTTCCAGGGTCTTGATCTCTTGGGTCCCATCGGCAAATCGAAAATTGCCTGGAAGATCCAATTTACAGGGGTCCTGGTTTTCAACTTTGGGGAGTGTTCGATCAGACTGGAGATCAGCAGCTACTACAGACAAGTCGGATATGTCCGAATAGTAGCCCAGTCGATTGACCCGGTGCCAAGCGGATGTTTTGCGCAAGAAGAGTCGCACATATCTGATACCATTAACATATGAATATAGAGACAGACGTCTGGAGTGCATAGACATACAGATACTGCGACTCATAGGACAACTCCTTCCACTGTGCGAAGACCTCCATCTCAGATTCACTAAAGAGATGCGGTTCTTCATCCAGCACCGTCTCTAGTGCCAAGTTGAAAGCATCGACATAAATGGAACTTTTTCCCTTCTTCCAGACGCCATCGCGCAATCTCACATGTAGTCCTGGCTCTGTCTCATCCGCGGCGTGCGATGCCTCGTATTCCTCAATTGCCTGTTCATCCGTCTTGATATCAGGCAACGAAGATTCCAATTCTGTTTGACTACTTATGGGTGGATGTTCAGGCTCGTCAACTTGAGATATATCCACTGCAACGGCGGATGGACTGGGGCTTGGTGGTGGCCTATCGCTCTCATTGCTATCGGGATCGGCTTTCTTGTCGAATGTCTTTCTGCGCTTGTTAGAGCGCTGCGTCTCATAGTAATGCAACAAAGACATTCCGCCGAGGTGCCATGGGACTCCCTCTGATCAATTTCCAGCAAAGCCAAGTTCGTGGCTCTTCGCGACCGCGTTGAAACAAAACCCGATAACGACACGAGATCACGTGGTGCACTTTAACCCCGAGTGTTTGGTTTGTTTGCATGTCAAGATGGAACTAACAACTGACTTGGATTAGTGGAAAGAAGAGGGGGAAATAAGATAGAAATGTAAAGAAAGAAAGGCTTCTTTTCAATAGTTACCTGCTGATAGCCACAGCTATATAATGGCCAATGCGACGGTAAGAACAGAAAAGTTCCGTGAAACCCATATTGAGCTCCAATAATCTACCCTCGCAACTTTGCGGGAGCTTCTCAATGATCCACAGCTCCGCTCTGCGCAACATCCCACGACCACTGCAGCTCCTTGTCTTTCCTTGCCCTGTGCCCTAACTTTTATTCCTGATCCTTGAGCCTTGTGAATCTGCAGTGATCTAAACAATTATTTCAATATCTCATTTCTTTCCCGGTGCAGCCTCCGCTCGCGATACCAGCAGATCGATCCCATCCACCTACTCCCGTCGAAGAACAAGCGCAAAAACCCACATCCAGTCATACCCACACCATGGGCGAACCCGACGGCGGCAATACCCCGATGGTGGACGTGTCCAATGCCTCAGCCTCACAAGTTCGGCCAGGAGGGGCCCCAGCTCGGGAATTCTTGAATGAGAAGCTTGTACCCTATCTGCTGGAAGGGATGAAGGTTATTGCGAAAGAGCAGTGAGTGGAGATACGGCTGGTATAATCTGGGGATTTGTGTGCTGACTATGGTGTCATTCTACTTTAGACCCGCGAACCCGTTGCGCGCGCTTGGGGATTTCTTGATCCAGAAGAGCAACGAGGTGGAAGGCGAGGTCGAAAAGGACGAATAAGTCCAAACACATTTGGGTTTGGCTACAACGGCGTTCTTAGGTGCTGTCGGGGATCAGTTGGGTTATAAGGCTGATATTTCGGACCATGTACATGCGATTTCAAGAAGATTTCAAGAAGAAAAGAAAAGAAACGTCTTTCTTTTCAGCTCCAAAATGACTGCCGGGGCAATTGAGGCTTTGGATTTATGGAGCAACAAGATGGACTTTGTGATACCCAGGAAATAGATAACGTTCAATTTCAATCCATCTCTACGTTCAAGTCTACGTTCAAGCCCACCTGGGTCGGTGGCTGGCCCATAGCTATAAGACACAGTACTAGTCAACAGCTACAAAGTACATAATTTTAAACAGGTTATCAGACAAAGGCCTTAATATGAATACTTGTAGATAGTTTGATGTTACTAGTAGGTTACGGAAGTTCCTAGAAAAAGGGGAGTAAGTAGGCCACTAGGAGGCAGGGTAGCTTGCGCTAATCCGACCAGTGAGATTCCAATAGTAATCAATGCTTGCTCAACCCGAGTCAAGACAAAGAAAACAAACATGAAAATCAAAAGGGAACAGGGGGACAACTGCATCGGATTTCCATCCCAACCACAGGCTGAAAAACAAACAAAAATCAAGGTATCTCACCTTTTCAGGTAGCCCTGAAGCTCTTCAAATCCATTATCGAAATTAATTCGCCCTGCAGCACTTTTGATCTTGGCGAATACTACAAGCGCGAAGACGTGACGAAGGCGAATGGTGAAAGTAGAAAAAGGAGGCGAGATTAAAATTGGTCGAATACAACCGGGCCGTTACTTGGAGTGGTGTGCATAAGGCGAAATGTTTTGATGGACAGTGCTGGTCCCAAGAGATAACCGAATTACAGCGAAAATTGTCTTCTTCCTTGCCGCTAGAGTTTCCCGAAGTCGCGTCGCGAACAGATAAAAATTTGAGGCACATCATCTAGCGATCCAGAGATGACGATAGGAATAATCGAAAATGTTGCCGAGTCGGTCGCAGTAGGCCGATGGCGCTCCGATTATCGTTTTTTGAAGACGTGACGTGAAGAGAGAAAAAAACAAAGAGAAAAAAAAACAGAACACAAAAAAGACAACGACGCCCGTAGCCCGTCGGTCAAATCCCGCATTAAAACAATCTGAGAAAGGGAAAAGGAAGCAAGGGAAGGATAAGGGGAGACATAAGAAAGGTGGGCAGTGGAACGTTCATCCATGAAGGGAGACACCAGGGACCGATATCTCTTGCTGTTTTGAGGGGATACATTACCTGCTACCGTAACGCTCCTCACCACCGGCACCGCGGCCCTCGTAGGAACGACCTCCACCACCACCAGCGTAGGGTTCGCGAGCCTCGCGAGGAGGGGCAGCATCGTAGCTGGGAGGATTGGCATCACGGTCGTAGTAACCGGCACCACCGGCACCACCGGCACCAGCAGGGGCACCACCACCTCCACTGCTCGCTCCACGGGGTTCATCAGCGCCACCAGCACGGCGGTCGTCTCCTCCACGGCGATCATCACGGCTGTAACGATCATTGTAGCGGTCAGGGCCACCAGCACCACCGCCACCACGGTAGCTGCCGTAGTCATCGCGGGATCCACGACGGTAGTCACGATCACCGTAGTCGCGGGAACGGTATTCACCGCTGCCACCACCGCTACCACCACCACCACGGCCATAGTCGCGGCCACCACCACCACCACCATAATCGCGGCGGTCATTGTAAGAGTCGTAACGGCCATAGCGGCTGCCGCCACCGCCGTAGTAATCATCATCGCGACGGCGCCAGTTACCACCACCGCCACCACCACCACCGGGACCACGGCGATCATCATAACGCTCACCACGACGGGGAGGACCACGTCCATCTAGAGAGAATGATGAGTTTTTATTTACGAAGAAACAGACCGAAGTGACACTTACCACGCTTAGGAGGTCCGAAGTACTTGCCAGGGGTGGGAGTACGGGGACGGCCACGGCGAGCCTTCTCAATGCTGAGGGTGCGACCCTCAATGACTTCACCCTGGAGACCCTCCTTGGCAGCATCGGCCTGCTCACCAGTGCTCATGTTCACGAATCCAAATCCACGGGACTCCTTGGTGTGGGGGTCGAGCATAATAGAGCAGTTGTCCACGTCGCCATATTTCTCAAAAAGACGCGAGATATCCGACTCAGTCAGGCGGGGGTGAATACCAGTGACGAACAAGTTGGAACCAGTGTTGCTAGCTCCTTCCTCCTCAGCCATGTCATCCTGCATCAGGGACTTGCGAATGGGAAGGGGGCTGCGAGCTTATCAGAAACTGTTTATCTCATCAATGAGGGGGAAATTAAAAAAGAAAAAACATACCGTTCTTCAGAGCGACCATTGGGAGAACGGCTACGAGCGCGGTCGCGGTCGGAGCGATGCTCTTCACGGGGCTCATCGCGAGGAGAGGCACTGCGGTCGCGGTCATACCGGGGCTCATCTGCACGGACAGCAATATTATTGATTAAAATGGATCAACATCAATCATTAATTGGAGGTACATACCAGCGTAGCGGCCGTTGTCGTTATCGTAGTCTGCCATGATAGCGATGTGGAAAAGGTCGATGGTTGAAGGAGGAAGGAAAAGAGATGAGAAATCAGAGCTGATAAGAGAGCGGGCGCTAAGACTCCGGAAAGGAACAACACCCCCGAGTGCAAGTTTTAAAGTTGCGCGTCTAGAACGTCTGAGATGGAACTTCACGAAATTTGAGATATGTTGATATGAGATGTGGGAAAGAAAAATCGAGAAAGGGGCTGGCAACGGGATAATAAATAGCACTTCGTCAGAAGATCTGGCAGCATACAGGGAAGTTAGGCAATGCTGCAAGGCACTGGGCATACTGTACTATGCGCCTGTGTAGAAGTACTTATTGCCATGTATTTCGAAGCGCTTCTGTCAATATAATAGATACTTGCTAACATTCTTTTAAGAAATGCATAGTGAACGTTTCGTTCTCTATTACGTTCTCTATTACGAGAGGGAAATTCCTAATAATTGCGACTTAAAAATAGTAAAAATACATAATTGTTTCCATACCTAGCGATTAACTATGGCTGCTTGAATACCTAGTAAAATATGTGGGATCCTAAAAAACTCCTGCCTGCGCCCGTCGCTCATGAGACATGTAAAACTAAAAGAATAAGAAAAAGAAACCACTAACGACTAACCACGCAAACGACGAGTACGACGAAGGTTCTGGGAGTTTGCCCCCGTGTCAGGTGCCTTAATGGTTGGATCCAGCTCGTCATCCACCAAATCTTTGAGCTCGTCTTCGTCTAGTTCGCTTAGCTCCTCACTCATCCCGCGCATCACATCTCGGCCAGTCCAGCGTTCCTCATGGACGGTGGTGCCGATAGGATCGAAGGGTTCCATGTACCACTGGATGCCACCCTGGGCCAGAGGCAGTTGCTGATCCTCTTCGCTCAGAATCGGAGTTGGGTGGCGATGATAGGCAACGTTAATGTTTGATTTGACCTCTTCAACGGCCGTAGTCTCTGCAGCAGGATCTTCTGCTTCAAGCTCCTTGGTCGAAACGGCTTCATCGGCAGTCACAGGCTCAGTAGGGGTAGTGGAAATAGTTTGTTCCACTCCTTCCATGGCGTCAGGCTTGAGATCGGCCTGATCCATATCAACATCATGGTCCCCTTCCATTTCCAAGGATTCGCCTCGGCGAGACATCACACTATGATCAAATATCGCATCCAGCTCCTTCAACTCCTTTTCGTAGGGCTTGCGATTCAACTCGCTCTCTTTGCGAATCGCATCTTCCAGGTGTGGTTGGATGGATTTGATGATTCGTTTAGCCAGCTTTCTCTTTTCTCGTTGCTCCAGACTAAGTTCTGGGGCCCGGCCACTAATCTGCGCCTGAAGCTCTGCAGTATCGCCAGCGGGGCCTACACCGATCTCTGAGGTGAAAAGGCTGGCCAGATCAGCTGAGAAAGATGCTACAGATGGATAGAATCTCCGTTCCAGCCGCTTGCGAATCGATAACAGTCCTGCCGCAAAGACCCCCTTTCCGTCCAATCTGTATTCATGTTAGTTTACTGTACAAATTTCCAAGGCAAAACCAAACGAAAACACTTACACTTGAGCTTTCTCAAATATTGGCCACAGCAACGGGAATACGGGGAAGTAGACAATATCCACGATGCTTCGAAGCATCTCGGCGTCTTTCAGTTTCTCCCTCTCACGTTTCTTCACCTCATCGCATAGCATTCTGAGATTATCAAGGTCTCTGTAAAGTCGTTCGCCAAACTCCATGCGACGCTGCAACCGTTTGTGGCCAGTAACACCCATCGCTACGTAGTCCCGTCGTGTCATCTCCATAGAAGAGAAGGTCTCGAGTTGGAGTTGGAGTCTCTTGAGCAGGGCAGCTCCACGACGTGCTTCGCGTTTAAGTGTCCAGTACTTACACGCTTCTTCTGCAAACTGCTTCCGACCACGAACCGTAAACCTGCCAAGGCATGCCACGACAGAAGTCAGAACAACTTGTGGGATGACGGGAGCCCCGGAAGGTAGTTTCCAAATCGTTCTGGGTACACGTTTGCGCTTATTACCGCTAACTGTCAAGGTAAGACGAGGTGTGTGTGTAATTTCTCCTTCCACATCATCAGTAAGCGTGGGTCCCATAGAGAGCGCCGCAGCTTGACTGTCTCCCCACCGTTTACCATCCATGGTATTGCGGTAGTATTCAATCGCATCGGCCGTAGCAGCATCAGTGCCATGTTCCAAGCGCCAGTCTGGCGGCACATGCTTATCGCAAAATGCCTTGAGAAGATGGGAATCCATCAATCCGTGGCCAATCTTCATCTTCAGGTACAGTTGTGCTCGGCGTGCACACGAAACATGAAATGCAACGAAGCAACTCTTGTTACTGCACTGAATCGAAGCACCCATTTTCTGTTTGCAAATGTAACACATCAACTTCCACCGACTGCGTGGTACCTTTTCAACATCTGTGATAGGTTCCATGAGCGACGGATTTCCGATTGAAACCTCGGGAATCCAAATGGAACACAGCAAATGGGCCCATTTTGAGGAAGTGGTTTGTTTAAATGCACCCTCGGTGTTGGGGCAGAAAATACAGTTGGTAGTGCCTCGCCCAAGTAACTGGCATTTCCGGCAAAGCCACTGACCTTCGGGGATGAAGGGAACACCATAGCATTCTTGATGGACCGCCAGGTCACAGCCATCGCAGAAGACAATCGCATTGGAATTTTCACAGTCACCATCATCACAGATGGCACACTTGCTATCCTGTTCTTCTCCGGGTCCCGCAGTCTCTCCATTGACCGCAGCGGCAGAGCTGGAACGAGGACGTTGGGTTTGTGGAGGTTTGGGATTCGGTTTGGGAATCCTCTTCTCAAGCGCATGCCATTCCTTTTCGATCTTGGTCATAGTGATTTCGAATATGGCAGGCTTGATGGGCTCGAGCTGGTCATCTCTACGCTTAGAGTTATGATCGTCCAACCATTTCTCATCCTGTTCATCCATATCGTACTCCACTCTTCCACTTGTGGCATTAACATCGCCCTCTGACACAGCCGGTTGAATGATATCCATATCATCTTCTTGCGCGCCTTCTGTCATGCGAATGAAACGTCGGTCGTGGCGGAGAAAGAGGTCGCTTTCTTGATATCCGACATTGGCCATTGTTCGATCAACGTAGTTCTGTTGGCCAACGCCCTTCTTCTCATAAAAGGTGAAAGGGTCTTGCAATCGGAAAGACGGCTTCGGCAGGGTGAGTTTTTCTCGAGGATTGGGTCCTGGGGGCGGGATCACCTTCGGTCCCTGTTGCGCAAGCAAAGCATTGAGTATCGCTTCTGGGCGACGTGGGGGGCGCCCCGGTCTGCGCTTAAATGGAACGGGTGACGGCATATCGGGCGAGAGGAGCATGGGTGAGCCCGAGCCATCAAGGCCCCAGGCACCGGCCAGTGCCTCCAAAGTCCGCTGGTTGGCAACAGGATCAACCGTGTCCACCTCCTCTGCCGTAAAAACAGCAAGTCTGCCATCAATGTCTAAGTCTGGATGAAACTCCTCCCAACCCCGCTCCTCTCGTGGTTTGTATCCATCGCCCTGTTGTAAGGCGAGAGCGGCGGCTGTTGATGAGGTAAAGCGACCGCGATTTTGGCTCTTGTCTCGTCGCGGACGCGTCACAGATGGCGGTGTTGTTGGTACAATGGGCGGTGGGGCATGGTGTAAATGATTGTCGCGCGGGGGGCGACCTCGTGCGCTTGTGGAGTTTCGTCTCGGGGTGCCATTATTCCTCTTTGGGGGACTCATCTCTTCGAATTCTTCGACTTCATTGCCATTCATGTCGATGAACCGTCCACCTCCCCCAGGGCCGCCGGGCACATACCTGCGCCTCCTCACAGAAGATTCTTCAGGTGACTCCACAATTCTGCGCGAAGCTTTCATGGAAGATTTGGGGGTGGACCGTGAGGGCCTGCCTGAAAGAGAGGGTCTGGACATGGGCGCCATGGTTGGGGCACCTCCCGTGTGTGTTGATCGGCGGAGGGTTTGGGGCGATTAACAACCGACACGTCAGGTCGCGTTCAGGGGAGGGGGAGCTAGATGTCGTACACAGCCAAGAGGTGAAGGATAAGGGGAACAATTAAAAGAAATGGGATATCAAAAATCGTACAAGTCCAAAGAATCCGGGGTAAACAAACATGAGTGTATGGCAGACAGAGTGACCTTTCTTCCAAGGTTATCTTGGTTCAAGGCGGAGACGAGTTGGTCGCCTCAGGTGTCGATCTTCACTCTGGCCACAGCTCCGTGCGCAGCTTTCCCCGCATAGATTCCTCCTGGAACACCAAAATCAACAACTTCACGGTGATCTGTATTAGTTTTCAAATATGAGCGGCTCTGGTGAAAATAGGTACTATCGTGTCGCCTTCTTTATATGCCACTTCTAAGTGTCCGCTAACGCCAGTTGAACTTAGATGGCGCGGACCTAGTCGCCAGTCGTCGCAACGCCACTCTGGCAATGGAAACCGTGATCGTGCAGCTGGTGGACAGGGTGGACAAGGTGCTCAAGCTGGTGCCCAAGGTGGTCCCCAACAAAACGCTTCTCAGAGTGGAAATAATGCCTGGGGTGGCTCTGGTCCAGCGCAGGACCTGCATGTCTCCGTCCGGGGCTTCAATGCTGCCGAAGCTAAAAATATTTTGAAGAGAGGTAAGGCAGGGAGAATTCATGTCTATACAATATGGAGGCTGACCAGCGAGTTTTGATTCTCTTATTAGGTCCTACAGGTTAGTATTTACTACGAGTTTCCAACCTTCCACCCAATCGTATTTGGCGCTAATGAATATGTCATTACAGAAACCAAGCCGACATTCTATAAGCCGACTGGCAAAGACACAAATAACCAGCGATCGGGCGGTCCCTGGGGTGCTAAATGTATGCTTACCACTCCTTCAACATCATGTGGTCTTTGGAGATGATTACTGACATATCCAGCGAACACGATGGCAAATGGGAAGGACTTCTTCATCGAGTTACGGAAGCAAGTTGCATCCTTGCAGAAGGGTGTTGGCCCTCCCGTGGGAGGCTGATTTAATGAAGCTGGGCTTGCTTTTTTCTTTCTTCTGTTTTTGATGTCTGTTACTACACAGAGCACCGGTTATGGGTCTGGTTCATTTGCACGGATTAGAGCGGCGCATCATCGATACCCTACTATGGCGGTTTCTGGGTGTGGGAGGACTCGGATTGAAAGGACGTTTGCAGTTAATGTACTGTAACATTGCATCGGCGTCATCGGTTTTTTGAGATACACCAGGTCTGCTGTCAACTGTAAGGCAATGCCCATATGTAATATAGAGGTGAGGCATTTTATGTACTAGTAGATGGTATCAACCAGTGCTTGTTCACAAGTAGAGGGTTTATTTTACACATATTATATACAACTATTTTACAATATTTGAAGGGTATCGCTGAATATACAAGCTCAAAGAGCGGTTCCATCCATAATCCACCCACCAGGCCCTAACACTCCTCCATCATCGGCCTCTCGATCCAAGGTCCATTTGCGGAGAGCGCGACAACTTAGATCCGTCCGCCAACCGGCCTCGAACATTTCAATCCCTGCCCACCCAATCATGGCTGCGTTGTCAGTACACAGATAAGGAGGGGGCGCAACAATTTCCATGTGCTCGAATCCGCGCACGTCTAAGAATGAGCGCAGCACAGTCATAAGGAACTTGTTTGCAGCAACGCCACCACTAACAACGAGTGTCTTGATCTCGTTTTCATCGCGGTTTCTCACCCGTAGAGCTTCTAACGCAATGATAGTTCGTGATGCAAGGTGTTCAAAGCTGACGCGCATTGCCTCTCTTCCGAGGTCAACCCGTTCATTATGAGATAATTGACCTTCCCGATCTTTGACGATTTTGTTCACCATGCTCGCGATGGACGAGAAGCTGAGTTGTAGTGCCCGTGTGTTTGCAAATGGCGTAGTTACACTCCATCCCCATGCGCTTTTTCGCTTGATTACCTCCTCGCCCCGGTTCATTGGGGGGCGGTAATCTGCAAAATCTTTTGGGCCATTGGGAAAGACAAACTGTTCCAAAGTCTTGCCGTACATGGTGTTCTTTGCCTCCTGTAATAAGGCCTCGGGGAGTATCTCACGAGCCGCTTTGTCCAAAGTTTCACCTATTGCGATATCATCACTAGAAGCCATGATAGTGTGATCTATTAAAGATTTGGAGTGCACTAGAATTGAGTGACCGCCCGATACAAGAATAGACAGGAATGGGAAATGGGGTCCCACAGTTCTAGATGCCTCCACATCACTGCCTTTGTCCAAGCATGACACCAGCCGGGGGGTCAACAAGTGTGCTTGCATATGGTGAACTCCGACCAGGGGGATTTGCCAAGCAACCGAGAGAGCTTTTCCAGTGTCGAGGCCGACTGACAGGTTGGAGCGCATTCCAGGTCCCCGAGTTGCGGAGATGAAATCCGGTCGCTGGCGACTGGAGCCATCCGCTAGGTTTATCGATTTATCTCCATCCTTTGAGGCCGGCAGATGCCTGAGGGCTTTATCGACGAGATTCGCTAGGTTCTCTTGATGGGATTCGAGCGCAAGGATCGGATGAATACCGCGATGGGCTCGCGAATCGCAAGTGATATTTTCAAGGAAGTGGATTTTGGAATTGCTGGCAAATGAGCTTTGGTTCTGCTTCTCGACAATCGCCACCGATGTGTCGTCACTATCGTAGAGTTGTCTGGTTAGATTGAGAAACCGCGCGGCTGAATTCGGGTTGGAGCTCACCAGGATGTTTCAATTGCGAGGGTTAGCAGGCCTCGTCGGTTCCTCAAAAGAGCGCGCGATGCGCCTGTTGCTGGCCTGCGCAAAGTTGCAACCGAAGCTATTGAAAAAAACATTGGGCAGTTGGCAAACAGATATGCGGCGGTGACGGAGAGAAAAAAGGTTGGAACCGCACGGACCAGGAAGCCCTCAAAGTTGGCCCTAAACAACTATGTATATCATCACGAAGTATACTCCGTCTACAAGAGCGATTATGGTATTTTGGATCCTGGTTTACAATTACAGAGTACCCGGAAGGAAAATGTTATGTTGGGTGTTTTGACACCAAAATGCATATATCCCATAGTAATGACCGAATATAGTTAAAAATCAAAGGTAAACTGCAAAGTCATCAATCGGAGGCCCATTAACGTCGTAAAATAATAATCTCTTCCAACATCGATACATGATACATCATCTTCTGGTGAACTTGACACAGCACTCATGCAGTAAATAGCAATCTTCGAACAACGAGAGTACCAAGCAGCCTCGGTTTTTGTGGATTGTCGATCTGATTTGTTGGTCATTGTGCCTCGGGTCCAGCTCAATTGGATTCTTGCTCTATGTTTGACTAGATCCGAATCAGAATTCTTTGAAGGATCTGACAAGGTCATATGAGCTGCTTGGAATGCTGTGTCGTGGTCATAGCAAACCCTAGTAAGCTCGGAAGACTAAGACATTTATCATTGCAGAGGGAACAGCAATGACAGTGTAACAGGCTCTTGGTCTTGAACTTCAAGCTGCCAGGGTTTGCTATGTCTCAGCCAATATCACCGGAGTGATTTCAAAATCCAGGAATCAAATCACTCGCGAACAGACCATCGTCTTTCTTCTCGAGAGATCTTCGTATGTGTGCCGTAGTACTCATCGGGGTTCTCAATGGGTGTCACACAGTAGACTGTTGGTGTACCCTTGAATTGAATGCGCTTTTCGACAGCCCCTGAGCGTGCCGACTGCTGCTTCTTGAGAATGCTCTTGGAGGAGCATGAGTTGGTATAGCCATATGTCGGTACCTGGAGGGTCGAGAATCTTTGGCTTGTCGGGCTCGCCGTAGCTACTGGGGTGAGAGGAGTTCGAGGAATAGTGACTGGGGACTTGAGCGACAGTGTTGGCCGAGGAGCAGTCTGCGCAGCAGAGATGTTGAGTCCCAACTTGGGTCGGGTGGCGGCGCGAGCAGCATACATTGTGGCAGAGAGATCTTTCTTGAAAATTGAAAAGAATAGATGATGGTATATCGTAGTTTGCTTGCACAAGGTAGCTTTGATCAACAAAGGCACCGAGAGGGAATGTGATAGAGAAATAATTATTTTTGGACGTAGAGTCAACGAGGATACAATGTATAAAAAAAGATCAATAAAAAAAGGTTCGTATGGACCAGCCAAAACGAAGCGCTTGACGAAAATAGAAGCACAGAAAATAGAAAATCTCAAACACGGGGGATGCAAGAAGAAAACATCTGGAGTGGGGGGAAATGGGCGGCTATATAACTATCGCTTGGAGGGGAGTTGGGGAGTTGGGGAGTTCAGGACCAGGGGCCACTTGGGGCCACTTGGGGCCAATAGCAAATCCTTCTGTAAGCGCCCACACCATGCACTCGGAGGCACTATCACCTCTTCCCATCACACATTAGTTCCAACCTTACCCTCCGTTTCTATCGCCTAAACCAATCAAACCTTCTCATCCAGCTGGTCTCATATTCAACTTTAGCACCCAATGTGACAGGCGTGTGTGATGCAATCTGTAATATTGTGATATGGTTTTAGATAAACAATGGCAAGCGTGACGTTTCAATTCAGCCTATGATGGATGTATGAGTAAACGGCCCAAGAATAAAATCAAGCCGCTTTTTGACGTAGAATCTGTACATTGAACCCCTGATATCTTGGGACGCTCTCTGAACAGCAGTACAATGAGAATACAGGTCCCCTTGCTTGCAGAGTGTGTACATGTAATAAAAGCAGTGGGAAGATGTACTACCGATAATAGAACACGCTATTTCCAAACCACCCGGAACTAAGATCAGAATCTTATGGGAAATGGAAAACATGTCGTTTGAAGACCAAAAGTAGCTGTGCTATCATCGATTCCATCCTCGTCGCCGCCGACGGGGGATTGTCAATCCACAACTTATGCCCTTCTCCGGCAGAAGATGGTTCCGCCGAAGTCATGATGTGCTGACATAAGCCAACTATACCGAGCTGATCTGAGAGGGTCCCATCAGCTTTGTTTCCTTTGTTTCCCCTTCCAATGAGTACTAACCTCATTTAAGTCGCTCACATATCATTCAGCAGCCCTTAAGGAAGCTAACCAAGCCAAAATGACAAAGTTCTCTCTATTTACAGAAAATCTTCCCGATGAGTCGATACGAGAGATGGACATTCTCGACTCTTCCTTCTTCAAAGAGCCCAGCAAAAGCCTTCCGACACCAGCACAAGTGAGAGCTTTGTCAAAAGACATTCACACGAACGCACAGCCACAGTTTGTTATCTTTGAAGAGTCCAAAGTCTTCGTCAAGTTTGGCCCTCATGTCACGATCGCAGAAGCGCAATGCCTTTGGATGATCAAACGGACCTTTGGTGACGAAATACCAGTACCCGAAATTTATGGGTGGCGAGTCGACGAGAAGAACCATGTATTCCTCTATATGGAGCTTATTCAAGGACAGACGCTACAGGATGGCTGGAATGAGCTTAATAGCCAGGATAAAAGCTTACTCTGTGATGAGTTATGTCGGATAGTCAGCTGTCTACGCCGACTTGAACAAGATTCTTCCGATCAGTATATTGGTACGCCCTGGTCAAAATAAGAAGGATGTTATTTATATCTAATCATCTTTACAGGTTCCCTAAAACACCAACACCTCCTAGATTATGTTTTTCAATCATTCCCGAAAGCTGGGCCTTTCTTCACTATCAAGGATTTCAACGACTGGTTTTCCGAATTACCACAATCATGGCTTCCTACTTCGAAGAAATACAAAAACCCCTACAGGTATTTGTTACCGGATGATGGAGTCATTAAATTTACCCATGGCGACCTCCACCGAGGAAACATCATTATCTCTTCCAGCAAACCAGCTCGAATTCTTGCTATCGTGGACTGGGAACAAGCGGGATGGTATCCAGACTACTGGGAGTATTGTAAGGCACTTTACACTTGTTGGTATGAGGACGAATGGCGACGGGACTGGATCGACAACTTTCTAAGCCCACGCTTGCGAGAATTTGAGGTCTTCATAGAGTACACCATGGCAATGGGCTCGGTATGAACCACTTTTACCTGGGATGAATGCTGCTCACTGATAGGAGCTATGACCGTAGATAATCAAAGGAATATGCAACAAAAGAATGTCTGTGCCATACTGCATCTAACTTCTTCGCCACAGCCGTCCTCCGTCAACTAAATATACTTAAAGCCAACTCTGGATGAAGTCAACGTTTTCCGGCGGCCTGAAGACCGATTCCATGGCTTGGGGGATCACGTTTAGATTGAACAATCTGAATAGCTTCCGCTGCAATGAGACATTTGAAGACTAAATGGCGGACGAAGTCCATGGTCCATTCCTGACATCGCTTATTGGTGGTCTGACGCAAGATAAACAATAAGTACGGAAAAATAAATAAACAAATAAAAGTCAGACTCAGGATCTTACATCATTGACAGGTGCCATGAAGTTCTGATTGATCCCAGGAGTCGGGACCTGAGACGCAGCAATTTCAATGTTGCCTCTGGGAGTTGAGTCTTTTGTCTCCGCTTCGTCCACGGAGTCAACGATATTAGACGGGTCAACTTGGCCAATCGGGAAAATCTCATGGCGCCGGTGAGTAAGAACAGGAGAGTAGTTCCGTTTGAATTCGAGGACGTAGCCCACCATGGGTGCACCGACAGCGTGGATCAGAGTCCCTTCGAAGGGGTCTGCTGCCGATGGAACAAAAATTGCAAAGAGCGCTCGTTGAGATGAACTATTGCGATAACAGACGAGGTAAATAGTTCTGGTGGCCATGACGTTGTGAGATCCCTTTTTTGTTTAGATAGAGAGGGGAAAATAAAAATATGGGCATGAGCTGTCTTGAGTATAATTGCCCAAGAAAAGAACAAGGTCTTTCCTCTTATACCTTTCAATCAGAGCATAGGAATAAGTCGGAGTCCCAAGCAGCCTTCCCAAGCGCTTCGAACGGGAGCTAGGTATGTATAATCTTCGTTTCATATGCACGAAGATCATTCGTTCTGAGCGTTATGTAGAGTTCCGAGTGCTAGAACTCTCTTCATTTTTGGCGCCGCAGAGTTAGGGCGGAATGCTGGAACTTTGAGTAGTCAACTATCTTGAGAGGAGGAGTGCCATTACAGTTCTTGTGGTTGCTTCGGCGCTTATCTTGGCAAGCGACTGAAGGTAGTTGATACCAATCTCGTTGGCTCCAGGTAGCCTTCTGATCTTCATATCAGCCTGCATGGGCTGAGCCTCAGTATCAGGTGATCATAGGCGCTAAGCGTTTCATGGATTCGGCACGTTTCACTGAGCAGCTAGCAGCCTCCGTCTATTATGCGACCGATATAACCACCAGGTGTTGTAATGGTCCACTGGCTTCTAACCTTCCTCGATTCCAGCTCGGAATACAATCTATCCGTGGATGTACCTAGTATTTCTACTGTGCAAAATGCCGTATACGAGTAATAATTCCTCGTCAATTCTTTGACTATGTGTAGTATGTTGTATATAAGTCAATATGGCCAGAATGACATCTTCCTGAGTGAAGTTTGGAGCCATGGCTGAATCAATTGCTAGCCGCGATAAAAGAGTTCCGCTTCAACTGGGCAATGTTGGTTATCTGGTGAAACCCGAGAGCACGTGAGCTAGGGTGTCTATGTAATGTCCTCCGGGGATAATCTGCCATGATGCGCACGGGAAGAAAGCAAGACCACCCTAATAGGCAGGTTTAGGCGTTCAGCACTGCTGTCTTCTCCTAATGTGGTTTTGTACCTGAAACTTATAGCTACACTGGGTTTTTTTTTATCTTTGATTTTTATTCCCCATCATTCCCCATTATTTCCCTTGTTCTTACAGATATTCTGTAGAGCAGTGTAGACTATAGCGGTCTAGAGTCTAGACTGGTGTGAGGAGAGCTGCGGAGAAGCTTTGATCACGGAGTTAAGCCGAGATGGAAGTTGGGAGAGGGGAAGTTGACCAATCAGAGGTGTCTCCAATTCTGTTCTCCAGTTTCCAACTCCGCACAGCTTTTGTTACTCCGTACTTCACCGAGTAAGCCTGCCCCGGTTTCACCCCTGTCCTTTCGGGATCGGGATGGCTGATCCCCGGTGATCACCTGGGGCTACAGATTTTTTTTCTTGCTCGATTTCCAGATCGTCATTGGATCTCTATGGTGGCAAATCCTGTCAAGTCCCTTATAAAAAAAATAAACAATGAAAATATTTTGTTGGAAAAAAAAAATCTCATGTTGGTATTTATAAGAAATAGGCTCTAAGGGGTGAATTGGTATAATTTTTCTCGACTTGTATAAATTCCATGTGAAGACTCATAATTGCCATTGACGTAATATGTGACTCCGTACAAGGATTTCGGCTCCAAAGCCGATTGCGGGTAAATCGCGTAATTCGTATACATAAGAAATGGTGCAATTAACCTTGAGTATACAAAACATATACAATCTAAATACCCGTGATTTGGGGTTTGGCGGTGAAAAAAAAAAAAAAAACATAACCCTCGCGTGGCCAAAAATGACCTAAAAGTAGAATTCAGATACATAAACTGAACAACAGTGGAAATCCAATCAATGCAAAGATCAAAACCTAAAAAAGAAAATTTTGCATGCAATTTTCATCTATAGACAGGTACAAGGTCGAAAAGTACTAAGAGAACTTCTCGGCAAAAGCATTACAATTATCTTGCCCCGGTCAACGTTAGCTCATTCCTCTTTTGACTCCCTTCTCCACTTTCCACCGCCCCCCCCCTTCAACCTCCTTCCCTCTCAAGTGTTGTGTGGTGCGCGCGTGTCCTATAATCTTTATCATTCTGTTTTGCTCTGTGTCATAATGAGCGTCAAAGAAACCGTCAAGGAGAGATTGGTCGGCAGCACAGAGGAACCTCAGCTGTCGCACCAAGCCCGATCCAATTTCCTGCGTCATGCACAGAAGGATGAAAATGGGGAGCCATTCATGACTGAAGAAGACTTCATCAATGCTGTTGCCCCCAAACAGGAAGACTACGTATGCCAAAATCCGAATTCTAACTAGTTAGCAAAGAAACTACGAGAGGCTATAAAAGAGAACATGTCCCTAACCTTTTTGTTTTGCCAATTGACAGCACAAGATCAAGCGCGATCAGTACGGTATCCTGTTCCAGGTCGCAGACCGACGCCGACACGGCAAGCTCTCCCTGTCCGACTGGGCTACCTTCGAGAACCTCCTTACCAGACCTGATGCCGAATACGAGATCGCTTTCCGTTTATTTGACCTCGATGGATCTGGCACTGTCAAGTTCGATACCGTCCAGGGCCTTTACAACCTCACCAAGACCGCCGAGAGCATTCCCTTTGATTGGAACTCTGAATGGGCTTCGCTGTATACCGGTCGCACCAAGACGCGCCATGACATGAACTACCACCAGTTCTCCCAAATGTTGCGCGGACTTCAGGGCGAGCGCATTCGCCAAGCCTTCCACATTTTTGACAAGGATGGAGATGGCTACATCGAGCCCGAAGACTTCCAGCGCATCATTCTCGAGACCTCAAAGCACAAGTTGTCCGATCATGTGCTTGAACACCTGCCTTCCCTCTGCAACATCTCCACCGGCACCAAGATCTCCTACGCTACCGTCCGTGCCTTCCAGAACGTGATGCGCGAGATGGATATGATCGACATGGTGGTCCGAGAGGCTACCAAGAAGAGTACCGACGGCAGAATCTCTCGCGCTGATTTCCTCAATGAGGCCGCTCGCGTCACCCGTTTCTCCCTTTTCACCCCCATGGAGGCTGATATTCTGTTCCATTTCGCTGGCTTGGATGCGCCCTCTGGGCGCCTTGCCCAAAAGGATTTCGCCAAGGTGATTGATGCATCATGGCGCCTTCCCATGGCGGTTGCCGGTCAAGCTGTCGGGGCTGCGGCCGAGAAGACCACATCTTTCCTCCACAGCATGTTGGAATCAGCACACCACTTCGCTCTTGGCAGCATTGCTGGTGCCTTTGGTGCTTTCATGGTGTACCCCATCGATCTGGTCAAGACCCGTCTGCAGAACCAGCGATCCACTCGCCCCGGTGAGCGTCTTTACAATAACTCCCTGGACTGCTTTAGAAAGGTTATCCGCAACGAGGGTTTCACCGGTCTGTACTCTGGTGTCATCCCACAGCTGATTGGTGTGGCACCGGAGAAGGCCATCAAACTTACTGTCAACGACTTGGTCCGTGGTGCCCTTGCCGACAAGGACACCGGTAAGCTTTGGACTCCCCATGAGGTTCTGGCCGGTGGTACTGCTGGTGCTTGTCAAGTGGTAAGTTAAAGAATCGGGATACTCATATTGACTTTTTTTTTCAGTACTAATTGTCATTTGTCCCTTTGCTAGGTTTTCACAAACCCTTTGGAAATTGTTAAGATTCGCCTGCAGGTGCAGGGTGAGGTTGCTAAGAACGTTGAGGGTGTTCCTCGCCGATCAGCTCTATGGATCGTGAAGAACCTGGGTCTGATGGGATTGTACAAGGGAGCCAGCGCCTGTCTCCTCCGTGATGGTAAGATATTACTCCCCATACCTATCGATTGATCTTTTTGATAATGATCTAATGAGGCATTAGTCCCATTCTCGGCCATCTACTTCCCCACATACGCACACTTGAAGTCTGACATGTTCGGCGAAACTGCCACCAACAAACTTGGCGTGATCCAGCTCCTGACTGCCGGTGCTATTGCTGGTATGCCTGCTGCTTACCTGACCACTCCTTGCGATGTGATCAAGACTCGTTTGCAAGTGGAGGCTCGCAAGGGCGAGACCAAGTATACCAGTCTGCGTCACTGCGCCACAACGGTGTGGAAGGAGGAGGGCCTAAAGGCCTTCTTCAAGGGTGGTCCCGCTCGTATCATGCGTTCATCGCCTCAATTCGGTTTCACCCTCGCCGCTTATGAGGTTCTGCAGAAGAACTTCCCCCTGCCTGGCTCCCATGAGGAGGAGGGTCCCACTGGAACTGTGGAACCCGGCGTCGGAATGCCTGGTGCTAAGGCGCCTCTTCCCTACCTCCGATCAAGGAACGCTCTGAAGCTTATCCTTGACTTGGAACCGAACATTGGCCGTGTGCAGATCCCTCATCCTGAGAATTGGCCCAAGTTCCTCCAGGGCTCCAAGTAGTGATTTTATCTTCGGTTCCATATAGCGATGACCTTCGACTTGGCCCTTGCCATCTCGGTTCTTATTTTCCATTTTTTTGTGCTCCATTTAGCATCGGATTTCGACCATTTTCTCCTTTTTCTTTATCTCTCGGATTTCTTCGCCATTGACCCTTTTTCATTAGACGCAAGAAAGTGAGCTATATTTCAGCTGACTTTTCGAAGCATCTGCATGATTTTCCTTTCATCTTGTCGGATGGCTGATGTGTATTGTACCAACAGCACATAGATTTAAAAGGGTTGTGGGAACTCTATAGAAGGGGAGGTTGTTGTCGCATTGTCCCTAGCGACTCGTTACGCTCTCCAGGGTGTGCTTTGCTTTTTCAAAGCCAAACTCATCATGTATGTCAGTGCTTTCCTTGCTGGTTAGTTGGCAAGGTTGAGTTCTGTAAAATACTCTAGATCTAGAGCAGATAAAATTGCATTTGTGTTTCCAGACAAATACCTACTTGATTTTTTCAATATAAGACCTATATTAACCTACTATGGTTATCAATCTATCTTGCTATGAAATCTTTATACATGGAAATCAAAGACACAACAATTTGGCCCAGCATGAATAATTGACAAAGGGTATCGGATTCCTGTACAGCGACACTATAGCAGAAGCAGATTATAGTACATTTTTCTCTCAGCAAATTCCGATGAGAGGCGTTGAAGAGCAGATGGAAATTGCATTCATATGCAGATTTGCACTCCATCAAGGGTCTTTTGTTTCACAGGTGCAGTACCTAAACAAGACCCACATAAAGTTGTATGTTCTTGTCTAAACATCATAGGGGTAATCCAATATTTAAAAGAAGTTCAACTTCCGTTTGGGCTGGGTTGTCGTGTTCTCATCTGCACTGGCTACGGCCGGCACTGATTCTTTGGCCTTGGGAGTTTGTGTGGCCTCCATCTTGGCTTCGGTGGGCTCCTTCTTTGCCTCTTTGTTGTTTCTTTGCTGCCATAGTGTATCTTCTTGCTCGATTTCTCTCAGGACTGGAAGAAAAGATACAAGTTAGCTACCAGATCAACAGATGGATTGGAAGCCATGAAGACCAACCTTCTTCCCATTCTCGCTCCTGCGCGTCATCTCCTGTCCCTAACAACTTCTCGACATCGATTTTCTCCCCACTCTTGATCCGTTCAATGACTTCTTTCAACAATTCGATCTTGGCATCCGTAGTGCGGGTGTATGTCGCATAGCTGTTCTTCAATGACAACATACGGATGGCTTGTGATCCAATCAGAGTGAACATGACGATGTAAAATGTGGCCGGGTTCCATTCCTTAGATTTCTTGGTCTGGCGTGATTTGCGATCTCGAATGAACCTGGGAATCATTGACGTCCATACTGAGGCGTCTGCGATCTTCGGGAGTCGGTCGGAAGTAGCGTATGACCGTGTAGTAGACGCCGCATGCCGGCTTGGTAGTCTTGATGTAATCGGTGTGGAGAGAATATTCCGGCTAAGCCCTGAAGGCTTCAACCTGAGTGCCATGGCCATTGTCGTGAGGGGTTGAATATATTATGAGATCGCAAGGAAATCTCGCCCGCACCGAAACCCGCATCCACAAGTTGAAGTGAGGTTTCAGCCTGAGGCCACAACAGTATCAGTCCCAATCGGGTTTAGTGTTCGATGTTGCTACGACAACAAACGTTCAATTGGGAGTCTTTTGGGCTTTGATGATATCAGCCTCCAACAGCCTCAATTCGCCCTGTTCGATGACCGCAGCCCGGCTGCTCGCCTAATACTTGCGATATGGCGGTCACAGTCCTCCCTGCCAGCTCCATACCTGACTCTGTCAAGCTGGCCATCCGGTCAACAGCAACATGCTCCGACACCACCGTGTTGTCCCTCCAAGCCCTCCTCCGCGCATCGTCAAACCCACCCGAGAAGCCCGCGAGGCGCACAGCAAAATCCGTCAAAGAACCCATCAGCAGGCCGACAAGTCGAGCAAAGACATCCAGGACGACCAAGACAGCCTCCGCGAACGACGCGTTAAACGCCATTGTCGATCAGGATGCGCCCTTATTATCCCCCCAAGAGAAGCTTGTTCTCGCTACAGAAGTGTTCAATACAACACTAAAGACACTTACGGACGCGTTGAAAGTTCCTACCACGAAACGCCAAACCCCCACCGCCGAAAAAGCCTCCGTCAAGTCGACGGCCAGGTCCAGTCCCACCGGAGTCGATGCGGGGGTGGTTTCCGCCGCGGAGTGTGCTCGACTAGCCTTGTCGACATTGAGATCCCTAAAAAACGATCAGGGTACCAAAGAACTTCCAAATATGCAACTTGAGCAAGGCGTGTGCGTATTAGCGGGGAAGCTGATATCGCTGGGACTGAACGACATTGCGGGCAAGGAATTGAGGTCTTTGAAACGCAGAATCCAACAGCACCTGGACCTACAAAAGTCGGGGAGAAAGGCTACAACCCCCAGTGATTTGGTGGATGACGAACCAGGAAAGGAGCGCATGTCAGACCTTTTGACTTTTTCAAACATCTCGAATTCACCGGCTCTTTACGGCCTACTCGTTCAATTCCAGGCCAATGCGATGAGACTCTTCGTTTCGGACCGGAAAGCTACAACGGTCCAGAAGTTATATCCTCTATTACAACTTTCCGACCCTAGTAGTCCCGCCCAAATCATCCTTGCTGCTTTGAAGTCCGGAAGCCTATCAAATGACAAAGCCGCTCTTCAACTTCAGCTGCTTTCAAACACTGTGCAATCGCTGTGCTCTGGCAAATCTGGCCCCGGTGACGAATCGCCAAGAAACAAAGATACATTAAAGCCGATTACAGCTTTGAGCCTCCAACTACTGTCTTTGGAGATCCGATGCTTGGGGTGGAAGTTAGCTGGCCACACCTGTGATGAGAGCAAAGAGGTGTTCGATCCTCTTGTCCGCTACCTCAGTGGATTCTCTCACCGCAGTAAAGGCATTGAGAAGGCCGAGTTTGGCGCAATATTCAAGGCGATCACTAAAATCCAATCCTCGACAGCAGAGATTAAGAAACAACCCCAGGGAAGCAAGGAAATGAACTCAATGGCCAAGATCATGATCCTTCTTGGTCAGCTTGCATTGGATGCTGGTTGCTTTGACGAATCACTGAAGCTTTTTGGCAAAGCCATTACACCACTTTCAAATGCGCAAAGCCTTTCTTTGGCCACCGTTCAATGTAAGATTGCTTCCGTCTCCTTCCAGCGGCTGAAGGGCTCGGGTAAATTTTTGGACGATGCGTTGAAATCCACATCAGAAGCCACCAAAGCTCTGGGTTTGCAGCTCCGCGGTAGTGCATCTGATTTGGACGAGCTTCTGGTTGAAGCTGCTCGGCTTAAGAAGCTTGCCCTGTCCTGGTTTGGCGAGGCAATTTCAAAGGCCTCCGATAGTGATGAACAGAAAAACGAAAGTGCTTTTCAAATTCGAGAATATCTACAGGCATTCCTCAGGTTCCTCCGGCGTTATGTTGGACGACAACCTGCGGAAGACAGTGATGAAAAAGAGCACGAAATGTTCAAGACTCGTATTTCCATGTCGAAAAGTATTATCCTCGCCGCCGTTGACTCCTCCGTTGCTGTTGGAAAACTATCAATCATGTCGCAAAGACCACCGTGGGACGATATGCTCCCTATTCTAGCAGATTGCCATCGCCTGCTTACTTGTATTGAAAGCTCCGAAGAAACCAACTCCGACACCTCTATCGTTGGTGCGGGACTTGTCAAACTTTCTAATATCTTTTGGTCTCGATATATCAAGGAAAAAGAGGCAGGTCAAGGATATCGCGAACTGCTACCTCTTCTCAAACAGTCCACTCAAATAATCTTCACCTGCTCGCCATCACTTCGAACTACCGCGTTTGCCGCTCTGAAATTTGAGAGAATGGCCCATCTTTACCTGGATGCCAATATGCATGCGGATGCGGAGAAATCATTTCAACAATCAATCGCAGAGTACATCGATTCAGGTACCCTGCAGCAAATCACGGACAGCGGAACGGGGGCACACCTTACGCCAGGTAGCCAGGATCCTCAGAGTCCTGTGTTTATGCTCGGGCGGGTTCTCTCTACGTTCCTGAAGGTGAAGCTGCGCCGAAAGGGATCCAAATCTAAGTCTTCCGAAATTTATGATGATGTCGAGCTGAACTCCGAACAGAGAGGGATGCTCCTTGAGTGGCAAATGGGCCTTCTGGCCGATTTGCATGCATACAGTTCAAGCGAGGAAGAGTTCCGGTCAACTCTCACATTGGTTACGTCTAATGTTCTTGATGTCTATTCAACTGACATCCACCCAATTCGTCATGCTCGAGTGGTTCTTTCCGCTCTTCGATACTTGCTAGAGCGCCCTGGCTGCTTGGACACCACCATTTCCGAAAGACTCATGGAAGAGGGAACAGAAGCTTGCACCGCTGGAATTGAAGTTGGCGAAGATGCTGATTTGGCACCCTTTGCTCAACATATCACGAACTCTTTGAGAATCATTATTGGCTTCCATCAGGGCCAAATGGATCCTGATGACTTGGAAAACACACTTGCATCATGGACCTCAATTATTCGTCAATGCTCTGATGCGAATTCATTGCTTCTCTGTGTTCATGATATTGATTACTGGGTTCTTCAATTAAAAGCTTTGGTTGATTACACTGAGATCCACGCCCTTTGGAAATCTCAGCTTTCTACCTTGGAATTGATACTGAGAGTCGCTGAACTTCAGAAATCGGCCGATATCTCAGATGCAATCACCATTCTTTCGCGCTTGGTGCTGCAGCATTGCCGACTTGGACATTGTCAAAAAGCGGGAGACCTTCTCTCACGCGGTGAAAAATATCTCACCCAGCACAAGGTTTCTTCTCTAGCCACTATCTCATGCAAACTGGCACGGGTGGAATATCTTCTCGAGACTGGTGAGATAGACAAGGCAGCTTCAGTTCTTTCTGCCACAAAGTTACTGTACGAAAAGAACCAGACTTCGGAAGAGATGAGCAATTTGACCGTGTCCATGAAAATTCTATGGGAAAGACTTGTTGCAGACGCCACCTTTATACAATCCCGCCTGTCAACTGCCCAAGGCTCTATGACCGATGCACTCTTCTTTGCCAAGCTGTCCGTAAGGCTTAACTGTCGAATTTGGGCAAAAGTTGAGAAACTTGCTCAACGAAAACAAGACAAGGCTTTGTCTGCGGGAGGAAGCACTGATGTCGACACTGTTGCTGATGGTGTGGCCAAGCTCGATATATCTCAGAATGGAGCTTCGTCAGATGCTCCAGTCATATACACCCAAGGTGCGCCATTTTGGCCGCATCTCGGCTCACATCATACCTGTTTATTGAACCTCGCAACATTGTCAGCACACCATGGCTTATTCCAAGATGCAATCTACTACGGACAGCAGGCATTGAAGATCGACAAGACGCTTGGTGCCAACGTTCGACTTGTGGCCGCACAAACTCAGCTCGGTTGTTACTGGACTCTGGGTGGTCATGTTGATGAGGGACAAGAACTCCTTATTGCGGCATCGGACTCTTCAAAGCAGATTAAGATTAGCATGGAGACTGTCTCACTGCACATGGCTCTTGCTTCTCTTCATAAAATAAAAGGGCAACACGACAAAGCATTGCACTCGCTCCAGGAGGCTGATAAAGCTTTGATGGCTGTCAGTTCTGCTGACCTGACCAGCATCTCGGAGGCCCCAAACGTTGCTCTTCTGGAAGAAAAGATGGAGAAGTTAAAGGTGCGAAGCAGTCGTCAAACACCATCAACGACTACCGCTACTACGACTGTCCGACGCACTCGGGCAACTAGCTCAGCTACTGCGGCAAGCACTGCCAAGAAAGTTTCAACGCCCAAAGCCGCTCAAATCAAGGTCCAGTCCAAGTCTCTCATGCGACTGAAGAGTGATATTCTTCGCCAACAGGCTGACTGCTTGCGGGCGCTTCGCAAATACGAAAGCTCTGCGCTCGCCCTTACCGAAGCCCGTCAATTTGCTACAGCGAGAGAAAGCAAAGTCTCCCTCGAAATTGGCGAAAGCGAACACTTGTTGGCCGAAGCAATTCGGCAGTTTGCAAGTCACGCAGTATACTGCGTTCTCCCCGAATCTACCATCTCTTTACCGTCCCTCAAGACACCAAGCAAATCAGCAAACGAGTCGGTTGCTGCAACGGCGAAGCCTACTGCCAAGAGAGCAAGAGCACCTACCCGAGGAACGAAAGGGAAAGCTCAAAAAGCTAGTGAGGATTTCTCTACCATGCTTACCAAAGCAAATGACTGTCTGACTGGCGTCTTTGCGGATGTTACTGTACTTGGATCTACATTAGAAAGCCATGCAGCGTCTCGCTTGATGAGTCGGATTTCTATGCTTTCGCATGCCACGACTCCGGGGGGCCCTGCAACTTGGGCCCAACCTCCTGCGACCATGAATGGTAAGTTCATAAGTGCAATCTGTAAACCTTACTCTAGTCTAACGATACTTTGTGCAGAAATTGGACGCGTTGGTGCATTTGCTCGCGAGCGTATGGCTATCAATTTTGATCGACAACTGTCCGACTTTGCCGATCCCCTCCTGTGGCCTACTTCTTCACCTTCGGCTGTCGAAATGGAAGAAGAAATATGCTCAAGCTTTACTGAGCTTTACGTTGATATTCTACCTGAAAATTGGAACGTTCTGTCTTTATCGCTCAGTGCCGACGGGACTGAATTCGTGGTCTCGAGGCTGCAGAAGAATCGATCTCCTTTCCTGCTTCGCTTGCCCCTCAGGAGAGGCAACGTCGACGATGATGAAGAAGAGCAATTCACGTTTGAAGATGGGAAAGAAGAAATGCAAGAGGTTATCAAGTTGGCTAATGAGAGTGCACATGCTGCCAAGGCTCAAATTGACAAGAAGATGAAGAAGGAGTGGTGGAAGACTCGAGAATCATTAGATCGTCGGTTGGAAAGCCTCCTCCAGAATATCGAAAATCTTTGGTTTGGTGGCTTCCGAGGCGTCTTTTCGCCGCTTGCACGAGACGCTACTGCACTCATCCGCTTTTCCGATGCATTCCAGGGCATCTTGGACAAGCATCTCCCATCGCGGCAAAAGGGTACCAAGGCATCTTCGCCTCGACTAACTCTTCATCAAAATGTGCTTGAAATGTTCATTGGGCTCCGTGACCTCGAACAGTCGGAAGAGCCTGAGGACACGTTGATGGATCTTCTCTACTTTGTGGTAGATATTTTGCAATTCCAGGGCGAACGAAATGCCTATGACGAAATCGACTTTGATATGATGGTTGTTGATACCCTTGATGCTCTGCGAGCTTACCACGAAGCCGCACGAGATGGACTCGCCTCGACCCCGCCGAGTCACACAGTACTTGTTCTCGATAAGGCTCTACACCTGTTTCCATGGGAGTCTCTTCCATGTCTCCAGGGATACCCGGTCTGTCGAGTTTCCTCACTACAATGTCTCCGCGAGCGAGTGATTCAATTCCGTGAAGGTCGATCTGGCACAGTTGTGGATCGGACATCGGGCGCCTACCTCCTCAACCCGACAGGCGATCTTCGCACAACACAAACCACCTTTGAAGGCGATCTGTCTGGATTGAAGTCTTGGACTGGAGTGGTGAATCGTGAGCCAACGGAGGATGAGTTCCGCGACTGTCTAGAGTCCAAGGATCTGTTCTTGTACTTTGGTCATGGTAGCGGTGCCCAGTATATTCGTGGACGTACCATCAAGCGACTATCCAAGTGTGGTGTTGCCTTCCTTATGGGCTGCAGCAGTGGTACGCTCACCGAGGCAGGCGAGTACGAGCCTTACGGCACACCCATGAACTACCTTCATGCGGGTAGTCCTGCGCTCGTGGCTACCCTCTGGGACGTCACTGACAGAGACATTGATCGTTTCGCTTCGTCCACTTTCGATACATGGGGGTTGTTTAAGAAGGGAAAGTCTCCTGCTCAGCAGGGTGACGTTGGGTTAGACACGGCCATTGCGCGAGCACGGAGTTCATGTGTGTTGAAGTACTTAAATGGAGCGGCGCCCGTTGTATATGGAGTTCCGGTGTTTTTGGGATGATAAGCATGATAGCATGGATTTAGGAGTTGTTTGGTTATGAATTGTTCGGTTTTGCTGTATATCACTTTTTTCTTTTCTCTATTCCCCCATTCTTTCCTCTATCTATAGACATCAGTACATATGGGTTCTCCACTGTGGGCAGCGCTCGGGTTCGTTTCAATCGACATTGTTTATTTGATAAGCACTCAAGTGCTTTCAATCTTGGCTGGACTCTTTTCCCTAATCCGTGTGTATCCAGTTGCTGCTTTAACCGAGCATGCGCGGAAACCAGTGGAGCTTCCCCTCATGCGGGACAACTGGAAAAAAAACCCCGCGCAAAAAACGTCAACGTCAATATATAGTGGTTCTTCCCGCGAAAAACTTCCTGTCCGGTTTCTCTCTCTCCCAAACATTATATATTGAAGTCCCGACTCCCCCAACTATGTCCGTCACCACTAAAGCTACAATCGCCTCCTTCGGCGGCAAGCTGCTTAAGCTTAGCCACAATGCTACCACCACCCGCTGCGAGATGTCCTTCAACCTTTACTTGCCCCCTCAAGCTCAGACCGAGAAGGTCCCTGTGTTGATCTATCTGTCTGGTCTGACCTGCACGGCGGACAACTGCTCGGAGAAGGGCTTCTTCCAGCATGGTGCTAGCAAGAAGGGCATTGCTGTGCTTTACCCTGACACCAGCCCTCGTATGTTACAATCATCCCAATTCAATTATGCATTGTTGAATACCTCGAATCATTCATCTATTATTGTTATTGTTATTTTTATTGTTATTTATTTTTTTCTTTCAAAGAGAACTAAAAAAATCCAAAAATTAAGAGAAAATGTCTGGTATTAATTCATCTTTGTAACAGGCGGTCTCAACATCGAAGGTGAAAACGACGCCTATGACTTCGGCTCTGGTGCTGGCTTCTACATCGACGCCACCAAGGCCCCGTATGACCAGGGCTACAACATGTACAGCTACGTCACCGAGGAGCTGCCCCAAACCGTCTTTGCCGCTTTCCCGCAGTTGGATTCCAACCGCGTTAGCATTACTGGTCACAGCATGGGTGGACATGGTGCCCTCACTCTGGTTAGCCCCTACCTATATCTATTTTCCTTTCCTCTTCGAACAATTCGCTAACCCAGCTCGTGTGCATAGTTTCTCCGTAACCCTGGCAAGTATAAGTCTGTCTCGGCGTTCGCTCCTATTACCAACCCGATCAACTGCCCCTGGGGCCAGAAGGCGTTCAAGGGCTACTTCGGTGATGAACAGCAGGCAAAGTGGAAGGAGCATGATGCTACTGAGCTGATTAAGAAGTGGACTGGTGGTCCCCTTGATATCTTGATTGACGTGGTATGTTCAACTCCTTTCTTTCCTCTCTTTAGCTTTTGCATACGACGTTTTGGTCTCTCGTTCTAATTAATGCTCGCGAATTCAGGGTACTGGCGACAACTTCTACAAGCAGGGCCAACTTCTCCCCGAGAACTTCGAAGCCGCCGCCAAGGAAGCTGGTCTGAGCGGATTGCATATTCGTTACCAGCCTGATTATGACCACTCGTACTTCACGATGGCGTCCTTTGCCGATGATCACATTGACCATGCGGCCAAGTACCTTCTTGCATAGTGTGTTGCTTCCTTATTTCTTATGTCCGTGTGTATAGATGGGGTTATGAATGTTGGGTATGGTTGGCGTGGAAACGGATTCTGATTCGGGTCATTTCTTTGCTCAAGTGAGCGACAGGATGCTGTGAGGTCGAGTCTGTGATGTGAATGAACGCTCGGGTGGAATAATTATACATATGAAGCTTTTTGGGGAGGATGGAATTGCCTTGGAATTGCCTAGGTGGTCAGTTGGTCTAAAATACAACCAAATGAATCTCAATGAAAGTATGCTTTCGACCTATCAATTGACATCTGTATAGGGCCTGGTATGAGACAGGACCTCGGACCAGCGCCCGTGGACTTCAAAGAGTCAGCCCTGGCTGGACGTGTATTCCCGAGGTCATCATCTACCTAATTGTCTTTGCCGGTATACCAAGCCTATGTACCGACTTAAATTTAGAAAGACGTGTAATTTTTACTTCCATTGAAATGTATGATGATGACAGTAGTTGTTGAGATAGAAGATCGCCCAAGACGCGCTGCGAATGCAGGATGGCAAGGCAACAATCACTATGTACTCGAGCATTAACAACTTTTTTTTCTTTCGCTTCCTAGGGTTTTATCCAATCGGTGTTTTTGGGCTATGATTGAATGATGTGTAATGCATATAATATGGTATCCATGAAGAAGGGGGAGGCACAAGAAATGGATAGAGGGAGATGACATGTTCAGGCAGGCCACAGAAGTCACATCAATAGTCGGAACAAGGACTAACATCACCTCGTCTCCGTCAAAAGGGAAATGCGTGGGGGAATCTAAAAAAAAAAAGAATCAAAATGAAAGATGTCGTCGAAGAGATTCTCATGCGCTCAATCGCTGGATGAATGACTAAATGAAAAAAAAATATATCAGTATTGGGGTGCTCATGATGAAACATCTTCAAAAAATCGATGGAATTCACATACCGGGAAGAAGTGCCGGAATCCCTTCGCGTCCGGCTGGCTCAATGCCGCCAAAAACTCTTCAATAAGCTCCCCTCCCATTCCCATGCCTGGTAGCTCCTGAGTCCGTAGATAGTTCACATAATCTGCACCTGTCTTCAGGTAGATTGTGCGCTGAAGTCCGCCTGCCTCGGCAAGGACCTGCTTGGCCTGGGCATCTTTGGAGTTGAAGGAGGGAGTCATTGGGAGCGACCAACACAAGGGTGAGAATCGCGTAATCATGAATGCACCGAATCCGGGCAATGTGGTCTGGTTCGGCGTGGTTCCATTGGTAGAACCTTGGGTGACATCTGGCCCTCCCCAGGAGCTACCCATTTTGTGAAGCACGGAAAATGCCATTTTGGCGGTGGTGAAGTCTTCAATATCCTTGGCAAAATGCTCAATGGTGGTGATAACAGTGTCGAACATCGGTTGGTTTCCTGTCCACGTCAGTATAAGAAACTATATTACAGTCCATGAGTTGAAACATTGTAACTTACTTTCGCTGATGATGACAGCACCCAGGTCATTGTTGAAGACAGCGAGAAGGAAATTCAGATATTCACGCTTGAGCTCGGCAAGCTGAATTTCATCATCGGTTCCTGTGGTGGGATCTGCGATACCGGAGAATACTCGTTGCAAGAAGGGAGTCAAGAGAGTGTCTAGAATGCTGAAAATCTCGCCCTTGAATCCGAAAATGACCTGATCGAGGAGACGCAGGAAGAGTGCCATTTCATCTCTTGAAGAGGTCTGTGTCAAAAGCCCATCAATCCACCGGGGCAATTGGGGAAGGATGCGGGCTCCCAAGACACCAATGAGACGTGAGAAGGCGAATCTAGCAGCGGTACGAATATTGAAAGAGGCCTTGAGGGATTCGAGAGAAACCAGAGTCGCTTCTGCCACCTGACAGAAAGCTTCCGAGACCTCTGGAGCTGGGAGGTTAGACGGGGTGCTTGTACCTGGCATCCAGTCTGAGAAACCTCGCGCAAGAGTTCCAAGTGCCATGATATCATGATGAACCTGTAGTAATGCTCGCTCATCGTTGGACTTGGCCGCTTCAAGGTTTCGCTCCATGTCTGCAAAGATCGGGTTTAGCACAGACTGGGCATACAGGACTTGCTGGTTAGCGGGCACTCCGTTAGTAGAGCAGATAATACCAACAGCCTCGAACAGGTAGAGTTGGCTTGTGAACACAGCATCCGCAGAACCTTCGTGGTCCTCGGAAGACATCTCATCGCCATCATCGCCCTCTGATGGCAGTTCAGCGTGAATCACCAACAGATCCCCAAGTGCCTCCACCACTGTCTGAGCCACATTGCCAATAAAGGTTCTTAGCTGTTTCACGAGGCGCTGGAAGAGGTACCAAGAACGAGTTTTCACCCTTTTGACAGGGTGGTGGACGAGCTGGAGGAAGCTCTCCAAGACACCAGGGATGAGGTGGGTGTGGTGCTGGAAGAAGGCACTATAACGCACGCAAATCTCCATATACTGGAGTTGCGTGGCAGGATGGGTGAACGATCGAATATCTACTACAAGTTAGCTTGAAATATCCAGAATGCATCATAATAGGAAGGGTAGAGCTTACCGCATTCCACCATTCGGAGCATCATCTCGATGAGACGAGCTGCTGCAGGACCTGCAGGCGCGTTCTTCTGGTAAATACCACCGCGAGTGACAGCCAGGTCACCAAACAAGAACATCTCATGCAGAGCCAGGTCCAGATCACGCCAGTCAATTTGACCTCCCGATACTCGTAGGTTTTCAAATGTTGTGCCCACAAGCTCCGAGATAGCATCAATAAATAACTGTTCGTCGGCAGAAGCCACGATCTGTTGTAGAACACCAAGCCTCTTGCGCAGTTCCTGGAACTCAGCCTCGTCTGTCTGCTCGTCTTCATCACCCCAGTTGGAAGTCTCGTCGTACCGCATCTTCGCAATGATTGCCTTAAGAACTGGGAGGAGAATGGCTTTGTTCCGGTCCTCAAAGGTCGGGTTTGTCTTGGACAGTTTGCGGAAGTATGTAAGAAGGTCGTTAACACAGGGAATCACAGTTGAGCAGACTTCGTCATATTCATCTGAAAAGTAGCGCAAGACATGAGGCAGGAAGACCTGCAGAAGGTCATCGGCTTTCTCCTTCACTGGGCCAGTATCGGTTTCCAAAACGCGGACAATATCCATGACGGTGATGTTGACAAGCTTGGCGATTGTTTCGGCTAGGTCGGTGTCGTACTTGGAGGTGAATCGACTCTCTCGCAGGGGCGGACTGTTAGAGAGCTGGGTTATAATCGAATTCAGATTCAGGAAAACAATCATTTCAATTTTATCAGCAGGCTTCATCTTCTTGCCAATGATCTCGGTGAACACGTCCACAGCTGCATCACGAACTCGTTGCTCACCCTCACGCAACTCTTGTTTTTCAGCCCGCCCAAGTTGTTGGAAAAGAAGATCAAGCATCGGCTGGTTCACCACAAGACTAATGTCAATCCAGCTCACCCAGCTGCCAACTGCCTTCAAGCAAGCCTCTACGACTGTATCATCCCCATCCCGCCATTGTGAGAGAATCTCCTGCCAGGAGTTTGCAATTTTCTGCATATCCCGGTCGCGGATCAGATCCTTTAGATTGTTGGCCTTATCTTGCTCTCCACGGGACCGAGAGACCAGCACATCGCCAATCTCTTCATGAATTGAGTTCACCACACGCAGATAGAAAACTATTCCGAGCGGGTTATCCCGGCTCGTGCTGGCCGCAGACTTGTATGTAAGGTTCAAAAGATCGTCGATACAAGATTCCCAGCCATTTCCGTATAGAGCGGAGAAGAGATAAGTCACGGTCTGGGCGATTTTGTTTTGAATGGACGGTGCGTCGGGGGTGGCGGTCCCATTAGGCCCATAAACCTGGCGCAGATATGCCAGCAAGCTATCCCGCACAATAATCAAGGAGGAAAAATCAATTAAGCCAGCCTGCGCCGCACTATTGACGACTTCCAGGCTCACATGTCGTACGACTTCGGGTTGCTGTGGGGTTTCAGTGAAGAGGGCGAGGCAGATCTGCCATCCGGAGGGATCGGAGCGTAGTTGGTTAAGATAGTCGAAAGCTTGCGCTTTGAGGGCTTGGTCGGAGGTCGGATTCCAGGCAATCTGAATGGCATTCACTACCTAAGAAGAGCACAAGTGTCAATGCTTCATGTTGACTTGGTGAACCTTGGTGTGGAGGGGCTGATTTGGGGGCAGTGGGGGGAGGGGTTATGGGTATTTTTTTTGAGGGGTGACCCTTTTGGGCTCGAGGGTCCCAGCATGGAGCAGCAGACTAACCTGTTCAGCCATCTTCGACCAACCAAACTCCCTTTCAGACGTGGAAATGGGAGTGACGCGATGGGGTGGTGGGTGATGTGTGTTGAGTTCAAAATTGTTTTTCGGTGGAGGAGCACTTCCATGGTAAGGTAATCAGATTCCCGTGCCTGGCTCCGCCCTCGCTAACTACTTAACTGTGAACTGACCGACTAAACTGAAAGAGAAACAACGATAGAATCTTGAAAGGATCAAAGGGTTCCGTCCTTTTTGTCTCTCTCTCTGCGGTGGAAATTCTGCAGCTAAATCCCAGACTGTAGCCTAAACAGGAAATTTAGTCATATTGTGGTGCGAAACCTTAGGCAATTATGTCATCCCTAAGCTTTATAAGCCTATCTGGGTACTTGGGCACGAGCTTTGAAGAAATGATAAGCTTAGGAATTATATGCATAGAAATCAATATGAGTCATGTGTCATTGTGTACATACCACCTACTACGAACCATATATTGAATTGTATCCAAAACCAATAAGTGCTTACTTACTATCTTTAATCTCTTAGATCTCAAACCCTTCTAGTGACTTATAGCTTTAGAAGTGAATTTATGTGTTATATTATGTATCTTACATGCTGCAGTTCTGTTTTGCGCTACCACCGGGAGTGAACCCTAGGCATTATTGATCTATTAGAGAGCACTAGTTTCATGATAAAGAAATAAACCATGTGACCCGTTTTCTTTCTTTCTTCAACATTTACAAGTCCAGGCAAGAGAATTCTTGCTTTTAGCAGTTTATTCTTGTAAGAATGCATGGATAGACATTTGCTCTTTGGGCTTATACAGATTTCTAGTATCTTCAATGATCGGGTCCACAGATCTATACTCGGTACAGATCTCTCCCAACCCCGTCATTTGCGGAGGGTATCAAAGCCACGCTAAATGCCACTTACAAACCAACTCTGACTTAATGTCTTTTTTTGGGGGGTGCTTTTTCAATATTCTTGGTATAATGTGATAGCGTTTATTCAGCGCCTCTTATGAGAGGTATGGTCCTCATGAGAATGAGACCCAGAGGCATGGGCATGGTCATGATCATGGTCATCAACAAGCTCGGGGTTTGCTCCAGAATCCTGGGAGACAAACTCCTCCGAAAAGGTAAGCTCCTGTTCCTCCACGGGGACAAAGCGAACCTTGACACGCTTTACTCCTCGAACTCCAGAGCCGATCGTTTTGCGAACAGCTTCTTCGATCACTCGAGAGCGAGTGATAGCCCAGGCTCCCGGCACGGCAAGCTCAATATCCATCAGGTAGTTTTGTCCAGACTTCATACCTTGGACATCACGAACGATCACCTGCTCTCCGTCTTCAACCTCCTTTAGTGCCTTGGAGGCAGCAGTTTGGACGGAGGTTTTAATTTCATCATCCACCGTGGTATCAGCCAGCTCCAACAGGGCAGTAATAGTGTTACCCCATCCAGCCTTAATGACCATGAGAGAGATCAAAAGGCCACCAACCGGATCCAGCCAGGTGGCGTCTTGGAAAACATAACTTCCACCAATCGTGGCCAAGGCGACAATGCTGGTGAGTGAATCAATTCGGTGGTGGATGGCATTGGATGCAAGCACGGACGACTTGCGCTCTTCGGCTACTTTCATGGCTAGTGTGACGTTAGTCAATATAATGTGGCTTATTATATACCACACCCAGCAGGGTACTCACTTGCACGGTATAGCCACTCCTTGACGACAATTGACCCTCCTGCTATCCAAGCGGCATGAATGCTAGGGCCCATCACATCAAGGCCATGGCTGTGTGAATGTCCATGTCCATGTCCGAGTATTCCAATATGACCAAGAGTTTCTGCCAAGTCCGGGTAACAATGGGCCAGCAGGACCTGTCCTGCATTGAGACCCATAAATACACCACCACATAGTAACAGTCCACTCACTCCCAGAGCACCGATGCTCTCCACCTTTCCGTATCCATGTGGGAATTGTTCACTCGGGGGTTTGAGGGACCATGCGACCGTTCCCAGGGTCAAGAAATCGGAGACCAAGTCGGTAAGGGCGTGATACGCGTCGGCGATCAGGGCTTGTGAATGAAAAACGTAGCCTCCAATGAATTTACTGATGGCCATTGCCAGGTTGGCAACCAGGCCAATCCGGGTAATGCGCACACCGGCGTCATGTTTGTTTGTAGAAGTCAAGTATACATTGTCGTGATGGTGGTGGTGATGGCCGGGGCCATGGCTGTGGCCGGCGTGGCTTCTGGTTTGCGTCATGGGGAACGAAGTGACTGACTCGAAGGAACGAGGTCGAACCTGGGAGGGAAAAGGTTTGAAAGATTTAAAGAGCGAAGGCAAGGAGGTAAGTACCCGGCGTTGGTCCGAGCCACGGGTGAGCTTGATTCGAGAGTGGAGGGAGGGACGAAGCCTGCACCGCAGGGGCTGTGTCAGCGGCATCGTTTTAGCTCGAGGCACGCGAGCACAGGCAATCGGGACAGGGTGTTCTCTTCTGGGTCTCAATATCCATAGCCCCCAACGAGAGAAATGTTTTTATTTTTTCTAGATTTTAGATTGGAGGTTGTAGGTGGTGGAAAAGAGATGATCGAGAAAGATCATGTAATCCGGCAGATACGGATTTCAGATGCGCTGATGTGCTCATAACTAAATTACCACTTTTCAAAGTTCTTTCCCTATACTGTATACATAAGATGATCCTGGGTGATCTTGGAATCCAGCCTCTTATTATTGTAATTCCAGAGGGATATTTCATTGATTGGTGGGGATTTTATTCTTTTTTCTCTCTGACATTCTTGCCCTTTGTTTTTCTATACTAGTAAGTATCTCCTTGTACTTAATTATAATTTTTAGGCTGATCATTTGTGTAGTTATCATTGGCTTACGGATTTGATCTTTCCCATAAGCTTGTTTATAATACATGACAATATAGTAAAATACGCCCAAAATACATCCTAAACACACAAATATGATGAAACTTGGATACAATACCCGTCCTGTGACGCGGAAAAGCCAAGCCAACTGCCAAGACCCATTTACGCAATCTTCATCTTCTCCGGACTTTTCTTCTGCCAAGAGAACTACATATATGTACTCCGTACCTCCGGAAGCTACCAGGATGCGTCCTCAATGACGACGCCTGCTATTCGTATCCCCTTTACGGGTCCACTCCCGCCAGCCATAATATTTCCTCCGTCTGCTAAGACTGTAGCCGGGGCCATTGATGCCGTCACTGCCTTCTTCACCGCCCCACCGTCCTGGAATCTGCGAGGCATTGATGTCGGAGGGCATTCCCAGACTGTCTTATTGACGGGCGCTGGGATCTCTGTCGCATCGGGTCTGTCAGACTACCGGGGCGATCAAGGTACCTACCGACGTAATCAATCATACCGGCCAATTTACTTCCATGAATTTTTATCACACCATGAGTCGCGCAAACGGTATTGGGCGCGTAGTTTCGTGGGATGGCCTGGTCTGGTGAAAGCACGACCCAATTCAACACATCGAGCCATTCAAGATCTCGCTACCAAAGGATATATCAGCTCGGTGGTGACGCAAAATGTCGATTCTTTCCACTCGCTCGCCCATCCCGAGCTATCTACACTCGAACTTCATGGATACCTACGATCCGTCGTTTGTACTAGCTGTCGCAACTACTTCTCTCGAGCAGATTTTCAGTCATCACTTGAAAGGTTGAACCCTGCCTGGGCTGAATTCCTCGCTCGCATGATTGAGCAGGGTGCCCTTGATACAACCAACCCGGACGAACAACGTCGCAAGGGTCTGAAACTAAACCCTGACGGCGATGTGGATCTTGCAGAAGCACCTTATTCTACCTTTAGATATCCGGCATGTCAGACCTGCTTGGAGAATCCTCCTACCCTGAAAGATGGGTCGAAGGGTCGTGTTGAGGTTGAACATGATGGTGCATGGATGCTGCCATCCAATGCCGGGATCTTAAAGCCTGCGGTGACCATGTTCGGGGAAAACATCGACCCAGCCGTTAAAACAGCTGCCGAGGAGGCCATCGATGATGCTGGGCGATTACTGGTTCTCGGAAGCAGTCTAGCGACCTATTCAGCGTGGCGCTTAGTTGAACGAGCTTATAAACGGGGAATGCCCATTGGAATTATCAATGTCGGCGGGGTCCGAAACGAGGCTATGTTGTTTGAGAATCTGGATGCCAGCTCAACTGCTCATGTTCGGTGTAGTCTTCCTACACAGTCGATCCTCCCAGCCGTGGTATCTGGACTGCCCCGGAACACAAAATACTAAAATGCCTTTGAACTTCATGGAAACAATATGGAGCCTATAAGACGATCAAGAAGATTCACCAGCATATGTAACAACGGACTGATCTAAACGAACTCAACCTATAGCACGAAAAAAGAGGAGGTTTTTTTTTCTTTTTCTCTTCTTTTTCTTTTTCTTTATCAAATACCATCATCTTGATCACATTTGAGAAAATATAACAAGAATTACATCTCCTCAATTTTTTTCCCCCTACTCGTAGGTCCAGATCGATCAAGAAATCAGAGAAAAGTGAGTGGAAACGCTCGAGTACATAAGCCGTGGCGGTTTGACTCCCGGCCCACCAACGCGGGGTCCCTTCCCATCACAGCATGGAGCGACTCAGGGATTCTGCAGTCCGCCCTTTAAAGACTACACTCGTCTCTCCCGGTTCTTTTCTCTTCTCTCAACCTGTGAAGCCATCGGTCTCGTCACAACCACTCAGAATGGATAAATCTCAACAACCCAGCTCCTTCCAGCAGTTGGAAAAGGTTAGCCGCCCTTCATGTGAAATCCCCGACCTAGCTGACATCTTATCCTGGTAGCTCGGTGAAGGCACCTATGCCACTGTACGTTCCGTCTCCTCCGTGGCCTCCGCATGCCTATTTCTTACGCCTGGAACCTTTTCCGCCCTTTCACTTGAGTTTTTGTCGCTGATGTAAGATGATCGCAGGTTTTCAAAGGGCGCAACCGCCAAACGGGCGAGATGGTTGCGCTGAAGGAAATCCACCTGGACTCGGAAGAAGGAACACCATCCACCGCTATTCGTGAGATCTCGTTGATGAAGGAGCTCAAGCATGAGAGTATTGTGTCGCTCTACGATGTCATCCACACGGAGAACAAGCTCATGCTTGTGTTTGAATTCATGGACCGGGATCTCAAGAAATATATGGACACTCGAGGCGATCGGGGACAACTGGACCCAGTCACTATTAAGTCTTTTATGCACCAACTGCTGAAGGGCATCGCTTTCTGCCATGAGAATCGGGTTCTTCACCGAGACTTGAAGCCACAGAACCTATTGATTAACAAGAAGGGACAGTTGAAGCTTGGCGATTTTGGCTTGGCTCGTGCCTTTGGCATTCCAGTCAACACTTTCTCCAACGAAGTTGTCACCCTGTGGTACCGGGCACCCGACGTCCTTCTGGGAAGTCGCACCTACAACACCAGCATTGACATTTGGTCAGCCGGCTGTATCATGGCCGAGATGTACACGGGCCGCCCACTGTTCCCGGGCACCACCAACGAGGACCAATTGCTGAAGATTTTCCGCTTGATGGGAACGCCATCTGAACGGTCGTGGCCCGGCATCTCTCAGCTGCCAGAGTACAAGCCCACTTTCCACATTTATGCGACGCAGGACCTGGGTTTGATCATCCCGCAGATCGACCAGCTTGGATTGGATCTCTTGAACCGCATGCTGCAATTGCGCCCGGAGATGCGTATCAGTGCCAGTGATGCCTTGCTACACCCGTGGTTCAACGATTTGCCTCAGGTTCAGGTCCAGCACCAGCAGCAGCAACAGCAGCAGCAACAGCAATTGGCTGGCTACGGCGGCATGGTTCCCCCTCAGCCAGCCTACTGAAGGCGGCAGAATTGCGCATGACGAGATAACGAGCTCGATTTAGACGATCGGAAATGGAAGGACTCGGCGTTGCACCCAGGTACTAATGGGATTTTTTGAAAGTTTTTATTTATTTTCCTGTGTCACTTTCGTTTTGCTTGTCCATAATACGAGGAACACAATAACAACAAAAAACAAGAAGTGAATGGCCTGGGATTGCCGTAAATTGATGGCAACTTTCGCAGCATCAGTAAGGAAATGGAAATATCTTCTACCTTAAATGAACTTCCAATATTTGAATCATACCCAGCTTCCTGTCGATCTCTTCCAAGGCTCCAAGGATAGCACAGTTGTCTTGTCTCACCTTGCCTTCGAACACCGAGTAGGCGAGTTTAAATCATGGCCAAACACTTTGGTTCGGGGGTCTGTTTCTCATGCCCATCTTGATTTGCTCTTGAAAATTTCCCAATTTGTAACATTTGGAGTATTTGTGCTTCATCGCCCACATTATGTACTAAAAGTATCAAGCTCTCAAGATATCACTAGAGCCTATGGCAAAAAGCTCTGCTCTATATCGGTCAGAGAATGGGGATGCTCCTATATAGTTGCCTAGTGGGTCACACGTGACATGCGCGTCGCGCTGCTGGCAAGTATCCCCAGGCCTAGATAATCCAAATTCCTCACCAAACAACACTCCTCTAAACTCACGCCAGGCGCATTTACGCATCAACTTCGGATCCATTCAGCTCTAGGCGCTGATCACGGAAATAATGGCAGAATCAAATTCCCATTCGACGCAACAGCAACCACAAGCAGCATCGACCTCCACTCCCCCACCTGCCCCGGAGTCGCAAACCCCCGGACCTCGCGCATCGCGTTTGATCCAGGTCTTTGATCAAGCTCTAGCAAGGACCCTTCGGGCAAATTCCTATTCTAATTTTGCAAGTTGTTTCCCTACGCCTGCTCGACATGTCCCCGCTAGTCTGGAAAGCGTGTGGAGACAATTGAACGCAAAGCTGGAAGAGGGTGCCAAAGCGGAGTTCGAGGAGATTATCGCTGAACGGGAAGCAGTGAAGCATATCAATGACTTGGATCGGTTAGTAGCAGAGGCGAGGATCAGGAAGGAGAATGAGGAAGGGAATGGGGATGGGAATGAGGCCCAATTAGGCGATGCGTATGTTTTCCCTTCGGTTTCTTTGAATCGACGTTACTTGGGTCGAGTGTGGTCTTTTCAGTTTTGACCCGGTGCTGACATTCTGGTTTTATAGTCCTCATACACTTGGTGCCGAGGAACTCTACAAGGCACATTTGACACCATATCTTCTGGAAGCGCAATCTACCCTGAACAATCAGCTCGAGGCTACACACGCGCAAAATGCAGAACTGTCGCAGACTGTTCAGGCACAAAGATTAGAGATTGAAAAGCTTTTGTCTCATCTGGAATCAGTTGTTACGGATGTCGAAGGTGCTGCAACAGCGACCACAAAGTTCAATCAGGAGCATCATATTCGTCAAGATGCGATCCAGATGGACGAGGAGGTTAACCCCCAGTCAAGTCTCAAGGGATAAATACCTCATTGTGGTGTTTTGAAGAGAGAAAAAAACCTGATAATTACTTTGGTGCTGTTTATGAGATCAAGGTACTCAACATAGTTCCCTCAACCAACCCGTCCTCCACCATTTCCTGGGCCACGCCTATCAATTTCTCCAAGCCCTGGGCTTTGAGCTGGTCCAGCTTGCTCTTTTCCCCTTCCAGTGCAGCTGCAATTGCCTCCTTGTACGATCCATCACGCTCTTCGTCCGCTGCTCCATCTCGGCGCGCTAGGGCGGCTGCTCCTCGGTAATAGGTCTGAGCGTTCCGCACAAGCATAGCCCCATTCTGTTGGGCGATGGGATGGTTCCATGGTTCTGTTCCCAATCGCCAGCGGTGCATTTCGACATCTCCTCTCGCGAGATGAATTTTGGGTAAATTGTCGGCACTGGGTAATTTTGATGCTGCCGTCAATGCATCCAGGGCGATCGATAGTGATTGCCAGCGAATACCTAGAGAAGTTTTGAGCTCTTCAGGTTCATAAGGAGGGACATCGGCAAAGGCTCCATTCATCGATGTCAGAGCCTCAGCTTTGCTGCAAAGTCCCTCGGGATCCTCCGATACATCCAAGTCCGGGCCAAAGGCCTGCCCGACTTCTTGTCGGTAGGTCTGGACATCGGTATGTCCACCCCGGTAGAGTACATCATGCAAGGCACAAATGAATTTACCGCGTGCTAAGCCCGCTTCATACTGCCTATCCGAACCTTCCACATATGCTGGAAGTCGGGTTTGAATCAAGCCCGTAGAATACTCTTGCACCCAGCCCACGCCACCAGCATCAGGGTTGAATGTCAATAAATTGCAGAGATTGGTCAAGGTGTTGATCTGTGCCACTGCGGTGTCCACTAGCGTGTTCTTGGTGACGGGTTCGACAATTGCAGCCCACTGCTCTTGTGGATCATCGTTGGACTCTGCCTGGTCGGGTTGAGATTGTTCTGGCTGTGGGGTTGGCTCCGGAGCCTGAGATGATGGGTCGAATGATTGCATTTCTTCGATCTGTTCTTGCATCTCAGAGTACTTCATCTCCTGCAACACCAGGCATCTCTGGAATAATTCAATGGCCTCTTGCAAATAAGTGCTGGCCTGCATCAATTGCTCCTCCCCGGGGTGCTTGGAGTCGGACAGGATCTCTGCCAGACTGTTTAGCACCTGCCCGCTGTTGAAAAGGACATCCGCATTATCCTGGTCTAATCTTAAGGCATCCCGATGGGACTGCAGCGCAACCTGGAGAATGTCGGCCTGAGGGGCGGGAAGCTGTGCAGCCAGCTTGGGATGCTGAGTGATTTCATATTGCACACGAGCTCTATAAACGGTATTAGCCAAAAGAAAATAGATGGAAATTTGCTCTGTTTCCAGATTCTAATAATATGAATGGACATGTATGGTAATCTTCTCACATACTTGTTGTAAGCCAAGTCAAAGGCCAGTGGATGTTTTTGCAAACCCTCGTCATAGTTGGAAATGGCGCGCATAAAGAAGCGCATGGATTTAGCGGCATCTCCGGCCCGCCATTTCTCCCCAGCCTCTTCTAGCTCAACCCCAGCTATAAGAGGGATTTGCATTAGCGTCATAACGGGCCAAGGGAGCCGATATGTATTTGGTCGGAAAGATTCTTACCAGCAAGGAAGTCATCAGCTGTGACTGGTGCCTGTTTTTTTTAAAAAAAAAAATCGAATGACGTCTTAGTTCCCTTGCACCAAAACCTCAAGTTGTGTATAATGGAAAAATCGGGGATAGGTATACCTGTTGTTTGGCAGCTTTTTTCTTAGGTTTAAAATCCTTGATCAAGGACTTGTGTTTCCCCATAGTATAGTATCAAAGTTGAAGTATCAAGTATGAAAGTATCAATGGAGGGGTTTCTGGACAAGTTTCGGAAGTGGAGAGCTTTTGCTCCGGCTGCCAAGACTTTTAGCTACATTTTCTCTCCTTTTTCTTTCCCTTGATTTGACCCTTTTTTAACTGCTTTTTTTCTTATTTTTGTATTTTCTTATTCGTACGGAGAGAATTTAAGATATTAACATTTATGACAATATATGCATCTATGCATCTAATGCATCTATGCAATGTATAAAGCATTGTACAAGGCTTGTATTGCAGATCCCGTTACAGTATATACCGAGGTACTTATGACCCTGGTTCTGTACTATTACTTTATCAAACGGTTGAAAGTAACAACAATCTCATACAGTAATTTCAGGGTTAAAACAAAGGGGGAAAAAGGAAAAAAAAAGAAAAAAAAAACTGGGCTGATCCGCACGTGGCAAAGTTCCACTAGGGCATTTTAACTTAAGAATCATATTTAATGTACTTTCTTCAATGTTATAGCTTTTGGTCATATGTTGATTTCCTCCTTTTATTTATTCTATCTTGTCTCTATCTTTTTTTTTTCATTTCCTCAAGTGGACCTTATTTGGACTGTTTCTCTAAATTAGAGAAATCGAAGGATCGTCCATTTACCTTTTGGCAGTGAGTACTTGCAGTCGATCCCTCTCCATTTTCCCATATGCGCACCCCCACCGTCGGACTGTGACCCACTCGCGCCGTTTTGGCGCCTCCTGAGTCGCCTGAGTCGCAACCAGAAACTGGGTTCCTCCGTGACTGCATTGGTTTCACTCCCGTCCTTCGTCCTGTAACTTTTTCTCTTCCAGACCCTTTTTTCCCATTTTCTTCCCTTCAGCAAGGAAAAAAAAAACCACTTCCAAAAGAGAGATTGGCCCCGTCAGAGTATGTGTTAAATATACAATTTTCGACAAGGGTTAACCTTGGGGGCGGGAAACCCCGAACCCGAAAAGCAAAAAAAAGATCGCTTATGCTAATCTATTTATTCTTCAGTATTTCTCTCCAGTTCATCACCGCCCCGAAATTTAACAAACCCCCGACAACTTCCTCAAATCCTTGGGTGTTGTGGAAATGACTCGCCAGACGTCTCTTGACTCCGAGCGACCCATCATGACGAACTCGGTAGGAGTTTTGCCCCCCCTTTAACAAAACCCCTCCTTCATCCGCCAACCCCGACACCCCCGAAGGCCCTTTTTTTCTTTCTTTCTGGATATGCGCAAATATGCCTCTAACACATCTTTTTCAGAACCGCAATTCCAAGCGATTCTCCACTATTAGTGGAAGTCCCTCGCTCGCTGCTTCCGAACGCACTATTGGAAGCCTGCCCAGTGGAGACCCTCGAGTCGCTGACATCACCCACCTCGGCGATGGTCTGGAGCGCCTAGAGAACAAACCCCTGCAGGCGCAACGCTTCGTGCCCACCGCCGAAAAGTCCGACAACCTGAACAAGCTGGCACTCGGAGCCAAGGTGGAGCGCGCCCTCGGACGACGGATGACCAGTCAGGATGCCGTCATGCGCAAGCCTGTGATCAGTGAGAAGGCTTCTGCGAGCACTACCGCTTAGGCTGCATATCGACTTCAATTCCGGAACACTATGCGACGCCCATGTTCTTTTTCTTTTGAGACTATTGGGATGGTCTGGGCTCATTTTTCCTGATATTTTCGATTTCTTGAGCACTCTGTTCATGCGCTTCTTAACCGAGGCACTCCGATCGCTTTTCACTTTGTGACAGTAGTTTCTTTCTTTCTTCTGTTTCTTTTCTTCTCTTTCTATTTTTTTTTTTCATTGTGCCGCTCTCATGTGTTTTTTTCTTTTTTCCATACCCCCTTCCTTCTTTTCTTGGTTTTCCATGGCGTTGATCTTAATGATATTACCATAACCTTCTTTCATCTATAGTGTATGAATCCCTAGACTTGAGTTCTTTCCACTGCTCTTGTCCAAATGCTTCTTCGCCTATATAACATACATCAATATGACCTCAAGACCAGCTTCGTCTTCAATCGTTACCGAATGACCCGATTATTCTAGAGCCTGGAGATGAGCTTGTATGGAAAGCTGGAAAAAGGGTGGGTGTGATAGCAATTATAGGATTTGAGGGTCCAGCTCACCAAGATTCAAGCTTGAGGAGCTAATGAAACTCCTATTCAATCAATTGCAATGGCAATTTTCATCTCTGACTTGTATAGATCGCATAGATCGCATAGATCCCTACACCTAATCCCTTTTTTGCCGGGCGGTGAACGTGTGCCAAGCCCACCGAAACCCGCACGGAGTCGCAATCGAAGGAAGTCGCTTTTTCTTCGAAGGCGAATTTCCCCCCTCAGAACTTCATCTCATCCTTGTTTGCTTCCCCATTTCCTCTCCTCCATCCTCCCGTGTACACTCTATCTTCATTCCACTTCCTCCCTACCCATTACCTCTCGGCCATCTCTCCCGCGTGCTCCCTCACAGTCGCAGAATCTTTCCCGTGAATTCCCATCGCACCTATACTTCCCCGAACGACTCTCCGCATCTCAATCGAGAAAACACCATCCTCCGCTTCTCCGGTTCCTTTCTTATCTTAACTTCACTTTCTTACTTCAATTGATTGCATTGGTTTATCGTCTTTTTCGCATTTGTGAGTCACCAGTCACTTCCATGAGCCGAGGCCAAACTATTGTGGGAGATTACAGAATTGACCATGTTCTAGGGAAGCGAGCGGCGAAAAAAAAAAGGTTTCTATACATCTCATACAGCTTGATTCGTTGTAGAGGTCCATCCAACGTCTTTCATTGGGTGCTTTTGATATTCTCGTCAACCCACACGCCACTTTCTATAAATTTCAATCCCGTCAACCCATCCAAACTTCCCCTCCAGCATCATGGCCGACATGAACCAGGTCTCTATCAACGGCAACTACCCGGCTCAGCATGCCTACCCAGAGAGCTTCAACCCTGCCCATGCTACCATGAACACCGCCGCCAACTTCCAGCCTGGCCAGTCCTCTACTCCCACGACCGTCACTCCCACTCCCACTGAACAGCAGAAGAATGAGATCACCAAGGATGAGGTGGGCTGGTTCTTTGTTGAGCAGTACTACACCACTATGAGCCGTAACCCCGATAAGTTGCCTCTATTCTACTCTCGCCGGTCCCAGTTGGTCTTTGGTACCGAGGCCGAGTCGGTCCCCGTTGCCATTGGCACCAAGGTAAGCTTCAATAAGCTTGATATAATTCCATCATCAGCAAATGCGGTGGGGGAAAGACCGCATTCTTATATTGACCATTGTTTTTTTTTTCAATAGGCCATCAATGATAAGATCAAGGAGCTTGACTTCCAGGACTGCAAGGTGCGCGTCCTGAACGTCGACTCTCAGGCCTCCTTCGACAATATTCTGGTTGCGGTCATTGGTGAAATCTCCAACAAGTCCGAGCCGTCCCGCAAGTTTGCGCAGACCTTTGTGCTTGCCCAGCAGCCCAGTGGCTACTACGTTCTCAACGATATTTTCCGGTACCTGTCAGACGAGGAAGAGTTGGTGGAAGAGGCTGTTGAGCCGGTCATTGAGGCCACCGAGGTCCCCGAGCCTGTTGCTACCCCCGAGGCTCAGGTGACTGATGAGGTCGCTGCCTCCAAGGTTGATGAGAAGCTTGAGAACGAGACCAATGGTGTGGTTGAGCAGGCCGAGGAGACCGTTCCCCAGACCAATGGCACCCCCGTCGAGGAGGTCAAGGAGGTCAAGGAGGTCGAGGAAGTCGAGGAGACTCCCATCCCTGCCGTTGAGACTGAGGTTGTGAACGATGAGAAGCCCGCTACTCCAGAGCCCACTCCTGTCGCCGTGCAGAAGGAGGCCCCCGCTGAGAAGGAGTCTGCTCCTACTCCTGCCATCCCCAAGAGCTGGGCTAGCATTGCCTCTTCCACTAAGCTGGGTGCTGCTCCTGTTGTCCCTGCTATCCCCGCTGCTACTCCCAAGGCTGCTGCTCCGGCTGCCAGCGCTGCCCAGCCCGCCGCTACCCCGACCGCCGCCGCTGCCCCCGCTGCCGTTCCTGCCGCCGAGACCCGCTCCCAGGATGCTCCTTCCGCCGATGCCGCTGGCTGGCAGACTGCCGGTGCTGAGCACAAGAAGACTCAGTCCCGTGCTGAAGAGCAGGTCGTCTTGGGTTACATGAAGAACGTTACCGAAAAGGTCGACTTTGCTTTGCTCAAGCAGACTTTGTCCCGCTTCGGCAAGCTGAAGTTCTTCGATATCAACCGTCCCAAGGTTCGTAGATGTCTACTTTATATCCGTCCGAAATATAGCGTGAAACCTTGACTAACTCGTCTTTTTAGAACTGCGCTTTTGTTGAGTTTGCTGAGCCTTCTGGCTATGCTGCTGCTGTGGCTGCCAACCCTCACTCGGTTAGCGGTGAACAGATCCTCATTGAGGAGCGTCGTCCCCGTGGCAACGCGTTTGGCGGCAACGGCTTCGCTGGTCGTGGTGGTGCTCGTGGCCGTGGTGACCGTACTGGCAGCCAGGGTGGTCGTGGTGGTTTCCAGCGTGAGGGCCGTGGTGGCTTTGCTCCCCGTGGTCGTGGAGGCAATGTGGCTGCCAACAAGGGCCGCAGCCAAACCCAGGCTGCTTAAGCCTAAGTCTCTTCTACTTTATACATCCTCTTTTTTTTTGGATGGTTTTTTTTCAGGATCTGTATTACTCCGATTTTGATTCTTCTCCCCCCCCCCTCTCACATTTTTTTGACTGTTGGGTGTCCCCTCTTTTCCTAATGACATGTGTTATGTGACGTCCCCTTCCCCTCCCCTTTCTTTCCTGTCACAGTGCATATTAGCGGTTGGGTCCGGGTTGGCTGGAAAAGTTGTGTATCTCTTTCCTTCCCTCTCTCTGGGCATTGTTTTTTGTGATTTTGGTTTCCGATCCTATCTTATCCTCTTTTCTACCTTTTTGTCTACTGGATTTCTCAATTGTCTTTTTTTTTCTTTTTCCCCTGGTTTGGTCTGGGTTGGGCTGTCGTGGCTATTCTGACTTGACGATTCTTTTGCCCCAATATTTCCTCTAGTTTTGTGCTCCACAAGACTTATTCTCGCATATTTTTTTTTTATCTCGCATAGCAAGCTCCCGGGTTTTGACGTGTTACACCATATGGACCCCCCTTCTCCTTCTTTTATCTGTTTTAGTTTATTTGTATCTTTTTGCTCTATGAGAAGAGAGGAATCATGGCTTGAGAGGTGTAAATGAAGAATAGGAAAAAAAGGAGGCTTTGCAAGATATGGAGTATGCAATATAGGAATCTATGAATTGTGTAGACTGTGATCTACAGTACTAATTCATATTGCTATGACTCTCTACTAGTACTAGTAGGGTATAGATGAATGTTCAGTTGAAACGTTGTAAGAAGGTTCTAGATATTGGTGCCTTAAGGCATCCATCTCCAAAGCTCTCCCCAAGTTGAAAAAAAACGCCATAGATTCCCATAGATTCTCATAGAAACACTTGGATTCTAAAGGGGAATTTATCGGGGAAAGCATAGAAAAAGAAAAAGAAAAAAAGAAAAGCAACTGAATTACCTGTTCATAGTAAAATCACATATAAACAAAGAGAAAGCCAAGAAGAATCTAGAACTAAGAGTTGCCTGACCGACCGGGAAGCAGGTGGAAGTTCCTGGATCGTCGTGGAACACCAGAGATTTCCTACTCAAAAAGCTCCCCAATTCCACTTTCTCTCCTTTCCATCATCGGATCTGCTTGGTTTGTGGCAGTTCTTTCACTTTTATAATTGGTACGTCTAATATTCATTCTGTTGTCCCTTCACCGTCTTATGCCCCGCTTGTTATCTCTCCAAAAAAAAAAAAGAACGAGTCAGAGAGCAAAGAAAGAAAAATTCAATTCTCAAAACACTGGCACCCCCGTACCTTGGGATCCCAGATTTCTCCACCTTTCCGCCACCCCAAACAATTCTTATATCTTTGACTCTTCGTCTTCTTCTCTTTTCCATCTCTCACTCTCTTTCCATTCTAACTCTCTCCCCCATCAGATATCCCCCCCCCACACCGCCATCATGCCTGAGACATTCGAGTTCCAGGCTGAGATCTCTCAGCTGCTCTCGCTGATCATTAACACCGTCTACTCTAACAAGGAGATTTTCCTGCGTGAGCTGATCTCCAACGCTTCCGATGCTCTTGACAAGATCCGTTATGAGTCCCTCTCGGATCCTTCCAAGCTCGACTCGTGCAAGGATCTCCGCATCGACATCATCCCCGACTTGGTGAACAAGACCCTCACCATCCGTGATACCGGTATTGGTATGACCAAGGCTGTAAGTACTTATCTCAAGGGGAGGGGGATTTGAAAAACTTGAATTCAATTCTCTCTCTCTCTCTCTCTCTCTACCCCCCAACATGCAAATTTTCCACAGTATGCTCATTCTATATAGGATCTCATCAACAACCTTGGTACGATCGCCCGCTCTGGCACCAAGCAGTTCATGGAGGCCCTGTCCGCCGGTGCCGACATCTCCATGATTGGCCAGTTCGGTGTTGGTTTCTACTCCGCCTACCTGGTCGCTGACCGCGTTACCTTCGTCTCCAAGCACAACGATGACGAGCAGTACGTCTGGGAGTCCGCCGCTGGTGGTACTTTCACCCTGACCCAGGACACCGAGGGTGAGCCCCTTGGCCGTGGTTCCAAGATCGTCCTCCACTTGAAGGATGAGCAGCTCGACTACCTTAACGAGAGCCGCATCAAGGAGGTTGTCCGCAAGCACTCCGAGTTCATCTCCTACCCCATCTACCTCCACGTCCTGAAGGAGACTGAGACCGAGGTCCCTGATGAGGAGGCTGAGGAGTCCAAGGAGACTGAGGAGGGTGACGAGAAGAAGCCCAAGGTCGAGGAGGTCGATGACGAGGAGGAGAAGAAGGAGAAGAAGACCAAGACCGTCAAGGAGTCCAAGATCGAGGAGGAGGAGCTTAACAAGACCAAGCCCATCTGGACTCGCAACCCCACCGACATCACCACTGAGGAGTACGCCTCCTTCTACAAGTCCCTCTCCAACGACTGGGAGGACCACCTCGGTGTCAAGCACTTCTCCGTTGAGGGTCAGCTTGAGTTCCGCGCCATCCTGTTCGTTCCCAAGCGCGCTCCCTTCGACCTGTTCGAGACCAAGAAGACCAAGAACAACATCAAGCTGTACGTTCGCCGTGTCTTCATCACTGATGATGCCACCGATCTCATTCCTGAGTGGATGGGCTTCGTCAAGGGTGTTGTCGACTCTGAGGATCTCCCCCTCAACCTGTCTCGTGAGACCCTCCAGCAGAACAAGATCATGAAGGTCATCAAGAAGAACATCGTCAAGAAGGCTCTTGAGCTCTTCACCGAGATCTCCGAGGACCGTGAGCAGTTCGACAAGTTCTACGCTGCCTTCAGCAAGAACATCAAGCTCGGTGTCCACGAGGATGCCCAGAACCGTGGCACTCTCGCCAAGTTGCTCCGTTACCAGTCCACCAAGACCGGTGATGAGATCACCTCCCTCGCCGACTACGTTACCCGTATGCCCGAGCACCAGAAGAACATGTACTACATCACCGGCGAGTCCATCAAGGCCGTCGCTCAGTCTCCCTTCCTGGACACCCTTAAGCAGAAGAACTTCGAGGTTCTCTTCCTGGTTGACCCCATTGACGAGTACGCCTTCACTCAGCTGAAGGAGTTCGACGGCAAGAAGCTGGTTGACATCACCAAGGACTTCGAGCTTGAGGAGACCGATGAGGAGAAGGCCGAGCGTGAGAAGGAGGAGAAGGAGTTCGAGGAGCTTGCCAAGGCCCTCAAGAACATCCTCGGCGAGAAGGTCGAGAAGGTTGTTGTCTCCCACAAGCTGATGGGTGCTCCTTGTGCCATCCGTACCGGCCAGTTCGGTTGGTCCGCCAACATGGAGCGTATCATGAAGGCCCAGGCCCTCCGTGACACCTCCATGTCCTCTTACATGTCCTCCAAGAAGACCTTCGAGATCTCCCCCAAGTCCACCATCATCAAGGAGCTCAAGAACAAGGTTGAGGCTAACGGTGAGAACGACCGCACCGTCAAGTCCATCACCCAGTTGCTCTTCGAGACCTCCCTGTTGGTCTCTGGATTCACCATTGAGGAGCCCGCCAGCTTCGCCGAGCGTATCCACAAGCTCGTTTCTCTCGGCTTGAACATCGATGAGGATGTTGAGACCGCTGACGAGACCGCCACTGAGGCCGCTGCCCCTGCCGAGGCCGCTGTTGAGAGCGCCATGGAGGAGGTTGACTAGATTATGTCTTCCACTTCAAACAAATTTATTATTGCTTAAATCAAAGTTCTTATGGGAAATGGGAAACGGGATAACGACCCTTGATGTTTATTTTTAAAGCTTTTTTCTTTTACAATGAAGCTCAATTATTCTACCTTTTTTTTACATTTATATCATCTCTCCACTAAAGTTCATAGTATGTACACGTCTAGTATATTTGTGTATGTATAGTAGCACATTTTCTATTTGCTATAGAATATGCACATAGTACGTCACCTTAAAATCCACTTATGTCTCTCTATCACTCCTTAACCCATGGTATCGTAACTCTTTCCTAACCGGAATCACTTCGGGGCCTTTCTCGGTGATTTTGGACTCCACTAAACCCACTCGAACCCGGTTTGCCGATGCAATTTCGGGGCCATGCAGCGATATAAAGGTAAAAATATGCCCCGCTCGAGGGGTAAATTCCACTTGCATTTGAACACATACCTACACACACCCTCATCATGGTCTACACAATCGTTGTCCGTACGTATACACACATTACACACATACACAAACATCCTCATCCATGATGTCCCCTTTCTTGAAGAAGAAATCATTTGAAAGTGGCAATTGATTAGCTTTTACCCCTCGATTCTTCTGTCTTCCTGTCAATCGTCCAATCACTAACCACATCACTTATCTATCTAGACATGCGCGCAAAGGCAGACGAGGAGTCCATCTCCAAGCTGCACGCTAAGCTCCTCGAGGCCTCGGCCGTCTACTCCAAGGACAAGGAGACCCTCTCCTGGTTCGTCATGCAGTCTGTGCATGATAAGCAGGATTTCACCATTGTCGAGCGCTACGAGCAGGAATCGTCGCAGCAGTACCATCTCAATAACCCATACTGGAAGACATTCGATCCTTATGTTATTCCTCTTTTGGAGAAGGATATGGATTTGAGACGCTTTGAGGAGTTGGTTTAGGGGTTTTTTCTAAAGAATGTTGGGCGCTGTATACATAGTATGTATATGTGCGGGTTGCAGGGTACAGGACTTGGTGTTCACTGTTCTATAACATCTTAGGATTCTTGGATCGGGAATTCAATGTGTGTATGAGATACCTTGTGAATACAGATCTTTTTTTTCGGTTTAATTGGGTTGTTATTAGGCCTAGCTAATACTTTCTAGCTCTGCCGTGTCATGCTAGTGCATGGGGAAGAACTTGGAATAAGATAGAAGAGCAAATAAAAAATGAGACGTGACGCAAGGGGAAGGGAAGGATATGGCGTTTTGAAACACCAAAACGCCAGATGAAGATGGGGAATAAATAGTGTGATCACTGGGGAAACGAAAACGCCAGCCTGCTAGCAAAAGATTTTCCTCAATCCTGATATGCATAGATAGAATCCTTACTCCGTGTTGCTCGTTCATATCACCTATGTCCATTCATCACTCATGATTTGGTCATGATAAAGGAAAATCATCGGGTATGAAGTCATCGCTCTAGACTTCCAAACCAGTACTCCACTTGTAATTCAGATAAAGTGCGTGATGGAAGTCCCCATGCACGAGCAAGCCAGAAAGCCAACCCGCCAACAACCCCAACACCGCCCACGACTTGCATAATCGCCCAGCCGTGTCGTCCGAGGTCGTCAATCCAGCCCACAACACCCAACGGATCTTGCGTACTCAGGCTAGCAACACGATATGTCGTACCTCTGTGGACGTTTATGGCGTGTAAAGCATTCGATCCTTTTTCATGGGTGGGGATTTGAAGTCCGCAGAAGCCAGGGGTTTTGGAGATGGGCACGAGCGAACCATCTACGACACACTCGCTTAGTTTCTCAGTGAGCCATATCGCACGGTCACCACGGGCCAGTGATGCGTATCGGTCACGTTCGTTTTGCAGGCTTCGCTGTAGATCGGTTGCCCAGTGTGCTAGTCGAACCTGGGCCATGCTTTCTTCGTTTCTCGTGTAGTCTGCAATACGCGCCATTGCGTAACTTGGTGTCGACTCGCCGAGTGAGATTGATGTCTCCATGGATGAACCTGGAACAGCCCGCCACCCTGCAGTATTCCCAGAAAGCGCGTTATGGAGTGGTGCGGTCGTCGGTGGGACAGGGGGGAAATCACCGCGTCGCTGCAATAGCTTTTTGGCGGCCGAATGCCTCATCCAGGCGAGGTTATCTCGGTCAAACAGCTTTTGCACCAAGATTTCAAGTTCAGATGCACTGAGAGGTTGGACATAATCAGGACTCATGAGGGTACTGGCATCCATAATTTCCATGTCGGTGGTCTTCTCAGATGACACCGTGTATGGAGGCTGAGGCTCAGATGCAAAACCTCCGTCGGATGGCAAGTCACCAAACATAAAGGGTTTTATCCCAGCATCCTGTGCCTGTTCATGGAATTTAATTTTTAGAGATGTTATCTCTTCGGGTGACAGAGCATCTGCTTTAGCCAAAACCGGTATAACATTGCTCAGCTCGCAGAGCTTGCGAATACACTGCACGTCAGCCGTCAGGGTATCTGTTAAGCTTATTAGTGCCGTGTCGTTAGGAAGCAGGTGACCGGATACATACCATTTGATATGAGATATAGAATAGCGTCCACTTGGGCGCCACCATTCCCTGCAAGCAAATTCTGGAAATCGATCCCAGAGCCGGCAAGGGCCGTTGTTGCACGTTGGAGTTGCTGTCGCATGTATTGTACAACGGCATCAGTTTGACCAGCACGGCTCAGTGAGGTAGCAGGTGTGTCAACAAAGCAGAGATTCCGTTCCAGCACAATATCCCCAATACTCTTCCGACGCCGCAGCACACGCGAATCTTCGAGATCTGACCACCAGGGGGGATAAGGCTTGGTACTAGCGTAGATCTCGGTGATAGCGGCCCCGCGAGTGGGGACCGAACTAGAGTGGGGGCGCGAGGACCGGCGTCTCTCCAACGAAGAATCTACCGAAGGAAGGGAATCAACGTGTACGATATCTTCACAGGTTTGGACAATGGATTTGATCAGAGATGTTTTGCCGGTTCCTGATGCATCATTAGTCTAGGACAGTTACAAACCATGACGACCTTGAAACTGGATGCAAACTTCTTCGCAGCTTACCTGGTGCACCAGCTAGGAGGATCTTGAATCGGCCCATGACCTTTCCCCTATCTGTGAACGGTCGGCGACTGGGCATCTTTATACTTGGCATGATAAGTTGCGAGGCCCCATGGGGTCCCAGGCGTGGGGATAGCCTCGGCCTATCCTCCTCGTCCGACTCAATCATCTGGCTACTGATTTCATCTGTGATCGAAATATCGTCGAGGGGTCGGAGGGATTGGTTGGAGATCGACTTGGGACTACTGGGCAGTGAAGAGGGCTCATCGGGGTGAAGCGGAGTTAAAGGGCGAGACGTTGGGTCAGTGAGAGATGGTCGCATAGACGATTCCCGGGTTGTAGATCCAAAGGGCTTCAAGGTTGAGCGCCGTCGGGCATTCTTTGACTCTTCCATATCCCCAAACTCATGCAAGGCCCTGTTTGGGGCCTGATCTTCCGGGTGGTCGCATGAGCTTGCAGCTAACTCCGACCGGGATAGTGTTTCACCTAGGCTTTGTACTCCGTACATGCTCTCCTTGAGGAGCCCGGGGCCCTCTGGAAGGAAGTCCGGCTCTGAACCGGAGGCATGCGGACTATGGGATAAGAAAAAGGTTGTGGGGGCGGTGCTGTGGGGATCAAGGGACGGGGAAGGAGGGTCGAAGGAGGATTTACGAGAGAATGGTGGCAGGTCCGGAACAGGTCGCATCTTGGAAACATAGGTGAATGTATATATATTTTTTCCGATCAAACTTGGAAACTTGAAGAGAAAGTACTTGAAGTGCTGAGATTCGAGATAAAGCGAGATAAAGCGCGGGGGGAAATCATGTCATGTTGCGTATGTAAGCATGTGCATCACGCGGTGCAGGCGGGGATGATAACAACTTAATAAGCAGGCTATCAACTCCAATATTTGTTCATAGGTCTTAGAATAACTCTCTTAACAGCATGATTTTACAGAGAAATCCTTATCATAGGGTCTTCTTAAAGAAATACAGAAGAAGGTTAGCAACGGGGTAGATGACATGGTTGCGGACATGGAACGAGTTATTCAAAGAGAAATTCGGAGATTCTTTGCAGGCCTTGGAGATCTCCTTCAGCGGTATTTGCTAATTCCTTATCCACCCAGCCCTTGGTGTAGCCTCCACCAAAATCAATAAGATACGCATCGAATTGCGTATCTATTAGAACATTATCAGGTTTGGCATCTCCCCAAACAGCACCACACACATGGAGCCCCTCTATAGACTGGGTGATCTGGCTTAGCCATTTCTGCCCCATCGAGACATGTTGGGGGTCTTTTCCCATACAAAGCAAGGTTTTATTATCCTTAGACTCAATATATGAGAGAAGTAGACCAACAATTCGGCCTGAAGAAGGAATGCGAACAATTCCAAGTAGCCGGCTTGTGTTGATAGGCTTTGAAAGTAAGGCCGATTGTATTTTCGTGTATGCGCTGATTTCTCTGCATATGCTGTTCACATCCCCGGCGCCCACTGATTTTAAGAAAGCGACTTGAATATGTTGTCCCTGGATGTATACTTTTCGGGGAATAGCTGGTAAGGTATTGCTATTATCTGATATTGAAATTTCAATTTGATCAGGGCAATAAATTGGGAATGTAGAATGATCCACTTACTCTGGGAGAAGAGCGCTAAGAAACCGCTTATCTCCAGCCTTATCTAGGAAGATAGGTGCCAACTTGTCTTGATAGACATCTAGTGAATAATGGAAAACTTCTGGAAATAGATAATCATAGAGAGTGTATTTCTCATGAATATCTAAAGGTAGAATCTCGCGAAAAATTGGGAGAAAATATTCCAATGCCCATTCAGCCAACTCTTCAAGAGGATCCTCTGAGCCAAAATCTTCATCTGATTCAGGCAGATAATCAGGTTCTAGATGATCATGATATCGTAAGTAATCTGCTAGAAGTGTCGGTGACTTCTCAAAGTTGGCGGCTTTCAATTCGATTTGGAAATGTTTGTTGGAAACAAAAACATTTAGTTGGGAGTCCTTGTCATGTACACTGGACCGAAATGGCCCCAAGGTGTAGCAAAGTTTATCCATGGTTGGAAAACAATTGAGAATGTGTGTTGATAGAAATGAAATCAAGACGGGGAGATTATCCGCCTGCGACGCGTCTTTAGTCTCGGCCTGGGGTGAACCAGAATTACCAGCATTAGCGATAAGGCACATGACTGAACATTGTTTTACCCTTACAATACATGAATTCGAACAATTCTCTATCAACAGGCAAGATGGCCGAGTTGGTCCAAGGCGTGCGGTTCAGGTTCACCTGATCCAGATTTCCGCATCTCGTTTTCGGGGCGTGGGTTCAAATCCCACTCTTGTCATTTCCTTTTTTGTCGATACTCTCGATACTCTTTTATACCTCTTTTTCTTCTTTTTTTTTTTTCTCTCAAAACTTAAGTGATAACTACTTACTAGTAGGTTCTAATCTATTTAGTCAAATACTACTGATCAAACCCCCTAGGTGTCGTCATTCTTTATTTTGTTGGTAATCTACAAATCTTTCGCCGGGTATTTTTTCCATTCGGGTATTGTGGTATACATAACTGTTATACGTCCTACGTTGTCGTTTTCTTTTTGTGACTATAATTCCAAACCCTACCGTGTATGTCATATACGGCAAGATGGCCGAGTTGGTCTAAGGCGTCAGGTTAAGGTCCACCTTGACAACATTTCCTGATCTACGTTTGTAGGCGTGGGTTCAAATCCCACTCTTGTCACATATTTTTGTTTTTGAAATATCAGTCTTGAATCTGCACAGGAATTTCATGCTTTTTGTATGTTTGTTTTTTGTTGTTTGTGTGGGATTAAACTTAGATTAAAGTTGGGAGTAAACGAACTATTCATATACTAGTATATCTGGATGACGAAAATGATCATCCAGATGTCAACATGGTAAATACACATGTAGTACAATCTATATATACTCAAGTGCGTGCTGCCTATATACCTATACATATGTACAATCAGGTAGCTGTGATTGATACCTACTACACATGCATAGTAACTTCAATGTTTCCAAGGAAGTACCTACTGGCATCTAGATATTTGAAACTTCAGAAGCAAATCATATAGATAAAAGTTCATTCAAGCCTATAATATACTACAATGCACCCGGCATAAGGTCAATGCTGGTTCTATGTACAATCTCTGACCCAGGATTCCACTAGGCCGGTCCCTTTCATTGACCATGATGACATCCCAAAAAGGATAAGAAATGCAATACTTATGTAAAGACTGACTACAGCTTGGCCCGAGGAGCAGACTGCTCCTCCAATGCCTGAGCATAGAGCTGGTCCAAGAGTCCGCGGTACACCTTGGTGGTAGGAGGGCGCTTCAGTTTGAGTCTATAAATCACGGTTAGCAAGACATGGCCCCGCCGTAAGAATTAACACAGCGAACGAGGAATACTTACGTAGGAGTCAATAGGTTGTTCTCCACGGTGAAGGGTTCTAGCTTCAGAGAAACGTTGCGAACGCGCTCGTAGCCAGCCAGCTTGTGCTTCTTGGCCACGCGTTCGAGATCCCGGATCACGGCTCGGCGGATCTTGTCATCTTCCAGCGCAGTCTTGATCGCATCCAGATCTGTGCCGTCAATTGTTCGGCCAAGAACCTTGCTAGCGAACGGAGCGAACAAGTCAGGCGCAACACCGAAGATACCAACAAGGAAGGTCTGCACGCTGTCGCCATGAATGTAGCCCTGGGCGAGATAGCCGAGCTCCGAAAGGACAACACCCTCCAATCGCTCAGGAGAAATGTATTCACCCTGGGCTAGCTTGAGTACGTTCTTGCGACGGTCAATGATGATGAATCGGCCCATCGCATCCACTGTGCACACGTCACCGGTGCGGAACCAGCCATCCTCGGTCACGGCCTTGGCAGTTTCTTCGGGGTTCTTAAAATATTCGCGGAACATGCTGTTGCCACGCAGAAGTAGCTCCCCACGGGGGAAGGGCTTGTCCTCCACTGAATACTCCATGTCCGGTAGAGAGAGGAGGCATGCTTCCATACAAAGAGCCAATTGGCCACAGTTACCCGAGGTCACATCCTCATCCGACTGTGCATTACTGCAGGCGTAAGACTCTGTCAACCCGTATCCTTGAATGATAGGGGTGCCGGTAGTGATACGCAGGAAGTCGTGCAACGTCGGATCCAAAGGTGCCGAGCCCGATACCATGTACCTCGCGCGCTCCATTCCAAGAGCTGCAGCAACCTTCTTGGCCCAGATCCGGTCATACAGCGCGTGTCGGAATGTAGCCTTGGATGCATCCGGATTCTTGAGGTTCGCGGTCTTGACGGCAACAATGTGCCGAGAGAGAGCACCCTTGAAGCCTGGTGCCTCAACTGTGGCGGCTCGAATGGCAGAACCGAAGCGGTTATAGAGACGAGGAACGGACATGAATCCAGTGGGTTTCAGCAGCTTCAGATCGTCGACCAGCTCCGCAATGTTACCATGGAAGTAGCCAATGCGCGCACCACCAAAGAAAGCGGTGTGCTCCGCTAGACGAGCATAGATGTGAGCTAGCGGAAGGTAAGAGCACATGGTGTCACCTCGAGCGGGGGCAACGGTGATGAGACCAGACGAAGTGGCAGCTACGGCACTTCCGTGGGTCAGAACAACACCCTTGGGTGGTCCAGTGGTGCCGGAAGTATAGTTAATGGTGACAGTGTCTGATGGGGCAGGAAGGTTGTATCCACGCTTTGAAGCTTCACCTATAGCCTCAACCTGGTCAATTGTGTAGATGGCAAGATCTTGGTCAGCAGCCATCGACTCCAGCAGAGCGCGCTTAGACAGACTATCCTGCTCGCCAGCCTCAAGAGGATCCAGACAGACAATCATCTTAAGGTTAGGCAGGACCGACTTAAGCTTAAGGAGAGTGGGAATGTGGGGAAGCGAGGTGACGACACAGTTCAGCTCCGCGTGGTTAATGATATATTCTGTAGCATCCGGGGCCAAGACATCATAGATAGAGACAGAATAGAGGTTCTGGGACATGCAAGCAAGATCTGTGAGGATTTGTTAGTCTTGTGCAATAATTTTTCTTTGAAATTGCCCAGCGTCATAACTTACCGGTGATCTGCCATTCTGGTCGGTTCTGGCACCAAAGACCAATACCATATTGGCCGGGGCGATGGCAGTCGTGCTTGATGTGCAGTTCCACTAGACCAGCACCGAATGCCGCGCGTCGCTTCTGTACGGTCTCGTATGTGAGCCACTGATATTGATCGAAGGTCTTGGTTGTGGGATTGAACGGGCGCCAGCCGAGGCAGTGACTCTTGGGTTGGCGGTTGGCCGTGACTTCAAACATATCATGAGCGGTCACGATCTATAAGGCAGATATGAATGTTAGAGATCTGAGTTATTTATCTCCCTTGCCATTACCAGTCCCATACCTGAGGATCCAGGGTCTTCAACAACTCCTTCTGCGAATTCCATGCGCGGTATACAGCACTGCGGCCAGGCTGCTCGGTTCCAGGAATGGGTAGAGAGTAGGGTGTGCCATTGGGAGGCTGCTGTTTGAGCTCTGCAGCCTTGGCGATGTGAGCGGGTTGGGAGAAGAACATGGCTGTTTATGTGGTAGGGTTGCACTTGACAGTCAGAATATACTCGGAAGATGCGGTAACCTCGGGGAAGCACCTACCTCGGTCTAGAATGGACTTGGAAGGTGACGGACGGTATGAGGGTTAAGAGGGAAGGAAAACAACCAGAGAAAATGAAAAAGAACGGAGCAAGTAGTCTTCCAAATCACAAAGTCCACCTTTTACTGAAGAGTATAGACCGAGTGTGGGGAGAGAAAAGAAGGGGGAGCGGAGATGAGAAAATGTAATCCGGAGAAGGCGGCCACAGTTGGTAATTTCTCCATCTCGTGTTAAATCCAAAGTGGATCCGGGAAGAATGACCTCGGCATGCGGGTACAGCCTGCATAATAGGCCGCCCCATATATTCACAAGTACACATGCATATCTTTTTTTACAGCGCTAGTGGATTGCCACCTGTTTAAACCTTATGCATGCAGATGTCATCCACATGCCGTTTCACATGGGTGGAATTGACCTGTCGGATGTTTTTAGTACCACGAGATGGGTGGTAAGCAGAAAGGAGGATAGACATTGATTTTAAAATATACACGATATCCATATAGATATGTAAAAAGATGAACGATAATAATAATTCACATGTGCATTCAATATGTAAGCAATGCTTCTTCAATAACTATTTAACGGAGATATACTACATATCAACAACTATGTATAGGTAACAACCAGATGTACTATGTACCGAACGCCGCACCCAATGCCAACAAGCTCAAAACAAAACCAACTGTATATATATAACAAAAGAAAGGAAAGAAAGGGAGAACAAACAACCCCCTTCCCATCCATTCAATCTCCTCATTAATTATCCACTGATCCAGAGCCCCACCTTACCATACCAAGTGGTCGGCTCGCTCGTTTCCCAAGTCTCGTTATCACAGCTGTTTCGGCCCGTGTCCAAATCAGCCTCAATCGGCTTGACAAACGAGGTGCGGTAGATGATCTTGTGGCCTAGGTATAGCACCACAAATAGGATCAAGCTGAGATAATCGATAAAGAACTCCTTGACTTGGAAGTTTGGAATGAAGGCGGTGAAGCCCTGGGTGAGGATGATCAGAACGTTGAAGAACAATCCATACCACGAATACCATGGCTGCCACATAGCCTTGTACGGCAGGACATCACGGGAGGTGTTGCGCGCCTTGAGCGCTCGCATGAAGGCAAGATGACAAATGTTCAGGGATGCCCAGGTGATGAAGCCAGCCACACCAGCGATCTGAAGCAACCAGTCAAACACGGTCGAGCCCGCATCAGACACGTTCAGGAAACCCAGGAGTCCAAAGAGACCGGTGAATCCAACTGCATAATATGGAACACCGTTCTTAGTGGTCTTCTTAAAGAAGCGTGGGGCGAAACCCTCCTGTGCCAAACCAACCACGATACGGCTACCGCTATAGACATTCGAATTGGCCGCTGAGAGCACCACTGTGAGCAGAACAGCGTTGATAATACTGGGGAGCGCCTTGATTCCAGCAAGTTTGGCCGCAATCACGAATGGCGAGGCGTTAGCGTTACTGGCAGAGGCTCCACTACCTTCACTAGCCAGAAGACCAGAGTTATCAGAAGGCACAACGATTCCAATAAAGAAGATGGTCAGGACGAAAAAGAAGACAATCCGATAGAAAGTCTTACGGATCGCTGAGGGAACGGTCTTGCGAGGGTTTTCGGTCTCACCAGCGGCAATACCGACCAGCTCAGTACCCTGGTAGGAAAATCCGGCCTGGATCATAACGGACCAGAAGCCGATAAACTTCGCCAAGGGTTCATTACCACCAATATCCGCCACCTCGTAAGCGACAAAGGGACCAGGGTGAACCCAGTACCGGAAACCAAGGTATCCCTGAGTTCCAACACCAGCATCCACACAAATAGCGAAGATCATGAAACCAACAACGGTCAGAACCTTGATACTGGAGAACCAGAACTCAAGTTCACCATAGAAGCTAACGGGTAGCATGTTGAAAGCAAGGATCAGGACCCAGAAGATGGCAATAAAGATGGCGATAGGAATGTTGCTATCCCAGAATTGAATGATCAGGCCGGTGGCCGTGAGTTCGAGAGCGAAGGTCGAGGCCCAAGAGAACCAATAGATCCAGCCCATGGCAAAACCCAGACTAGGATCGACAAATCGGGTGGCATACGCGGTAAAGGCGCCGGGAATGGGAAGGTATGTAGCGATTTCTCCTAGGGAGGTCATGACTGAGTAGACGATGGTTCCGACGAAAATATATGCGATGAGGGCGCCCACAGGGCCACCATTTGCGATGGCAGTACCGCTACCAATGAAGAGACCGGTTCCAATTGTTCCACCTGAAAAAAAAAGGAAAGAAAACAAAAGGTGAGCATGACCAGATGTGGAAATGACAGTATCAGATGAAGATATTTACTCACCAATGGCGATCATCTGCAAGTGTCTGCTCTTCAGCTTTCGTTTCAAATCGGGCATGGGGTTGGAGTCCCGATTGGCGCCATGCTTCTCATAGTCGTGGTCATACTCGGTCTCGGGGACCTGTGACGATGTGATGGGAGTTTCGGTCTCCATCTTTCCCTTCTCAGACCACGGCGCACTCCAGACCTTGCCAGAGGCCATCTCTGACGTTTGTCGATAGGGAGGGGAGCACGGTCGAGAGTTTTTGGGGATTTCGGGAAAGGAAGAGGAAGAAGGATCTGAACTGGGTCAAAGAGGTCGCGCAGCGGGTCTCCACTTTGGAACCACGACCTGCAGGAGCGGATGACTCCGAGGGCAAGGCCGGTGTGGAGAAAAAACGCGACGCTGTCAAACCCTACTTCCTAGATCGGCAGAGGGGAGGAATATATTAGGTAAAAAGATAGAATGACGATGCAACGTGAGAGAGATCAAAAGAGAAAGATAGATCTCTACAGATGGACGATCAATTGAGATTGAACCGTTTTTTTTTTCTTTATAGAAAAGATAAGTTTTTTTTTTTTTTCTCTCCCAAGGCAGAGTTTTCCGGATGCGCGAAGTTTTTTATGTTTCCCGAGATTCAATGTGGGCCGTTGGGAACCATTGGGAATTAGAGAATTTTTTTTTTTCTAGGTGGCGAGTGAGTTTCAGACCGGGATTTTCCTGCAAGTTAATCATAATCAATTGAACCAGTGGAATAATGAATCTGGTATTGAAGATGAATTATTGATCAAGTGTATGACTACATTATGCTTATCAGCTCAAGGTTTTAGGTTTGGGACTTGATGCGACTCTAAAACAAGTTCAGTTACCATACTGTTTTGGGATATTCCAAGAGATGCAGGATTTCCTAACATTTGTACAATCTATAATCTATATACTAATTAGAGCATTCATTTACAATTGGAAATCATGAATATAGATATGAATAACAGAGATGTACTTCTTTTTGAATGCTTGAATGCTTGAAACAGGTTCAAATGTCGCCTTTTATGGATGTAAGTTTAAGCGCTTCACCGCCCGCTAGCATCACTAGATTGTATACTATATGTAGTAAGTTGCGTATATGTATCTGCACCGATGGTATTACTATTTAAAAACCAAGTCACTAGGAAAAGAAAATACAAAGTTTCTTCATTGAAATGGCCACAGGACCATATATTTGTTTGTATATAGCCCCATACAGTTAACAAGCACGTGTACTAGTGTACTAGTGTACTAGTATACTAAATAGAAATAGAACTTGGCAGAAAATCCGTTTCCGTTCATTCAATGTTGTTTCCAAGGTTGGATCAAATTTCCATTGTGGATCTTCAGATAAGCCCAAAGTCCAGTAAGGAACGAGGAATTACTACGAACTTGAATATTAATAACATAATATGACATACCATTACTACCAAATTACTTCCCCAGACTGGGTCCAGAGAGTATAGTATGTAAGTACTCTCTTTCTCGAATCTTTACTACTAACTTCCAAGTACCATCATCCACCTTGGGAATGCTTACCGAAATACCACGAGTTGCTACAGACAGCATCCATGATGGGAAGACCGAAAGTCTTGTGTGATCAACCGAGTATCAATCGATGGGCTTGTTGTCTCCATCTTCCGATTAACGAGGGCTTACCCCGCCGCACGATTTTTGGCCAGTGCAGTCATTCTCGTGACAGGACCAATCTAAAAATTTCAGCATAGGGACGCGCCATCCTATTTAGTGCTGCGCCGATGGGTTGGGGGCCAAGTTTCCCTCATTTAAATCGATCAAGGCGGAGACTCTTTTTCTCCCTTTTCTTTTTGGCTCCACGGCGGTGGACTGAAAGATATCTTCACGTACAATAAGTAAATCCGTTCAATTATTCCAGCCCCCAAGATGGCCTCCAAACCTACCCTGATCTTCTGCCCCGGGGCCTGGTACCCAACCACGGCCTTTGAGCCCCTGGTCGCCCACTTCCCTGACCACAGCACGTATACCGTCGCCTTCCCCTCGATCCAACAGGCTACCAGCGTCCAAGACCTACAGCCCGACATTGACGCGCTCCGCACCCTAGTTGAGCAGGAAGCCAACGCAGGAAAGGACGTCGTCGTCATCTCGCACAGCTGGTCTGGCCTACCCGTAAACAGCGCCCTGGATGGTCTCAGCAAGACCGAGCGACAAGCCGCCGGCGAGACCGGTGGGGTAGCCAAATTAATCTTCATCTCGGCCTTTATCCCCGAAATTGGTGAGAGCTTGATCGGGGCCTTTGGTGGGGTTCCTCCCGACTGGTATGACCGCGATGTAAGTCAATTATATAATTATCTTTCTCTTCCAATCTCTTCTCTTCTCGGATCCCCATCTCACCCTCGACTGCAGGAGGCCAATGGTACTGTAAGCGCCGTCGACCCATATAGTCTCTTCTTCCACGACGTCCCCGACGGCGAACAATGGGCCCAGACCCTTCGTCCGCACGCTTGGGCGACTAAGAATTCGCCCGCCACTAGCGCGGCCTATACCCGCATCCCTAGCGTATATCTTCAGTGCGAGAACGACCGTGCCATCCCACTCTTCGTTCAGCAGTTGATGGTGGAAAAGGCCCGCGGGAAGGGCGCCCAGATGACAACGGAGATCATCGCCACGGGTCATTCGCCGTGGCTTGTGGATCCCACGCCCGTGGCTGATTTTGTGCAGCGAAGCCTAGCGTAAGATCCGATCTTGGTGTTGGCATCGATATGGTCGATATAGTGAAGAACATATCTTGTATATGAATCAACCGTACGCATCTCCCACATAATATGAGACGAGATGACTATACACAGTACTGTTGATGATGGGGCGACTTTGTAGAAATTTGGTTGGTCAAAGTACCAAAATGAGTGAAATGTCGGAAAATGCTTGCGCCCGTAGCTTTCTTAAAGATGCCTTAAAAAATTGATACTCCGAGTCTATTCTTATCATGGTATAGTACATCTTGGCATTGGGGCTGGAGAAAGAATCGAAGAGCGTACTCAGTACTCAGTAGTAGGGACTGACTTCATCGAGACGTACTCATACGTATCCGCGCCGAACATAATAACATCAAAACATCAATAACAATCCAAGCTCAGGTCCACAGAGTCCCAAAAATAACTCCTTGGTATCAGTACAAAATAAACCAAAGCAAACAACGCTTCATTATTAGTGCCCGCAAAAACTTCAGTTCCATTAGGAATCTAGACTCCCAGGTGGGCATTATGCGTCTTTTGGGCAGTCTCCCCGCTGCTACGGTGGTTCATGAGATCGACCACGGCAAAATAAGTGGTTATGACGAAAAGCGCCCTATAATTCGAACCCGATCTTTAGCTGGAGATCATGCGTAGTGGTGCTGGGGAAAGGTGCAAGGGGTTGATTAAGTAAAATACTAGTACTGACCATTCAAAGGAACCAAATACCGTCACTGCCTGAAGCGCGCGACAGGTACTCCAGGTACAGCCGGCCGCGGGGGGTAGTTCAGCACCCATGGCGATGAATGCGGCGAACCAAAAGATCATTGTGATCACCTCCACGGCTGGGATGACATAACGGTGGGCGAGATGTGGTGCGTAGATGGGCGCGGCAGCCAGGTAAGGAGCGGCCAAAAAGGTTGTCCAACAGGCCAGGAACAGGTTGAAATCCACGGTACTGGAGTAAGACCAGCCGTTGAAGGTGCTCACCACTTGAGAGAAAGAAAGGGTTAGCTACTATAATGTGGGGATTTCGAAGGCCGACCAACCATATGCAGTCAAGGCTAAAACGATTAGGCCAAAAAGTATTTGGGCGAACCGAACTGCAAAGATCCAAGGTAAAGCCATGATTTGGGTTTTGGAGTAAATAATTTGATACTCAGAAAAAAAAATGCTGTGGAGAATGAGAATGTGTCAGTTTTAAGGAACAAATGCAGTGGGGATTTCAATGTTAAATAAGAAAGTGCAATATCAAGTTCATCTAACCGGGTCAGCCACCGGCGTCGCGCAAGCGTCATCGGTGACAGGCTAAGTCAGGTGGCTTGCAGCCCAATAAGGCTGATTAACTAGTAGTATGTAATGACCCTGGAATGGAGTGGAATGTAGAAAATATTCAAAGAAAATAAATTAAAAATAGAAATAAAAATAAAAGTACAAATATAATAATATGAGAATATGAGAATGAAAAGATGAAGCCTGGATTCTGTTCATTGTAAACATTGCTTCTGCCTACTACTGTATACATGAAGAACATGCAACACAGCCTTGACATCTAAATTTACCAAAGACGCTGCCTAGAGGGTGTAACATGCCATACCAAAGATACCGTCATTCAATCCTTATTTCTTTTCAAGTACATACTACTAGTAGTATTTGCTGCATACTATACTATACTTTATTTACTATACGAACTATACAAGTTAACCATTTCATCTTTTCTACATGTCTATCTCTATATAGATCCAATCATACATATTGTCTTTTTCTTTTCTTTCTTCAGTTCTTATATATGTTATCATTTTTCATCAAATTTTCAGATCATAATTGAATAAGCCTTGTTACTTTGGATAGATCACATAATGTCGCAATCCCGGCACATAAGCTCATGAACTCGACCGAGAGATTTCAGGAACGATCATCTTTCCTAAAATCACGCAATCAATTTATTTCCCCGCCATTTGACCCCTCTTGATTGTCCTTAAATTTGTATTCTATCTCGTTGTCCTGATATACTGACCGGAAAAGGATTTCATTACTGGTTATAACAATTCTTCCACAGTTTTCACCATGTCTGAGCAGAATTTCCACTTTGAGACTCTTCAGCTTCATGCTGGGTGAGTGATCCCCTGTGATCTAGTTTCTGGTATCACCGTGTCGCGCTTTTCTGAACTATCTACTTTCTTTATTTTTTCTCTCTCTCTCCCTCGGATCAAATGCTCACAAAGAGATCAATAGTCATGAGCCTGATGCAGCGACCAACTCCCGTGCCGTACCCATCTATGCGACCACTTCCTACACCTTCAATGATTCTGCCCACGGAGCAAGGCTTTTTGGTCTCAAGGAATTCGGAAATATCTACAGCCGAATCATGAACCCTACTGTAGATGTTTTTGAAAAGCGTATTGCTGCCTTGGAGGGTGGAATTGCTGCCGTCGCAGCTTCATCAGGCCAAGCGGCCCAATTCATGGCCATTTCTGCCCTCGCCCATGCCGGTGACAACATCGTCGCCACCAGCAATCTATACGGAGGTACCTACAACCAATTCAAAGTACTTTTCCCGCGTCTGGGCATAACCACCAAGTTTGTCAAGGGCGATGACCCGGCCGATATCGCCGCTGCCATTGATGATCGTACCAAGGCTGTCTTTCTGGAAACCATCGGTAACCCTCGGTACAATGTGCCCGATTTTGAGGCCATTGCCAAAGTAGCCCATGACCGGGGTATCCCTTTAGTGGTAGGTGGAAAGCGACAGACCACCCCGCGTGGAATATGTAGCAATTCGGGAAGCCAAACTCACCGTATATAGGTTGACAACACGTTCGGAGCTGGCGGTTACTTCGTTCGTCCAATCGACCACGGCGCCGATATCGTTGTGCACAGTGCCACCAAATGGATCGGTGGCCACGGGACTACCATCGGAGGTATCGTCGTGGACAGTGGCAAGTTCGATTGGGGTAAGAACAGTGCTCGCTTCCCACAATTCGTGGAGCCCTCGGAAAGCTATCATGGCTTGAAGTTCTGGGAGACCTTTGGCCCCGCCGCCTACGCTATCCGCGTTCGAGTGGAGATCTTGCGTGATCTGGGCTCGGCTTTGAATCCATTTGCAGCACAGCAACTGATCTTGGGGATTGAGACTTTGAGTCTGCGCTCAGAGAGACATGCCACAAATGCCCTTGCTCTAGCTAAATGGCTGCAGCAGAATGAGCATGTGAGCTGGGTCTCATATCCGGGCTTGGAGGATCATCCTTCTCATGCTTTGGCAAAGAAGTACCTCCCACGTGGCTTTGGTGGTGTTCTGTCAGTGGGAATCAAAGGTGGTGCAGCTGCTGGTAGCCAGGTGGTTGATGGCTTCAAGCTGATTTCAAACCTTGCTAAGTAGCGCTCCCCCCCCCACCTCCGGGTTGCTGCCTCGGTATTCACTTGCTGACCTCTTCCAGTGTCGGGGACTCCAAGACCCTAGCTATTCACCCTTGGTCTACCACTCACGAGCAGCTGACGGAGCAGGAACGCCGTGACTCGGGTGTGACGGAAGATGGAATCCGAATTTCCGTCGGCACGGAACACATTGACGATATCATTGCCGATTTCGAACAGTCCTTCCGCGCATCCAAGGCTGCGCTGCCGAGTCGCACGGCTTGAAGGGGTTCGAACTCTGGGTGCCAAAGGTGAGAAGCAGGAATTTCATATATACATAGTAAGGGAATATGTTTACGAAGAGCAGAGAACGGGCTACAATGGTGGCTGATATGGATTCCAAACCTTGATCTGGGCATTTTCTTACGAGATAGTGATTGGTTTATGATAATACCACTGGATTTTACTGTCAATTACTAGTAGTTACTTGAAAGGTCCAATAATGTATAAGTAAAGTATGAATTCATAAAATCGATCCTTGCCTACAATGGGCATTGATTCATGACAACGTCATAAAAGGTCGCAAGAGAAGTATGCACATGTTACAGGGGGGGGGGAAACAACCAGAAAGTAAGAAGTAAAAGAAAATATTTGAAAAGGACCCCGGACGCAATAAAAAATAGACAAAAAAAGACACAAAAAAAGAACCTCCCTCTTCAGTCATTTTGATACAGATCATGCCAACCCATCAAAACGCCAGTTGCCCGTGGACAACACCGAATGTCCATGCATAAATGGTGGAACTAGAACACAATGGCGAGGTAGTTGCCGAATGTACTAGGCACCAGAGAAGAAGAAATATGGAATAAAAATGAAAGAACAAGGGATGAAAAAAAAAGAAGAAGAAAAGGATAACCGGTAACAGATATGATGCAGTTTACTCGCCCTGGCCCTGGCCCGGGGCCGGGGCTTGAGAAGTAGGCATAGAGCCTTGACCACCCATCATGAACCCAGGCGGAAGCATGGGCATGTTGGCAAAGCTGTACCCATACGAAGGGACGGCAGGGGGAACGCCGGGGTTGTTCATGTTGTTTATACCGTTCATGTCGCCACGGTCACCTTGAGGAGGGCCAGAGTTATGAGGAGCACCTCCACCAGCACTAAATCCATCGCGCTCAGGACGGCGCTGGGTAAAGCGGTCACTTTGGATGCGAGTTGAAATTGGGCCTCGCTTGCCACCGGTGTCGGTTGCGATACGACGGCTGATTGCTTTGGAAGAGACACCCGCTCCGATCTCAATATCAGGCTCCTCCACCACCATGCCAGATTCAATGGGACGGCCACCAGTGCCACCGTACTCTGCAGTAAGCATCCACTTGCGGTCTGCCTCAGTCAAACGTTCAATCGGGATAATACTAACACCGGTCTGGTAATCGCTGCAATCACGGGGACCGAAGCCAACACCCCACCGGGTACGCAGTTGCATCTCACCCGCGCGGTAGGACTCCATTCCGTCACGTGCAGCGATGGCATCCTGGCGAGTCACCATCTTGATGAATGCATGGCGCTTATCGACGTTGACGATGCAGGTTTGAACGTTACCGAATTTGCCAAACAGGGCACGCAGATTAGCTTCGGAGGAGGTGACACCGCCAACGAAAAGGGTACGGCTCAGGACCTTCATCATGTTTTGACCAATTGAGTAGTCCCATTCAATGAGCTTAGGACCCGGAGGTGGGAGGTTGGGGTCGTTACGGGGAGGTGAGGGCGAACGGCGTCTGCGTCCAGTCGGGCTGCGCTGGCGGTACTCATTGCCTCGACGACCACGGGCATCTCGGGGGTCACCTCGACGACCAGGCGATTCGCCATGGTACTCGCCATAGACAGGGCTATCACGACGACGAGGAGGGGAGGCTGTGCGGCGTCGGTCCCAGCCAGCACCGGGAGAGCGTGAGCGGCGGCGATAACCCGTCGGGGAACGGTCGTATTGACGATCACGATCACGGTCGTCCCGGTTTTGATTTTCCTGGGGGCCCCATGCGGGCATACCGGGCATACCAGGCATACCGGGCATTCCAGGCATAGGAGGCATACCGGGCATCGGAGGCATCCCAGGCATCCCAGGCATGGCGTTGTTGAAACCAGGCTGAGCTGGATTTGCGCCCATGTTGGTCATTGTGAAGATCTGCAGAGCGGTAGCCCACTGATCTTGAGGAATACCCTGAGCAGCAAGCATCTGAAGCAGCTGAAGCTGCTGTGCCATTGCACCTCCATCGGGCATGGCCGGAGCAGCCGACTGAGGGAGCATAGCTGCCATTGGGTTCTGGGCCATCGGATTCGGAGTTGGGCTATGGGTTTGCGGCTGGGTTAAGGCAGGATTCTGACCGAGGGCGCTGAGAGTAGCGTAAGGGTTCATGGCATTTTGGGCGGCGAATTGGGTTGGAGCCGGAGGGGGGATGGAGGCATCGACAGACGAGATAGGCAACGGGGCAGAGGGGTTCAAGGATGCTAGAGGGTTCGCTGATGATGAGGCTGCCGGGTTGGTGGTGTTCTGTTTGGCCATGTCGGCCAATGCTTTCAAGATACTCGAGGTATCTGGCGCAGCAGTTGAGTTACTATTCGCTGCCATTGGGTTGGAGGCGGGGGCGGGGGACCCTTCAGGAGTTGTTGACTCAATATCTGCACAAGAGGTTAGAGTGAAGCCGACACCAGTAAAAAAGAAAGCCATGTGTCCGGTAATAAGAAAGGAAGTGGAGAAAGTGAGGCCAAAGAACTGAGGGGTTGAAAGGATGAAGCTTACTCTGAGGAGTGTGCAGTTTGTCACGGATTGACGCAAGCAGGGGGAGAGGGAATGTGCATCCGCGCTCCCAGATGTCGATAAGTTTTTTGATTTTTTCCTATTTCGATTAAGAAAGAAAGGCATACGTTAATCATACGGTTTCTCTTTAGAAAATCCAAAGTCGTGTGTAGTAGTGTGTCGGGTAAACAAATGTTTCCAAGCGTTTACCGTCAATGTCGGCCAGCCTCCAAAGTGAAGGTCAAGTGATAAGGCGGTTTGAAATGCATATCTAAAGCGTACCTTTTGGTCCTGGGGGGAGGTGTTTATAATATCACCCATCAAGACGGGCAATAGTTCGGTGACTCGGTTAACACCAGCGGCAAAGGTTCCATCCGGAGCAGAGTTTCCTGGAGGTTGACCAGCTTTGCGTGCAGCTTCTACCCACTGTCGGGTTACAGAGTCTACGACATAGAGTACGCCAAGCTTGTGGGTGCCCGGTGCCTTTTTGAAGTGTGTGTAGATCTTTTGAATAAGAACAGATTCATTCTGGTTCGAATGTTAGTCTCGAATTATCAAAAACAAAAGGAAACAAGAAGCGCGAACAACGTACCTGGACGTTGGCTGTGCATAAGGTAGTAATGCTGAGAATCTTCGAGCCTGATACGCCAGGAGGTTTCAAGGCCAGCATGGACTGGAGATAATTCTCCAGTTCCGCTACAGCTGAAGACATGATTTTGGGACGTTGGAGAGAGAATAAGAAAAAGGAAAGGTCTCAGGAAGCAAGTGGAAGGGGGTCTATTTCCGTCTGCGACCCGAAGCAAAGTAAAAGTCGAGAGGCCCAAATCCCGCTACTGAAGAATTGCGAACAGGAGTAAAGGGCAAAATGTCTTTGTTTTTTGGTTTTCTTCTTTCTGGTTCTCTCTTTCTTTTGTTTTGGAGGGCGTTTTTTCCCTGACAAGATTAGGCTTCTTCAGGAGACTCAATATCTAGCCGTCTTCTTCACTACAGCATAAGATTCACTGTCGAACCAGGGCCAGAGAAATGGATGATTTTGTCGCCTACAGCTGAGATACAGCCTAGGAAAGGAGATGCCTGAAGTACGAGTACGGAGGTACAACCCAAGGCGTATTGGTGAGATCCAGAAACCAAGGGGGAGGGATGAAAACGAAGTTGAATCCAGCGACGGATTTACAGAGTACTATCCGTGGGAGAATCCGTTGATACTGTTCCCGTTTGCCGTATTTTCTCTCGAGATTCCGTGATGGTGAAAGGTGAGCGAGGAGTTGACGGAGTTGACGGAGTCACCAAGCAAGTGAGATGAGGGAGAAAAAAAAGGAGCGAAAAAGAGTTGGCAGAAGAATCAACGCTAGGCTGGATTTGGGTGGTAGAAGACACGTGACCCAGCCGAATCACGTGGATGCTATTCAGGTTGATCTGGGCTCCCGTAGTCCCCCTAGTCCCGTGATCTGTGCGTTCCACTTCTCGGTTCCCCCGGCTACGTCCTTTGTTGATCGGGACTTGAGAAGTTGACTGGACTCGGGAAAGAACAACAAAAAATGATGTTCATATCCACAAATAAAAGTATACATTACACTTGGGTATGGCACTAAAAGTCCCCCCAAATCCACTTTGCTGGGAGCTAGGATGGGGCCCGGGATGATTTCCGTTGGCGAACATCGGCTTCTTTTGGCTGGACTCCAAGCTGTTTTGGTGTTAGTTTCCCCCATCTTCCCTTGTCCTCATTTTTTTTTTTTTTTTTTTTTTTGCTTTTTTGTTCCCAATTCTCCCTACACAAGGTATCCGCCCCCGTGGAGCTCCCGGTTTCGGTGAACATTTTCAGAAGATTAACCGGTTAGAAACGGAGCTGGAAGCATAGAATTATAGGTTCAAAAACAATATATAAGTACATATGCACATGTGTGTACAGTATCTATATCTGCAATCAATTTTCAAAGTCAAAAACCCAGATCATCTGCAGAGTGTCATCATGGGAAGAATGTTCAATCAGATGATGCTTCCCCAAAGATTCCATGCCGAGGGTCACCAACCCGCACTTTCGGAGATCCGGATGGCGGGATTACCTAGGTTCTGGATGGCGACTTGCCGACGTCACTGCCATAGTCCCCCCATCAGGGATAGTGGGTATTATACCTAGGTGTACTGTATACCTATTATACTCCGTACCCCTAATGAGACGATTCTCTCTATACGGAGTAAGCTTAGTATATATAGCCTCGGGTAGCCCTAATCAGATGGAGGTGGAGAGAACCCATGAATTTCCCCTTTTTTTTTATTTTTTTTTACGGAGTATTGGATACGTAGATTAGATAGATCCATATAGAAATGCTTTTACATATTGTAAGAATATGGAATACTGAAGAATACTAGTACTATTGAACCAAAATTTGCACCTATATATAAAGCCATACCGTTAAGGACTATGTGATGAGTACGGAAACGATCGGATCAAATTGCTATTATGGAGTACAAAGTACAAGTAAACGGAAGAAAAGAAAAAAAACGACGATCCACGGCAGCCCGAGACACCAACGGAAGTACACTGTACCGTTGGGGAGTAAATTACAGACTGATCAGCCCGAACCCGTACAACCCGTACCGGCTGTATTACGGGAAAAATCCAATCCGAAAAAAGGGAGCTCCCGGATGATTTCTTTTCTTCCCTTCTCTTTCCCCCCATTCCACCATTCTTTCTTTCCCACACTTCTCTTCGTGTAGAGACTGAAAATCATAATAATGGCCTCCATCCGAATTGGTACCTCCGCTCTGCGGTCCTCTATGGCTAAGCCTGTGCAGACTGCCGCCCTTAACGGCGCGCGCTGCTACTCTTCCGCCAAGGCCAAGGTATGTGCTTTCCTAGCATCTCATCTTCAACTGTTGGACATCTTCAATTGCAATACTAATCTCCCGGATAGTCTCTCAAGGACACCTTCGCCGACAACCTCCCCGCCGAGATCGAGAAGGTCAAGAAGCTCCGCAAGTATGTTCTTCCGCGCCAAACAACAAAACTACGTGTCAGTTGCTGATACAATCGCAGGGAGTTCGGTAACAAGGTCATCGGTGAGGTCACTCTCGACCAGGCCTACGGTGGTGCCCGTGGTATCAAGTCTCTCGTCTGGGAGGTAAGTTTGAAATCTTGATAGCTTCATGACGCGGACCATGCGCCCCTGTTCACTGGTTTCTAATTTTTTTTTTTTTGGGTTTATAGGGTTCCGTTCTTGACTCTGAGGAGGGTATCCGTTTCCGTGGCCGTACCGTAAGTCAAAACTCGACATGGGCACACGCAATGCCAATCGGCAACTAACATTTCCAATTCCAGATCCCCGAGATCCAGGAGCTTCTCCCCAAGGCTCCCGGTGGTGAGGAGCCCCTTCCCGAGGGTCTCTTCTGGCTTCTGTTGACCGGCGAGATTCCTTCCGAGCAGCAGGTCCGTGATCTGTCTGCCGAGTGGGCTGCCCGTTCCGATGTCCCCAAGTTCGTTGAGGACCTCATCGACCGCTGCCCCAGCACCCTCCACCCCATGGCCCAGTTCTCTTTGGCCGTCACTGCTCTTGAGCACGAGTCTTCCTTCGCCAAGGCCTACGCCAAGGGTGTTAACAAGAAGGAGTACTGGAACTACACCTTCGAGGACTCCATGGATTTGATCGCCAAGCTGCCCACCATCGCCGCTAAGATCTACCGTAACGTCTTCCAAGACGGCAAGGTCGCCCCCGTCCAGAAGGACAAGGATTACTCCTTCAACTTGGCCAACCAGCTTGGTTTCGGTGGCAACAAGGACTTTGTTGAGCTGATGCGTCTGTACCTGACCATCCACTCCGATCACGAGGGTGGTAACGTCAGCGCCCACACCACTCACCTGGTCGGCTCCGCCCTGAGCTCCCCCATGCTTTCCCTCTCCGCTGGTCTCCAGGGTCTGGCCGGTCCCCTCCACGGTCTCGCTAACCAGGAGGTCCTCAACTGGCTCACCAAGATGAAGCAGGCCGTTGGCAACGATCTGACTGACGAGTCCATCAAGAACTACCTGTGGTCCACCCTTAACGCTGGCCAGGTCGTTCCCGGTTACGGCCACGCCGTCCTCCGCAAGACTGACCCCCGTTACGTGTCCCAGCGCGAGTTTGCTCTCCGCAAGCTTCCCGATGACCCTATGTTCAAGCTGGTCAGCCAGGTCTACAAGATCGCCCCCGGTGTTCTGACCGAGCACGGAAAGACCAAGAACCCCTACCCCAACGTTGATGCCCACTCCGGTGTCCTTCTCCAGTACTACGGTCTGACCGAGGCCAACTACTACACCGTCCTGTTCGGTGTGTCCCGTGCTCTTGGTGTCCTGCCCCAGCTGATCATCGACCGTGCTCTTGGTATGCCCATTGAGCGCCCCAAGTCTTTCAGCACTGAGGCCTACGCCAAGCTGGTCGGTGCCAAGCTGTAAAAAGTTTGAATCCGGATTTACCAATTGGTTTACTTTTCGGGGGGGATGTTCCTGAAGTATAAGACATGTATTATTTCCCTTTTTTTTATATCTAGTCCTGTGATTCCTTTTTTTTTTGTCATGTATGATAGGACTTGACCGGTTCGAGCGGGCCTTGTAACAGCACTTCCTCGGAAAGCACATTCATGATTCTCACGTAAAAGATCCCAAAAAAAACACTGTATATGTACTTGACTTTTCAACCAGTTGAAGAAAAAGAAGATACTAGGTTTTTATTTATTTCTTCTTTTCGTTGATTTTCGAACGAAATCGATCAAGTGTATAGAGTACACGTTGCATGGAAAAGCCGAATTGGGGGGTCTGACGGCTACTGGGGAGAATCGATCACACGTGAATTGTTGGGGACGTCGGGAGGCTCAACCTTCTCACCGACCCACTCGCGGAAAAAAAAAACAATGTGATATAGGATTATAGTATTAGTATATACCAAGTATATATGGGTATACTACTCTATGGAGATTCAAAGAGATACTTGTTCAGATCAAAAACAGAATCAAAAACCAATGAAACTCCCGATTAAAGGAATTCCGAGATCGCAAATACCATCATAGTCTGAAAAGCCGATCGGTTATTGCCAAAGTAAGTATTCGGAATCTGTACGGGCGGTATGAAGGATACCCTGTACCCAATAGTATGAGTGGAAACTCCCGCCCCTACAGCTGATTTCCCCTATAAGACAATTGCTGCCTCTCCATCTCTCCTCTCTCCTTCCAACCACTTTTCTCTCCAATCTTCACAATCTCCCTACTCTTTTCCCTTTGAGCTTTTTTGCTCATCTCTCTCTTCTCAATCCCTTAGGCGACGAAGCCCCTACTTCCCTTGGTCAGGGCCCCTTTCAGCAGCATCCCCATTCCAGAAATGTCGACAACAACTCCACAGAAGGCCGCCGCGCCTCAGCTCGAGAAGAAGCCTGTCAAGTTCAGCAACCTGTTGCTGGGCGCTGGTTTGAACTTGTTTGAGGTCACCACCTTGGGACAGGTTAGTTCTCCCTCGCCTTTCTAGTCTCCTCCCTGCTTTGGAGCGCCCTAGCTCTTGAAGGCTCCAAGGCCTCACCAAAACATCATATCAAAACCGTCAGCTGACATTCATCTTTCTTCTATTTTTAGCCGTTGGAAGTGATCAAGACAACCATGGCCGCGAATCGGGGCGACAGCTTCGGCAGTGCTATGGGTCGGATTTGGGGCCGTGGCGGGATTCTCGGTTGTATGTAACCCCCTTTGCTTTTCCTCCGATGCACGCAATTTGGGGGCGTGTGGGGACCTACCCCCGTCCTTTCCCCGGCAAATCCTGCTGTGATTTTTTTTTTTTTTTTAAAAAAAAGAATCCAAAAACAAACAAGCTAACCAAAGACGTTTTCACCGACATTTAGACTACCAAGGACTCATTCCGTGGGCCTGGATTGAGGCCTCTACCAAGGGTGCTGTCCTCCTGTTTGTCGCCTCCGAAGCGGAATGGCAGGCTCGCAGCCTGGGTGCGAATGACTTCGTTAGCGGTATCAGCGGTGGTATGGCTGGTGGTATCGCTCAGGCATATGCCACCATGGGTTTCTGCACCTGCATGAAGACCGTTGAGATCACCAAGCACAAGATGGCTGCCCAGGGTGTTCAGCCCCAGAGCACCTTTGGTACTTTCATGGATATCTACCGCAAGGAGGGTATCCGTGGTATCAACCGTGGTGTCAACGCCGTCGCTATTCGCCAAACTACCAACTGGGGTTCTCGTTTCGGTCTCTCGCGTTTGGCTGAGTCTGCTATCCGCAAGTTCACCAACAAGGAGGATAGCCAGAGGCTCTCCGCTTGGGAGAAGATCCTCGCATCCGGCCTCGGTGGTGGTCTTTCCGCTTGGAACCAGCCTATTGAGGTCATTCGTGTCGAGATGCAGAGCAAGACCGTTGACCCCAACCGACCTAAGAACCTCACTGTCGGCAAGGCCTTCAAGTACATTTACGATTCCAATGGTATCCGTGGTCTCTACCGCGGTGTCGCTCCCCGTATTGGTCTCGGCATCTGGCAGACCGTCTGCATGGTGGCTCTTGGTGACATGTATGTTTTTCTCCCCACGTCCCTTTCCTTCTTCTCTACTTAGGTGATACCTCGGAACTAATCTCTTTTGAACAGGGCCAAAGAAGCAGTCGAAAAACTGACTGGCGATACCGTCACCGCCAAGCACTAAACGAGAAGGTTTGAGATACCCTTCTGCTATGCAGCGGTCGCCGGAGCAGAGCGAGACTTTTGATATTCCCCATCGTTCATAAATCCCTAATTTTGAGACAAGACCCCGATACCCATTGAATGCATTATGTTATTGTGATACCGAGTACACAGTACACAACCTCTTTGAAACCCTTCTGTCTCAATTCCTGGTTACATTTCAGTCCATGGTGTTCTTTGTTCTTTATTTTAATTACTTGTTATCGTGAAATAAAAGTACCGATTACAACATAAAATCTTGTAGAGAAATTGAAAAACATGTAGACATGTAGAGCTTCTCGAGTCTACTAATTAATACACATGACCCCGAGGTCCAGATTGTAGGTCAATTATGCCATCACAAACCAGCCATTGAGCCTTGCGATGCTCAATTGCTTGACTAGAAACTTTACATCTTATTCTCTCTTCTAATATTTTGATATTTGAGTCGGGGGAGGGGGGGGGGGTAATAACTCCGTTGACCTCTCTTGACATCCAAATCATCCGATCTCGGGGAGCGCAAATCGGCTGTTTCTACTACACTGCGACATTCGTCACTTAGTACGGTATCATTGATCTTGAACTGTATTAGCTTGGAGCTCTTCCATTCATCCGTCTTTGTCGTCCGAGATAATGTACTAAAATGAGGATCATCCCTATAAGTCCCATTGCCCGTTTTTACCTCGGCTATGGTATACGTAGTAAGCTTGGGCATCTTCAGTTTCGCATAATCGCGAGTTGGATCAACACAGTCACATTAAATGCTTTGTCACATGCCATTTCATGGTATCTGCTATGTGTTATCCAGAGGCTACAGAGGATTAAGAACAGTGATGTTAGTCATTGTAGGAACTGTTTTTTGCGCAGGTGATGCCTCCAGGAGTACTTTAAAAACACTTCAAGCCTCCGTTAACTAGTTATTGAATGGCGCAAATGGCAGGGTTATGAAGCTCATTGCATAAACACATGTCAAATCTATGGAATTATTCAATCTAACGTGTCTGCCAGGAGAGTCACATGCTTATTACTTACCACTAGTACCAGTACTATTTATTATCTACTCACATGTGCGTCTAGCATATGACATCTACTAGTATAGTATTTGACATATGTGGAGTAGACGCCCCTCCCCCAATTATTCCTCTATATAATAACAAGAAGAACGGAGAGCAGAGGGGAAGGAGGAACGTTGAAACAGTATTACTACAGGGATGAACTGGATCAAATAAGGTACAATTGTATTACAGTCAACTACACCCTCAAACACAAAGGAGATATTGGGAAGGAATCTAGGCACAAGTGATCACATCAAATCCAAACGAGGAAACACGCTTTTCCCTCGGTCTAGGGGTTGTATGGTATACAAGGGATATTTAAGCAGACAGACCAATGTCCTCAGCGTATGGGAGCTGGTGGACGTCGCCGACGCTGACGAGAGTGGCCTTTCCGGAAAGGAAAGATTGAGCGGCCTGTAAATATCGTGGTCAGTACAAATTGATTCAAAAGGGAAATTGCAAAAAGGAAACCAAAAAAATATGGTAGAAAGAAAGAAGAGTAACATACCTCCTTGACCTGCTGCTCAGTGACCTTCTCAAGAGCCTGGGCGATCTCGCCGATTTGGTAGGCCTTGCTACCGTGAACCAGACCGGATCCAGTGGCCTCAAGACCAGTCTCCAGAGTCTGGACGGACTCCAGAGCGCTGAATTTGGCCAGAGCAATGGCCTTCTTAATGTCCTCGCTGGCGACCTCGCCGGCAGCGGCCTTCTTAAGGGCATCGACAACATTCTTGCTGGCGGCACCAACCTGGTCAGCGGCACCAGTAAGGGTCACAGTGAAGAGACCGGCGTCGGAGTAGGAGTGGTTCTTAGTCGAGACGTTAAGGAAAGAGAAGCCCTGAGTAGCCTTGGACAGGAGCGAGAAACCAGGGGTCCACTTGATGGAGGACTCGCCGCCCAGGAGGGCAGCCAGGACGGAAGCCTCGGGCTTGTAGCCAGCGGTACCGAACGCGCTGGAGCCGGGGAAGGCAATCACGACGGCGTTACCAGTCTTGGAGGGAAGACGCTGCTCACCACCGAAGTACTTGGTGGGCTGGGAGGGCTGGAGCTTGTACTGGCTGGAGGAGGCACCGGTGGGGAGATCCTGGAAGAACTGGCCAACCCACTTGGAGACATCGGCGGAGTTGGGTCCGGTGGCAACGAGAGCGATGTTGGACTTGGCATAGGCATCCTGAGCAAACTGGGCCAGGGCGTCGCCGGACAGGTACTTCTCATAGGGGGTGGACTGGCTGGGGGTGATGGGAGCGCCCAGGCCACGGTGGAAGGCAACGCCGTGGGCGGCATCGATGGCGACGTTCTCGGCGTTAGAGTAGACGGCATCCTGCTGGTACTTGAGTAGTTGGCTGACAACCTCGTTCAACTCATGGTCTAGTATCAAAGGAAATTTCATGTCAGTCGGGGAGCCTCCCAAAATTTTGATTTTTGATATGCCATCAATCCTCCCATTTCTTTTGAAGCTTCCTTCTCTCCTTTCACAAGAGTAAGCCACTTACCAGTGAACTTGGGCTTGCCCGCAACCTCAGCTAGCAGCTCTGTGAAGTATGGGAGATCATTCGCGAGGAACTTGGCGCGGAGAACGACGTTTTCGCGCGAGTGTGACGACGAGATCTGACCGCCCAGCAGCTCAACCTCGCGAGTGATGCGCAGCGCGGAACGCTTGAGTGTGGTCTATAGATAGAGGAGTAAGTATTAAAGGAATTGATGGACAAATGGATGGCTGCGGAACCGACCTTGAAGGCGAACTTGTCAAGGGCATCGGAGAAACCAGGGAAGGGCTGGTAACGGGAGCCAGCCTTGGCCACCAGCGCCAGAGTACCAGTAGCACCGTTGACCTCACGGTTGGCAACCTTTACGCCGGCAGCCTCGGTGACATCGTACTGGAAGGTCGGGTTGGCAGCAGAGGCCATAGCCCGACGGCCGGCGGAGAGCGCACGCGGCGCATTTCGGCTGAGGGAAGACCGTGACAGCATGATGCGCCAGGGACAATTGAAAAAGGGAGAAAAGAATTAGGGACCCAAATGGGCTTTGAAGGAAGCAATTGAGGGGAGGGGAGAGGGGATGCGTCGAGAGAGGGAAGCAGACGGGTTACGAAAAGCTTCAAGATGCCGGGGCTGGGTTGATTACTCGGGCTGTGATTGGTTGCCGTGACGAGTCGGACGGACTCGGAAGAACTTTTCTACAATAGAAGTTCAGACTTGATACAAATTTATACTAAGGGAGTATTATATTGATGGAATATGTGAGACTTTCTATATATTTATTTAAATGAATCTGTAAAGATAAAAAAAAAACAATTATAAAAATCATGAAAAAAAAAGAAAGAAAATAGCTTTAGATACAGAGAGCGTTATAAAGATAGATACTGCCCATAATGTAACTTGTGTATCCCTTCACAAGGTCGTAGATGCAGGATCAGCTGATCCTTCACGTGACTGATAAGCAAAAAAGTGCCCGCTGCAATACTCTTTCGCAACTATACCAGTTCCCCTCTATGAACTTGTCACGGTGACCTCAATTGTTCCTCGTGAGGACTGGAGGCTGGCAAGCCTTCTAAATTCGCCATGATGATGTCTCAGGTTCGTTAAAATCCTTCTACCGACTTTGGATCAGTACTGATATCCTTCTCTCCGCACAGCATGCTGTGGAGCTCTGTACGCTCCTCATCGAGGATCACTTCGGAGAGCTGTTTGCAGTAAGTGATCTTGAATTAAAAAAAAATATCTCTATGACACATAATCTCCATGCGGAAATATCCTTGTCGTGGTCTCATTCTAGGTCCAGAGCAAACGCTGATCATTGGTTCGATGTTTTTAACAGCGCATCTTTTCGACTCTTCAACGCTATGAACGGCTCTCTCTTCCTCGATTAAAATTCTATTCTCGCTTGACTGATCGTCAGTTGCGCCATGGCTTGACGGCCATGATTCAGCATCATCTCATCTACTATTTCACCTCCCTCGAAGATAACAATACCTACTATGAATCAAACCCCGATGCCGCATACTACCTCGTTCGCTCGGGTAAGATTCTCCACTTGGTGGAAGACCGACTTGGGCCATATGCTGCCCGAGTCATGGAAGCAATCCTCTTCCTCGGTCATGCATCTGTCAGCCACCTTGAAACTCTTCCCGAACTTCAGTCATTAACACCCATTCACCAAAATGGGATTGCAAATGGCAACGAAGAAAAGCAGGAGGACGATATGGAGTTTGAGAATACGTCTGGCGAAACCAATGGAGATCATGTTCCAGAACACAAACCCGCTCCTTTCCATGCCACCCTCAAAGCTCTCGCATCTCATGGATACTTGATGCGTGTTCGAGACGCTCACTTCCAGAGTCCCTCCGACAATATACTTGAGGCACAACGCACTGTGTCTGCTCGTGCGGATATCAAAGCTTTGAAGGGGAAAAGACAACAAGAGACGATTGCGCTTGAGATACAGAATCTAGTACACAATCGGACCCATGCTGACCTTTCCGAGGGACTTATGGTTAATGGTCTTCCTCGAGGAATCAAAAGAAAATTCAGACGCAATGCCCTGAACTCTGCAAATGGAGAGCGGTTAGAAAATGGAGGCAATGAGCATCAAACGGCGAACGAGCAGGACGATCACTGGTCAGAAAATGAAGACGAATTCGATAATACCCCTATGGATGTAAGAGCTTTTCCCCCGGCCTTTGATTGGAATTTTTCTCTTTTAGACTGGAAGCTAACAAACCCCCCTAGTCTGAACAGGTCGTGCGCGTTAACTATGAAAAGTTGGATGTGGCATTGCGAAACGCCAGATTTGTTGGTCTTGCCGAACAGGATGCACCCCGAGCAACTGCAGAGGTATATGACTGCCTTCTTCGCCGTGTTGAATACATCACCCTTCGATGCCGAGATTCAACCGACATCCCCCGTGAGCGCGAAGAGGGAGAGCAATGGACTGTCCCCATCGACGCAGAAAAAATAGTAGGGGATATTGATCCCAATCTAGATTTGTCAGGAGCCTTTGCACCCTTGGAGTCATCATCAAAGGTGGTAAATCGAGGCGGGAAGCGACCCTTGGAAAATGGGGTCAACGGTGATCATGAAGGCTCCGACAACGATGAGTCTAGTGGACCGAATCGAGCCTGGGAAATTAATCAACACCTTCAACTTCTTTCACAGCCTCCTCACAATCTCACATCGTGTGTTGAACTATATGGAGTTCCCAAGTGGCGGATTGGATTCCGTGGCTTGGCTCGCAAATTACGGCATCTGGAGCTGGAACGGATGATTGAATCCAGGTATGGTGATGTTGCCATCCGCGTCATTCGTGTGCTTCATGCCAAGGGGAAACTAGATGAGAAGCGACTGCAGGAAATCAGCCTGCTTCCCTTCAAAGATCTGCGGCAAACGCTTTCTAGCATGCAATCAGGTGGATTTGTGGATTTACAGGAAGTTCCCAAGGATGCACAACGCCAACCTTCCAAGACCATCTTCCTATGGTATTATGACCCAGACCGTGTGTGCAGCTGTATTTTGGAGGACACATACAAGGCTATGTCGCGGACTCTGCAGCGCATCAAATTTGAGCGAGGTCGGCTTAAGGATTTCCTTGAGAAGACCGAGCGTAGTGATGTCAAGGGTCATGAGGAGGAGTACCTCACTGAAGAGGAGTTGGAACTCTTGCAACGATGGAAAGATAAGGAAGCCTTATTGTTGGCTGAAGTGGCTCGCTTAGATGATATGGTAGCGGTGTTCCGTGACTATTGATTCATTTTCCTCTACACAGAAGGAGCCATCGCTTCTAGGAAGCTACGAGGTCCCTTTCTTTGTATCTGTACAGCTTCACGAGCGACGAAATCCATCCGGTCAGCATTCAAAGGAGTTTACAGTTTTCATTCGCTCATCATCGCACTGCTCATCATCGCACTGCAAAAAAAAAAGAAACCGGTTTACAATAGTACGAGTACAATGCCACCCACATGTAATATACTCTACATAATCCATTCCAAATTTTGAGTCAAAACAGTAATATAGTATATGCAAATGCCAACAAGCTCTATGTATCTGGATATGCGACTCTTAAGAATAAATAAGAAGAAGATAAGAGGAAAACAGGGGGGGGGGGGGGGGTAGCATATAACCACCTAGCGATAAACAAGAGACATCAACGCCAACGCTTTAAAAAAAAAAAAAAAAACCCTCCGCCCCCACCCCTTGTCCAGCAAAAGCAACATAACAAATCAGAGTAAGAATTGATCATTACGCATTCATCCAGTTAGCGAAACTGTCGATGAAGATCCCAGGGTGTCCGATCTCTTTTTCCATCCAAAAAATACAATGTAGATCGACTCCCCGCCTTTATCCCTCGGACCCCCCCCTGCCTTTTGAAAGGAACAATATTAAAAACAAAAGAGTTGTACAACTTGATCATGAACTCTTGACTTCCGACTCAAGACCGTCGGTTTTGCCAGCCACCTCCTCGCTACTGCTGGCCGTCGGAGTGTTGCTCTCATCATTGAGAGTGAAACCGGCGAGCTTAGCCTCAGTCGCGGCCAACTTGGCAGCAGTTTCATCAAGGCTTTTTTGTAAGGACTTGATATAGTCAATGGCCATTTCCACGGCACTGGCCTTGCTGATAGCCTGGTTGGCTGATTTGTCTTTCTCCTTGTCGCCAGGCTTGATCCCTGTTAATGCAGCCTCCTTGGCTAGTCGAGCCTGAACAAAGTCTGGTGGAACCAAAGCTTCGATTTCTTTGAGAGCGCTGTTGATGCGGTTTCGTCGGCCCTGTTCGGCCAATTTATGGTTGGTACGCTTGGAGCTAAGATTTTCGGCCAAGGTCTCTGGGTACGAAACACCCGAAGGCAATGTGCCGTCAAGTATATGCTGATAGTTCGACTTGGAAGCCAAAAGTGCATCTTGGGCAAAATCTATGTAAAATCATGTGGTTAGAAAAACTCATTTTTCCCTCACCAAATAGAAAAAAAAAAGGGTCGGATTCACTCTTACCTCCGGCGCGCATCAAGGGCTGGATACTTGGGCTAATCTTTGGTCGCAGTTGGGGGCTGGCCTGTGTGGAAGATACACTCGGCCGTTTCCGACCAGATATGGAAGACCTGGATGGGTCTGATCTTTTCGGGATCGGTCCACTGGGAGATGGCATTGCGGCTGTTCGAGGGCTGATCGCAATAGACCCGCTTGGCGGGGCCGACCTTGATTCAAGGGAAGGAGTCAGGTTCGCCGAAATAGCGGGGCTGGCCATGTTGGTCCGAAGGCTGGTGTCAATGCGATTGATCTTAGGGCGCGGTTGCGAGGTTGCCACCGCCTCAGGCAGAGAGATGTCTTCCATGGTCTCGTCATGGTATTCTAGTTGAGCTCGCCCCATAAATTTTCCGGAGGGGTCTTGGGTGTGCTGTGCCCGCTGAATGCGCATAAGGGTGGCTGGCGTGGCAGCACTGGGAGGTTGTGCCGGTTGGGGAGCGATGGCTGGGGACTTTCGGGACGAAGGTAGCGCTGGGGGTAGCATTAATGGTTCTGATAGCGGTTCAGGCGAAACCGAATCCTGACCGGAGCCTTCGGTGCTGCTTGCCTGGAGCGAGCGCACATCATTGTTCTGCGGCCTACTCAATTCCTGGGACAGGCTATTGTAAAACTCCTCGGAATTGGGGACCTGTCTTCCCTTGCGCTGGGTCTGGGCGCGGATAGAGGGTGATTGTTTGACCTTGCTTCGTCCAGAGAGGCGAGAAGCGGTTGAGGTTCGGCGGCGATTGGTCTTGCGAATGATACTGGGAGAGCCGGGGGCCGAAGTGCCCGGGAGCGAATGAGGATCGACGTTGTTGGCGACGAAACCGACATCTGAGATATGTCTTGAGTGATAGAAGCCATTGGTGGAGTGAGGCTGGGCCTCCAGAGCGGGCGAAGTGAGAGGGGTGATGCTATATTCCCCGGGAACCGCAAAGCCGTCCAGTTGGAATTGATTCTCCAGTGGTGTCATGGCAGGCGAGACGAGAGGAGTGTACAGCGCCTGGCGACCTGGTGAGCAAGTGAGGCCCGGGGAAAAAGGGTTAGGTACATCAAATCTAATACATACCTGATCCTCGACGCGTGAATATCGATGATCATACATCTCCGGGTTGTCATCCATGCGTTGGGAGTATCGGACGGCATTGCCGTGCATTTCGATACTATTTGGAGTAGGTGGGATCATGGGAGCGCCTTGCATGTAATGTTGGCCTGACTGTTGTGACATATGTGAGGCATCCTGGGCGCAGAAGCCCGGGGTCATGCTGGGAGTGGAGGCGTATGGCATGGAGGGTTGCGACTGGGTGGTATGGTGGGAAAAATCCATTGCGAGCCCCTCCATGGAGGTAGGGTAAGGATGCGATCGTGGATCTGAGGCCATAGTGGTGGGCGCAGTAGTGGTGGGAGGGTGTCCCATTGAATGTTGCTCCTGCATCTGGGAATGTGCTGGTCCGTGCCCTTCCATGTCGGAGAAGTGCATGTCGAACTCGAGGAAATTGGAGAATTCATCTTCCCCGGGGACGGGGATGAGAGTATTCTCATGAAGCTGCTCGGACCACGACATGGCCGATTGTGGCTCCATGATGTTCCTCTTTTCTTTTCCTCCGTGATATGGTTTGGGGCGGAAGAGGGGGGGGGGGGTTGAGAAGAGAAGTCGCAAGGAGCGGCAATAAAAGTAAAGAGGGGAAAAGTGAAGGGAGGATCGAACCAATCAAAGGTAACAATTTTACAGGAACCAGAAATTAAACGAAGTTCGAGTTGAGTAAGTGATCACTTGGAAAAGAAAAGAGGAAAAGGGAAGAAGGATTACGAGGTTTGGAACCATGGATGATTATTTTTTACCTCATTCCTGGCTTCTAGTCTGTCTAGTCTAAGTCTTTTTTATTCTTTCGGGAGGAAACGGTACTTTTTTTTTCGATATAAATGAGGGATAATTTGGCTTATGAATTATTTTTAATATTTTTTTTTTTTTTCATTTTTTCATTATTTATTTCAACTCTAGAATTTCAGCGCTAGAGGCGCTTGTCATCCTTAGCCGAAGGAATTGGTCTAGTGTGACTCTGGAAGGCGGATTTGAGAGAATTCAGTATAGCGGCAAATGTAGTGGGAAAGAGTTGCATTAGGCGTACTTATGTACAACTTAAATGGAATTTGTTACATATGTACGGATATCTATATAACATGGCTTATAACATCCTTATTTTTGGAGTCTTTTTTTTTTCCCCAGTCTTTTTTTCCCCTTGGACTCCATTTACTCCGTAGAGCAAAAGGTCTCCCCCAGTTTCAATTCCCGACATGTCCACAGTGGGACCGAGTCCCGGCCACCTTCGGCTTTTCGCCGTTACTTCTAACCGAGATCTTTGGGGGGTTTTCCGATTGGTGGTGGTATACGTAGTACGATATTCAAACATGTACGGAGTAATGATTTTTCTACTTGTCTCTCTCTCTCTCTTTTTTTTTCAATTCCCTTTCTTTCTTACCATTAAACCATGCTAGTATTAGTAGTATGATTGATGGTTGTTAATTGATAATTGTACTCTAGGATCCTGTCATGTGACATAAGTTCTAACTCACCAGTTGTTCCCTTCACGTGACTTCCTCATGCCAGTTGACAGCTGATCCGAGCTAAGTTAGTTAATATTATAATGGTTAGTCATATATACGCTAACGCCTTCATAATAACATCGGAAGCACCACTCCATATCTCCACATATCTCTCCCCATACCAAAAAATTCAAGGTCCACCATGTTATTTCTGGTGGTTCTTCTGCTCTGCCATCTGGCTGCAGCTTCACTGACAATTACAATCCCTGTCACAAATCTTCTGCCTAACCCACATGGCCTCCCCGCATCCACCCATGCCACTTTGACCACGCTCCCCTCCGCCGGCAACGATCATCTTTTAACCGCCTCCCTCTCTCACACCTCAACTTTGGTCTTCCATGATATTCCCGCTCGGCAAGAGTCCTACCTGTTGGACATCCGTTCTAGCGAATTCATCTTCGCCCCTTACCGCGTCGACGTGGCCGCCGATGGCTCGGTCCTAGGAGTCTGGGAGACCTTCCGCGGAAACCCGTGGGATAACCGTGGTGCGGAGAAATATACTGTTGATGCGACTCGCAAGACACAATCAGATGTCACTGTCGAGGCCAAGCTTGTGGGTCGCAGGAACTTCTTTGAGGAACGCGCCAAGTGTGAGTGATGCGATAAATGACTGAATAAGACAATTCATCATTACATCCCCTTCCCCTTGAGAAGAAAAAAAAACAACTTGCTAATCTCCATATTGAACAGTCTCACCGATGAGTCTGGTCAAGAACCCCATGATCTTGTTGGCTATTGTTGCCTTGGCTTTCACTCTTGGCATGCCGAAGCTGATGGAGAACAGTATGATTGGCCCTTCTTGTGTTGTTTAATTGCTCGTTCAAATCCCAACTAACTAAAACAGTGGATCCGGAAATGCGTGCTGAATTTGAGGAGCACTCACGATCTTCACCTTTGACCGGAGGTGCAAGCAATGCCCTTGCTGGAGGTGGATTTGATTTGGCTGGCTGGATGGCAGGTACCTCATCTGGTCCCATAGCCAATGCCGATACTGCTTCAGCTGGGACTACCGGTCGTGAAACGGGTGGCGCAACACGGCGACGTTGATTGGGCAGCTTACTCTACATCTGATCTCGTCAGGACGCTATAATTTTGGAGGTTCAATAACCAATTAAGCTCAAAGAATTACACCAAGTCGATAATGAAAGCTGTTGAGATCGAAAACCAACATTTCCTGCATTTAAAATCCCCCTTGTGCCATAAATCAACAGATGGGTTAGAAGACGATAATTCTCCAGAATTTACAAAATCTATCAGAGATCAATAACCTCATCATATACAGCCAGAAGTTCATAAAATTTCATGATGTCATGAGAGCAAATCCAAAACAATAGAAGAAGAAACGCCTATCTATCATGGAGATAGTGGGATAAACAACGGATTTAAAAGTCTCCTCCACCGAAATCACCACCACCACCATCACCAAAGTCCCCGCCGCCATAGTCCCCTCCACCACCATAATCTCCCCCGCCGCCATAGTTTCCACCATTATCATAATCATGATGATCTTCCATATCTTCCACAACATCAGCGATCAAAAGTCCACCAAGCAATCCTCCACCCACACCCAGTGCAGCTGCACCAGCGGTTCCCATGCCATGTTTCTGTGGTGGCTGCTGATAGTACCCGCCTTGGGGTGGCCCGGATTGGTATCCTCCATATCCCCCATATCCAGCCGCCGGGTACCCGTATCCTGGCGCCTGTTGCGGAGGGTATCGCCCGTAGTACCTCGGATTCGGTGGGGGCTGCTGTGGATATGAGGCGTACTGAGGCTGCGATTGTCGCGGTGGGCGGGAGCTGCTGGAGCTCTTTCCCATCAACTTGCTCAGGAATCCTCTACTGCGAGACTTTTCCTCTGGTGCTGGGCTCCCGGAAGTTGGCCTGGGAGCATAAGAACCGGTGGATTGGGGTGCAGATTGCCCGCTGTAAAATTCAGCAGCGGCACCGGGGGTTCCGGCACCCCTGCTGCTGTTGCTGCTAGCCTGTGCGTCCTCTTCGGCCTGGAGCTTAGCGGCGAGGCGGGCATCGTCATCAATCATGGGACTGCCAGTGCCACGCGAGGAACTAGTCGAGTTATATGGGTTATTTGAGGCCAGCGGCTTCTTCTGATCTCCCGCATTGGCGAGTATAGCGGAGCCAGTAGAGCCTGCATTATCGTATGATGGTGGGGGTTCGCTGGAACCTCCGTCGGTGGATGGAGGTCGTAGCTCGGGGCGTTCCCACTGTGACTTTCCGGTAGCCAGGTTAATGTAAAACCTGAGACGAATTCAATTGTTATTTTCTCATTTTGGGGGAGGGCCAGGAAGAAGCAAAAGAAAAGGTGGATACCAACGTACCATGACTGATATCGCTCGTCATACTGCGCCTTCCATCCCTCCGGAACAGAAGGTGGGGGAGGCCCGGAAGGTGGCGTGAAGGAAGCCGACATGAAGCAAGTCGGGACAGAGAGATGGTAGGTGAGATAGGGTAAGATAGAAGATGGATCTCGATGGTAAGTGGATGAGGGAAAGAAACAAAATAAAAATCCAGATGAGCTGTCAAGGTTTGGAGAAATAATCAGGTATGCACATGTGGGAAAGGAAGAGTAGGAAGAGAGGAAGTATACCTCATATATACTCGCTAGTCCCCACCTGATTCTAGAAGACTCAATGCCCTGCGCCACACTGTGGCAGAGCATAACGTCATTTCATGTATTGAATGTTTCTGCCTTTCAAGGTATTTTTTATAGTATATAGTACTAGTAGTTATACAACAGATTATTTCATTTAGATACAGTGTTTGAAGATTATTATACTACAACCAGTATCGGTTGTGTATTTTATATTAACCAAGTTCACTACTAGTCAACTGGTAGGCTCCATACTCAAAATAGGCCCAACAATAAAGTGGCCATATGTTACATTTTGTATGATACACCCAATATCAGTCACCTCACTTGGACCTTCAATCATCATCACAAATATTGGCGTCATAGCATCCGCTATCTGGCCACCAATAGTCGTCGTCAAGTCCATCTTCCAGATTTTCATTAGAAGACCAAAGCTTTGACGGCTTTCGTTTTGGCCGAGGTATTGACTCGGGTTCCGGAGAATCACTAACCAAGTCTATCACTTCGACATCGCTGAACTTTGGGGGACGGTACTGCTTCTTTCGCTTCTCTTTCCCTTTCTCCTCTCGGGTCCTTTTTCTTTTTCTTGTAATCTCAGCTGCAGCTACCCCACCTTTATCCCGGCTGTCCTTATTCCCTTCAGGCCTGTGCTTATCCCCTGACAATGTATCATGCCGAACATTCCGTGCTCGAGCAACATCTCTCTGCATCTGGAGCTCATTTCTTGCATTCTGGTCAAGTTTGTTCTCGGCTTGTACCTTTGGCCCGGAAAGCTGACGAAGTTGGTATTCATCCTTGAGGGGGATTCGTTTCACTTGATCGAGAGGTGTATCCTCACCGAGGCCACGTGCCCAACGAGCATAAGGGCCTTTATAATTAGATCCCTGCCCGGGTCCCCAAATCGGATGCCGTTCGATCTCTGCACTAGCCACAAGTGCTCTACTTGCCTCGCATCCAGAAATCTCCTCGGACATAGGTTCGGGGGCACCCTTGAACTCAAACCTATCGATGTCAGGGTCTGAACAAGGCCCGGAAGAAAGTACCCGAATGCCCCCGCCATGAAACCCAAGGAGCAGATGAGAGCTGTCGTCCGAAAAGGCTCCACTAGTGATACCCTCGTTAAAATTGGCTATATTGGCCACTAGCACGTCTTCGGGGGATCGACGAATATCCCACTGTTTCAAAACCCCATCTGAGCCACCGGTATAAAACTGATCAATGGCCGTTCCCCACAGAGCAATGGAGACTCCGTAATCAGTCAGCTCCCGAGGCTGCTGGTGATTGAGCGGATGCAGAGGATCGCCGTGTCGAAGTTGATGGAGGTTTTTGCCGGGCCAACGAACATCCCAAACATATGTTCGACCATCTGTGCAGCTAGCTGTGATGTATGTAGAATCCATCGGACAAAAGCTCGTTTCATTGACATCGGCAGCTGGGCAGGGAAAACGACTAGTGACAATAAAATTATCATCTATGTAGTCGTACACCTGTACAACAGTTCGCGTCTTCAATGGGAGGCGCATTGCCTGGCTATAGGTAGTTGCAGCAGCAAACTTAGGCAAGAATGGATGCCATTTGATATCAAAAATGTTTTGAGAATCGGGGCTGAGTTTGCGTGGTGTCACAGATCCCTGACCTACAGCCCATAGTCCTAGATGGCCATAGTGGGGGACTTTGTATTCATCCACGATTCGTTCCACCATGCCACCAACTAAGAAATGATCCGTTGATGCGGTATGGCCCCATGCAAGAGTTGTTGGTGCCAGGTCAATGACTTTCTGGCGAGAGCTCCGGACAATGGACAAATCCACGCAAGTGGGATCCTGGTCTTCCTGGGTATGCCATAGATGGAACGAGTCGGTACCAGTGGCAATAAGCTTTGGGTGTTTCTTTGAAAGAGCCATCACCACCACTTTAGAGTTATGCCTTAATGTTTGAAGGCAATTTGGAGGTTTATGAGCACCAACATCCCAGATTTTGACTGTATTGTCGTAGCTGGCGGTGTAGAGTCGGTCACCAGCCCACTGCATATCAGCCACGCTGGTGTACAAGCGCTCCTCGGTAGTAGTCGACGAAGGGGGACGAGGGATCCAGTGGTCTGGGAGCTCGTGTAGCTCATTATTGACAAGGTCACCCAAAAGTAAATTGTACTTTCGATTGTACTCGTCAGGTTGAGCCGTCGCTCCCACTGCAAACTTGGTGGAATCAGGAGACCAAGCAAGAGCCACTACATCATCTGAAGCACCTTTCCATGACTTCCAGGGTTTGATATCCGATGTTAAATCTGCATGAATCCGTTTGCTGGAACCACAACCACACAATTCCCGATCCCACAATAGTTTCTTGATAAGAGGAGTTCTGCGAGTAGGGTCTTTGTTAAGTAAGTCGAAGCTCGGGAGAGTATCCGGGGGAGGAGAGGATTCATGCGACGCCCGAGGCGCTCGAGACGCCCGAGACACTCGAGGGGCTACCTCTTGAGAATTCCTGGAGGCCTCATTCAACTCCAGCCCAAGCAACACACGTACGTTATAGGTATTCGGTGTATTTTTGGCCCGACCAGAACGTCTGGGAGCTAGGTCATCGAGGCTTTGCAAGGGTGAATCAGAGGGATGTGGGGGTGAGCTTGAGGTTGTAGAGGAAATGTCCAGGTTTTTAATGTGAGGATGAATTTGACCACTCCATCCCAGTGAGTTTGACGATAATAATGACAAGCCCGTTTGAGGGGTCATATTAATGGGTGGACATGATACTGGTAATCCGTCTCTCCCATTCTGACTTGAATCCAACACAGCCACACATTCTGTCGGACCGGGTTGATCATTTTGTTCTGTGGTAGATGATTCGGAGGAAGAGCAGTTAGGCGGCAGATCTTTTGGCTCTAGAGGGTCTAGAGCACTGCGTGGTGTGCGCCGGGCCGTATCGACACTTGCCGGATGTAACACGGAATGGCCATGGGTAACAGTATCCGAAAATCCCAAGTCTTGCTCATCTGGTAAATTTGTTGAAGACTTTGTGAAAACTGAAAGTAATCTTTGGGCCTCTTTTGAAACTTCCTCAAGGTTCTTAGAGCTATATTCAGGGATGAAGGAAGATTGTTGGCCTCTGTCCCTACCGCGAGGTCGACAGTGGAGCATTTTGTGATAAGGCAGGCGATCTCAAAACTACTGGACATTCACCACAAATTAGTTTAAAAACGTTATATATTGATGATAGGGTTATCTCACGCGGTGATTTCTTCAAGACCGGGCAAGATAGTCAAGATTATTGACTCGGCACAGCAGTTTCTGATGAGACAGAGACATCACTCACGAACCCACTTGTATGGCTTACTCCAAAGGCGTAATTCACAGCAAAATGTCTAAGAGGGTAAGGGGACAGCATCCGTGATCGTCTCGGAAGTTTTCTTGGATGAGTCTCCGAGAGTATTTAAATGGGATTTGACTGGACTATTGGTAATAGTCACGCAAAAAGGTGTTTTCAAGTCGGTGGGATTTGAGATATGAGGGACAGAATGTGGATCTAATCTTGATGGTCAGCGATATTTCAAAAAGCAAATACTGATTGAGCTATGTGCCAAATTGGATAGAGCACTACATACACTAATTATATGGGACGTGAGAAATCCGTTGGAGAACAGGGGGTGAATGGATAGATAATTAGGAATTGGGGATCGGGAATTGGGAATTGGGAATTGGGGAATCGCGAAAAACGCGCGCGTCACTTTGGCGCGGAGTAGTTTTGACCGCCTTGGGTGATAACAGTTATCGATTATTGATAAGAATGAAATCAATTTATAGTATGTACTAGTAGTATACTGGTAGTTCTAACAAGGATACCATCTATGCCATTTACTTTTGATTTTGAACCTGTCTGTAGATAAGGCATTCAAGTAATTTAATCTAGTGTTGATGGACTTTTGGACGAGAAATTATAATAACAGTGGTAATAAAAGCATACTATGATATATACAGTTCTGTGGACTAGCCGTTGACAGTCCAGGTTTATTATGTAAGATGTGTATAAAAACACATGCTATCTCACCGTGTGGTAGAGCATGGCCACTTTTCTGGATCAAAATGACCGATCATTGGTTTTCTTTGCTTTAGACCAATCACCCCCAGAGAAGTGTAGGACCTTGTCAACGTGATTCTTTTAACTCTTGTAACTAGAAGAATATCGCAGAAAGGTTGCATTATTAGCAGAAATGAAACCTTTACTTGCGAATTGCAGCCTTCTTGCGCATTGCTATCATTGTGTCATATAGCACATCTTTGAAGGCAAACAAAAAGGCGGCTGTGATGGCACTCTGGGTCACCTTAGGGCCAATGCCTGAAGGAAATTTATAGATTAGCCAAGATTGAGAGAGAGAGAGAGAGAAAACAACAACAACAACAACAACAACAACAACAATAATAATAATAGGGATATCGGGAACTCAGGGAAAGAGTCAAGAAGTAAAAAAAAAAAAAAAAAAAAAAAAAGAAAAGAAATTGTTCAAAAAAAAATTTGACTTACCCTTATATAGGCCCTTCCATCCTTCTTCCCGAATGATCCTCTTGAGACTTCCATTCAGACTCTCCTTAGGGCCATCCCTGCTGGCCACGTGCATCCGGCTCTTGACCGTGATGTATGGATAGGTGATGCTGGTGGCCAGAATCTTGCCCAATGCACCAAGGTAAAACGCGTCCTTGGGAGTCATTCGACGGCGACGCTCAACCATATTCTTCAGCTGCTCAAAAATAGTGTATTGCAAAATTGGGTTGATCACCAAGATCAATGCCGGGAGAACACCGGCAAACAAAGCCTTGGGACCTTCCTGCCTTAACAGATCCATCAAGGTGCTGAGAGTCGATGCCTTGGTTTTTGGCGCTCCTGGTAGACTTTGTTCTTCCGACTCTGACTTGCGAGCCGTCATGCGGGTGTTGATCACCCAGATGGGATTTGTAATCAGCACGGTGGCACTTCCTGCAATTGCTCCCGCAATGATAGACTCCACGGTCGTAAGCTTCTTGGAAGCCCGCCCCCCCTGAATGGCTGCTTTCTCAAAAGCAGCCCTGGTCCACTCATACCAGTAATAGTATACGAAGTTGGTGACGCTGATTCCGAAGAGAGCGGACTCCAAACCAGAATATAATCCGGATATACCCTCTCGCTGAACGATTCGTCGAATGGCATCGAGATTGGTTGAGTGCGCACGCTTGGATTCGACCTGCGCTCTGGTAGACAGGGTGATGAGGGGATATCTGTCGTATAATGATTGTAAGCAGAGAGCCCCATGGGCGAGGAGTGTGGAATAATTTACGTCAGCACCATTGACAAGACCCCTCCTCCAGCACCCGCAAGAGCGTGCGCAATGTTATCACTTTGCTGAACAGCCACGGAGGGGGCGGCCTTCTGCTGTGGACGTTCGGACATGGTTGTAGGGGTCAAAATAAAGGCGAATTACTTATAAGTAAGTGACGACTGAATGGACGAGGAGATCAAGAAAGGAGCGGAGGGATGTTTGAAGAAAGGGAATCAAAAGCAGAGTTTGATGAAATGAATCGGCTTTGATGAGGGAAGGAGAGTTTCATGACGTTTTGCCGAGTGGTTTTGTACCTCGGCTCATACCCAACTCCACTACATTCCGGGGTCGATGCGACAGATGATCCAGTACCACAGTCAGGAGACTATCGGAACTGACCGAATACTCAATCAACACATGTCACAGTACATAATTTTCGAGTTGACCCCTTACCGCCCATCCGACAAGCTATTCGGTGGCATGTGATTTAGTAAGAAATATATACCATAAAGCACATGACTAGAGCGATGTTACCGAACACATTGAGCCTAGAATTGGATAATACATGCTAAAGACTACGTATATGAATAATATACTTCACACAGATACACAGAAATTCTCGCCATTATTCCATTCATAGGAGATGAATCCAACCTACAAGAAAGAAAAAAGAGAAAATAGAGAGGTAGGGAGGAGAGAAAGAGAGAGAGGTAGAACATGCCACAGCGAAAGTTCAACAATATGCGGCCATGGAAGGATAGGGGGAGAGAGAAAAGCAGAAGAGGAACAGGAGGGGGAGAAAGGAAAAGAAAAGAAAAGTAAAGTAAAGTAAAAAAAAAAACACCAATGATCACGAAGCAAACGCAGAACGACAGAACACAGGGCCGTCTAAAGACAGAAGAAATCCAAGACCCTCAAGCCTCGTCAAGTCCTCGATCGATGCCGGGTGTGGGGTGAGCCTGGTTGTCGAGTACACCTGGCATATCGCTTCGAGAACCTTCAATTCATGTAAAATTGCGCCAAATGAGAAGCATCATATCGCATGGATCTAGCAGCAGCCGCCTCCCGACCCAGATTGAACACCCTGGCCCTGGCCAACCTGCACAGTGGGCTTGTTGTTGACGGTGGCTGTTCCCATACGCTCCTTGATCTGTCGTGCCATTGTCAAGAATGCCTGCTCGACATTCGAGGCGTTCTTGGCGGATGTCTCGAGGAAGGGGATTCCGAGGCTATCAGCAAACTCCTATATCGCGCGTGAAACCCAACGAGTCAGCGACAAACGATTCATCTCCAAGGGATCAAGGCTAATTTATGTTTTGCGTGGGAGTATACATATAAAGGGTAGGGGGAGGGCATACCTTTGCCACAGTGTACTCCACGACCTTCTTGTCCTCCATATCACTCTTGTTGCCCACCAGCAGCTTGTTCACACCCTCGGTGGCGTATCGGTCGATTTCCTGCAGCCACTGCTTGACGTTGTTGAAAGAGTCCATGTCGGTCACATCGTACACCACACAGATTCCATGGGCGCCACGGTAGTAAGACGAAGTGATGGTACGGAAACGTTCCTGGCCAGCAGTGTCCCACTAATTTTCTTCGGTTAGCTATATTCCTCACACGCCATATGAATATTCACGTACAATCTGAAGTTTCACAGTCTTGCCATCAAGTTCGATGGTGCGGATTTTCTGCGACGAGTGCATTAGCATGTCATTTCGGGAGCCCCACCGGAGTCGAGAGTTCACATACGAAGTCCACTCCAATAGTCGAAATGTAGCTCTCGGTGTAGGTGTCATCGGCAAAACGAAGCAGCAGACAAGACTTGCCAACACCGGAGTCTCCGATGAGCAGTAGCTTGAAGAGGTAATCGTATCTGTTTGTATTTGAAGTTAGGATAGGCAGATCGGCGAGATGACGTTTGGAGACTCGCAACCAAGGGGTGAACTCAGGAACTCAGCAACCTGGGATAGTACTCTAGAAGATGAAATTATCAGCTAAGTTCACAAATTTGTGTCTGTCCATAAAAAGGCTTTGCAGTAACAGCAAATATGGGACACTGGGGAGAGACTTGGATCCCGACCGAGGAAACACAAATGCTTACCACTCAGGATTCATGATGAAGAGAAGAGGACAGATAATCCAGTTACCCAAAATACAGTTGAATATGAGCAAAAAGAAAAGAGTAGGAGAGATGGGAGGTGAAGGAGGTTCCAAGTTGGAGGGGAGTTGAATGATGAGAGCCTGAAATGAATGATAGGAGGTGCAGGTGGGCATACGCACCTGATGCGCAGCTTCGTTTCACCTTTACCGTCACCGCTTTGTTTACTTAGTGTAAGCCCAGATCTACTTGGAAGAATCGGTTTTTTATATATATTTCTATGAACATTTGAATGTATTGTACCTAGGTAAATGTTTTACGTTTTTACTTTTCATATATATTTGTGTTTATCAATCTGAGCTTACTTTTTATTTCTGCTTCTTTAGAACTGGAGGTGATATTGCCTTAGAACGAGTAGATAATCATGTCGGACTAAAAAAAAAAAGAGACTTTCTCACCGCACACATGCTCATTCTCCGCCTCGTGCGAACCTCAGTTGCCCCTGGCAGGTGATCAGCTATGCCAAGATTTTCACTCTTTTGGTGGACTTCATTTCACATCATTCCCCGCTGTACCAAGTATTGCTTTAGGCAAAACCATGAGCCCGCAGCCATTCAAGGGCCCGTGCCTGGTCCCGTTCCTTGTAGGAGGCGTTGGTATAAATGTTATCAGAGATAATGACCAGGGCACGCTCATAGGAACCCGTATTCTTGCTCTGGAAGAAAGTGGCAATATCCTCACCAATCTGATGGTCAGCAAACTTAGACAAACCCATTCGAATGAACCGCTCGAAGACTACATTATTAGACGACAGCCGGGCTTCCACCGAATCCCAGTTCACTTTGATGTATTCCCATAGCAAGTGTCGGACTTTGGCGTTGCCAGCCAGAGACACTGCACCACTGTGCATGTCCTGAATAGCCACCTTATTGGAGAAAACAAAGTCCAGATAGTCATTCACAAGCGCTGGTTCCTTGGTTCGTCCCATGGCAGCCAGGCAAATTTCCTTGCCATCAACAGAATCTGTGCGTAGATACTCTTCTTTAACCGCATCGTATTCCTTGCGACCGCCCTCTGACACGTTGAGGCTGAAAATAACCGATCGAAGATTGGTGTGTACAGCACTCCGGTCTTGGCCAGTGGCCCACAAGTCAAATCGCCTCTTGGCTTCAGCGACAATACTGCATGTTTTTATCAGCCAGTGGAACTTCTTGTGAGCAAATTAGACAGAACTTACCTTTCATCCCCGGCATTGCCAGCCATGGCAATCAGCAACTTGCGCAGTTGAACGGTGAGATAATCCTCATTGGGTTGGAATTCCCAGCCAATTTCCTGTGCAGCCGGTGCAGCCAAGTCCTTGGTGAATTTCTTCAACCCCTCCGCCACAGATTCGTTTTGAGAGAAAACAGAACGAAGGTTTGCCAACGATGTGGACACCTGCGACCAGACACTGGATATTAAGAGGTGAGAATTAGCACGGATTGAATATATGCAATTGACAGTTGCGACCCTTACAGATAATTTTTCTCGGCCTTGAACCCTTCCAGAAGGGCTAGCAGGGCTGGTGTAGTGCCTTCGCCAGAGACTGCAAGGGCAGCAGCATCTCCCAGTAATCCGATTTTATCCTCAGTGCTCAGCAGGTTAAGTGACTGGCCTAGCTTCTCTAGGCGAGCAGGAGAGTAGTTTGTGCGGTAGAAACCAGCCAGATCTTTATTGATCTTGTAGAAAGTATCATCTCCGATGCCTGGCACATTGTCGGATTTCTGGGTGAGGGCCCGGGTATCTAAAGTAGCCAGTTGTTGGCCGGACTTGATTCCCAGAGGAATCCACCAGGTCGTCTCATCCTCCTCAGGCTTCGCGTCTCCGCTAGATAAAAATCGGGTTTGACGAACGCTAACTTGACCGGGTTCCTCTGCAACGGTAACGACCGGGAAGCCAATCTTGCGAATCCAAGGATCCTGTAGCATGTCGTCAGAGCTTGGTTTCTCCATGAACACCCATGAAGCCTTGGAGAGGGGATCGGATGGGTCATACCATGAATCCGTGCACATCTTGACCAGAGGCCTTACTCAAAGCCGACCACAGATCATTGGTGGTTGCGTTTCCTTTGTGGTCAGGGATCAGCATCTAGCTATGTATATCTTTGTCATTATCCTCTTCTTACCGTATGCATGAGACTTGAGGTAATCAGCGACACCCCGGAGGAATGTCTCACGGCCAAGATGGACACTCAGCATGCGAATTACTGAGCTTCCTTTCAGATAGCTAATGTGATCAAAGATCTGATCCACCTCGAGAGCGTTCCGGACGGGCACCTCAATAGGGTGAGAGGCTCGTAGCGAGTCAAGATGAAATGCTTGTTGCACACCCTCAGCCTAGTAAAAAAGTTAATGGGGATCTGCAAGGGGGAAATCCTTTACCTCGGGAATTGCGTACGACAAACTGAGACCAGACGTTCCAATCTGTCTAAAGTGTTAGATTGGGTCATAATGCGGGTTTTAAATGACGCCTACCCGGATGGAAGTGATCTACTGCAAGCCAACCAACCCAGGTTGCAAATCCTTCGTTCAACCAGAGCTCATTCCACCAGTCCATGGTGACTAGGTTACCGAACCACTGGTGAGCCAACTCTGTGATGCGATATGTTAGATACAACTTAGTTCGACCAGATTGAACCAGGAAGACTGACCGTGCGCGACCACGTAGGCAATTCGATTCTTGTACCGGTTGTCTGATTTTCCTTCGTCGAAAAGTACAGCGGTGGTCCGATAGGTGACCAATCCCCAGTTTTCCATGGCTCCCATGGCCTGATAAAATTCCAGTCAGTTCAGGTTTCCCTCAGTGTTTCACCGTAATTGATAAGGTTCAGCCACTCACAAACTCGTGCACGGCTAATAGATCAGCCTTGGGGAGTGGGTACTCGATTTCGAAGATTTCTGAGAAGTAGTCAACAGTCCGGTGGGCACATTCCAACGCAAAGCGAGCCTGCTCTTTAAGCCCCCGAGTGGTGTAAACCCGGACAGGAATGCTCTTGCCCTGGTACTTGCGCTCTGTCATGGCCTCAACGTATTCGAAATCACCGACTGCCCAGGCAAGTAGCTACATTACGGAATAATTTGTCAACCGTGTTGATTATGACGGGTAGGGAGGGCTTTGTACTCACGTAAGTGCTCATCACGGGTGTTTTCTCAAACGTGACAGTCTTCAGACCAGGGCGACTTCCTTCCCTTTCGGATTGGATGGGCATGTTGCTGAGAGCAGTTTGACCCTTAGGGATTTCTATTTCAAAATCAAAAGTCGCCTTAAGGTTCGGTTCATCAAAGCACGGGAAGGCCCTCCGAGCGTCACAAGATTCAAATTGAGTGCTCAGCATGTAGTGGAAACCGTCTTCCTTGGGAGTATCCACAGCTGGTTCCCCCACAGGCGTGTACTTGGATCGATAAAAGCCCGACATGGCATTGTTCATGGTACCCGTGAAGTTGATTGATAGGACAACATCCGAAGGCACAACTTCCTGTGATAACTTCAGGAACACGCGTTCGGATTCCTTATCGTAGGTGATATCCGAAGTCTTCGCCAGCTCAGTGCCTGCATAAGAAAAAAAAAAAAGAAAAGACAAATGGTCAGTCGTGGCCAGGCTCAATGACACCGTCAGGGTGCTTCTAAGTATGCTTCAAAAACGAACCATCCTTTCCCAATACTTCGGCACTCTGGACCTCAATCTCCTTGGCGTTCAACACAATTTCCTTGGTAGCACGAGTGACCTTGGTATCGATCTTCAGCAGACCATTGTACCCCCACGAGCCCTCGAGCTGCAAGTCGAAAAGCGAGACATGATAGTTGGTAGGTTTAGCCCTGTTTCCAGATGAGCCCAATGATTTAGTATGTATGTTTTACACTCAAATGAATCCTTTTCCACGGAAAGAGAAGGTAGGGGGGGGGGGAAGATAATCGTAGGATAAGGGACAGAGGTATCACTCACACATCAGGCAAGGTATCTCTGTCGGTTGAGGCCATCATGCGAGCCTCTGCGGAGCAGTAACGAGGATAGACAAGGTTAAGTCTGGGCACAGTGATCGGAAATAATCGATGGCGCAGACGAGGGGAGCGAGAAAAAGAAGAGGAGGAGAAGAAGGAGGGGGAGGGGCAGAAAGGCCCTCGCCGCTCTGCAATGGCGACTCCAGCACGTCTGGTCGCCGCTATGGACCTTCTTCCCCACATCCTTCCAATTGTCAACTTCTCCCCAATACTCGGCTATCCTCGGATTGGAATTCTTTGTGGACCTTTTTCTTTCCTTTTCCCCTGTGCCTTTTGGCTCGGCTCGGTTCCTGGTACCCTAAACTTGACGAGTCTTCCGTTGAATGCGCGTCAAAGAAGTGAAGAGAAGTTTCTCCAGACGGAGCTCCGTCGGAGCTTGGACCATAATCAAAGGCGGCTAGCATTCCCGCGCTACGAATCCACCTTCCACCACTTTAGGCCGGAACCGATATTTGCTTAAGCCATGGCCGACTCGGACGAGGAATACGTCGGGGATGTTACAGAAGATGAGGACGATCTCCAAGTAACCCGGAAAGATCAGGTTGGGACAAGGAAGAGAAAACAGCGCGGAGCAGCTGAGTGGGAGCTCTCCAGGACCTGGGAGACACTTGTCGAAGGTGCAGATGGTACCATCAGTGCGACTGTGGAGGGACTGCTGGAGGCGGGAAAGCGAAAAAGGTGGTTCCCCTTGACCTGTTGGTTACCCAGGTGGCCTGTTTAGCTGACTCAAATGCAATTAGACTGTTGAAAGATACAACTCCTCTCCAACGCGGTATTATACGACATCTGATCCTTGTCCTCGACCTTTCACAGTCCATGTCTGAAAAGGATCTACGTCCGACGCGCTACCTGCTCACTCTGCGATATGCGCAGGAATTCGTGCGAGAATTCTTTGAGCAAAACCCCATCTCCCAACTGGGCGTCCTGGGTCTGCGGGATGGCCTGGCTCTTCGGATCAGCGACATGAGCGGAAATCCTACGGAGCATATGACGGCCATAAAATCCCTCAAGACCCAAGACCCGAAAGGTCTTCCTAGTCTGCAGAATGGCCTGGAAATGGCACGAGGCGCCCTGTTGTACGTTCGCGCTAGTTGTGTTCTTGAGGAGTATTTGCAGAGCTGACTGGTGGCCGTATAGTCACACCCCCAACCATGGCACAAGAGAGGTACTTATTATTTTTGGCTCCCTCTTGTCCTCGGATCCGGGTGATATTCACCAGACCATCAACACCTTAATCAGTGATAAGGTACGAGTACGCATCGTCGGTCTTGCCGCACAGGTCGCTATTTGTCGTGAGCTTTGTACGAAAACGAACGGAGGGGATGAGACAGCATATGGTGTCGCGCTCAATGAGCAGCATTTCCGGGAATTAATGATGGATGTGACCACTCCACCCGCCGCGTATTCCCAGAAACAGTCCGCTAGCTCGTTGTTGATGATGGGCTTTCCATCTCGAACAGTGGAGTTGAAGCCTTCTCTCTGCGCCTGCCATTCCAAACCATCCCGAGGTGGGTACTTGTGTTCCCGTTGTGGTAGCAAGGTATGTAGTCTGCCCGCAGAGTGCCCTTCTTGTGGGCTCACCTTGATTCTTTCTACACATCTTGCCCGCTCCTACCACCATCTATTCCCTCTGATGAATTGGGTGGAGGTCCCATGGCGCCGGGCTTCACGAAGCACTGGGTGTTTTGCTTGCGGTCTACCTTTTCCTGTTGCCCCACCGGAGGATCAATGGCAAGCGACTGAAACTCACACCAAAGGAATGAGTGTGAGCAGTCGCTACGAATGTGCAGCATGCCAGAATCATTTCTGCATTGATTGCGATCTTTTCGCACACGAAGTCGTGCATAATTGTCCTGGATGCCAGAGTAAAAACAATCAGCTTTTAAACAGCGGAACCGCGTTGGACGGAATGGACACGACCAATTGAGACTATACTGTACTACCATTTTAATACATTAACATTACATAGTTTGGCGTTATGTGAGGCTTATCACCAGGAAACATACTTACAACAAACCTCGGATCATTTTAAGAAAGAAGCCAAAGTTGAGTGCTTAACTCGAATCCAAATTTTTGTATGTGGCTCCGATACGCTTATCGTAGTAAGGTGAGCCTCGGCTACAAATTATAATGTATTCTTCTCTCCGCCTTATTCGCCCCCGCCAACTCCGCATCATTGAATCACTGAATCACTGAATCACCGAATCACTGTGCTGGGGTTAAGAGAAAAGAGACAATGTTACAATCCCCGGCCTCGGCTTCGTTCGAGAAACTCCGCGCGTACTCTTTTCACTCAGATCCTGAATTCGCAAATGGTCTCGCCATTATTCTAGGCCATCCCGACACACCAGCCACAGACAAAGAGATTAGTCGAGAAGATGACCTTGTTTTACAGGCCAAGTGCTTCTTTTTCTCACGGTATTGGATTGTGGTCAATATTAATGAGAAAAAAAATCCGCTAATTATTCAAACAGAAAAGAAAATATTTCTCCACCCATTGATTTTGCCAGCTATAAGTCATGGCTAACTGATTCGTCAACTTGCGAACCTCATGAAACGAGTGGTCCAGCCGGTTCACCAAAGGTCCTTGGCTCTGAAAGAACGACTGGTCAGGAGCCCACCTATCCGTCTTCGTTTGCGCATATAGTCGAGCTTATTACCACGGGGCAACCAATTCCGGGGATTGAGCAGATTCCAGACACTGTGTTGACGGGACATGGCATCTCAAGTGAAAAGCCTCGGCGACCCAAGCCGTGGGAGAAGGGTGAATTGGAGGAAATTCATAGTGAACCTACAGCTGAACTACCATCCGCATGATTGTTTCGTGGATCCATACTTTTGCTGGACTTGCTTAACGTAGCATTCGAAGGAACAGACACTATAGAATGGAGTATACATACATGCATACATATATTTGGATCTATAAGAATGCCAGTCTTGCAGCCTTGAAATAATATATGATAAAACGTCGGCCATTAAAACCAAATCCCCGAATGGCTGGATAAAACAAGGGAATAAACACCACTGAGGGTCAAGCATGCAAAGGCAAATAGGGGAGGACGGCAATAGAAGCATATAACAAGTTCATTCGAGAATAAAAGCCCTCCAGCATAATCAACACTCGAAAAGTACTGCGTACTTGAAAGTGAAATACGAGCTACCATCAGAAGCAGATTGAGGCCCCCGGGCGTGAGTCTTCGGGCCATGCTCGCCACTTGAACGACACAAAAAGACTAGAAATGAACGAACAGTGGATGTGTGACAGACCAAGGAAATAGATCGACGGACACAATGAATGGACGAGATTGAATTCATAGAGATAAAGGCAATCTGGGCAGTAACTCTTGCCAGCGGGCTGGCTGTCTCGGTATCGAATATGAAATGGAAGTAATTCATATGGTCAATAATAACTGGTCGATGGTTTCAAGGTGATCTTTTTTTTTCGAGGATTTTTGGGCAGAATCTTTTTTTCCCCTTGTCTTTTCTCAAGGGTCATCGTTTTCGTGTCTCGATTTCTCCGCAAGTCTCGTGTTGTGTGAGACTTAAGCCCAGAGGGCACAATTGTAAATATTTAACGAAATGCCGAATAGCTTGAGTTCCACTGGTTCCCTCGATTGAACCGGTTGCCATTTTGGCCGGTCGAGGAGAATCTGTCTTCATTGAATTGAGTGAATCGTCCAATTTGAATGCCCGTCCCAGGTCCAGGACGCGTAGCATGGGATGGATTGCAGCAGAGCATTGCAACACGAGAACCAAACTTGGATCCACGAAGGGAGACCATGTGTTTTCTGTAATGGAGTTAATTATGAAACCGAGAATGAGAATGGAGAATAGTAGACACATACCGGATGTGGCTCGCCACAATTTCACGCTGGTGAGTTGCAGCATTCATCAAAATCCATTGAATCAGGTAGTTCCCGTATTGATCGCCTGCAACTGTATCTGGTGTCAGTTTTTCACTCATTTACAAGATCCAGAGATGGAAGCAGCCACTCACTATCGATCAAAGGCATCCGAGGTCGGTCAGCACGACCTGTGCAAACACGAGAGAGATAACGATCTAGGAATTCCGAGCCTCCGATTTTCAAGCATTTCTCAACTATTTTGGACGCAAATTGATCCATACTATACTCAACCGCATGATGAAGCACGTGTTCAATGGCTCGACTTTTGTCATGGGGGGCGCCATGTTCACAGACATGCTGAATGCACCAGTTGCCGAATTGACCATGTGCTAGTACATCGATTTTCGCCAACACCTCTTCAATCGCCGATCGCTTTGGATATTATTAGCAGATGGGATAAAAGAAAAATAAAAAAAATGTAGTAGGCAGCTCTTACCTTCTCCTCCTCAACGCAATTCTCAAAAATATTTTGAACTACCAAGCTCCCCGTCTCTCCTTGAGCGACTTCATGCCATCTTCCACGCAGAGCTTCGTTCACTTTGGCCATGATTTGCGGTGGCTCTCCGGTCCACCGAAGCTCAAAAAGTTTTTGCCAGACATGACATGCGTATCGATGAATCACCGTCTCCGGAATTCGGCAAAGAAGTTCATGTACCATGATCGCCTTGTGTTCTTCAGGAACGCAGTCAAAGGCCTTTTGAACAACATGGCAGCCAAACGGATCCATACTTAAGCTGAGAGTGTTGCCTCTGATTTCATTGGCAATGGCAATAATCTGCTCACCTGTTCCATGCTCAAAGCATCTCTGGACCAGGAAGTTCCCGAATCGGTTCACCATCAAAGCGTAGGCTTGGCTGATGATGGCTTCGATGATCTCGTGCTTCTGCTCAACTGTTCCAACTTTAAGTTTCTGCTGTAGGAAAATGGATGCTTGTTGATCGTTGTTGCAAACGATTTTGTCCATAATGTACTTCCAGTCGCATGAAACGTTTTTGTCCAGAAGACGACGGTAATTCGGGGGTTCGAGGTGGGGAACATAGGTGTGTATAGCGTTTCCACCGGGCTTCGTATAATTAGTACACACTCATGGACATAGAAATTTATAAATCATCACTTACAGAGGAAGGAGTCCACGAGGTCCCTCCTGCACTTGTGTTTCCGGCCGTGAACTCGGTAGCGGTGGGAGAAAGTGTGGTTGGCATTGATTGCGTGTGATAGGGCAGCATTGTGTAGGCCCCAATGGACTGGAAGCTACTAGATGGCCGTGCAGTCGGCGAGGCGGGAGATCTTGGAGAAGGCTCTGTGGGAGCTCTTGGAACAGTGCTGCCCCACGAAGCGTTCTGAGGCAGATATGAACTAGCTCGATTGGCCTGGGGAATGAGGCAGCGGGGTCCAGAATTTGGGTCATGAATGCATCGTACTTGCTCACTTGTGGGGGATCTGGGGAATGGGCCATATGAACTTGTCGAAGGGCTTGACATAATTCTCTGGGGTTGCATCACCCCGGGGGATGTAAATGCAGGATATGCAGCTGGGGTACCCCAAAATCGATTGGGCTCCTGGGTAGTATGGGTCAGGATGCCCTGGAAGGCGGCCTCGCTATAAGATTTATCGAAGTGAGCATCGGTTGTTGGAGCTCCGAGTGGGATCTGACCCGGGTGGTTCCACGATCCCCGAGCACGATGGTAGCCGACGGCAGACAATGCATCAGAAGCATCCGACTGGGAGTCTTCTTGGGAAGTCCATGCGTCCTGAAACTGAGAAAATACAGGCTTTGAAGCATTGAAGGCATCTTGTAGGTGACTGATTGTTTGCTCTGTGATTTCACGCCCACCAAATTCCACCTCGGACGGTGGTCCAAGAGTTTGGTCCATGGTGTGCTTGATGACCCGTGTCTGGGCAAGCTCTTGCTCCTGGAAAGCAATCTTGTTATTTGCAACCTGAAGCTGATGCTTGAGTCGAGCAAGCTCCCCCTTGGCATCGTTGCCATTGTTGCCATTGTAGTCCACGGCGTCGGAACTTACTGGCTGTTGTGTTTCTTTTGTCGTCGTGGCCTTGGGCAGACTCAAAGATCGATCTTTTTCTGTACCAGCCGCTTTGCTGGTTGTCTGAGGCACTCCAGGTGAAATTCTTGCAAGTATTTTCTCCAGGCTAGTGGGGTTGTCAAAAACGGTAGATGCGGGTTTCATGTGCTCCAACTTCGGCTTCTGGGATTGTGAGACCACAAACATAAAATGACTTTTGCAAGTCTAAGAATCACTGACCTTGTAGGATGGAGACTCTGAGTCTTCGCTAGACGAACTTTGGGGATTTGCATTTCTGGGGGTATCGAAAGCATCCGATGAACAATGGTGGATGTTGGAATGACGATGGCTCTGGGATGTGAAGTAAAAACTAGGTCAGCAATGGGGGCTGGTTTTTTTTTTTTTTTTTTTTTTCGTCAAAAAATAACACTGACGGATATTTCCCGGCCAAAATTGAGGCTTCGTGCATCCACCATACCGTTGTCGAGTCTTCCGTCTTTCTTCATGTGGGCGAGATTGGGTGGAGCAACAAGAGGCGACATGGTGCTGATGTGAAATGATGGGACCGATAGAAACACAGGCTTGTTGATTCTGTACTCCGGGGAAACTATTCAGAAAGCCAGGTTTGTCCCGGCCCTGACTGAATAACGCCGAGTGACAGTTTAGAATGGAGTTTCTAGATCTGCAGGGATGGCAAGATAGAAAGAGACATGAAAATGGAAGAGAAATAAGTTGTGAGTAGAATGAGATTGAAAGGGAGAAAAGGAGAAAGGGAGGAAGGGAGGAAAATAGAGTGCGAAGTAGATTCAAGATGAAGAAGGTGTATGAGATTATGGAAGGAAAACAAAAGGATTTCTCGAGATTGGAAGGCACGAGTAGAGAGATTGCCCGAGACAAACGTGACTTTCAAATGTTGTATTCGAATGATCTTAGGATTCTTTGATCTCAAATGCGCTAATTATTTGTTTGTATGTTGTTTGTGTGCATACGCATTTCAATGTTGATTATGTACTTTTATCTCGCATATGATCAACATTTGAAGTTATATACATCTTATCTAAAGGGGAAAATGAAAGGGAGACATTGAAGGAAGCCATTCAGAGGAAAAGAAACGGAACTTTTCTTAAATATAGGTTCTATCTCTTAGATTAAGTATTGAGGTAGTTAATCTATGTATAGATGAATAGTATCCAAGTGCTAGGTAGGTAAAGATCTATATAGAGAAGATCTAGAGTTAAGAAATGGATACTATACATAGTATATACATGCATAGTATGTACGATATACCCATGGACGTTGTTAGGACATAGCTTTCAATACTACCTAGTAGGTACTACGTATCGTTAGATAAATTTATAATAGATCTATTGCGACCCAGTTAATTAAAATCGTTATACTATATGTATACAATAATATATTTATTCAAATATTCAAATTCAGAACGTGTTATCAAGTGTATATATGTGGCTGCTTCGGGCCATAACGAATGCGGATGTGGAGCTAACGACACAACCTATCAACTGATGGGACCAAGACCCCTTGATACAACATTTGAATACCATATGTATGTACAATTTGTATTTGTTTTCAGAACAAGTTATACCGTTATCTGTGCGTTCTGTCTTGCTAGAGTTTGTTATCAATTTAAATGATATATCTCAAGTAATTCGTATGGCCGATTTATATGCCTACTAGTAGTAGGTACGGAGTCCTTAGGAGTTGATACATATATTAGTACATAAGGTAGCAGTAGTTACATTATTGCTGTACCGTATCTATCCATGTACTTTGTAGGTACTGTGACGCCAACCCAAGAATCAAGAGAAAACATTTGAAGTCGAATGTTCACACGAAAACTCTGATAGAAATAATAAACAGAATTTGGTCCTCGCAATACTAATTACCAGCACTTGAGTATGCAATCCAACAACACTTGAAACGAGCAGAACAATTAAATATCCCCATTCGGCCGCCTCCGCGTGTATGTAATGTAACGGCCGGTGGCGGTAGCACCTGGGGACACGGGCCAGTTAACCTTCAATCTTTACATGAACCCATCTCTTGTCTTCTTTCAAATTATCTTCTTCGAACTAGGAAACGTGGAATAGATCCTCGCTTTCTATTCCGTCTCTTCTTTCTCTCCTTTATATCTACTGTTGATTTATATTTTCCCGGTTGATTTGGTGACTTTGGCTTCGTGGACCTGCTTAGCGTGCATCAAGAATTCCGCCGTGTGCCCGCCATTCTCAACCCTCATTCGCTCGAGCCGATTCGTCATCAACGAACCACCTGCGCTCATTGCCCCGTCGTCAAGGGTAGTTCAGAACCACAACAACCGCCCATAAGAAGGTCACCGTTAACGATTTTCTTCTTTTTCTTTTCTTGAATGGTTTTTGGGGAAAGAAATACCCCAACAATCCAATTGCTAGGGTACGTGGACATGGATGCTTAAATGTGTCACTTAGGAAGAAATGCTAACGCGAATCAGCGGCGAAGAAAGCTGGGGACATTTGGAGACTGTTGGAAATGGCCACAACCACAGTCACTGGTCATGGGCGCCGGTCATCCATGCGACAAGCTGAACTACAAGCGCAGGCCAAACCTTCCCCTCAACCGACGAGTAGTCCGATCGATGAATTCCCTCCCTACGAAGAGACCCTTGACTCCGCCACGACTGGCCGCCCAAACCCAAGTCCCTCGGTGAAGTATGCATCCAATGATATGTGGGAGCCACGGAAGTCGGCGTTCTACTTGAGAGACCACCCAAACGGTTCCATAAGAAACCCCAAACATCGGCCCCGGAAAAGCATCAGCGAGGCCATCACCACAATCCGTGCTCGGAACGGCAGTATGAGTGCCAACGCGCATGAGTTAGCGGAGGCACTTCGTGCCCCGGTCTCATATCGCTTGATTGTACGCTCCGGAGGATAAATAGGTGTCTTTACTGAGCTAATACCTGTGTAGGGCCTCTGTATGATCTGGTATCTAACCTCCGCACTTACCAATACCTCCTCGAAATCCATCTTGAATGCCCTCCCGATGCCCATCACGTTGACCATCATCCAATTCGCATTTGTATCATTCTGGTGTCTACTGCTCGTGTACCTCTCCACAGTGATACCCAGGCTGCGACAAAGTATACCGATCCTCAAGCACGGCATCCGCTATCCCTCCCGGGAGGTGATCTCCACTGCGTTGCCCCTGGCCGTTTTCCAACTAGCCGGACATATCCTTAGCTCTATGGCAACCTCTCAAATACCCGTGTCATTGGTTCATACGATCAAGGGCTTGTCACCTCTGTTCACTGTTCTAGCTTATCGATTCGTGTTTCGCATTCGATACGCCCGGGCTACCTACCTGTCGTTAATTCCCCTCACCCTCGGAGTCATGCTTGCATGCTCCACGGGACTGTCAACCAACTTCTTCGGAATCTCCTGTGCATTTTTGGCTGCCTTGGTTTTTGTGTCACAAAACATTTTCTCCAAGAAACTCTTCAACGAGGTAGACAGGGCCGAGTCTGATTTACAAAACCCGGCGCGGCGAAAGTTGGACAAGTTAAACTTGCTTTGCTATTGCTCTGGTCTGGCATTCTTCCTCACTTTGCCTATTTGGTTCGTCAGCGAGGGATATCCCTTAGTATCCGATTTCATCCACGACGGCTCAATTTCTCTGTCCGGCAAACAAGGGTCGCTGGACCACGGGGCTTTGGTGCTTGAATTTGTCTTTAACGGTGTCTCCCATTTTGCCCAAAATATCCTGGCCTTTGTACTTTTGTCCATGGTGTCTCCAGTCTCCTATTCGGTCGCCTCTTTGGTGAAGCGAGTTTTCGTCATCGTGGTTGCGATCGTGTGGTTTGGAAGTACAACCACTTCCATCCAGGCGGTTGGCATTGGCCTCACCTTTGTGGGCCTTTATCTCTATGATCGGAACAGCAATGACGATGTGGCTGATCAGCGCGCCAACGCAGACCACTTTCGTGCGCGTGAAACGATTCTTCCCACGAACGTTCGACATTCTAGCACACCGTGGGACTCGAATGGTTATGCTTTCCCCGGTCCACGATCCTTTGAATCGTTTACGTCCAGCAATGGCCATGCTACCAGCGGGTCCAAAAAAGAAGACGATGGCCCAGGCCGAATTCGAACACGCGGAACTAGCGTTTCTCGGACCTGGCTCCCGGGGACCAAGCAGGAATCAACATGGCAAAGTAATGATTCTCCTGTAGCTACATAGCGGGTGTTTTTCATTGTATTTTTTTTTCCGTCTCTCCTTTTCTCTCCCTCTCCATTTTTCTCCATCCCTTTGTTCCCTTTCTCCATTCCTACTTTCTGCAGGGCAGGATCGTACTGAGGAGTAATCCGGTGTATTATACTATGGTGCTATAGTGTGTGGGAGTCTTAACATCTATCTGTCTATCCAGTTTGCTGGATGCCTCGGTACTGGAAGTACATCAAGAGCAGGTTGATTTAGTTGGGTATATATGATTAAAGAAAATAAGTGGCCGTTCCAGTTCAAAAAGTTGCATTTCAGGAACAATATTCAACTTTCAATTAAAACAGTTTGGGCGAGCCGAACGACTTGGATACTCCAGTCTTTCTCGGGTGTTGAGGTGTTGGTCTGCTTATTGTACTGACGAGTCATTGCACCGTTCCAAATGGCTGCAAATCTCTTAATACGCAGGGGAGATTATTTTACGACAAGGACGGTGGAAACACAATTTTTGTTTGGTGTAGATAGTCTTCATTGATCTCTTGCGGTGTCTTCATGGTAGATATCAGGATTGTTGAGAAATAGTTGTCGTAGTGTAGCTTTACATTGATGGTAATTGTTTGTTAGACTCGGTCCCATGGGAGTCAAAAAATCAATAGTAGCTTCAATGGTTGTAGTCACCGTCGGTAAAGAACAAATCACAATCGGGGAGACCCCTTGACTGCTCCAGTTCGGGACATTGTTCTTGGACAATCTGTAGAGGAAACAGAAAAGGTCGTGCCTGTCTCCTACAATAAATCATGCCCGTGAATGAGATGATTTTCCAGAAACAGGTCGTAGGAGAGAAGACGCTTTTAAAGGGGGAAAGAAGGAACGGAATTACAATTCGTCCGAGCAAAAGTAACCGAGCCAATCCCAGCAAAGCCATTTGTGAGGACTGCCTTACTCAGCCTAGGGATGGTCAGCGATTTGCCTTAGGTAATCCAAAGCAGATTCGAAGTGCGTCTGATCGAGCTCCCTTCTTCCCTTTCACCCCCTCGTCCACATCAAACCCTCCCCTAAACTCCCCCCCCCTCCCCTCATCGACCCTCTTCCAATTATGCGGCCGCAGCTGTTTCGTGCGGCCGCCCGGTCTCTCCGGGTGCCCCGAGCCCGGCCTTTCGCAACGACAGCCCCTCGCGCGGCCGAGGTGGAACTCACCATTGGTAGGACCTCAACATCCTCCATAGACAGCCAATTGCATACTAACTTACTCTCTAGATGGCAAGAAGGTTTCGGTTGAAGGTAATACTCGTTTCAAGGAAGCCCATTGATCAAATACTCACATCCCCAACAGCCGGGTCGGCTCTCATCCAGGCATGCGAACAAGCCGGTGCCACTGTCCCCAGGTACGTCACGCTCAATCGATCTGACTCCCTCTTGTTTTCGATGCTAATTTGCTCACAGATATTGTTACCATGAGTATGTCTTCAGACGCCGATAGTTCCGATCTGTCACATTGCTAACTCTCAGTTATAAAGAAAACTATTGATTGCAGGAAACTGTACGTTGCGGCCGTCTCTTACTCTACCTGCCATATTCCATGTTGCCACTGTACTGACATCTATTCAATCCAGGCCGAATGTGTCTTGTCGAAGTCGAGCGAGCCCCGAAGCCCGTGGCATCATGCGCCTGGCCGGTCCAACCCGGCATGGTGGTGAAGACGAACTCGCCGCTGGTTCACAAGGCTAGGGAGGGTGTGATGGAGTTCCTTCTCGCCAACCACCCTCTTGATTGCCCTGTCTGCGATCAAGGAGGAGAGTGTGATCTCCAGGACCAGTCCATGCGTTACGGTGCCGATCGTGGCCGTTTCCACGAGGTCAGTGGTAAGCGCGCGGTAGAGGACAAGAACATTGGTCCCCTGGTGAAAACTTCGATGAACCGATGCATTCAATGCACTCGCTGTGTTCGATTTATGAACGACGTTGCCGGTGCTCCTGAATTGGGAACCAGCGGACGTGGAAACGATATGCAGATTGGAACTTATCTGGAGCAAAGCCTTGACTCGGAATTGTCAGGAAACATCATCGATCTCTGCCCCGTCGGTGCTCTGACATCTAAGCCTTACGCTTTCCGTGCTCGCCCCTGGGAGCTAAAGCACACCGAATCTATCGACGTCCTGGACGCCCTTGGTTCTAACATTCGGATTGATAGTCGCGGTATGGAGGTGATGCGAATCATCCCGAGACTGAACGATGACATCAACGAGGAATGGATTAATGACAAATCACGATTTGCGTGCGATGGACTGAAGACTCAGCGACTCACCACTCCTCTGATTCGCCGCGAGGGCAAATTTGTTCCTGCTACTTGGGAACAGGCCCTAGTAGAAATCTCATCGGCTCAACAGAAACTTCAGCTCCAGCCTAATGAGTTCAAGGCTGTTGCTGGACACCTTGTCGACACCGAATCACTTGTCGCGATGAAAGACATGGCTAACAAGTTGGGCTCCGACAACCTTGCCCTCGATCAGCCTGGCGGCAGCGCCCCCATTGCGCACGGTATCGATGTTCGCTCGAACTACCTATTTAACTCGAAGATTTATGGTATTGAGGAGGCTGATGCCATTCTGCTGGTCGCCACCAACCCCCGTCATGAGGCTTCCGTTCTCAATGCTCGGATCCGTAAGCAGTATTTGCGCTCGGATCTGGAGGTTGGCCTCGTCGGCGAGGAGTTTGAAAGCACCTTCGACTATAATCACTTGGGTGCCGACCTGTCCGCTCTGAAGGCTGCACTGTCTGGTGAGTTTGGCAAGAAGCTTGGCTCTGCCAAACGACCCATGATTGTCGTTGGCAGTGCCGCTGTCGAGCACCCCGATGCCAAGGCCATCTTTGAGGCTGTAGGTAGCTTTGTTGAGAAGCATACCGGTAGCTTCAACAACCCAGAATGGCAAGGCTACAATGTCCTGCAGCGCGCGGCGTCTCGCGCCGGAGCTTACGAAGTGGGCTTCACTGCCCCATCCCTTGAGGTCGCCCAGACCACCCCGAAGATGGTCTGGCTCTTGGGCGCCGACGAGATTGCGCAAAGTGAAATCCCTAAGGATGCATTTGTCATCTACCAGGGTCACCACGGTGATCGGGGTGCTCAGTTGGCAGACGTCGTCCTACCTGGTGCAGCCTACACCGAAAAGTCTGCCACCTATGTCAACACCGAAGGCCGTGTGCAAGTAACCCGTGCGGCTACATCATTGCCCGGAGCCGCTCGCGACGATTGGAAGATTATCCGCGCCACTAGCGAGTTCCTTGGTGTTCCGCTCCCCTACGATGACATTGAGGCTCTTCGTGACCGCATGGAAGAGATCAGCCCCGTGATGCGCCGCTACGACGTTGTTGAACCCACCTCCGTCAGTGCCTTGAGCAAGGTACAGCTGGCTGATCAGAACAAGGGTTCATCAACCACCGGTGCTCCCTTCAAGAAGGTCATTGAGGACTTCTTCTTCACTGACGCCATCTCCCGAAGGTTCGTACTTTTTATCCATACTGTGGCTTGCTTCAAACTAACTCTTATCTTCTAGCTCACCTACCATGGCCCGCTGTTCGGCTTCGAAGGCCACCGGTAACGCGGAAACCAACTTTATGGCCGCAGGCGAAATGTCTCCCCAGGCATTGTACGGCTAAAAGAGCGAGGGATTTTTATATCTTTTCGTGGCCGCTGATTGATTCTGTGTTTTGACTAATGGTTGCAGGCGTTGTTATTTGTACCACATTAAACCTCCCTTTGATGTACCCATTTCCTTTACCTATTTTTGTTTTCTCCCTTCGCCTTCAATGCCGGTTCATCTTGTTTCCGTGGTTGACCTCTTTCGCCCAATCTCCGGTGTTGCCTGGGAATAATCGGTCGGGGTTAACTTGTACATAAAATGATTGAGACCCACAAAATTCTACTACCGTCTCGGAGAATTTGAATTCGTTTGAGAGAACGCTGGCTTTCCTAGTTCTTGGGGACTTACACCTGTACCTATTGGGCTCACGAAGCTAGGGTCCTTTGCAATGAGACTGCAGCACTTGTGAGATATGAATTCTTCAGGGAATTTCTGAATTGTAGTGTTTTTGGCTCCGTTCATTTGACTTTGGGAAAATAATATTGCAACCCCGGTTACAGCTCGTCATCATCGGTCTCTCCTGCAGAGTTTCCAGCAACCTCACTGGAAGCACAAGCCGAACCTGCCTTCGCTGGTGGCTCTCGTCTGGCGAAGGGCAGCGCTCTGCGAGGAGGCGGGCTAGCTTTCTTGGTCGAGGAACGCCCCAGGGCGCTGGTCTGATCAGACTTGGCAACGAGCTGTGCTGTCTCTAGGTTCTCAGATTCATCATCTGTGGTTGTGTCTCCTTCATCTACCATTTGGGGTGTGGATTTGTCTTCGGCGTCAGTGTCCTGGTCAACCATGGAATCCTCGGCTTTTTCTTGCTCAATGTCCATTTGCTCGAGGTCTTCCTCTGTCTGGTTATCTGCATCGCTCATATCATGAGCGTTTCGTTTTGTAGATTGGAGTTCTTGACCAGCTGCCGCTGTGGCTGCTTGTATCTCCGACACTGATTCGTGGTGATAGGGAAACTTAGTAAACAGGTCTCAATCTAAATTCTTATTGGGGAAGTAGATAGATGGGATTTGTACCTTTCGTGGGGTTCCCTGTTGCGGATGCCAGGAGCCGTTGCTGGTTACGTATCTTGAGCTTTTTCTCATTCAAAAGTTGAACGAAATTAGCCACAAGCTGGGCTTCGTGCTGAGCTTTGGCCCGCGTCAATTCCTCGAGCTGTCTCTTTAATTTCTGGACAGTCTCCTCGGCTGTACTGTGTCGTTCGGTCAAGTCAATGACCTGGCCTTCTAGCTCGCTCACCCTAGCGGCGGCAAGACCCGACCATTCAAACAGTTCAATCTCCTGTTCATCGTTCTGTTGCAGAGATAAAGAGCCAAGCCTTTGCTAAAGATGGGTAAGAACAATAAGTGGAGTTAGACATGTTAGGTATAGGTATCAAACGGGTTGATACCTGTGAGGGGGGGGGGTTCACAAACCGTGATTGATTGAACCCTTTGGCGGATTGTGAGAACCATCTCTTTGTTCTCCTCCTCCGAGCCTATTAGGCTGATTGATGTCTCTACTCCCGAACATATTGCTAGCTTCTGGCCAGGGGCGTCTTGTCCTAGCACATGGGTGATGATCTGCAACCACTCTTCATCCGAACCCTGATAATTTTTGGCGCGTAATTTTTTGATATGAGACTCCTGAACTAACAGAGTATCAGTGATGGCAGGCATAAAAAAAGTTTCACAGGAGGGCATTTCATACCTTTGACTGTATATGGGCAGTTGCCTTCAGTCGCAGTGAGGGCGAGCTCTAGTGGAGCCGATCCCAGTTTAACCACATGGAGAAGGATAAATTCATGTGGCTTGTCGGAACGAGCAAATCGCAGAACGCGTGACATTTCTGTTTCCTTTTTTCTTCTCCTTCCTTCGGACTTTGGATGATATCTACGGTCGAAGAAATTGCTATCCGGGGGGGGGGGAAGAACTTGTTAGTGAAGGAAGAACTGTGATTAGTTAAGCCCCAATTCTTTCACTCTCCCCCGATGTTTGGCCCAGGCAACAACCTTGAAAGACGGTATATATGTGGTTACCTACAGTAATGTACTACTATATATACTATGTATATACTGTAGTATATCTCCATATATGTAGACAAGTATATGTAAATTCTGTCTCTACACAGTCTCATATCAACATCAATCTGATCAGCATAATCTCAATTTCATTACTTAGAATTTGAAACATTTATTGAAACATTTAATTATTCCGAAATATCCTGCAAGGAGTTGGCTCTAGAACTGTACAATGATATACACACCCGTGGGCAGTTCCCCACCGCGTCCACAGCAAATGCACGTTCCTCTCCCGGGAATCTCTCTCCGTCTCCCTCTATCTCCTCTCCGGCCTCTCTTGACTCTTACTTATCGGTGATTTCCTCAGACATTACCCTGGAATTTGTTGCGTCTCAAAAACTCTTACCGTGAGGGGTAAATCCGGGTAAACCATTCAAGTCGCAATTCTTACCCCTGAACCCCGAATATCGTTGTCTATCCTCTCTTAGCTGGCCCCTTCAAATTAGGGAACTGGCACTACCACAAGCCACGCTCGCCGACATAAGACAATCCAAGAAAGAGGGAACCGACACAACAGAAATTTCCCCCACTCGCCTCGGTTCGAGATCAAACACAAAGAGAAAGATAAAAAGAGAGAGAGAGAGAGAGGGAAAGAGGGAAAGAGGGAAAGAGGGAAAGAGAATCTCCTATACACACGCTTCGCCCAATCATCACGGGATGACGCCCCATCTTCGATTCATTGTGTCAGCGCCGCAAAGCCCCGAGTCTTCTACTTAACTGTTAGAACTACCTCGTGTGACTTCTTTCCGTATTACTCGCATATGCCGCTCATTATGGAGTCCAGGATTACCCAAACACAGCCGGAGGAGGATGCGCAAATCGAATGTTGGGATGACGATGACGATCTGCAATTCGTCGAAGGTATTCAATCTCGCGCCGCATCCAGCACAGGTTCGATCGCGAATTCCTCCTTTCGACCATCAGGACATCGCGATTCGATCTCTTCGCGCCGGTCCGCGCGGTCTGACCTGGACTCGAATGTCGGAGATGAAGACTGGCAAGTCCATTTGCATGACACAGATGAATTTGCCAAGGAAGAGGCTCTCGCTTCAGCCAAAATTGCGGGCATACCGATACCCGCCAATATTCCCAGCTCTGCTCTTCTTGGAGGTGCTATAAAACGCCTGTCAACTCGAAAACCCAAGAGAAGCTTTGTGGATGACTGGTCTGAAGACGTGGAGCTCCCTGGCCCAGATACCATACTACAACTCCGAACATCTCAAGGGGATGCGTTTCCCGATTCAATCCGACATATAAGTTCCGCAGTCGCAAGTCCGGTGAAGTCTACAGCTTCATCTCCTTGGAATGAGAACATTACAACTCGTCTACAATCAGCGCTGGGAAGTCTAGATCGATTTCATGACGAAGATGACGATGGTGCTTTCAACTGGGATGTTCCCACAATAAAAGCACCCACCCCAAGATCCCCGCAGAAAATCGCCGCCACAAAGCTGCCTAGAAGAAAGCTCGACGTGGAACAGGAAGTAGACGAATTTGATCAAGACCTCGAATTGCCCCCAGACTACCAACCCCTACAGCTATCACATCGAAAAAATGCTACTGGAATCTCCAGCCCTGTTTCAGAGGACTTCGATCTTGAATGGTCCGAAGGAAGCATAGGTGTCCGAGTTGGTGGAACAGCCCGAGATGGCCGCTCAGGTCCCAGCTCCTCAATATCCATCGCTAGCCCCAGCGTGTCAAGTTGCCTTACTGGAGAAAGTGAAGAGGATGGTCTGGATGGCCTGGTATTCCCAGATGGACCATTGGATTTCACCGCCTCCCTCAAAAGACGAGAAGAAGAAACCAATGAGGATAATTCCGCCGCAGCTGAAGCCAAACAAGATCACCAAGCTTTCAAGTCGTCAGACTCAGACGAATTTTTCTCTGGCATTGAAGTTGATAACGGGAGAGCCTTTGCATCAAAGAAATTAACCCTTAACCCTAATGTCAAACGCAAGACAGAGTGGCCAGCAAGTCCAACACGGCGGTCTTCAACGACTTTGACCTTCACCACTGCCGGTGCCGGTGTAGTCAATGCTAATGGCTCCCCTCGTCAAAATACTCGAATTCCAAAAATATCTGCCCATGATCGGACCCATTCGACTCATCTCGAGACCGTTTCGGAAAGCGGTGCACCGATTTCTAAGTTTCAAAGACCCCAATCCCGTCTAGGGCATTCATCCCAGTCTTCGATCTCTAGCATTCAGTCTGCCAGTGTGGTTTCAACCTCTCCAAATCCAAACCCCACATGCCGAAGATTTCCTTCTGCATCACGAGCTGCCCAGGCCGCTACTCCCGTTAGCGATGCTTGTGCTCCTGCTAGACAACTCCGAGCAAAAAGGTCGCTGCCTTCCATTCGTGGTGTTACATCCGCTGCTCCAGCTCAAAATTCGCAGCGATTGCCATCTCAGCCAGATGGATTTCATCGTCCATCGGTCAACCGGCCAAAGACACCGGTGGAGCGCACAATCGTGGGTGGAAGAACATCCAGCCGTAGAACACCAGTCCCGTTCTTGCCAGCGGGTCTATCGGAGAGGCAACCACATCACCCTACCATTAAACCGTACCGGCCTGCTCGTCGTCACAATTCCGATAGTTCCGGGGACCTACTCAGTCCCCAAGGCACTTACTCTCGATCATCGCGATCAAATCGTTCGGAAACCTTTCGCCTTAGCCTTGATGACAGCAAACTGGAAAGCGTTAGCCCAACGGCTAAACGCACTCTAAGTCGGCCAACTAGACGGCGCAATTTTGGAGACGGGACCGAATTAGAATCCTTTGATGATTTACCTACGTCCGCTTCAACGGAAAGCAGGTTCACAAAGAATCCTGCCGGTCGAGGGGCCCCACGATCGGTGCGCGCGAGGCTCAGCCAGAGTCGTATCATTCCACCTGGAGAATCACCGACACAATCTTTCACACCACCCTCAACGTCCAAGGTGGTGGCATCTACACCACGCTTTGCCCGAGATACAAATGCCTCCCGCAATGCGCGAGAGCAGCGTATTGCATCCATGAACTCCCGAAACCGTGACACGGCCCCACTTGGCTCCTTTAACTCGAATTGGAAGCCTCACCCTATATCTCGAATATCACCAACTGCTGCACCTATTCGCAGTCGTAAAAGTGGATCCTCCATCAAATCCCAATCCAAGCCTCATTTGATCAAGCCCATGGGATCCGGGGTGCAAGAATCCAAATGTAAGAGATTATTACCACCATCGTTTTATCGCTTGACAAGATACTAATTCTAACCTGATATAGCCGTGAGAGGCATGCACTACAACCCGGACTCCTTTTGCTGGGAGGGCAACGAGAACCTTGTGCAAGAGTTTGATATAGCAACTGCACCCAAATCGCCGAAACCGGCCCCGGCTCTTATCAGCAATGTGGGTGCTGTGAACAATGCCCAGACAGTTGGTAGTATGGTCTTTGATCCACAGCGCATGTGTTGGCTCCGAGCCACCCCTCTTGCATCCGGGCTGCAAGGAGGAATTGCCCCCGAGGACGAGGACGATGTTTTTGCGGGTCTAGATGACTTGGACGATAGGACTACCGGCATCAAACGAGACACCGAGGCAGTGGTGAGGTCCACCCCGAATACTGCCAGGGATGACCCTAGTGCAGGCGAGTCCTCCGATGAAGGGCCCATCACTGAAGAATTCGACGTTGGTCCCGAATTCATCCGCAGACAGAGAGCCGAGGAAGAGAAATGGAGACGGAAAGTAGACAAATGGATCAGCTTTGATCGTGGAGATGGCGATGATCACTGGCGATGGGCGATCCGCGATTTAGTGACCGATGGTATGGAGCATCCCACATCTTAAGTGCTTACCCACCGAGCTCTGCAGCAATGAAATCTGGGAAGAGTTAAAGGAAGTGGAGGTAGGGTTAAACAGGGGTTGAACATGGATACACGAAATAATGACGCAAAGACCCTTTTGCCTTCTGATTATTGGCCTTGATGAAACTGGTCAGCACGAATTTATGGTTCTTGGAAGCTGTTTTGTAACTATATTTGTTTTCTTTTTTTTTCTTCTCTTTTTTCTCTTTTGCTTTTTGCTTTATTTTTGGGGGTGGTATGTGTATGTGTGTTATGTTCTTCTCTCTCTCTCTCTCTCAGCCAGTACATACTACATTGCACCTTAATGCCCAGGAGATTTGAACTTTGAACTTGAGAATTCTTTTCCATCTTGCTTTTATCCTGTACTCCTATTTTATTGTTCTTTAACCGCCTACTTTTCGATTGTTTTGATACTGTTCATCAACCTTGTTTGACAAAATGTATATCCTTAATTTCTTACCGGCAATATGCTCCGTCAATAGGACTACCATCTAACATCTGCATCATTCTACATCTGATCAACAAGGAAGATCCATGCTACAATGATCGACAACCGCAGCCTCACCCCAGCCAGATCCGAAACCACTCGGATTCGGGATTTCCAGGGTATACATACGCGCGCTTCTTTGCTTCTATGCTTCCCTTGGTCTTCTTCAAGATTCGTCTTTAGCATTCATGATTTCCTATCCCCCCCCCCCCCCCCCCTTTCCTTTTATCTGTTTCTCTTCCTTTCTCCCCCTTTCCCCTTCTTATTTCCTCTTTTCTAACAGCTCTCTCAAAAAAAAAAAGAAAAAGAAAGAGAAAAACCAAACTCTCCAAAGAAAACAATCAGGATCGGGAAGCAGCAGCGTGACACCGGGTGATAGATTGTATAACTCCCTCTGGCTTCGAGCCCCTTTTCAATTTCGCGACTGGCCCAGATGCCGTGCTGCGAGGGTCCGGTGCCAAGTTCATCGAACACCGTGTCTCACCTGTCGCGGTCGGGCCAAACGCATGCAATCCTGTCATCCCGCATGATGCATTTGATTGCCTATCAGACCCAATCCAGCCGTGCCCTGGCATTTAACGCCACGTCAAGGTCACGCCCCAGCGCTTCCCTGACAGCTCACGATCTACCAAGAACCCCCCTTCCCCTTCTAAATTTACAATTTGCAAATGACAAATTACCCAAAAAAAAAACCAAATAAAAACAATGACATGCGAGGCGGTGGAGTTGTGGCAGTCATCCTTCGGCCTTAATTCATGCCCATCTTTGCAATGTCAGTACAGGCTAGAAGCTCTCCCCCAATCCATGTTCCTTACGGACGGCTACGTGCATGTTTGGACTTTTGCCGGAGCAATCTCCAGCCCGACTTTTTGTTTGACGAAGGCAAACCTGCAGAAACAAAGCCCTACATTCGCCTCTTGTTCTTCGGGGAGTTTGTTCCGCCGTCATGAATCGGGGAGGTCCTCCTTGGCCCCCCCGGAGGAAGGATATCCAATGCCGTCGTTACTATGGACATGGTAGGAGCCGATCTTCCCCTACTCCCAATCACTTACCATAGGTGGCCTCGACTGGGCCCAACGTGGCTCTCCATGAGGCAAATAGTGGCGCCGGGCATCGAGGCAAGAATCCGTATCACCATTGCTTGTGTGCGCTGTCGTATCAGCCTGCTTTCACCCTTCAATCCCCCTCGGCGTGTCGGAAGGAATTCGACAACGAACCCTAGTCCTTTTTCTCCTGCCTCTCTTCCTCTCTCTGGCTTTGCCTCTGACCCTGGCCCTATTGCTCCTTCCCTCTCTTTCTCCCTCGCCTTCTCTCTCGTCTTGAGTGCTTTTTTCTTTCTTTTTTTTTTGCTTTTCTCTTCTCTTTTGGTCTTTTATTATTATTATTATTCTTATGGTTTACACTAATTTACTTGTCTTTTCCCCTTTAATCCTTACTACTTCTTCCTTGTTAACCTAGGTAATACCTCCTTCTGGAGGTACCCTAAGGAGCTTTCTTTACTCGACTCTACTGTTCTTTTGTTTATTCTTTTTTTTTGTTTATTCTTTTTATTCTTATTTCCCTTTTCTGTTCTCTTTTCCTATTCTCTTCTTTCCTTTTTTCTCTCTTTTTTTTCTCTTTTTTTTCTCTTTTTTTTTTCTTTTTCCTTCTATGGAATCTTTGCAGTCTTTCAGGGATCCCCTCTATTGCTTCTACCCTACTCCGTTTCGACATGGTCTCGTGCACTCTCTTGGGCATCGGCCGTGTCCTGCAAGATTGGCCTGGGGTCTCTTGCGGTTCCTTTTTAATGCAATTGCTACCCCATAATCTTCATAATCTTCATCCTTCATCTTGGCCTTCCATCTTGCTTTCTTGATATCATTCTGCAATCGACCTTCTCTGGATACTCTCTCAGGCATCTTTATCTGTACATCTGCTACATCCATCCACTCATTTTCTATCTTTCTATCCTTCGGTCATTCTCATTCTCTTTTAATTCCACCTCATCCAATACCACCGTTTGTGTATTCTCGTGTGTGTGTACTCGTGGGATATATCAACTTTTTGATATCCTGATCCTGGAAAGCATCTGGCATAATGGGCAGCTTTGTGAGACGCAATGAAGGCAATGATAGTTATCTCATGAATCAACCAATGACTGTTACTGGGAGCTACAGCCATTCAGGTGGCCATGAATTCAACACGGCTGGATCTGGCCCTTACCACCTTCCCCAGCATTCGTTTAACACATACGGGTCTCAATTTGGTCCCTCCTATGGGCAACAATCTGGTCTCTCTGCTGGCATGCAGCATTTGCAGTACCCATCAGATCATACGATCCCCTCGATGACCACCTCGGAGGAACTGAGATTGCATCATTCGTCTTCGCAGTATATGCCAGAACCACGATACCTGCCTACTAGATACCTACCCCTTCGAGAGGCTCTCAGTGAGACGGAGATTGAGGATCAAGAGTCTCATAACGAAGCGACCACGCTTTCGGAAGCTGTAGTTCCCCCGCTGGATGGGTTTCCAGATGTCAAGGAATTTGATCAATTGATGCAGAGGTACGTCTGCCTTTTCCTCCTTTGTGCAGTAACTTGATGGATTCTATGACATGAAAACTGATAGAACACATTTCAATCAGCTATGTTGATGAACTGTCGGTCAAGAAGCAAGACAAGGCCTTAATCCATGCCAAAAGAGCACGGAACATCAAGAACGTGCTGATGGAGCCGAAAGACACAGCGATTGAATCCGCACAGTTTCGGTAAGCTCCTTTGCAAAGAGGTCGACCACAAATAAAAAATAAAAAATTATATACTAAGCCAAGCAGCTTCTGGGTCAAAAAGATGTTCAAGCTTCAGAGCACCAACGGTATGGGAACAACTGATGTGGGTTCCTGTCACACGACTACAAGTCATCCCTATGTGAAGCTCACAGTATCTGCTAGTGCCGCAAAATGATCTGCCATGAGGGAAAGCCCGTCGCCATCCGTGAGAAACTGTTCAAAATCCTTACGCAAGCCCACAAACAATGTCAGCATGGTGGGCGTGATAAGACATCTGCCCAGGTCCGACGTATTTACTCTTGGTAAGCTGCGCATTCCCCCCCCCCCCCCCCCCTATCAGAAAGACTTTCGTTTTCAAGTCACTTACCATTTCACTCTTTTTTCCCCCTCCTGGTATTATAGGGTACCAAAGGAACTTATCTCTCGCTTTGTCAAGATTTGCCCTACATGTCAAGTACGTCGTGGGGGTTCTCGTCTCACTCCACCCAGTTCACGGCGAAGCTCCCCTCGCCTAGATAGGGTATCACGTTCTCCAAAACTGCCTTCACCACCCCTTTCAAGACGGGAATCAAGCTTTGGGGGACAAGTATCCCTGGATCGAGCGCATTCTGACTATTTTGGCCAATTACATGGTCATCACGGGTGGATTGATGGCCACCAGAATGTACAGGCCCGATCTACCTTGGGTAGTGGAGTCCGATCTTCTCACGGACCCATGGGCAGTCTTACACACTCAATTACAGGCACATTGGACCATTTCCCGGATCTTTCTGTTTCGGGCTCACAACTTAGCTACACGGGCGGATATGTTCCAATGTACGGTCCACCTCCTCAGCGGGAATATTGATTCGGAGGAACAGCTTTTCATGACCTCTGGTGAAGCACACTGCTTGAAGTTATTGCTTGAGAGATATGTTCTGTATTTTCTTTTTTTTTTTTGCTTTTTGGAGTTTGTATTCGAGGGGCTTGCTTGATCAACAGAGAATATGAGAAAATGAAAAGGGGTGAAAGATGGGGGGAGGTAGACAAGGGGAAAGTAGTCAAGGCATCGATCCGATGTCGAAAAGTTGGATAATAAAATATTGAAAAGATTGATTGGTACATCTAATTATGACATCTCGTGTGTTTTCTTTTTCTTTTTTCTTCGTCTCTCTCATTTTCACTTGATTAGAAGAGAACCAGTAGAAGAAGCAGAACCCCGCTGTTCTCCACCAATATTAAGCGTTGGTTAAACTCGTTGCGGGCAATTGAAGCTGCCCAATAGCGGCTCCGGTCCACAGGAGCAGTATGAAACTGCCTAGGAATTTAAAAGCTCGTGCGATGGCCGAAGCGATGTGAAAGGTGTCATGACATTCGTAGAGCATATCCGATGATCAGACATTCATAACCAAAGGAAGAAGACGCGGAAGGCGGCACATCGCGCTAATACCAAACTTAATGCTCAAAAAGGGCTGCAGGGTGCCCCTACAGTGATATACCAAGCATGCCTGGTGTTAGCCAAGCAAGGCGAGGCAATTTAGATCCCTCGACGTGGCTCTAAAGGCCTTGATCCTTTCCATTGATTTCCACACTCCTAGACGGGGAGGGAGAACCTCTTTCCCTTCAATACTCTTTGGATGATCAGTGGTTGCGGGGGGTTTGATGGCGCGCATGAGGGGAGATGACTTACTTGTTGTAGTAAATGTAGAAGAAATCAGAGTAGAGTAGGGTCTGGATAATACCGGCAATTATTGGAACGGGTTGGAAAGATCGTTGGAAGTGGGACTCTGTGAAGTATCGGTACATCCAATTCGGAATATAGAGGGCGCGGTACGTGCCTAGGGCAAATAGGTAGTGTGTGGTGATTGTATCGGCTTCTCCCGTCCGCTGCAACATGAAAAGCTGTGGTAGGATGGCCACCGACTCTAACCAAATCGAAAAGGTCCAGAGGATCTAGTCGTCATTAGCGGGGGCAAGGTTCCTCTGTGGCGCCAGATATCCTGTATGGGAATATGAACAAACCTCGGAGAAACGATAATCATGTGGGAAAAGCACTGCCAGAATCGCGCTGATTCCCAAAAGGTACTGGACTTTGAATGTATCAAGGTTTGGATCGTGGGTTGGTTTGTAGTCGTTCAGCATAAGGTAGATAATGTAGGCCGAGGAGCCAATGAAGAGTAGCTTGAAAGTGGTGAGGTATAGCGAATCAAAGAAAGTCCAGAAGAGATCTGGTCAACATAGACGACTGGGTTAGTATGGAGTTCCAACTCGATTAGGGTCCAAGAGAGAGGAAGAGAGAGGAAGAGAGAGGTGGATAGCATTTGAACGCACCAAGATAACGAGTGATGAAAACCAGAAGGTAGAGTACCTGCGACTTGAAAGATAAACCAGAGCAGCTCTACAACTCAGAATTAGCAAGAAGCAAGCGGCCGAGAGGACCTCAGAAGTGACATACACTGGTTGACTTCATCTTCTGCAGAAGAATGAAGATGGATGCTAAGTGGGAGAAATCGGCTGTCCTTGTGGTCAGTATTATGAGGGAGAAGGAATGACGCAGTATATAACAACTCACCTAAAAGCCGAAAAAGATTCATGATTGCGGAGAGATTATTGGGGAAGATTCAGGTAGAGGAGTTGTGAAGAGAGTAAGTTGTTGACACGAAACCAGGAAGGGGGAGGTTGTACATTGCCGATCAGGTACGCGCGCCGGGGCCAAGCGGGACTTGAAGAGTGGAACCCCCAGAACTCTAGAACTACATATAAAATATAAGGGTACTTTGTAAAGAACACTTATGAAGATGTTGAAGATGTGGAATATTTTGAATACTAGTATTTGTATAAGTAGATTGTCTGAAGCCTGACTCTATGAATAAAAGAAGTTCCACCCTAAACAAAAACCCTGTTTTTCGATAAAAAAAACCCCATGTTAACGCCTCCATTCCATGCTAATGTTCTTTCCTCCTCAGGAGACTCCTCCAAGAAACCCCCAAACCTTTAAGAATTAATAAGAAAACAAAAATGAAAAGCCCATTTGAAAAGTGAAAACGCCATATGATACACGGATTCATCATAAAAGGAAGAAAGGAAAAGGAACCTCGTTCACCATCAGAATGGGATTCCACCTCCAATCGTCTCGTCGGCCATGCGTTGTAAATGACCCTCAGCCAAGTCACTTTTAAGCGCACAAATGGAGCTTTCATGATCCAACCGATCCCAGTCACGGAGACCTGCTCGCTTTAGTTTTTGGGACTCGGCCATCTGGTCGAGGAGTTTCTCTCGATCAGACTCAAGTTGGATTAGACGCTTTTCTGTTGCTGCATCTAATGTCGATGGCATAGTTCTCCCACCTGGTATCAAAGTATACAGTCCCACTAAATGATTTGGAGGTTTGGGCACAGCTATAGAGGATGTCACGACGGCAGTGCTGTTCTGCCGAGATCCTGGGTGACGGAAGTTCCCCCCGGGCATCGGGGGTGTGAATGAAGCCCTGGGACCTGAAGGAGCGGGGTGTGATGCGGTCATGGGGGGTCCGCGACGAGCCTGTGGAGGACCGGGCCAAGGTCCATCGCGAGCACCAGGGGGGCCACGACGTGGGCGCGTTGGTGCCGATAAAAAGTTCATGTTATGCGAGCCTCGAGGTTGTGAAGGTATTATTTTATGCCCGTTGGATGGCCCAGAGGGAGGAGACTGGCGAATGCCAATGTTTCTTGGCTGGGTTGGAACATAGCCGCCAACTCGAGATTGAACGGGCCCTACCGATTCGGTTTGAAGGCGATCCGAACTAGTGGATTCTATTCCAGGGTGAATAGCTTCTGAATTTTGCGCCGAATCGATATCCGGGAAAGAAGGGGGCCCTGCGAGCCCGGAGGGTCGATGGGGAGGCGAAGAGCAGATGGGAGATCGGCTGCGGCTTTTGTGGGAGACTAGGCCACCATGGGTTTGGCCTGTTACGGGGGAGGAGCGTCGTGATGTAGCGCTAGACTCGGGCCTTGTACCATGAACGGGCGATGCTGGCCTAGACCGCGAATAGTGACGGCTCCTGCTCAAATCCACGGGTAGTTCTCGGCGGGGAAAGGTATGGGAGGGGCTTTGCGAGCGAAATTGGGGGGTGGCATTGGCTCTTGGTGAAAGGGCTCGAACACTCCTCTCGCCATTTAAGACCTTGGGAGGAGTGGTGCGCCTACTTGGGCGCAAATCTTGACTTCCGGGAGATACATCACGGATGCGTCTTGGGCTACTGCGGCCACGAGATGCATCTCGCGATCGGCCGTCACTGTATGGAGACTTTGATCGCCATGACGGGAGAGGCGATCGGGGCCGGTCCTCTCTCCGTGGAGAGAATCGCCGAGGGGGAGAACGCCTCCTTCCATACGAACTAGGCCCGAAGCCTCGGCCTTGGAAGGGAGGGGTTCGGGAGCGACGCCGGTAATTGGGAGGGGAGCGACTTCTTGGACGTCCATAGCCTCGACTGGATGGCAACCATGTGTCCGCACGTAAGCGAGATCGATTTCGAGGAGGTGAGCGTCTGTGTCGAGTGTCGTACTCTCGCGAAGGTGATCGGCCTGGTCGGTCAGCTGGTCGATAACTTTCACCCCCTCGTCGGTCATCAAATCTGCAAAATGATCAGTTAAGTATTTTGAGGCTTTACACTAATCAGAAAGGATATTTATATATACCTTCTGCGATCCCAATCCATCTTTAATGGCGGGGAGAAGAAAGATTTTTCTGGAGATGTTGGTAACAAGGGAAGATGCAAATGATGGGGAGAAAGAGTCAAGATCGGAGATAAGAGAAAAGCTAAACTACTTTCGGGAATCCCATATATCATATTGACTGTACTAATACATTAAAAAAACATGAAGGACGAGAAAGTTTTAATCTGTTGTACTATTCGGGTTTCTATCGATTCGAGGAGGAATATGGATGTGTGTCTTGTGTCTGTGTCTGTGTCTGTGTCTGTGTCTGTGTGTGTGTGTGAGAGAGAGAGAGAGGCGAAGCAGAAACCATCAGGGAGAAGGAGAAAAATAATAATGGAAAAAAAAATATTGGTGCAAATAATAAACAGCGACGGTTTTAGTGCTTGCCACGTCGCTCTTCTTCTTTGCGCAATCGCTTGCGGCTCTCTTGCGCAATCATGTCACTGAGATCCTCTTGAAATCCCCATTGCGGCTGGTTTTGCTGCTGTCGTTGCACTTCATACATATTTTGAAGGCTCTCTTTGCTGAGACCATCGCCGGCCTGAATCGCATCCAAGTCCACGGAGACATCCACATCACCAGGCTTCTTGCGTTTTCGAGTTTGATCGTCAACTCCGAGAAGTGGAGGCTTGCCAGATGACGTACTGAGATCGTAGGCTCGATCTCCTCCAAAGAACCCCTGTACGTTTGTTTGTTTCTCTGGTATAACCTGGTATGCACTCCGAGGGTGAACACTCTCTTCGGTTTCTGTGCCCCGATGATGCTTTCGAACGTCGAATTCACCAGCAACACTTTCTGTTCCTACAAATTCAGACGGTGCCGCCGAAGCCATGCCACTGGGCGTATCAAGACCAGTAGGGGATTGGGTCCCAGCTTCAGCCTCCTCCTCATCATCGTCCTCCTCCTCTTCTTCATCATCCTCGTCTTCCTCGCTCTCCTCGGATTCATCAGATGCCTGTAATTCTCCCCAGAGATCTTTCTCGACCGGTTCTCCTTGTTGGGCATTTTGCTGGGGTTGTAAGACTCCAAAGATGTCACCTCCGTAAAGCGGCCGGTTATGTTCATCAACAGGAGGCTTTCCATACCCTCCAGGGTGGTATCCCCACATGGCACCTGGAGGGGGCGGTGCATTTAGACCAGGAACTTTCAAGGCAGGATAGGACGGAGGTGGTCCATAACGTTGCTGGTTGATGAGCCATGGCGGAGGGGCTCCCGGGGGCATATTAAGGGCCTCTTTAAGTTCATCACTCAACTCGCCTGGGCGAAGGTGCTTGAGATTGGTTTCATATTCCTTGCCCTCATAATAGATCTCTCCATAACGAGTCAGTTCAGGTTTGGTTTGAAAGCGGAAAAAGGCCTCGTAGAGCTTCTGATAGTCGATGTCTAAGCGTCCCATTTTAGGCTGAACTCTTTCACGTTGCTTTTGTTTCAAGCTCGACTGATCCTGCTTATCCAAAGCAGCGTCGCGCATTTCCGCAATGCCAGTTTCCTGGATGAACTTTGGGAGAGCGAATGGCGCCTTCTCTACACCTCGTTTGGAGGAGAGGTACTCTCGCTTGAGCGACCAGTGTAGAGGAACCGGAACCACATTGCGATGAGCCTTAATATGGATCAGAAGTCGAGGATCAGTTGCAGATGTATCTGTCCATTCCACGATTTCAGGCTTTCGAACCATGGCCTTAAGTTCGGCCACAGATAGCTTGTTGAGCTCCTTGCGCTTCTTCTTCGATACCTTGGGTTCCTGCTCTTGCTCTTCATCCGGGATATCGTCTGCATCGTCAAAGTAGACTTCTGGCTTCTCAGATTCCTTGGTTATAGCATCCTCTCCGGCTGTCTCGTCAAATTTACTGACGATGCCCTTGTACATCTCCCATAATGAATCATCGTTCTCCGGGGAATCCTCATCAGTAGGGATAATTGACGCTTGTGCCTTTGTGATTTCGGGGATTGGAGGTAACGGGGTTTGTTGTTCTTGAGAAGCATCGCCGACGGCCTCACCAGCAGCCTAGGAAGAAGATATGTTAGCTCCTAATGAGACGGGTGTTTGGGTGCAGGGGCGCAAACTCACCTCGGCCTTTTGAGACTTTTTCCGCGCCCTGCGAAGTTGATTCTTGCTCTGTTTCATCTTCGCTGACAATGTTACAGCTTCGAGCCTCTTCGATCTAAAAGCTACCACGAGCGGGGAAAGAAGGTGGTTGTCAAAGTGGTAATGAGGATTGAAACGCGGTGACTTTTCCAAGATCAAATCGCGATAAAATACCAACCATGTATTCTGATTCGTCGGGTCTCCATTACCGCCTTGGCAGATAGAGTTGCCCTGCACGCGCAAGGACCGATATTTCTTTTCTGCTTTCAATTGCAATATATTGTATATTCTATTACTTCTCTCTCGGCCTGTTCTATGATTCATCTTATGTTTATGGGAACTATATAGGTCATTTCTTGTGGAATTCCAAGGCTTATGGGGCAGAACAAATTGTATGGACAGCTTACTATCCACCCTAAACCATTAAGTAGGCAGGTATGTTTTGGGAGGCCCGGATCCAAATCTCTACAGGTAGATTATAATAAACGCTTGAAATCCATTTGTATGGAACACATATAGTACAATAAACCCCCCGAGTCCTGACGTAAAAAAAAAAACAGAAATGTTCTGTGTCAAATGAAACCCGGAGTTCTTCTCTTATCTTTCCATTCCTGCAAAGCTCAATCCAGTCACAAACAGGGACACACAACCAGGTGTAAAGGCAGTGTTTGATAGATCGCGGGCGACGATCCGCCTATTTCTTCTTCTTTGCCGATCGTGATTCTGATACAAAAAGAAAGCGTTTATTAGTAAATGCCCTGCTGGTAACAGTATTGTGGGCGGGGGGGATTGAAAAGCAGTCATCGTACCTGCAGCGGTTCGTTTCTTCTTAGGTCGGCCCTTTCCTCGAAGTTTTGCACTAAATTTATATTTTAGTATAGAAACAGAGAGTGACATGAAGGAAGGGTACTGACATTTGAATAGCCTCCTCACGATCATCTTCAGCTTCATCAAAGGTAGTTAAGCCAAGAGGCTTATACGTATTTTGAAGATCCCGAAAAGAAACCTCCTGCTTGGGATACCACGCTGCAAGCGCAGGGCCACGAAGTCGCTGTCTGAGGATCTTATTTCCTAAGCGGAGCCTTTGCGGGTTGAAGTTGAGTGAGAAGATACGACATTGTGTCTGCAGATAGCGAATATGGAGAATGATTAGAAGATATTCCACAAGAATTAAGAATTTCCATACCTTGACCAGGTCTAGCAACCGGCCTTGTGACATTTTCACGACGCTCAGGTGGTTGTACCGGTTCGATAAAGAACAATTGACTGATGTTCCTGGAAGCGGATTGCGGAAAGTCGGAGGTCATGTGACTACGGATATTTCTAAATTCTTGTTAACTAATTAGTTAACCATCACTTACTTCGGGTTACCAAACAGCCTTTACGCTGCTTCTGTACACTTTGGCCAAGGGGTTTTGAACCGGGGATGGATCAAATCCTGAACTCTTGTTGAAAATGAGCTCTAAAAGGCCTGCACCTCTTGTCGGTAACAGAGAATCCGAGCCTCACACAAAACGATCTAAGGTGATTATAGGGTTCCTACGTCGGTCAGACTTGTAACATAGCTAACCTGCGTTGTGAAGATCGGCCACTTTCCTGAGCGGGCTCAACATGAAAGCCTTTCGGAAAACAATAATCCGGCTCGGGTCTCTAGCTGCAGTTCTCGGCTCTCCTTGCTGAAAACACTTGTTGAAGAAGCAACCAATGATCCTGTTATTGCACAGACTGAACCCAAAATCGCACAAGCGATATTAACGCTAAACAATGCTTTTCAGAATTCGAACAACTCTGCTTTACTTGATTGTGAATCTTCTGAAGCTCCAGGCCCCAAATACTCAATTTCACAGCCGTCTGGAACTCGATCTGGAATGCCGAGCTTGCCACCGATTCGGGATACTTTGCTACGACGGGCTGTTTTCATACACCCCGCCTGTGGGAAGCCTCAAGATGCTTCATATGACCGACTGGAGATACTAGGAGACGCATACATCGAGCTCATGGCAACAAAACTAGTGTGGGAAAGATATCCCGGGATTCCTGCTGGGAGGATATCGCAAATCCGGGAAAGCTTAGTCAAGAATGAGACACTTGCAAAATTTACTGAGAAATACGGTTTTGATCAAAAGGTGTCGGTACCACCGACCTACCCCGGCCAGCCAAAACGATGGATTAAGACCAAAGGCGATATCTTTGAAGCCTATGTGGCTGCTGTTGTACTATCTAATCCACAAAATGGCTATGAAATTGCTGAGGAGTGGCTAGTGGGTTTATGGTCACCATTACTAGACGATTTGGGAGATCAGAAAGTGGAATTGCGCTCTAAGGAGGAGCTTGCCAAAAAGGTTATGGGCAAAGGTATCAAGCTGGAGTATGTCCCCGAACGCGATCCTATTCAAGAAAAGGGCAGCGGTACCCAAGTTTTCTTTATTGGGGTCTACCTCACAGGCTGGGGTTGGGAAAGGAAACATCTTGGCTCGGGGCAGGGGTTAAGTAAAGCGGCAGCAGGGGATGAAGCAGCTCGAGTTGCCCTCCTTAACACATCACTGATCTCTAGAATTGTTACTACCAAGGAGATAATAATGAAAGGAAAGTAGAACGAAAGTTGACTAAATCGAACATTAATTTTAGTAACATAAGTTTATAGAAGTAATATTATTATTTACTTTCTATATTCTAAAAATTAATATTTTTGTAATATATGATTCTGATATGATTTTGACATATAAAGTTAATTAAAATAGGCATACAGCCTGGGTTTCAATCCGAGGACAAGTAGGAGGCCTGGATAAAGTAGAAGGTAAATCATATACATGTAGTATCTAGTAACTTTATCTTTGTACTTTTTTTAAAAATATGATGTAATATTTATATCTAGTTACTATTGTATCCACTATTTATATACAAAGTCTTATATAAATCATACGATATTAACCTAATATAGTTCTCTCCATATAGTCTAATCAGTTTTCGTTATATAATCATTAGCTGTAACTAGCCTGGTTTTGTTATATTTCCTAGTAGAACTATAACTACTGAGTTCGTTTTGTTGGTTATCATGTGATCGTTCTTAGCAAAAAGCTGATCTATCTGGTTATCCCATGTCTGCTTCGTCACCACCACCACTAATACCTTCCATTTCAAGAGGCAAACACTGGTGGCCTATATCAAGCTTTGATAAATTCTACGCTGGGAAGCAGAAATGGAAGCGCGGATGCCCTACGACGATGTTGCATGGGAAAAGAGTGACGAAGTCGCTGAAACCTGGCAAGATCAGTGTATTTCCCCTCCTGAGTCCTTTCGATCGATTGGAGATTTTCTTCTCAAGCACTACAACGCTGGTGGTGCCTTTGAATTCAACGGGTTACCTGTAGGTGGGTTCAACATCGCTCTGCAGATGAAATTTGCAAATGATTGCGCAGCTATCATTCGGTTCCCAATCCCTGGTTATACCATGTTCCCAGAAGAAAAAGGGCGCAATGAGGTCGCCATCATGCGTTTCATCACCCACAAAACTTCCATTCCAGTGCCCTTCATAGCTCACTGGGGAGACAAAGAGGAGAGTCCTTTGAAACTAAGTCCTTTTATCATCATGGATTATGTCAAACACCTGCAAAGTATGATGGACATTCTCAAGATGCCAGACCGCCCTAGAGAAGAATATATCAGACTTGATCGAAGAATCGAAAAGGCCAGACTAAGGTCTCTTTATAGAGAACTAGCGAGAGTTCTCCTTTTATTATCTCAACAGCCGCAAAACAAGATAGGGTCCCTTTGCCAGGTTGATGAGCTTACCTGGGAAGTCATAAGTCGACCCCTGTCTTTACATATGAATGAACTCGTTCGTTTAGGGACCTTGCCCCAATCGGAACTACCCACTACCACTTTCGATACAGCGTCTTCGTACTTTGAGGCCCTAGCAGAGCTACATATTTCACATCTTATAAACCAACAGAATGATGCTGTGGACTCAGCTGATGACTGTCGGCGCAAATTTGTGGCGAGGTTTCTATTCCGAAAGCTTGTTCGAGAGCAGAAGTTCAAAAGGCAATGGATATTTTTTGAGAATGGTAAATTTCCAATATAGTGTGACGACTTTCGACCGGGAAATGTTCTCATGGATGAAGCCGACAAAATTGCTGGGGTGGTGGACTGGGAATTCACATATGCCGCTCCAGTCGAATTCACACACGCACCGCCATGGTGGCTGATTCTCACAAAACCGGAAGACTGGACCGATGGCCTTGAGAATTGATGTGTGGAGTATACAGAACCATTTCAGACCTTTCTTAGGGCAATGAAGGATTGTGAAGATGAAGCGATCCGGACCAATCGTTTAGCAGAACAAGATCGGCTATCCGGTTGGATGGAAAAGAGTTGGCAATCTGGATATTTTTGGATAATGTACGCCGCGAGAAACAATTTCGCCTTCGACGCTTCATATTGGAAAAAAATCGACCAGCGATTCTTCGGAAATACCACATGTGACAACTCTGAGATCTGTGATGTATGGAAGGGGAGGCTTGATCTCTTAGAGCCTGAAGAGAAGGAGTTGATGGAGAAGGAGGTAAAGCGGAAGCTCGAAAATATGGAGACAAGATCTCTTGCTTGGGACCCAGATGAATATACTAGGGAATGGATGCACTGCCCGACAACAGATAGAACCTAAGGAGAAGCATTCTGAAAATCAGGTTATAATATAACAGGAAACTTCTTTTTTTTAAAAAAAAAATTCATTCATAGATCTATCAGGCTTTTGGCCCAATTTGCCAGTAGGGCACTATAAGATAGCTAGAATACTATATCATAAGATGAATTATGCTGTTATATATAACAGGTGTTAAATAAATTTCCCTACTTTGATTTTAGGCCTACACCTATTAAATATATATATCTATAGGACTATATACTATATTACTATCTTTTATCCTATATATATATAATTATATAATATAATAAAAGTTTATTTCCTATATATAAATCTTAATTTAATATTTAGTATAATATCCTCTAGTATTAATTACTACCCTTAATCATCTTCTTATACTTAAGATTAGGGTATTAATCTTATCCTACAATATTACCTATTATACTTCCTAAATATATTATAAAAAAATATTAGAGTAAATAAGATAATACTATATTTAATAGAGATAAGTTAATAAAAAATAAGAGTCTATATACTATCTAAAAAATAATAAAATAGAAATCTCTTAGACTAATTCTAATAAGAATTAATCTCTATCTAATTATAAATAATCTTCAATTCTCTATCTAAACCTAAAATCCTTATTATTTTATCTTTTATATCTAATCTATTTATTTATTATTATAATTATAATTCTTTTTCTTATTTAACTATTTTTAGAAACTAAAATAGCTTAAAATACTTATTTAAATCTTATTTTTTTAACTAAACTAAAAGATATATTCTTAGATATCCTAAAAATAATAATAAAGATATTTTATATCTTATCTAAGAATCTTATTATAAAAAATATAAAGAATAAAAAAATAAAAAGATTAAAAAAAAAAAGAAATATCTAAAGATTCTACTAAAAATAAAAAAACTAAAAAACTAATTTAATATCTAAATTATTCTAAAACCTAATTAAAATAATAATAAATTAATATTATATTATAATTAAGAAGGTATTATAATAATAGATATTATCTCTTATACCTAGACTTATCTACTTATAGATAGGAGTATCTAAATAAACCTATTACTATCTAGATAGATTCTACTAGATCTAAAAGACTTAGTTATTCTTAATCTATAATATATAAAAATCTATATATTCTTAGCTAAATTATATATAATAATATATCTAAAATCTATAAACTTTAATTATTATAGCTAATTAAGAGTAATTTATTATCTTTAGATTAAAAAATTATTAGGATATTTTAATTTATTAAAAAAAAAAGTTTTATATATTTAGATAGATCTATTTTAAGCTATCTAGGTTTTACTAAGAATATATAAAATTAAATAAAAAAGATTATATTCTTAAAAAAAAGAATATACTATCTCTAAGCCTACTAAACTCTTATATCTTAAATAAATCTTTATAAAATAAGTTAAAATAATAAATAAATAGATTAAAATATCTTAAGTATCTTAATAAATCTTTTAATAATAAATATCTTTAATAATATTTTTAATTAAATATAAATATTATATCTTATAATTAACTAAATCTTATTATAAGAGTTAATTAATATTTTTTTAATAATAGATTTAAATAAGAGATTTATTTTTTAAAAAATATAATAAATAATATTTAATCTAAATATAATTATTTTAGTTATTATATATTTTATAATATTAAAAATAAAATAAAAATTAATAAATCTATAAAATATTATATATAAAAATCTATATTTAATTATTAATAATCTTTTTTTTCTAAGATCTATTCTTATAATTAATCTTAATAAGATTAAGTTAAATCTAAATAAGATCTTATTAAAAATATTAAATTTATTAATAAATATTTTAATAAGATCTAATATTAAATAATTTAATAATTTTTAATAAATTATAAATATTATTTTTAGAATATAAAGATTTTTAGAGTAATTTAATCTTTAAAAAAATAAAGATTATTTATATTAATAATAAATTAATAAATTAGATTAATAAAATCTAAAAAATTTTTAAATAAGAAATAAAAAAAGATTATATATAATTAATTATTATTTATAAAGATTTTAAGATTTAGATTAAATAAGAATTCTTAGAATATTTCAAAAAAAAAAAAAAAAAAAGAATTTTAATATTATATATTAAAAAAAAAATTTATATAATAATATTTTATAAAATTATATTAGATTTTAATTAATATTGATTTTAATATTTTTAAGAATATCTTAATATAATATTTTTATAAAAATATTAATTTTAAATTATAATAATAATAAATAAAAATAAATATCTAAATATTTATTTTTAAAAAAATTATTTAGAAATTATTTAAATTTAAAATAAAAAAAATATTATTTAATTATATTATATATTTATTTATATTTTTTTATTAATATATAAGATAAATTAATCTAAATATTAGAAATTTATTAATTATATTAATTTAATTAATTATATTATAAATAAAAGATTAAAATAAATTATTTTTATTAAATTATATTTATTATTAATATAATAAGATTAATTATATTAAATATAAATATTAATTATTATTTATATTAAAAAGCTAAAATAATTAATATAAAATCTTATTAATTATTTAAAAAAGATTTTTTATATTTTTATCTTAAAAAAAAAGATTTATTAAATCTTATATTTAATATTAAACTAAGATTATTTTATTTAATAAAATCTAAATTAGATTAATCTTATTTAATATAAGATTTATTAAATATTATAAATAATTTTTTTTTATATTTTTTAATAATAATTAAAATAAATAATAATAAAATAAAAATAAAAATAATAATTAATTTTAGATTAATCTATTTTTTTATAATATTATTTATTCTAAAAAAAAATAAATTAGAAATCTTATATTTATATTTTTTTTTATAAATTAAAAATTATATTATTAAATAATATAAATTTATTAATTTAAGAATTTATATAATTATTAATATAATTATAAAAATAAACTAAATAAATCTATATATAAATTCTTAATTTTATTAATTATAAATTTATTTTTAATTATAATTTTTTATATAATTAACATCTTTAATTTAATTAAATAATCTTAATTATAATCTTTTATAATTAATATTAAAAAATTTATTAAATCTTATTAATATATAATATAAAAAATAATAATATCTAAAAAATTATTCTTAATCTTATATTTAAAAAATAAATTTATTATATATTAAATAAATTATATATAAAGATTTATTTTTTTATTATTTATAATAAGAGTTTAATATTAAAAAATAAGAATAAGATCAATATTTTTTTATATAATAATATTTATATTTAAAAAATATTTAAAAAATATATATAAATATTCTAAAAGATTTTGTAAAAAGATCTTTTATTATAAAAATTAATAAAATATAAGATTAATATTAATTTAATTATATTTATTAATCTTAATTTTTATTTATTATTTAAGAATAAATTAAATAAATAACTAAAATAAATTAAGAAATTATTTATACTTAACTTAATTTATTTATTTAATAATTCTTAAGATTTTTTAATTATTTTTATTTAAAAATCTAATAATATTTAATAAATATATATTAATTATTAAATATTAAATAAGATTATAATTAAGAATAAATATTTTTTATTTTAAATCTAAAAATTATTAAATATAATTAAAATTATAAAGATTTTTTTAAAAATTAATCTTATATTTAATTATTAATAAATCTAAATAAATAATAATTTTATTAAAAAGATTATATTTAATATTATTTAAAATAAATATAAATAATTTATTATATTTTTTAATTTATATAATATATTTATAATCTTTTAAATAATAATAAATAATATATTATAAAAAATCCTTAATTAATATTATTTAATATATCTTAATAATATTCTTATTTTTTTTTAATTAATTAAAAAATATTATAAATATCTTAATAAAATCTTATTATTATTATATAATTAAGATTTATTTATATTATTTATTAAATATATAATAATTATAAAAAAACTTAAATATTATAATTATATTATTAATAATAAATATATTTATTTAATCTTAATAAAAATTAATATTATTAAAGATTAATTAATATTAATAAATATTTATAAAATTAAATAATTTCTTAATTTAATTATATATTATTATTAATTTATGAAATATTTTTTTTAAATAATATTTTTTTTATATAAATTTTTAAAAAAATTAAATAAAAAATTATAAAAAAAATAATTTTAATTTATTTTATAAATAATAGATTATTAATTAATATTTATTTAGCTAAAATAAAATCTTATAAATATCCTTATTTTAATCTAATTAAATTATTTTAAATTATTTATAATTAAAATAAATATATTCAAATAAATCTTAAATATTATTCTTTTTTAAATAAATAAGAATATTTTTTTTTATTTTATTATATTTAATAACTAAAAAATATAAGATATAAATTAAATTATTTAATTTAAGAAAAAAAACTTTTTATTATTAAATATATATTATATTTATAAGATTATTTTATTAATAATAAAATAAAAAATATAATTATTATTAATTATATAATTTTATAATATATATAAATTATTATTATATATTTTAAATATTTTATTTAATAAATTAAGGAATTCTAAAAATATAATCTAATTATTTAATATTAAAAAGATTCTAAAATAATTATTTTAGATATAATTTTATATTATTTTTAATTTTATAAAAAAAAAATTAATAAATCTAATTAAGAAATATTTAAATTAAAGAATTATTTTTATAAATATAAGTTTTATTATAAGAATATTTAAAGATATTTAATTTAAAATAATAATAATATTCCTAAAAATAGATAATATATTAATTAATAAATAAGTATATTAAATAATTAAATAATTAAATATTTTATAAATAAATTATTATTTAAGAGTAAAATAGTTAATATATATAAATAATTAATATTTAAGAATAATAATAATATTTTATTCTTATATCTTATATAATTTTTTTATATTAATCTAGTAAATTATTTATATTAAGAATTTAGTTATTTTAGCTTCTTAAATCTAAATAATATATTTTATTCTTAAATATAATAATTAAATATATATTTAGATTTTAAAAAAAAATCTAATATTATCTAAATTATTAAATATTATAAAAATTAAAAAAGAATCTTAAATATAAAATTATATAATATATAATTATTATTAATATCTAATTTTTTAAATAATAAAATATTAATCTTATTAATATTTTTTTTTTATTCTAAATAAGAATTATTAAATTATTATTATAATTAATTATATAATTAAATAATGAATTATAAAAATAAATAATTAATTATAAAAATAATCCTAAATATAAAAAAAAAAAGATTTTTATAAAATTCTTATATAATAATATTTATATAATATTTAATATATTAAAAAAGATTATTTTTAATAATAATCTAAATCTATTATTTAGAATTATTTATTAATATATCTAAATATTATTTATTTAATACTAAATAATTATTTTTTATTATTTATAAATAAATAATAAAATAAAAAACCTAAATAATTTGGTAAATTAAATATTAATAAGATATTTTATAAATAAATTAATAAAAATATAAGATCTTTATTGATAATAAATTTTTTTTTATATAACTTAAGAATTATATAATTTTATTAAAATATAAGCTTATTTTATCTTATTTATAATATATATTTATATATCTTAAATAATATTAATAATCCTAAGAAGTTTAATAAAAATTATAATATTATTTTTTATTATTTAAATAATATATAAATAAAAATAGATAAATTATTATTTAATTATATTATTTATATTATATATATTTAAGATTTATTAATTAAAAAGATTAATTTTAAAAAAAGAGATTAAGTTTTTATATAAAATAAATTAAAAAAGAAATTTAAAAATAAATAATTTAGCTTATTCTCAATAATTAAATTATATTTATTTAATATTTATATTCTTAAAAAACTTAATAATTATATTTTTTATAATCTTATTAATAAATCTTATATTCTTAAAATAAAAATATTTAATCTTAATAAATTATAAAACTCTATAATATAATATAATAATTTTCATAAATTTAGTATTTAATTTTAATATTTAAAAGAACTCTAAAAGATTCTTAATAAAATAAAAATATTTTAATTTATTTATTTTAATCTTTTTATAATTATCTAAAAAAAATAAAAGATTATTTAATATTTAAAAGAATATTTAGATTTAATAAAAAAAAAAGTTATAATTATTAAAATATTCTTATAAAAAATTAAATAATTTAAAAAAAAAAAGAATTTATAATTATTTTATTAATCTTGAATCTTATTAATAATAAAATTATATAAAATAAATAAGATTTAAAAATTAATAATTATAAATTAAAAATAAAAGAATTATAAATAAATAATTTTATATTAAAAAAAAAAAATTATAATTAAATAATATTATAAATATATAATCTTAATTAATTTAATTTAATAATTTATTTATTATAATTATTTAATAATTATAATTATAATAGATTTTAGTTAATATTTTATATATAAAAAAGATTTTTTATTATTTTTAATATTATAAATATAAATATTAAATAAATTTTAATTAATATAATTAAAAATATAAAAAAATATATATATTATTAAATATAAAAAATATATAATTAAAATATATTTTATATTATTAACTCTAATTTCAATTAAATCTTTATTTATTTATTAATTTTTTTAATCTTATAAAAGATTTTAATAAAAAAATTATTCTTAAGAATATTTATATTTTTATTAATTTTTAATTTTTAATTTTTATCTTCTAAAAACTTTTTATTTTTTTATAAAATAAAAATAAGAATTTATTTTTTAAATCTTAATTATATTATTAATTATTAAATTATTCAATAAGTTTTTTAAAAAATATTTTATTATTTTTTAATAAATATAACTAAATTTTTAAAAATAAAAATATAAAGATTTTTATTATAAAATAAAATATTATTTAAATATTTTTTTAAATAATAAAATAATTAACTATTTTTTTTATTTAACTTAAATAAATTATTAATTATT